ACCCTAACCCTAACCCTAACCCTAACCCTAACCCTAACCCTAACCCTAACCCTAACCCTAACCCTAACCCTAACCCTAACCCTAACCCTAACCCTAACCCTAACCCTAACCCTAACCCTAACCCTAACCCTAACCCTAACCCTAACCCTAACCCTAAGTAAAGCTACTAAAAATATTAGCTAAAAAAAAAAGTTTTATAATATTACTGTATATAAGCTAGTATTAAAAGAAATTAGTATTACTAAAGTATTACTAGTTAGTATAAGTAGCTTAGTTAAAATATATAAAAAGTATACTTAAAGCACTAAAAAAGAATAAGTATTATTTTAAATTATTAAAAAGGAGTACTTTTTAAGAGTAGCTATTTTTTACTATTACTAGTAGTATAAAGCAAGTACTATTGCCTATAACTACGCCTTATAAACTTACTTATACTAGTAAATTACTTATAAATATATTATACTAAAAGATTTTATTAAGTTTACTAATATATTAAGTTTGCTAATATATTAAGTTTACTAATAAACTATGTTAGTAAAACTAAGTATAACTTATATACTTGTTAAAAGAACGCGTAATAGCTAAAAAAGTTATTAAAAAGTTTCTTATAAGCTTTAATATAAGCTAGTATTGTAATTTTTATTAAAAGTTGTATTATAGTGTAGTTTTAGCAAAAACGCGCTGCTTGCTAGGGCGCGCCGCTTGCTAAAAAGGTACGTTAATACTAATTTTCTGTTACAGCTAGCTAGCTAGTAATTCGCAATACAGAGAGGCGCAGCACATAAACTACGCAATTAGAGGTTAGTACACAGTCTGTTTATTATTATAACACAACTGCAAGGCGTGCTAGGGTAGAAGAAGCTCTAACTAGCATCGCGAAAAGCATACGTGGCAGCTAACCAAATCAGGCGAAACGTCTCCGTAAGACGACGACGCCTCCCCATTTTTCAAAGTGTCTACGAGTTTACAGGAAAGATTTAGTCACAAATGTCTGTTTTGTCGCATTTCAAAAGCTTTTAGTAGCTTTTTAGTGCACTGTCGTGTCGTCAACTTCAATCTCTTTCGTTATCACAACCCATGGCGGTGACCAAAGAAGCCTCCACCAAGACGAATCCAACAGAGGCACGGACAATCCAAATCAAAACCTTGTTCCTGCTACAGAAATACCGTGGGATCGTGTATAAGAGCGAAAAGGAGCGCCAGTTTAGAGACCACCACGCTTCTTCTCCTCGCCAATACTTCCATTCTTTCCCAACTTCATACAATCGTTGCAACCCACCAGCAATATGCATTTCACGCATCTTATCATTTCAGGGCTTCTGTGGGCCTCTATCATCTCTGCTCATCCGGGGCATGACATTTCTCAGGAAATCGCAGAGCGAAAAGACTTTCTGGGCTCTGTAAAACGCTCTGATCTTAGTCACTGCGCCAACAAGCTGAAGGCCCGTGGGAACCACAAACGCAACGTTGCTCGTCGCGTGGCTGCCCTCCAAAAAGCACAAGCTAAACGCGGTCTGGCGAAGCGCGACCTTGACACCGTCCTCACTACCAGCCATAATGCCACCTCGCAAGGATTTACCTTGAACACAGACCCTGCTACTCTTTTCAAAGGCAACCGCTCTTGCGTCTTGACCCCCGAAGTCACACAGGGTCCCTATTATGTCGGTGGAGAGTGGATCCGCAGCAATCTGGTAGAAGATCAGGAAGGTGTGCCTACTCTAGTTGACTACCAAGTTATCGACGTCGACACCTGTGAGCCGGTCACCAACGTTTACCTTGAGATGTGGCACTGCAACTCAACTGGTGTATATTCTGGTATTGTCTCGCAAGGCAATGGCGACTCCTCTGACGAGGCTAATATCGATAAGACTTGGCTACGTGGTATCCAGAAGACCGATGGTGACGGTGTTGCGCAGTTTGAGACCACTTTCCCTGGTCACTATACCTCTCGCGCCACCCACATTCATCTTATGGTACATACCAATGCTACTTTATATGTTAACGGCACTTTGGGCAACAACGTTTCCTCTAGCCATGTCGGCCAAGCGTTTTTCGATCAGAACCTTATATCTGCCGTGGAACTTACCGCGCCTTATAACACCAACACCCAGGAACTCACTGCCAATGCTGACGACAGCATCCTCAGTGAGGAGAGTAACTCTGGAATTGACCCCTTTCACGAATATACTCTGCTTGGTAGCGACATTACCGATGGTATCTTTGCTTGGATGGCATTTGGTATCAATACCACCCAAGTTTCATCTGTCACTCCTGCTGTGAGCCTTCTCGTCAAAGTTTTCTCACGATTACATACTGACATTGACTACAGGCATACTACTACGCCGAGGGCGGTGTTGTAAACGCTGACTCTGGGGGAATGGGTAGTGGCTCTGGTGGCCCTGGTGGCGCTCCACCTAACGGCAGTGCTTCCACCACAGCTCCTACTAGTGGCTAGGGTGTTCGTAACAGGCCACGGAACATGTGTCTTGCCTGGAACTTTAAGGTAGATTATCGTGTTTTATATCCTCAAGTGTTTGAGCCACATAGGCTATGCAGTGATAAAAAAAAAAACTTAGAAACAATAGACCTATTCAAGAGATCTATATCACCTTATTTGAACATTGCCCCGCATATTTTACACCTACTACGAGAGGTTGTACAGCCTGAGAAGAAAAGGAGCAATGCCCGATTCCCTCGTCTGAAACTGAAACCACTCCCCACTGCATAATCTTGGTAGATGCCGTGTCTCGATCAGGGTCCTCTGCTTCATTGAGATGACACGCCGCGCTCATTGCCATGCTGCAACTTCCAGCGACCGGCATACTCGCTCTGTGACGCACGAATCCGAATCCCACTGCAGTTAGGAGCATGAGTGCGCTCAGTACAGCAACCACTATCAATTCAAGCGGATAGATACCCATGCCGAGCATCGCACGAGGCTTGTTGTCTCTCCCGATCTCTGGCTGGCCAAGCGGGTCGTAGAATTCAATCGGCACGAGGAAGAAGCTTCTGCTGACAAGCCAGTGCAACAGACCCGACATGGCCATCAAAGGTATGCTGAATCGATACGGCAGTTGAAGGAAGTATGTGCTTCTTTGCTCCCCAGAAGGTACGCGCGACACTCGTAGACCCTTTCTCCCCAAGCCTTTTCTGTCTTCGGCGTACGAAGTCCATTCTCTTCCCAGTAGCATGGCCGTCATCAGATGGTTGTATGACAGATAGATGAGAGAGATGCCTAACTGGGGAATATTGACGATGATCAGGTTTCTGTCAAGTACGTCCCAGGAGCCCTTCAACATGTTCTGCGTGTTGAGCTGTTCAATACCAGGGCGCATCTGCACTGAGTATCCGTTCGAACCCTTGTATCGATTCCCGAATATCATGGTAAGAGCAAGGAAGGTAACAGTCAAGATGGCGAGGACGAGTCTGCACGAAGTTCAGTCTGTTGTCTAAGTGCGTTGAAATAGGATGTTCGATGAGGGAAAGGCTTACATGGCATATGCAAATCGTCGTCGTACTTTGCTCGTGGCATCCTTCCAGCGGCGCCGCAAATCATTCTGGAATTCTCTTGGCTCTCTTTGGATGCCAGGCTTCTCAAAGTCGGGTTTTGATAACAGGCACATGTCTCTCGTTGTAGGATCTTCCCGCTCGAGAAATGAGGCGATGGCGTCGCCTACTGTGATGAGAGGGTCGTCTTGCATGTTCAGAAATGCGTAGAACATCAGAGCGCATTTCACTGATTTCTCCCATCAGCATCATTCTCTGGACATCTTCGATGAATGGTAAACGACGATGTATGCCTTCTTTTGACTCACCAAAATTTACGGCTGTAACAATGATCAGCAGACTCCGCTTTGTACGCAGCTTGCAAGATCCTACGGCCTGCTGACTCAAGCAATACAGCGCCCAATGTTCTCCTACAGTCCACGAATCTGGAGTTTCAATCATATCAGACGTACAAGACTCTTTACCCGCGGAATCGAGCCCAACACAATGCGAATCATTCGATTCCATCCAAAGATCCTTCCTTTCTATATCTGTGGCATTGAATTCTTGTATGTCCCAAATGTATGAGCCCGGGACAAACATCTGCGTCTCCAGGGGGTCGAAAGGCTTTGAAGATACGACCAGGAGGTTGCTTCGTTTAGGGTTGACATGAACGGAGTACTCTTTCCGACAATCCTCCACGCTCAGGCGAAGAAGCTTTCCCTGCCGCCCTTCCGTGTGTAATGTTCCCAAGATTTCTGGTATCTGGTTGACGACTGAATCGCTGAGTACAGTTTCTGGCTTCTCCTCTGCTGTATCATTTCTCGAAAACCCGTTAGTGCAGTTGCGACAGCTTTCATCCTGAAGGAACCTTTGGTGAACTGTTGCAACAACATAGCTGTTAGACGAAACTGATTGGAAGACGGTCGCGTTGTAGCTTTGATATGTTAGTACAGTTCTTGACAGGTGAAGTTTACTTACAGGAGGTGTAGAGGCAGAGACGTCAAGCCTAGGAGACACCATATAGCCAACCGACTGCGGCTCATGATTGAGATATTGCGGGTACTTGGGACTCCGATGTCAAGCCACGATCCTTTTGCATGCGCCTTGTCTACGTCGCGTCGGGTTGGGGCAGACAAGCATTGCATGCAATAGTTGCTTGCTGCTAACAGCACTGTGCTGAGAACGTTGACTTGACGTGTCCAATGTAAGAATATGGCCGATGATATCCTTCCATGAATACTTACTTAGAACATGAAGCCCAGTATTCCACTTGCTTACGCTATCGCATTGATCCTCCAGGAGGACATCGTGGTTTCCGCGAGAGCTCGCCGAGATGGCGATGGTCGCAGTGAGGTTGATCAGGAAGACTAGGACGGCCCAAGCGGAAGCGCACAGGATGCCGAATCTCCAGCCATGGAAAACCCGGCGGGCTCTAGCTTGACGCCAATAGGACCTGGGAGCTCGCCCATCTTTGTGTCTTTTCAGGGTAGCAGTCTCGTCGTTCGCGACACTTGGGTCGCGATCTTCCAGCTCTGCACTATCCCTGGAACTTTGATGATGATGATGATGATGATGATGATGATGATGATGATGAATGGGATGTTCCCGACCGATTCTGGCCATTGTAATCGCTGTCTCGCACGTCCCGTGTTCCTTCGTTCTGGCTGAAACCTGGATGTATCGCGAGGGCACTTCTCCGGCTGGCTAGTATCAGATCAAGGAGAACGTTGTCTAGCTGTGTGCGTTGATCAGATTTTGTTGTTGTGCTTGAGACGACGTCACAAAGCATACTGGAATCGATCACGTAGATGTGTCGCATGGCTTCGAGGCGGCGGGCGGGTGGGGGCCAACTTGCCGCATTACCGGTGTCGGTGAGGTCCAAAACGGAGAATATTCTGGTGGCTTAGAGTATAGCCACCCAATCATCGTAGAACCAAGCATCAGGCCACCCTAGCAATGAATAGGTGATACCAAACAGGGTCTCAAGTCTGCATGCACCACCACGTCATCTCTCTCTCTGGCAAAGGCGTGTATGCTGTCAAGAAAGAGACTAACATAGGATAGGAAGTACTGCCTGGAGCTCAAAGGAAGATTTATCGTGTTTTTGATACCCGGTGTTTGTGCCGCATGGAAATGCGACAATTGAATCATATACTTCGTACAATTATTATCTGATTATGTATGACTATTCTTTCCTTTCTTCTCCCTTTCTGCCTCTACAAGTGCATAAGTAGGTAAGCAGCATTAAGCAGCGTACTTTCGTAGGGCCGGCTCAGTATAGACGGCATCGCCGTTCATAATATTTTCGAGAATGTTGATTGCGCCAGTAGGGATGGTGGCCTCGGATGCTATGACGTCACCTAGGTCTAAGCTGGGGTACACAGCCTGTTGGCATACAGCAGCGAGATCAATTCGCGACGTTTGTGCTGGTCCACCATTCCTCAGAGCGTCAATGGCAAGGTTCATCACTAGCCCGTTGAACAACAAGCTCTCGTGTGTACCCAACACTCCAGCTGGTGCCGCTCCACACACAGACTGAATCTCAATGTTTGACACCCCAACTCCGCGAACATCCTCGAGATATGCTGAGGCTTCCTTGCCTGACATTGGTTGGACAACCTCGTCAAACAGCGCAGAGTAAAACGAGGTGGTGGGGACATATGCGCTGTCTCCGCCATCCCGGCGCAGAGCTTTTATAAGCTTCGAATCGCGTTTTTGCTGCAAGAATGCTGGGGACATTGGCAAAAGACCCAAGTCTGCGGGAAGATCGAGCAAATTCGCCAATGTGGTTCCGTGAAAGTCAGGCGAAACTGAGATGAGTTGTTTGATGTTGCTACGGCATGACGGCCAGTACTTTGACACCCACTGCGTGTCGAGATTCCCTTGCGACCATCCAATCACATTTACTTTATGTCCCCCGGTGATAGAGCTGATGTAGTTGATTGCGTAGGCGACGTATTCACTGTTTGTCTGTACATCGCCAAGCTGCGCGCCCGGAACGTTGAGCCACGCCGGCTGTCCAATTGAGGGGTCTTGTTGTAAGACCTTGATGAAGTTGGACTGAAAATTGGCACCTCCAAAGACTCCAGTACCAGGGACTAAGAGAACCGGGTTGGTGGCATTGGTGAAATCAGGAGACGACGGGATGTAGATCGCAGCTCGCAGCTGGTCTTCAGAGACAGTGTACGACGGGTCGTTATTGTCAGCTTTGGGAAAGATGGTGTCGCGTGCCTTCGGGTTCGTATTGGTGAAGGAATTGAGGCCAGCCGGGCTGGTGTTGATTGTACTTCCTACTATTTCTTGAGGAATAAGCCCGTTCAACTGGTAATCATGGCCATGGGCAATGAATCCCTGATCTAATGGCCGATCTTTATATCGCTGTTGTAGGTACGCAGCGACGTCTTCGGTGCTCTGGGGCGTTGCCTTCGGTTGAGGATTTAGAAGACCATTCAGGTCGGCTGTCAGGGCGTTTAAAATTCCGTTGGTAAGGCCGAGAACTCCGTCAGTAAGGCCAAGGACACCGGAAAGAAGTTGGGGTTCGGGATTAGGCGCAGGTGCCGCATTCGCTAGTACAATGATGGCGCTCGCGGCGCAAACAACTTTACTGAAAGTCGAATGCATGGTTGCTTGAAAGGATACCATGCGGGGTGCGAAATGAGCCGTCGTAGGACGTCCTATTTGTTTATGTATTTTCACTGGACAGTAGGGGGCTTGGTCAGCGGACCAAAGTGCAGTCAGTATAGATCCGCTTGTCAACCCACAACGACTCGTTCGTCGTTGATAGTGAGAATGCCATCGTATCTGGAGTGGAGTCTGAAGAACAGTGTGGAGCTAACTAGTAAGCTACGAGTCGAGATAATATCCTTAGCTCCACGACTTACTCGCAGATCCTCCACCAGGAAATAACTTTAGTATGCGGTAGCGCGCCGCCTCGCTGATTTAGTCGGAAGTTTTCCAGATGAGTGGATCAAACACGTGCGATCTGGGAAAAGCCTGAGACCATCAGTCAGGCCGAGCTTGCTGATCGTTTGACCCTTGGGCGAAATTCATAGGGGGAAAATTGAAAATACCGCATATTCCAGTGGATAAGGTTTCGTAGTTTGAGCCCCTGAATTATTAACTGAATGCGATCGATTTCTCGTTCAGCTTGGTGCTCCGAGTACAGCCCGAGGATCATCTAGCGACTTGGTGGCCGGGTCCACTTTGATACGTGTTAGATCCAAATTGAGTCGAGTGCAGAGTAATAACAATTGCATTATTCCCTGATATAACAACTGCGTAAAAGCCGTCCGTCTATCCCTATATGTCTACTCATTCGCCGCTGAACAGTAATCACTCGATCTCAGCATTCCTGTTTTCAAGCTCTTCCAGTTCTGCTACAGGCGTGAGGACTTAACAGCTTCTTGAGAGCAGTGCATCCAATACAAGCGAAATCATCATCAGACCAAGATCGAATCGGTTTCTACAAACTATCTGCAGTTGACTTCTAACATGGGTATTACCGTCCTCTCCACTAGCCAGACTCACCTAATACGAAGGGTCGTTATTAAAATGATGAAATGCGATGCAGCACTGACTTATGACCTGATGCCCAACCGAGGGTCTTGATTTTCTGATTGAGAAACTCGTAATTAACAAGATTCTGCACAGTCAAAATGTGCCGATACAGCGATTGTTTTGGCAATCGCCAATTTTTAGTATTATTGTCGTGATAAATCAATCTCTGTGTGCAATATCACCCAGAATTCGACTTACAATTTCTTCCCCGAAAGTACTTGTCATTTTCAAGGCTGCGCATATGCCACGAGCCTTATATGTTGCAATGTGGCAGTCTCCGCGTGCAGATGTCTCTGTCTAAATGTGCACGCTGTTGTGACTACCTGTTGAGTACGTCTAGACTAATACTGAGTGTAAAGCATACATTTCCGAGGAGTAAAAGGATGATTAAGCGTATTTACCGTACGTCTTGCTGGATTAGACGTCCACTGATTATGGGATCCTGTCCCTGGGATGTGGTACGCTGTCAATAGTCAAAATACGGCACAGCCTTCAATCCCCGTCTTCAGGGTCGCACGCGCAGCGAGCATAAGTTTTCCAGTATACATCAGTCCATATCCGTCCAGTGTGAAACAGCAGGAATTGATTCCAGAGAATGCTTTTAGGCCGGCCTTCATCCTATGTCTCGGGTATCTGCATCTGATCTAATCTGAACTTGTCAACCGCTCATGCCATCACATGCAGTCGCGGAAAAATGTATTTGTTGGGGCCAGCTGCTCACCCTCCTCCATTAATTATAGCCCGTTATGCTTCGCGCAAGGGGGCGGAGCTTCAGCCATTCGTATTCATTGTCGCTCGCTTATTGGCCAGCCTCGCAGCAAGTCGAGTTTCATAGCCATCGCCATCTCGTATTTACCCCTTTTGCACGACAGCGGAATATGGTAAGAATCGCATCAGAGTCTTGGAAGACCAATGCGATTGGAGCGAAGATAGAGAATTGCTCGTATCGGGCTTCAGGGACCGAGGGCAGCAGCCTAACATTCGGTTTCCTCGCTTTATGTCCCCGTCACGAAGACTCTATTTTGAACGACAGTAAGATGTTGTATGTGTAGATGTGTAGAAATGGCGGCGTAGAGCAGTGCATATAGCTGAGGTAGCGTCCCATGATGGCTCCCGACCTTTGCCTTGCAACACAGCTGTCCGTCATTACTGTATATGAATTTACTCGTTCCTGTAAACAATGGAATCACGAAGTCGCGTCGCATCTTTTTCGCTCTTTCTTCCCGTTCTGCTCCTCCTGAGTACACTGTCGCTTGCGTTTGATGTCCCCGATCTCGAACTCCTTCCGCTCACCAAGCATAGGAAGCGCTATTCCTTTCACAAGAGACAGGAGAATGGAAATGATACCCTTGATGGTTTGGACTTGCAAAACACTGGGGTTTTCCTGTGGGGGGTGGAAAGTAAGTCGTGCCAACCCCTTCACGCAAGTGAACAATAGCTACTCTACTTGAGGGCGCAGGCTTACAATACATTTAGCGGCTACCTCAAATCTGATCGCTAACCTCACCCTTGACTTTGCGCGCGATTATGAAGCCATCCTTGATATGGACGACTTTGCGGGTCTCGTAAAATCAATCGACTGCACCGCTCCTGAGATAAGCCTCGATTTCAACAGTGAGAAAGCCTTCGGAAAAGCCCACGAGGCTTGGGATTGGGTTAAACAGGATGACAACTACACATTCGTTCTCGTGGCAAGTGCCGAGGCTTGCGATGCCGAAACGCGTCGCCAGCCCTTTCTTGTAAATGACCTAGTATTCGACGAGAAGGACAATCGCGTCATCATGCAAGCTGTTCTGAAGACATGGGAAGACATAGCCGAGAGCTACAGTTTCAAGATTTACAACGAGCCTCTTCCCGCGGGCGCAACCGCGAAACGAGATGGCACAACGCTCAATGTCGCACACGACTTCAGCCGTTCACTCTTTAACACGAATGCGAAGGGTCTGGATATTGGGGTCTCATGTAGTGACTGTGGCACCGAAGGTTCAGTGCTTATTGACTTTGACATTGGAAAGATTCTCGGTGTACCTGCTGGTGCCTCAATCTCAGTTACTCCGCAGAACATTGCAGCCCAAGTTCTGTTATCTTTGGAGCTGAATGGTAATCTAGCCAGCGGATGGGCACCATCTGCCCTGAATGTGGTCAGTGTTCCAATAACTGGCATCAATATCGCCGGCGTCTTCAAGGTTGGGGTTTTCTTAACCGTAGTATGTTGTCAACCGTGTCTTCCACCCGGGTATTCATCACTAATATAACCAATTCAGGACCTCGGCTTCGAGATAGGGGAATGGGTCGGCACAGCGCAAGCTTCCATGGGCGCGCGTATGGCTATCCCGAACACCTCCGTGCTGAAGATCAATCTATTCGGAAAAGGCGATACTCAGGTCGCCGGCTGGGTGCCCACGTTCACTAAGATCCCACCGTCGCTCAGCGCCAAAGTCGAAGGCTCTGCAGAGGCCTACGCACAAGCTGGTATCGAGGTCACTGCTACTGGTTTGAAGCAAGGATTCACTGTTGGCGTTGATATGAAGATGCCATACATCCGAGCCGACTTTTCTGCTATGGCGGATACACGAGGCGTTTGTGGCACCGAGAAGACTATGGGGGTAGACCTGCAGGCTGACATTGGGGCTGAACTGTTAGCTTCCGCCGCCACCGGAGACAATGCACCCTTCTGGACATACACGTTGTTTGACAAAACGCTGGGTACCTTGATAGACAAGTGTTATCCATTTGGTCCCGAGAATGCGCAAGCATCTGGGGATGGCAATGGGGGTAATCATCAACCGCCAAAAAGCAAGTCTAGACCGTCCAAAAGCAAAACTTCGAAGCCGGTTAACAAGTCCCCGAAATCTACTCGATCTTCGGCTCCGGTAGCGACGGCAAAACCGATCACCAAGAAGCCAAAATCGAGCCCAAAAGGGTCAAAGACTCCACCCAAGACCAGCAAGACTATCTCGTCCACCAAGGCCCCAAAATCTTCTGATAAAGCGTCGGATAAGCCGTCCGACAAATCTTCTACAAGGGCGTCCAACAAAAGTGACAGCCCATCGAAAACCAGTTCCACTGCAGAGAAAACTTCCAGTGCATCTAGTCCTTCCGTTAGTGGAACTTCCAAATCTGATTCTTCCGACTTACAACCCAGCTCTGAGTCCAATTCAGACCGGAGATCTAGTCACTCTACTACTGGTGCAAGCTCAAGCACATCTAAGTCGAGTAGTGCGACTGGGGATCCCAGCTCAACCGTCTTCTCAACAGTAACTACATCAGGCTCGTGGAACTCTACGAGAACGAGAGAGAACGAGACTACAAAGACAGCCGTATCTTCATCTATATCATCCATATCTTCTAGTACACTCGCTTCCTCCAGCTTGTCTGTTGATCCCTCCGTTTGTAGCATGGGTACTGGCACGGGTACGAAAACAGCAAACGCGTGCAGGAAAACTGATTCATGCACGATTCAGGATCCTGATGTCGGCGGCGAAGATGGATTTGGGGACGAATTTAAGAAATTGAAACGCGACCCGGATGCGAGGCGACGAGCACTAGAGAAGCGCGGGAAGAAGAAAGGACAGCCGTGTGCATCGAGCTCTAATCCGGATGCAAAGAAGTGGGAGCTGAAGAGTGCTAACTTTGAATCTAGCGGAACTCTCGACAAATCCGTAAGTTTTCGCATGTTCCTGTTCGTAAGAGTCGATCTAACGGAGTTACAGAATTCAGGAATATGGTGGGGCTGGGAAGAACCTAACCAACAATGCGACTACAGCTGGTCCTCCGACTACAATAAGGACAATGACTATGACACGGAGCATGTCATGGAATGGCAAGTCATTACTGATTTCTTCGCCACAATGCAAAGCAAAGGTGAAATGTTCGACCACCCAGATCCTCGCAAAGCCAGCACCGACGGAACGAAGCAGGTAGATTTCTGCACGTATTGGTACGAATCGTGGAATCTAGGCAACGACCAAGCATTCACAATCACCATCAGTGGGTCAGATAAACTGACCCCATGGGATCATATTGCGGCCAGCTACCCTTCGGGATCCAACCAATGGAAAGCTGAATTAATTGCCCTGCAAAGGAATATAAACGCCCCACCAAAGTCATCCGTAGGTCTTCCCGTCCCGAGCTGACATTAGCTTCGCTTACAACTTATGCGTGCAGCTCTTCATGGACGATGCTCCACTGGTTTGGAAACAGAAAGACATGGTTCCCTGGATCGCCAGCCGCGATCGACGTGGAAAGGTTCTCGAGCGTATGCGACTCTTCCTGGGAGTGCGCAAGTACCTTTCCGAAGACGAGGTCCGTAAAATTTTCAAACGGCAAAAGGAAGGAATGGCTGCTATCTTGGATGAGCTCGACACGAGTATGAGCAGTCATGCTCGCGTCGAGTCCGGCACCACCTTCACTCCGTGGAGGAAGCAGAATTTCAAGGACCAGTGGAATAGTTTCATGGACGACAAATGGAAAAAGGCTGTGACCAAGCACGCGAATGTGATGAATCATTACGAGAGTGAGCTTCGGAAAGCGTGGTGTCCAAACATTCCCGCTGCTGAGGACAAGGATTTCTGTGATAAGCTCAAGGATCTTTGGGATCAGTACAAGCAACACTCGGGGACATTCAATCGGCCCTGGTGAGCAGTCTTTGTTTGATTCTTGTTATATGTTCAAGTTCACGGTGATCATTGAGACCTCGTCTTTTGTTTATGCTTTGCCGGGCGATTCATTCGTAGTCATGGTAAAATAAGTAACCATCAATCATACACATGTATGCATAGCAATTACTATTTCAAACTAAACTAAAGATCAATCACTATCTATTTTGTTACTGAATGGTTCTCACATGCAAAATATGTCGTATCGTCTAAACATGCTTATAATCTGGGGGATTTGGCGATTGTTATCTTTAGGCCAATGTTCAACGAGTGGAATACTCGCGTCCCCAATCCTGCCAAACAAACCGTGAAGCTCAGCATCTGGACGCCATGGTCCTGTTGCCCAAGCCATTTGCCGTATTCCAGGTGAAGCTGCTCGATACACCGGGGATGCTAGAAACCCCGGGGATTCATGGCCATCCTCTTCACCCGGACCTAAATACACTATGCCCCAGGCTGTACTGTCTAGCGAAGACCCAGACATTGACTCTAGCTTCAAGCGAGGATCAAAGTCCTCGTATCCATCAACATCTCCAGCATCCCATTGCAGCGGAAACCATACACAGGCTGCTTTCAGCTTGGGCATATGCGCAGCAGCCGTTGCGAGCGATAGAAGAAGTGGCCTTAATGTCGTCTCGTCCGGGGTGACCCGATATTTTTTGTTTGTAACGGTGTCCAGATCCAGTCCATAGTCACTGGTCTCGTAATCCCAACGCTCGTCGTCTGGCGTATCAACCAACGGAGGATAGGATGACGATGTAACATCGGTTAGTTCCGGGAGGATGTTCTCGCTGCCTCTTGGGTCTTGGAAATACCAACTTCCCGAGGGCGTAGCGATATGGAGTGCGACGTGAAGACGCTCCAAGCATGGCCAAGATGCGCCAGCATTAGTTGGCCAAAACAAGGTTTCGTCGGCTATAACTTGAATCTGCAACATTCTCAGCCGTTGGGAGAGTAAGCTGAGGCTTGAGGAAAATCTATCGGTGTGTGCAGCGCCGAGCAAATTTGGAAGAGGCATCGTTTGATCAATATTCTCAACTTCGGATAGAGGCCACATGAGATTCAAATCTGCGCTTCTCAAAGTCTGGGGCAGGCTGAGGTCCTCAAAAGCTTGTGCAAAGCCATCACGGCTGTCGCAGATCGGACCCACCCAATTCTTAGTGTAATGCCTGGTGGCTTCTGATGGGCAATTTGTTGTCCAGCCCCCACCTGCGTTGATCTTGCACCCTAGTAGTCGCAGCTTAGGCAGCTTCACAGCTAGGTCTAACAACATGCGAAGATCAATTTTGAGTAACGATTCGGGCTCTTCCAGTGGGTAAATCATCCTCTCGTCTTCCAGGTAGATCGTATGGATCGAGCAAAGAGAAGGGAGCTTTTCGGGGTTGAGTAAATGAAGTCGCCAGCTTGGACACTTGCGATGTGGACACGTCTCTTCCAGTGTAGCTCTCACGGGCGTGTATATTGTCAATCGAAAATTTCCAGGACCTCGCTTCGCTTCCATTCTGTTCAGCGTCTCGAACAACGACCTAATCTGTTGCGTGAACCGGACGTCTTTCTCGTTCAATTCTGCTTCTGACTCGCGGCAATGATTGCTTTCCGGCTCTCGTTCGGGATCATCTTCATACGCTGGAATGTGTGTACGGAATGCGACGTGACGCAGAAACCTCCAGCGCCAATCCGTACAACGAGCAACGAACATTTCAAGATCTTGTTCGCTCATAGTAATCTGCTCCCAAACCCTAGATGCCTTCTCTGAGGCATACTGGATTCTGTGGGACAGAGTGGCTGTGCTCTTAAGATCTTCGGGTGCTAGCAGTGCACATATGCGATCGATTAACTCTTGTGGCAGCTGATCCATTGTTTTCGCAGCGGTTGTGATGTGGCTTTCTGATGGTAGAGCTCGTTGACATGTAGGTTGCAGAGTTCAAGCGCATACATGCACATGTATGTGGGGTCGATTCAATTGTTCAAATGTTGGTAGCGCTGACAGGATCTCGTGACAAAGCTAACCGTATTCGTCCTTAGTCACGTGAATGATATTCGTCAAATTCAACTCAAATGTTCAGATGACATTCCCCGGGAATCCACGATTTCAATGCTTCATATTATACTTCGCAAATCATGCGCTGGGGTTTCAGGCCTTTCCTGCGATACTAAGCCCTTGCCTATACACCGCATCGGAAGAGTACAGATTGAGTCGGAGAACCCCGATCAGCTGCGCCACTCATCATGTTGCGGTCATTGATTCCACCGTGAGGTGGATGACAGTTTTTGCTGTCAAATGTATGGAAAGAAGGTGGGTTATAGTGTGTCATTCACCATGGTTGGCAGAGCCTCACTTGTCGCACTAGCCGACTCGCTCTTAAGGCGTTCGACCCTCCCACTGTTAGCGGTGCTAAAACGTCTACACTACTGCTAGTAGCTAGGCCCCCAGAAGCACACGGCGAATGAAAATTCAGTATACGTGTCTAGCCCTGGCGAACATATGCCAGCAGGTCCAGCCCTATCGGAAATCGACATCTTGTTCTCCACCCGGCAGTAAACTCCGAGTTAGGGTTGGGCGTTGCTGGAGCATACCGTGCAGGTTTCTGAAATTGAGCTCCTTCGACGTATTTAAAAGGAATGCATTCCCAAGTTCCAGTATATATCATCCACACATACTACATGTGAGACTCAATAATCCAGCTGAGACACCAACAGCTGTGTCTAGTGGCAATATCTGCTTGACTACATCATCTAATGCCCTGAACCGGCATTCCAATGTTTTTTTTTGGTCGTGGGGCTTACAAAATTGGCAGGTGAATTGCAGTTTGTTAAACAGGTAGCTTGCTCTCAATCGGTCATTCCCGTAAGTGGAAAACAAACGATTCTTGGAGTGTGTAGATTATCTCTTGGCTCATCATCAAAAGTCTTACGAGCCTACCTTTTAAAGCATACAGTCATATAAATTTGTCTCTTCGCTAACGAAGCTCGATCGATTACATCGTTAAAAGCTGACACTGATGTACTTGCTGACTGACTTTCCCACATTGAGAATACACGTGATTCATGGCGATTGCTCGCTCTTCGCTGACCGTGGCCAAGATACCGATACGCCGCTCTTCTATTTGATCAAGATGAAAGAATACACTGGTGTAGCACTACAGCATTGCCCCACTTTTCGCGATTCTTACCTGGATATAGAACAATATATACCAGATTCGGTTATCATTGTGGCCATTCTCGTGATTCCGGCCTCGATCTCTAGACTTACGTGCAGAATCGGACATTCTACGAAACGTAACGGTCCGCGACTTCTAAATCAGCTCTCAGATACCATAGCCTTGGCTGATGACTAACACGTCAGGGCTACTACCGATGAAATGGTGGTGTCAGCGTTTTGGTTTGCATATAAATATATCTCATTCCACCTTCAAATTAACACACACATCACAGAAGCAGCAACCAAAGATTTCCACGACATTTCAGAAGCAGCAGCGAGCCTACTTGAATACCCCGAGACATCATGTTCAACAATCTCATCGCCAGCGTTGCTGCACTGAGCTTGATCGGCCCTGTGACGGCAGGACGATTGATAGTGCAGAACAACTGCCGTTTCACTATTTTCACATAGTAAGAAAGTCACTCTTTCTTCAAGCAACATATCTAATTTTCCGAAAGCGGCAACAGCGGGGGATCCATCTCTGCAGGAGGTTCCGCGTCCTATTCGTTGAACCAGGGGAACACGCTTGGTTGGAGTAACCGCGCCAACTCACCATCCGATAACCCCAGAGTCGAATACACAATCTCTGGGGGTGCGTTGTTCTGGGACATCAGTCTGGTCGATTGCAGTGCCGGTGGGTCGAGCATAGGAAACTGCCCAGCCGTGACGAGTGGAATCAGGGTCACTCCCTCAGCCGGAGGATGCGCAAGTTTGAATTGTCCAGGGAACATGGCATTGAGATGCGATTATGTCCTCGTTCCGGGCATTGGAACTCCTAATCGTTGCTCCAACCCAAACACCGACTTGACTCTGAGGTTGTGCAACGATTTGTAGGGAGAAACATTGCAATGATATGGGTCGGTCTTCTCTCAGGGAGGTTTTGCATCAATTGTCAATGCGGCATGGAAATGCGATGATCAAACGATGTGCTTATCTCAAAGCAAGGGGTAGTTTGTCACTCGCGCCAGCAAACAATACAGATGACACGACCTCTACTCTCAAATGCAAATGTACAAATGAACCTTGATGAAAATCAATCGAAAATGCTGATGGACTGCATTGAAGCTATCTATCGCACGGGTGTCTGCCCGCCAAATTTGGTTAGGGCTCGTTTCAGGCCTGTCCAGTATGAGATCATCGTCTAGTTGTTGGTACAAATGCACGCTGTCAGTTGAGGCAGACAGAAAATAGTTTGATTTGGTGTACTACGTAAAACTTCAGATGGTTAGAGACCGAACTGTGTCTGGTACATGTATTTTTGTGATATCGTATCTCACGTGACATGTGTCCTTGCCTGAGATTTTAGGCAATACACCGTGTTTTTTGTACAGTTTGTGACAGATCTCATCAATCGCCATACTCATTATAAACATTGATTTCCGCTTGCTCACAGCCAGAGTATTCTATGAGTACTCGGGATGATGAAAATTCAGAATATGGAGAAATGTTTACCATCGCTTAGAACCCGCTTAGAACCTGAACGGCTATTTTTAACACCTCGACGTACCAGATGACAGCAACGGGAGACTGCCGCCTAATTGCTTGGCGCCGTGATAATAGCCAGATGCCGCTGCGCCGTTATCCCAATGTTTGTTCCATCCACCACGACATAATGAGATCCTTATTTTCCTCTAAATTTTCCAAGAAACAGAGTGCGCAGGATTCGTCTTCGTGGGAGCATAATGCGGTACTCCTCAATCGCGATGATGCCAGCGACTATAACGAGGAGAATATTTTACCCGTTAGCCCAGAGAAGCTGAGCGAGATCCGCAAATGGCTGCAGCCAACTGCGTACAGCGACGAGAGAAGCGAGTACAAAAAGCACTCGTCATCCCATCTCCACAACACAGGGAACTGGCTCTTGGAATCATCAAGTTACAAAGAATGGCATGAGTCTGAGCACCAGGGTATCCTCTGGATCAAGGGTATACCTGGCTCGGGTAAATCCGTCGTCGCCGCAAATATTATCGATATTCTGAGGAAAGAGAAAGTTCCAGTACTTTATTTCTTCTTCCGACAGATCATTGATGCCAATCACGTGCCCCAAGCTGCTTTGCGGGACTGGCTTGATCAGATATTGAGCTACAGCCCACCGCTACAAGCAAAACTTGCGCAATACCTCGAAGAGTTCAGGTCTCTGCAGAGCCTCGCTGCACCTGATTTCTGGGCTCTGCTCAAACTCGGCATGTTGTACCTCCCACGCGTTTATTGCGCGGTCGATGCGCTTGACGAAATTGACCACGGGCAAGATATGGTCAACTTCCTCGAGGGGTTGTCAAAATTGGGAGTGTGGCGACCTGCGCAGGTCAAGATCGTCATGACAAGTCGACCAGTACCGAGCGTCGAAATTCCCCTCAGGCATGCACAAACGCTCGTTCTTCGTCTCGAAGAAAGAATGGTGGACCGCGATATCGCTACTTTCGTTCAATACATGCTAAAATCATCGCAAATAGAGGATCAATGTCATGAATCCATCAAACAAGCCGTTCCAGGAAGGGCAAATGGGCTTTTCTTGTACGCCAGACTGGCGATGGATGCATTCCTGGAGCCCGGAGCAGACCCGCAGCGAGTGCTGAGTGAGCTTCCAACTGATCTCAATGTCATGTATGATGATTTGTTAAGAGAACACACCCGGAGAACGGGGGTCTCGCCTGATCTACAATTATTGATTTTACAATCGGTTACCCATGCTTCTAGACCACTGCGCTTACTAGAGCTGTCCGATATGATAAATGTCACGCAGAAACATGATGAGGCGAGAGATTTAAAGCAAGCAAAGGAGCTCGTCCGTACAGCATGTGGGCCTCTACTCGAGATTCTCCCTGATGGTAAGTTCGCTCTGTCTGAAATCCTCGTCCAGCTATTGTATCCAGAATTTACATTGACCTGCATTTCAACCCGCAGAAACCATCTCAGTCATTCATCATTCCCTCACCGAATTTCTGAAAGGCTCCACGCGAAACCTGACAGATCACAATTATCCAATCCTCGAACCAGGACTTACTCATCAAAGACTTGCACTTGCTTGTCTCTCTTATCTTCAATCGGGTTGTTTCAATGATATTCCATCCCCGGTCAAACCAGCAAGCGGTCAGAGGGGCCAAGATCCGAAATCTGATCATGGCAACGTGTTTCGCCGAAACAACGAGTATCACACGCTTCCTGCATTCACCAAATATGCGGCAGAGAACTGGTACGTCCACATACGAAAGTCCATGTTAGCTGGTTTCAATCAGAGCGAAATCAACGCTGCCCTCGACAAGTTCTTCGCCGGTCAAGATTTTCCTAAATGGTCCAAGACCGCACGAATTGGATGCCAGCAGGTAACACCTCTTTTTGTTTCGGTCACATTGGGCCTGTCAAACTATAGCGAAGTGCTGCTAGCTCGCACTGAAACCAATCCAAATCAAGGGGATATGTACGAGCCACCGTTGTACAACGCGGCCAAAAACGGGTATGACGACATCGCATACCAACTTGTCAGTAATGGCGCCGATCTGAATGAATGGGATCGCGATGGATATCGGGCGCTTCATATTGCAGCCATGAACAATCATTCCAAGGTCGTTGACGTTCTGCTTCGAGCCGGCGCTGATCCATTGTGTACCCCCCAACATGTTGGGAATTTCTATGATCATGGACTGGAGCCGAGCGGGACACCAGTCTCTAAGGCTTGTAAGTACGGTCATGTAGAGACGGTAACCGTGCTTCTACCTTATCTCAAAACAGAGAAGGCGGTTGATGAGGCGCTATTCAGTGCGGTCAGCGAGAGAAAGTCAGCTGTCGTTGCTTTACTTCTAACACATCCCAAGGCGAACCCGAACAATCAGCTTAGACCCCAAACTACTCTTCTTTCTGTGGCATGTAGGGGACGCGATTCAAAAACTATCAAGATCCTCCTCGAAGCTGGCGCTGATCCGAATACCAGAATCCCAGGGAATTCGTATTATCCTCGGGTAAGCGCAGAAGATCCGGGATATACAGCAATTCATGCTTTGGCTAAGAGTAGCCGTACCGGCACTGGTGGTATCTACGGCGGTGATCCATCAGCATCAGTATTGGAAGAAACTATAGAAGCCTTCGAGTTATTGATTCGAGCGGGCGCAGACGTACACCATGTTGATGGTGACGGAGACAATGCCTTGGACCATGCTTCTGATGGAGTAACTGCTCGAATACTTTTAGATGCCGGTGTTAGTCCATATCATGTGCATAAGCGGGAGGGAAACCTTCTTCACAGGCACTTCAATCTGGACGTATTGAGGCACCTCCTCGAGAGAGCAGAAATCAACACCTCTCAGAAGCTGACTTACTGGGAATCTACCCCTCTGTTGAAAAGTCTGAAGGACGGACATGTCGAAAAAGCTCTGTTACTACTGGAATTTGGCGCTGATGTTACGGGTTCTGACCGAGATGGAAATGGCGCTTTCCATCTAGCTGTGGGAATCAATTACAATGATCGTAACAAGGGATTGCAGAAGTCCCTCTTCACTCAGTTGCGGGAAGCTGGGGCTGATGTGAGCATGAGAAATAACTCAGGACATACACCTTTGCATACTCTGGATTTTCGAAATTTCAACGAGGAACTCCTCCATCTTTTGATGGAAGCTGGACTCGACACGGAAGCCAAGGACAACAATGGTGAAACCTTTCTTTTCAGCGCTCTCCGAGGAGTTTCTGATTATGAGTTCCAAAGACTCTGCGACAAGCTTGTCGCAGCAGGATGTACGTATACCTTTGTGAATAATTCTCCTTTGCTCCTTGACCACGATTCATGGTCTTTGTCAACAACTTATTTAACTAACTTTGTGTCCGAATGATCAGGCAACATCAACTCAGTGGATAACAAGGGGAGAAATCTTCTGCACGTTTTGAAACTCTCAGACGTAAAGACCTTACAATACTTAGTAGAGAAAGGTGTGAATCCAATGCAGACGGATAATGAGGGCAATACGTTGTGGCACGTCGCTTCCGACACGCAGTTTTTCAACAATGAAGCCAGTCTATTCCAAAAGCTCAAGGACCTCGGCATTGACCCACAACAGCCAAACCATACGGGGCGTACACCACTTCATATGTTCTCTAGCATGCGGCCAAAGGCGCTTGATAGTTATGCATTCAAGAACGTGTCCCCGATCAAAATTGAGAAAAGCACACCGTTCGACACATTCATGGGTTATATCACCCAGAAAGATCCTGTCGATATGAACGGTGTCTCGCCACTACACCTGGCATCCACGTTCTCTGAATACTTGACAAAAAGACTACTAAGTGTCGGTGCAGATCCTTTTAGGCGCACCGCAGAGGGGCTCACTGTCTTTCACCTTGCTTCTAGGTCCCGACAACCAAATATACTGGGGGTATTGTTCGAGTTCTGCAAGCACGCTAAGAGCGATAGAGAGCTCGAAGTTACTCTCAATGCAAGGGACGAGCTTGGGAGAACCGCTCTCTTTTACGCTTGTGCATCCGGATGTGTCCACTCTGTCAACATGCTTATCGAGGCTGGCGCCATAGTAGACTCTGATACTTATGATGGTTCAATCTGGCAGGGCTGTGTTGAATTTGAGGACGAGCATAAAAACTGGACATGCACTTACCGTGCGGATAGTCGAGAATATGATTGGTCAGCCCGTCGTGCCGGGGGTGTCACGATTGCCGACACAAATCGACCTGACGTACGAGAAGCGTATCACAACAGCACTGGATTCAAACACCGAATCGACGAGATTGTAGAGCTTTTCACGGGTTACGAAACGTCCACAAGGAATTTTGTTCACATAGCTCTGCAAGATGCGGTGAGCCGTGAGTCAGAATACGCTGTCGAGTGTCTCGCAAACTTGCAAGCCAGACTCTATCTTCCGATATCAGATGAGCTCCAGAACCAAGTCAATGCCTGTCTCCTAAGACGTGAGCAACGTGCTAGCAAGAATCCCAATGCCATGGCCGCACTCATGGATCGCAGCTTCGACCTTGCAGCGAAACGACTGACGGACAGTGATTTTCTCAACTTCGACAGTAGCAAGGTACCGTTTTTGCATCCGTTAGTACACCACGGCTTTGTTTCCATACTTCAGAAGGTTTTAAAACCAGAGACTGCACAAAAGTTGGACGACGCGACCTGGCGCTCAGAGCAGGAAAAATCATCTGGCCGATATAGATCACGAGGTATCCAACCTTTGTTGCTCACGGCATGTCAGAGCGATCTTCCGAATATGGATATGATACGATTTCTCGTCGAGCAGATGGGCGTCGACCTGAACCCCCAGACGATAGAAGACGAACAAACCGGGTCTCAACCGGAAGGGGATAAAAACCCTGAAACCGCCTTACACTATCTTGTTCGAGGTATGAATTGGTGGCAAACTAGACAAGCTCTCCCGTATTTGATTAGCAAGGGTGCCAAGTTGAACCTCAAGGATAAGGATGAAGTGACCCCACTTCGCGCTTCACTGGATAGACTGGGAAGTGTGCTTTTCGACAAATACCCGATCGAGATCTTGGTTCGTGCTGGGGCTGATGTGAACTCAGTCAAAGCGGAGCACTGGAGGAGAAGCAGTAGCTGCCTCTCTCGTGCGTCTAGTGATGCGGACATAACAAGATTTCTTCTAGATCATGGCGCTGTGATCACACATACTGATATTCGGAATGTCATTGCCAGTGGGTATTCGGATACATTGAAACTGTTCCTGGCACATGGTAGTGATCCCAACTCCCGAGACACACTAGGACCCCAATTTGAGGAAGACCTATCTTACTCGAAGGCCGACAAAAAGGCTCTGAGAGCCGAAGCAAAATATCCGCTGCACTTTCTCGCAACCATCAAAAATATGCCGGATACACACGAAGAGATGGTTAACATCTTGTTGGAACACGGCGCAGACGTCAATGCTCGCTACGAAGACACTACACTCATGCATTGTGCAATGAAGAATTCTCCTATCGCGCGACTTCTGCTCGTGCGCCCGGAACTCAATCTTGAGGCTACTGATTCCGAGGGTCGTACGTTGCTACTAGCTGCCAGCCAAGAGCAAGAAAAGACCCAGTATGTGCACACACTCCACGACACAAATGTTTCCCTCGTCCGTCTACTGCTCGATCGAGGCGCCAACATCCGAGCCCGAGATCACAAAGGCAGAAATGTGCTGCATTCTATGCTCTATGACCACGAAACCACGTTCAATGGTTCCTATTACCCGCGGCAGGTGCATCCACGAGACGTCGATCATCCGTACATTGCTGCACTGGCGCCATTTCTAGTTCACGAGCGGGATAACGAAGGCAATACGCCGCTCCACTGCGCTGCCAAGAAAAAGATCAAGCTTCTTACCAGTTTACTTGACGCAGGCGGTGATCCTCGGATCGAAAACAACAAAGGCGATACAGCGTTGCATTACCTCGTGCGTGGAGATTGGATGATTAACGTCGACGGTGAGGTTACTGGACTTAGAAGACTGCTTTTCGAGCGATTCTTAGCATTGGGCGCAAATATCCACGCGCGTAATCATCGCGGAGAAACCCCGATTTTCAACTTCTTCCTGATAGAAGGCTATCCTCAATCTGGCGTCGCGGCCGACGAGACGTTTCCGGAAGAGCAAAGGCGACCGCATAGGGATGGACCGCCATGCTCGGAGGAGTCACTTTACAACTACTTAGAGAATATGGGTGTGAAGTGGACAGATCTTGACATGGAGGATCAATCGCTACTCCACATTGTTGCCCAGGTGACGCCTTACAGGAATTTTGAGACGTCGGTGGGCCGATTCCAATTCTTGATGAGTAAAGGGCTGGATGTGGCAGCTGAAGATAAAAAAGGGAGAACACCTTTGGACATTGCGGCGGCGTTTGGAAATACCAAAGTTCTAGATTTGTTCAAGAAGGAAGCACTGGGTGGAGAATCGTAGCGCCTAGATAGTCAAATTTGAAAGGCAACCAGCGGACAGGCCTAGAGACCATCGATAGCTGTAATGGAAGCGCGTGACCTCTAATTCAAGGACAGCAATTTTTGCACGTCACTAAGAGCACTCCGGTATGTTGTTGACAAGCACTTTGTGGATTTTTCCATTGTTTCGAGAGCGCATGTGTGCTTTCCGATACATGGCTGTGTTGATCCTCAACCTTCCATTTCTGGTATCCCGTTATTGTTACCGTACGAGAGGTGTTGGTACTAATTTTGTTTTTGTGTGGCTTCGCTGTAACTGCCAAAACCAATTGCCATCGTGACAGCTTTCTACAATCAGCGCAAACAAGTCATCAAATAAAGCTTACATGAGTAACAGAAGCTTCTATTGAGTTTTACGTGCTGAGTGAGCACTGAAGTAAAAAACTTGGTTTTTCAAAAAAAGCCTGCATGTGGGTGTTTTATAGACGGCTTTTTCGTATCGCATCAGCACTATTTCCTTAGACAGAAGCGCCGGGAAGAGATGCAGTGATCCACATTTGCCGATGCATGCCGATCATTCCTCCCGAACACGAGCGAATCCTGCAGGTATGAGGTCAGCTTCTCCATCGAGTTCATGATAGCTATGATAGCCGGATGATGCTTTGAAAGCAGATGCGATAATGATCCCTAATCCGTACAATTTCGCCACAATCCGATATATTCATCCATTTGCGCGGGGATATAGGCCCCCAACATTCGCGCGAAAACCCCTGCAATCCCATCCGCGAACAAAGGACTACCAACATCCGAGGCAGGTCGATAAAAATGTAATCCTGCGGTGTTTTCTTCTTTGAGGCATATGCCAAACTAGAGAATCTCGATCTTGACGATGATTGGTCGAGGTGATTTAAGCTGCACTACTAATCGGAGGTGCTGACATGGCACACGGACATTTCACTACATGAGTTCGCGTCACGCCTAATCTTGATGGTACATGTGAAATCGGGATTAGTGATAAGATCCTTTTAAGCTTTTAGACGTCGGAAACATGTCGTTTTTCTGCTAACGACATGGTATACGGACAACTGCCGCGCTACCGCATCAATGCTCATGTCTCTATTTATGAAGGTACCCCCATATGCTCGGAGTACGCGAAATGATGCTTTCTATCACTCGTGCGTAGTGTAAAAGATTGATTACATATTACCATATATCTCCACTAGACCTCATCTCGCCAATCCTCGAGCATTCTTATAAGTACGGATGTCCCACACCATATATTCCTCCATCTCTCTCTATATCTCAAATTTCTACGCAGAAGCGCTGCAAAGCTTGTGACTGCTTTCTTTTGACCATGCCTTCCTACCTAATATCCACCGTGCTGCTCGCCCTCTCAACCTTAACCCTCGCGTCCCCACTGGCACCACGCGCAGCAGTGCGCACGGGGAAAGTCATTCTTCACCAAACTGCCAACCCCAACAGCGTCACCCTTGGACCCAAAGTTGGCTGCCTCGACGTTAACGGTCGTCTTATCCTCGAATCACCATCGTGTGCCAGCTTCACGACGCTGCAGTACGGAGGAATCAACTATGTCCGCACCAGCGCTGGAGAATGCGGTTTTCACTTCGCCAACGAGCCTAAGAACCCAGATGCCACAGGTAGTCCAGACTGGAGCGCCTTCAGGTGCAAAGCTGAGGGGTCGGGTCAGCATGACTATCCGGATCAATTTGGTTTGATGGTATGTCTGTCCTGCATTTGATTTTTTTTTTTTTTTTTTTTTTTTCGGCCAGAGACTGCCACTAACTGTTTGATAGGATAGCGATGGTGTCACTTACGTGGTCACGGTGGCCGGCTCAGGCGCCAACTGGGGTGTGTTTACCAAGAGTCTTCCCCGTGGGAGCGATGCCGTCGATGTGTTTACCAGGGCTTTCGATCTTGGGGAGGGAAGCATAGATATGCTTTGGGTGTTTGAAGATGCCTAGGTGTGGATTTTTGATGATCATGTGGTCCGAATGAGTTTTCATATTATTAATGATATCTTGTTTATCACATGGAATCTCATATCTCACACTGTATAAATACTGCTGGAGTTTGTTTCTTTATCACGTCGATGCAGGTTATTGGAGGCGACAGGGAACTGTATAACGCAAAGCTTCAAGATTAAGTTGCTTTTGCTGATAATCTCCCATTACTACATTGGTACAGCTATTTGATAGGAGCAGGTACTTATGCTCAGTGCATTAGATGGCATTATACACGTATGAAATACAACACTTCAAATATCGAAACACGACGGAACGCACGAATATCAAATGAGACACACTTAAATTATGACGAGATGAATTTGTTATTGATCAGATGAAAAAGTGCGAATTGGATAGAAGGGCTGAGTAAATCGGATCGATGGGTCACGTGACTTATCACATGATACGACGTGCTGGAAGACCCCAACCCCGGAGGTGATCTACAGTCGAAAGACATCTTAAGTAGTTTGCGATAATGCTCCAGCGGGCATATCACTTACATCATCTGCAATGAGAGGATTGCGCGGGAAAAGAAAGTTCTAGCTGTTTACAGCTGGTAACATGAATTGATATTGAATGTATCCAGGAACTCTCCTTCGCTCTAGCTAGAAATATGCTTGTATGGCTGAAATTGTATGAAAGGTCCCTCTGTCTTTGACACAAACATATCGCGCATCTGAAATTCGCGTTCGCGCTGGCGCCCGGGCTCAGCACCCTTCGCACCGGTACCCATTCGTTCTTGACCCGGTGCGAGACGCATGTTATACAACCATACAAGCCGCGCGATGACAACCGTGAGCTCCTTCATCGCGAGAGCCCTACCAACACAGCCTCTTTGACCAATGCTGAATGGGCAGAATCCTGATTCCGCCGTCGCTACATCCTCAGCCGAGGTAACAGCATTGCCAACGCCGCCGGTTGCCGAGCCATCCGAACTACCAAGGCTGTCTGATGCACCAACAATCCAGCGCTCTGGGCGGTAGGTGAAGCTATCAGGATAAATCGTTTCGTTGTGGTGTACCGCGTAGTGAGGGACACCCAGATCTGTGCCCGGTGGGAACCATTCGCCTGCAATGGTCACTCCGTTGGCAAGGGCTTCGCGTGGTAGAAGGCCAGGTACCCCTGGCGACATCCTCATGGCTTCCTCGATACAGGCTCGTAGCCAGCGGCATTCAGCTAGTCGACCACCCGCGCGAATCGACTCTAGCGAATCGAATCGCGGGCGAACTTCTGCTTGTAGACGAGCAAGTGCCTCTGGGTAATGCATGAGATAGAACAAAGTGGAGGCGATCGCCGTAGCCGTAGTGTCCGAGCCTAGCACAGCGATTAGTTTACTAGAACGGGATGATCGCAAACACAGAGAGGTGGATCAAAACAGCGCTACTTACCTCCAGTGATGAGCAGACTGGACTCGCCAACCAGATCTGCTGGTCGGAATAACATGGTGCCTGGTTTCGAGTTCTTGTTCGCGACGAGAAGATGCGAGTAAACATCCTTGTGCACAGCATCATCTTCACTAAGAGCGAGTCGTTTTGTGGATTGTTGATTCGCGAATGCTTCGTAACGATGCAGGTCCTTATTGAGCTCAGCGAAGAATAGATTGCCGATCTTGAGGCGCAGGATGCCAGGCATCCAGCCACACTGTTCGCAATTTAGTGAGTATGATTGACTAGCGAAAGACCCACGTAAAATGACCGAAGAAGTTTGAGAATCCCACTTACAACATTGAGTCCATTCACACCTTGCGGTAAGACCTTCAGAATATAGCGGTTGGCTGACGATTGAAGCATGTTGAAGGAGGAGGAGAAGCAGATGTCGCCCATGATGTCAAATGAGAGATAACCTGCCCAATCAGTCATATTCCTCGGTTCGCTCCATTGCTCTTCTCCATCTTTTGCGTCGTTGGATTGTGGACCCAATGAGTTACAAAAGATGCGAATATTTCGAAGAATCAATTCTTCCATACCACGGATAGACGACTCCGAAAGGGCGGAAGCGACTGTCCTCTTCTTCTTCGCGTGGATTTGGTTGTCAATGGTCGTCAACGAGCTGTCGCCCTTGAAGACATCACTGAACACATGGTAGTAGCTTGATTTGATGGTGTTGGCTTGGTTGCCGTAGATTTTCTTGAGTCCTTCGGCCGTGTTGACAGAAATGCGGTTGGGTCCGAAGCGCACAAATTGCCCTGTTGGAAAGATCAGAACATTGCGTAGAAAACCCATTATAACTTTCAGTTACACACCGTGCTTTTCGTGAAGACGCAGAAATTCAATGTGGCGATCTCCGCGAATGCTTCGTATCACGGAGTACCAATCCGTGATTCTCCCAAGCAGAGGTCCAGGGTATTTGGCCAGAGGATGGAGTGTTAATCGATATGTGATTACACACAGTATCTAGGCGTGTCAGAACAGTACGCAATGGTGAGACGAGTATCTACATACATAGGACACTGTGCCAATGATGGCATAAAGAGCCAATGACATGGGGTCGAGATATGCCATGATGGGATGGTGTCAGCGAGAGGCTCCCAAAGACTCAGTTGTGTCGTGAAGGAAGTCGCCCAGAGCAACGGGTCAGAAGATCAATGAGCCGAGTAGAGGTCTGCCAGAGAAGTAGTGAAGAGCAGTGAACATAGACTCTCAAGGGCATTAACAATCTTTTACATTTCCTTAGCGCGATTGAGGGCCGAGCTGCCAATGCTTCATGCAAGAACCAGGGTGGTACGCGGCCGGGTAATATATAAGGCAGGTGCTCGTTCAGAATGGAAAGCCAGAACATCATCTTTCTATCTTCTACATTCCAAGTATCACAGCATCATGAACAGCAATCCAATCCACACAGAGAGGCACATGCGCATCATTTGCGTGGGTGCCGGCGCATCTGGGCTGTGCTTCGCGTACAAGCTGCAACGCTCATTCGCCAACTTTACTCTTACAATGTACGACACTAGTCCCGATGTGGGGGGTGTTTGGTACCAGAACAAGTACCCAGGGTACGTAGCATTACTTTCCAACACGTTCGGTCTCCGAAAGAAAGTTTATTCCCCATAATTGTGGACCTGATGTTGGGAAATGCTTAACCTGTATTGATCACCGTTGCAGATGCGAGTGCGATTATGAGGCACACAACTACACGTACTCCTGGGAGCCTAAAGCGGATTGGCCCCAGGTATACGCATCTGCCGATCAGATTCAGGGCTATTTCGCTGATTTCGCTCGAAAATACGACCTCTACCCTTACTGCAAGTTCAATCACCGCGTGGTGGCCGCTGACTGGAAGGAGGAACAAGGCAGCTGGCAAGTATTGGTCCAAGATGAAACCGGTACCACGACGAGTACGGAATGTGATATCTTGGTCAACGCCACCGGGATCTTGAGTACACCCAAGTGGCCTGACATCCCGCAGCTTGAGAAGTTTGGTGGGGCAAAGATGCATAGCGGTGCATGGGATACGAGCCTTGACTTGACAGGGAAAAAAGTGTGTCTCATCGGTAACGGGTAAGCTTGCAAGCCCCATTTCCAGATTTGTGTCGAGTTAACGATCATCTAGGTCCTCGGGACAGCAGATCTTACGGGCTATACAGCCTATTGTTAGTGATCTCACGGTTATGATCAGGCAGCCAACCTGGGTATTCGGGCCCTTTGGGGAGCCACAAAGAGATTACACTGCCGAGGAGCTCCAAAACTTCAAAGACCACCCGGAAGTCTTGACAGCAAAGCGTAAGCGCTTCGAGAGTCGGGTCAATAGTTACTTTGGATTCTGCCAGAAGGATTCCCCTCAACAGTCTCAGATCCGAGACCATCTAACCAAAGCTATCCGCGAAAAGCTCGGCGAATTGGGATCTACAAAGGTCGACGAGAGCGCGGTAATCCCGAAGTATGGAGTGGGGTGTCGGCGACCAACGCCAGGGATTGGATACATTGAGGCTATCACTGCATCCAATGTCTCACTCGTGGTGGGCCGAGCACGCGAGGCCACGGAGAAAGGTATCGTCGATGACAAGGGTATATTGCATGAAGTCGACGTTTTGATATGCGCAACCGGATTTGATACTAGTCACCGACCACCCTTCACGCTGCGCGGTAGTGGGGGCAAGGATCTGGCAACTGCATGGCGCGAGAGGTCTACTGCATACCTGGCTCTTGCGGTACCCGACATGCCAAATTACCTTGTGTTTTATGGGCCAAACAACCCTTTCGGGAGCGGTCCTTTCCTAGCCACTGTTGGTAAGTGCTTCCGACTATGTGGCTGTGATAACTCTATGCTAATTCAAGAACAGAGGCCCAAGCGGACTACATGCTCAAAGTGTGTGATCGCTGGCAGACGGAAAATGTTCATGCATTCTCCCCCAAACCGGAAGTTGTGCAAGAGTTGCAGCAGCACCTCGACAGCCTGATCGCCAAAACGGTCTGGGCAGATTCGTGCAACTCGTGGTACAAACCCGAAGGACAGAATGTCCCTGCGAACCTGTGGCCTGGAAGTGGTCTGCATTACATGGAGACGATTTCTGCAGTCAGATGGGAGGACTATGATGTTCGTTACAAGGGAAACCGGTATGCCTGGTTAGGCAACGGATTTAGTCAGATTGAGACGGACCCAGAGTGTGATCTCGCCTTCTACATTGGTAACGAGGATGATAGCGAGATGATTGGAAAGCGTACACGGCGACGAAAGGCGGCAGGAGGAAACATGGTGGACCCCGACTCGCTGCACGTCTTCGGTCCAAAGGATTGAACAAGAGGCAGACTGCACCTGCCAGCTAGCGCGAATTGAACCTATTACAGATTGCTACGCCTTATGATTAATTTCCGTCCTGCAGTTAGTCAAAATGCATTGTGACCTGCTGCTATCTGCATATCCCCAGCAAGTGAGACACCCCCATAATCCCCGCCCGAGAAGTTTTGGGCGTGGATCATTCAATAGGCTTCCGATGAATCTACTGCCTCTCGTTCAGGGCTCCATAACTCTGGGTCTCATGTCGTCGAGATTGCTCATGTTGCAGTCGTTTGCCCGTGATTGTCCACGTTGCAGCCGTTTGCTCCATTCGGTCTCCGAGGACAACCGAGTAGGCAACACACTTCAACACACCCTAGGCTTCTGATAGATTGTCGTTTACAGCGTAATTGATGCGGCACAAACACTTGGGGAACCTAGGCTCTGGGACTCGATGATGAAGGCAGTGATCCTAGGCAGCCCAGGTTCTGGAGCATATATTGCAAGAACTCCTCGTACTAACACCGCTTGTGGCTCGACGCAATCATTGGTACTGAGGACTCAGTTGTTGACTTGACTCCAATGGCGATGTTCAAGGCTCCCGTTCCCTGGCTCTTCTATCATGCCTACACTCTCTTCCTTTTTACAGCGAGCGACATCGCCGCAGTTCTGTTGCCTCAGAGCTTCTTCGCCATCAGCTTTGCCCTGAGTCCAACATTGAACGGCGGCATACACATATCTCCGTACACCATTTTTTCGCGCTTACCGGCAGCGATGTTCTGGGTATGGCTACACCTTCTGGTACTCGATCTCTCCAACCAACGACGTCCGGACTCCGTCGCTGAGGACAAACTGAACAAACCCTGGCGACCAATTCCTAGCGGACGTTTGCAACCGCATCACGCAAGACAGCTGCTTATCTTCAGCATACCGTTTTTGTACGTCTTATCCTCGCAAGCTCTAGGGGGAGAGCCCGAAACAGTCGCGCTATTCGTGCTCAACTGGATCTACAATGACCTTGACGCTGCGGAGCATATGATCCTTCGGAATATCCTAAACGCACTGGGCATCACATTCATTGGTGCAGGAGCGACGGCCGTTTTGACAGGTGAATCCGTCGGCAGCGAAAATGTTCGTGGGCGCGAGTGGCTGTTCGCTTGCGCGGGAGTGTTGGCAACCACTATCCAAGCGCAAGATCTGTACGATCAGGAAGGAGACGGAAAACGTGGCCGTAAAACTATGCCGCTCGTGTTGGGCGATGTCACTGCTCGATTTGTGACGGCTGGGCCCGTTCTCATCTGGAGCGTTCTCGTTCCCGGTTATTGGCGCATTACTGGCCTGATGGGATGGCTTACAACACTGCTTCCCGGCTTGGTTCTCGCAGGAAGAATGCTCAAGTACCGGAATATCGAGTCTGACCGAAAAACATTCAAGTTGTGGGCGTGTTGGACTATCGGGCTGTACGCGGTGCCAATCATCAAGGCGACGGAGGGTTAGATCATGCATAGTGATTCAGCCTAATCTGCTTTCCTAAAACAAGTCTATGTTGAATAGGGAAAACGTGGATCAATTCTACCAGTAAAAAGACACGGTATTCCTCATCACTTATGCACGCCTCCTACTTCATGTCTCTCGGTTATGTCGGTGAAATACACATGTGCTGCGTTAGCTACCTCTGTATAACCCGTATCCAAGCACTGAGGCTCCGTGCGTCACATTCTGGCCCCTGAGGAACAGGGGTGCCACGGGGTTATGGTAAATAGATTGGCGCGGCATGCATGCAAGATTTCTAAGGATAGTGGGATTGGTCGGGACATGGTTGATCTCACCTTGGCCGCCTTGAATATCTTAGTGCGGTGCAGTCAGGTGGCTGAGGAATTGAGGAGTAGAAATAGTGGAGCAGGCCAATAATAGCAGAAAAACCAATATTAGTTGTATTTCGAAGTAAAGCTGCTGTGCCGCTTGGCCTCACATACCCCTCACGCAAAGTACACAAGCCCGTGTACCAAGCGAATCCTTTCGCCGTCACCGAGAGAAGCTATCTTATCTCTCATGCATGATGGTTTTTCTCGATGAAATGACGAGCAAGCTTCGCGGCCTCAACGGCCTCGCTCTCAAAGCCCAATATATTTCCGACGAATAGTATGTCATGCGGAGCACCAGAAATCTCGTGTGTGTCTACAACGCTGCCCATCTCCCGCAGCTCTCGCGCGATATGCAAGCCTTCGGGCTTCAGGACTTCCAGTGAACCTACACAGATCCAGATGGGGGAACACGAGCGGAATGGGTGGCCTAGCTGCACAACATACTCTCTCAGCGCATTCTGTGAGAGGTCCAAATCCTCGGTGAACTTCTCCGCGCCCCAGCTAGAGAAATTGCCCACGAGGTAATCGGTGTCGTAGTACTCGCTGCCATAAACAGTCGAAGGATTTTTGGCGGCTTCGAGGTCAATTGCCGGACTCCAAAGGAGCAAGGCTCGTGGGGGTGGCAACAGATCTTTGCCCGTGGTGGAGAGATAGCGAAGCAAGCCCAGCGCAATGTGCCCGCCCGCTGAGTCGCCAGAGATGATGATGTTGCCTGGCTCAAACCCTTGGGATAGTAGGAAGGCGTACGAAGAGAGAGCGTCTTGCAGAGCAGCAGGAAAACGGCCCGCACTGTTGCTGGCGAGGCGGTATTGAACGAACAGGGCGTACGGGGCTGAGTTCTGGGTCAGTGTTTTCCCCGCATAAGCAGCGTCCGCCGCACGTCCTTCGCCGATAGCGTAGCCGCCCCCATGTAGATGGAGGATCACCCTATCCTTGCAACCCTGTGGGGGAAGAGACGGATACCATGTTCCTCCCGTCGTAACCGGGCGAATCGTCTTGTCGTCCACAATACCACTAAGGCACTCGTCCCCCACAGGCGGCATCGTGACGAATCGTTCCCCCTCTTTTCCCGGCCCAAGCGCCAGAGGAGTCTTTGCTCGAACTATGGCTGAGTGGTAGAGAAATGCGCGCATCAGGTTGTTCATGAGCGCTTGACGAACTGTCCAGCCGGCATGGGGACGTTGGAAGAGATAGTAGAGACTGAGGACAGGTAGCTTGGCGAGAGTGACGAAAATCGCACCCAACACCCATAACCCCTTGCCAGGGTACGACATGAGGAGAGACATGATCGAGGGTTGTGGCTTGAACTTGCGATAAAGAGGGAGGTGGGAACGAGGCTCTTTGTTGGAGTGTTTGCAAGGTAAGTTATATGCAATTTGCGCCTTTAGAGCCGAGGTCTTGTGAATGCAACTGGGCTTTCAAGGCTATCGATATCCACGAGGCTGCTTCACGTGTCCTGCAGCCTCCGTCTCGTGTTATTGGTCCTTCTTTTCTGAAACGCGGTGTTGCAAGCACAGGCGAGAACCAACACGTTACGTTACATTACCAACCCCACGCATCCCGTAAACGCCTGCTGTCATCGAAATAAACCTGCGAAACCATAGATTCTGGATCGCTCGGACACCGAAGTTGCGCAATTGATTTCATGCGTAACCCTAAATACTGTTCGGACACCGACGTGCACTCATACAGGGCTATCGATCCTCTGCTGGCATGGCACTGGCACTGGCACTGGGGTTTGTCGGACAAGGCGGGGTGTGCAGTGAACAATAGGAGTAAGCGTTGACGGGTGCCTGACTGATTGTCTATGCAGCTATAACTTGTTGCAGTCCAGCTAGTCGGCGTAAGTGTCTAAGCCTTTGCTGCAGGCCTTTTTCTTCATCATGGGTGACACTTCAAGCATCGAATACCAGAAAGCACACATCGACGACAATGTTCAACCAAATCTGTACGCATCATGCTTCATCTGCCTGCCTGCAGCGTTCATAGCTGTTGGTCTTCGCCTCTACGCTCGACGCCTGACAAGGGGTGGCTATGGCAAAGATGATGTGGCGATACTGCTGGCGTTGCTGTTTACTTCAGCCTTCGTGGCCATGTGCATCTGGGAAACGGTTCTTGGTATGGGTAGACACCAGATTCTCTTGAAACCAGAGAATGCCGTCACCTCTGTCAAGGTTCGTACTACACTTACCACGCTCCCAGCAAGCCTAACGAGGAAACAGGTCACCCTCGCGGCAATGATGCTGTACAATCCCGCAATCTTCTTCACCAAACTATCTATCCTGTTCTTTTACTACACGCTGTTCCCCTCGGTCACCTTCAGACGAGTTCTCTGGGGCGTGGGCGTATTCATCCTCTGCTACTCGATCACTTCGAGCTTCGTCAACCTCCTGCAATGCGTTCCAATTGCTGCGAATTGGGACCCCGTACTCGCCGCCACGGCCAAATGCGTTGATTTCGGTGCAGAACTCATCGCTCTCAGCACCATCAACGCAGTGACCGACTTCGCGCTGCTGGTCCTTCCCATGCCAATTTTGTGGCGACTCCATCTCAGCCTCAAGAAAAGGCTTTCAGTCATGGCCATGCTTGCTTTGGGTGCAGCGTAAGTCCATCTATTGCTTTCTTGCATCTAGAAACCACCACTAACATGCGACCCGCTACAGCACTGTCATCGTCAGTATCATCCGTGCCAACTATGTCAGCACCGTGTCATTCACGAACGGAACCTGTAAGAACCTGCCACCCATTGTTCGAAAAGCTCCGCTCTAACAAGCAACAGGGAACAACTCTTTCGGAGCCATGTGGTCCGTCGTAGAGACATGTTTGGCGATTGTCAGTGCCTGCGTACCTACACTGCGACCGCTCTACGAAAAGATTTTCCACAAGGAAGGATCAACCACTGTCGGCTCGTCTGCCGCTAAGCTGCACTACCCCCGCTCTGGAATGACCGGTGAGAGCGGCAAGAGCGGATTCAAGATGCGCACGTTTGGATCAGATTCCGTGGGAAACAGTTATGGAGGGAAGGAGAGTTTGTCTGGCACCGGCAAAGATGGCGCCAGCATGCACTCGTTCACTAGGCTCAGGGATGATGTTTAGGGAAACGCGATGACGTTTACTGTGAAGAATATGTAATAACGCTGCTATTTTTTGTATCTTGTTTCGATAGCTATGTAACTTCAATCTATACACGATGAACCCCATTTGTCTTTTTTTCTTTTTTTTTCGTCAATCATACGTACCACACACCACATGCATATTCTTCGCTCGACCAGTATGATCATGTAAACTGCACCAATCTACGATGACCTCCAATTTTGGAACTTGCACACTTGGCGAGATGTGCCAATTCAATGCGCCCACTGTACCGTTAAGACGCCAAAAAAAGAAAAAGAAACCCCAACTTGGCGCATCGGGATTCATGACGAAATAGGCATGCTCAGCACTTTAGTTGCGGCACAGACATCGCAGGATTCACGCTTACCTAAAAGTCTCAGCTGTGCTAAATCCAGTCGGTAGATCGATGCATATGGCACAGTAAAAACTCGTCAAAGCTAGATGAAAATGGCTAATGGACTGTTGTACGCGGCACGATCAAAAGGGACGAGGCTAAATGGAACGACGGAAGGCTGGGCGACAAGGCCTACGGAAACTAAGTCGATGATCATCGTGAATGCTACCCGAATTCTTCTACGATTATTTAATAATGGTTTGCGGCGAGTTCATGGGGACATTGCTGTGCCTCTCGTACTTCTGTACTCTATGCAGTAGTGCCGCAATCTATTGCGCTGACATTGTCAAGACCGACAAGTGGACCTGCGGCGCAGGATTGCGTGCGGCCTGCTCCGGAGTTGCACACCACAGCGCAGCGTATGCGTGTTTGTGATGGAAAGTTTTAGCTGCATTATATTCCTCTGTAGTTAATCTCCGCATATTTGCGCGGGGAAGAGGAGAAACAGGGCTTCTTGAATTGTACATCTAACCAAATGAGTGAAGTCTCGATTCTGAAGAAGGCAAAGACTTTGCACGACACAAGAGTCTTGGAAAAAGCGCGCTCTAGTTCACTCTGGGGCGCTCCATGAAAAATAGATACTCCTTTGGCCGATGTACGAACTCTGGTGACTTTGCCTCAATGGTCCAATCGCCCGGCTCCTTCGCCGATGCAAATCCGTTCTTTTCGTACAACCATCGGGCCGCAGTAGTCGATTCGGTCGTCATCTGTCAGGCATACTTGTAAGCGCAAGTTCACAGAGCGGAAAGGGAAGTGCCTTACGACCGCGTTGATCTTGTCGGCAAGCTTAGTGAATTTTTTGACTTGCAGTGTTGCTGCGCCTTTGTGTTGGTACTTCTTCGCGGTCCCCATGATATTCAAGCCTTCTTGACTTAGTATCATCTCTCGCAATAATCATTGTCGAACTTACAGATGATTGGTAGGTCAACCTGTCGGAATCTGGCGTATCTTGGCAGGATGAAGGACTCGAACATCTCAATAGCATACTTCCTATCCTCTTCAGTCGCCCATGACCCTGGCGGTCCGTCAAGCAGCATCTCCGGGGGCTTTTCCTTGTCGTATACATTCCACTGGGACGCAGAAACGATTTCGCCGGTGCTGGAGTCGGTGACTTTGTACCACCTAACACTCGGATCAATGTCGATTAGATACTGCAGACGAGCTACGACCATATCGAGTCCTTCGATACCGTCTTGGGTGATCTTGTGGGGGTATACGGCGTTCACAAACGCGGATGACCCGGCGTACGCGGAGAAGAGCATTTCCACAACATCGCGGAGTTCATCTTTGGTCACGACGCTCAGTTCCAGAGACATAATTGCAGGATTCGGTCAATCGTACGGCGTTTACGCTATGAGACGTTGAGGGAGGAAGTTTTCTGTCAAAGAGAATACGAGGGAAGCCGTGAGGGCGGGATGGGGCGTTGGCTAAAAGAATGAATTACATACGCGCCTGAACGGCGTGGTGTCAAAGCTGAGAAGAAGACTGCAGCTATCGGATGGGTAAAATCACTTGCCTTGCAGTCTTGACATATATGTTCGCGCGATGCGACAGCAAGCAAAGCGGCGTAGTAATGTTGGTTTGTTGGCTGTGTAATCTTCAAATGGCACCTGAGTGGATAGACGTAATTAACCTTCACATATTCAGTTGTTGGTTGATTTCAAGTCAGAGCCATTCAGAAACCCAGACAGCAGCAATGATAGTTATACAGGAAAAGATAATTGAGTTGCAAGTCTCAACTTGATTGCAGATTATTCGGATTAAGTCAATGCACTACCGTGCCTTCCAGATCTCATGTGCTTGTGAAATTTAATTGTTGCCTTGTTCTTCGGTCTAGCCTGAATGCTGTCGGATTTGTGTTCTGTTCGATTTTACGGAATTACATAACCTCAAACCAACACGTTTTCTTATCTTGTTTCCCTGCTTAATGAGGCGATGCTCTTCATGATGGTAACTATTGCATTATGATACGGCACAGCTTCATGGGAAATTACGAAGTACATCGTTATTGTCTATCCCAATCAATCGCGTCCTAGTATTGGTGGGAAGTACGTATGCATATAAGTAGGACTTACGCCCCGCTATTACTAAGATCAAGTGTTAGACCGATTGTGATCTGCCAGCTGTAGATTGACAAACATGTCCAAGTGCCTGCTGTGGAACATCATCAACTAATAAGTTATATTAAGTGACACCATGTCGACCATATCCCATTTTAGCTACTGTTGTAAGCCAGATCGCACAAGATTTCACAAGAGACTGTTCTATCATGGATGAACAAATGGAAAGAGAAGTATAACTGAAGAGGAGAGAGTGATGTTCACGGACAGGATAGCACCAGGCCAAAGATCAATGTCTCGGATGGATTATGAAACCGTGGGAGAAGAGTGGAGTTCGGATTCGTGATCATCGCATTCTAACATATATATTTATTCTAGCTTGTAGTTTTGAAATCTCCACACAGCGGTTTTGATAACGATGAGGTACTCATAAAACAGGCGATAAACCACCATCGCATCCGGACACTGCTCGAACATGTTACGACAATCATACAGATATGGATATGTCTTCAAGCTTTAAGTAGAGCAAATGCCGGGAAGAACGACATTTTGCAAAGAAATACAAATTATATTACGTGAATGTCGCATTTAGCTTATGCGCATTATAAGTGTTTACGGTGAAGCCGCATGTAGCTTACGCATAAGCCGTCCGACTACAATGATGCGGAGCGAAGATTATGTACATGATGACTGAGATTCGTGCCGACACACATTATACCAACATGCGTGCGCCTTACTTTCGACAAAGTTTGCCTGTCTGCTTGAGCACATAACCCGCTTGGTCGGTCACCGTCCAGTCCTCGCTCGCTACACCCGTTGGTGCGTAGAATAATCCCCAAGGATCAACCTCGTGCTTAATAGTTCTCAAGCGCTGGTAGTTGTCATATCCATAGAATGCCTGCTGGAAATCGGGGTCCATCACATCGGCTTCGTTGCTATAGGTTCCACCGCCGGGTGTCAGGCTTCGAAGGGAAGCAGTCCATTCCTTGGTGATTCTCTCGTTGACAATATCGACCTCGAGATCAGGAAGAGTGGCGTCCCACATGGTACCGACAATCGCGAACATGGTTGTGTCTCGCCAAATAGGGACAGTGGCACTGGGTGGCGCATCCGCCACTGGCGCAGCTCTGATGTTGTATCCAATGAGCGATGAGCCATTGCGGACAGCGCGTTGGATGAAGGAAACAGTATCTTCCAATAGGGTGGGATTCTCCCAGTTCTCCCTGGGGATCAATCGAGACGCGGTGCGTAGATTTGGTACGCCCACCGTGTCATCAGGGAAGTGCGTGGTCCATGCATCGTAGAAATTCTCGGTTTCGAAGTAGCTGAGGTTGACATTGAATCCAATTCGCTCCCACTCTGCCCGGAGATCCGCTGTCATGTCTTTAAACTGGTCAAGCGTCATATCGGGGACCATCCACGGAGTCAATGCCCACGAGAGACCGCCATCTGGTGTTGGAAGGATAATGGAGTACGCGTAGCTCCCTTGCTCAACATACTTTGGAAAGCGACGCCACCAACCCGTGATGGCTTCCCAGAAGAGATCTTCGGAGACGTCTCCATTGGGTCCGATGGAGATGGAGAGAGTAAGTCCAGCAACCTTCATTTTCGGCAGCGTGCGAACCGTGACCGAGGTTACTACCCCGAATGTACCGCCACCTCCACCACGCAAGGCCCAGAAGAGGTTGGTGTTCGTTTTCTCATCAGCAGTGACGAATGTCCCATCGGGAGTCACGACGTCCAGGCTGAGCACGTGATCCACTGCGAGACCGTGTTTGGACGATAGCGGCCCCATACCTCCGCCTGCAATGTAGCCTCCAGCGACACCTACGGTCTGCGTGCTTCCTATTAGCATGCATTAACTCTGATTCGTACTCCATTTGAAACATACCGGGCATTCTCCGGACAGCACACTAACGCCGTGTTCGTGCGCAGCTGCCAGCAACTCCCACACTTGAACGCCAGCACCCAGTTTGAAAGCAGAGCCAGTCCAGGAAGATGACGGAGAGCTGTACTTTTCGATGAAGTCGATTGTTCTCAGGTTTCGGGTCCAGATAGAGAGCGCGTTAGCACCAGTGGATTTCCCAAGGTAGTCGTGTCCCGTATTGTGCACAAGCAGCCTCACCCCAGTGTTGCGGGCGAAATTGACCGCGAGTTGAACCTGCGCGACTGTACTGACGTTGACCGAGTAGGAGGCTGAACCGCCAATCTCGCAGGAGCCACCAGTAGCCGCGTTTTGAGGCATACAAGTCGCGCCTTGGTACAACGGGTTCATGACCGATGTCGGGTCTTCGGCATGTAGATGCGGGTCGGACCATCGATCGAGAATTTCGGTGCATCTTTCAGCATTGTAGTGTTCGCCTTGGTAGCATGCGGCGCCGATCGGGACAGTAGAGAGAAGCGCATTCCCAGTGAGGACGTTGAGCGTTTCCCAAGTGTCTGCGGTTGGCCAGTCTGTATCTCCAGGGGCAGGCTTGCACATTCCACTTGAGTAGACTTTTCCCGACGGCCCGAAATCAAATATTGACGAGTTACTGAGTTTTTTCGACTTGAGGTCGTCCAGCACGCTTTGCGTGAGTTGGTATTGCGCCGGCCCTACAGCACCTGCGATCGATGCCTGGGCAGGGGAGACATTGTCGCTGTTGGCGGCTGTCATTGTCAGCTAACTTTTTTAACATCCCGACTTTGTTTGAAACGCGGAGCGATTGCATAGCCTTATCAACAGTGCGTTATACCTCGGATCTGCCATGGGGAATCAAGTGATAACGAAAGCCAAACCTACCGACAACACTTCCGCCAACCTCAATCGTTTGAGCATTGGTGCTACCCAGAGTCACCAAGCACGTCAAAAGAAAGGATCTCTTTCCTCGAGGCATCTTCAAGCGAAGGTAATAAAAACGAGTGACTGATAACAAATAGCAAAACAAAAGAATGAAATCTCGAGAGAGTGAGTATCCAGACAAAGAAGTGGAAACCCTCAGCACGACTCGATTAGCAGGGCAGACAGGCTTATCTTTACCTTCTCTTCAGCCCGACATCAACCTGTCACTCAATAATCATGGTAGCTTGGCTTCACTAGGCTCTATCGCAACCAAGTAGTCTAGCTTGTTGCACTGAATCACCTCCCGTCCAAACATGCTACTTTGTACCGTTCCTGCATTAGCGCATGGCGAAATCAACGTATTACCACGTATTGCATGCGCATTCATCACTAATAGCGCGTCGCTACAGTATCTCTTATGTCGACATGAGTATTCCTTCGGCAGCTATAACCGTGCCTGGTTTAGGTCGAGAGCAAACTCGGTAATCCTCCGAGTCACATTGACCATCACACTTTGCCCTGTAGACGGCAGCAGATCAACCACGCGCCAGGTTTCACGATTGACAGACGATGCGAATCCCCTGTTGTTTTCGCGAACTCCTCCGAGGTGGTCAATTTTGTGTTCGTTCAATAGTTAGGGCGATAGCAATGGTTGCTTCTTGTCTTGTTCTTTTTCCAAAACACGTCGCCATCTCCAGCAGCAGCGTCTCCGCCTATAAACAAATTAGACTTCTTGAGGTATGTTTCCAGCGTTCAAATTCATGCATTGTAGGTGCTCGACTCGCGTAATATTGAAACACGGCTCGCCATGTGCGCTTCGCCTGTTTCGTCGACGACCCCGGTCGTGATAGTCAGATAAGTCCTCCGGCTTGCTACATTGCAACACCATCTCCACGTTGTGGTCCTGAATCGATGTCGCTTCCAACCCAGTCCACATCAGCCAACTACGCAACTAGGCTTGCGGATCCAACACCAAACGACCAGTCTTTAGCTCGGTCAAATTGCGCAAACGGGTGATGGACCCTTGATATATCGTTCCATAGTATAAGCGACCCTGGTTGATGAGGCCTGAAGGCTGCGAAACGCTACCAGGTTGAGACGGAAACACGAAGATCGCTTTCAATGACCCTCTTATAACCCACGCTCATGTTCCATGGGCGTGAGAACTCCTTTGCGCCACTAGTCACGCTGCTTCTTGACGTAGGGTGCCGAGCTCGCCGCTCCCTGAAGTGAAGGGCAGTATAAACACGAAATGTGCGCCAGTCGCCAATTGACTTAGAGGCATCATCGTTTACCATTCGTGTCACATCCAACACTCCTTCATGCCCTGATCTCCTTTTCATTTTCACCTTCTCGCACTGAGAAATAGCTCTCCAAATATGAGCAATTCGCATATTTCCAATGCTTTGGGATCGCCTACACCACCTCGGCAGGCCGCTGCTCTTTTCATAACACTATTTTTTCCTATCTTGGCTTTACTTACTTTTTTTGCGCGCATGTGGTCGCGATTGCGAATCACTCAATGCTGGGCATTAGGTATGTGAAAGAGGACATCATACACACATTCACTGACACGCTATAGATGATTGGCTCATGGTGCCGCCTGCCATTTGCTCCATTATCATGACTCCGTTCTTCTACCTATGTAAGCGGTCAATTTCAAGGTCGATTCGCCAATCCACACATATTCTAATTGCAGCCTAGATATGAAATTGGGTTACTTTGGATGGCGTCAGGAGGATGTGCCAGTTGACTACGACCCATCACCCGGCCTCTTCTACTTCTACATCGCGCAAATCTTCTACAACCCTATTCTTGCTTTTGTCAAATGCTCGGTTCTGGTGTTCATACTCCACATTGGGCGCCGGCGTAAAGGCGTTCCATTGATGGTATACAGTGTTATCGCCCTCACAGCACTCCAGGCCATTTCCGTCTTTTTCGGGGTCCTTCTTCAATGTCTACCGATCTCCGCTAATTGGGACTCTGCTTTACGACCAACAGCGAAATGCATCGATCCTTCCTTCCATGTGACGATTTCGAGCTTCACAGTCCTCACTGACTTGATGGTTCTTGCGCTTCCGTTTTACGTTTTCCTCGGCCTGCAAGTTGGTCGCGGGACTAAAATCGCAGTACTGTGCTGCTTCGCGTCGGGTGCTGTGTAAGGCTTCCCCTCCCGCCCTACAATACATCGCTTTTGGCTAACATACTCCAGTGTTACGGCAGTGAGCATTGCGCGTATTGATTCGCTGGTGCGATTGTTTTACTTCCCTTCAGGCGATCCCTTCTACGACATCAAAATAACTTACTCGATCGTCGAGCCGAACCTTGCTATCGCAACTGCATGCGCCCCCGCGCTTCGTCCGCTTCTGAAGCACTACCTGCCTCGCGTCTTTGGGTCACTCAAGTCCTCGGGAGCCTACGGAAATAGCTCGATGCATACCAGAAACAAGAGTTCTCATGCTAACTCCGCGTTCCCACTTGAGCCATATGCACGCAAGGAGTTTAAACGAGATGGTCACCAAGAATTGGCCTCAATAGCTTCATCGCAGGAAGATATCAATTCGAAGGTTTAAGATGATAGGATATGAATGATCTTCTTCTTGCACTGGGCAAAACACGTTTGTGATGACAGTGTAGCGAGTATCTGCCACACCGATATACCATCTCTTTATTACAATGCGATTCATTTTATGTTCATAGACGCACACTATCTAATGGTGAATAATGTTTTGCGAGCAGCGACAACTTGATTTGTTCATATTCCATTCAGCCTAATGCAATGGTGTAATATGCTGCACTGGAACAGCATGCCGACAACTCAACAGATGAAAAGCCCCTTTGATCAGTGACCATAAGCCACCACACAAGCAAGATGCTACATATCCCAACAGATCAGCCTAATTGCTTCCGTGCGTCCACTAATTCGAACCAAAGGGATCCGTGAACCCTCCACCCACGCCAGCAGCTTCCTTCAACATGCGCGAAAACTTCACCCGCTCTGCACTTTCCATAATCGTTGGACGTCGAGTCCACCCAAGCTCGGTCGGCATGCGCTCATTCCCTACAAATTCATAGACATTAGTCACCACATCCCTCAATTTTTGGAGGATTCTCCAAACTCACGGAACCAATACTCAATAAAATCTTTTCTGACAGTTCCCGTCGTCCCGTCAGCCATGATCTCGAAAAACGACGCACATTCACCCCAGCTAAATCCATCCGCCAACAGCGAGGTCTTGTGTTCCGGGTTCGTGCGCTCGGAAGTCGCTAATCGCGCCATGCGTGCATCGGCTAGTTGCTTGATCGTGATCTCAGGCGTCGTGAAGAACGAAGCTGTTTCGGCCCAGATGGTCTCGTTGAATGGGAGTGGGTCAGCGAAGAAGCGGTCGGAGCGACTATATGCAGTGAGCTAGGTCAATAAAATGATCATCGTGGAGAAGAAATGAAGAGAAACACCTGCCTGAGACTGAAGTCATGCTCCAACACGCCCTCGCGACCGAGTGTATCGAGGTCGAAAGTTCGGGCCAGCGGCTTGGGGTTGGTGCGCACGGCTTGCGTGAAGAGCAACACGGCGTCGCTTTTTGCGATGTTATAGCCCTCGAGCATAGCGTTACTCAGGATCTCGAGGGTTATCTCACGTCCGCTTGATGGGAGGTAACCATGGTTAGCGAGAGTGTTCAGGCCAGGGCAAGGGCCACGAGCTGTTGTTCATGTCAGAGATGTGTACGCGACGGTGATAAAGCTGTGAGTGAGATTTGAGTGAATTGACCTGGCTTACCATCGTTGGCACTTGGCGCTCTCCATGGTCTCGGCTCCCAGTTTTGGCGGGCTTGTATGGCCTCAACGCCTTTAGGACTCAGGTGAGGGAATGCAAATGCTGGAGTAAATAAGGTAAAGAGTTGGAGAGCAGTGAAAAAGTTCATGTTGGCAATATAGGCTATGGATGCGATGCGAAAATGCAACCTTAGGCTTCAATACAGAATCAAACTGTCATTCGATGGCACATTATATACCTCATTAGCTATTTCTCCTAGATTGAAGTACCTGCACCTATCGCGACTTCGCTTTGCTTTTTCCAAGAGTGAAACTTGATGGCCGAGGATCTCGGTTGTTCTGCGTTGACAGGTCTTTCATTGTGCCTCGGTCTGCTAAATATGGTACCAGAATCAGCTCAACAGTGTGTTGCACAGCATCATACGTATATATGACATACTGGTTGAATGGCAAATGGTGGTGTGAACAGAAACGGTGGGCCGCTTGGCGGTTTGGTGTATAAAAGCGACTAACTGAAACCTGCCTCGTGCAGGCCACTATGTTGTTTTAGGTGTGTGGAGAGAGCGGGACGATCGGTCACGGCAATCAACGTATATTAACTTGGCATGATTTGATCGCTATCGTCGATCAGGTTCCCCACAGCTATGCATCGGATCGGGGTTCAGCTTGTGGGATTTAAACATTCCCGTCTGTATCGTCGTATAACAATATAGTGTGGTGCAGAGTTGCCGAGGCATTTCTCGTATTCTTGGATCTTTACCTAGGCTCAGATTATTTCCTCTCGTTCTCGGTCATGGAGATAACGGTTGTCGCAGTGTGCGTCCTCTGCTATAGAGAATCGGTGGACCGAAATTTGAGACTCGATGCTGTAGCCAAACGCCAACTGGGAGGCTGGCGACCTATTATAAGCTTCACATCCAAATACAAAAGTCTATGAGTTTCTCCATGATAGCTTCATGACACGGTATATGTTGTGCTTCCAATTTACAGTAGTGCGGGAGTTTTTCCCTAGTCTATTCCCACCAAGCACATTTGACAACAGCCTGCTTTAGGTTCGGCGTATCCATGCATGAGCCCTTCGGAGTTGATCAGCCACGGAAGGTTTTCCTATATTTTATTTCAACACTCTGTAATTGGGTGATACTCAAGCTGTGTACTCACGGTATGGCCCGCCTCGAACATGACAACTCCATTCCAGTCGAACTTTCCATGAAATTCGTCTCTGACGCCTCATGCACGTATACATCTGTGCATGGTGGATTATTCAAAGTCTCTCTTACCTTTGTCTTTTCGAATACTTTCTGTGGTTTGACTAATGTTGGAATCCCATCTATAGTCGCCGTTATTCCGGGAAGCGCGGTTCGTGCACGCTCTTTCTGGAGATAGATGTGGAAGCTCGCATCCCTTGGTACTACTGAGTACTCGCCACATTTATTCTAACTGAACCAGTGGCCGTTTCCAAGATGCTTCGTAATATTGTCTGGTGCCATTCATTAGGTGACTAACTTGACTCCTTTTCGTGAGATAAACGATGGCCGTCTATAGACTCTAGAGACTTCCTTGCTTATCACAACGTTTATTGCACTTGATGCATAGTGCTCCCGCGACAGAGCGGATAAATTGAGAGACACAAAAACTGCCTGGGGCTGGAGGTGATGCAGTGCAATGAGCAATAGAAATGCTATGGGGATCGCGGACGACTATAGTTTGCTGGTCATTCTCACCACGGCTCTCAAACGCGGCTTTCAGTCTGGCAGTGAAGACCCGTCTTCAGCCCGAGCTTCCGACACTCCCACTTGCGAAGGCTAAATACTTCCAAAGCCGAGAAGATACTTCGACAAACGGTGGTGGGCCACTGAATTATTTGGTGGGGTACTTGGTTTGCTGTACGGTGCTGTAAGTGTCGCCAACATCTGTGATTCATGATTTGATACCTATAATTGTTTCTAAGAGCGATGAATAATAAACGAAGTGTGATTTTGAAGATACCGCGAATTCACAGTTTCCAATCGTCATTAATCAGACATAGCGTTAAAATTTTGATATATTGAATCTATCATAGTTTGTGAAGATGAATGCAGTAGATCATTCTTTCCCGTCTGGATTTTTTTCCCTGCATGTATGTACATAGGTATCTAGTCGTCTTTCCCGTCTGGATCAATTTCCTCGTATATTTCAAGTCTTTCTCTCACAAACCACGTGATTCTATTTTCATGTTGCTTATTCAATTACCAATCAATCAATCAATCGAAGCCTCTTGTAGTCACGTGAATGATGTCCTGTGCACGTGCGAGGATCCTCGGCACGGAGGCGGGGGAACGTTGCTCCAGGCCCTAAGCATGAGAAGCCACTAGGTTGACTGCCCCCCGAGTGACGAGTTTCAAGCGCGACCATCGATGCAAGTTGCATATGGGAATGAGATACGCTTTTAACTGTACTCTGGATCATTGTTCAATACTCCAACCATCTCTTCGCCCAATTTGAAGAGCTAAAATGCCTCAACCCAGACGAGTGATATCTTGCCAATCTTGCCGTCGATTGAAAACGCGCTGCGAAGTGTCGCCAGGAGCGAATGTATGCAGCCGCTATCGTTCATTGAGGTTGGTAACTGTCTGCGCTGTGATTCTGCTTAAACACATTTCCTTTCCTGACCTGATTACAGGCTGCAATGCAAACTCCCATTCGATTCAAACGATAGAATACAAACGTTACCAAATCTAGATCAATCATCGCACTTGGGCCGCCCAGAATTGACGTGCAGTTGTGATTGTAATGAAAGGTATAGACACCAGAACATGGTCACAATCGCACACTGAAGGACCAATGCGACAGGCTCACTGTACTTGAGGCTGCAAACCAAGAAATGCAACAAATGCTGAGAATACTCCTTGGTCGGTCGTCGGGTACCTCTGCTATGGTCTCAGAGGTGGGTGAAATTGGATCTAGCGTAGCACTTCACCCAATGCACTCAGCGGACAAACCGACCGATTTCGTCGATACGACAACGCCGGACGCAATCGCCCCAGTGCAGGTGATTCGCAAGATGAATACGTGGATCACGGGAGCTGTGCGTGATCGTGAAAACTGTTTACAGTTAGAAGACTCCACGAAAGAACTTCTTGCGGAGGACGATTTGAAGGGTCAACTGATCAGATCGTACGTTTGCGCTCTCTTGTGCTCCTATGTCTTTGATAATTTCCTGCCTCAATCTCTACTCGCATCAGTAACAGTATCTTTGTGGTATAGGTTCAAGAAGAACACACCGCGACTGGTATTTATTCACCGCGACCTTGATGACGAATCTTCCTCAGGCTACTCTTTCTTGACTGTGGCTTGTATGCTTGCGGGGATGCAAGGGAATCCGTCAAAGCGCAATCCCCATCTGCACACATCACTTTACTCATTACTGAAAGCAAACCTCTCCAAGAACATGCTTATGTCGCCCCCCGGAATTTCTTCAATATATGCCATGCTCGTCATCTGCACTCTCAATTTGAGCATGGGTTATTCTGAAGGTTACCTCGAAGCGTGGTCGATTAGTGGAACACTCATCCTATTCCTGATGCCCCACATGGACAGTTTATTCTCCACGTCAGGAGATTTGATGAACAAAGCATACGAGAAGAAAAGCGTTTTAGCATGGAACTATGCGTGTCTCCAGCATATCAAGTGCGTATGACCGCGCATTATAGAAAAGCCGAGCCTTCACGAGACCGCATGCTAAAACGGGACACTCCTAGGTTTTCGATCGGGACAGGTAGGGTCTCTAGTGCTCGATTAGATCTTGCGGGACAATTCATCGAATCTGTTGTACAGGATTCTAGCTATAGAAGACAGGACAAGGATGTTGCCGCCGAACTGGCGCTGTTCCTGTTTCTCTACAACGGGGTGATCGGCCAAACGATCTCGGCCAGGGAACTCCGTGCGGGTCTCCAGACTTGGAGGATAGCAAATGAGATCTGTAAGTCCATCATATCACCTTTGCATACTACCTAGTTCTTATCTGACGTCTCACTGTAGCTGAAAATCTCACTCTGAGATTCGCTTTTTCCACGGCCATGTTGATAGTGGACCGCTGGGAGCTCGTCCAATCACAGCAAAGGAACCCCAATCTACCCCACACAGATGTACAACTCGAGCGACATATAGAATCGAACATTCACCACAGCTACTCCATCATCAAAGATATGGGTGTTTTGATGGAATCATTCGGCGCGTTGCATATATATGATTTTCTCCTCGGAGCATACGCGGCGGTGACACTTGTCGAACTTGTTGACCACCTCGAAGATATCGAGAAGACGTACTCACTGATGGCAAAGGTGCAGAACATTCGTAGAATAACCTGCAGTATGGAGCCCGTGTTTAGTTGGGCAACGGATATGATGAGGAAGCGCATGTTGGATACGGCGCAGCAAGATCTGCACTCTGGCGCCGAAAGGTCACAGAGCTTTGGCGTTTGGTGGCCGCCGTTCGAGGCACTGAACTCCACGCTTCTCTCTACAGAAGAGAGTCTTCCAGTGAATAGGTGTTGATAACTAATGAATTCAATTTGGCTTCACATTTCGCGGAGGTTTGCGAGATTTGATCTAATTCTGCAGAGCGGTATACGAGAGCCGTAACCTCCTAATACTGTTTTACATCCGACATCATCCTGCTCTTGTTCGCAACCTCGAGGTCCGCTTCATTGGCGGCAGGCTCGACAGACTCAACAACCATCGACTCATCATAATCCCCAGAATGATCTCTCGGCTCCATCCACCCGCTAGCCTTCACCATCGCTCTCGATGGGAACACTACGTTGACTAGATAAAACCCACCAAAGGCTATAAACAATCCAGTAGGGTAAGCGAGATAATAAAACCTCTGGATTCCCAAAGGCGCCACAACGCCCATCTGGCTTAGGAAGCCATAGAAATTAGGCGCTACTGCTAGGATGTAGACTGCGAAAGCCCGGAGGTTGAACCCGTGGAAGAAGTGATATTGCGAGTCGCGGTGCTTTGAGTAGAGAGCAGGCAAGTCCAAGAAACCGCGACGGAGGAGGTAGTAGTCGCAGATGAGGATACCGGTGATAGCACTCAGGAAGATTTGGTAGGAGCCTAGGAAGTTTATAAAGACAGCGGCGGAGGATAAGAGGTACCACGGGCAAATGGCATATGAGATGACTGCGCAGATGAAGAAACCGCGCTTGACAGTAATGTATCGGGGGAGGAGAGCGGCGATGTCGTTACCGGCTCTGTAGCGTGGTTGATTAGCGCATGATCAAACAAACAACCTGATCATCTTTGGGAAACAAGGTTGCACTTACGGGATAGAATTTTCAAAAATCGCGGAGAAGACCGTGGAGTAGACGTAGGCGAGCGAGATCAACGCGCATCCTGCACGATTCGCGGGTGTGTACCGTTCTCCCTCCATGAGTTTGTCTAGAGTTGTAAGAGGGTTCCATACAAGCTGTGCAAACAAAAGATGTCAGTGTCAAAGACGACGATTGAGGCAGTGAGAGCCTTACCTCTCCAAAGATCGACTTGCTACATGCGGCAATCACATTCCCAAACACACCCACGAGCATGTTCGATAGCGGAAAACTAGCAACCTGTCCAAGAACAACATCGTTAGGCTTGCGCGCGTATCGCTGCAAGTCCGCCGCGTTGGAGATGAATGTACCGCAACTGGCCAAGCCGAGGAAGAAGAACTTGAGAACCATCCAAGACTTTTCTGTGCCTTGGATGATGGACGGTTCGTTGAGTGTCTTCGATGGGTTGCCGGATAACGTTAGAGCCCATGCCATGAATGCGATGGTGGCGGTGAAATAGATGACGACTTTGGCGTGAACGAGGTTCTTCATGCGGGGAACGGGTACGAAGAGGAATGCGCAATTGACCAGCCTATGATGTGGGTTAGTTATCAAGCTCCCCGCGTTCAGTCACGACTATGCCTGTAGCAAAACATACCAATAAATGAAGAAGCACATCATCTGGGCAGAGTTGAGAGCCGATTTAGGTCCCATGATATCCGGAATCCGAGTGATGGATGGAAAGATGGCGTGCAGAAGCACACTTAAAAGCCACAGGATTAGCGGAAAGTTCTTATGCGACGAAACATGTAATGTGTGACTGAGATTCGTGACTTACTACAGACATTGAGCTCCTTGTACAGCGTTGACACCATTCCAAACAATGGACATGACGGCACGGTTGAGCGTGGGCCACAAAGCCCCCCAGATACCAAAACTCGACCGACATGCGACAGGGAAGTTGATGCGGTACATTGCTCCAGCTCGCCCGTTAAGCGCCATCAAAAGACCTGCAGTAAGCTGTCCGCCTAGCTGGCAGGCTAGAGACTCCCACATACTGAGGCCGGCGGATAGGCCCGTCGAGGCATTGTACAGATTGCTCACGTTTGCGGTCGCAGCAAACCAAAATGCTGTGTAGGTAACTTGGGTCCATGTTCGATCCTTGACCGGCGTTGGTCTGATCGAATCATTATCGAGGAAGCTCGTCGGTCGGGCGGAACCGTCGGCGTTGTAGTTCTTGACCATCAACCGATCATCGATTTTGGAGAATATGGAGGCCATTTTCGAAGTGAATATTCAATGGTCCAACTGAGATGGAAATAACAGTGTCCTTGTCGAGCAAACCATACTTGTATATAGGGCGCAATGTGCGTTATCGCAACTGTCGCAGTCGTAGTCGTAGTCTATCACTAATCTTTGTGGAGCCATGAAGGTCAATCAGCCATGAACAGCTTGGTGTTATCAAGAGCTGACAAGCCTCGACAAATTCCTCCTAGTAACGGCCCGACAATATCCACTTCCCCAGCCTATCTCGAAAGCTTACATGGAGTACCAAGTTAGTATTGCAAGGGTGTTTCGGATTGCGCCGATCGGGTTAGGTAGCCGACGGTCTCCGGTAGATAGTGAGATTTGACATATAGCTCTTAGTCTATCACCGGCGGTCGCCGATAGCCAACGTGATTTTAATGGATGGGACTGTTGTTCTCATGTAAAAGCGACTTGAGGGGAATGACTTGTCAGGCGGAGAATATCGTTTCAAACTGTTTGATTTCGCCACTACAAATAAAACATCTGTGCCTTACAACTGGTGCAGAACAATCGCCGTCAATTCCTCAGTTTGTCGCGTCTGCTTGGCGATAGACTCTAGTGCTCAATACGAGATTTCTTCTGTCTAATACACACAAAGCTCAACGACAATGGCATCTTTCACTACCATCGAACTTCTCACTCCAACGGGACCAGTGAGTCGCCGAGTATGCGTTGCCCCACCACGCAAACCAACTGTAGACGAAATGCCCGTGATCGACCTCAGTAGCATCGACCAAGATGCGAACGCAAGGAAGGCACTTGCAGTCAAAATAAAGGCAGCAGCAGAGAACACTGGGTTTTTCTACGTATGCAATCATGGGATCTCCGAAGAATTGATCCAAAGCGCTCTCGAAGAGGTCAAGGGCTTCTTCAATCAATCGACAGAAGACAAGGACCGTGTTGGGTTTCACCGTGCGGGGAAGTCTTGCGGCTATCATGGCGTCGGGAGCACGCAAATCAACAACAAGGAGACCAGAGGTATGCTGTGATTGCGCGCGAGACATGCGCGAGACATCGCGCTCCCGAGCACGACGTTGGACACAGGCTATGAAGATTCCGCTAATTTCTCGTCGCCTGCAGATAAGAAAGAAACCTTCTCAATGCGCTACGACACCCGTATCGACCCGCTGCACACTGAAGATCCCCAAGACATCAACTCCTCATTCTCTTCTATAGACTACGTATGGAACGGCACATCACATCTCCCCAATTTCCGACCTGTCTTGACCCAGTTCTACCAAGAGCGCTTGAAACTGGCGCGCAAGCTCATCCAACTATTCGCCCTTGCGCTCGATCTGCCTGAAGACTACTTCGACTCCATCGTCACACAGCCAGGCGCAGACGCAGTGCATCTTCATTACCCCGGCACAGAAGAAATGCCCGGGGACGCGAAAAACGGAAAAGACGTAGATGTCGGCATCGGATCGCATACGGATATCCAATGCTTCACGCTGCTTTGGCAGGACATGTCGGGGGGTCTGCAGGTCCTTTCTGCTGCCGACGAATGGCTAGATGCGCAGCCCATCGAAGGCACGCTTGTCATCAATATCGGGGACTTCATGCAACGGCTGTCAAATAACAAGTTCAAGTCGACTGTGCATCGCGTGTATAATCGACAGACGACGTCGAGGTATGCCATGCCCTTTTTTCTTGGATTTAACCCGGATCATGTTTGTGAGGTTCTTCCGACGTGTGTGGACGCGGATCATCCTCCTTTGTACGAACCTATATCGTGTGGCGAGGTAAGCACTTCTTTCCATCATTCCAAGTCAGATCGGTGAATCGGCCATTTCTGGCCGATGGCACGTGAAAGGACAAACCTTCTGCATACGTATAAGAAATGTGTTTGAACGTATGCTCACATACAAACAGTGGCGGGATATGCGGTTGAAGTTAGCAGAGAGTGGCAAAGTCGCATAGCGGCACGGGGCGGGGTGGCAAGTGAATATTTGATATCATAATCTGAACGTGAAATCGCTACTACTAAAAACTTCGTGGAGCGTGAAAGCTTAAATTCGCGTGGTGAAAAGAAAGAAACAGAAAAGATGTAAAGAGTAGGGGGTGAGGGGCCCCAGGACGCGGCAAAGTATCACGTGACTAGCCAAATGTCACGATGCTGGGTCACCTGTGCTCGGCAAAGGGAGTGTCACACATAGATAATATACCAAACAACTAGGAAACATCTGAATCTGACAATGTCCCCCATCAGCCTTCTGTTCCATATGATCATTTGTTGATGTAAGAGCATCGCGGTCAATCATTTCGTGACTTCAAATGCTTTCTCATCACAATCATGTATACCATCACTTCTGGTGGTCCTTGTCCTAATGATTTCAAACTGATGATCAGGCAGCAAACTTGTCACATTATAATAGCCCCTTCATTGCTGAAAAAATTGTATGCCCTGATCGCAGCTATTATCGAGGTCTGAAACTGTTGACACAGACATTCTTACATTATGTCCACTCTAACCAACTTGAGGAAGGCATTAGAACACGCAGCTAGTAGTGCCCCTGCGTCTGCGAAGCAAGTTATACCTGTGTCTGTGTATCGCGATGCAATGCAAGCACTGGATAGTCAAGATAAAAAACATTTATACAATAGATTTGTCACTGAGCAACTCACCGAAATCATGGAAAAAATGTTAAGGTTGAGACCAAAATTACAAGTGTTTGAGATTGAACCAGGCGCAACCACGGTACTCGTCAATCTTCCGGACAATCTCCGAGAGAAGATCGAGATCTACACAGCCATTGAGTCAGACCCGGAGCTGCGGGCACAGCTCACGGAGAACTTTGAGGAGGGAAGACACAGATCTTTGCTACAGGGCTTGAAAGAGCCGATGGAGATCTTGGAAGATTGATCAGAGTTTGCCGTCTGGAATTCCTTCGATTTGATCATCATTTTCAACAGCCTAGATTCTCTAGCTCATCAGGACAAATCGTTCGAAATTGTTTTGAATCACCTTTCTGATCGAGATGACAGCATGGCCGTGATCTTTCATCCTGATGATCCGCCGTCTCTTCGCGATCTTGCTTGTCGTCGGCGAGCTTCGTTCATCGGGAATGAAGTCCGAGTCGCTGATGAGGTCGAGGCCCTCGAACGGTTTTCTTCTATCGTAGCAGGATTTTCTCTAGAAGGTGGAGAAACGGTACAGATACGGATGGAATGGCGTCGCATTTGCCGCGAAATGGGTCGTGTCCAAGAAGGGAAGGATTCAAAATCTTATCTGCATTTCCGCCGTTCAGATGTCATGGTGGCGTTCACCGCAAACTGCCGCAATTTGCTGCCATCCGCATCAATCGTCTCAGAACTAGAAGGGACATTCATCAAAAATGTCCAAGCGTCTTCTAAGTATCCAACACTTATCGCGACGCCACGTACCCAGGAGCAAATTCGTCAATGCGTTAATTGGGCATTGGAAAACAATTTTGGCTTGACGGTGATTGGTGGCGGCCACAGCGAACATTGTATACAACAGAACATTTTAGCCATTGACATGAAACGCTTCAATGGGATAAACATCATCAAAGGTCCTTATGGGGAAGAATCTACTGGCGACAAATTTGCTGTTATCAAGTCTGGTTGCAAAATCCTCGAAATCGTCGAGAGACTTGGGAAGCATGGCCTCACCGTGCCTTTGGGTACTCGCCCAAGCGTAGGTGCTGGCTCTTGGCTTCAAGGTGGTATTGGGCATCTTTCAAGGAAATTCGGTCTGTCCAGCGACCACATCGTTGGTGCGGTTCTAGTCGAGCTCAAATCCGGTAGATTATTACGTGTAGGACATGTATCGGACCGTCCAGTACCAAAAGACAAAGTCAGCCTCAGTGAAGAGGATGAAGAAGAGCTATTGTGGGCAATACAGGGCGCTGGAACCAACTTTGGAGTCGTGATCAGTGTTACAATGATGGTTGTAGAAGTACCATTGTTTAAGACTCTTGATTGGATCACTTCATCAGCGAGCCAAGAGGAGATAGCAACAAAGATAAGAGAATACGAGGATTTAACGCCGACCGCTAAGTTTGCTGCTTTCTCGGCAGATGCATACCTGTTTATGGAAGGGGATCAGCTCAAGCTCGGCGTAACTTTGATCTGTACCGACCAGTCAGTGCATGCCTCTTCGCAAGATGTGGTAAATACTATGCGCGATATCTTTGGAGACGAGAAATCCATCACTGACCAAACGGAGGAAAACCTGCTCAGATCCGCAACATTCATGTCTACCTTCCATGATGGGCACGACGGTGGTAAAAAATCAGCCTTCAAGCGGTCTGTATTTCTCAACTCGATTGGCAGTGAGCCCCTTATCACCCACTTGACTGAAGCTGTAGAGGCCGCTCCCAACGATCTTTGCTACATTGAATTAGTGCTTGGTGGAGGTCAGATATCTCGAGTGGCACCGTCCGCAACAGCTTTTGGATGCCGAAACTGGGAGTTCGCTTGTGTGGTCACTGGCATCTGGCCCCGCGACAATGAAACTTCTGCGATGTCCGAAAGGGCCGTGGATTGGGTTTATAACGTGATCAAAAAGCTCTTGCCATGGAGTTGTGAAGTCTACGCTACCGACCTTGGGCCGGACCCTAGGGACACAGCACTGGCTGCTCATGCTTTTGGGACCAATGGGCCCCGCCTTGCACGCCTCAAGCAAAAGTGGGATCCACTGAACGTCCTAGCCTATACCTGTCCACTTCCAGACCTGAAGATGAAACCGGAGATCATCTTTCTTGTCACAGGATCGAGCGGAGTAGGGAAAGATTACTGCGCCCAAGTTTGGGCTAATACCTTCAAGAAGAGAGGCTTTTTTGCCACGGTGAAAAGCATTAGTGCTGCGACAAAACAAGAGTATGCTGCAGCGCATGATTTGGACTCTTTCAGGCTTCGTAACGATCGCGAGTACAAGGAGCAGCATAGAGAGGGTTTGACGAAGTTCTACCATGACCAAGTAGATCGCAGACCATCATTGCCAGGGGAACATTTCGTTAAAGTGGTTCGTGAGGCTGGTGACGTGAATGTGGTCTTTGTTACGGGACTCAGGGATCCCGCACCTGTCACTAGCTTTGGACATTTGGTGTCACATAGTAGGGTCTTTGAAATTAACGTCAGAGCAGAAGAGAACACAACGCGGCTTCGCCGAGGTTTATCACGTGAGAAGCTTAAAAGTAAAGAGCGCACGCCACCAAGAGCACACCAACCATGTTTCCAGTTCACGAACAATGAGAGTGGAGAGATCTCCGTCGACTCCTTCGGAACCACGATTTTAATACCATTACTTAATGAAGAAATACGACGCTTGGAGAGTATGGTACGGACGGTTCCCGACTTCCCTAAACAACGCACAAACTTTCGTCACATTCTCGACATTTGTCAGCACCCGGGAGGGCTGTCTCTATGTACAAAACTGATGGCAAAGATCACAGGAGATTTGCGTCCAATAGTAGCGTGCGAGGCAGGCGGGTTCGTTTTTGCTTCGGCATTAGCCTTGCATACGAATCAGAGGTTGGTATTGATTCGCGAAGCCGGCAAGCTTCCACCGCCAACTTTCGAGGTTGTCAAACATCCATCTAATATCACTTCTTTGACATCAAAGAAGCAGAAACACGAGCAGAAGCAGAAGCAGAAGAAGATGGTGTTAGAATGGAACGCGATTCCCAGAAACCCCTCTGTCTTGATAGTCGACGATGTACTCGCTACGGGGAGAACGCTTTGTGCGATGCTACAACTGTTGGCAGCTGCCGGAGTTTCAGCGAAAGATGTGGCAATCATGGTGGTTGCTGAATTTCCTCTTCTCCGAGGTAGGGAGCTGCTACGGCAGCACGGCTTTGGACAATGCTACATACGAAGCCTCTTGAGCTTTGATGGTGAATAGAATGTGATTTCACATGGCATGTCTATGTACATTTTTCTATTCGACGTTGTTCTTTGTCTTCTCCATTGGTATTAAAGGGTTAAGCGGCTTGCAGCCAAGCTCCTCATCTCCATGATGGTGGACGGGATGGCTGTAATGGCCGCAAATAATTTAGTATTCGATTAAATTTCGTATCTAGATTTCCTCGCAACAACTCGTAGCTCATCATAATCATTAAAATATCCTATCATCTCCCCACCTCGATATAGTACATTTTTGTATCGCGGATCGGAACAAGAAATAGCTCGTTAAGCGTCATCAATGTCGTCATATCGTTTGAAGAAGAACCGGAAAAGCATTATGCTTAGTACCATGACGCCTGCCAAAGAAGCATAATACGCAACGAGATGAGGATCTTTCGCCAAAGGAGAAATTGCCATACCCAAAGCCCTTCCTAGGGCATTGGAAAGTTGAGAGAAGGCCTGCACAATCGACTTCATCCCCGCCGGCGCCTTCGAATATGCATACTCCATCATGGTGACTATCGCAAGAAACTCTGAAAACGCCATTATGAAATGCATTGGCGTTTGTAGCCAGACGCTGACGTTGTTGGGAACGCGACCATTGTCGGACTCTGGGCAGGCAAGTGGTCTGTCGTAGCATGGTCCGGTGTTGTATACCAGGTCTTGAACGCCAGATGCATAGCCCATTGCGATAGCCATTAGCAGAAAGGCGGTCATGACTCGTGCAATAGGTCTGAATGGGATATTTCTCTTCTTCAACCAACCGTATAGGCTTTGAACGAGTGGACCAAGGATGATGCAAGCGATAGGATTCAGAGTTTGGAATGCATCATTTGGGACACGGTCCAATCGCATCTGACCAGCTTGCGACACGAGGTTGTTTTGAATCTGACTATAACCCAACTCGAATAGACTGAAAGCCAAACTACTACGCGTCAGTATCGCAACAAATGTGACTTGGGCATACTTCAACTCACATAACCTGGCTCGCTACAAGTCCGCGTTGGATTTCAGCCACAAAGTTTTCATCCCATGGAACATTGACCCCATTGTATTCGCGCTGGTATGATGGAGATGCAGCTTGCATTCTAAAGCCGTTTTTCACTGCCACGGTGAGAACTTTTGCTGCATTGGGGAGTATGTTGCCCTGTGGGGCAACTCTAATGAAGCGCTTTCGGTAAAAGAGCAAAAGACCGGCGCATAAACCTAGGCTACACCATGCCAGAAGGTAAGCAGCCCAAAACCCATAGATCTTCTCAAGATAGGTAGATGGTATAGACGATAGTCCAGCGATATTCACCAGCCAATAATAAACATTGTAGACGTATTGTATGGTCATGTCTCTGTCGCCCACGAAGCGGTCGCCGTTTTTGCGAGTAAGTAACTTTGGCGCTGTCTCAGGATACTGGTCAACTGCGCACAGCAGATGTATTAGCATGTGGACACCCATCAACAAAAGCATTATAACTTACGCATGAAGGCAGCTATGTTAGCTTTGACACTGCCCACTCCGATCGCTATGCAGATCATGGAAACCGCTAAGCCGGGGATTCCGGCCCCATGTCGCAAAGAGTAGGGCAGGGAGGTGACGAACATGACAATAAGACCCAGCATGTAAAATCTAGCTTCGTCAGTATCTTTCAAAGCAAAACTCTAACTAGTCAGACTTACAATAGACCCGCACCGATAGTTCTATACCGCCCCAGCTTCGTATCTGCAATAATGGCTACGGGCATTGGGATCAAGTATGACAGAAACACAAAGGCGTTGAATATTGTGGTCGCGCGAGCCTGACCCAAGCCTAATGCGCCAGGCAAGGTCTCTCCCGGTGGATGCTGCATGTAATTTTCTTTTCGGATAAGTCAGTTGGGTCAATCGAAGCTTCGATGTACATAGTACACTTACGCCAAGGGCCTGTAACGGCGTAGAATGTGATTCGCTCCGCAGCCCCTGCGACCACAACGATCCATACCGCAAAGGGAATGCTGTCGATTCCTCGACTCAAATTTCCCAGCTCTTGTTCCGTCGCATCTCTGTCCTGGGTCTCAACCACCGGGGTATCGTGAGTTTGTGGTTCATCTTCGTTGTTTTGTGTCGTGTCGGAGGAATCTGGCAGCACGCCCAGAGTCTTTCCCTTCTCCAGGTCCGTTGGAATCATAGTGGAAAAGAGGGAAGGTTTCCTTCGCCTACGGGGCGTTGGGGGTTGCGAGCCACAGTGGGTGTAGCGTGAGCTGGGTGGCGCGAGCCGTGGAAAGAATAGCGGAGACGATTTGGGTTCTGTTTATAGACTTCGTCTGCTTTTATGCCTAGTAAAAGGCATGCGACCGTTTACAGAAGCCGCGCAATGATCGGCATACCGAAAAAAATGCCAACGGGAATCTCGGGATTTGGCATGAAGCATCGTATATTGGGGCGCAGGCAATCAGGGTGGGTGTTGAGTTCTCACCTCGGCCCCAGCCGCTCTCGTGCAGATTCCGCGGATTGGCGCAGGAAGCGGATTTGGGGCGTAAGCCATCGAAAACCGTAGGGCATGGTGTGCTCATCGTATAATGATGCGTTGGGCAACGGGGACCATATTGAGCGTTATCAGGCCCCAGTTCTCCGAACGGAAGTGGGTGGTCATGCTTTATGCACCTCGCCGTTGCCTTCAGTTGCCTTAAATCGGCACATGTCTCGTTCACAGCGAGCACGCGACTACAAAAGGTGACTGGCTGTACAACCAGCAAATGAGACTTCGCATCAAGGGTCTTGGAGTATCATGAGCAGGGATGGAGTTTGAACAAGCCATATCTCTACAACTGCCTGCCAAATCGCGTAAGTTTTCCTAGTACGTCAAAGCCCTTCCCGGAGCTTACCTTACTAGTGTTGGTTCATCTTTCATGGACATGGAATGATGGCATACAAGCGGAAGATTTTGTGACGCTGGATGTTGTACTGCGCCCCGAAGACAAACCTGAAGGTGATTGGCCCCCTCATCTTCAAAGCTGGGAAAGTACTCTGGAGAAAAATCCAGGACTGCGAAACTTTCTGTATGATTGTCTCATACAGCCGGAAAGTCACCCCATAGTTCTGCGATGCATCTCTTCTACTACGAGTGGTTATGTCACGCGAGCAGATTTTTTAGAGTATCACCTACCTTCCAGCAATTCAATCGAAAAGATTGCAGCATTCGTCGGACCTTGTGAGTATGTCAAAGCTCTACCTCCGCATGCAAATCTCGAACGATCGTTTCAGAACATTGCGCCTTTCATCATGGGCTGTGTGCTTCTGCCCGAAACGTTGCGCAGCAGTGCTGATTGGCATACTGCTTCACTGGATGCCTTGCTGGCGGCTGGTTTGTCACCCGGCTGGCTTAGCAAAGAACCACTGAAGAAGACATGCGTGGTCTGGGTCGGTGGCCGAGCACTTGAACCCGGTGATCATGTTTCTAAAGCCGCATCCGCGATGGGTGTCTCCCTTGTTCTTGTCGAATCACCGGACTATCCACAACGGAGCATCTCTACACCAAATGCACGCTTACCGGATAAGTTCATATCTATGGACATGACTACGGATGCAGGATTCACCGAGCGATTGCTCAAAGCAGTCACTACATTCTCTACCGAGATACCGGTGAATGGGCTTTGCACAATCGACGAAATTTACACAATTCAAGTCGCACAAGCATGCCAAGTTCTTGGATTACCATGCTCCCCCACGGAATGCTACATCAATGCGCTGGACAAATTTACAACAAGGTCTTTGGAGCTAGACACGCATGGGTCCTTTCGTGTTTACGGTGTAGAAGATCTTCACCGGTATCTAGGCAAACAACAAATTCCGTTTCCGTATCCTATGGTAGTGCGGCCATGCGTAGGATGGAGTAGCCAGTGCGTTGCCAAGGTATCAAATGAGGATGAATTGTTCCGCGCAGTTCAAAATGCATCCGATCGGCACGCGGTGCCCAACACGTTGGAATGGTTCGAACCTCGAACAGACGTCATCGTCGAACCGTACATCGAGGGGCCAGAGGTGGACGCCAACTTTATTCTGCTGGACGGCGAGCTGCTGTTCTGTGAGATTTCAGACGACTTCCCCAGTCCCGCAGATCTCCCGCCATCTGGCGCCCAGCAGCAAGATAACTTCCTCGAGACTATTCAGCTCATTCCAAGTAATCTACCAAATGACGAACAGTCGCTACTTCGAAGAAACATTCATGAGAGTATCCTTCGGCAAGGATTCACTACAGGCGTCTTTCATTGCGAGGCTCGTGTGCAATATTCATCGGCGCGATACACCACAGAGGGGGGCATATTCGATTTGCGTTGGGAAGGTGATGCACCACGCTCAACGTCTGTAAAGACTTTTCTCCATGAGATAAACCCCCGACCTCCCGCCTATCAGTCCACGATGGCTATTCTGGGAGCCTACGGAGTCGACTATTATGCTCTGCATCTAGCCGCATGTCTCAATGACAAAGTGCGCTTTCGTGCGTTCTCGCAACCGTTGAAGCACGCACCACAACATACAGTGGCAGTAAAATACCTTCATGAGTCGTTGCCTGGAACGATGGCAACGAATGACGCAGGTACCGACCTCTTAATGCGGGTACCTCGTTTGCAATCGAATGTGCCATTCTTCAAAACGTTGAAAAAGAAGGGAGATGGTCTCAGGAAGTCGGGATGGTTATCATTTTTAGCTTATTTTGTCATCGTGTCCAAGATCTCCCGGAAGGACTGCCTGGAACTGGTAAGGTTGGTGGAGGATGAGTTCCGATTCGCAGTGGAGTAACATTTTGGAGCACATCACACCGCTCGGTAGCATGAGAATTATTATAGACTCTGAAGATCGACTCAATGGAGTACTTGGGATCCAACAAGGAGATGTCATGATACATAATTTATCTGAGATTCTGTGATTGAAGACAAAGCGCATTTTCAATTAGTCTGTCGGAAGTGATACACGAATAGAAGCATGGAGGAAGTCGAAGGACTGATGCTGGAACAAGCTTGTATTCTCCTATACACTAAATTTGCTATCGATCCCGATTCATGCGGCGACTCCAACTTATGAAGGCGGCTCCACTAGTAACTGGCTTCGGCCAATGCGTGAATGTCAACAACGGGATCTGCGATGACACCATCAACGTTCGGGGCAACCGGAGCCGCGATATTGCATCCTGCGAATAGGGACACAACAATAGCAACAAGCTGGAACGACTTCATTTTGGTGAATGGTGAGGGATTACTGTGTAAATGTCAATGAGCCATAGTGTTTCTAATTTGCATTTGGAGATATCGGAATCTGACTCACTTTTTGAAAATAATGTAGTGCGCGAATTGGTAGTGGCCCAGTGGGTCGAGTTTGGCGATTGTAAGGCGAGCTGCAAATCTAGAAAACTCACTGAACTGGAGCTTCGTAATGATATATAGCTGTCGTGCAGAGACACAACAGTTGCGGCGCACATCCAACTCATCCGGAGGTTCTTAGTTCACGGCGATCAAGACGGCGCAGCGATGTTGCTGCACAACTGCCCGACCGGATTGATACTTCCGCCTGGATTTGGCCCCAACAATTCCGAACGCCGCCACCGGGCATTTAGTGATGCAGTTGATGCAGTCTTAAAATCAAGAAACTTAATTAGCATGGGTCTGCACGGTGAGTATTGTTGATCGAAGAAATGCAACAATTCACCCACGGTGACCGATAACTCAGCGTGCATAAACCGGAAAATTCAACGTGGATCGCAACATCAAGAGTTTTGTTTTAGTCTGTCAGATTCTGACAACTGGCACACTCAGGTCTATTTGCTCGATTTTCCGACCACCGGGACCTTGTTACAGGACCCATCACGTCTCGTGGCATTCGCGCAAGTGGATCAACTATCCTTCTGTGCCAGCCATGTCTAATCTTCTCGAAGAAGCGTCTCTTCTGAGAGGTGACGATGAGCAAAACGAAAAGGCCCTGCAACGACCGGCTAGAAACAGGTGGCTCCTCTGGCCTCAGCAGTTGTCTGCCTTAGTTTACGCCTGCTTATTGTCATCTTTGACATACAATTTGATACAATGGCAACAGCTTCGACAAGAGATAGCGCGACCAGATATGTGTCGATCAAACTACAGTATGACATTCCCGTTCCGTCCCCGACTTTGTAAGACCACGATCTGATGAAAGTTCAGCTGGGCTCGCATACGACACGCCCAAGAAATATGAGAGTAATTGGGGAAAGAATGATAGCGAAGCAGATGAATTCTGGGACAGTCTTGATGCCAGTCCAGTTGTTATCGCTCTGACCTACGAAGAAGCTGCCTCTAAATACGGATTAGGACCTTCTGCGCCGTTTCCATGGGACAACGAGAAAGGTCTCTACTATATCAAAGCATTCCATCATCTTCACTGTCTGGTCAGTCCGTGTTCAAAGTCAAGTAATCATGGGACAGTGACTGACTAAATGCAGAAAATTATCCGCAAAGCTGTCAAAAGTTTTGATCGCACGGGTGCCTGGGAAGGTTCCCGCGAACACCTGTATCATTGTCTCAACACAGTCCGCCAAGATCTGATGTGCAAATCCGACGATACCATCATGACCACGGGAAACAAGCCGCACGTCATTGGCGATGATCAGACAGTGTGGTGCCGCAACTGGGACTCACTGGTCGACTGGGCGCAGGACCCGCAACGACATGCATGCTATCGGATTCTGGACGACGACAAGCCGGTCCAACACTCGCTGGAACTTTACGCATATTGTCCCAAAGACTCGCCGCACTACGAAACAATGCAGGCATATTTCAATAAACACGGGCATAAAGATGCATTCGGCAAGCAGTATGGTGAGGCACAGCAAACCTGAACGAGCTGAAGTTCGGGCGATTCTGGGTATGATTGGCTATGGCTCAGGCAGAATAGATTGGACGGGGGCGGAAAGTCAACCAGATCGATTGCGAACCAATAAATGAGAAGGCGAATATTAATCTGCACACCCCACCAATACGTATGAATGCTATCAAAAGCGCGCCATTGTGCAGTTTATCACGCATGCCTTGATTGCAGATGTGACATCCCTGGCATGCATGCACTGTCTTCTTCGAAGCTTTCTTTCGTCTTCTTTCTGTCAGCTCTGCATGCATGAAATACGTGTAGACCACTCAATAATGGGGGAGCAGTGTGATCGACGGTTGTTATCAATAAGGTGTGACACAAAAAAAGCCTAGTGTAAGGGCTACCTAGGTACAAATGGAGGTTGTATATATCACGTGATGTGGGTATCTGGACATCCCATGGGCATCTATCGTGCCTGCATTCTACTCTCGTACAACATTGATACGAGGAGATTCGATCCTCCGATAGAAATGTGTCAGCATGCCCAATAATCCTCGAGAAGCACAATTTCAAAATGAGAGAGAACCGACGAATGCCGGCAACTTGACTGGTAGTGCAAGCGAGCTGAGAATCGATCAGAACGCGAAACGCCCGGTTTCCACTGATAGAGGAAGATGCTCCGATTTTAGGAACTCCTCCAGAAACTTCAATATGGCAATCTCGCTTCCTAGGTATATTTTTTAGCCAATGGCGCAAAGTATATAAATGGACAGAGGGCCAAATTACCTCGTGCGCTGATAACAGCTACAGAAATGGGTAACTTTTCCAGGGCGTTGGTAATGCGCGAGACGTATTCATATTGACCAACTGAACATTGTCAGTATCACGTTTCTGAATAATCGGCGAATGACAGTAGCTGACTTGGTACTATGACCTGAGGAAGTCCTGCCAATGGTGCCGTGTAATCGACATCCCATTTCCAATTGACGTGGGGAGTCAATCTAAGACGTCTTAGCGCAAAGACTGTGGTATTGTATGTGTTTGCCATGCTTACGGGGGATAGTTGTCGCGATACTGCGGTTCCTGCGGGCTAAATGGCCAGACCATGATATTACCGAGATTGTCCTGGTTCCTCCCAATCAGTGCGCTACTGACGAAATTAGTGAATTGCTTTTGCTGCTCGATCATTTCCTTTCGTGTTTCCGGCGTAATCTTATCTGTAAGCTTCCTGCTCTTATTAGTAGAGTAAAGGCGTCTTAAAGACTTTAGTGTCTTACAGCTTTTCCGTGTTTACTCGATCGAAATATGGCCAACTCCCACGTTCTTCGAAGTAACGATCACGATAGTCGAGGGTTGCGTCTCGGAATCCAGCCAAATGGATGTGTGCCGTTGTCTGTATATCATCAACATTAACACCGCAATCACGGTATGAACCGAGAACTGACGTTTTTGAAAGTTTCCGTCAATGGCTGATTGGATCCTGTATGACTAGCCCAAAGTTGTTCCAGGTCAACTATACGCCTAGGTATGTTTGTATATGCCTCCATTGCCCCTAGGAAGCGATCTACCGCTTCCACGACTTGGAAGTTGGTGTGCGGGAATGACGACCATGGATATATTATCCCTGCCGGCTTCTGTCGGTGGAGTTTAAGTCCTGTGAAATTACCACTACTCATTGTCTTACCCGTGAGATATTCTCTTTCTGCTTCATTGAGTGATTTTTTAGTAGCCATTTACGGCCAATGAGGCTCAGCTCTGGCATGCTCCCAGTGAAGTACCCTGCCGAGTCAAAGTACCTAGCGGTTTCAGTTTTAGGCAATTAGAAAAGTCATCAAATAGCGTAAATGCTCACTTGCTTATAGTAAAAGCACCATCATGTGGGATCAATCCAGTTGAGAATCGCAAAGAGTACAATCCCTGTGCAGCTGCTGGGCATGATATACTGCCGCAAGCTTGCAACAATTCAGTAATCAGATGAAAAGCAAGGGCCATAAATCTCACTGTCTGAACCGAGTGAAAAGTCGAGCCATTTGTAAGATGACATCGCGGTCGCACTTCCACTACTACTGGTATCTGGATTTTGATAGCCGTCACCTATAGTTCTTAGCGAGAGCCTTTGCAGATAGAGAAGACTCACTCCTTGGATTCCATGGGCATTCATAATCAATCCACTCCTGAGGGTCCTTGCCGTTGGCAAATTGTGTGTTCTTTGTTTGGCCGACAAGCACTGCTCCCAGTGTAATCAGGTCATCTATTGCTGTCGCTGATTGTGTTTTCGGAGGATAGAAATCGAGACATGACCTTGATCCCGCACTCATTCGCAAGCCAGCGACGTCGAATATATCCTTAGCTCCAAATCGAAAGCCAGGGAGAGGTTTCTCATTACGAGGATCGTTCAGACTATATATGCGCGAAGGAACAAAGACATGAGTATAAGGTCTATGCTCGACGAATGAATGGTCATGTTCCGAATGAACGATAGCGGAGAAGAAGGCTCCCTGCGTGTCTTGGAAAGATCGATACACCTTTTAAAAAGCGCCCGATGACCAGACATATGGACCAGAAGAAAGCTTTCTCAATGCTGCTGATGATTCGATCACGGTCACAATTTGGGTATCGAAGATCTTTAGGTCGGTGTATCTTGAAGACCTGCTGGTAATGGTTTCAGTGCGTTGAACTTTATCAATGCTAGTGCTGCTAAAGACCCAGCAGATGACGTGTCTCAAGAATGAGGCGGAAAGGACATCATCCATCTCCAGCCACGATAAAATGGTTTCTGAAATCTTAGCGCCATCTATCTCCTCTGCGTTTCTGAACGTGATTAGCAAACAACATGCCCAGTCCGCATCTAGATCAGGATTTGACACGGTTTCTTTCTAAAGAGATTAGTTTGATTAACTAGCAACGCAAATGCATGATCATAGACGTCGGACAACTTACAGCAGCCTCCGGGACTGACGATGTGGGCTGCTCTGAGCGATGATGAGTTATACCACCCAATTTAAACATCGTGTGGAGACTTCAGTGGGTTCCTGTGCGACTGTTCTATCTGTCGTATGTCTTTTTCTCCTCATCGGAATTTGAGCAACGACAGGGTGGGGTGGGAGGATGTAAAGTTATATAGCGTGGTGACAGGTGTTAGGCGGTCTGAGCTTTTAGCGGACGTAGTGCGAATGTGCTTGATGTTCCACAAGTCTAGTCTTTGAACGTCAAGTAATCGGCGGTCATGCTTCAGGTGGGGGGAGTTTGGCCGGACAAGAAAATAATAAAGATTCCTAATAATCATCAACTGAACTTTGTGTACACCAGCTCATAAGCGGGTGGCGTCAGGCGACGAGCATGTAACAGATGGAAAGCTGTAGTAACACGACATCGATCGCTAATAGTAGCGTGTGAAGGACTGTTCGTGCATTGCATCCTTGAGAAGACGGTTCGACCTGTATTGCGCAGCGCTTTTATAATTGTACTGCTGGCAAGACTCATAGGGGAACGTGGGCAGGCTGAATCAATAAATCCAAAAAAAAAAAAAAAAAAAAAAAACTCAATTAGTCTTCAGTAATATTCCGATAGCTGTTGATAAGTGACATCTCGAGAATGGGAGAGTTTCCCACGTGCTCAATGATTTTGACTTAGAGATGCAAGCAACAGAACTTAAGTCGATCCGAAATGCACTGGCAGACTTTCATAGTAAGCTGCCGTACCGTCGACAAATGACTGCAGATCGCTGATTTGGCATAAGAGAGTATTTGAGTATTATCAATTGTAGCCATGCTAGCCGCGAAAATGGTGCGCAATCAGGTATGAGTCTGCTGCAACCCCCACGTTCTCTACTTTGGAGTACAGTACATTTCATTCCCGGACATCCAAGGCCCCACTATTCCACTTTCGAAACGGATTCCCTCGTCGGTTTACAATGATTTATATTGCTTTGCTATTCTTGTGACTAGACTAGGCAAAGCGCATCACTTATTATCAAATGGGTTTGGGTTTGGGTCTGGGTCCATGAATGATATTTCTATTACAAATAGCAAGAACTCATTATATACCTCACTGAACCATATCATATGGTATGCATAGCCATCCACGGTACAGAAACTACTCCTGCTTGCCTTATAATCTGTTCCCGGTCCACACTTGTGGCTTGTGCGACCGCACGTCACTCTTCTGATCCTGACGAGCTTCTTCATATGTAACCTGCACGCTTCTCTCGAACAAGATCGCCTCTTCGCTATCACTGTCTCTATGAGCCCTCTGTGCTTTCACCACCGTGGTCTTGGTACTCTTATCCATGTCGTCAAAGGATGACAGCGGGATTCCATTGCTATCGTTGTTTGTGTTCATGAATGTATCCAGGGTGCGTTTGGCACCACTACTCCCAAATGTACGTTGTGCTTTGTTGTTTGAGAAACCACGCGAGTTTGACTTGCTGTTGCCGGTTGACGATGATTCTCCGATGAGATGCGGCGCGAAATGCTTAAAGAACCGACGCAAGGTAGATAGACAGCAGCACATGATAAGAAGGTTCGCTTCGATGAAACTGCCAATCTGGTTAGAGCCTTAAGATGGTATATGGGAAAATTGGTATCTTACATCCATAGGCACCCTTGTCCAATGACCCAGGTCTGATCAGGCGTGGTGAGGGCTGGCAACAATATAATCAACCGCACGACGGAGGTGGCGATGGTGCTATCTTTGGTCAGCGCTGATCTCAGGAGGAGCTCAAAATGTACGTACATTGATCCTACGCCGAAAATACCCACCAGCCCAATCTTCTGCTTATTGGGCATTTGCAGCTTCAATACTGTGGGGATGGGAAGTACAAGCAGCATAACATCGGTAACGATCCCAATGACAGCTTGTGCGATATAGATCCCGCCACGATTGAGGCATATGGCGGTAGGCAGAAGCAAAGGATCCCAGCTAGCGGCAATCGGCTTGCAGGCGAACAAAAGGCTGGAGAAAATCGAAGTATAGGCCCCAAAGGTTACAAACAATGTGAACCACACGAAAGCCTGGAATATACGGTTTGGATTCAGCCTTCGATAGAACATTGCGAGGGAGCATTTGGCTGATGCGGTGCCGAAAGCATAGAGAAGTGGTGCGGCAAGGATAACCTGCGAAATGGATCAGCCCTAAATTTTACTAGGTTCTTTCTTTACGTAGTCCATTTACCTTCGAATAGTATGTGTACTGGTCGATACTGATTTCCCATGCATGCCGCCCAATTGCACCATCGGTCATGCCCAAGAGCAAGCATATCTGAGCACCCATACAAAGTACCCACGCAACAACGACAATCGCTAGATAAAAATCATTAGTGCTTACCACAAAAAAGGTCTTTTGAAAGTTGTCATACCATCCTCGGGTTGAAATTGTTTCATGATGGCCACCTTCGTGTACAGTCGTTGGACCAAGAAAAGAAAAGCTAAAGTCATTTCCACTGCCACCACCGTGTACGACTCCACCACATATTGTGTCTGTGGATTCTCGAAGTTTACAACATATCCTTCTGGGGCTGGTATGATCGATTTGATTGCGTCGGTGGAAGACATGGTCTACCTATGCCGTCGACAAGCAGTTTGAGACGGCGCGTGGTAGCTGAGAATGGATGAAGATAGTAAATTGACGATGTAGTATCGCAGAAAAAAGTTGATATGAATTCAGAAAATGAGTGATCAGCAGTAGTATTGCAATTCACACACTTGTTATATGCATAAGTAAGAGTCTAGCAGGACCGGCGGCCATGCTGTAACGCCTTCCCGTCCCTGCTTCATGCCCTCCTAAGTTCCTGCTTCTGCACTAAACCGTATCACATTCCTTTCTGGTTTGAAATTCTGGTCTTTTGAAAATCGCGGAAGGTGCTGTTACTGAAGTGGATCTAAGTGGGGAGCGTTGTCTCGTTGCGAACCCACTATGGGTTAAGTAATAGGGATCCGGGTTCATGGGGCTTTGGCCTTTCCGTTGTCCCGAACCCGTCAGCCGCGTCCGTTAATTCTGAATCATGTATAGCAATATCTGCGCTAGTTCGCTGATATTCGAACACAGGGCTCTGTACTATGTAGCTCCAATCGGTACGTTGTCGGTCCGTTGTAACAAATGTGACATCCTTTCATTTAGTACGCGTGCAGGTAAGCTAGCGAGAAATAATAGTTGTCAGTAAGAAATAACCCTGATATTCAGGTATTGGGTGACGGAGTTTTCAGCCCCAAAAACGCCTTAGTTACATAATGAGTATCTTATACCTCGTTGTTTCGGTATACTTGCTTGATTCTGTGTCCAGCTGATTCATCGGCATGATGGACACCAAATAAACACTGGACATCATAACAAGATAACCTGCTCTAGATAATGGCCAATACAGATATATTATGTTCTTTTGATCTATATCATTGTTTATCTACCATAATTACCCTCTCTGTCATTGCTCCCTATGTCGGCAATCATTGATATCAAGTTGGGTCCTGGTGACCGCTTCAACAAGAGCGATAAAAACGGTGCGCACAGTTCAACCAGGAATAATTCGGCAATTCAGGAAAGATTCATGACGCTTTGTACGATTGAGTCTCAACCCTCCATGATATGGCATTTTGGTTACTTTGCACCCGACAGCTTAGAGAGAAGGTACATATAGTTGAGTGTTTTCAGAATAGTCACATTGAGTTTTCCACCAAAATATGATCCTCGCTGGAAACAACGGTATCTTGTACTTATGTGGTCCTGGAATACGTAGATTGCGACTCCCTCACATAACAAGAGAGCAGTCCTACCTATGAAAGTTCAACCATGACTAGCTAAAAATATTTCGGGGGTTTACTATAGCGATTGTAAATGTCGTACTCGAGTCGTGTACAAGCACTTCAAGAAACCATTTGGTCAAAGAATTGGCCGTTGCCAAGCTGCCGACAGCAACACTAAGTGTCGGACCGTAAGTCTAAGCGCCGATTAAGAGCCGCATGCAATGTCGGTGTTTAGGAATATCCAGGTACTTTTCTATAAGCTAGCATCATATTAGGCAAACATTGATTGTGCTGAATGATGACGATCAACGAAGGGCCGAATGACAAAAGACGGTTTACCCAACGGCCCCTCATTCCGCGTCTTACAATGAAGGAAGAGGAGATCATCTTTTAGATACCCACTTCCCGACAAAAAATATCAGCTCATGTTCTGGCGACTAGAAGAACATCCGGAGCAAGCTTTTATATGAAATGCAAGAAGAAGAAAAATCGACCACCTTTAGCACCATATGAACTCAGCAAGACTCACCCAATGATCCAAACTAAATACCCGGCTTTTCCGAACCACCGCATCATGACAGAATTATTTGTTTGTACGACGTGAGAAAGATATGCTGTAAACGCCGAATTCCGAAATCGGGCGCTCATCAGCAATAGTGTCTCCGGTAAGGCCCGGTGGGACAACCCGCAAGTTGGTCAGGGAACAGTGAATGACTAGTCTGTTGGAGCAGAGACGGGAAGCCTGCTAGCCTATTGTTATGACACTTCATTCGTCCTGCTTACTGCTATATCATAGGAACATGTCAAGCCTAGTCATTGCAGACTCCTCAATTAGCACCCATTGGCTCCAACCTCAGACTATGCACCACGTATTTTCCTGACCGTTTTTCCCTACCAATTAACTCTTCAGTCTCAGCGTGAAGAATGTGTTCCCAGGCTCATACTGCACATCTTACCATGATTGCATGTATGTGGTTCACTATTAAGGGGCTAATAACAAGAGATCATCAACACGGGACATTGTAGATGCGGGGACCCCGGACATCCGCGTGTCACTCAGGAAGCGTGCAAGCGATAAGAATCCTAGCAACAACCCACTTCTGGAAATCCCATTGATGATCTTGGCCACAAGATCTCACACCCTCCAGAAATTATGCATTGTGTATGGCGCCGGATCAAGTCCCAATATCGGTTGGTCGCCGTTTGGATTCAACGAGATCTTGATCACATTTAACCCGAGCCACGCCATGGTTGCTGCGTACTTCCTCACCACGCCTTACGATACAATAGGCCGATATCTATCAACCCGCCAGGTGTGAAACATGCTGGGAGTTATTGCGACCGTACTGTTGGGCCTTCCTGCCGCCTTGGCTCAAGGAAGCACTTGCGTAAGATCAACCCCTCTTGAAACAGACCTGTTCAACGAGTATTGACTAGCTCGTAGTGTCGAGCGCTTCAAGAAGCTGGTCTCGCCCACGTGTTGTACCCAAACAGCACTGATTATGCGGATCGCACGGCTTCGTATTGGTCTGTCAGTGCCCAACTTGCGCCATCTTGCATGGTTCAGCCAACGAGCACTTCAGATGTTGTTCAAGTAGTCAATACTCTGGTGAAAAGCGCGAGCTGTTCCTCAACCAAGTTTGCGGTGCGCTCTGGCGGACACACAGTATGGGCTGGTTCAAACAATATCAATGACGGTGTGACTGTCGATCTGGGTCTGATGATGGATGTCACACTAGACAAAAATTCTTCAGTTGCTTCCATTCAACCTGGAGCCAGGTGGATGCACGTCTATGGGGCTTTGGATCCTGAAGGCTGGACGGTCCCCGGAGGGCGAGCTGGGAGTGTTGGTGTCCCTGGCTTCCTGACTGGCGGGGGTAATTCTTTCTTCACCGCGAAGAAAGGTTTTGCATGCGACAATGTGAAGAACTTTGAGCTTGTTACTGCGAACGGGTATGTTTCCACATTAACTTCATACAAACAAGAGTGATGCTGACGTTATATCAGGGATGTCGTGAACGCGAATGCCGACGAAAACCCCAAGCTCTGGCAAGCGCTCAAGGGTGGTTCTGGCGCCAATTTTGGCATCGTTACCCGCTTTGATATGTTCGCTTTCCCTACCGGCAACCTCTGGGGTGGTACTGCGACGTACAATAAATCTGCCACAGCTCAGCAGATTGCGGCATATGTCAAATGGACCGACAATGTCGTCAACTACCCTGATGGCAGTTCAATCATCTTCTGGAGTTATTTGCCTGCACTGTCAGACATTGTGATACTGGCTGCTTACGAAGACACTACCGGCAACGAGGCCCCTGCCGGTTTCGACGACTTCATGGCCATTCCTCGCATGGCGGATACGCTGCGCATTGCCAGTCACAAGGAGCTTACCGATGAGCTTGAACAAGCCACTGGATACCGGTTTGTGGATTTCTTAGATATGCCATGGAAACTCGGTAGCTGACCTTGACTAGTGACATTTGGTTCACCATGACTTTTGCTAATGACGCTGAGATCTTTACCAAGATCGTCGAGCTGAACGAAGCCTTCGTCAACGAATGGAAGTCGACTTCCGATGATCCCGACTTCATCACCCAATGCATGTTCCAGTCCATTCCTACCATATTCGCGAAGCACAGTGTCGAAAGAGGCGGTAACGTCATGGGTCTTGACAAGGAAGACCGCAATGCCATAATGCTTCTGTTCAACATCGCCGTCAAGACCGCCGACCAGGAACTCATCGCACGCCCACTGCTCCGCTCTTATGGCGAGAAAATGCAGCAGTTCGCGGATAGCAAGAAAGGGCTTGTGAGCTGGCAATTTCTGAACTATGCCGACGCGTATCAAGATCCTCTGGCCAGCTATGGCCCAGATAACGTTGAGAAGATCAGAGCTGTGGCTAAGATGTTTGACCCGCAAGGTGTGTTCCAGACCAAAGCACCCGGTGGCTTCAAGATTTCTAGGGTGGGAGCCTCAACTGGTGCGGGCGTGGCGAAAGATGCACTTCTCGGGGGTGTGGGAGAAAATGTCGAAGTGGTTGGAAATCTGAGTGAGGCATAAGCAGTCTGTCGCTTTCGGAAAAGCTCCTGGATATCTAGCCCTTGTAAGATACAGTATCATAATTAAAACCTAATTCTCTTCTTCTCGGTCTGTCAACCTGTCTCGATAAGCTGATCAATTTGGCTTTTGAATACGGGTAGTAGAGAGATACATCTTCCTACATGGTGAAATTCACACGAGATCAGCATTTAGGGCTTTTAACCAATGATTTGTAGGGCTTTATAGAGGTCAATCGCGTGCCCAACTTTCGGGGGGCTCCATATATCACGTGTAATCGGAACATGTGTTCTGCTTGGAGCTCAAAGGCAGATTATCGTGTCTTCAATACCCAGTGTTTGTGCCGCATGGAAACGCGATGAATCATAATTACGCGTGATCACGTGTAATATTTCTTGTGTCCCTGTACATACGAAGATACGACCGCAGGCACAAATCCCAGCTTCCAGTACCTGATGTTTCTATTTCCCAATCAATGTGGCGAAAACAGCGTTGGACTGTTTCATATAATCCACCATAAATAGCTTACAGCCCTGATAAACAAACCATATTCTCAGAATCGTCAAGACGTTTCGCAAATCCACGCGATCAATCGCGAAACTCCGATCGCAAACGCGCAGTGTCGATCCTGCGCTTAGCCCAGGCATACAAGCGCAATGCTTATCTACCTTTCAGGTGACACCTGCTCTTGCTTAGCCAGTTTCAGTGGCAAATGTCGTTCACGTCAACATTGCCATGCTTCGGGTCTGTTTCCTCGGTGTTGGTTCCCCAGCTTTTAGCTGAAACAACTTAACTAGCGTAAAACTACAGTTCACTCCATACTGCCACCCACCGATGACAGAAAGCGAGTCCGATCTGATATTCCCTCGATTTTAAAGTTCTTTTGTAATCTTGAAGCGGCTTGGATATTTGGAAGCGATCAAACAGGGACATTCTCGATTTCTCCGTCACGCATTTTTCAGATGATCGTCGGCTTGTGAATACACTTTCCAAGTCATTGAGTCTTTTGTTTTCAATCCCTCACTGGTTCAGAATGAATTGCATATTCTCTACAGTAAACACCTTTTATCCCCAGCGGACTTTTTCATAGCGTGACCAGACTCCAGTGTCATGCCTAAGAGCTGTGCGCAACATGTCACCCCATTCCATCCATACGCACACAAAACTGCCATGAGCTATTCCACCCCACAATCAGCTAACAAACCAACATGAACCACTTCCCTCGGAGAAACCCCATCTGACCTTCTAATCCCGTCTATCAGCTAACCCCCCAAAACCAACGGCGCAGCCACCCCAACGCCATGAAACGAATCCAAACTTTCGAAGTCCGTCCAAGAAGCAGAAAGATCTACAGATTGAGCACTGCACTGCCGCCCTAGCCACTTTACATACGCATGAGTTGCTGTGACGAGCATTTTCCGAATCGAGAATTCCGCTATAAAATTAGAGTAATACGTCTTCTGGATCGTGGTTCCCCAGATTCGGACCGTGCTGTTTATTACGTATGTGCGGCTAAAGGCATCGACGCTGCTGATAAAGATATGAACGAACGACGAAGCGTGGTCTCGAGATCGCATCGACGCGGGGAGAGTGTGGGTGCGAACTCTGATATGCGTGAAACCCCGCACGATTTATATAAATACGCTATTTTTTGGCGATTGAAGGGGTGTTGTGCGCTGAACTCCGGAGCTCAGCAATCGACGAATGCTTGGAGAGGGAATTTATACAATCTGGAAATGGGGAGGTGCAGAGAAGCTTTCTGGGTAAAGTTCATGTGCGTTTCATGATAGTCGTTGAGGAGGTATATAGGAACCAGAAACTCGATGCGGTTTTCTTAGAATGAAGTTGTTAATCACCAGCTTCTGTAGTTCGGGTTTGTCTTTTTCTTTTATACGATACTTGGGAAAGTGTGAGATATTTTCAGTTCTCAAGATGGACCCACGCACGCAACAGATAACAGCGATAGCATTGATTTTCCTAGGTCTAATCAGCTATACGAACTCGACAACAAACACGCTTGAAGTGCGAGAGTTGGGGTTCGCGGATTACCCAGCATGCAGCGTGAGCCATCTCCCCTCCCTCCAAACCCACCCCAGAAAGAAAGAAAGAAGAGCAAGATCGAGAAGGGGGAAAAAAGGAGAAAGACTGATATCCCAGATACAAAAAGATCCAATGCACACTCCCCGCGATGCCCGCCAGCGACTGCGCTCTAACAGACATGCCCTGCATCTGCGCCGACCAGGCGCTGCAACAAACCATCGGCGCCTGCCTCCTCGCAAACTGCAGCATGGCGGACATGCAGCGGAGCGCAAAAGTGCAGGCCGCGCTGTGCAACTTGCCCAACGATTCAAGACGGCGGGAACTCACGGTTTATACGGCTGTCACGCATTCGCTGACGACGGTGTCGGTGGTGCTGCGGCTGGTGAGCAAGTATGTTGCGAGGAGGTTGTCGTGGGATGATGCGGTGTTGGTGTTTTGTTATAGCTTGGATGTTACTACCATGGGGATACGGTTGGGGAGTAAGTTTTTTCCCTTCGGGTTCTGAGGAGACCGTGAGATTGTTTGAGGGAGGCATTGAACTAACTGATGGTGTGAATGAATGAAATAGTTCTGGATATGGGGTTGGGCGAGCATGTCTGGAACCTCAAAGACGGCGTACTTCTCCCGCTGCTGCGGACTTGTAAGTATCCCACCCCCCACACTCCCCACGATCCCTAACAGGACTTGATATTGATGGACGAGGAACAGGGTATGTTGGCGCGGTATTCTACATCGCCGTCATCGGGCTCCTAAAAGCCTGCGTGATCCTCTTCTACCTCGACATCTTCTCAACCGCATACCCACGCTTCCGCACCGCCGCCCACACGATCCTCGCCTACATAACCCTCAACACGCTCATCCTAGTCTTCCTCACAATCTTCGCGTGCCGCCCCATCGCCACGTTCTGGAATCGCGACATCAAGGGGAAATGCCTCGACATCCCCGCCATCGGCTACGCGGTCGGCGTCAGCGCTATTGTGCAGGATATCATATTACTAGTGCTTCCGCTGACGGTGATCGGGTCGTTGAGCATGGACCGACTGCGGAAGATCAGCGCGGGGTTTTTGTTTAGCATCGGCGCGTTTGGGTGTATTGCGACGGTGTTGCGACTCCACACGAATCCGTACATCAAGGTTAGTCTGGATCCGACGTGGGACTACGCCTCGGGCATGATCTGGGTGGAGCTCGAGGTGTGCGCCATCTACGTGTGCATTTCGCTGCCGTCGATCCGGATCCTCGTCGTGCGGCTGCTGCCGGCGAGGTGTAGGAATCTGTTTGGGAAGATGGCGGAGAGGATAGGGGATGGTGAGCATTTCCCGCAGCGGGATGCCAAGGGCGGAGGTGCTGCGCACTCGCCTGCTGCGTTGCCGGCGTCTGATCAGTTGAGGAGCCCTCCGCGGGGGTTCTTTAGCAGGATTTTGCCGCAGACGTCGATTTGGTCGAGGTTTACGGCGTCAGGGGCTGGAGACGGGGGGTCGAGAGGGTTGTTCTCGACGGGGAGGAATGAGTCGCAGGTTGCTATCACAAGGGCTTCGGTGGACATGGGTGAGGGAAGCGCGGAGTTGCAAGAGAGCTTCCAGCTGTTTCGGAAATACTGGAATAAGGAAATGCGGGGCGGGGGCAACGAAGGGACGATTCAGAGTCAGGTCTAGGGGGATTATGCTTTAGGATTGAATGTAGCGTTATGATGGGTTTGGACGATGGGTTGACAATCGTGGAGTGTGAAGAAAACGGACCGATAGCCAGACGAATCCAAATCCTCCCCAGGGAAAAGTATAATCCAACGTCGTGAAACCCAAACAGTTGTAGACTACACAAAAAGAGGAAAACTTTAGCCACCATCACACATCACTCCTCAAGCACCTCACCTTCAGCAGAATGTCCCAGCCCAAGCATCAGCGCCCCTCCATCATCCCGAAAAGGAAAGGAAAAGGCGCCCGAAACATTTGGTCAGAAATGGTTTGTTGGCGCATGGACTGGGTATAATATGATATACCTCTTTTGACAAACGAGTCTCTCATTGACAGGAAAAGACGACGTATACTGAAGAGGATTGGCGAAGTGTGATTGGAATAAGAAAGTCTACAGATTGTATTCTCTGCAACGAATCGCTCGCGACTGTCTTTCATGTGAGGAAAGCCGCGGTCGGTGTAGGAATACTTGGATACGCGTATGTAGACTGAGTAGCGCAGTAGAAAACACGCCCAGCCTCATCGATTCATTGTCGAGATCATATGGCATAGCTGCGTGTAACTGTACTGCGAGGGTAAGTCGAATTCGCAAATGAACATCGCTGTTGATATTTACGCTTCCAAGCCTGTCGGTAGTAAGCGGTAGAAGCGTATGATGAGTCGTCCAGGCTGTTGATGGTTCGGGAGATCAATCGCGAGAACTTTTTTCCTCGCTAGACGACTGCCCAGTTTGCTTACTCATCATCGGGGAGGCACTAGTCTGTCTTCATCCTAGCGCTGTTTACTGAGCTTGAGGCTTTGGGCTGTTGATAGCTTGCTTGAGCTGGTGTCTCAAAGGTAGGACCGTAGTTTGAAATGTAGCAGTTCCTCCTCATAAGCTCCAGAAATAATGTGCTTTGGATAAATACACTTTTTCTAGATGTACTATACAAGGGACATGTTAGCCGACTAAGTGCCTGGCTAGCAAATCAGTGTATCATGCCTTGAGGGAGACTCAATCTGTTGACATTTTGGAGGTTGAGTTACTGTTCGTTAGGAGATATATTCTGTGAATACGGTACTCAGGTGTAGCATGGAGAAGAGGTGTTTTGAGGAGCATACAAAGGTTGACGCATGCTACTGCCCGCGAATGGATGCCGATACCCAAAGTAAGAATGAGAAGGGGGAGGAAGACATACACGTTTAACATGAAATTTGTTATCTACATACTTGATACAACGTACAAAAAAAAAGTAACACTTTACACTCGTTCTACTCATTCTTCCACCTCCCCCGAATCCGCACATACCCTCAATCATTCTACCCTCCCTCTCCACCCACGAACCCTCAGCGATCTAATATACCCGGTCTCCAGAACAAAACTTATTTCGTCCCATTCGTAGCCGCGTCTCCCATCTGGGTATCGGAGTGCAGTTTCTGCAAATACGCCTTGTTGCCTTCTGGCGTGGCTTTGATGGTGGCCTCGCCGGGATTCCAGTTGGCGGGGCACACCTCGCCGTATTTATCCGTGAACTGGAATGCGTCGATGAGACGGAGGGTTTCGTCTACGGAGCGGCCGACGGGGAGGTCGTTGATGGTGATCTAGTAGGTCGCGCAAGCTCTGCGTTAGCAGCTTTTCTCTTTTTCTTTCTCTTCTCTCCATCTTTTCGGGGTAAGGTAGTGGATGGGGTGTGGGGAGGGAGGGATGGACTGTACCTGTCGCACGATACCATTAGGATCGATGACGAATAATCCCCTCAACGCGATTCCCTCTTCCTCGATCAGCACGCCGTAGTCTTTGCTCAGCTGGTGGTTTTTGTCGCTCAGCAGCGGGATGTCGATCTTGCCGAGCCCGCCGTCGCGTTTGCTGGCGTTTGTCCATGCGAGGAGGGAGTATTCCGAGTCTGTGGAGGCGAAGACGACGCGGGCGCCGCGAGCTTCAAAGTCCTTTGCGCGCTCAGAGAAGGCGATGATTTCGGTGGGGCACACAAAGGTCCAGGCCATGGGCACGAAGCCGAGGACGAGCCATTGCTTCGAGGATGTGTATTGTGTGAGGCTGATGTCTGTTTGGGTTTTTCGGTGTATGTTAGTTGGTGGTGGTGGTTGAGCTGAGGTGTGATGGGGGTGTATGGTGGTGGGTTGGTGGGAAGGTGGTCGGTTGACTTGCCTTCAAAAGTCCCATCTACGACGGCGGTGCCGGAGAAATCGGGCGCGGGCTTCTGGACTCGCGCCTTGGGTGTGTATGCTGCAAACGCCATTGCTAACGTGTATGTATGTACCCCGAGGAAAAGACTGATTCGGTTTATCCGATGCGCTGGCGTCTAATAATGTGCGATTGTGGGTCGGAGCGGTGCGTATGCGTATATGCACGTCAACAACAGCACACGAAGCGTTCGTCGCGGATGTGAGATTTTTTTTATATGTGGTAGCGAGGACGCAGGTGTATATTTGCTAGCTCGATTGCTTGGATGATTGCTTGTTTACGACGAGAGGGAGAGGAGCAAAGCCAGAAGAAGGCTTTTATTTATCGAAAAGGAAAAGAAAAAAGCTGGACCGAGAAACGCCGGGATGGGAGGGATGTGATAGTATGTATTTAAAGAGATAGAGGTGGAGACAGACAGACGACACAGGACACACCACACAGGCACAGACAAGGGACGTTCGCATGCAAATCAATCAACACACACAGTGAGAGGATTGAGACAGGTGCCGACTAGACATGGGGATTCTCCCACGCGTCCTGCATTTGGTTTAGCCTTGTATCATAACTGTGTATTCGTGCTTAGTAGCATTGATATTGCATGCTATATCTGTAACAAAAGTGCCTATTACAGTATCCACTGTAAAAGTTGCCTCACTCTAATAGCTCCACGGCGATGACGAAGCATAACAGAGGAAGAAGAGCTGTACGGTAGCTGTATGCTGTCATCATTCTCAGCAGAGTCATCATCAGAAGCGCGCGACCAACGCGGAAAAAAAAGGAACCCCACATTTTTTGAAGGAGATTTTTCATCTACTTTCTCCGGTGCGCACCGAAAGCTCAAAGTTTTTGTCATGATCGTCATTTAAGGAATCTGACGCAAGCAGAGCCTGGAAAGAATTCGAGACTCTTTGGCTTACGTGAGTGACGAGATTCCAGCCTCAATCTGCAACGGGCGCTAGTGGTATACCCGTGGCCCGCCATTGGCTGGACGCCAGACCACGTGCCCGCTAGTCTCCATGAGGTACTCGATCGCACGTTTTCTGTAAAGTGCACGACAGCTGTTATGTACTTAGCTATACATGTGTTATTCCGTTGTTGATGTGTCTTCTATGCTATTCTACACCAGAGTCTACAATAAATACTTCCAGCGCTCTGTCTATAGCTGTCTATGGCTTCTATTCTGCCAATCGCCACGCCCGTAGAGGCAGAGCTTGTATGCGCGTCACGGCCGGCTTGATGAATCCATAAAACGTGACAATGCCAATCACGATACAAATGATGTTGGTCACATAGTATCCATCCCTGACGACATTGCAATGGCCTCCGCCGTCCACGCAGCGGTGCTTATCGGCCTCGAGCGCGCACGAGAAGGCCTGTGTGACGAGATCACCCTTGAGGAGTTCGGCCTTTGGCGGCGACGAAGGAGGCTCGCAAGTGGCGACAGTGAAGAAATCCACAAATCTGAGCACAAAATACCGCGGAAACGTCCCACCTAGATTCGAGACCCTGGAACATCGAAGGAGAATTAGTCAATTGTCCGCGGATTAATAATTGGGGGCTGGAGCTAAAAACTTACGTAGCCAGAAGAGTCATGTAGGTACCTCCGATGGCGGGATCCGAAATCTTTGCGTGGAAGGCCGAGACGGATACGAACATGACTGTGTTCATAAAGGTCGACAGTACGTGCTCGCTGATTACCAACAAAAGGTACGACGTCGTGGTTCCGCCCGCGGGGAAGATGGAGACTACAAACTGCGCAAACGCAGCAGCTCCCAATCGGCCTAGGAATGCCCAACACCAGATGTGCATGGGCGGGTATGTCTGGCACCATTTTCCAATATAGTATCCGAGGGACACTTCAATGGGGAAGTCGATCAGAATGGTCAGAGCGAGGTCCTCCTGGCTGAAGCCCTTATCGAGCAGTTTCAGACTGGTAACGGCGTCATTGGCTTGGAATCCAATCTTCGCAATCAGGTGGACAACGATGAATGTTTGAATGTTCTTGAGCTTCAGAACCCCCCACATTGTGCGGTATACTTCCATAATGCCCTCTCGTTCTTTAGTGCGCTCTTCGCGCTTCATGACAGCCAGGCCCAATGTGACCAACAGATATGCCCAGCCCCAGAAGTGCAAATAGCTATCCAAAGTCAACAGACCATAGTCCTGGGGTGTAGAACGGAACCACTTGTTGGCGAAATCCTTTGAGTTGAAGGCAAGGAAAACGGTGTGCGACAGGAAAGACCCGGCGGTCAATCCGACGGTCTGCGCGGTGGATGCATAAGCAAGGTTTTCTTGGGAGAGAAGCGTCAATGCCCAGCCTGGAGAGATGTTAGTCTGTCTTCTGCGTCTGTTTGTATGCCATGTCGGGACTTACCATCTACTGCGATATCCTGAGTGGCGCAAAGGAAAACCAGCATGAACCACCAAAAAGTAAAGTTCCACACGCCATTGGTATCGGTACTGCCAGCAGCTTCCATCAAGTTGTTGACCACGGAGCCAAGCCACAGCATGGAAAATCCGGAGATGGTCTGAATGGGCAGAATCCAACTCTTGCGCCGTCCGACAGTCGGCGACCAAACCGCGTCAACGATAGGGCTCCAGAATAGTTTCAAGGAGTATGGGTATGCTGCAAGAGAGAAGACTCCAATAGAGGAATAGGAAGCCACAGTCTTGAGCAAGAACGGCACCGATCCCATAGCCAAACCCATCGGTATGCCCTGCAAGAAGTACAGCAAGACCAGCAGCAGGAAGTTTCTCTGGTCCTTCTTGGACAGCTCCATGAAGCCTGCCGAAGAGCCTTCTTCTTTATCTAGCTCGGGTATATCATCGTCCAAGTTGAAGTTGGAGCGTCCCATCAGCGAAGCTACCTGGCTCGTCGGCGAGGTATTGTCAATGGAGCCATGCCTGCGCCTGTGCTCCATGAGTGTATTCATATTTTTGCGCGTCTGCTTTGCATTACTGGCGATGCTATCTGCAACGGGGTTTTCGGAAGTCGGCTCCAGCACAGACTTGCGGGTGTCCTTCTTGCTGGCGCGTTTGCTCATTTGTGATTCGGGGAACGAGTGGAGCTGGGAATCGCGCTCGTGATTGGATCGGAAGTGTGATGGTGTGAATGCTGGATGGTAGGACACCTAGATCAATGCTACTTTGAAATACGGGTTCGAAAGCTTGTCGATTGAAAAAAACAGGCTTAAAGCTCGGGTGATGCTGGGCGTGCAGAAAGTGTTGTGCGGGATACAGTGGAGGGTGCGCAGTGTGTCGTCGATGTTGAGAAGCGCAAAGAATGAACCGATTGTTATTGAAGAACAGCCATTCGTCAAGCAAGGCAAAAGTCCTTGTAGCGGCTATCCCAACTTAATAAGGCAGGTAAGTACCTCGGAGGAACAGACGTGTCTCCTTTGCAGAATTAATTGACGTCGCAAAGATGATGATGCTCCCTCGGAGGGAACGTGGCCTGTTCGGGTAGACGTCAATAGACCCGCTTAGCGTCGATCCTGTGAGAATTCAGAAAAGGCGCAGCGCTGGGAAAGTAAAAGTCCGTGGGTTGACATTTGACACTCGGATAGTGTAATCCAAGATATGTACATCACAGGATCAACCATAGTCTTGCGTCAAGCTTCACGCACGGTCATGAATGGCGAAGCTGCACGTGGACAGCCCTGTATAATCACGTGATGACGCGAATGGCGCTAACGAGCACCTGCCCAAAGGTAACATCAACATCAACACAACAACAACCTCCACATCGCCGACTGCTTCACTCCTACCTCCCCCGCCATGGCCGAGATGGAGATTCTCGATGCCGATATCACACGTATACGTGCCAAAATTGCAGCTCTCCACGCCCACCGCGCAAATCTCTCGACAATCCTTCTATCGCAACCCCACCTCCCCTCCCGTCTTCAACCGCGTCCGGTCCTCCATGAGGGCAATCATCGCGATGCAGCCGCACGGGCAGAAGTTCAGCTGAAGCGCAATACAGAGAATGTCTACCGTGCTTGCGCCGGCATAACTTCCTTCAAAGTCAAAGATCCCGATCCGTACGCTGTGGACAACGGCAATGTGTTGGGGGTGCGCATCGAGGTCTCCATCGGCGGACGCTTTATAGAAACATACAGTGTATTGTTCAATCGACAGGATACACAGTCGAAACATGTGCTGAAAATACACAAACACACAATTCCGCCTTGCATCCCACTTCAACAATTGGCAAATAAATGGTTACCCATGTCTACGAAAGATGCCGGAGTTGCTCCGGAGCAGAATCTCGTTCGGTTCGGCAAGTCTTTGCGCAAAGAGCTTGTCAGTTGGCATTTGCGCCTGGCAGCGATACGCACACTGCGGGCTGAAGCAGGTGTGGACGAGAAGCCGAAGCCGGCGACCGAGGAAGCCCAGAAGCCAGTGATCGGGATCGTTCTCAATGCTTTCGTGAGCGACGATGAATCGGAAGAAGAGGATGAAGACGCAGGCGAAGATACCGTTCAAAGTCGACATGGCGGATCTATCCGTATTGCGAGTATCGAAGCCGACGCTGCAGCCAGAGAGGTACTCATTACATGGACGAATCAACGCATCGGTGTGATAAAGGTCGCCAAAGACGGTACTGTTGAGAAGGCCGTGGTGAGGGGCGCAGACGGTACAGCACAATCAGCTATGAGCAGGGCAGCTCTTGGACGCATCGAGGGCCTTGTGCAGCGGCTGGCAGCATGATCGTTGGTAGAGTGTGTTGTGCACGCGGCGTTTCATCATTGATTTCAGCGATACCCCAGTCTATTTAGCAGCAATTCACTTCGTATTCTTTACTCTGATCCCAGCATAGCCTATCCCCGAGCCCTCTGGACGCATCCTGTTACCAAGTCTTGGCCGACATGGCTGGGCCTCTGATATTATTGAAGATCGACCTCCTCAATCACGTCCATTTCTAGCATGTTGAATTCTAGTATTAAAAGTCACTCTGGGCTCTGGGTGTGCTTCACCAGAGACGCTTTTGAGCTAGTGAATGATCAAGCGGACCTCGGAACCTCGGGATCAGGCTGAAATCAGCCCCCAACACAGCATCAGATCTGTACCTCAAAACTAATCAGCTGTGCGAAATATCAGTGGATGAGTGAAGGTTACCCTATGCACGGACCTTTTCATCCCGCCTGCTTGGTCTCGACCTTGAATTGTACACTTTACACGGCCGTCAGCGCTTCATTATTATTCACTGTCACCATGCGCTTACTTCATATCAAGGGAGAAGCGTGGTCCTCCGAGCCCCTGGATATCTCTCTGTGTTTCCACTCAGGCTCGGAGAAGCTACGATATATGATTCTATCTCATCGCTGGCGTGAAGATGAGGTTCTTTACGCAGACATTACACATCCAGACCCTTCCGTCGCCCGGCGTAGATCAGGTTTCTCGAAATTAGAGAATAGTTGTCGATTAGCACTCCAAATTGGCTACGAATATGCTTGGCTTGACACTTGTTGTATCGACAAATCCTCGAGCGCCGAACTTTCCGAGGCAATCAATTCCATGTATCGCTACTACGCCGAATCGACAATCTGCTTCGCCTACTTGGATGATGTGGAGGGCAACTTCAGCACGCTCGAAGCGAGTTCTTGGTTTTCGAGGGGATGGGTAAGATATCGGTGTCCTTGCACGCAACGAACCTCGAACGCGCTAACAATCCACTCCGCCGGTATAGACGTTGCAGGAGCTGATTGCACCAAAAGAGATGTATTTTTATGACCGGAACTGGAAATCCATAGGCACGAAGAAATCACTCGCCACCAGATTACACTCTGCGTCCAGCATTCACGTCGATGTCATAAGAGACCCTTCTGCAATGGCCCAGTTCGGCATCTCACAAAAAATGCAATGGGCATCCAGACGAGAAACTACACGAGAAGAAGACGAGACATATTCCCTCCTAGGTATTTTTGGTGTCAATATGCCACCCTTGTATGGCGAAGGTCGAAAGAGTGCCTTTCGTCGATTGCAGATCGAGATCATGAAAAGCTCCTCCGATCATACCATCTTCGCTTGGCAGCGAAGAACCAACGTCAACGATATGCTGGCGTCCTCTACGCGTGACTTTCTGACCTCATTGTACTGGCCAACTTCCTTCAGTGACTACCTACTTACGTTCCCGCCATCTGGCGAGCCCAAGCTCGACTACGCCCTGACAAATGCCGGCTTCCACATTGAACTTCCTATTGCCTCGATTCCACAGCGTAAGGATCTAGTTCTTGCATTTCTAGCATGCCGTAATTCAGATAGCAGCTCTATGGTCGCTATCGTGTTGCAGAAACAGGACTTGCACGGGGTATGGACCAGCTACCAGCGCGTCTGTGTTGCCCAATGTTCCACATTTTCCATCCCTCCCGACACGATGAAAGAGCTGCAACCCAAACGGCAAAAGATTTGGATACCCCAAGGCGAAGATAAGGGCCAAGACTTGACCGTATCGGATTCGTTGATGTACATTCGCCTCAGACACATAGATCTGAAAATGTTTCATTACCAATGGGTGACTTCCCTCGGTCACGATCGCGACGCGTTGAGGCAAATTTGGGAGGTTGGAGACTACTCAACTGTGAGGCGTGCCTTGTTCCCCATCGTCGTCCACGAGACCGAGCAGCGCTTCTCCGGACCCTCTGTTCCCATTTCCACGTTTGCCATTGGCGAGGTCAACGATATACTATGGGTATTCATCGGCATCCAAGTCCATCGGGACAAGGCCGAGTTGCAACCAGAATGCTTCAAGTATCCCGCTGGCTACGCATGGAGGCACTATAGAAATTGTTTCAGGTTCTTTTTTGAAAACGAGTATACTGCCGCTACAGATCTTGCTCGTCGTTCTACATCCTACTTTAACGCGCCGGATGGTACGTTGACTATCACCTTATCGGACAATTGGAACCGAATTAGCGTCTGGATCGCGAACAAACGATATCAACGCCAAGAATGAATGTTTCGATTCAATATCCCCGCCATCGAGCAATCAATGACATCACTCTGGATTTTCGGGGGGCTGTTAGAAGCTTTCGTTTTGATAAACCAAAGCTGCTACAGTTCCAGAGGACGCAAAAGAATCTACATGAGCACTTCCGGCGCACGAATATTCCAACGTCTTGCATTCATAAACAAGGATTTTCAACTCGGTTGCGCGTCTATACGAACAGTCAAATGGCTAGGGCGTGTGAATCATCAACACATCCCGAGAGTTTACCATTTTATCGAGGCGATATCAATATGGGAGAGAATACACCGGCGATACCTACACCATACCATCACGGCTGAAACTAAGGAACAACAAGATACCAGGAAACCCAGGGTCGCTTATTATTGTATCATGACAGTACCACGTCAAACATTCCGACAGCCTCAAGAATCCCGCCAAGCCCACAACCACTCACGCCCCTCCAGGCTTTTGACGTGGTGTTGTGGCTCGGGATGCTCAGAGAACATTGATTCTTTGATTATTCACCTTGTTCCCGTATCTCTCGGAATGTTATCCACCACCGAGTTCAACGCAACTAAATATGTATGCGCTGGAGGTTACCTATAAGCAAAAAAAAAACGCTGATACCGCAACCGCGAACCGACCTGATTCCCCTGGAAGATTATGGTGAAAATACTTACTGATAATACACTTACTATCTACATACACGTGTATACCTCGCTTGGACGTAAATAGGTCATCTTCCATTGCATTACCCCTCTTGTTCTATTCGCGCGTGGAAGAACTTGAGGATCAGAAAGGGGAGGGTGAAAAAAATTGGGAAGAGAAATGGTGAATAAGAGGGAAAGAAGTGGCATTCGAGGAAGAGGGGGTAAGGGGGGTATCTATCTATACACGAGTACATGTATCCCTTGCTCTTTTGCTTGCCTATCTAACTACATAACACATGCATGAATAAAGACATACATATGAAACCGATTTACCAGAAAACGCCACACACACCGTGGGACTAGGTGGAATATAAGAGAGGAAAATGAAAAAAAATGTGATATTATGTAAGATCAACCATGCAGCCCATCGTAGCGTTAAAAAAGGGGGGGTGGAATAGAGTCAAAACGAGTGATCAAACCCATTTTTCTTCTTACTTGCCCACACCACTACCACCAGTGTCCATAAGCTCTCGATCTAGATGGAACCCACTTCCTCGTGCCATACCACCACCACTAGCACCAGAACCAGAGCCAGTACCGGGGTGTGAACCAGAGCTAACCATAGGTGCCAACGTAGCTGACATGTCGAAGCCAACATGCAGACCCACACCTACACCAACGCCCATCGTACCCATTGCTCCGGCCGTCAGCGCGGATGGCGGTAAAGCAGTGAAGAGGAAGGGACCCGTATTTCCTATACTTGCACCCCCACTTCCTCCTGAGCCAGTGGAAGCAGCGCCGTATTCGTCAACCTGTTGTTGTTGCTGTTGTTGCAACACAAAACCACTTGCTTGGACCCCCTCCCCAGTAGCGGGGTGAGGAGTAGGACCAGGGTGAACGCGTCCATCATAACCATGGTAATCCAAGCCTGACAGTAGATGCGCTGGGGGCGGGAGGTTATGCAGGGAGCTTCTTGCACTGGATTCGGGGACGGGAGGGTACATCATTGTAGGAAGGTTGGGGGTGCGTAGAAGGTGGTTTGCGCTGTCGTTGGCGACGATATGGGTGCGGCGGTGGTTGTGGGGTATGGAGGCAGGGGTATGTTTAGATGGATTAGTGGTGTGGGACGAGAAGGATGATGATGGCGTTGTAGTCGAGATGGAAACACCGTTAGTGTTAGGTGTGTGTTGCGTGGACCCGAAACTAGATTGTGGATGGGTGGTACTAGACGACATAGATGACAGCGCCATTGAAGGAACAGTGCTAGTTAACAACGACATGGGTGCATGAGCGTGCGTAAACGTTCCGTCGGTATCAATACCGTCAGCACTGAGACCGTGGAAGGTAGGAAGATGCGCGCTTTCCATCGTAGACCCGCTGTTGAACGAAGACATTACGCTTAGCAGGTTATTTGACATGCTACCGCTGGTACTGGCTGTCGTATTCGTTGTCTGCAATGGGTGTGTTTCAACCCATTGCAGGATGTTGCGACTCAACACGATTGGGCTATCTATTTCGTCGGCGTCGTCGTTGTCGTTGGAGTCGGAGTCTGGGATCAGAGGATTAGGGAAGGGCAGGCCGTGCGTGTATGTGAGGGACCTGTATAGAGGTCGTGACGCCGATGGGGCTAATGAGGATGAGGATGTTGCAGTTGGAAGGGCCGTCTGAGATGATGCCGTCGTCTTGGAAGAAGAAGGGGGAGTTGTCGTTGTATTCACGCGCGGCTTTGTGTTGCCGTTGGGTTCTTTGCTGCGGGATGATTGGGACGTCGAATCCACAATTTCCTCATCTCCTGCGTCTTTCTGCTTTTCCACAGTCGATGCCGCATGAGTACCCGCCGCAACCATCGCGTTCCGTTTCTCCTTCAACATCGCTTCATCCTTGGACTTTGGCTTACAGCCCGCCCCCGCAAACTTCTCAGGGTATCGAATGCGGAAACGGTCGCGCAGATCTGTAGCGTGACGTCCTTTGAAGCCCAACGCAGTATCATCGCGCATCAAGTGCCAGGAAGTGTTGTATTTCTCGAACCCGATAAGAAGGTTCGCATCATCGGCTTGTGTGAACTCGCGACGCTCGCGACGCTTGCGTTTGATGAAAGGAGCGTGGATGCCCAGCTTTGCGAGATCGGCGGGGCCTTTGCGGTCGCTTTCCGTGCGAGATCTATAGGATCTGACCACTGTTTTTGAGAAAGTGGTGGCATCGCTGGTCGTTTCTACATCTTGGCTAGTCGATGCGGTAGATGACGATGGGGCTGATGCTGACGGTGCAACTTGGGTAGGAGCTTCCACAGGATTGTGCTTTCGTCTGGGCTTGCGCAACTTGAGCCCTTCTCCGGGACAGCACACACGGAAGCGGTCTTTTAGATCGATGGTGGTGCGCTGGTTGAATGTGAAGTCTTCACATGTGAGAATCTTTTTCCAGTTGCCTATCCCAAAACGACTCACTCCCACGAGCAAATCTTTGGTCTCCTGGTCCGACCACTTATTGCGCTTTCGCGTCTCCTTTGTCTTACTCGTCTTCTCTGTAGTGGGGGCGGGGCTGTCGGCAGGAAGGTCGCGGTTCTCCTTGTCGCTCGTTGATACTGCGGCAAGCTTGCTATTGGTCTCTCTTCCATCTTTTTGCACTTGTGCACTTGTTGCATCTTCTCTGTTCACATCCGTCCGGCTTTCCCTCTCTTCGATCTTGCTCAGATGTACCGGACTACGCACACCAGCTCGCTCCCCGATATCCCTCCCGAATCCGCTCCCTTCGCCGGTAATGGGTGGGAAAGCCTTCTCAGGCAAGGGCGGGGGATGATGTAGACCCTGCAGTAAAGGGGGTATCCTCGGACGTTTTGGCGTCTTCTTTGACGGCTGCTGCGTCGGCTCGGGCAATTTCAACTTGTTGTCCGAACGATCGGCCGTCGAGAGCACCGGGGCATTATTCGTTGTCGTCGTTGTCGTAGTACTGCTTGAACTCGTACCGTGATCATCCAGTCGACGCTTCTTATTCACATGTTGCTGGGAAGGATCCAACAAAAGGTCGCTCAGACGGCCGCTGAAAGGGGGTAATGAGGATGGCGAGGCAGTCGGTACAGTGGGCACGACAACGTTGGGAGTTGGTGTCTCATGATTCAAGACCCCCGCAATAGGCACGCTGGGTTTCTGTCTTTTCTGCTGCTGCTTACTCGCGGTATTCAGGGCTTCTTCATTGTTGACAGTGGCGTTGGGCTCAAGGGGGTGAGGCGGTCTACGTGGGGCAAGCGATGGAGGGGGCAGTATCGGCAGCGCGTCCTGGCCTGCACGATCCAGCGATGAGGAGGAGGAGGAGTCACCCAGCAGTGTCGCTATTCGGGACTCCATATTCGCCCGCGTTTAGTTGTATCCATGGGGAACGCGCGGGGGACAGTTTGTGGGGTGGTTCGAGTTGTTTGTCGTGGGCGCGTCAGATTGATGCGTGACTTGACGTTGAGGGCTGAGCAATCTCGGCGATGGATCGGAGATGCTTGAGCGCAGATGGCTCGGCAATCATTCGCATCTCGGGCATATTATCCTATCACACTCCGTGTATATTCTGCTCTTCGTCTTCACATTCCAACTTCCAAGAGCAGACTATGCTTGGGAAGTCGATTCTCAATTTGATGCTCAATGATCCACCACCGGTTCACGTTATAGATCACGGCCGATAACTACATTTCCCTAACCCATCCCCCTATATGCGCTTTTTTCAGCCCTCTGTGCAGGATTTAAAGCCTGTTTAAGGGAGTTGACAGAAGCAAATCACTGCACAGCTCAAAAAAATGATCCAAGATTTTAATTGGGAGGGGGTGTATTGTGAGTGATGTTCTGATGGGTAATCTTTGTCGATTTTCGACTCTGCGATGGAAGCTGATCGTAAAACTACCAAGATTACATCACAGGAAAACAAACTTGGGGTAGGTCAGACTCATGAGGATCATTGAATACATGTATGGGATAGATAGATATCGTGGTTTTTACAACATACTAACGTGTATCTAAAAGTCATATCCAATCCGATTCCCCTTACTTCCTCTTCAGCATTTGCCTCCAAAACAGACAACCAGATTCACTCTAGTGTCTACATCCGATCACCATCTTGACACGATCCCTTCATCGGAGACATATAAGCCTCCTCTGGAATTCTTATAATCATGACCTCAGTCTCTACCACCTGCACCCCCACAGCAACCCTTACACCACTACTTCCTTCCAAACACATCTCAAGATCTTATATTCCATGGAATGTCAGCCAATCAAGTCACGCTATCTTTGTATCTGCGCGTCTAATATTGCTTACCTTGTTCATTGCCGGCATCTTCCTGGACGGTGCTTACACCTCCTTCTTTGCGCAGGTTACGGCGGCGTTGCAGCCACCACGTGACCACCAAGTAAATGATGGACGATCCGATAAACCCCACAAGCGTGAAGATGGCGTCAAGGGTCCAGGACAACATTTTGATCAACCGTTGAATTGATTGAATCGTGTTATTCGGTTTCGTTGGTTTGCAGAAGGTCGTTGGTGTGTGCGGTGTGCTGTGTTGCTGAGTTGTTGATGAGGTAGCGGGTCAGCGCTGGAGTCTTTATGTGTAGGCCGATGTAATTGTTTTGCGAAGGGTGGTAATTATCATGGTCGTAATTACTTCATGCCGTTGTTGGTTGGGGCAGGAGGAGAGGGAATGTGGCCGACCTTCTCATTTTCTATCGCTGCGTGCAGATTCTGGTGTAATTATGTGCATCACTGTCTTGCGGGCTTTTGTGGCATTTTCATGTTTTGGTACTGGTTTTGCGAAAGGAGGCAGGGTTGCGAAAATCTGAAATGTATTTGATCTGGAAAATGGATGTATGGTTGTCCGGAGTTAAGAGGGGACGAGATTGTTGGGTGTTGTTTTCTAACGTTGTACATTCGGACTTTGGATGGAGGGGCGTGTGAGAGACGGTACGTTATGATCCAAATGTGGGAAATTTCAGATTTCGGTGATCTCAGCGACAATACAGGTGATACAGGTGTTCCGGTTGCGAAGATTCGTCGTTGGGCATTTCAGATTCTAGACATTTCGGAATTTGTGTATTTAGATCCCGAAAATTCATCACCACACTTTCAAAGGGTGGCTGTGAAAGTTGTAAAACTTGGGCACCCAGCTTACGAGAATTTTTGAATGGACAGAAATCTCAGAATCCAAAATTGGGTTTGTGGAAAATCGTGGCGGACCACTCAATTACGATTTCATAATCTGAAAATTCGTATACCATTCAAATTCTGAAAAGACAAGGATCGACACTGAAGGATGACCGTCAGAATCTGATTTACATAGTGAGCGACGAGGAAGATGCGCTGATTTCTGAAAACACGTCGCTGGGGACGGGTTTGACCTGGTAGTCTGAGCATGTAATGTAATTACTTGCAGCAATCGTTGACCGGTGAGGGATTAGATGTCTGCCTAGAGTCGCTACGCCGCATCGAATCCCTGCTCACGTCTGACCAACATTTGATCCCGCCACAAACGGACAGAAGTCACTTCCCAGAGTAATTCAGCGAGGATAAATTGCGTGCAACTTCAAACCGTCATTATCTTGAGTCGGCATGGCCACGTGGGAGCCCCGCCAGTCCGCGACATCAAAATTCAGAGCATTGCAGTAGAATTTCGACCAAACGCCGATGATTACAGCGCAACAGACGAGCATACATTATTTAAGAGTGATAAAACGGAAAATGTCTAAGTTCTAAATTACAGTTCGCGCGGCGCACATGCCTTCATCCTCAGACCCAGATGCTCTAATATCATAGCCAAAAACCGCTGACACAATAGTCCGATGCTCTCTACAAAAGTATGCTCGCCGCAAGAATACCTGCAGCCCCGCCGACAAAAGCAAATAGATCCAACTTGAGGGAAGTAGCTGCGTTGTCCTTCGCGGGTGGACTCGAGGAAGAACTAGCGTTGGGTGGCTGAGATGGGTTCGATGCATTCGCTGATCCTGACGCAGTGGGGATTGCAGGTGCTCCCCCTTTAGATCCGGCTGTGTATTTATTAGTGCCGAATTGAAAACAATTCCATAATCAGTGTCACTCACAAGCGGGAGCAGAAGCAGACGCTGAAGCTGAAGCTGAAGCTGAAGCTGAAGCTGAAGCGGAAGCAGAAGTAAAACCAGGAGCAGTGACCACGCTCACACTCTGCATAGGATTTCCTCCTGCGATTGAGAGAGACGAGTACCATTCGGCAGGTTTTACGACGTATGTGAGTGGGGGGGAAGATTCACTAGGATCCTCGATTGATTGGGTGCAGTCCGCATCCTTGTCATATCCGCCTTGCAGTTTGCACGAAAAGTGAAATTTGGTACTTTCTTGTGGTGCCGGGGCCGTTACATGAATCTCGTAGGTAGATGGGCCTTCAGTGAGTATGAAAGGCCACGCAGGGTCCATCGGTTCGGCCATGGAAACTCCGCTGTAGGTATAAGTGGTAGCGGTTTGTTCTGCTGCAATTTTCGTGACGGTTGACATGCTAACAAAAGGATTGGGCAAAGTAGCAGTGGCACTCTGCGCAACAGCAGTACCCGCCATGAGCAAAGGGACAAAAGTGTAATAATGCATTTTGGAAATGGAAATAGAAATTATTGATGAACAAAGGAGATCAGTCAGATATTTCGCCGAGTAGTGAGTGCTATGAAGAATAGATAGGGGCGAGCTGGTTTAAATGCAACTCGCTCCTATCCAACAGAACGGTTAAGGTGGCACAGTGTATAAACTCCCTGCTTCATTTACCGACAGTTAGGGTCGTAGTCCTCCAAATCTTTTTTTGAGCCCCAATAGTCTCAGTCTCCACGAGGTTGAGCATAACGGAGTTCGATGGGGGCCATTACTGCGCCGTCAGGCCTCTCACATAGGGCCCGAAAACCCGCCAATCCTGAAACGCGTTTTCCATCGTCCTTCACCTATTCGAGCTCAAATGTAAGCTGTATAGCCCCATACACACGTCCCTCGAATCGTGCGCCTACGGCGTAGTGGTAGAAAGCAGCCTTCGACGATAATGAGTCCCTCTTGTTCCCATGGGAAAAGGTGTGGCTGGCCTGTCAAGACAACACTACATGCTAAAGTGACTTCGCTTAGATGGTAGTGTGATAGTATGCGTGCGCCACGTCGAGGGAGCTATACACCCCAGGTGTGCTGCGGCCTCCTGCCCGTCTACCGCGTCGTCTACCACTCGTCCGAGAAACATTCGTTTGTTGTTACTCCAAATTCGTTGTGTGACAATGGCCCTATCTCCTACATTATCGAACTTCTCCTTCCCTTCGGAAGTATTGTACCGTGACGTAAGATGATAGTATATTTCGGCGGAACTCTCTTGACAGACAATGATTCTCTTCGGGCGGATATGAGCATCGCATAGTTATACGGCACGATCACTCTAAGTAAAAGAACAATAAAGTGTGAATGAAAAGCCTAGGCAGACCAAGTCCAGAACGAGTGGTCAAAGTGCCCAATTCCGCGGTATAACTGACCGTTCTTTCACTACTCCACGTGCAGCCTTTGTTTTATTATCTCTTTGCTGTCCTTCGGAAAGCGTACTACCCGTTGCCAGCTAAATCTTATCAAAACCGGAAAATGAAGGCTACACAAAATCGGAAAGCTAAGCCTACGCAGAATCTGAATATGAAGGCTATGCAAAATCTGAAGATCAAGCCACTCGAGAAAGCGTGCCCAAATCCTGATTACACATTTCAGATTCCGGTAGCTCAGCCAGAGCTCGAAGCGCGAGCGCAACTCTACCCCGCCTCGTATTTCCATTCGCACCCTTGTCATGTGTGCTCACCATACGGCTTCGGTAAATGTGATTCGTCGGGAGCTTTCGGATTATGGAGGCAATTTCAGATTTCGTATCCTACAAAAACGCAAAATCTGAATTCTTGGCAGCCTCAGCCTTGTGTGGTCGACTGCGATAAGAAGCCTCACTATGTCCACATCCTTCACCGGGGCAATCCATCTCTTATTCCCCAAGCATCATGAGTCAAGCTCGCTCAAAAAGGATTGCAGATAGCGAATGGGAGAAACACAAGGGGGAGATCATAGCCCTCTACGTGAAAGCCAAAACAGGGCTGAAGGGCAAACATGGTTTGGTTGAATTGATGAGGAATAAGTATGGATTTGTAGCAAGGTAGAGCCTGATCAACTAGCCTTCATGGATCATGCTAACCACTTTTTAGTGAAGCGCAATATGAATACCGACTGAAACAGTGGGGCATTCGTAAATACGGCAATAAAGACCATTGGAGACTGATCCATGAAATCCTCACCCAACGAGAGTCGATCAATGAAGAATCCGACGTATACATATCTGGCCGAAAGGTTTCAAAAGAGAAACTGAAGAGAGAAAGAAAGAGATATCGCAGCAACCATCCTCCAATATTATCCGAAGACCGTAGGTGACCAGTACTGTCTGGCCCCATCCTATCACGGCGTACGAGCTGACATCTCACCCCAGGCTTACCTGACTATATACGGATAAGCACACCAGACTTCGAATCTCTCGCAACCGCATCAAATTCCAATGATCATGTTCAACATCAAGCGGCCGAAAATTTACTTTCAGTCACTTCAACAGAGGCCGAAGATGTCATCGAGCTACCATTATATTCCTCGAACAATTATATGGCCGGCATCGCCTCATCTTTGACACTGTCCAATGAGTCGCACAACTGGCCATATATGATAGATAGCTCTAGCAGTCTCCTGGCCGACCTAGGATCTGGATTGAGCGTGGAAGACTCTTCTGTATTCTTTCAAAGTCCTTTGGGAAGCCCCTTGCAATTCATTCCAGATCTATGTGGGGATTGGTTTGACAGCCCACTCAGCGATATTGGACAGGGATCTATAGCGTTGTTTCCAAACGGCGAGATGTCCAACAGCCTAATCAATTTTCTGGATGGTCTAAACCTTACCGCGTCTTCCATCTTCGGCGAGCTCGCCAGGAACTCTGTCGATCCCACATTTTTCACCGGCATTTCTCAGGTCATGTTCGTTCCAGAAACAACGTGGATTCTTACAAACAAACGCACCGATCTGCAGTTGTTATATACTTCCATTGCGGCGCTAGCAAACAACTCCATAGATCTGGAAAATCTTCGGGACTCCACTGTGCCAATGAACGTTCAGATTAGGAAAATGATAGCCTCCCTCGATAAGCTGGGTGGCGAGAGTGTGAAATCTCTACTGGAAACTTTCCCACAGCCTTTCCGGTCCTGTATCGAGGAGGGTCTCTTCTTGGCTGCTGTCGAAATTGGTGCCGTCCGAATTGTAGATGCGCTCTTGGACAGAAACATCAAACTAAGATCGCTCCAAGTTGCTGTGAATGGTACCACATATACGCCGCTCTTGCGTTCATGCATTCGAGGAGATATTGCAGTGATTAAATCAATACTATCGCGATCAGAACTTTCGCATATCCAGCACACCTTCACACATTTTGTCTACATAAAAGGCCCGAATTTCGAACCACCAAAAGCAGAATTATTTGCGGTGTTCCTACAAGGAGGTCTTCGCATGGATTCTCACATGATGGAGACAGTGTTGAAAAGATTCAATCCGGATCAAATCTCGAAAACACTCGTGCACAACCTGGCCAACGATAACACATCAGAGTTGTACACGTCCGACATCCTGGATGATCTTTTCCGGATCTGTGATCATAGTACTGCGATTGAAATTGTCATCAGTTTGTTGAATCCAGAAAGATGTGCACATATCAGGAAAGATCCGGACTTTCTCCCCTCAAAGCTCACAAAAATACTTAACAAGGCAATGCAGTTCCGCCATATCGAAGCCGCAATGTGGCTATTGAGCCAAAATGCCCAGCCAAATTCCAGAACGCTTTACTATGCTGTCAAGACAGAAAGGGCCGACGTGGTGGAATGCGTCTTGGAAGCAGGGATGCGACAATCTCAAGACGCTTCTAGCATATTCCAACGCGACAACTATATGTGTATAACCATTGCTGAGGCACTTGGCACATATCAAGTTCCAATATTGGATGTTCTGAACCGATTTGGGCTTATGCGGGTATTGAAAACTGACGGCGTGGTAATCCAGATGTCTATATCCGTGGCCTGTGAAACAGGAAAACAGCAATTGCTCGAATACCTTCTTTCGCAACGCGTAGTACTCAATATTCCAGGGAAATATATGGGACATTCATCTCCGTATTTCAATGCAATGAAGAACAATCACGACGAACTTGTTCCTATATTGATAAAACATGGGATTCGACCTTGCGAAGCCGATATGAATCACGCTCTTCAGCTCCGCAAGCTTGAAGCAAGTGAAGCAATCCTCGATAGTGTACTGGGTCTCGATAATAACGAATCGCTACACTTGGCTATAGCGGCAGGTTATCCCGACATCATTCGCTCGCTTGTTGTCTCAGGTGCGAGTCTAGAATATGAGCGAAAGCATAATTGCCGGTTTCCAGAAGAGTGGCCGGTGGATGCAGGCGGAGTGTATGGAACCTTAGCCACGGCCATTATTTGCAAAAGGCAGAACATCATTGATCTTCTATTCGAGCTCGGCGCGCCAATCAATGTTACTTCAAAAAGAACAAGGCCTTTCGGTGGAGAATCTTCTTCGCTCATCTCACCATTATGCGCTGCTATAAATACGAGAAACAATGGCATGGTACATGAATTGCTCGTTCGGGGCGCCATACCCAATGATGAAAATGCCCTGCTTGGGTGTGTTCAGACTGGAAATTTGGATATGCTCCAGGTTTTGTTGGGTGCTGTCCGATCTTCGCGTTGCAATTCAAAGAGGCTTGGTGGACTGGTAGCGCTTGGTTCTGCGATATCGAGCGGAAAATCAGCCATGATTCAAGAACTTGCTCTAGTCACAGATATCAACGCTCTGGGCATAAAGGAAGGGATGTTTGCACTCTCCGCTTTAGGGGCTGCGATGCGCCTTGCGGGGAATTTTCGACTACGAGTCATTCGCGAATTGCTCTCTTTGAAACCAGACCTGAACAGTCTTGCTTGCAGAGCGCATGAAAATCGTGGTGGTGTATATGTAAGTCTTAGCGAAACCCCTTTGGTCTTGGCTATACGTATGAGGGATATAGATGCTGTTCGGCTCCTGGTTTCTGCAGGTGCAGATACAAACCCGCATCCACAGATGGGGGTGATTCGAACACCGCTCCAGGCTGCTGTCGAGGCTGGTGCGTTGCATATTGTACATTTCCTTCTCGACCAGGGCGCCGAAGTCAACGCTCCCCCTGCAATCCGAGATGGACGTACTGCATTGCAGGTCGCGGCTGAAAAAGGATTCATCGGGATAGCTAGTGTACTCATCAGTGCAGGCGCCCTCGTTAATGCACCAGCAGGACATTTTGTGGGGCGTACAGCATTTGAAGCAGCCGCTGAGTTCGGCCGCATCGAGATGCTGATATTCTTGGCTGATAAGGGGGTGGATATCGTTAGTGACGGGGGTAAGCAGTACCGAAATTCACGCATGATGGCCGAGACAAATGGGCACACTGGGATTATCATGTTCATTGAGGACCTCTATAACAAGCAGTGCTTATACCGGTCTGCGATGGGCATGGCACCGTTGGAAACTGGGGATCCCACCGAATCTTTGGACTTCGACCCTAGGATGTTTCTGTAAATGCTGTCGACTACGTCAGTATGTCTCTGTATTCATTGAACTGCGGCTTTTATTTTCGTATTTTCATTGTTATCGTATATTTCTCTATTGTAACTTTCATCTCTCAAGGGCGCGCTACCCACACAGGAAAATCAATTTAGTTGAATCAAGCCATATGATCAACCTTTTTGACATCAGACGTATGTGTCTGGGCTCATTCAGATGTAATAGAAGGACAAAAATCATATTTGACGTCGAGTTTGACTAATTCCGAATTCGGAGAACAATGTACATTTGGGATAACAACCATGGTGCATACAAAAAGAGCTGACGTATGAAATACAGACAGGGAACGCTTTTTCAATGGTGAATTCAACCTGTACCAACATATTACCATTGATTTCAAGGCACATGTTGGCTTTTCTTTGTGCTCATTGTTGTGCCGGACCTCATCGCACCAATGCTTGAATCAATGACGGATGTTCAGCAATATAGCGGCTGGCATTCTTACTTCTCTTCCAAGATCTCTGGTAGACTGTCCACTGCTGGATTTCGTTATTTCCAGGGTCGAGCTTGGGCTTTCCAGATTTGATCTTCCAAGAGATTGCTCTTCGTTATCGTGACAAAAATCATCAGCCCTCATTGTCTAGAAGATGATAACGATACAGTGAAGACTACTTACAAACGATACGAATGACTCCCATTTTCATTAAGCTGGTGGTTGCCTAGCACACGTACGAGTGGGCCCAACTACTGTTAGCGAAAGCATACTCGGGTGGCTATGCAGGCTATGCAGGCTGCCTAAGCCTCAATAGCAGCTGCGCCTAGTTGAACTTCCACCTTATATCATCGACAGACATCCCCCTAAAATCTAGATACTCGCTATTCTCGTAATTAGGCTTGGAAAACTCACGCCCAAAATCATCTACACTGTACAGATCCCTGGCTTGGAATCTGCTGTGGAGAACTTCCACCACCCACGACCCCAGATCCACCAAACCCAACATCATCATCAAGCATTATACAACAACGCATCCCGGGAAAATTAAACCCAAATATGGCGCAACATCATTCCGAATCACTCAACAACGCTCGCCTATCCAAAACTCTGGGAGCCCTCCTCGGAGTCCACACCGGCGACTCCCTAGGCGCAGTCGTAGAATTCGCATCCCACACCTTCATAAAAGAGAACTACCCAAACGGGGTCCGCGAAATCACCGGAGGTGGTGCCTTTGGATGGCCCCCAGGTCATGCAACCGACGACACAGACCTAACCCGCGCCGTGCTCCTCGCGTACCAGGACCGCGCGACAGCTCTGCAAAACGGGAAACCTGCCTCCGATTTCGACATTCTCAAGGTCGCGGCGGATTATTCGCTTGATTGGTACGAAGGGAGATGGCCGGACCGCGAGGAGGGTCAGTCTCCGGTGGATGTCGGAGGGGCTACTGAGACGGGGTTGCGTCGGTACAGTCAGTCGCGTAATCCAAGGAATTGTGGCGCTGGGTATGATCGGGCTGGGAATGGGAGTCTGATGCGGTGTATACCGACTGCGCTATTCTCTGCGACGCGGGAGGAGAGGATCAAGGAGTCGAGACAGATCAGCGCGTTCACGCATGACGATATGAGATGTACTGTTTCGTGCGCTGCGTACAACGAGATTGTTGCAGCGCTTGTGGAAGGGAAATGCGTTGATGATGCTGTGGATCTCGGGATTGCGGTTGCGAATCAGTTGAATTGTCGGCCTGTTGAAGAGGCGATTAGGACTGGGATAGATTTGCCGATTAAGCGTCTTGCGGATGTTGGTCCCGGTAAAACATTACCTAAGTGGTCATCGGGATTCGTGCTACAGAGTCTGAGTGTCGCGATTGGAGCACTTATGGATTCTCGCTCGTTTGAAGACGTTCTGGTTGATGTGATCGGCTTGGGGGGTGACACAGACACGAACGGGGCTATCGCAGGAGGTTTGCTTGGAGCTCGGGATGGTATCGAGGCCATCCCGACGAGATGGTTGGACGTTTTGCAGTTCCGGGATGAATTTCAAAGTGTCGGAACTTCGTTGGTGATGCAGTTAAAGGATGAAAAAGAGATATAAAGATCACTCGATCGTAAGTAACAAATACAATAGTGGCTTCTCGTTTACCACCGCTGGTTAAAAGGAGTCAGATTTAGCCAAACAAAGTATTTATATGGCGCTTGTTGTGAAAAAAAGATTGAGTTCAACAATAGTTTGAGTTGGAATTTTTACAGTGCAGGAGAAATCACAAATAGCATCATAGTCAAGAGCTGGAGTCTCTATTTGCTTGATTTATACCTGAAATTCACGCCATAAAACCAATGTTTAAACTTCCCGTCCATCGGCCTATTCTCATCGAGTGATAATTAAAAATCGCAGACTACTAAATTAATAGCTTCTTATCATTAACAGAGAGTACTAAGCAGAGCCAGATCTATGTAATACCATTTATGCTTGTTGGAACGATATTCTGTCCGGATTTCACAGCTTTCTTACAACTTAGCCTTAGGCTGAATGTATCTCTCCCACACATCTTTAAGCATCCCACCTCTCTCTGCCGCCTCGACATTCATGGGTAACTGCTTCGTCCAGCTCATCAACCTCTCATAGGCATTTCCATCTTTCATTCCAATAGCAGATGCAAGACTAGCATCCGAGAAATCCCACGCATCCGTCAAAGCAACCGCTTCAGGAACAAGAGTATCCAACAGAACATTCGTCTGCTGGTGAACAACTTCCATCTCGGACTCGTGAAGTAAACCAGGGCCGAAGAAACTCGCAGTGTCTGGTGACAAGGGCGATGTGATTTGTGCAAGAGCAAACAGAGATTGCAGGTGGCGAAGGACTTCGCGCTCGCGGCCGGCATCTAAAATATCGATTTGAGAGGCGAACTGGTCCAGCACAATAGATGAGAAATGCGCTTTTGCGGCAGATATGAGTAGCATCGCGTGCTCGTTCCAGGCATCTGATTTCGATTTGCCGACTGCTTGAGACTTTTGAAGGGAGTTAAAGGCCCTTCGAGCGAGGTTTGTCGCACGGTGCTTGAACAAGTTCTTTTGTGTTGTCGAGTCGAGCAAATTCTGGGACGCTGAGTAGATTGGCTCACACGTGTGCCGCATTGAGTCATTAGGATCGACCTTGTTCCCCTCCATGATTTTCATTAGATGACGAGCGACCTGTTGGAACATGACGATATTGTCGCCTTCAAGTGTGCAGAGGGCGTCCATGGCGTCTACCACTTCTGGTAGTCCAGACATGGACAAATACCCATGCCCACCACAGGCTTTTCTTGCATCTGCAGCCCCGTCAAACCCGACCGACGTGGCCCAAGCCTTGATTCCAGCCGTGACCACATGAACGTTTGCCATGGTGCTGTAGTCACCCCCAGCTTGACGTCGCTCAAAGTCTTTGACCATTTCTTCTGCATGGCGAGTGGCAAAGTGAATGGCATAGGCGTTTGCCAACGAAGTCAGGAGCCGATACTGCTGCGACTTGTAGTGCATCACGGGCACCTCGTTGGATTGTATACCGAAAGCAGGGGTTCCTTGTTCCCGCACAACAGAGTATCGAATTGCAATTGTGGTGGCCTGCGCCAGTTGGAAAGCGGCTGATTGAGCGACACCGACTCGACCCACAAGCATGGTAGAGTATGCCGCTTTTGGATGCGCAGCAAGGGTAGAGTATATTCCGTTCTTCGACACTTGGGATCGTGCCATCAACATATTGTCCCGCGGAATCGAGACGTGATCGAATCTGGCATAGCCATTATCGTTCTGGTTGTAAGAGGATTTGAGTCCTATGTCGCCGAGTTCGATACCCTGCATCAATGAGCCATCTGCGTCTCGAAGCTGCACAACAAAGGCGTGAATCCCGTGATCTCGTTCTCCAATCAAAAGCCGAGCCATAACAACAGCATGCGAAGCACTGAAAGCCAGAGACCCGGGCCAGTACTTGCTGGACGTCGTTGTCGGCGAATGAATCACAAACGCATCCCGGGCTTGATCAAACGAGGCTGTCGTCTCTAACCCACGAACAAACGTCCCATGGCCAAGTTCTGTCTGAGCATACGCCCAATTCCAGTCAGGATTCTGGAAGCGTTTCTTCTGCTCTTGCGTCGCCATGTGCTCGAGAGTCGGCTTGATCAACCACGTGGTCAATCCAAAGGGACTGTAATTAGAAAGACGGTAACGGGGTGTGAAAACGTCGAAAAAGGTATGATGATATCTTTTCATATCATCTTGTGCTGCTTTTCCTTCTTGGAGACCCTCACGGTAGAGATCCTCACGGCTCGCGAGCGCATATTGCACAGGCAATTTAGAAGTTTCGCTCGCGCCTGTCGCAGCTTCGACTCTACTCCATGCTTCTCGTCGAAGGCGAACAATTTCATCTCCTCCGTGAATGATACCTGCGAGTTTGGTTGTATTAATTGTGCCTCGAGCCCGCGCCTCGGTCATGAGTTGAGTCTGTCTGTTGGCCATCCTGAATGCGCTAACTAAATTTCAAACAATTTGGACTTTGGACTCGTGGAATCAGAATGCATTCTTATTTTACATCTTAGCCCTTTTATATAACTTGCGCAGGAAACTACTTGAACCGCGTACGCCTACCTACCTCGTATACACGTCGCGGGAAATCTAAGTTTGTAGCAACGGTTGCAAGTTCTTTGGATCACGCACGCCTTCTTCGTATATACTTCCATGGTTGTGCTTAGAGCAAGGCGTTTGCAGCATAATTTTAACTAAGCAGAGCAATTCCTCCTTTTCACTCCTAGCTAGAAACAGCTTGCTCCGCAGCCTTGTCTCAGATGAAAATGGAGAAAGTTGAGAGTCAGGCAACCAGGCCGCCCATTATACAGCTTCCAATTATCTCTGAGTTTACGAACTGATTACATGATCATAAAAATTCAAAAGAATCTGAAAAGCTATTCCGGTATTACGAGTAAGCAATGAATGTTTGGAAGAAATTATCAAGCTTTTGTTGGGATTTCAACATCTTGTTACTCAGCGTAACTAAACTCAATACTTTCCAAATTCCATCACTTTGAGTCGCGAGCGCCGAGTCGACTGTCTAGTGCACGTGAGCAAATCCGCAAATGTGGCGCTGTCTCGATTGAGATGGCTGGTCTTATCTTACGCTTCTGTGTCATGGGGCCTCTCCTACTCGTATTCCTAGCCTGAAGCACGGTTTACTGCCCCTTTAGGTCGCCGATATCCTATTTTCTTTTCTGTTCCGCGTCTCTCTCTCTCTCTCTCTCTACGCGCGGCCTGCTATCCCATGCAGGTTTCGTCATGCCTACTACCCTTGCTCAGCAACAATGCGCAAGGGGCTTACCACTACACAAAATGACATGGCGATGTGCTTTCTTTCCCCTTAATTTTCGTCCGCTTTTATGTTGCTGCAGGGTAGTGCGAGGCACATTGCGATGATTTGCTAAAGTATAGAGCAATTTGCGCATACTAGAAGGAACATGCAGTAAAAATACATAAATTTTCTTATCTATCTTATCTTAACGCGGTAGGGGGAGAGACAAAAAGCACTAAAGATATGTGTGAGAAGGATAGAAGATGTTTTATAGAAGAGGGGAGAGAGTGCGAAATTAGAAGTTAGCAGACAAGAGACGTACGTTATATACATATACTAATTCACAACTCAAAGCATTAGCAAAACACAACCCTTGATACCTAGACATTCCTTTACCCATCCATCAACCCATCTCCATTTCCTCTCCCGGATCAAATTCAGATTCGTAATCCTCCTCCTCATCCTCCTCATCCCCCTCCGCCCTAAAATAAAAAAAATCAACAACATCCCCCACCCCCCTCCCAACCCTAACAACATCAACAACCTCATCCCACTCCTCCACAACAGGCCCCTCAATCCACCACTTTACCTCCTTTACTACCCCCCTCTCAACATCCCTCCCAACGAACCGCCCCAGCTCCGCTACGAGATCCAGATCCCGGTAATCCCAGCGGTCGGAGTCGGAGTCGGAGTCGTAGCCGAAGACGTCGCGGAGCACTATAGATGTAGCGGGCGATGCGATCTTGAGTTGTAGGAGCGGGAGCAGGTCGAGGGGTTCGGAGGAGGTGGGGAGGAAGGCGTACATTTCTATGTCGAGTTTTTTGGGGCCGGGGAGTGTGTGTGGGGGGAGGGGGAGGTTGGGGGTTAGGGATGGGAAGAAGGCTTGCATGAAGATGTTCTGGGTAAAAGGGGAGAAGAGTTAGTGTGTGTATGTGTTCTTTTTCTTTCTAGGGAAGACTTGTGTGGTGTTTGGATATAGCTAAGGGTCGCTAAGCGTTTTCTCCATATTGCGAGGAGAGAAGATTGGAGTATCACCGGTGGAGTTGGTTCGACGTGGATGGATTGATATCTCACGGAGAAAAGAAAAAAAAAAGAAAAGAATGGAAGCGTACCAAATCGTCGACCAAACGCGGCCTGATCGTCATAACAGTACTCTTGAGCCACAGCGGTCGATACTCAGCCCTCGTCCTCCGACAGACCTGCGTCAGCGCGAAGAACCGGCGAAACGTATTTCGAGGGCGCCTGTGGTAATGGCCGGGGTTGATTAAGTCGGTTTCTGACCAGTCGAAGAGGGGACCGTGAATGAGGGACGCATTTGGTACGCGGCGGTAGTAATGGACGGTCTCGTCTGCGTAGTAGTAGATCAGGTTTCGGACCTCTGTGAAAGATGAGTGGTTGGTTGCGCGAATGTTAATTGGTGGTAAGTGGAATGCTTACCTGGCGGGAGACGCAGGAAGCCTTGGGGTTCTTCGATGGAGTCTATCTCCATGGCCTCGCCACCATCTAAGGCGGAGATATCCATCGTTGCAAGGTGGACTTTGTCGTGCGATAACATGATGTAGCCGTGGCGACAGTGGTTGAGTCACCCAGGATAGCAGTCGAGTTGCGATGGTTGCATGCAAGTAGCTACCCATCCCCAAATCGAAGAAAAATATGTGTCTTCTAGAAAAAAACCTAGCACGGATAAATATTTATTCCTTCATCAGAGCGGTAACACAGAGAGCGGGCTGGAACCTCCCAAATACCACGTTTGGAAAAACACAAACACGACTTCAACGCTAAGTTGCTTTCCTAAAGCAGACATCGCATTTGTCGCAAACGCTTTGGTGGGGTATCCACTGTGAGAAGGGAGGGATGGAATGGAATGGGAAGAGATGAGATAGAACGAAACAAGAGTAGTAAAAATTGGAAGATTGACGGAGGCGATCTAACATAACGAGAAATAGTAATAGGAAGCAGGCATGACTTATTTTCTACACCTCGATCACCTCGAAGACATCTCGTATAATCGAATACTCTACATACTCATATTTGTAGATGAATCTTACAAGGATCTGACCTACAACTACTATCAAGTGTACCCATAAGTCACTAAACCTGAACCCAAGAAACGAGGGAACAGCAAAGAACTAAACATGACAACAACCCATTTAAATAAAAACTAATAGATTCATGGATTCTAATATCCACAGCGGTTCTTCTCTCTTAAGCAGACTAAAAAAGCGCTCCCTTTAAGTATCTAGAAACTTATTCCCCCCCCCCCCCCCCCCCCTCTCCTCCTCCTCCTAGTTCTAAATGCCCCTCCAGAAAAAAATCCCCAAGAAAAAACCCGCTAACGAGCAAACAAATAAACAAAGAGACAGAATCCATCCCATCAACCATTCCCCTCAACTCCTCACTCCTCCTTCTTTTCGACCTTTTCGCGATTCTCCTTGACATCCTGATAAGGGTACTTGATAGTCAAGCACCAAATATCCAGATAATCGCAGATAGTCCAAATCACATCGACGACAAAACTAGCATGCACACCCACGGCGAGGCCCAGGCACGAAAAGACAAACGCGACCTGATACACGTCGTCGCCGAGGGCGCTGGGCCATCCGAAGCCGAGGGTCTGCTGGAGGAAAGGGCCCAGGGAGTCCGCGACGCCGTAGATGAGGGGGTAGATGAGGACGTTGCCGCGGGGGAAGCGGGACTTGGTGAGGTGCGAGATGATGATGCGGCCGACGGAGAAGGCGTTGATGAGGCCGGCGTAGAAGGTGAAGGGGACGAGGTGGGTGGAGCGGATGTTGGGCTGGAGGTAGAGGTAAGCGGGGATGAGGGTCCAGGCGGCGGCGAAGGTGAGGAGGCCGAGGAGCGCGACGCGCGTGCGTTGGCCGCGGGCGCGCCGCGCTTGCATGACGTTGATGGCCGAGCTGACCGTGTTGAAGACGAGCATCACGCTGCCGTACACCATGTACCACTCGTTCCACGCGAGGTTGTAGAGGATGGGAGGGATGGACGAGTGGGGTTGCACGCCGAGGGTGGCGAGGAGGGGTTGCTGCCAGAAACTGCCGCCGCCTAGGACGGCGGTGAGGCCGTAGATGATGCAGAGGGTGAGGATGCCTTCGACGGGACCCGAGACGATGCCGAGTGTGAGGGTGTGGGTGTGGTATTCCTCCCAAGTCTGGACGTAGAAGGTCATGAGGGAGGCGAACAGGACAAGGACCGTTTTCCAGCCCTGGCCGAGGTTCATGGTGGCGGAGAAAAGGAGGACCTCGAGGGTCGTGTTGACGGCGTCGACGCCGTGGTCGAAGAGCTCACCCAGGGGACCGCTTTGACGCGTGCGTCGCGCCTGGCTGCCATCGACGGCGTCAAAGGTTTGGTAAAGGAAGAGCCCGATAGCCCAGCTGGCGTAGACCCATGGCGGGCAGTCTTGGTCGAGAGTAGGCGTGTACCACAGGAGAGTCAAGAAATTGGCCACAATGAAGCTAAAACCGAGGGTGGTGATGAGGTTCGGGGCCATCCACATGGGAAAGCATTTGATGACGAAGTGGGTGTAGAAGGGCTTGAGGATATACCGCGATACCAAGCTGTGGTCGACGCCTTGGTATTTGTACTCCTTGAGCTTGGGGAGCTTGTCCTGGCGAATATACACCATGGTGATGGTGGTGGTGAGGGAATAACACGCGTGGGCGCAAGGAGAGGTGATGAGGGAAGAGGTCGCGATAATTTTTGGTGTTGTTGCTGTTTCCGGTTTCAATTTCGCGTGTTGCATGTGTTTGGACCCATGACGTGGTGGTGTGGGGGTTCTGCCTCTAGCCGTATCCGGTTAGTCAGCTTCACCGGAAAATAGCTGGTTGGAATTCAGAACATTGGTCAAGTCGAAGATCAGATGAAGGGATCCAATAAAAACAGTGTTTTGATATATATGTATACGGAAAGATTCCCAATCCTCAAGACGCCACGAGCAAGTGTGCATCGCCCGACGTCTTTGCTCCACCAACCAGCAAGCACTTGTTCTCGTCTTGAACCCTCGCAGGCCCTTCGCCAGACTTGAATTTTTGACAGCCTATTCGTCCTCTCCTCCCTTCGACAGTGCTAACCGCTCCATATCATGAACACCGAAGAAACACAGGTCCCAAACATTCTGCAGCCTGGTTCGAAACGAGCCTTCGCCGCAACGAACACAAAGACGCGCTCAAGCCACCGTGCTCCACGGGCACGGAATCAAGATCCGACTCTTCATCGACTGAATCAAGGGCACGGTCTTGTGCACCGTCTCTCCCCATCCCTCAACGCTCCAGCTCTGCTCGCGACGCACCTTGCGCTCCTCCAGATTAGCAAACTGCCACAGGTGGTGAACCGTATTCAGCTCGCCAATCTGCACAAACCACGCCCCCACACCTTCCATCACCTCCCTGCGCGCCTTGAGCCCGCGCCTCCAGTGCGTCTCCCACTCGAGCAGGTTTCCGGGGTGCAGCGTGTAGGATCGGAGCTCGAAGAGCCCACCGAGGTGGCGCGGGGGAGTCGTAGGCCAGAAGGAGAATTCCTGCATGAGCGAGGAGCGTTTGGCGTTGATGAGCGTCTTGAGCTTGGAGTCAAATTCGGGGAACTCGGGGTGGGATTGGATGGCGTTGAGTGAGGCGTGATAACCTTCGTATCGCTGGTACTCCCAGATGTGAACTATTTCAGTCAGCCTGGAATCCTTCCCCTTTCCTCCCCCCTAACCAATTTGAACAGACTTTTAAGGGAAAAAGCACAACGTACCAAAAGTATCGCAATCCCCAACCTCAGTCCTCCAGCTCCCCACAAGATGAACCTTATTCTCAGGCGACGAAGCCATCTTGGGGTACCACTTCCCCACCAGCTCGGTATACTCATCCACCTTATCAGGCTTCACCTCGTGAAAAACAATCGAATGCACATATTTCCCGCGAGCAAGGACCTGCGAGAAACTGCGCTCGATATCCTGATCTAACTCCCTCCCCTCCGGCGTACCATAGATGAGCGTCTTTAATGCACCGCCTTTCTTTTTATCGTCTTGCTCCGCCAACCGTGCTTCCTCTATCCACACATATACCTTGTCAGCAATGCCGCATACACCTCACATAAGACGCCAGAACTCAGAGCAACTCACTTTCCTGCTGCTCCTTCTTCTTCTGGGCCGTAATCAGCCCCTCGCGGAACTCCTTCTGCCGCTGATTAAACTCAGCAGCGCCATCGGGCTTCACATCGGCCAGCGCAGGCGTCCGCACGGGGTTCCGCGACGCTGCAAGCGCAGCGAAAGACCGAGCCGCTGTAGTTGTAGTAGTCGAGGGCTGCGCAGCCGCGATGGCGCCACGCACGCTGCCGCAAACACGTCGCGTGAACATTGTGTCGCTCGATACCGCTACCGAATCAATCTACCAGACGATGGTGCAATGGCAATGGCAAAGACAGCGATGAAGAGCAGCGTGTTGGTTCGAGAAGAAGGGGGTATACGAAGGAAGAGTGGTGCGAGTGGAGGAGGTGGTGAGAAGTGTCGAGAGAGAGAGAGTGACAGAGAGAGTGACAGATTGGAAGCTTCCCCTCACGTACAGCTGGGGGGAGCTCCTACCTCCTCTCCTGCCTTCCCTGCCCCACTAACCCTAATCCAGCTTAGCCCGCTCGCCCTGATTCCCTGGAGAAACTGGGGTAAACGCAAACAACACCACTTCCATCATCGATTCCCACACCCACAGACTTTGGCATCACGTATGTGTCAATTCTTGGCCATATATTGCAGAGCTGCTTGCGCCATTCCTCGTCCAGCTGGATAGCATCGCGGACTGTCGCTTGCGTGGAAGTGGAGTAGATACGCCCGCGCGCATTGTCTAGACGAACGACGCTGACGTCACTGTTCTCCCGCCGCTGACGGAGCTTAGGTCTCTATGCGCGCGCCGCTTCATATTCCGCGGCCGAGATGGGTTAGCTTGGTGGTTTCTTCGTTCCATCGCGCGCTGTGGAGGTCGTATAATTGATTCTAGGCACGCACAGTGGTGAAGTTGTTGGAGTGAGTATATGGGCATATGTAGCGGGTAGGTATCAAGAAGGGACGAAGGGGAGGGACGCGGCATTGTGATATGAAATTGTCACAACTCTGGAGTACTACTTGTCATGAAAACGTATGTGAAGATCAGTAGTCGTTATCGTACAAGGAGAAACGTTGGAAAAAGACAAAAAGGAAATACAAGGGAAACATGAATCGTGACAGTCGTAATAACACAGAACCGAAAAAAGCCATCTTCCCCCATCTCTTCTCATTTCGTATTTCATCAAATCGGACGTCCTCTTCGCCCATATTCCACAACCTCCACAACATCCCTATCGAACCTGCGCCGCCCGGAGCCCGTTCGACCGACTCCTCTTGATGGCCCCAGACTGACGCTCCGTCGACTGCTCATCCCCATCCCGCTGTCCCGCCTGCGATCCACATGCTTCACGCTGTTCCTGCGTCCGGGCGCAGTATCGCGGTCGCCAAGCTCCTCGACGTCGACCTCGGATTCTAGCTCGTGCACATCGTGATCTTGCCAGACATGTTTGATCAGTGCCTTGACGTCGCCGCACACCGTCTCGGTGCTGCCGGAACCCTGCGAACATAGCACGCAGCAGTATCCAGCGTCTGCACCGCTGCGGTGGCACTTCACTACGAACCGGTTCGAGACGTGGAAGATGCGCTCGTGGCCTAGATGCGTGTCTTGTTTGATGACTTCCCACGATTTTCCGGGGGACAGTTGGAGTGTGCGCTGGCAATGCGGACAGAAGGGGGTAGATTCTTGGGTGATGGCCGGCGAGAGGTTTTGCTTCGAATGTTGCTGAAGGTCTAAGGCGTATAGGCAGTACGCGGTTGGTGGAGCGGAAGTGGCGTAGGATGTTGGACCAGAGAAGGCGGTAGACTCGGTGTCTGTTCTTTGCGCTTTGGGCCTGTTACTGAGGATGGTCGTCTTCGCAGGGTATGCAGATTCGCGGTCTCCCTCGTGGTCATGTCGTGAAGATTTTACCAGCGCGGTTGACGCTGAGCCGTCTGCGGTCACCGGGTAGGGAAGGGGCTGTACATGGCTGCTACGTGCGGTGTGAGATCGAGTTGATCGAGACGAGGTGGGCAGGACGGAGAGCTGACGTTGCTGCTGGGCGCTAAGCGCATCTACGGTTTGAATGCCCGCTTCTCGTGATGCTGCAACGAGTACAGAGAGATGCTTCGAGATGGGATCTGGTTTGGTCGGGCCGTAGAGAAAGGTCGTGATGAGTGCAGACTGTAGCGTGATGATCTGTGACTGTAGAAAAGTCTGTGTGACGACTGTACAAGGTCAGCATGGTGTTCGGGAGCCTTCACTTTTCCGGATCGGAATATTCACCATCTCCTACAGCGAACTGTGTTCCTACGTCGCGGAGCCCGATTTCGAATTGTCGATTCACCGCAGACCTGTCCAGCGCAAGCGATTCATCACCTTTGTCGTTTTCTTCATCACCGGCATAGTAGTCCAGCTGCCGCGACGACGAGCGGCCTCTCGATCTCAGATTCTCCTCATAATCTCGCCTCTCTTTGGCTCTCAGCGTCTGATGCAGATCTCTTGTAGCGTCAAAGACGTCCAATAAAGTGTAGACGAGTGCTTGCACTACATTTGCAGGATCAACGGCCATCTTCTGCATTCTGTTAGCACTAGTCTCCATCGGCCACCCACGCGTCAATCAGGTAGAGCAAGCATCAAGCTTACCGCGGCGGCACCCATCTCGAGGGAACAAGGACAAGATCAGTTCGGCCCTTCTCAAGTCCAGCAAAGCAGATCCCTTATGCTTTTATTCGAGCATGGCGCAGACCTCCGTTGCCCGTCTTACCGCTGACACGCCAACACAACGTTCCCCACATATTTCTTCTGGCGGTTGCCCACTCGCAGCAAATTGCCCGCGTTGAGCAGACTGCAGATTGAAAGCACGGCACGGCACTTTGTACAGCTGGCACTGCGCAATTGGCGCAGCAAATCCCATTGCGGGTTTCTGATTGGAGTCGGTCCCTTCGGGTACGGGCCGCCCATAAGAATGCCGTGGGAGCGAATGCGGGTGCAGGGATGCGATGACGTCTCGAGTGGGCTCTCTAAGCAAGGTACCTTTTATACAAGCTCCCACGGACGACCGAAAGAGTTGTAGTTCTCGCGCCAAACTTCCAGAAGGAGGACTTATTCTGGAGTTGGTACCTTGGGGGAGCCGTATCCGGATGGTGTGCCTGGTGGGCAAGGAGATTTAATGGGTACCTTGTCGAATGCCAGACACCGTATTCTATCGAGGCGGTGTGCTGCAGCGATAGGCACATTGATGAAATTGCATCGAAGATCGTGGGGTTTTTCGAGGGCTGGTATCATTCCCCACAAGTGTGACCCTGTGCGGTGACACACGTACGTGTACGTGTTAGACGATGGTCGGTAGAGTCAGCGTCATCGGGGCTGTAAGCTGATTATTGATTATTGCCCTACAATCGTTCGGTATCATGACGCACGGAGTAGTGATGCGAAGGACCATTGCATATCGCGATATGGTCTATTGGTGTAATCGCCGAAGCGTGAAGGCCCTTGAATTTCCAATGTCTTCAGATGGGCCCTGATCGACGCCAAGACATCCCACGTGACTTGCATCAACACCTGGTGTTGCCTCCAGATGTCGATCCATATTCGACAGCGGCTAGAACGCTTACTACAGTAACTATCAAGGAATGCGATTGATTCGAAACAACTCGATCGATGACAGAACTTACAAGAGAGTTAGTTCAGCAGTCAATGTATAAGTCGCACATTCATTATACATTTTAATTAAATCTGACTCTTCGTCCAGTCCTAACCAGATATCTAATACTTTTGTCTAGAGATTATCGTAAGTCCTGCATCAACCCATTACTGGGCCTCTTCCGAAGCGGCGAAGTCTCTTCCTTTGTGCCAAAAGCTGCGAACGGTTTCCCACTCCCATCATCCCACGCCTGTCCAAACCTAACTTTCAGCTTCAATAACTCCTTGGGAGACCGCTCACCCAAACGGACTTCCTTGGTCATCCTGTTCAATGCTGAGTTGCTCGCTGTAGTCGTGCCTAGGATCTCCAAGAAACTCCCCGTGGAGGCTGAGGTCCCGTTGTGTATCATAGCCCAGAAACCTAGACATACGAGGATGAGATAGGCGCCGAGACCTGCACAGTATGATGCGATGAGCCGCACGGGTTCCTTGAAGACATATTTTGATACGAATTCGGTTCGCGTCACTTGGGTGTCGACGAGCTGCTTGCCATTGTTGAGGAGAGAGATGGTGACGTTTCGCATGAGGTCTTCCATGATGGTTGTGGTAAGATCGAAGTCAATGGTGTAGCCGGCAAGTACTTGGTCTAGGTCTTCGTCGCTTTCCATATTTTTGGCGAATCTCGTTTCGGTGAGCGCGGTTGTGCTTTCTATACCTTGAGAAACTGCAATTGTCAGAAGTGGTTCGATAGAAAGAAGCAGGACTGATACTTACGCAATGAGACGTTTCCAGCAAGACTTGATAAAAGGGCGTCTGCCATTGCATATAGTTGGTATCTGCCGTACATTTTGGTGACGTCTTGCCGAGAGAAACCGTTCGTTGTCGGAATTTGGATTGTTTTCTTATAACCACCTTCGCCGTCATGAAGATCGGTCAAAACGTCGTTCCAAATCGATTTGGGGGTGTAGAGGGGATATCCCAATGGTTTTGGTTCGTTCACATCAACGGTGACGTTCTGAATGTTGTTGATATATTCAACCTGAGCCGTATATGTCGCGTTGGTCACCACACAGCCAATGCTATACTGTTTTACGCCATTCACTTCGCTTATGCTACTCCCCTTCCTGAAGAGCATATCGAAAGCGAAGTATGAGCCTCCTTTCGGATTGACGACACGATAGTCATAGTCTAAGCCATGCTCGTTCCAGTCCATTCCGCTCCATCCAGTTTCGACCCATTCTGTCTCGTTCCAGGACTTTTCGGTGACGTTAAGAAAGTCCATGATTTCCTTGTCGTCTTCCCACATCAAAAGGTCTTCTTCTGGCAATGGATAATCTGAATCCGGAAGGGAGTAAGCACCAAAGTATCGAGCAGCACTCAGTATTGCGTCAGTGATGTTTGCCATATTATATATTACATCAAGGTTGTCCTGGTAATCATGGACTGCTGCGCGTCCATAAGGCCAAGAGTTCTTGCATGTCAGAGCCGGAGCCAGAAACTCCACCTCATAAGTGCAGTTTGGTCCACACGGTGAGGGCCGAGTGAGGTATTCGCCTCGGAGTAAGGTCTGTTTACCGATGCTCGAATATTGTGGGTGAACGCCCCTGCTTACAGTCAGTACAATGCGTCTAAATCTTCGACAAGAGGAGAGCCTCGCCTATAATGCGACATGCCATTAACCATCATGAACATAGAGTTTGATGAGAATTCTTTCAACGTTCCATTTCCCCAATCCTGGACGTCAATTGTGGGAACCTTTTCAGTCCCCGTGACGACGTTTGGTAGTTGCTCGATAACAAGCGCACCAGGTGGAAATGCTGTAATTACAGCGATAAGAGGAAAGAAAAGCGCAAAGAACCACATAGCTGGTGCAACACGCAATACATCTATCCGGTACAAATATATCGGACTGATATTTAGTCGAAATAGCGCATCAATCTTGGATACAGCCATTGGGTTGCGGCGCAGTAACCACCAGAGGATCTGCGTGAAAGCCTGCATCCCAGCGGCTGCCAAAGCGATCGAAAATCCTTGCGCGAACAAGATGGCCAAAGCGTTGTTCCATGATTGGGATACTGAGTCTTTGACAATCTTCTGATCGACTTCTCGACAGTATATGTAATGGCCCACTGCCCATAGAACAGCTGTTTCGATGTCAGAGCTGATACCAGATTTGGACGTTTAGCTGCAGTACACACCTGCGATGTAGCTCGTCAACATGGTGGTGGGAGTTTGCCATCCAATCTTGTCACCCGTCGTCGGGCTCGGGCTTGTGTTCGCACTGTGCAACTCATATTGTTGACTTCGGGTCGTTTTCGATGGAGAGTTGTTTCCCGTGCCAGATACATCGTTGGTGGATATCGAACTGGGTGGCGCATGAATATCATTTGAGCGACTGAAAAGCGGCATCGTGAAAGGATCAAAAAACAACTTTTGGAGGACGACGGGTAGCTGGTGTGGCGGCGTACCGCAACATTTTGTATCTTTAAAAAAATAGTCTTGGCTCTAACAACGCCGCAATGGCGCATTTAATGAAGGCTTTGGTGCACTGTTGTGAGCTGAGGCTGACAGGGTATCTTCTCCAGGGTCGATTTGCTGCGCCGCGTAGCTACAGGGATCATTCCCCCCGAACTACCAAAGTCCGTGGTAGAGAAGACCATTGAGGAGGATAAGCATGCTACAGCGCGTAGACGAGGCAGACCGGATTGTGATAAAAACAGTATGAAGCAAAGCCTCCAGACGAAGCTCAAAATGTACTTCAGCCTGCTCTACATGTTCCTATATCTGACTTGTTGTTACGGAAGGGCCCATAAGCATCGGCTCTATCGGGAATCAAGCTCCCTGACTAGTGCTGAAAGAGAATCCCCTATATTCCTTATGAATAGCGCGTGTCAGATCCAGCCAGTTAGCTCTAGTAGCTGTATCCAATTGGTGTTTGTGTCATTTGGCCCCAAGGGCGAAAATCCAGCGGTGGTGAATTGAGAATCCTGACTGAGAAACTGCGGATGGTTGTTTACCCGTCTATGTCTTTGAACATAATCGTGCGTTGGCATGCGCTTACACCGAATCACCCGACGGCTGAATATTGATCGCTTTCTGTGTTCGTTGATGTAGTTCTAGATCAATCAATTGATGCTTTTAGAACATCAATTTTACGTCGGTAAAATGCCTTCGGGAGTGATCAATATTCATCTTAGACATCGATGATCTGCACGACTCGGCAGTACTAGATTTGACTGCGTATTTGACGTAGTGACTGAATGAGAATGATATACGTCTCGATCACAATAAGACGTGTGCTCTCGCGAAGCACTCGTTTGCCGTTGGTGTAATTGATCTTGTTGATGACAGACAGCTCTTAGATGATCGTAAACCTCTTCATCGTCTGCTCACCCAAACTCTTCTCTCTCACCATTGATTCCCACCACCCGACTCTTCTGTACAACTCATCACCAACGTCGGAATTTCGCCCAGTGGCGACAACACCTATACCAATCGGGTGGGGGTATTGGTACGGATCTCCTACTGCAATGATTAGTAGCCATATTGTCCTGATCTCCGCCGATCTGGGCTCATCGTCGAAATAGAAATCTATCGATCCATCGATTTTTGGAAGATGACTTAGATCCTCCGCAGAATCATCAATGTTGCTATTGTCATCGACCCTGAACTCTCCCGCAATACACTCTATGACAAGTTTGGCCGACTGGATAGCACCGTTCGGTACTTTGTGATGCACGGGAACAACGCTGCACTCAAGCACACGTGCAAGATCATCAGCGCGATCCAGATCCTCTCGCGACTGATAGTGAATGGGGTGGTTGCGCGAGGCCCACGACCAGGACGGCGCGACATAGCGTGCATGGGGTTTACGAGGCGATAGATCGGGTGGAACTTGCCACATGAGATCGAGTGTGAGCCAGTCAAACCAAAGCCCTGCACAGTATGCTCCCATTCCGAAACTCTTTTGCCACCGCGTTGCTACTCCCGAAAGCGCAGCCATAGTATCATCAGGAAAAGTTGTGTACCGCATCGTGTAATCTCTCACTAGATTGGGCCATTCCTGCCCGATTCCTCGCATCCCCCAATCTAGGCCTTCATGGCGGTTCGTCTCTTGAAATCTTGCTACTATTGAATCTAAGGTCATGAGACCCTTAGGGTATCGAGGGAACTTGCCTCCATCTGATCGTATCGAGTGACTTGAACATCGGAAGATGGGACGCTGGCCTGCTGAAAAAATCATAATAAGCCGAGGGCTCAAGAGTGCTTCCTGGAAAGTCCATGCGCGAGTGAGAATAGGTTCTTCAGAGATATTACTCTCCGAGAAGTCACCCCGTATCTCCAAGACTGCAGCGCGTCTGCTCTCGGTATCATGCAGTTCAATGTTGTGTGTATCAATTCTTGTCTCGCGTACTCGGGCAGACGGAAACAAGCCATCGTCGGCTTTGTGAGATGACATAGCGCATATCGTAACTGTTGCTCCAGAATATATAGACGACATTTTGCCAAGCTCAAGACTCTTTGAACGACCTGAATCTTGAACTATGCAGAAAGCGTCAATCCATATATACTCCAATCCAAGACTGATTGTAATCCTGATCGCGTCGAGGGGTGTCGCGGGAAAAGCAGAGTTGTCAATTTTCTTGACGTATTGTGCTACACGACTTGAGAGAGTCATTCCTGGCTGCGGTCCGCCCCAGCAGTAGCTCAAACAAGCGTAGGCAATGGGACGAACCTCGATCTCGGAGACGATAACCAGACGTACTGATGGTGATTCGATTGTTCCAGATACCTGGAGGAGCATAGACGGGAGGGTCTGAGTCTCGTCCGGGGAACACGTAGTGTGATTCTGTACACAATCATCTACTAAGCATCGCAAGACTTTCCCATCGTGTTTTAGCATATCAGTCCAATCATTGTGGTGCCGCAGCGTGGGATTCGGCGATTCGACAGCTTTGTGATCCCCTAATGATGCTTCGTTTGTTGAAAGCAAAGCCGTGGTTAGTCCAGATCGGATGAAATTGCGATTCACGGTGTATAGTCGAAATTTCACATCTGGCTCGAATTTCTCAAGCCCTTCTAGCGGAAAGATAATTGTAGACCATTCAGCGGCAGCTTTCAACTGTATGTCGAAGTTAAAAGTCGAGGTTACTTGGTTTGACCTCTTAGCAAACTGGAGGCAAGCACTCTTCAGAAGTGAGCAGAATATGCATCCTTGTTCATTGCCTTTCCCTGGTTGAACTTCTGTGGGGCTATACGTACGTCCCCACATACTCGTTGCAAAATCTTCTATAGACCTGGTGAATGGTCCGATATTTTGTAAATAATACTCATCGTTCGTATCGATTATTCTCAGGGTATGAGAGCCAAAAACATTATCTTGGCACCACCGACACAATTGCAGAGAACAAGGTCCTCGGTATTCTCGTGCTACACGCGAAAGCGCAGTTATCTGCTTCATCAGCCTTTGTAAAGTGAATATTCGGTGAAGAACTTACTAGAAAGTAGGAATCAGACTCGAAGCCCAGCCCCTCAGTATGCACTCCTAGTGCGCTATGCTCATCCACAACCTCCATTCCTCTCCTTCTTATGTATCTCGTTTCGGTATATCTTTCTCTTTTGTTCTTTCTTTCTGGAGGGTGATGGAAAAACCACCTCTCAGAACTACCTAGGTATTCTGTAATCGTGATTTGCGGTAGGTCGAGCGTATCGTATCAAACAATATCCGGCGTAGATGCTTGGCTTCGAGATGGTGATATTCAGAACGGATCGTATTCTCCTAATGGATGCTCATCGAATCACGCATGAAAACTGGTCTATCGAACTTCAAAATATCAGTGAAAACAGGACAGGTATGATGACGGACGCTGAAGATCTGAGTGTGCAGGTGGGGTGAGTAAGGAAGTGGCTGAGCATTACGGACCCCTGCAACGCAGGCAACCATTTTTGCATACATGTACATACTAAAATGTATCACTTTTAAACGAATTGCTTACCTTACCTCTGCCTTATTCTTCAACAACGTGAAACGACCCGTTACGATAATGTGTGACGGTTCGTAAAGACCCGTGCATAGACTGCGCCACATCCTCGACGCCACACTTAGAGGAACGTCAATCCCATCGGCCCCTTCGCGATCCTCCTGGCCCTACACTGAAACACTCTCCATCACCGCTGTGCCGCCAACCAAACCCTAATATTGATAGCTGCCATGCCTTGACCCCGTTGAAAGCGCCCGCGCAAAGCCTTCTTCTGCGACTTTCTAACACATTTGCCCTCTTAGTTGTGTCACCTTGTAGCCTAGATGCTGGAGCAGACGACTGTAATAAATTCTGCGAGGCGTAAGCTGCTCATATGTTGGACGAAATTAAATACCTAGTGGGATTTGGCTTGAAGGATGTTGTAGCTTGGGGTACTACTGGTCTTGTTGTCGTTTATGAGCCGTCTATGACAGTCATCAAAACACCTCTCTACGACGATTGTTCCGACCTTATTTTGAGAGAACGGGATATCTACGAACGATTTACTCAACTTGGAGGCCACCAAGGACTTCTCCGTTATTATGGAACTTTTGATCGTGGAATCAAACTGGAATACGCGCCGAAAGGCAATCTGCGTTTCTTTAGCAGCTAGAATAAACCTGATGACAGCCTTCGACTATAATGGGCTATTCAAATTGCGGAAGCACTCAATTTCAATCACAAAGCCGGATTGTTCTACGGGGATTTGACTTGCCACAACGTCTTCTTAGATAAAAAACTAAATGCTAGGCTAGCCAACTTTGCTAGATCTTTACTGGATAGGTCCTTGTTCCTTGTCGCTGCGACCGCAAGCCACGAGTATCCTAGACCTGTCTTATCTGCTTAAGGGGATCTTTTTGCATTTAGTTTTGTTCTATATAAAATTATGACTGGAAATGCTCCTTATCTAGAATCAAATGAAGATGAAATTCAGGCCCGATACTTGAAGGGGGAGTTTCCTGAGACGGATTTACTCTGAGCTATTAGTAACATTATCAGAAAGTGTTGGCAAGCTCAATACGATGTGTGTGAATTCGTTGTCCAGGATCTAAAAGGTATCCTTCAACTCCCAAGTTCAACTCTAATGTATCCTCTACTAGCGACGGATCATCTAGATATAGCAAAACAGGCTCCCTAACCAGTTTCAGGACACTACTTACTATAGTTAAGCACTGTTGATACCCTCCACGAGGGGAACATATATGCTAGCTAAGTCAAGATCACTATCTGTTTAGCATAGCTTCCTTCAGCCCCAGCAGCTGCGTAGTAGCTGTTTCTCTAACGTCCTAACGCCCTGTTGATGGGCTCGATTTACGTATGTAGTGCTCTTTAGCTGTGCCACTTCCTAAAATCACAGAAGATCCTCATGCGTACCACGTAATCAGTCCCTACAGTCTGCCTACATGTGTAAATACTTATATAGACATTTGAGCTTTTATCAAACAGGCTGTTTGGAGCCAGATCCTTCTTTGTATCCCCTGTAGCGTGGCCTATCCCCTATTCATCGATTCCTCGCTGGACGGATATCCGACCTGTTAAATTTGAATTCCTGATTTAGCTATACTTTTCACTTTCTTAAAAAGATAAATTAACGATTAGCCGTTTTGATGGTACATCTTGTCTTCATTTCAGCGCCTAAATGTGTCCTCATGTACCTAGGTAGGAGGGCGAAGACAGTCACGTGATGTTCAGTCTCCGCCGGATCTCTCGGCTGTTATGACATATAGTTGTGATACTACTTGCTCCACCCAACCGACCCGATTCATTCAAGATGCAGTCGAGATGTGTGTTGGATACGAGACAGCAAGTGCATACTGATGTGAATCTACACATGATGTCTGAAGTTGAATTACTCTGACTCAGCTAGCTGTACGCTAAATCATGAATCATGTTGGACGAGTCAGGTTGATCGAGTTCTTTGTTGAACTCTATTTAGTACATCATGGACATTATCATCTGCTTTCCATCGCTGGTACGTGCAGAAAATCGCGAATTCACGCGCGCATAATGATAAACCACGCATTCAAGCACTTGGCCGCAATGTTCAAAAATCAAGCCCAGCGAATGAACGCAGAGGAAAGGCGGCCAAAAGAATGATGTCAAACCAAGCTCAACGGAAAATAATATTCTAGCTTTAGCGCGAGCTCTCTGCCGCGATCCTTTTAGGCCCGGGAGCGTGCGGATCCTAGCTCTCGCCTTATCATTGTTGTGGCTCGTAAACCAAGTTGGAGCAAGAAAACGCCACGACGCATCGACTACATCATAGACGTTAGCCTGACGATCTGCGGAATTGCTTGTTTTTTTATGATCCCCACTTTCACACCACCATCACATTTCTCCGAGGACTTGAACAAGGATTACACGCGAGAGGAAGAGGTAGCTATGTGGTAATTCCGATTCAAAAGCTCGGAAAAGCGATGATATTTTCTTGGAACGCTGATTCGATGGGGTCAAAATGCGCATGGCGCTCTCCGAGAATTGGTCGAGACAAATTGATGACTGACACTCGCACTAGCTCAAAATCTGATAAAATCTAGACTGCCGTCAATCGGCTTGCCATGTGCGTGTGCAAGATGAGGGGGTTGTGCATGGGATTTATGCTAGGGCGACTGGATGGGTGGTGGTACTGCGTGCATGTGAGACAAGCAAGAACAAGAAAAAAAAAGCTTGATTCGTTCCAAGCTTTCTTTTTCTTGCTTATTCTCGATATCCGTCATAGATGCATGCACGCCATGATGCTTGTGTAGTTATTTCCGCGACCCGGATTCATCGTCGTACGATTCGAGATGGGTCTTCGTCCCGAGTCCCCCCAGTCTGCTCACATGGTAGGGTTTATCCTTTGTATAAAGATGTCGTAACGCCCTTCTTCCCTTTGAGTTTTTATTGCCAGATATAGAAACTCACTTCCGTTTCGACTTTTGTTTTCTTTTCTATCGAAAAGTTATCGGGAAGTTTGATCAAATACTATTTGAAGTAGCAGTCCAGTTGGAGACTACTCCTCTCCCTCCACCATGACCCTCGAAAAGCGCAACAACGCTTTATACTACAACGGTACACAAAAAATCCTCAAACATCTCTTACTCTCCAAAAGCCCCCTTACTAACGTAACCTCTCCAAGACAACACCGTCAACGGCGCAACAGCAGACATAGCCATAACCACCCGCGGCTCAGACTGGTACTTCGCCGTGAGCGCCATAATGGCCGTCGCGGCATTCTCCTTCATCGGCCTCGCACTGCGCAAGCCCCGCCGCGACCGCCTCTTCCACTACATCACCGCATCCGTCACTTTCGTCGCCGCTATCGCGTACTTCACCATGGGTTCGAATCTCGGCTTCACGCCCATCGCCGTGGAGTTTTCGCGCGCGGATCCGAAAGTCCGAGGGCAGTATCGCGAGATTTTTTACGTCAGGTATATCGATTGGTTCATTACTACGCCGTTGCTGCTCATGGATTTGATGTTGACGGCGGGGATGCCGTGGCCGACGATCCTGTTTGTGATTCTGGTCGATGAGATTATGATTATCACGGGTTTGGTGGGCGCGTTGGTGAGGTCGATTTATAAGTTTGGGTTCTTCGCTTTCGGTGAGTCTCCATCCTTTTTTTCTTTCTTTTGTTCATCACGGATTTGGTTCCCTCCCCCCCCCCCCCCTTTCCATGTCTCTTGAAAACAGACAGACACAGAAAAACAAAGAAACAAACAGTCTAACAAAATCGGTACGAACCAAAAAACAGGTTGTTTCGCACTCTTCTACATCATCTACCACCTAGCCTGGGAATCGCGCCGCAACGCCGCGCGCTACGGCGCAGACGTATCCCGCGTCTTCCTGCTAACGGGCTCCCTCACGACGCTGCTCTGGATCTGCTACCCGATCGCCTGGGGCGTCTCCGAGGGCGGCAACGTCATCGCCCCGGACTCCGAGGCCGTCTTCTACGGGATCCTCGATCTTCTCGCGAAACCCGTTTTCGGCGCGTTGCTGATTTGGGGTCATCGGGGGATTGAGCCGGGGAGGTTGGGGCTGCAGATTAGGGACTATGATGGGGATGATTATGTTAGTGAGAAGGTGGGGAATGGGGTGAGTAATGGGCATGGCAATGGCGTTACGAATGGCCATGGGAATGGCGTGGTGAATGGGCATGGTGGTGTTGCTGATCATGCACCTGCTGGCGCTCCTGTTGGTGGTGGTGCGCCGACGCATGCTCCTAACGTGTAGTCTAGTTTTGGCTGAGAGAAGAGTGTGGCAGTTTGAATCGTGTTGAGTGGGGATTCGGAGGGTGGTACAGTTGGTTTTCTCTTTCCGTTCGGTTAGGGTTGATTCGGGCTTTCTTTTCTCTTCTATTGTCGTACAGTTTCTGCTTAGTCCGGTCAGGGGGAAGATATGTAATGTTTGATTGAGTGGAAGTTTGTATTGGGATTGATATACCACGCCTCAGTCTGTCGCTTCTGAGCGACGTTTTCTGCGTTGATTTGTTGCCAATGTTTTGTACTAGTCTTGCTATTTTAATCTATTCAAAACCCAAAATTGTTTTACTATCTTGATGCTCTCTTTATGGGCTGATGAGATGGAGAGATTAGTGTAATTCTAGTCCCGTTGTCTAAGTCTTCGCGAAACCATCATGCTATCAAAACTACCGCATGGAAAAAGGAAAAGATGAACGAAATAGGTGAAATACAGAAGAGTAGCCGCATCTTGTTGATCGCGATAAAGCTCATACCAGCTGATAGGGACAAGATGCATGGTGTTGAAATCTCTAAATGCAGTTGATTGCAAGGCTCATGTCAACGTAACGTATGCATCTAATGCTCTTGAAATGATAAGAATAGATCGAGAGTAAACATTAGAAGAGGAGGTAACACAACAATGATGCTTGCATGCAAGTACTTTCGATGACAGATCAATGAAAATCATGATCTGCATGCTCGCAGAAAAACACCGAAAGAAGAGGGACTGGAAGCGCCCATCAGAAGCAAGAATAACGACCGCGTTAGTTATACCCTTAGGTTATGAGGGGTATCTCTTGCAAGAGGTTAGCAAGACTGCCTATTGGTTCAATACGCTCCACGCGACTCTCAGTCGACGAGCCTTCGGTACAGTCGCCCGACCGGCTTTGACGACGTAGCCATCCTGTTGCAAGACTCTGCCGATTTCCATATAACTCTCGACAGCGACTCTAATAGGACCACGAGCCTCGATGGGAAGCTCCTCGATAGCACCTCTGACGCTCGTGTACAGAGTAAAAGCCTTCGCCAAGAGTCTGGTGCGCATGTTCTCAATGACATCGCCGTGAGGGTGCTGCACGACGTCGGCGTATTTCAAGCTGTGTTCTTGGAGCCACGACAGAGGCAGGTAGACGCGACCGAGTTTGGCATCGACTTCAATATCTCGCGCAATATTGACGTACTGGAGCGCAATACCCATGTGATTACCGGCCTTGATGATGCGCTGGCGGTCCTTCTGCGGAGTTGTAGGATCGTAAATGTGAAAGATTAGCTCGTTGCACATTTGCGCCACGGTGCCGGCGACACGCTGCGCATAGATCTCCAAGTCCTCCTCTGTTTTTATTGGCGAAGATGTGTTGAATGCTAGATCCATTTCAAACCCATGCAGTAAGTCCTCCAGAGGTTCGCGGGAGAGCTTCGTGATTGGCAGCTGCAGTAATGCTGACTGCGTCTCCTTGGGGAAGTGCTCGAGGACGTATGCTGCGCTGACAGGTCCTCCTTTTGTCTCGTCATAAGCAATTCGGAGGAATTCGTGTATTTTCTCGATCCAGGCTCTAGCTTCCTCGGCTGAAGCAGCGTCGTCAACAAGATCATCTGCAACGCGACAGAACGAGTAGAGGAGCAGCAGGTCGGACCGAATTTGTCCTTGGAAGGTCGACGACGCAAGGTAGAAGCTACGGCTCTTGCGCTTTAATCGGTCAACCGCCTCACGTAATCCGGTTAGTCGTGCCTCGTCATACTTGGAGGATGCGGTGAGTAGGGCCTTGACAAGAAGTGCTGGAGAGGGCACCAGGGGCGGGTTCGGGAATATACTGGGAAATGTGTACAGAATACACAAGGCATTGTCGAATGCCACCTGACCGAAGACGATGAGGATATTGGTCACGAGGAAGAAGATGGCCTCCTCGATCTCCAGGCCATCCCAGAGGTAGACGCCAAACTTAGTTCCCGAACTGATCACCCACGTGCCTCGTTTCAAGGCAAGAGTGTCAACAATCCAGAGGTACAAGGTAGGCGCGGCAATGGGAATTAGTGTGTTAGACAGTGGCAGTCCAAGAATGAATTGATATGCCAGGGTCCTGATTCAAGGTGAGTAGGAGTCACAAAGTTCTTGATTTGAAGCAGACTCACCATAAGAGAAGTAGAAACGGAACAGCCCAGACCAGGATCAATCCTGTATATGTACCAGAGCCTTGAGCTTTGAGAATAATATATGCCCAACCGATGACACCGAGTAAAAAGATCTGGCCGAAAGTGCGGTACCAAGGCCACTGGCGATTCCGCGAGGATGCTTCAACACGGAGGTATACTGGCTGGAATGTCGACTTGCTCAGTAGCAGATACAACAAGGAGGTGTTGTAGGTTTGGATAATGAAGAAAAAGACTTCCTCGAAGGGGATATCGAACAATTTTGGGCCAACAATCACGTGACTAGGATAGGTCCAGACGCCAGTGCGGATGAGGTACGAGTCCCATGGGGTAGTGGAGACGACGGCGATCTGGAACAAAGGTCAGACGCATTGAAGAAAAAACCAATGGAGGCGAAGCGATTCCACGGTTCGCGCACATACTGTCACGAGGAATAGGATTTTGTAGACATCGATCTTAGTGAGGAGTGGCCTGTACAGAGCCGTCAGGACGAGGGCGGGAGGAATTGTGTACTTTGCGTGCCTGCGTAAGGGAAACTGATCAGCACATGCATTTTGGACCCAGTCATTGTTTCCAATAGATTGGACAGCGACAAACGAATGGATGACATACACCAATGCATACTCGTAGCCCATGGCGTGGCGGGTAGTGTTCCGTGGAGGACGGGTTTCTTTCACATGCGGTCAATGGCCGTTGAGTTACATAAACAACGCAGCAACGCGGCAACTAGCGACAATCACAGGGTACAGAGGGCGAAACAGCAGAGGAGGTGCAGGAGAAGACGCCATTAGGAAGTGGAGGTCGTGTCGAATGTTTTTGATTGAGCGGGCGACATGGCCGGCCTTGGTGGCTTGAGAGGGATGTAGTCCGCATCGGGCTTAGCGTGCCCATAACGACGTAATAGACTTTTGTAGGCTGGGCATGCTCATGTGTATACACCACCAACCTCACCTCACCTCACCTCACCTTCGAATCGTCTCGACAAGTTTCAGGCTGGGAACACAAAACAAACCTAAATTCTCCGCGCGCTGCAACATCAACACTCCAAACTCGAGTTGACCAATGTCCACCGACGCTCGTGAGGGGCTGCTCATGGTCGCGGCAGCGGAAGCGGGTAGGAAAAGGTCAAGCGTCGGCAGCGCGCGCGCGCGAGGTTAAGCGGCTGGTTCCACTGGGATTAGATTCCTAGAATCCTGTGTCGGCGTTGATATTCAGCCTAGCGGGCGCTCGACTAGTGTACCTGGGAGCCTGGGTGGGTGGTTATGTCATTACCAAAACAAGACTCTCTCACTCCGTTTCGTCCCGTAAGACTTCATCTTACATCCGTCACCACCGCCTCGTCCTGCGTCCCTTCATGCCAACAACACCATCACCTGGTCCAGGAACTACATACATTCTCCGTCTGAGCGAACAAACAACCCTGGTCTGCTCGCCGAGTTCTCGGGACTGCAGTTAGCCAGTGCCCTTATCTTTCCACCATCTATACTCAAGCGTCGCATTATACTTCGTCCTGTTGGTCTCTAGTCCCCAGTTCCTCTGCGCTCCGATTCTGCAATTCTCCGAATCATCATGTTTATTGGCCTGCTAGTGGCCCAGACACGTGCAAATTACATGTGCCGAACCGTGCATCATCAGATGGCGACATGTTTTTCTCCAAACGCCTCGGTGTGTGTCCCCTGTTTCTGACTCGGAAGCCCTGGATCCACCGCCTTCAATCCCAGTCGGTATTGCCATTGTTCAATGCTCCCCCCGTCAAGCGCTTCAATACCACTGTGCCCCGCCGTGGTCGCCGAGACGATCAGTTGCTTGACCCTTCGTATGTCTTTCTTCGTCCATGATCACTTTTTCAACGTGTACACCAATTGACCTTGAAATAGACACCGAACAAGCAAGCCTGATACAATCACCAGCACCATGACCCCTCGCGAAGAGATAAGCCGGGAACATCCGTATGTCATCACTCATTAATAACTTTCCCTCTCACGACCACTGACGCTACAACAGCTATCTAGCAGGCAACTTTGCGCCCGTTACCAAGACTACGCCACCCGTTCCCATTAGCTACACGGGAACTATTCCCAAGGAGCTGCATGGGGGCATGTACGTCCGGAATGGGGGGAACCCCATCACCAATTCGAATTTGGGCCGCGATGCCCACTGGTTCGATGGCGATGGCATGCTCACGGGTGTGTGGTTTGAGCGGTCGAATGAATCGTCGACGGAAGCACCCATTCCGCACTTTGTAAACCAGCTCATTTTGACCGACCTGGCCATCTCAAGTCTCGATAACAAACGGTTGACGACCCCCATTCTACCCAGCATAGCCACTCTTGTGAATCCCCTCGCCAGTCTTGCTCTAATTGTATGGAGGATCCTTCGAAGCGTATTTCTAGTGTTGTTGTCACATCTTCCTGGATCACCGCAGGCTATCAAGAGGATCAGTGTAGCCAACACAAGTATCGTTTACCATGATGGCCGTGCATTGGCAACCTGCGAAAGCGGACCTCCCATTCGCGTCCATCTCCCTGGGTTGGAAACCGTTGGCTGGTACAACGGCAATCAAGCCGAAGGGGAATTTCAAAAGGAAACAAACAAAGAACCCGGGTTTGGCGGGACTGGACTTAACAGCTGGATGCGAGAATGGACGACGGGCCACCCCAAAGTCGATCCTACCACAGGCGAGATGCTCCTCTTCCACTGCAACTTCCTTCCACCCTTTGTCCACTACTCCGTTGTTCCCAAGGAAGACGCAAGTTCACAGTCGACAAAGCTCCTCAACGCACCGGTCCCAGGCTGCTCGGGCGGAAAGATGATGCACGACTTTGGCGTGTCCAAGAATCATTCTGTAATTCTTGACCTCCCCTTGACCCTTTCACCCTTCAACCTCCTCAAGAATCATCCCATCGTCTCATACGAACCCCACATGCCATCACGCTTCGGTGTCTTTCCCCGCCATGATCCCGACTCCGTACGCTGGTTCGAAACCAAAGGCTGCTGCATCTTCCATACAGCCAACACGTGGGACGAGCTGGATGCTGAGGGGAACACTACCGCAGTCAACATGCTCGCATGCCGTTTGACATCCGCATCTCTCGTCTTCAGCGCTGGGAATATCGTGCCGCCGCCGAACCCAGAGCGGTCAACGCAACGCCCACTATCCTTCTTCGCAAAGTACGACGACGATGAAGCGGACGTGGACGTAGAGAAAGTACCACCCCCAACTTCCACCGAGAAGACGCCCCTTCTTCCTCCTTCGGCACACGCACCATCCACACAAGCCTCATCATCTTCTGCCTACGGCATTGGCGGCCCCGCACCACCCATCCCCGACAACGACGAAGAAGAGCAGTGCCGTCTCTATTACTACCGCTTCTCGCTCGACACTTCCTCAAGCAACAACATCATCACTCATCAACACGCCCTCTCCATCATCCCATTTGAATTCCCAACTCTACATCCCAGCAAGGAAATGCAAGATGCGCGCTACATCTACGGCTGCAGCACCTCATCAGCCTCGTTCGGCGCCGCGCTGGGAAAAGCCACCAAGATCGACGTCCTTGTCAAAATGGACGTGCATTCCCTTTTAGCTCGCCAGCCAACTCCTTCCTCCTCTTCGACTGTAGGATCCGAAGTCAACGCAGTAGTAGACCGTCGCAACGTCGATGAAATCCTATCTTCCAACAACCCCCACGACGACATCAAAGCCTTCCGCCTCCCCGAGCGCCATTTCGCCCAAGAAGCGCGCTTCGTGCCTCGTCAGAATGCCAGCGGCAGCGAAGATGACGGATATCTCCTCTTCTACGTCTTCGATGAGACGCAGTTATCCCCTCTCCCCTCCTCTTCTTCTTCTTCTTCTCCTCCACCTACGAAGCATGACCTAGACGCCCTACTTGAATCCGCTACTTCGGAGCTGTGGATCCTGGATGCGAAGGATATGGCCACCGTGGTCTGCAAAGTCCATTTACCGGCGCGTGTTCCCTACGGGTTACATGGGAATTGGTTCAGCGAGGCCGAGGTCAGCGGCCAGAGGGATGTGAAGGCGTTTCGTTCGTTGAGATGACGTTGATCGTTCCCCTATCTTCGACTGTGTTCAGAAAGGGGGCGAATTGTGCTCTTCCCCCCAAAGATGACTGCAAACCTTGCAGGAGTTTGAAGTCTTTATCGCTGTCTTGTTCTATTAGTTTGTTTTATTAATAGCGTTTTCTTGTTTCTGAGTCTACAACCCCATTGTGGGGAAACTGTATAGCGTAAACATTAATCAAGGTATGTTCATTGAGTAGTGCGTTCACACATTTGCAGTCTTATATTAGACTACTAATAGTAAATAATCCTTTTCTTTTTTAAACAAAATTTAATTGTTTTTTTTTCCCCTTTTTGACTTGGAATTTAAGTAATCCTACAAGACAGCAATAAGTTGCAAACAATTAAAAAAACTATAGAAATTTTTTTTTTAAAAAAAAAAAAAAAGAAAAAAAAAGAAAAAAAAAGAAAAAAGAAAAAAAAAAGAAAAAAAGAAAAAAAAGAAAAAAAAGAAAAAAAAGAAAAAAAAGAAAAAAAAGAAAAAAAAGAAAAAAAAGAAAAAAAAGAAAAAAAAGAAAAAAAAGAAAAAAAAGAAAAAAAAGAAAAAAAAGAAAAAAAAGAAAAAAAAGAGGGGATTACTAAAAAGGATAACTAGTTCTTTTTTTGTAATCGCTTGTTATTTTTAGGTTTATTTATTGTTGTTAACCTGTTCGCTGTGTGTTAGCATCACCTAGAACTTAAACTCAAAACAAACTTAAAAGGATAAAAAAGTTTTGTTATTAGTGTAGATAGATAGATGGATGGATTGAATTAATTTCTAGTATAGGGCGGAGAAGATAGGTGATGTGTTGGTATTATAGATGGATAGATGGATTTTAAGTTAAGTAAGGAAGATGGGTTAGGTTAGGTAGGTAAGTATGTAAGTTGATAGGTAAGGTAAGGAAGTAGGTAAGATAAGGTAGTTAGAAACTATAGAAGAAGAAGAAAGAAAAAAAAGGGTATATAGTTTTAGCGGCTATAGAAGTGGTGGCAGTAGAGGCGGGTATATATCAACTATCCTAAGACCAATGTCAAACCAAACCAAACAAAAAACAAGAAAAGATGATGGAAAAAACAGACAACAAAAAAAAAGGGTCCTCCATTTTCATATCCTCCGACTTGATTCCACCTCGCTCATCTTCTCACGCCTCCTCTCCAATTCTGTCTTTTATAGACACCCGCTCGCTAACCTAACCCCAGGATCCCGCTAAACCTGACAAACAGCAATACAAAACTCCCTAAAATCCGCACCGCGACACGCCTCCTCGATGTCCTCCTCAAGCAGCTTACCGTGTTTCTCCTCGTACTCAGCCTTGACGCGACCGAGATGCAGACGGTCCCAATGGAGGCGGACGAGGCGGCTGATGAGGAGTTCGGAGCGCTGCTGGCGCTCGTGCTTGGACATTGGCGCAGAAGAGGGGAGTTTGGTGGAAGAAGAAGAGGAGGAAGGGTGGGGAGGGGAGACGGGCTCGATGAGGTCCATGAGGGCGTGGTGCAGGAGCATTGCGTCGCGGGCGGGGCGGTTGATGACGCCGTTTAGGATGTGCGCTATTACTTCGCCCTGGATGCGTGTTGTGTTAGAAAAAAAACATGTAGAGGTATAGATAAGGGGAAAGGGGAAAATGGGGGAAAGAAAAATAAGGACGTACAACGAGGTTATTGCTCTTTCTCAGCGCATCGCGGGCGAAGTTGCCCCCGTATTTCCGTTCGTACGTGCGCAGCACTTCGCGCAGGTGCGCGTCGCTCCGCATTACGACTACGTTGAGGACTGTGCTCTCGCCGCCTTCGCGCGCCCGCAGCGCTTTGTGCAGGACATCGACATCGCGGTTGCGGTACTCGGGGTCCCAGACGTCGCTCTCCTCCTGGCGCTCAGCCCTCAGGGCATCGAGCACGGCGTTGCGGAACTTGTCGCCCTTGAGCTCCTTCTCCATGCACCGCACGAGGCTGTCGCTGTAGCGTTTATCCCTGAAGGCGCGCAGGATCTCGCGCATTTCGTGGTTCTGGCGCCCCATGAGGGATTCGATGAGGAGCTCGCGGCGCGCGCTGTTGGATTGGTACCAGTAGTTTGCCCAGTAGCCTTCGCTCTCGTAGCGCCCCAGCGCCGTCACGTATGCGATTTTGCCAAAGTTGCCCGACGTCTTGAGTTTGATGTGTTTTGCGATGTTGATGCCGCGGCCCTGGATTTTGCAGTGGCGTTTGTATTCGGTGCGGAGCTCGAGGATCTGGTCGTGCGAGAGGGCGGGGATGATGTCGATGACGGTTTCGGTGTCAAGGTTGCGGCCTGAGAGGGCCTCGACGAGGTCGCGCGCGTCTTCTTCGGCGTCGTAGATTTTGACGCGGCGTTTTTCCTTCTCGCGTTCCTTTTCGCGCTCGCGGTCTCGGTCGCGGCCTTTGTCTTTTTCGTGGCCGCGGACGTCGCGGATGCTGCCGTAGGTTTGCAGGGCCATTCGATCTTCTTCGAGGCGCGAGAGCTTTTTGCGGGAGGGACTCGGGGACCGTTTCGAGGTGGACTTTGTACGGCGACGGCTGCCCTTGAGTGACGTGCTCGATGCGCGCGGCGAGTAACTGTCGAGAGGCTGAAGATGGTCCAAGTCATCGTCGAACATCTTGGCCTGGGGCATCGGCGAAATGGACTGATACGTCCCGTGGTATGCTTCGAGCATGGGACTGGGAGGGATTGCGCCGCCGCTGGGGAACCCGCCAGGCATGCCGCCAGGCACAATGGTGTGGATGTCGGGCCTATTGCCGCTGACAGAAAGCCGATCCATACGCTGCGACAGCCCGTCGCGACCTCCTCCACCCACCGACAAGCTGTGCGGGCGCATACCAGGCGATGGCGGAGGCTTGCCCATTGAACCACCTGGAACTATCTCCACCACTTTGTGCTCTCCATATTGAGTCGGCGGGCCGTTATGCGATGCGGCGCGGTGATGACTGGGTCGATGACTGCTCGTCTGCGGTGAATGACGGCCCATGGGCGGTGGAGGGTAACCCCGCGACTGCTCGGGGGCAGAAGAGGCAGCGGGAGCTGGCTGAGGAGGTGGATGCATAGCGTATTGCGGCTGGGCATTCTGGTATGGCGGGCTGCTGGGTTGCGCCGTGTGTCGTATGGGGGGCGGCGGGTTGACGGGCACGACGGGCTTCGCGGTGAAGCGGATGTTCTCGGGGGTGGCAGCATACTGGAAGTTTGTCGCGTTGGAAGGGTTGCGGGTGAAGGCGCCTGGTTGTGAGGGAGTTGCGGTCTGATACGAGTACTGAGCGTTGGAGTACTGCACGTTGCCCTGCTGCGCATAGGCGACGCCTGGGTATTGCGTGGGAGATAGAGGGGTCTGCTGGGCGTATCCGGGACGCTGATCCGGAGGCAGGTCGGTATAGCCTCCCATGGTTACGGGATCTTGGGGTGGTCTGGCAGCCATGTTTAGTGAGGTTTGTTGCCTGGTCGTATTGTGGGACTTTGGGATTGGTAGCTGGAAAGAGGTGGATGTAGAGGAGTAGAAATAGAAGTAGACGATGAAGAATTGAAAAGAAGAAGAAGAGGAGAAAAGTGTAAAGGTAAATTCACTCCTGATGTCTCTTTTTTCTTCCTGGTGGTATTGCTGGAGAGAAACTCACGCGTCGTAGAATGGCGGTTGGGATTGTTGGTGGTGATATTGGTGATGATGGTCTGGCTGCCTAGCACCCAGCTGCTGCAGCTGCGGGGCACCATGGGCATTTACAGGACCAGCTCCAGCCCCCTCATGGCCATGGAGATCAGGACTCTCGTATCCGAAACCATACCCCGGCCCTTGCTGGTGGTGCTCTCTTGAGCTGACGCCGTAATCGTCCTCGCGTTGGGGCGAGGGGGGGCGCGCGCTCGCATCGCTCCGACTGCGTGATCGGTGTCGTCGACCGGCCGGGGATTTGGACCGCCCGCGAGATTTCCTGCTGTCGGGCTGCAGAAACATGTTGCAATGAAAGAGTTGGTTGCTGTTTACACTTGATCAAGCATAAACAAGACCAATTGTCTTTGTTGTGCGTGTATGGGAGCGGCGGGATAGCAGAGCAGCGGGAGGAGGGGAATGATATCAAAAAGGGTGCCGTTGTTTTCCCGTGTACAAGCAAGCAAGCAATCAATCGATGGATCGAAGAGCACAGACAGCCGGTATCCGCGATTCGAGGAGAGAAGAAGAAGAGAATGCCATGCCAGATTGGGGGCCGAACTGAAGCGGTGCGGACGAGTGGCTGGCAACGCTCAATTGCGCGACGGGACGGGATGGAATGTCATGGGTGGGTGGATGGGGTCGACGTGAGGCTGAAGGAGAGAAAGCCGCCCCGGCACCCCCTCGATATGTACCGCTACATGGATGCTATTCGATGTCCACGTACATGTGTACATGGACCATCAAACAAATACGAATCGCCCGGCGCGTACATGCGACACAACACGAGCACGAGCGAATCCCCATCCATCGTCCGCGCTTATCGTCTGTCCTTTTTGACCCTTGGTCCTCTCCCTCTCCTCGGCTCTTCTCCGTATCCATCCTGTGATTGTGGGGGCTGGGGCTGGATTTTCTTCTCCACAATCATCCCATCCGTGTGTGCCTGGGAACAAGTAATAAATACCAGGTACCTACATATCCCCAAAGTATCAAAGCTCGTGGTAAACGGTAGATTCAAAATCCTTTCTCACCACTCCTCGTTCCTTTCTTTTTTTTTAGAGAATACACCAAACAAGTTCTACTTTTCCTCTTCCCTAATCTTCTGAATCGCCGACATGGAAGGCTTTTGCTTCTTTTTTTTTAGGGGAGGGGGGGTGAGGGGGGTAAACACAGTAGAGCATTAACGTTATATATGTATAAACTAGTTAATACATAAGAAACAAGGAAAAACTGATAGTCGTACAATGTGTGTACCTGAACAAAATCCGCCAAGTACAAGAAGACTAAAATAGATCAACGGTCCGTCTCAAGGCGATGATGCAGTGCCATCAACAGACCCTTAAAACTAAAGGGGAAAAAAAATCACTACTTACGAAATCTAAACCCTAGAGCGCGGAGTCAGAGAAAAAAAATAAATCCCCATGATCTCCTTTTTTCTCCGCCTCAATAGATAAAGACAGAAAGAAGATAAATTGCTGAGTAATTCCATCCCCCGTATTCGTTCACACAGTCCCAAATAGGGTAAGCCGACCCGAGGAGGGCACGCGAGCGAGCGAATGCGCTGGCTGGTTGTTCAACCAAGCATAAAGCATGCATGCATGCATATGCGTGTTAGGAGCTTCCGTGGAGGGCATGTAGGAGCGAGAGGGAAATAACCGGGGCGGGCGGCGGTGTACAAAAAAGAAAAAAAATTTAGGGGTTGGACTAGACTGATGGAACGAAACTGCGAAAAAAAAAACTTTTAAACTCCTTTTTTTGTATTTTGTGTTAAAGAAGAGAGGAGTTGTTTTTGCTTGAATTTTTTGCTTGTTGCAAAAGTTGTTTGTTGTATGTAGGTTTTGCTCAAGTTATTGTCACAAGAGGATCGGATTAGATATCGTCGCGTTTTTGTTCCCCAAGGAAGAAGAGAGAAACAAAACAGCGAAGAAGAAAAGAAAAATGGCAGACACAAACACCATCAAACCCGCAACAGCAGCGACATCAGCAAATCCTATAAACCTCCAACTCGACTCGCCCCTCCTCACCCTCCCTCCAGAGCTCAAAAACATAATCTACGCCTACGCCCTCACCGCCTCATCTACTTCCGCTTCCACATCCACATCCACATCTACATCACGCACCAGCACTGCTACAACCACCACCCCAGCATTCATCGACGCAATCCCCGGTTCCCCGCCATCATCCGCAACAGCCCCGCCGCAAACAGGCATAGCACTGCTGCGCACATGCCGCAGACTCCACCACGAAGTCGACCGACGTCCCCTATTCAGCCAAAACAGATTCCAATTCACGACGCTCGCCAGCCTCCGCGGATTCTACCGCGCGTTAGGCGACGACTACGGACCTCTTGTGCGGGACATTGAGATTGATGTGCGGGACCTGGAGCTATGGAAGCCGCGGGAGATGGGCGAGTGGGTGGAGTATCTATCGTCTGTTGCGCGGGGGTGGGACAATACCACTTCGCGTTCTGGTGCACAGGCAAGGGGGAAGAAACTGCAGTGCTTGAGGCTGAATTTCGAGTCGTGGCCGGTGCATAAGACGGAGAGGAGGCTGATGTGGAATGCGTTGGTCATGTTTTTTATCAAGATGCGGTTGGATGGGCTGGATGTGGAGAGGGTTGTGATTGTGGGGGCTAGCAAAGGGGTTGGCATGGCGAAGCGGGAGCCGTGGTCTCAAGTGCATTTCGTGGGGTCCGACGATGTTGGGCCGCCCGAGTTGGTGAGATATATGTGGGATGTGGTGGGACAGGACAAAGAGTTGAGGAAAGTGGTTAGGTGGGAGAGGAGGGATGGGAAGCTGTATTTGGAGGTTGTGTCTGTCAAGTATCTGGTGGAACGTGTCGACCCCGACTGGACTGGACCTTGCACGCGGAAATCGAACGCTGACCCGTGGCCTGAGAACGGATCTTGTACCTGGTCTGCATACCAGCATCGCAATCTGGACATCACCGAGCCGAACGCGTAAGACATCAATCCCACCGCCTTCGGATGACCGGTCTTGCTGGATCCCAGGGCCCGTGGATCTCGTTTTTGTACTTTTGCAACCCGATCAACCACCAGGTACACACTCCCATGCCAAAAAACGTCATCATGCTGCCCAGAAACATCCCGGCAATCCATGCTCCTCGCCCTCCCCCAGTCAGCACTGTGAATAACGCACCGCTTGCTATGGTAACGAGGAAGATGGTTAGGGCAAGATGGCCATTCCAGGATTGGATGCGGAGTTTGCGACGGAAGATGGGAAATAACCCAAATACTTCGATGGAGAAGAGTGTAAGGGAGAAGACGTGAGTAGTGGATGGGAGTCGAGATGCTAGCACGGTGGATGCCATGACAGCCGAGTTTGTTGAAAAGGATGCGGGCAGGCTGCGGGTGGTTAGTCGTAGAACATATACACAATTGATGGACGAGCGTACGATGACCTGTTGCTAGTCGAATAGTCGAAGCAGGCAATATTCAGAGCGAGAAGACCCGCCGTGATGGCCCAGATCGAGTCACTAGTGGTAGATCGCGTGAGTGACTTGAGTATAGGGCTGAGTCCAAGCACGGCAGCGTAGATAAGCATAGCCGATTTGACAGTGGCAAGACGCTGTTGATTCCTCGGCGACAGAGACGAATCAGGGTCTACAAACGGCGGCTGATGAGCTGGCGCGTCTGTATTCAACTCATGACTTTCATCTCCGGTCTCCTTGATTCTTGACGCTTCCTCGTGACCCATCCAGTAATCCCATACGAGCCAGGCAAGAAAAGAGCAAAAGCTTGCCCAGCTTACGACAGAGATTGGCGATACCCGTTCCTGGAAGATGCCGGTGAATGCACAGCAGAAGATGACGACCGAAGCGACATGCTGTACTATAACAGTGGAAGCTGCCATGAGGTACCAGAATTCATAGGGCTGGGTGCGAGGGTTGCGCTGAAGGTGGTCCAGGAATGTCTGCTCATCCGTGTAATTGTCGGGGACTGCATCATTAGTCACCCAGTAGAAGATTTATAGGTGATACTGTAAGACTCACAAGGCTGCTTGAACCATAACAATTTCTTGTAAGTGGCCTTGCGTCGATGGCTGGCGCTACGCCCTCTGTCTTTGCGCTTCCACGCGCTGTCGCCAGGTGTCCCATGGTAATAAGCATCTTCCGGGGCTAGAAACGAGCTATTAGATGCTGATGCCGACGGCCCAGCCCGCAAGCCCGTTGTCTTTGTCGCTGTCGTTGAAGATGACACCGGCATCAGATTGCTGTGCGAACTGAAGCGTGAAGTTAACAATCTTGTGACGTAGCCTCTGCCAAGGCCGCGTCGGTTAACTCCGAGGCCTTAAATCCGGGTCTCTACACGGACTCAGCATCGAGAGCTACTTGACTGCGCATTTGACGTAGTAACGTATACAACGTCCAAACAATCTAGTAAATAGATGTACATTTAAAATGTGTAGTATTAAGGGTGTTTAAAAAACTATGGAGTTCTTATAAGGCTTTCTACATCTATTAATCCCTACCTACCTTACCCTACCTACCTTACCCTACCTACCTTACCCTACCTACCTTACTATAACACCCACCCTCACACAGTAAGAGCTAAATGTATGGAAACCATCGTGAAATAAATTATTTGGAAATCCGCAACTTCCGAGATTACAGACGATATAATGTTAGCATTAGCCGTCTACCCAGTTGATGAACCCATTTTAAAACGACCCTGATATCGTATCCCCGGGACTGAACATCCACACTCGAGACATTGAATTAAAGACTGCGATAAATTACGCCCTGAAATTTTGCTCCCGTAGCAGCGACTATTGATCCCTGAAAAAAGAATCGACGTCTATCCAAATTACTCCTAGAGGGCCTTACATGCGTCAATTGCTATATACATACATACGTAGAATACATGATCTACCTACTCTACATAACATCTTGCTCTACCGAACACCCTACCCATCCCGAATCTACAATCGGGATCGTCAAGCAGAAGAAGAGGAAAAATCGAAGTAAATCACAACAAAACAAAAATACATGAAAAGCAAACCCCCAGCTAGAAAATACAAAGAAGACAAACAGGAAAACAAGAAAATAGAGACACTTATAGTCAATAAACGCCTTCCACCCCGACTCTCCCCTCCTTACCCCAGCTTGCCCCCTTCCCTCTATCTCAAATCCCAACATCCCCCCCCGCCCCCGAAACAACCCATCACAGCATCTGTTCAACCCAAGGAAGCCACTCCTCGCCCCCCTCATTCTCAACAATCTTCGGAAACTCATTCTCCTTCCCCTCCCCAGCATCCCCATAAATATACCTCCTCAACTGGCGTCTCGAGCACCCCTCTTTCCTCGCGACCTCGAAGTAAAAATTCCCCAAGACCTCCTTCTCCTCAAGCAGCTCCGTCCGTCCATACTGCTCGATCAGCTTATCCCATTTTTCAACAAGGTCCGGGTATTTCTTGAGGTGTTTGTGGAAGTTGGCGCGGATGTCGACGGCGGTGAGACCGCTGCTGCGAAGGATCTTTTCGCCGATTGTGAGTTGCCATTGGTGGACTACGGGGGTGAGGAGGCGCTCGAGGGCGTGCTCGGCTTCGTCGAGGGCGAGCTCTGCTAGCTCGATTGAGCGGTTTTGGTTGAGGCGCGGCATGATGGAGTCTTATGGTTGGTGGGGGTTCTCGTCTCGATGCTGGCTTAGGGAGTCGGAGAACATTCGTGTCTTCCAAGAAACATGGAATCGAAATTTAGATATATCTGTTCGTGTGCACTTTTAGCTATCGTCTGCTATGCATCATCCGGAATGACTGACAGTCGCAGTGTATTATGTGACTTAACGATATGCTTTATATACGAGTCGTTGTCGATATACCCGAAAGAGCGAGAAAAAAAAACAGTGATGAAGTATAGGAAGAAAATTCGTCGAGTTGAGGGGAACTCTCGCAACGCAGGAGTTGTATTATATTGTAGTGGAGAGTCACACTGAGCAAAGAGTAATAGAGTCACAGTGAACACGGACTCAAAAAGTAACAGACTCATATTCATATGAGTAAGAGTTAGAGATACATACAAAGCATGCGGTCGAGTGAGTAATATCGCAGTTGAAAGTTATATGTATCTCAGATGTGTGGTCTTGGGTCTTTTGAATCATTGCGGGGTATCTTGTACTCTGTGTTGTGCCAGATCTTATTGCTTGCGATACCCTAAATTTAAAATGTCGTATGTGCCTAACTTTACAATTATTCTATTATTGAAGATTATCGGGTCTACTTCTGCTCTGGACTGAGATCTTTAGATCTGTTTAATCGCAGACCCAGGTTACTTGTTTACTTTTAAAGAGTGAAACCTGTTGTTAGGATATGGAACTTGGGGTTATAATTTCGGGAGATACAGACTATGCTATTCAGAGTTGTTTATTCTATGAATCGATAACAATGGCTACGGGTATATGCTACAGATCTACTCCTGCGATGTTTGGGGAGCCCGATCAATTATATTACAGATTGCCTAGATGTATATAAAAAATAGTTACAGAATCAAAGAAAGTAATGAGAATGCAGGGAAATGACAGTAAACGAAATAACATGAATCTAAAAATACGGGTATGAATACAAAAGAGATACAAGGAGAGAGACCATTGAAACCCACCAGAAACAAATTGAGACAGAAAGGAATAAATCTAGCAGAATGGACAAAAAATCTGAGAGCAAAGTGAGAAAGGAATAGACAGAGAGGCCACCCTCCGACAGTTAGTCATCAAATAAAATGAAATCCTCCCCCTCATCCCCCTCATCTTCACCCTCGGTCCCGGGTTGAAATCCTGTGCCAGTCAGGATCCAATTAATCTCTACTTCTTTCCATTTTAGATTTTTCTTTGCGATCTCTAGGAGAAAGGCCTTTATAGCCGCCAGTTTAGCCGCCGCTGAATCTTCCCGGTTTTTGATTCTTCGCTCGCGGGCGCGTGCTCGATCTTCATGTCTCGGTCCTTGTTGTGGTCGGATATGAGCTTCTCCCAGTCGTAGTTCAACTCGAGTTTCGCCAACAGATCCTTGAACTTCTCTCGAACTTGTGCGTCATCTTCCTTGTTGACGCTTATCTTTTCTACGGTGAGCCTCCACATGTCGACGAAGATCTCAAACTTGAGCTCGTCGGACTTGTTCCGGTTCAGTCTGGGTCCCATTTTGTGCTTGAGTAAGGTTGTTTTGCGTGACGAAAGAGTGGATTGTGTGGGTGCGGATCTTGGAATTGTTCGTAGATGGGTTGTCGTGTGCGAACTATATGGTGTTTATGGAAAAGAGTGGACTGTGTGGGTGCGGATTCTGGTATTGGTCGTAGAGGGATTTTCGTCTGCGAACTCTATGATGTTTTTGGAAAAGAGTGACTCTCGCTTTTCGTGTTCGTGTGTATGTGCGCGTGTTTTCTTGTGCTTTTGTACTTGAAAATAAGAACCGTAGATATGCATTAGATAGTGCAACGAAAGATCATTAAGTTTAGCAAGTGATCTAGATTCTCGCAGATTTCAACATCGCAGACGAATATTTATACCATAGTTGACAGTCATAATGGCGAAAGAGTTGTGGAGTCACGTCCTGGTGAGTGTTTGGTTATCGTCGTGCTGTACTATTTGTTTCGCAAGAAGTGTTGAGGCAGAGCGCTTCGTAAGTCTGTAGCAGGTGCAGAACGTGTCATCTCCCAGAGTGACGCAGAACTGCCGAAGTAGCACATAGCAACGACTAAAAACAGTGAGTGGTGAGTAAAGGGATTGCCACGAGAGAAAGTGTTGTCATATTACATGTATGAATATCAAAGTAGGAGCCGCCCTCGCATTCATCTATCGAACGAAGCCGTTTGGCCCTCCCCAGTTTCCAGTCACGTGGTACTTGTGATACACCCAAGGGAAGAAGTCTTTCTTGAGGTGGAAGAACGCCTTCCGAGGGATCGCTTGATCGATTCCGAACATCTTGTTAAATGTCTCCTTTGGCACGCCGCCGTACTTGAACTCCGCGAGAAGCACCTTGTCTTCACCTGTGAGAAGAGGGCATGATGTGTATCCGTCGTAGATGGCCGAAGGTTCCTTGCCTTCGTAGGCTGCGAGCAGGTTGGACACCAATACAGGTGCCTCGGCGGTGATGGCTGCGACGGTCTTGGAGGTTGGCAGGCTGGAGGCGTCGCCGATCGACCAGACGTTTTCGTACTTCTTATGGCGCGTTGTTCCGTCATCAACGTCGACGTATCCTGCTTCGTTTGCGAGTCCGCTTTCCTTGATGAATGCGTGCGGGACATTCTTGGGCGAGACGTGCAACAGGTCGAAGTGCTTCTGGACTTGCTGGCCATCTGCAGTAGAGAAAGTCGCAGTATTTCCATCGATGGCCACGAGATCGTGCGTGAAGAGACCTTCGACGCCCCGCGCAAGTCTGAGTTCATTGAGAGCGGTGGCGTATTTGGGAACGCCGAACATGGATGGAAGGCCAGTGGCAAAGCTGATGTTGATGGGCGAGCTAGAAGTATTGTTGTACAGACCGGCTTTTTTCCAGTAGTCGAGCGCGAGCCACATAATCTTCTGGGGAGCACCAGCACATTTTACAACGCCCGCAGGCTGGGTAAAGATTGCATTTCCCTTGTCAAGTTTCTGGATGGTGCGGAAAGCCTTGTCGCAGTAGTTGTAGTCGTAGATGGAGGATACTAGAGAGTCCGGATTGGCGAGAGCATCAGGAAGGCCTTTGACGCTACCGTGATTTATGGCGATACCTGGTGCCACGACAAGATGTTCGTAACCCAATTTGTCGCCGTTTCCGAGAGTCACGTGATTGTCTTTTGGCGAAATCGTGGCGACGTTGTTGTTGTAGAATTTAAACTTGGGGTTGATGAGGCTGGCAAGAGGTGTTTTCAGTTGCTCTTTATCCTTGAGGCCACCGCCAACCAAGGTCCATCCGGGCTGATAGTGATGAAATGTTGCAGGGTCGACGACAGCAATATCATCTTGTGTGAAGTTTCCTTTGCGCAGTAATTGATGGCTCAAAGCAATACCAGCGGAACCGCCACCGATGACTACGATTTTGTGATTGCGGGCTGCGCTGCTAACTGGCGAGACAGTTGCGAAGTTTCGAATTGCTTGTACCGATGGACGCATTGTAATGGAGAAGGTAGCCTGTACCTGGGCAGCGTCTGTCCGAATTCGGAGGTTTTGATCAATCGAGAACCGTAGCAGGGCGGAGAAGAGGCGCGACAGGAGTATATTTTTGAGAATTTACACTGGTGCCCAGACTGGATGCAAGTCTCCGTTAATATGTGGGTTCGTTGAGGAAGTTGATCAGTCCAGATGTCAGTATCCACGATGATTGATTACTTAACCACAATTTTTCTTTGATCGCGCCAGCACGCCATCACGCCATCTCGCGATAGTGATATACTCCCTCCGATTGGCTCGCTTATCATCAGCTCGTGACAGGGATCCCCGTAGTGCATCTTCAAACCTCCGACTCCGATTTCTTCTTCCGTCAAACACTTCAAATGTTTATACTCAAATACGTAGCAAACATAACCATCTGCTTTGACTGCTGTTTACTCGTGTATGAGCTACAAGTCCTGTTCAAGAACCATGTGAAATGAACAACATGACTCGCAGGTAAAGGATGTGAGAAGTACGGGCAAGTTCTGATTTCCTCCACTCGCATCAAATGATGTCAGAATAAACCCTTTCCACGGGATGAATCAGTATAGAGTACGAAAAACTGCTTCTTCTTCTCATTTTTGAAATACGTCATATGGTATTTGCAATTGTAGAGTTCAAATGTTTGGGTGTACAGAAGCTCCTCAGCACCACTTTAAGTCTTCTGCAGTGACCCTGGCGCGATAAATGTACGAGTTGCTATACATATATTACTATTCTGTGAGATACCAAGATAGTCTATTCAAGTCTAGGTACACATGCATCTATTAATTAATAAGCTATGTAGCATTTAAAACGGATTATAAAGAGGATCGTCATTAGCAAGATCCGGCACAAACAATCATTGCAAGGCATACAAAAAAGTACTGTGAATTGAATGAAAATTAAGGTAGCACGTAAATTGACATAAAGCTATTGGTGGAGAGCAACATCAATTGCTTGATTAATCAGATGTCCAAATGTGGATACCTGACACGTGATAGATTACCTAATATCATGAGTCATCGTCTGATCAACATTTGAAGTCGAACACCGAAGAGCAGCTACCACCCATGATCATGTAATGGATTGACTCAGCAGTGTCTAATGAAGGAAGTCCGGACCATCGCAATAGGAAAATGGTATCAACAACAGTCAACGTCATCATCAGCGAGGCGCGGAAGTCGGCAATGCATATATAAAGATCAACATTCGTCCTCTCGTCGCTGCTGCTCTCTTTCGCCACTAGAGAAAACCATCACGTCGTATAAACGTGATGCGAGAAAACAAGTCTCCATTCCTCGACCTGCCGCCAGAGCTTCGACTCATCATCTATGGATTTTTGCCGACCAAGGCGCGCCATGTCAAAGTCCAGTTCCAAGAGGAATTCATTAATCGAATTCACGGTCACCCACATGACCACAATGAGATAACTCTTATAGTCCGATCGCTTCCAGCTATCGGTATTCTGGCAACCTGTCGAAAAATCCACGACGAGGCCAAAGCCGTATTACTATCCAAGCTAGTATCTCAAGCTCCGTGCGTCATTGTACCCTGCACACTTCGACCCCTCCGGACTGGGAGTTCTCGCCCGAGTTACAGAGCTATTTTCGCGCATCTCGTTTTCCAGGAGATTCGCCATTTTCCTTTCCTCAATAGTTGGCGCTTCCAAACTATTCGCTCGTACTATCGAGACTTCAGGGACTGTCACCTTGCCAACTATGGCACATTGGACGCGATTCGCGTACGCAAATTCATTGTCAATGGGGCGCAGTACTTGTTTCACCGGGCTTTCAAATCTGCTAGCGACCGGCCAATGGATGCGTTTCGTATATCCAGATTTATCGAGACCGGAGAGCTATACTCGCAGCCTGGAGGTCTTAATTCTGCGAATCTAGTAGGCCTACCCGATTGGCCTGTACGAATCGCTTTCGACTTCACCGCAGATTCTTCTTTCCCGTCAGACTTAGTTAACAAGTCGTCTCTGTTATTCAATCGTCCATTTATCTGCGAGGCGTTGGTTGATCAATTTGATGCGAAACTGCAGTTTGTCGATCCGGTGATGACCATGGATGATGGCTTGCATGGAGCAGAAATCTTGGCCGAATTGGAAAGCCTTATTATGGGATGTGAGCCAGTTCAGAGATACCCTCACTGGATGGAGAATCTGATACAGGAGTATGCAGAGTCACAGGCCAGTGTAACAAGCGGGGAGGAGTGGGAACACGAGCACTGGAAAGAAACAATTGAAGAATGAACAGATGGTCACTCGTTCTCAGAGCGCGTTTCCATGAATGCATGATACCCTCGCAACAGAACGTATCCTGAATAGCAGGTCACTCAAACTACAATACCACACTACCAATCACCTACGAAAATGAAGACGGCCACCAAATCTCCACTCTTGAAGTAACTCACCACGTCATTCAATCAACCCACATAATCGTACTGCAGCACTCCGCTCCCCCCTCCCATTTCGTCACATACTTCAACCACGCCCCGTCCCCTTCAACCTTCCAAATCTCAATCTGCCCCGCGGGAAACGAGCTGACAGCAACATACTCGTCCGCAAAAGGCGCCGCCACAATGGTAGCGGTAGGATCCTCCCGACTATACCCGCGCTCCGAATCCAGGCGCTCTTGGAACAATCTCGTGCCTAGTTCCCCTGTAGTCGCGTTGACGCCATACACGGTTATGAACCCAGCTTCATAGCCTTCGGCAGTGGTAAGGGCAGGTGAGGCAGCCCATATGTATTTGCGGTTCACACTCGCTTCTAGAGAGGTTGTTTTGTACCTCGGCGTCGTATCTGCACATCCCCCAGCCACATCAGCTTTAAGTTCCTAGAGCCCTTCCACAAAACAACCTTGTTAGGAATGGGTAAATTAGACTCACCATTCGTGGCAGGCACAATAGTCTGCCTGCTACTAAACTCAATCTCATCCACCGAATGAGTATTATGCCCCGGCGCAAACCCTTCCTCGGACATGCCAATCGTCAGCACCTCATTACTCCCCTCTCTAATAGCTACAAACTGTTTCGGCCCCACTACCATATCAACGACATTCACTCCGTCCCTATCCATGAAATACGATTCCCTGAAGTTATAGTTTATCATACCGTCCGGACCGTCGAAGATCCGCCACGTGATCATGGCTTGTGAGCCGATGTTGAGACCGTAGAGCGTGAGATTGTCTGAACGAATGATTAATTTATCGAGACGCCAAGAGTCCGATTCAACGGAGCGCCAGGTATCCGCGTGTGTGCCGTCTGGCAGTGCCCAGTTTACGATTGAACAGTAGCGGGAGTCGGAGTGGACGCTGGAGTAGACGTAGTAGGGAGGGTACGGGCTGGAGAGGACGCGAACTTTCAGAGGCTGTTGCAGGGGATCGCCTGATTTGTGTTAGATGATCGTAACGCGGTGGTAATGGTTTTATCGGGGATTTTGTTTACAGGCGCTTGCTTGGAGGGCATAGCCCGCGCTCAAGTTCAGGTTCAGCGAGTAGTCGTCGCCAATGTTGTAGATGAGAACCGAGCTGTTGTAATCGAAAGCCGCGTGCACGAATTTCCTCGAATGCTTTGAAAAAAAAAGTAAGCATTAATTCTTGTTCATTGAGGTCCGGAGGAGAAACATACGTCGACTGCAATCGACGAATGCTGCGTCAACGTGCTGCTCTGCTTAGCCAATGACAATGTCTCCGTCTCATCATCAAACTCGAGCGTCGCGATCGTATTGCGATACTTTGACGAAGCGAAAAGATGGTGCAGCGCGGCCTGTACCGCACAAATACAAGCCAAAAGGCTGAATAAAGACAAAATGCGCGCCATTGAGGGAAGGGAGCTTGCGATGAGGTTATGGTTATCACGCAACGACCAAAGCACACAGACAACGAAATCCCCCAGAACGCTTCCAACGAGGAACTGCCCATATCTCATAATCTATACGTCCATGGTGATAAAAAGAATTCAGTCTCTCAATTTTTAGAACTCCGATGGCGCTCTGCATGTATATTATACCGCCGGACGTACCTGATAGATTGTTTGCCTAGTTTTAGATTAGCGAAACCTTCCTATTGGGCCTTTACCATTCCGCCTTGAAGGGTACCTGCGGATACGAGCTCTCGACGTCTTGTCAAGTATGTGAATACGAGTCTGGATTGTGGTCTTTGTAATAATTTAAGTGGGTTTGCGGGAGGCCTTGCAGCTGGTGTGCTGAATGTTGGAAAAGGTGGTGTGGGGTGGGGTAGATTGAAATGCATGGCAGTACTGAGAATCTGGGTTTGTCGGGCATCAGCTTTGATGTACTCGTGTTATTATGTGTCTTAGTGGGATGGAGTATACTGTGATTTGTGGTTGGTGAAGTGGAGGGTGATGTATGACATGCTGCTTTGTTTGTAATGTATTTGAATTTGCGGACTATGTAGAATGCGAGCCGTCTAATTCAATCTGTGAGATCCACATGTTGAATGCGAACCTTATGGATTGACTATTGAACATTGTGCTTGTCCACAACAACACTGCTGATCCGAAGCATAGCGTAGAATGAAATGTACAAAGATAACCCCCCTCCAAACTCCCAGACGTATCAGAAGATGCGTATCCCTATGGAAAAACTTCAAAAGAAGACGCAGTGAATTACAGTATATTTGCAGAGCCCTCACATGAGAATGGAAGAATGAGTCAAGCCTGCGACGAAAGCGACATCAGCAAAAGCATAACCAAGCTAAAGCTTGCGAGACAACTCACAGCTAACCTCGAATGCTATCCCAGCCACTCTTTTAATGCACACTCACAGATCTTATACCTGTGCACGCGACTCCCGCGTTTGCTGCCTCTTCAACGCGATCTCAGCTTTCTCCGCTTTGATCTTCTCCGCCATCTTACTCCTCTCGCGAATAGTCGGGCCATACCAATAGAAGACATAAACGGGAATGCAAACCAAAACCGACACGCCAAACAGCAAGAACGTCGAATTCTGCGTGCCAAGTCTCTTGTACATAGGTCCCGTGTAGATGGCACACAGACCAGCCAGAAGATCCCGAGAGAAACCATTACCACCCGTGGCAGACGCAGCGTACTTGCCACCGTACGAAGCAACCATGTAATCGATGGTGGCGTAGTATATCGCCATATTCGCAGCGCCGATCAGCACCGCAAACACGAGAGGCGCGATCCATGGGAGCGGAGGACCGGTGACAGTGAACGCAGAACCGAGGAGCCCGAGCGGAAGCAGCGGTGCGAGGAAGAGAAGCCACCAGAGGCGACTTTCTTCGGTGAGCGAGGCTGGATTGTGGATGCGGCGTTGATTGTGGTTGCGGATAATGGGGAAGAAGCTCAGGTATGCGAAGATGTATCCGAGGAGCAGGGCTATCATGGCGAGACCGAGCTGTGTGGGTGTGAAGTTCCACTGTCCGAACACAATGCCGTATGATTCGAGAAAACTGAATATAAGAGCATCGCTGAATCCGCTGAGCAAAGAGAGGAAAAGCACGACGGGTTCGAAGATAAGCATATAGTAAGGACGACCCATGGTTTTCAGTACCTCTAGTGGTTGCAGGCGTTGTTTGAGGCTCTTGTTCTCGTGGGGACCGTAGATCTCGAGATCAGGGTTCTTCTTGCGCTCTTTTTGAGCGTACTTGCCGAGCATCTTGGCTGCGAGGGTTTCGGGGACAGTGAATGCGTGGAGGAGTTGGACCACGATGCCGAAGATGAGTTGGATACGGAAGTTCCAGTGCACGTCGAGATACTGCTCGATTGGTCCTCCTACAATGCCACCGAGGACGCTGCCAGCACAGGACCTATGAAAATGATTAGTTTCCGAACATTCTGTCGGAAGAGGGAGGGCGAGAGCTTACCAGAAAGAAGCCCACAGAACGGCATATTGCTGCTCGTCGGCGTCAAACATGTCGGCAACCATCCCCAATGTCACCGAACCGCCTGCGGTAGAAAACCCACACAGAACACGAGCAGACAGGTATTCGCACCAAGTATTTGCGAATGACGGAAAGAACTGGAAAGCATTGATGAAGAATAGCGAAGCCTGCATGATGGGCCAACGGCCAAACTCTTCCGACCACGGCGCCCAGAACTCACAGCCAAAAGCGTACGTGATGAGGAAGGCTGTCATCCCAGTACGCGCAGTGCTGATACCCAACTGCTCGTTGATAGGTTTGACGGCGTTGGAGTAGACGGCAGCATTCTGTGCTCAAGTTAGAAGGGAGGGAACAAAGTAAATGGGGATGGATATATGCGTACAAAATTCATGCTCGTCTGGCAGAGAGCGACGACGGTGAGAATCCACCACTTCTTCTTGGTGGAGAAGGACCAGCCTGTGTGCTCGGAATCTCTGATCTCGTCTAGGACGTGCGGTCCTTTCTCGTTGGATTCCTTGCCTGTGCTGCGCGACTGGATGGTATCAAGGGAAGCATCTTCAAAACTTTTGTGCCCCTCACCGCGGGCAATATCCTCGATCTGTTTTTGGTTTGAAGGCATAATGAATTATAGGCACCAATGGGCGAGAAAATGCGTTGGAGAATTTGGAGTGTGAAGTTCCAGAGAGAGAATGTGTGGGGAAGGGAGTCTGAACAAGTGCGGGGATTCGTTCTTCTTATGAACTGTACGATTGTGGGGGTTTTTGGTTAGATTGGAGGGTTGTTGCTAACGACCTGCAATTGATTTGTTGACGGAACGTGACAAGAGTGGATCCGTACCAAAAGATGGACTGGGAGTGATGAAATCGGCATGAAACGACATGACCAATCCCTTTTCTGGTGAGTAATTGACGACATCACCGGAAACAAGCATTTTGAAAGTAATATCTCTTCAAATGGTCATAGTCAAGATCCAGGACCAATCAAGGATATTTTGAGGATTATCACTACATTTTTTTGACTCGCCATCACTCTGGTCTACACTGAAAATACCTAAAGGAGTATTGATAAAGTATATAATCTGTCTTCCATAGTCATGATATGTCCTACGTAATTCCTAATCTGACTATTCCTCTTTCGGCCGCTCAGCTCTCTGAAATCTATGGTATAAATGATGTCTCTATACATCCTTCACGCATAGCAAAGTCGAAGCACTCGCGAACAAAAAAGGACATTTTAAACCAAACTATTGATTTTCCCCACGCCCCCGCATCATTCAAGATGATGCTTTCCCGAAAGCCTGATCTTTGATTGCGAGGGGAATCAACGATGTCACGCACCACGGATCCCCTTCACAACATCTCGGGGAAAAATCCCCGCACCCGGATATTCTTCCAGTCTAGACTCCCGACAGTAAGGAACATCAGAATCGGCTTCCCCAATGCATGAAATTGTGACTCATGAGCTGAGACTGGGTATTTTGTTGGGATCAAGCGTGCTTAATCGCAAAGAAATATGGATTAGAGAGCCAGTTCCACGCATATGGATGATCATGTGAGCATGGATGAAAGGAAGAGGAAACTAGACATAGCATAAACAGGAAGTGATGAGTTGATAGATTATTTCGCAGACGAATTTCTGAACTAACAGTGACTGTCATAGACTTATTTCTTTGGTGTCTTCATAGCGAAAGTCTATGCCAGCGTAGATGGACGAGTCGGGATGTTGAGATTTTGCAATAGTAGCGTATGAATGTTGGACTCTCCTGTATGATGCATCCCTTTTCAACTCTTCCATGTATCTTTCCAGGCCCTAAAAGTGTTTCCTGCAGATGTAGTAGCCAGCCAGATCGCAAATACGGCCGCTGTAGAGGGAAGTGTGAAAGCCCAGTACACCCAGAACTTGTTGTGAACCACAACTTGATGGTCCCACTGAAGCAAAGGCACAGAGAATAATGCGGCGAAGAAAGTTGCTGGCAGAAACAACATCGTCATAATCGCAATAGTTTTCATTGACGAAGTGTCTTTCTTGCTTGCAGCCGCGAGATCAATACTTGCGGCTGCATCTTCATGGGTGAGGAGTGCGACGATCTGGTTTGAGCCGATTTAGCTTGTTTTCATATAAGGCGATTATGCTCAGGTCAGGTGACCAATATGAAAGATTCAACTTACAACTTGTGAGAGATTCTCAGCTCTGTATTTCATGTATCCGAGATAATTTGCGTTCGCATTAATCTGCTGTTGAAGTACTGATACTGCCTCGCTAAGCTTCTGGAGGGCATGATAATGCTTGTGTTGTTTCCCCTCAGGCTCGTGGCAACCATCCACAGTCGTGCGGCTCGCGTTCAAGATATCCTCCAGCATGCGCGTTGAGATCTGGCGCAGTCGATCATTGTTTCTTATTCTGCTAATTACTTCGTGCACTTTGCGGGATAGTGCCAAAGTCTCATCGATGGTGGAGGTATCCCCATGACCGAGAAATGTGTTTAGCTGACCTCCCTGCCATTGGTTTCCGCCTTTCTGTGGCCCGAACCCAATGGATTTCTCAATAACTCGCAATGAATTCAAGGCATCTTCTGTTTTCGCCTCGTACAAATGCATCTGGTATATAGGAATGGATAGACACATCACTTGTGGCGCATGAATGTAATCGGCAAACTTGTCAACCACACCGGTCAAGCCTTTGAAAACACCACCAAGGCGCTCTATTACAATCCCCTTAGTTATGCAGAGCTTTGCATCGAATGTCCAGAGCACTGCATAGCGTGGAGTACCGGAAAACCATGTAGGCAACATCGAATCTGAATCGCCTGGGAAGAAGTGAAACCCATCTTTTGTATGGCAGATCATGAGAAGTACGCTGGTGTCAACCCTCAAACTCCTCATCATACTGGAAAACATATCATGTGATACGTTTAGTGAGTTGTTCGAGTTGGACGTGACACATACGAGTTGCAGCTTCGCGTCAGCTACGATGTCCGACGACTCTACCCAAGGCAACAACTCTGGTCCAACTAGCGTATTTCGCTTCACGGTCGATCCTTTAGCATTTTCATAGGAAACTAAGATTCCTTCAAATCTGTGATTTGGGCCCACTTTGTTAAACTTCTGAGCATCATCGAAGATCGACTGCGATATGGCTCGCACCCCGTCCATTTAGTGGAGTAGCTTGAATCCTTCGTGACTCAAAGCCACTTAACTGTGTACTATTCAAAATTTAGTAAGGTTGCTTGTAAAGCCACAAAAAGCCTTCTTATAGACGACTCACATATGTGCCGCAGGTAAAGTGTACTCGGGCAGCTGCTAGAATCCAGTTGTTGACAGTGCTTAGTATTTTGTAGAATGCTGTAGATCTATATCAGTGAAAGCCTGTAGAGGGCCGAGCTGTCGCCTAATGTGGCTGAGTAGTAAATACGAGGACATGGGTACTTTATAGGCTCAGCCATGACCGACCCCGCACTGGAAAATGGTGATGAATAGATCTTGGCACAAGCGACATCAAGGAAAACATTCATCGCACATCAGGACCCTGTATCTGGGATCGTGTCGGATTAGGTACGTCGGTCCCTGACATAGAGCAACGCATAGTCGAGACGCTTTGTATAGCGTTGATGTAAACCGACAAGACGATATCAAAAGGTCGTGCCTTGGGTGACACTAACTTTTTGTTTGCAACATTAGTCCGGTTTCGTGCGTAGCATATACACACGGTCAAGGTCTTACAAGTTTCTACTGCGTCTATTCAGTTCTTCAGTTCTATCATGAGTTCCATTCAAATGGAGGGGGCTCAGCCCTCCATCGTGGCTGATCATGGTTCCGAGCCGACACAATCAGATGTGATTACTGCATTCATCAGAAGATACGAATCCGAGTTTGAGATTTGGGAGCAATACTTGGACTATACAAAGAAGTTCCTCGAATCGGTCATGAGAGATTCCAAGATCGCCTGCACAGTGACTGGGCGGATCAAAAAGCCCGAGAAAGCCGAAGCCAAGCTTAGGAAACGACAGGCCTTCTATCAGTTTCAATCCGAAGAAGACATCTTGTGCAATTTGGTCGATTTTGTCGGTCTGCGAGTCGCGGCTTACTTCCCGGATGACCAGAGAAGAATTTTGCGAATTATTGACAGCTGTTTCGTCACCATTGCGAGTGTTTACTTTAGGGACGACAAAGAAGAGTATTCACTCAATGAAGACGTGTCCGATAATTTGGCTGAAAAGATAGTTGAGTTTCTCAATAAGAAATACAGAGAGGCTGGTAGGTACTTGAAGTCTCGATCAGGAGCATTCACCTATTATTGGGACCTTCCAATTAGATCTATACTGACGGTATCCGTCTTGGTTAGATCGTTCTCGTCAACAAAGAAATAATGAGAGGATGATGAACACTGATCATGTGGATGAGAAGCAAGCTGTAGCTGATCAATCCGATGCCCACAACTCAGTTCCGAGTGCAAGAAGGAGCATGTCTCTCGACAATTATTCCAGGCGATTCGGCGGATACACAGCAGAGCACCGATGGGTGGTACTGCAAAAGAGTATCAGAAAAAATGAAAAGGCGTTGCACAAACATCCCATTGAGATCCAAGTTAGATCAGTTCTCATGGATTCCTGGATCGCTATCAACCGTGACATTGAATATGACGCGCTGACTGGCATTTTGTCCGCCCCGGAGCGACGCATCCTTGACAGCATCAAAGGCCTAGCGCAAACTGGGGAACTACTGTTAGAGCAACTACATCATGTCAATGTTGTGCGCCGAAAAGAAGATCAGATGCCAATTAGGGAACCGGGAGATATAACAAGAGTGCTAGAACAGTACTTTGTTCTGGAAGAGCCTGTACCACATCTTTCCGAGGATCCCTTCGCTGAATTACTTTATCCTGTTCTGAAAGGTATGGGCATATCAACAATCGGGGAGTTGAAGATGCGGCTCGATCGTGATGGTGTTGAGCCGTACTGCCAAGAGAAGTTTGCAAGCTTCCGCAAAGAATTCCCCATTGATGGTTCCTTTGAATCTTTTGTTCTGCCTCGGCTTCTGAAAAGCATACAGCGACATGAAGTTAGTGAGATCTTTAGAAGCCTGGGATATCACCCGTATGGCGCTCTCCCCAGCCTCATGAGCCTGATGAATAGAACCTTAACGTGGGTCATAGACCGGAAGCGTAACACTATCCACGCTGATATGGAATATCCTTGTCTCGCGCTGGTTCTGTGCATTTATGTTTGGACAGAAAGGAACGAAAATCCAGCTCCAGGGCATTCTATGTGGTCTGGATATCACGATCACAGCATTCTCCCTGATGTGTTAACTGAGCTCTTCCGTGGCCAAGATCTGACAGAACCGGGGACGTCTATAATGTTAACTGGTCTGGCAGATGTCATCACTGAATTTCGTGACGAAATAATGTATCGGAATGCGCTGCCTACTGATGCGAACAAGGTTGGCATGTTTGGAGATCGACTCGTCAAGCAACCGCTCAAACTGGAACAGGGCATCAATATGTTTTTACGCTACTCCCAGAATTTGAAGGCCAATAGCCCAGGTGATATGAAGGAAACAATAAGAAATGCTTTTGCAGGTGAAGCCCAGACGATTTGTTCGCGTTTGTTTGATTGGTACCACAATCGACTCTCGCTGCACGAAGCTTTCCGGATTGCCCATACTACCAACTTTTCGCTTACCGAGATTCGCGAATCTAGAGCGTTTTGGGATCTATTTGCAAAGAATACCCTACTGCAGGGATTTGAAGACCTAATCGACAGGCGTGGCGAAGCGTTCCAGCCTTGGTTGGATGGGTTGATTACTAAATTTGAAGAGATACGTGGTGGAAAGTGTAGAAAATGGCAGCCAGTGATGTGGAAGGAGGACTCTACTAAAACAGATGATCACAAACCTCGTGGTCACCGCAAGACCGAAGTGGCACTATGCATTCTAGATTGCGCCGAGCTGTCGGAATACCATGTACGGCTGAGACTTAGCGCCCTCGGTGGTATGGACATCATATTCCTGCAAAATTTCAGGTTCACTCTCACGGAAGAAGAAGCATCGATTTTGGCATTTTTGCCGCTTTGGTACTATCTCGGCAAACTCGAAGTCGATGCTCATTCAGGCTTGCATCTTGTGACGCTAGTTCACAATGACTTGTGCGGTCCTGTACCGACGTCCAAAAAGCCAATGTCGCTGGGTCCGCTCTGGAAGGCTAAGACTGAAGCATCAAGCGATAACGCGTTGGTTTGCGATATTCGGATGCATCTCGGAGACTCCCGTCCGCCCATCTGTCTTCGCCTTCCCAACTACAAACCCGGGGCTCCTATTGGCATGAATCTACTTCCTTCTGAGGACGATTGGGAACTTGAAGAAAGAAATATCGAATATGTAAAACATGAAAATCAGCCTTTGGAAGAAAACCAGGTTGAAACAGAGGTCGATCAGAAGGAGGACGAGGTTGTAGAAGGAAGCGAAGGTGAACCGGAGGATTGGGGGTATCTTCAAAGAATCAAAGGCGAATCAGAAGATGGGCAACAGTACTGGGGGAATCTGAAGAAAGCAGAAAGTGAGTCGGGAAGTTCACAAGATACAGGCGGCTACTTGACATGGAGCAAAGATGGACCAAAGAATAGGAGATCAAGAGGTGGATCTATGAAAGCAAGCAAGGATGCACTAGAAGATGAACATGAAGTAGAAGATATGTTCTTCTGGGCAGCAGTATCGTACAATCTCGCGGAGAGCGGAAAACGTTTGCTCCCAAGCGCGCTCATCGACGGAAGTCAAACCAACCGTGCAGCTGATATCAAAGTGGGTAATCACCATCGCGTAGTGCTGTTCAAACTGAAAGAAACACTTCGGGACCTAGTCTAGATCAGTCAACCAGCTGTGATTGGAAAGGGGAAGATCAAGACAAACTATATGCGATAGAGGCACAAAACAACAGAACTGACTACCATCATCGTTGTCAATGGAAACCAATCGAATTATTCTGGTTATATCTTCACGGCAGCTCTCCCTACGTGTCATCTGTGAAGTTGTTCTCAGCTTACTCATCACTTCCCTTCTCCACTGCACCTAATTCATCAGCGCTACCATCGTGCGCAAAAGTTATCCGCGCAGGAAAGCACACCCCCAACGCAGAGAACACAGCGAAGCTGGCGAAGCTGGCGAAGAAACCGTATAGATAGTCAAGACTATACAAGTGGTCTACGCCTGTTGAGATTGGTAGGTTGGCGTTCATCTAGTTAATAGACATGGAGTTAGTATCAAGCCATGCTACGATCGAGTGCAGAAAGGAGAAGAGCGCAATCGTACCCTCAAAGCGAACCCGGGAATGAGCGGAACAGAGCCGACAAGCCATGCGACGACTGCGCGCCAGTTGGTCCCCCATTTATTATAGCGGTATCTCCCGCCGGGTATGTACATTTCTGCTACGTCGTAGGTTTGTCGGTGGACGATGTAGTAATCTGCTAGGAGTATGCCTGTGATGGGGGCCAACTGTTTTACGCAAAGTTAGTTGACTGGTACGCGCATGGGTGGTGGGGGAGTGCCTGTTTCTCTTCTAATTCTTCGAGAAGTTCCTAGGAAAATTTACTCATACGTACCCATATAATATAGCCGTCCATGAAATTGAGCAAGGCGGAAGCGGAAGCGAGGATGTTCCACGGTATGAGAGCCCATGCACCGACGAAGGCTATGATATAGGATCCTCGACGGAGGTTGACGTACTGTTATAACCGTCAATACTCTCGTTCAAACACTCAATATAAAGTCTAAAGAGAGGCGTACCGAAGGAAACATGGCGTTCAAGTCGTTTGAAGCGGAAATGCAGTTTGCGCTGATGTTGGCTCCAAGCTGCGCCAGAACAAAAGACAGAGACACGAATGCGGCCGCTGCTCTTGCGCCAGAACTTCCACTCCAGTACGACATGATAGTGAGCGGGTCCCAGATCGACGTTTCGTACAAATCGGATGCTGCACCTGCGATGATGATGCCCATGAAGGACATGAGCATGAATGAGAGAGGAACAGCAAGAATCTTGACATAGACCATGCGTGTTGAGCGGGCGTAACGGGCAAAATCGTTAATGTTGACTGCCATGGTACCGTAGTTGCCCAACATTGACTGGAATGAGTTAGTAGTCGAATTCACTATTGCAGGATGACAGGGATCGCACATTCAAAGCACCTAAAAAGGCCCAAGAATACTCGGAACCGTGTAGTGAGGTGCGCTGCAGGAATAAAGTAGTATGCAGGCCTCCGTTTGACTGATGGCACGCCCACCCAAGTAGCGCGAAGACTCCGGGCAGACAAACAATGGTTTTAATATCAAAGAACCATTTGAGATATCGCGGATGGATCCAGTGAAAAGGGAGTGTGATGAGGAAGTATACGGTATATGCTATGAATGATAAGCCAAACCGAGTGGACGTCCGACGTTATCAATTACTTACAAGTCATCATTTGAGTCGTGATGTTTGCAGATTCAGGCAATGCATTTGGCACGTCTCGAAAAGATGGCCAGATTGCAAGAATCACAGCATTGACACACAGCGCGCCATTATGCGTGTTGATGCCGTACCAGAAAAACCCAACCAGCATGCGAATAAAGACAGCGACAAAGGATGCGAAGAACCCGAAGCCGGTGCGACTCTGGATCGTGTAGGGAATGTGGTATTTCGATCCGATGATGGCGTTCGCAGTGATGACGAGTGAGACAAGGAAGTGACCTAGAAAGATGATACCTATGGTTTCGCGCCATGAGAAGCCTAGTGTCATGATACTAGAACCTAGGCGGAGGTTTCCAGGTGCGACCGCATCGCAGAGCCAATAGGTGACGACTGATGTGGTCAGATCTTTCCGAATATTGCTTCACTCGTTGAACGTACAGTGATGTGATCTCCATGTTTGTTTCTCTAGAGGCACTGGATCCAGATCTGTGGCTGTCAGCTTGTAGTTCTGTCCACGTTTGTAAGACATAATATACCGACGTTGCCCCACTTTCCATGTACGCTGTGTACTTCTGAATGCTCCAATTTGATCCACTCGTTCAAACGATGTAGAAATGATAACTTTTTGGAATCATATACTCCAACGTGCCCTTCAGCTAACTCATCAGTGACGGACTGTGGCGATTCTTTCAAAGACTTGTCGGAAACCACCATGTTTTTGGTAGTGTCCATGGTTAACGGCGAGAAAACGGTGAGCTCCCAAAACAATCGACATCATTATAAGCTGATGTATAGGCAGATTATATCTACACGATAAATGGTGTTGCGATTCAACATTGCCTATCTTGCCTCACACGATAAATGAAGAGCGCTTGTCTATCTTCAGTATTAGCGCCATTAGTGAAAGCTATCTCAGATAGATCTCAACCCGGCCGAGATGTTGCCAATGACTTGTCGACTGAACCGACAACAAACATTGGAATGATGTGGCGAAACTCAAAGACTCATGACAGATACCACTGGAAAACGTTTGTCACAGCGGCAACCTCTTGCTTGCCTTGCATGCACAAAAAGCAAGGTTCGTTGTGACAAGAACATCCCATGCGGTCGATGCTCCAGAAAGAATCCGATATGCGAAAGGGAGTCTGTACAGCTCTCAGCTCGTCATAGAAGAAAAAGAATGATTAGGAAGGCTATTGATGAGGCCACTTCTGAGTCACCAGATGAGACGAACGATCACGTCGGGAGATTACGTGATGGTACTGTGCCGACTGTTACGACCCATTCGATTGTGACCTCTACAAGCCTCTCATCTGCAACGAAGGGGCAAGTTTCAGACCGTATGCAGGTGAAGTTCGAGGACTTGGCCACATGCATCGAAGGCTTAGCTTGAGGAAGGCACCAATGCCACAGATATCCACATCGGAACTGCTTACGCTTCGATGCTCAAAGTGCAAACTCGATGCCGGATGTTCTATCTGTATTTTCAGGCGCAGAACTTCCAGATTCATCAATAGCGAAACCGTTGATTGATTATCATCTGCGGACGCTTGCTTGGAATCATAACTGTTTGCACGTGCCAACCTTCTACAAGCAGTGCGAGAGATATTGGTCAGAAGGGATCGTGGAAACGGGCAATGGCTTGCACTTTACTGTGCTACCCTAAGCACATCCGCTTGGAATATCCAGAATTCACCGGGATGCGAAGCGAGGTTTGGAAAGCCTGCCGAGGAGTGCTCGCCAAGCCGATTCTTCGATCTGGCTTTGGCCATCATGGATCGAGAACAGTTCATGAGCAGACACACTGTTTTCTCTGTGCAGGCGATATGCATCCTCGGAATGGTTGCGAATGTTCTTGGAAAGAGTGATTTGCTGATCCCTTGGATCAGCGCTGGCATTCGAATCGCACAATGCCCTGGATTCCATCATATCGAAAAGAGTGTCTTCAGTGAATCATGGAACGAAACAGTAGAGATGGAAGTTGAGAGGAGGGTATGGTGGAAACTGGTTGAACTCGACTACCACTCAATCCCATACACTGGAACATATTTAATCAAATCAACGCAACGCATTTCACAACGCGGCAAACCTCGGAACTGCAACGACGATCTTGCACATGAGGACGAAGGCCAGCTTACCACCAGTACTTATTCTATCATCAAGGCAAAAATGGCCCTTCTGATACCTGCCTTACTTGATGGTCCTCAACAGGATGTCGCTTCTCGCTATCAACATGTTGTTGATATCGATCGGAAGATGCGAGAACTGGTTGCTAACATACCTCGTGCTATCTTAAGAGACCAAAATGGCACGGAATCCACCCTAGAGTGGCTCACCTTGGCTCGTAGGACGTTGGCTATAGCCGCCGCAGACAAGGTACTGAGCTTAGCGTTATGTGACTTCACTCAAGAGAGGCTAATCTATACCAGATTATTATGATACATCGATCGTTTCTACTCAAAAGCTTCCAGTCGCCCGCCTATCTGTTCACCCGACAGACCTGTGTCTCTGCAGCGATGACCATCCTTCGAGAACATGAAGAAATATCAATAGCTGGCCCAGAATGTCCTGCAATCTGGGTGCACTCAGCCTTCTGTGTTGCTGCCATTGTGGTAATCTGCCTCGAATTACTTTTCTGCCATGCCTCGATAGCGCCACAGCGAAAGGCGCACTACCTCGCACTCATCCGAGCAGCAAGAATCCGATTGAATAAATCCAAGAATGACACCATGGCACGCCGAGGCGTCTTTCTTGTCGATGCTATGCTTAACGAAGGTCTATATCATGATCACTGCGCAGATAATACCAGCGAAGATTCAACCCGGCAGAAGTTTATACAAATTCTTCACAAGTTCATTCAGTTCGACGCGGCCAGCTCCGAATCCCCTTCGGGAGGTGGCGAGAGCTTCACTGGAGAGCAGTATGATGATTTCAATGTCTGGTTCAACAACCATTTCAGGTAGAGCGTTCGGTATAAGTTGAGATCAGATGTAGGAGATTGTCTCGGGTGGGGTTCAGATAGGCGTTACTCGGCCGAGATTGACTCCCCTTGTCTCTATCTCACCTGAGCCACTTACTGCAGACTGCATCAATCAACATGGCTATTTCTATCAACGTGTCCCACAACCATCTCCCCCGGTGGAAATACGCAGAACCATTTGCAGCTCACACACCAGATATCTCCAAGCAAACTCATCCAACATGCCGCATCCTGTTGCGCCTCTCCAGATCAGACCACTGCCAGCCGAGCAACGCAAATCAACGCTCCTCGGCGCCGAAGTAATCCTCCCAGACTCCACGACCCTATTCAACCCAACCCAACTATCAGAATCAGACAAGCAAACATTTCGACAAGCCTTCTTCGACAACGGCGTCCTACTCATCCGGAACCAACCCGGCATCTCCCTCAAAATCCTCTACGACATCGCCGACCTCCTCGACCCAGCCCACCTCCCCCACCACTCCGTAGGCCAAAAGCAAGTCACCTCCCCCAAAGACATCCTCTCGCAGAACAACAGCTCCCGGATCCCGCGCGCCCCATAAGTCACAGTCATAGGATCCGGCCGCGTCAGCAACCACGAGGGCATCCCTTACCTCCATCTCAAACACGTCGACCAATCGACGTTCCACGCGCACCCGTTGACGGCCGCCGAAATCGCAGCGGGACGCACCAGGCCGTACCGCTGGCACATGGATGCCGCGCTGTACGAGCACCTCCGCGTCGCTGCACGCCCATCACGGTCCCCTCGCTGCCCCCGCAGACTCTGCCCTTCCCGTCCCACGAAACAGAACTATGCAAATCGCTGCAGACGCAACGCTCTTCTTCTCCGTGGCGCGGAACTTCGACATCTTGTCCTGTCCCCCGCGGGACTAACCGCGAAGTCGCTCTCAACAACTACAGTGCACTACGCGCCGCGCGCCTACGAGATAATCCACAACTGCAAAACCACATCAGACGGCCTAAGTATTTCATCCGTCGGCCGCGAAGTCCCAGTCAACGAGTTACCCCCGTTCGAGCCGAGCAAAGTCCATTCTTTCTTTCCCTATGGTGTGGAGGAACCCTGGGAATGGGCGTCCGATCGCGGGGTGTTATGTTTATTATGCTCTTGAGACTCTCGATCCCAAGACGGGGCGTTGGATCCGTTATTAACGAGCTGGCTGAGGTGAGAAGGATATGTTACGAGCTGCAGAAGAAGGTGTGTAGATCGGAGAATGTGTACGCGCACGAGTGGCGGGAGGGTGATTTGGTCGTGTTTCATAATTAGGGGGGTTATGCATAGTATCTCGGGGCAATTTGGCGCAGGATGAGGAGAGTAAGAGGGTGTTGTGGCAATGTAGTATGGCGAGTAGTTGTCCGCCTGAGGGTTATCGCTGAGGGATTGATTTTTTTTTCATGTATATTTGGAAGAGTTACACTAGGGAGAGCGTACTCGTCAATCTTCTTTCTGTCCCTTAAAATAATGAAAACACAAACAAATAATATATCCTTCCAAACAAGAAGAGATAGTGTCAATGAAACAAACAAGTTTTATTAAAAAGAAAACCTCAAATAAAAACTACCGACGCCCTATTGCATACCCCCCAGCGAATGAATCCGTGAAAAACAAACAAAGTTTTGAGCTGGCTACAACTACTCGTCCTTCATAACCCAGCGCTCCGATACTCGTCGAAGCGTTAGTACCGGACCACCATTAAACGACTCATCTTGCTTCCGGTCTTTGGGCGGTGTTTTGTCGTCATCAACGGTAGGCAGCTCCAGATCTGAACATTCGTCCTGCTTCTCAATCTTCTCAGTCCTTGTGTTCTTTTCAGCTTCAGAGAGACGAAGCTTCAGTACTGGCAGGCGGTTTGGCTCAGCAATGTTCTCAATCTTTTCGGTCATCATGTCCTTTTCAGTGCCAGAAGGACGAAGCTTAAGTACTGGCAAGCGGTTTGGTTCTGCAATGTTCTCAATCTTTTCAGTCTTCATGTCTACGTCGACATCGGTAGGGTGTAGCCTTATCAGTGAACGGCCCCGTATTTCTTCAACGACCTCAGTGCTCTCAGGATCCGACGCTAACCATGCAAAAAGCGCCTCGTTCTTTTTCTCTTGCTCTCTCAGAGCCGCCTTCCGTATCGCAATCTGGTCATATTGCTTCTGCAATGCCATTGCTTCATCAAGGTCATCCGCATCCATATCGACCTCGAGTTTCTCCTTCTTCCATTTCATTTCCATATCCAGCTGTAATTCGATTGCTTCCGCGAGGTCCGAGGTCATAGACTCGTCTGCCACGGTGGACCAATCGGACATATCGGACCGATGTCCATCGACGGTGAGTCCTTTCTAGGGTCTTCTGAAGATCAGTCTGCCGTCGTAATAGCTGACCAGCTCGTTCGTCCCGGGAATACGATAGCTACTTCCATACTCGGGTAGCTGTGATTCGGAAGGATGGGGAAAGTCTTTTTCGAATCCCACTCGTTTCTCGCGCTCGTCTTCGTATAAGCTCGGCACGTCCTTGAGGCGGCATTCGCGCTCTTCGTGGTGAGCTTTAGCGTCATAGTTGGCGGGAGTCGGAATATCTTGAATGTAGAGATCGTCTGCGTCGACGGGAGGGAGGCAGATCGGAATGTTGAGGTCTGATTTCTTGGATGGAGACGCGGGCGCAAGATCATCGACCATGAAATCATCAGCCGAAGGGCGAGTCTCTGCATGGCCAAGCTGCAAGCTGTCCGAGGATTTCAAAGAGCTTGGGGTCTCTTCGACGAGGTTTTGCGTTCCCAACCAATTCTCAACCGGTGGACAAGTCTCTGCGTGCCAGAGTTCTGAGTTATCGGCAGGCTCTATAGTCTCTGCGATGGAATCAAGTGGCGTTGTAACAACGATTGTAGGTATAGATTTCTTTTCCTCGGATGCAGGAATGTGGATAGGGTTGCGGGTATCGATTTTATGGGGAGTGCTTTTCGCTCCCTCAACGACTTGAATCCTATTGGCAGTCACCGCCTTGCCGGCTCTGTTGATATAAGTGTAGCGTTCGTCTCCCATTTTCAGAGATGTGGAAGACCTGCTTCGTGAAGATGATGTGCAGTGATAACGATTTGTGCGGTAATACGATGCGGTGTGATGATATTGGGCGTAAAGCGGAGATCCAGCGAGTGGAAAGATGCCGTGATGATGGTGTTGGAGAGGAGGTGAGAAGAGGGAGTTGACGTATAGATATAAGCGATGGCAGGATGATGAATCATTCGGTCCCTCCTGCTGGAATGGTTGGGTGCTGCATGGCATATGGAAGGCGCGGTTAGCGGTCGCTTGTAGCCAAACAGCGACAATGTTTAGCAAATCGAACAATGCAAGGTGAGGTAATCAAGTCTGGAGAAGAAGAAGAAATTAATTATGCTTTTGTAATGTTGGGCTCGTGTGTCGAGCAGAAACTAAAGGCTCTAGTCGACGTCTTGGAAAGCCCAAAAAACAAAAGGTATCGTAGAGAACTCCGTGTCAATGGAACCCTCGCAGTGCGTCCAGACCGGCAGTCATGGGTATAGAACGGGAAACAGAAGAGGCTATCATACATGAAAGCAAGAGAGAAAGAAATTAACCAGAGAAGAAGCCCATGTCGCATACCCATTGCCGTTCCTTGAAATGACCAAAGTGTAGTTCCGAACGATCAATTGAAAATAAAGGGTGTGGCTGAAAGCTACGTAGTCAAGGTGGGCAGAGTAAAACGAACCTCGCGTCACAAGTCCAAATTCATTCCACCAAATCAGAGAACGTGTGCTTGGGAAAGGGGAGGCAATAGAGCGGGGAGGGTGGCTGGCAACCACAAAGTCAAAAGGTGACAATCGCTTACCGTTTATCAAGACTTGTAGTCATTACCAAACGACAGAATTTTGATTGGCCGCTGTCGTTTGATGAGAGGCTCCTCATCAGTTGTTGGTATCGTAGTCTGACCTATGGCGTGGGAAAACAATAAGTCAGTACAGTCCAATCAGAACAACGTCAACGAACAGAATAGATAGAAACAGGAAAACATACCAATCAACCCTTTTAAGGGGAGCCTCCGGCGTAATGCTGCATGTTGCTCATGTTGAACTGCTTGTCGGGGCCGTACGTCTTGACCATGGCGTTCGCGAAGTCGTGAGCGCGCTTGTCGTGGTGGTCCCTGACATACTTGAGCAGCAAGTTGAAGGAGGCTGAGGGCATGTCCATGAGGTTCGACTCCTCCGAGCAATGCTCATCCTTGAAGCCGAGGTCCTTCTCTTTCCACATGATCTCGCGGGCCTCGCAGTAGCGCTCGTACTTGGCCCCTATATTGACAGGGGGTTGCTTCTCGATCTTGGGCTGCTCGATCTTGGGCTCCTCAATCTTGGGCTTCTCGATAAAAGGGTCGTCAATCTGCTCGGCAACCTTTCGCTCAACCCTCCGAAGATGTGGAGGGACAGCTGACTTTTGCTGACTAGTACCCAGTGCGATCTTCGTAGCCTGCGGGACGTTCTTGTCTTGGGTTTTGTTGTCGATATGAAACAACGCCATGGTCTGGGCGATGTCCCAATTCTCTGGGTCGCGGCTGGTGTTGGCAGAAGAAGAGGCGGCATTGCCGTGTCCCATTTGGGCGTCGAGTTGAAACTTTGGCGGAGGAAGCGCAGAGACGTTCCTCAGCGGCGTCTTGTAAGACGCGGATCGTATCTTTTGCGAGGTTGGAGGAGACTTGGTGGTTGGCTTTTGAGGCGTCTCGGGCGATCCTCGATTGACGTGGGCGATTCTACGGCTGGGATTCTCGCTGCCGCGAGCGACGGGCTTCTTTTCATGACCGCTTGGCTCACCGCCGCGGCCAGTCACCGCACTGCTGCCGACGTTGTCGACGATCTTGGCACGCGCGAAGGAAGAGATCTTGACGGGTTGCACGGTTCCAATCTTCGGGATTGACTGCGAAGATGTGCCGGACGAGCTCATGTTTTCTCGTAGTGCAGCTTGGCGGTGAGCTTCCACTTTCAACGAGTGCTTGGCTGTTTGCTCGTGCTTCCGCTCCGTCCTTGTCATGCGGTGATCGGCGGGCCCGGTTCCTGGCAAAGGGATGTGACCGGCTGATCGATGGTGGCTGACAGTGACTGGCTCCTTGGGGAATGATACGTTGAGACCCAGTGGGTCCAGCTCTGTCATTTCAGGTGATCAGTTGATTGTTCGTATCCCAGACAGTGACACTTGACAGCGAAAGGAAGATGATGAACAGAAAGCTGTATACTCACCACGCTCGAGGTCGGAACGGAATTTGGAGCTCATGGTTGTAGTATAGACTTGAAGTGTTGTATATAAGAGAAAAGAGAAGCTGGTGATGTTTTCGAGAGGCGCGGAGTGTTGGTAGGAGGAAGGTGAGCAGCGACAGCTGCGTACATGAGTTGGACTAGAGCTCTGTCACGTGATTGCAATCAAACTAGCTCCAGAAAACGTAAACAAACCAATAGACAGCTGTAGAACGTTATAGAACATCATGAGAATTCGAGGTCACCTCGAATCAGTGCTCCTGGTCAAGCTTGTAGCCGTGAATGCACCACTACGTCAGTGCAATAGAGGTGTTATAAGACGGGATGAGCTTTTGAGATGTGGCTCAAATTCGACGTGAAGTTGATGACAGAAGAGGCTCATGTCAACGATAAAAAGGCTTCAAGATACGACAGACGATTTAGGGTGACATATGTTTCATCCTTGATCACTGTGTATGCACCTTTTAGTTACACTGTCCATCAGATGTTCCAATAGAAGTCAAGATCACATAAAAACCTATAACTTTCAGAGAATGTGCAAATCGAAGTATCTCAAGAACAATTTTCAGGATTCAATTCGGGGAAGAAGAACTGTGTATTCCAAGAATCAAGTTCATCGAGCAATGCCGCCGATGTACTTAAATACCTGTGCCGTCCTCCTCCCCGTGGCACAAAAACGACCCATTTGTCAGAAATGACGGGATTCTGATCCCGTGAAATGCAACCCCTGATCCATCATGCCGATTATGCGCAAACACGCACTCGTACTCCATCAGGAGCCCTAAGATACACTAAGCCCCTCATCTGACTGATCAGATTGTCTCCAGGCAGATCCCCCAGTACAATCATCTGACGAATAGCGTCCCTGTGACGCCTGTGACGCTTCCCGTTTGTCTTTTCATCCGCTACCAAGAAGTTCCACGCGATGTTAATATTCCTGAATACCAATAGATTGAGCTGGTAGGGCAGTGCCGCCGTCTCGATGTACAATTGCCGGCATACGTTGTTGAGAAAAGTCATCTGGGCTGTTTCAAAAAAGTAAGGGTGTTCCGCTACCTGCATGAGCTCAACGAAATTGTACGTGTTCTCATGGGGGAAGTAGTAGGTCAAGCCGTCTGCCAGGAGGATGGGTTGAGGGGGATTCAGATCGTTCAAAGACTCTGCGGCGTTACGGCTCCCCGACAAGTTATCGAAACTGATATCTTCAATGTTGCAGACGCCTTGTTCGACGATCGTGGTGTCGTATTTGAAGATGGGTTTCCCAGTTCCTCGCTCGTAAGTGCGGTAGTCAATCAAAATACTCTTCCCACCAAGCGCCAGCTCGAAGATGTAGGCTCGCAGCTCAGGTGGCAGACGAAGAAGCGGCGACTTTTCGCGGTTCCTCTCCCACAGCGTTGCGATATTAGATGACGAAGAGATTCGGCGTCCAGTGAGCGTCTTGGTCGGTCGAAGCTGGATTTGCTGAACAGGCGATGGCGGCAACGGCGTGCTCGAAGGGGACACCTCTGCCACACCAGAGGCCCGAGGGCCGTCGAACCGCCTACTCGCAGGGGAAAATTCTTCCACACTAGACACCTCAGAGATGGGACATTCAGAAACCGCCTCCTCCAGGAACAATTCGCTCTCTTCTATAGGCGATGACGGCAAAGGCACCTCCGCCGGAGACGAAGTTGGGAATAGAGAAGCCGGTAGTTCCGTGGCACCACCAGTAGATCCAGACACCGACTCAGAGCTCCCCACGTTCTCCTCGGTAGGTGAAGACGGCAATGGCACTCTCGCAGGAGACGAACTGGGATACATAGAACTCAGCAGTTCCGCAGCCGCACCACCAGATCCACACACCGACTCAGAGCTCCCCACGCTCTCCCCGCCAGCCTCATCCAAGCCGATATGCCCGACCGCTCGCTCCTCGTCGCTACGAGTCGGAGGAGACGACTGGTCCGGTGGGCTCGGCTTCCGGCGCTTATTCTCTCCATCGTCCATGTACATGCTGGTTTTACCCCGGCGCGAGTATACGCGCTTGGCCATTTTGAAGGTCGGTCGGCGCGCTGCCGTGTGTTGGAAACAGAGAGTCGAAAAGAAATGATAGGATGGTGATATAGCGACAGCTGTTTTGTCGTCGGGATCGAGTGGTGGAGGAGAGAAGGGGAGAGGAAGGCACAAATACGGATTTTATTACATTTGTGGTGAATGACCAGCGACTACCCGCCGCGCACGGGCCGCTTGTGCGACGTATGTACAAGCTGCAGTGAGAGAGATCCATCCAGTCATAAGTCGGGAGTATGTAAGCTTGAGTGAATGGCATTGAAGTGTCTGCACGGCGCATCTTTTGTAATCAATTGATGTTATTCGCGAAACCTGTTGATTCCTAACCCTTATACCAAACCTAAAAATAACCCTACATACCACACTCACCCAACCCAGCCCACCTCCCTTCACCAAACCCCCCTTCACACTAGAAAAGTAGTAATACAAAACTAAGCCTACCTCCCACAACTACACCATGACCAAAGAGTTCATCAGTCCATTCATGTATCCAAAATTGATTCACGTGCATTAGTTGTACGCCGTTCAAATGTTCAGCACATGTCTTGCATCTACGTTGATATCACGAATGAAATGGGATTATGGTGTTGAGGTGATTGATTGATTCATCATTTTTCAATTACGTATGTATATACAGCGGTGCTAGACCGCCGTATTTTCAAAGCCACGCAGTTTGCGGGTCAAACATAGGGGATCCAGACATGACAGATAACCCTCCATTACACTAGAAGAAACCCCAGAAAATCGTGCGAGAGAGACAGCAGATTATGCAGAGAAGACGCAAGACGCAGATCTAACAAAGGATCTTGTATACCTTTTTCCACCAAGGCCACGTCTTCTTCTCGGCGCGCTCCTCGCGCAGGATCTGCGGAAGATCCAATTCGCGGCGACCGCTCGTGACGTCGATGTCCTTGGCGCGCTTGAACTTGGTCTTGTGCCAGAGCTTGAAGACGACGTAGAAGAGCACGACAATGGGGAACGCGAGGTACGCTTCGAAGAAGGTCTGCACGCGCTCCGCGGCCGTGAGCTCGCCGTACCCGACGGGCGCGAAGCCGGTCCAGAACTGCGCGATGAGGATGAGGATGTTGAAGATGGCGCCCACGTACGAGCCGTAGACGGTGGCTTGCGAGGTGAAGGCGAGTTCGTCAAGCGAGTGGCCCTGCGCTTTCCAAGCTGCGCGGAACCGGATGTGGCAGATGCAAATGGAGGTCCAGTTGAAGATCTGCGCGAGACCCGAGATGGCGAGCATCCAGGCGAAAGCTTGGCCGCGGACTTCGTCGCCGGCAGCAACAATGTACGCGATAAAGCCGAAGGCGGAGGAGAACAGGATCGCGACGAGCGGGCGGCCGGAGCGGTCAATGTAGCCCAGGATTTTGGGAGCTTGTCCATGGTCGGCAAGGGCGGCGATTGTGCGGGAAGTGGCGTAGATGCAGGAGTTGCCGACGCTGAGGACCGCGATGAGGATCACTACGTTCATAATCGAAGGCACAACAGAGATGCCGGCATTGCGAACGGCAATGACGAAGGGAGAGGCATTGGCATCAGAGGAGGAGGCGCCGATGAGCTTATCGTCGGTGTAGGGGACGAGGCAGCCGACGATGGTCAAAGAGACCATGTAGAACTGGGGGTATGTAAGCATGCTACTTGATATGAATGAACAGAAGGGACACTCACCAGAAGAATACGCCAGAAGACTTGTTTGACGGCGGTGGGCAGAGTCTTCCTAGGGTTCTCGGTTTCGGCAGCACACAGTCCGACCAACTCTGTTCCCGCGAAAGAAAAGGCGGCAGTGACGAAGACGGAACAAAGGCCTTTGAATCCATTGTGAAACGCTCCAGGGTCATGCCTATGTGCGTCAGCAATAATCTCATTAAGCACCTGTTGGATCTACTTACCAGTATTTGCCACCGATATATGGCTGGCCAGGAATACCTCCCGTATCGATGATGATACCGAGGATGATGAATCCAATCACCGCGGCGATCTTGATGATGGAGAAGACGAATTCAGCCTCTCCGTATCCTTTGACACCAAAGAGATTGATGGAGATGATGACAGCAAGGAAGATGGTGACCCAAGCTGCAGGATTGGTGCTGCGAGAGCCCTCCCAGAAGTTCAACGTGATGGAAGCTGCCACAATCTCAAGCGGGAGGGTGACCAACCAAGACAAGGCGTAGCTACTTCTTGTCAGCAGATGAAGTGAGAATAGGCTGGGGTATCGACACTTACTTCCAGGCCATGGCAAAGCCCCAAGCTGGGTCGATGAAACGAGACGCATAGACGGCGAAAGATCCAGCGACGGGGAAAGCAACTGCCATCTCACCGAGAGCTTGCACAGTGCAGAACAGCATGATACCCACAAGTCCGTAGCAAATGACCAACGAAGCGGGACCACCAGCCTCCACTGAATTGGCGGGGGCGAGATCAGTAAACTTCAACACACATGGATACATGCATAATCAAAGACTTCAAACACAACACTGCATGGGGGGAGGGGGTGACCTGGGTGGCAACCAGACGCGTGTGGAGTGGGGATATACTTACAAGCAGCACCAGATCCAACGAACAGACCCGTACCTTTGCAAAACCCGTTAGCAAGAGTCGGACATGAAGGGCGGAAAGCTTTACTTACCAATGGAGCCACCGATAGCAATCATCTGCAGATGCCTGTTCTTGAGCTTCATGCTCAGAGCTGGCTGGGCGGGCGGCTGATCGGGGAGCGGCTTGCCCTCCTCGTCCACGGCCTCGGTGACCATCCTCGCGTTGGGGTTGCGCTTGAAGCTGTCGGCGAAGCGACTCCATTTCGTGCCTGTCTTTGGAAGGTCCTCGCTGGCGCCGACGCCGTATGCGGGTGCGGGCTGCGAGACAAACTCCTTCTCTTTACCGCTCTCGAGATCCATTGTTGCTGACCAGATGTGGTGTCGATTTTTATGCTGGTGGCGACTGGACGTAGAGACAGCTCTGGGCTGGGTAGTGGTGGTTGAGAAGGAGGGTGGTAAGGTGGTGGGGAAGGTTGGACGCTAGGGGAAAGATAGACAGTGAGGAGACAGGAGCCTAAAAGGCGGACTCTGGCTGTGGCTGTTATCTTGACTAGGAGCTAATCTCTGGGGGTCCGTGTAGATAAGTGTCTAATGGTTTGAGGGATAACGACGTAACATGAAAACGCTCGGGGGAAGATCGACAGCACGGACTCGCAAACACATGCCTGCATATGCAAACGTGCAGTTACTGGCAAATCAGGCCAATCCGCCTTCACCCAAAGGATTTGCGCGTGAACGCGTAGTCTGCCTTTTCAGTCGTTTGTTTGCATCCTCCTCCAGTTGCTGTGCCGTCGAGTCACATTCCCCCAAATCTCTTCTTTGCATTGCTTCATTGATAATCCAACAGCCTATCTCTTCATCCAAAACATAACCTCCCCAACAAATCCGCCTTATCAGCGCGACCAGAACAGAAAAGCAAACGAGCACGCGCGCAAACCGCCCTTGCATCCCTCATACTGCCTCATCGTGTGCGGACCAGCCAATCATCCGACCGTCGATAGGAATCAACCGAACGTGTCTGCGGGACCAATACCGACGAGCGGAATGGCATCGTCCGTTGGTGATTGATCTGCGCGAAATCGACCGCTTCCAGCCATGTCGATATGCAGCCACAGACAAGCTTTCCAGTACGCGGCAAGATCCTACGCAAGCTTTCCTTGTGGCGTCAAGGGTTCATCGTATCGGCACTGTTGAGCCGGCGCGATGGATTCACCCCAACGCAACTCCATCGACGTCCGGACATTCGTTTCATCGATTGAGTATCCGAGCGGACTTTATTGAAAAGATGGAGAATCCAATGCAGATATAATACCGTCATAGGCGAAGATGAAAGGTTCAGCGAAGTATTCAACGAGTGCCGTTATCGATGATGAAGACCGTTTGGCGAACATGGGGAAGTGGAGAAGAGTGATGTCATCGACTAAGCCTCGCTAAGCCTTTCCGAGATGTCAGGTCATATTACTCTAAATTGTACCTGTACATACATGCCCTGGTGTACACACCTGTGTAGCACTTGTCCATTCGCTCAAATATCCAAAAGACTCGTAGGCATCTGCATGTCACATTGCAACTTCCTCGCGGTATCTCGTATAATCATCATCACCACCACCGGGAAGTGGGCCCGAAATATCCACACATGTGAATGGTCTGGAACGCGACATGTGAGATTCAGGTCATGAACAGAATGGCTAGGCTCGTTAAACTGATGTATCGTGAGGAAGATACAATGCAAGGCAATTTTGTGGGTAAGACCGAAGTAAGGAATATCAATGTGCATTGATAACTTTTAGGTGTCAAGGCCAAGAGGATGAAGCTCTGTTCTATGAATTACGAATAGTGGAGCTCAAGGCGGTATGGGATATTTTTGGCAGTTACCTATGTATGTTACATCAGCAATCCATTGTACTCAATACAATCTGTATATCCGAAATTTGATTGCGACCAAAAAAAAACAGCTCTAAGCGTATGTAAGATTGGGAGCGGAGTATATCTAAACGCAACATACACAATTATACACACCACATCCATGTTTCCCTCCACATCTGTACCATGCATACATATGTACATTTGCACATTTGATCCCCAACCATCTAAAAGAAGGAAAGATTCGATGCCCCTACACCATCATCCCCAGCGACCCCAAGCATCCCCTCGAAAAACACATGTCCGTTGAGCCCCGGGTCGACCAGCGCCTCGAAATCAATCATGTCGACATCCCACTCGATACCCGCCCAATTCGCATTGACAAAGCAGTCGTCCTCCGCCGACGATGACTGCTGCTCGGGCATCTCAGGTACCGGGAGCGAAGCTTGCGGATCGATATTCCTGGAAGCTTCTTCTACTACACTGACAACAGGCTGAGCACACGTAGTGTTAAGAGCTTCCTCTGATGAAACGTGCGTCTCTGAAGGCTTCGCGGTAGGCGGCTTAGCGTGCTCGTCTATGAAAGAGGTTAAGAGGCGGACGCCGTGGGAGGCGACGGAACTCGTGGGCCAAGTCTCGAGGGTAGCGATGGCGCGGTCCATGTACGATCGCGTTTCGCGGGCTTCGACAGATGTAGCACCGCCGCTGCTACTGCGGTGGTGGATGAGGTCGAGGCCGAGGACGAGTCCGGCGGTTACGACGAATGCCTAGTGACGGTTAAGTAGTGTGTCGGAAATGCCAAGTGTGAAGAGTGAAGGGGTTAACGCACTTGTTCTATCCACCATTGCGGTTCCTCTGGGTACCGCGTCTCCATGGCATCGACAATGGCTTTGGAGCTGCTGAGACAGGCCCAACGCGAATAGGTGTAGCGCGAGTCTTTGAAGCTTTTGCCGAGGAAGCTTTGATGGACCATGATGACTTTGTGCGCGGCAGAGGCTTCGTAGGAACGTCGAGCCCAGAACACCCAGGGCCATTTATCCCACGCGGGGTCGTAAGGTGTGGATCGACGGAGGAATTTGGGCATCTTGTCGAGGTGGATGGATCGGATGATGGCGTCGTATTTGAGGACGACGTTGTATTTTGCGGAGATGTCAGGGGCGTCGAGCATTTCATCGAGGTAGTGCGATAGCTCGTAGGCGACTTGGTGGAGGAATACGGTCACCATCGTGTCTCTGAAAGCGATGGTCAGTGGGACTGTCCAGATGAACGAGTGAACGAATCTTGGTGAGATGCAATCTTGCAACGTTCAACCCTGGAGCATGTATGGACAGTGGGATTGGCATACACTGGTGAATTATCATCCTTGACGGGCGCCCATGTCTCCTTTTCAAAAGGACGTGGCAGTATTGATGTGTAATGTCGTCGCTGTACGTTATAGTTTCCTTGGGATGTAGAGCACAACCAGTCCTGTGAAGCCAAACCGCACCTTAAACCAAGGATATGAGAGTCAGCGAAGCGTTGACAAGGCGTCGCTATACTGGCAAAGTCTCAAATGCTACTTGACTTCGGGCTTTTGTACGTACCAGATCCTTCTGCCGTATTCCCTCTGCTTCAGTGCCTCCTTCTGTTTGGTGGTCATGTCGGCAGGTGCAATATCATCCTCGGGATGCGGGCCAAGTCTGTGGATCAATCAATTGCATTCTTTCAGTATAACGCGGGGATACCCACCTGTGCATGCCTAAGCCTCGCGCGATTACAAGCCCTGTAGCTTGATATACTGCCCATTCTTTTGTTGATCCGACTAAATGTTCTGAAGTATGCATGTTGAAGATGGCTTGGACTGAGTAGATATGGTACTTTGAAGCAAAATCGCCCAGATGGAGGCATGAGATCAGAGAATGTCCCCAAGTTCTTGACAAGCGCATCTTTTCTGCATTCGAATATCCCCACGACTTTGAGATCTCTTCGGAAGAACCGATCATGCTTGCAGACAGAATCGAGAACAACAGTGCAGACCAAAGCCAGTCATGTTTGCAAAGACTTATCTGCTCCGTTCCGTTGTAGGCTTCCAAGACGCTTTCCCGGAAACTCGGTTCATCGCTGGCGGAAGCGTTAGTCTAGTACATAGCATTGTGGTGAGTATATCGAGTGGTCCGACGACTTACTAAACGCTTCCCACCCAGTACGCCATGCAGCGGCTATGGTAATCGATCATCTGTAGAACCTGCTCTTTGGGAGGCAAGAGTGACTGAAGATGGTGTACCTCGACCGATTGGGCCGCAGGAGAGAAGCTGTGGGATCTTTTCTCTTTTGAAGATGAGTTCGCCGTGCCTACATTCTGGGCGTGCTCTCTGAGAGACAGCTGGAATTCATACTCTTCTTTTGCACTGAGCAGAGACGCCACAGATATATCTGCAAATTCAGATCGACCGTAGGTGGCGAGAACCTCGCTTTCTAAGGGGGCTGCAGTAAGCCCCGACGTACTATCCGTGCTTGTTGTGGAGTTTGCTGCTGAAATATACGATGGGTCACGCAACGGTTGTTCCAGGTTTCCAGACATCCGGAAGGGCATTGTCATTGGAGAGTGGACATCGTTTGGCAACGACGTGGTGCTCGAATACGCTTGAGGTTTGATACCGGCCTCGCGCGTTCCATTGAGCAATGCTTTTCTAGGATATTTGCGGTGGATTGCTGGATTGTAGCCACTAGACCACTCCGTAGTACACAAGTGAGCTTCCTTATTCTGCACACATCGCGTACACGGCGATTTTCGGTCGCACTTTTGACGTCGCATCGAACATCTTGTACACGTCTGTCGTTGCTTAGGCATGTTGCCTGGAAGTGGAAAAAATGGCGGGCCTAGTCGAGGTCCAACAGATCATTGAGAGCTACCTAGGTACCGCGTTGTTCCATTCCACGAGCACTCCTCAGGACAGAACAGCACATCAAAACTCGCACGATTCTCAGTTGGATTTTCCTCGATCAAGAGAGTCGCACTCGATGACTATCGGAGAAAGATGTGATGCGATTGATAGTGTCCACGCAGTCGGGGGCGTAAGCAGGAACTGAGGATCCAACAATGAGGATTACGTAATCTTGATCCTTCAAAGAGGCCATTGCGATGCGCATCCTCCAACATTCTTTTTTTTCGTGGTGTTTGCCGGTCTAGGAATCAGAAAGTCCTACATGTCCTACATCTACGTCTATATCAAACTCGATTCGATCATTGAGTATTATGTGGAGCGACGATGCAATACAAACCTAGTCCATCAATTGTGGGCCGCTCAACTTTAATAGACATCGCAAGTGACAACCCGCAATCTTCACTGGGTCCAGGTGTAGTTCCTAGCCGCTTGGTAAACGGCATCGCCTTTCAGATCTACACGGGAATCATTGCGTGCACCTTGTGTTGAATCGCAGAGTTGGAATTCTAACCTCGGCAACTGGCCCCGCTACAACATTCACCTATCCGGCGCTCCTCTCAACCAAGTACCAGCTTTAAACAAACAAATATGAAAAGTGAGTCGGGCATTAACACGTGAGCTACATAACGTGAAATCGGGCCATGAAAGCGATATTGGTGAACAGCTTCGTCAAGGTAAGCGTATGCGAGAAAGAGAATTCCCATCTCATGGAAGTAACAGTAAACAGGACCTTGCAGACCTTCAAGTTTCCGACACGCTTTTACCCGACACAGATGATTCAAAAGTAAAAGTTCAGGTCACACATGCGGCAGTAACACACGTCGACCAACTCTGTGAGCCTTCTAGCCCTTCTGCACACAGCCATCGCTGACGCAGCCCAAGACGCACAAGGCCTTCACCAAAATAACAAACGCCACATTCAACCGCCGTTCATTCTAGGCAGCGAATTCGCAGGCGTAGTCACACGTTCGAATGCTTCCAGCTCCTTCAAAGCCGGCGACAGGGTATTCGGCGGCGCCTTGGGAGCCTATGCGGAGCACATAAGCGTGGAGCCAAACAGTCTACGAAGAATACCGCAGGCGTGGTCTAATCGGGAAGCATGCGCCGTTGGAAGCTCGGGGGCTATCAGTTACGGTGCTCTCGTGTCTGTTGCGGGTTTGAAGAGGGATGAGAGTGTGCTGGTGCTGGGGGCTTCTGGGGGCCTCGGTGTGATGGCGGTTCAGATTGCGAAAGCAATGGGCGCTAGAGTTATTGCTGTTGTTGGAGATGAAGAGAAAGCGGAAATGGTGAGGTGGATTGGAGCTGATGATGTTGTCAGCTATCAAGAGACGGGGTGGGAAGATCGGGTGAAATCGAAGACAAGAGATGGAGAAGGGGTGGATGTTGTGTATGATGCAGTTGGCGAGTTTCAATCTTACTGCATGAACCTACTACTTGCTAATGCGTATATCAGGCATGGTTCATTCAGCGTTGAAGTGTATCCGGTATCGCGGGCGAATCGTAATTGTTGGCTTCGCGGCGAGAGGTGGCAGCATGGAAGAGGTCGCCATGAACCGAGTACTGCTCAAAGGCGCTACGATTCACGGGTATCGATTTGGTGAAGATGGGAGACAAGATCCTAAGCGTGTGACATATGCGTGGGAAGGCTTTATGCAACTCGTTGATAGTGGGAAGATCAGCCCAGTTGCTTACAAAGAGACGTATCGCGGTCTAGAAAATGTAGCGCGCGCCCTGGAAGACGTAAGAGAGCATAGAGCATGGGGCCGAGCTGTCGTGGATATTGGAGGTTTTATGAAGAACAATGTAAAATTATAGGGCCCGCCGGCCTGTGTCATCACTACATGATTGATGTGGAAAGGTAATATGATACGTCTTTCTATAAAAGACGCGCATTCATCTGTCTATCGTGCCTTTACCGATAAAGTCATCACAATAGTAGTTGTTTTCTGATTGGAAGGCAAACCTACTATATTATGGATGAACGGCACAATAATTTCGAGGTTCCAAACATTTGAATGTCGCATACAGGCACATGTGTACGGAGGTTGTTCAGAGAGCCCGCAGCACTGCCTCGTTCGTGACACGACACCTGGGCAGCTCATACAAATGCAGAAATCTCAAAGATTTCCTACCATATTTCCCTCACACTCGTACATTCGATGATCAATCTATAGGCGGAGATTATTGTTGCTGCGGAACAATAGGGAGTCACGTGATTTAGCGGCATTCCGCGCTGATGCTGGAGAGCTCACTAGCGCATTCACCTTCATGTTCACCTTTGACCGTCCCGACTTTCTCTTATAAAGACAAAGCCGGCCCCCGCATCGCCCGTCGACCTTTCTCTACCCTTCCTCTCCTTCAATTCTCTCCCAACTGCGCTCTGCCCAGGTACTTTGCCAGCGTCCTGAGTAAGCACATACTGCACGCATCTGCGACGCCCGCGCGCCTGCACCCCCGACCAACGCCGCTCGATCATTGTCCACGTTAAACCTCGACAACCGCCCACCATGTCTGGCTACGGCTCCGAGTCGGACGAGGACAATTTCAATCCTGCGACTCAAATTGACGAAGATGATGTGGCCGAGACCGAAGTGACGAGGTCCAGGCCTACCGCGATCGCTGACGATGAAGACGAGACCGCCGCCGATGGCCAGCAATCCGACAACGAGGAAAACGAAGAAGAGAACGATGACGAGGATGACGAGGACGATGAAGATGAGGATGACGAGGATGAAGTGGTGGTACGTACAACTGAGGAGGCTCTCTAGAGGCCACGGATGCTAACACAGATCAGGCGCGACCGGCCAAGCGGCGAAAGAAGAAGAGGAACATGTTCATTGATGTCGAAGCCGAAGTCGACGAAGACGAGGAAGAGGAAGATGACGACGAGATCGATACCTACCACAACGAAGTGCATCCCGATGACGAGCTGGAACCCGCAGCCGCTGATCTCGACGACCGCCGCCATCGCGAGCTGGATATGCAGCGCCAACTTCACGCCGATAAAGATGCCGAGCAGCTTGCCAAAGAGCTTGACGAGAAATACAGACGCCGCGAACAACAGAACATGCGCCGGTCAGCGTTAGGTGCTGTACACATTCCCGCACCTTCAGTCAACGATCCAAATATCTGGGGTGTCAAAGTCCGACCTGGAAAGGAGCGCGAAGTCATCATGGCCATCCAAAAGCGCGTGGACGACGCCGTGCGATCGAATCAGCGACCGAAGATATTCGCGGCCTTTGAACGCGGAGGCACGATGACTGGATACATCTACCTTGAGGCCGATGCGAAACAAGACATGATTGAGCTCATCGAGAACATCCCCAACGTCTTCATGGGCAGTGGTCAAATCTCCATCGAGGTCAAAGAGCGCCAAGATCTTCTCCGCAAACGCAGGCGACAGCCGCTCGAGGAAGGCAAATTCGTGCGAATGATCCGCCCTGCTCTCTACAAAGGTGATCTGGCCAAAGTCGTCGAAGTTCACCAGAACGGCTTGGACTGCACAGTGCAGCTTGTCCCTCGACTTGATTATGGGTTGGGCGAGGATGCCAACGCTGCCACGGTCGCCAAGCGCAAGCGAGGTGCTTTTGGTCGTAACGTAGAGCGACCCCCTCAGAAGCTATTCAACGAGAGCGAGGCGCGCAAGAAGCACATGAAGTTTTTGGGTCAAGTTGGTGCCGGTAACCAGCGCGCATTCACCTACAAAGGCGATGACTATCAGAACGGATTCCTCCTTAAAGAAGTCAAGGTCAACTACATCACCGCCGACAATGTCAATCCCAAGATGGAGGAAATGCAGTTCTTCTCCGTCACTGCAGCCGATGGAACAGAGACGCTGGATCTCATCGCAGTTCAGGCTGCTCAAAAAGCTGCCATGTCTGGCGCTGCGTTTGTCAACGGCGACAGTGTCGAGATCTACGAGGGTGAACAAAAGGGTCTTCGTGGTACTACGGTCACAGTCACTGGCGATATCGTCACAATCAAGGTCACCGAAGGCGAGCTTCGCGGTCGCCGGATCGATGCTCCTGTCCGGACTCTCAGGAAACTGTTCCGCGATGGTGACCACGTCAAGGTCATTGGCGGCAGCAAGTACATTGATGAAGTCGGTTTGATTACTCGGATCAAAGATGACAAGGTCACGCTGCTCTGTGATTCCACCCAGGTTGAAATCACTGTGTTCAGCAAAGACCTGAAACGGGCTGCCGATTCGGCCACTCTCGGCGATGATTCAAAATACAACCTCTACGACCTGGTACAGATTGAGTAAGTAATGCGCTCCCTCATTGATCTCCATGACTAACCAATACAGTGCTTCCACCATTGGGTGTGTCACCAAAGTCGACCGCGAAGTGCTCAGGGTTCTAGACCAGAATGGCAATGTTCGAACGCTGTTGCACACTCAGGTTTCGGATCATGCTACCCAAAATCGGCATGCTGTCGCAACCGACCGAGATGGTTCCGAGATCCGAAAGGACGATACCGTCAAGGAGCATGGCGGCGAGAACCGTCAAGGAAAGGTTCACTACATCCATCGTGGCTCGCTGTTTGTCACCAACCGGGAGCTTCTCGAGAACGCCGGCGTCTTCGTTGTCCGTAGCGCCAACGTTGTCACCATGGCGGCCAAGAGTGGTAGAACCCAAGCCGCAGGTCCTGATCTCAGCGGCATGAATCCAGCTTTACAGAACAACGGCGGCGCCATGGCACCACCCTCTCGACCACAATTCGGGCGGGACAGACTCATTGGCAAGACTGTCACTATCAGGAGGGGTGTCTACAAGGGTCTTCTTGGTATCGTCAAAGACACGATGAACGACGAGGCTCGTATCGAGCTTCACACCAAGAACAAGCAAGTCACAGTCAAGAAGGATATCTTGACTATCAAGGACCCTCTCACCGGTAATACCATTGAATCGGGCAGCGGCAGATTTCCCAATCGCCCTAGGGGAGGATATGGAGGGGCCACCCCCGGACAAAACAGTGGGCGAACGCCGGCTTGGGGCAACTCGTCTCGCAACGGCCCATCGTGGGGCGGCGCGACACCTTCTGGTGGAGGTCGCACACCTGGATGGGGTGGTGGAGGTGGCGGCCGCACTCCCGCATGGGGCGGTGGCGATGGATCACGAACTGCATATGGCGGTGCCACTTCTTATGGTGGTGCTACTGCTTATGGAGGCGACGGATCACGCACTTCGTATGGGGGCGGCGGGAACACAGCATACGGTGGTGCCACGGCTTACGGAGGTAACGACGGGTCGAGGACTGCCTATGGCGGTTTCAACTCTGGTTCGCGCACTCCCGCTTGGGGAGCAGCCGCTACAAGCACATCGACAAGCTCGAAATCCAATCTCTCAGCCCCAACCCCTGGAGCCTACAACGCGCCGACTCCCGCTGGATATTCGGCTCCCACACCCGCAGGCTATGGCGCTTACTCTGCACCTACCCCCGGCGGACCCCCGATGGATGCTCCAACTCCTGGAAATTTCACAGCGCCTACACCTGGTGGATATGATGGGGCACCCACGCCAGCTGCAGCGCCTACGCCCGGCGCATGGGCAGAGACACCCGGCATGGATGGCTATGATTGAGCAATGATGGCGGAGATTGGGACTCTTGTATGAGCAGCGAGGACCTTGGTTCCATTGCTACTGCATTTTCTTGGTGGCATTGTTTTGTGGCGTTAGGGGATGCACCTGGATAAAAGGTGGTTGATTCATCGGACATGGGCATTCTTGACGTGGTGCTAGGATTTAGATTGCGAACGTAGTAGCACATCTGGCGTATCAGAAAATCCATTTCATCTATTCAAGTAAATTGAGCGTGTGAAACGATGCGTGGTAGTCATGTTGCCGCACGTGCAAGATGTACATGTCTTCAGTGTCGGTGGAGTTAAGAAGTCGGAACCATCGGAACCCGCAGGTTCGTATACCTATCTAGTTTGAGTTGCCATCCTACAGATATATATAAGGTGAGATCTAGAACTGAATAATCACATTGATAGTTTTTAGGCTGCAAATTGTTTTTGCTAAAGCTGTGTAGCTCACTGTGTAACGTGTTAGCGACATAGCTAGGTATACAATTGTTGCATCGATCACTCCAACATGTCTTATCTTCGGTGATGGCGAGAGATGATGAATATACATAAGCTCTTGATACCCTTGCATGCATTTTCAATAACAATACAAGCTTGCTAAGACGTTTCAGTGATTCTAGACTTGCGGCCGGTCGATGTTCAAGCCATCAAATCGTCTGTCTAGTCCTTCACGGCGTTACACACGGGATCCGGCACTACTGCTTAACGCCGAACATATGATACCAGGCTACCAATACCACGAAGAATTCCGTCCAGGAAAGAAAGCCCTTCTCCAAAATAAAACTACTTACAGTTAGGCACTATCGTTCGTATGTAGAGACTCCTGTCAGTGCTCCGTTCACCCTCCGTACACCCTCCGTTCCTCCTCCACAGCTAAACATGTTCCTTCTTGTGGGATGACTTAAATACGGGTATAGCCACACTCACAGCATACGCACAAGCAACTCTTACCATCAGTCCAGCATATCGCAGCATCAAAGATCTGACATATCCTTTACAATGACCTCCAACTTCCCTCGACGCTCACTTGGTGACACCACCGTCTCCGCCCTTGGTCTCGGATGCATGGGCATGTCTACAATGCTCTTCATGGGCATGACTCGGAATGAGGACGAGGTCTTCGACACCCTTAGCAAGGCAGCCGACATGGGTATCACTTTCTGGGATACTAGCGATTTCTACGGCGACAACGAGCAGCTTATTGGGAAATGGTTCCGCAAGACTGGTCGCCGGAACGAGATCTTCCTTGCCACCAAATTCGGCTGCGTCCGTGGTAGTACTCCAGGCCAAATCACAGTTTCGGGAACGCCAGAGTATGTCAAAGCTGCTTGTGAACAGAGTCTCAAGACACTTGGCGTCGACTATATCGATCTGTACTACCAGCATCGCGTAGATACGAACACGCCCATTGAGAAGACGGTAGAGGCTATGGCACAACTCAAGGAACAGGGTAAAATCCGTTACCTTGGATTGTCGGAGTGCTCTGCCCGAACCCTGGAGCGAGCTTGCAAGGTCCACCCGATTGCGGCGTGCCAGATGGAGTTTTCTCCATTCGCCATGGAGGTTGAGGAGACTGGGTTTCTGGAAACGGCACGATCGCTTGGTGTGAAAATCGTCGCCTACTCTCCTCTTGGCCGTGGCTTTCTCACCGGAGCAATCAAGTCTAGGGCCGACATGGATCCCAAGGATATGCGCTTGCACATGTATCCGCGCTTCTCCGAGGAGAACTTCCCAGGGAACATCAAGCTGGTCGAGATCTTCGAAAGTATTGCAAAGGAGAAGGGCTGCACGACCAGCCAGGTTGCTTTGGCTTGGGTGTTGGCTCAGGGTGATGGTAAGCGGCCTACTAATGGGCACGATTGTTCAAAAGCTAATGCCCAACAGATTTCATTCCAATTCCAGGGACCAAGCATATGAAGTATTTGCTTGACAATGCAGGAGCTGTGCATATAAAATTCACAAAAGAAGACGAGCAACGTGTTCGAGACGGTCTGGACGCGATTGGTGGCGCAAAGGGAGCTCGATATCCGGAATCAATTCTCTCCACGTGCTTTGTGGACAGCCCTGAAATTTAACATTGAAGCGTTTCGTGTCGCTATCTTCGTTTAGCAAGACTGATTTGCTACAAGCGGGAGGTGTGTAAAACGAGATTCTACGTGCACGAAGGAAAGGCTTGCACTATATAAATCGTATCACGGAGAACCAGCAACCATATAAGCAAAATAAATGAATTCGATATTGAAGCTACCATATATTGTCAACAATAGGTTGTTTGTGTCTGCATTGTGATTGCTAGAGCGCCAAAGTAGGTATGACCGTGTTCCAATATAGTTATTCTGCTAAGATATGGGCCGTTACCGGTAGCCTCCGTCTGTCTGTTCCCCTTCAGTAGTGATACAATAATAGGCGGCTTGAATTAAGCTTAAGAACAAGCTACAGAAATTTTAACCACATGGCATAATCAGTTATAACTAGGAAATAAGGTTTAGGTTAGCAAACTGTTTTTTTTTTACTATCAAAATTCTTTTTACTTACTTTAATATAATAAAGTTAGTATATAAGCTTAATTAAAGTAGTATACTACTAGGTAAACATTTATTTTATACTTAAAAAGCATTTTTTTAAAAAAATATGTAGTTCTATATATACTACAATACCTACTATTAATTATAGTTTATTATAGCTAAAATCTATAATAAGCTAGCTAGTAAGCTAAGAATAAAAACGTAAAATTAATAATAATAAAAAGTAATAAAGAATGCATTAAAAAGTATTAATAAAAAGTTGAAATATATATTTTAATAAATATTAAAATAAAGGTTATTTAGTAGACTTAGAAAAAGCTGTATAGTTGGTAAGCTGGCCAAAAAATTGCTTATTTGGGCTTAGCGCGCCTATAGCTTGCTGGGCACCTTAACTATCATAGAAGCCTGACCTGGTTGCACGGCTAGTTGTAGCGGAGCCATGCATGCGTCATCCCGTGGGGTTGCTGGCTCCACAGTCAAGTACCTCGAAGTCTGAAACATACATGGCCACAATTCAATAAAACCCATCAATCTGTATCGGACAGTCTGATTCATATTACTCGGATAAAATGGGTCAGGGACCTTCTTCTGGAGGCCCTCCGCCAACTCTCGGTAGGCATACACATTCCATCGTCTCACAGCTCCACCTTCAAAACATTGAAACCCAGACTCAAAGTCGAGTGTTACTGAACATCTACTAGAACAGCTCAATCGCACCCTGGCGCAGCGCTTTGCGCAAAAGTCTTACACACCTCTCGAGCTCTACTGCTTCAATGACGTCTTCCGCTCACTCGCAGACACGCAGTCCGGGGTCAAGTATTGGAGCGAATCCACATTATGTCGCTTTCTCGAGTTGCCAGACGCTTTGGGCGTGGGACCCGTCATCTTCCACATGGCTAGCTTTTTGGGCGCCTTTCCGTTTCCGAGCCAGGCTCCGGCAATCCTGACATATGATGCCTTGCTCAAGGTCGTGACTATCTTGACGGAGCGTTATGGTTCGGTGCTCAAGAAACGCAATCGCGAGCTCTGGTTGCGTGAGCTGTATCGAAGTCTCTCTGTGTACGACAAGGGCGTGCGGTCGAGTGTTGAAGACAAGGAGAAAGAGCTGGATGGTAAGAAGAAAATGCCGACCACTGGAAACCAGCAGGGCTTTGCGGTTGATGCACCCGAAGATGGAGATGACGAAGAGGAAGATGATGAGTTGGTCCTCGCGGCCCTGGACTCCATGGATGCGATCGAAGTGTTCAAGCATGGAGAGCATTCGGACGTCCACCACTCCATCATACCGACCGACAATCTCTTGAAGCTAGTCGAGCTTCTCTTGCTCATCGCTCCCATGGACGCCCAGGAGAGTCTGTCGTCATTCGCTGGCAAAATCACCGATGAGCGCGTAGAAGATCTCAGGCGGACGGCAAACATCATATTATCTTCATTCGGTGTAGAGAACAACCCCGGGGTCGACTACCGCACATTCACCACGGTCGTCTCCACATGCCTGCCCTACCTCTTTGACGGACTCAACCCTCTCTTCGAGCATTTCCTCTTCGCCAAAAACCTCGACCTCTCCAAACGCAAACCAACCACCGACACCACACCCTCGGAACCTCCACACCCAACCCCCATCGCAGACCCCGAACCCATCCTCAGCGACCCCAGCGAAATCCTCACCCACACCACCCTAACCCACCTCTCCTTCTTCATAAAAGGCAGCAACCTCTTCCGCCGCCTGCGGCCCCTCTACAGCGGCAACACGCACGGCTTCAGCATGCGCGCCTTCGAAAAACAAGTCTTCAACTGGCGCGCCCCAACCATCCTCCTCGTCTCAGGCCGCCTCCTCCCATCCACCCCATCCAGCACCCGCGAACGCGCCCTCGCCGACTCCCTCCCCCCGCAGCGCCACCCCTCCAGCATCCCCACAAACTCCCCCCAATCCGCGACCCTCACATACGGAGCATACATCCCCTCGCAGTGGAAAACCACCCCCAAAACCCCCTTCGGCGACACAGACACGAAACTCTTCCAGCTCTCCCCAACCCACGACGTCTTCCCCGCTTCCGCGTATAGTAAAGACTACATCGCATTTACCCGCTCCTCCTCCTCTTCTTCTTCTTCTTCTTCTTTCTCAGGCATAAACTTCGGCTCCCCTATCCCCCCCTCTTCCTCCTCCTCTTCTCACACTACCTCCACCCCACTGAAACGTCTAGGCCCAATATCCCTCTCCCTAGACGACAGCCTCGAATTCGCAATCTTCACGCACATATCTTCTTCTTCGCCAACCGGCGGTTCCTTTACCCCTTCGTCCCTACCTTCCCGCCGCTCCGCCTCGTTCCAGGACCGCTTCGAGATCGACGAGCTCGAGGTGTGGGGGTGCGGCGGGGACGACGTGGCCGCGGCGCAGCGCCGCGAGTGGGCGTTTGAAGCTAGGGAGGCGGAAGCACGACGGAGAATTAATCTTGGGACGGGGGATGTCGAGGCTGATCGGGAGTTGTTGAAGATGGCTGGGTTGATTGGTGGGGGGAGGAGTGGCGGGAGTGTTTAGTAGGGGTCGCGGCTGCTTCCTGGTATTATTTTTGTTTGTGGGGATTTTTTTTTCTTTTTTTCCTTTCTTTTTTGTGTAAGGGGTTGGGAGGGGAAATGAGGGGAAGTGTGATGCTTGAATGGATTCATGGGTGGATGGATCGTTTCGATTTTAGTTATGACGGGTAGAGCTTCTCGAAAACAATGTCCAGTTTTATGATATAAAATGGTTTATAATTGCTATCTCTTACTTACTCTCCACACACACAACTCACGAAAGCATAGAGAGAGACATATGCAGCGAAGGGGAAGGGGGGAGGGAAAGTGTAGTAGAATCTACCCTTGATGTAAATCTACTAAGCAGCAAGCATCTTGAGCAACACGGGGCCACATCTACCAAAATAACGAGTCGGAGAAAAGGCAGAGTTGAAAACGGACAGACATGAAGGATTTCTTTCTTTCTAGATTTTGTACATAATGTTACAACAAGTATTTATTTACCACACGTACACGTTAGACGGACACACGGAGGGGAAAACATCACAAACTCCAATCTCCTCCTCTGGGGTGCCATACTATGCCGTCTCTAGCCAAATATTGACGAGCCCGCCCTGTGCGATTGGTCGTAGAACAAGAAAGACGGTTGTAGCATTCCATGATCTGGTATCTTTTGTCTCGCAGATTGCATGCTCTCTGTGCTCTACCGGATGATGATGATGATGATGATGAGGCTGTCGCGATTTCGAACCAAACGTCGGGACGAAAAGACGATGGAAAGGAGGGAAACGGAGTCGAAGGTTGGAAATTGGCGGATGTTCTCGAGGGCTCGACAACGATGAACGATGAGGGGGAAAAGGTTCGGAAGCTGATGACTCGACATCCTTGTTCGAATTCCGCGGGATTTATCCTTGCCTAAACATATCACAAGCACATGTCAGCAAGAATTCTTGGTCTCTCTTTTCCCTTCGTTCCCAGATGAACCCTGAGTTTCCGCACAGCTATTATCACCACCGCATCTCCCCCAATTCCCCTCCACCAACTCCCTCACCCCCCAGAAAAAAAAAGCCAAAGAAAAAAAAATGTTAGCGCTCACCTCTGCTTATGCTTTGGATTCTTATCACAAATGATATAAACATACTTCCCCTTCTTCCTCCTCACACTCTTACACCCCTCGCAAAGCTTCTTAACCGAACTGCGCACCTTCATGCCTCTAACCTGCCCATATCCAACACTCGCCGCGATTCCCGCTTTCCCTACAGTCCCGGCTCGCAGTCCATCGCTCAATGCTGAGTATCCGGATCGCGACGGTGTAGCGAGTGAAAGTACGCTCGGTCGCGTGGAGAACGTGGCGAGGCTGCGCGTCGCTTGTGTTGTCGGGAACGAAGAAACGCGCGATGATGCGGCGGTGGGGCGGAGGAGTATGGAGCGGAGGGGGAGGAGGGTGGTTCGGGCGAGCATTTTGGTAAAGCTGCCTTTTTTTTATTCTACTCCGCGGCGGTGGAGAGAGCGGTTGGGGGTTGAGAGGGTGGCGTGAGTGCCTCCTCCTGGTGGTATATAGGGAGAAGAAGCTTCGAGCTGGTTGAATGGGATCGAATTGGTGGCTTGTCTCGGAGGAGAGGGTAGATCGGCTGAGTGGAGATGGAGAGTGATGGGGTTGTGGTTGACGATTGAGGTTGGAGTTCGTGCCAAGATATTTCGACGCACGGACTCGGGAATGTTATCTGGGGTGAAATATGGTCATGGGACTGGGAGCTGTTGTTCTTGTGCATTTACACGATATAGCATTTTTTTCTCATTTTATATTTGAATATCTTTATTTCTTGAGTAAATATCGTTTTCCTTTGCATCTTCATTGTTAGACTCGTCAAGTGCTCATAATATTGACGACATCCATCTCTTGCGTTCATCCGTACAAGTTCTTATCCTCGAGTCCGAGCCTTACGAGTGAGTGTCAACCAATCATTCATCTTAGGAGATTCCCAAATATCATGCTGTATTGGGCTTTTCCATATAGTGTAAAATACACGGTAAAGAAAATGCCCTCATGTCTCGTGCAATTCATGGACGCAGTTAGAGCATAACCAGACCTACGCCGCCAGTCTGCTTGACGCTAGGATGATTGCGCGCGTCAATACCACCGGGAATGGGTGCTGCACGGTAGTTGTAGAGATAGTAGTGAAGGTTACCATCGCCGGCGCCGAATTTCTGCTCCTCGAGGAAGTGAGGGTTGTCAAGTAGCGTCAATGCATTGAAGACGTCAAAGTCGGCCTATTGATGTAAGCAATCTGATTCACAAATCCATACTGATGTCAACACTTACCTTCTTTGCGAGAATCAAAGCATCCTTCATTAGGCTGTTCAGCCTCGTCTTCAATGCATCATCCTTACCGCCGAACGCCGTCTCGGTCGCATAGTAGAACAGGTAGGCCGCTTTGATCGCATCGTGTTTCTTGTGTCCGATGACGGTGCTCTCGAGATTGTAGAAGGAGAAGAAGTCGGTCACCTTCTTGGAGTCGGGATCTTCCACCACATAAGTCCAGACGACTTGCTCCTTTGGCTTCTCTGACGGGAACATCCAGTGCTTGAACTCCTCCGTGGAGAATTCTTGCGCCATATTCATGCGCTTGAGGTAGCGTTGCAGCAGATCCACCACCGTGTCGACATCCTTGGCCTCCATCTCGCGCAGACCAGGTGTGAGCGTCGCCTCGGGTAGTTTATACCGAATGATCTGGCGCTGCTTGGTGCTGCCATGCGGGAGAGGCGAGAAACCAACATCGTATAGTTTCTCCCAGTTGAGAGAGCGATGGAAGTATCGGCAGGTGGAAACGGGGGTGGGGAGAAGCGAGCCAACGGTGTAGACGGCCTGGAAGACGCCGTGAACATAGCAGCGACGAGTGATTTCCTTGATCAGCACAGGCGCCAAGCGTTTCGACCTCAGCTTCTTGTGTACGCAAAGAAAGTTGATCTCGGATGAGTTTAAGACGTTGTCGCGGACGCGCAGGTGCAGAGGAATGCCGGAGATGAAGGCAACCAGCTTGCGCGACTTGGTTGCGCGGATGCCCACATGCCAGTCCTTCTTCCAGCCGGGTGCTTTGAGGGCCCATTCCAAGAAAGAGGGTGAGTACCGGAAGCGGAACATGGCCTCCTGGTCCTCGACGTAGTGGTTGTAAAGCAGGTCGTAGACCTCATCCAGCTGCTTGCTGTCGTCCAGATCCATTGTCACCCATTCGAAGCCCTCCAACAGCCCATAAGGCTCCTTGGGAACGCGGTCGATGTCAATTTCCTTGATAGCACCGTCCACGATTTTGTCCCTGCCCGCGGCCATTTCCTCGAAGCTTGGGACTGGTTGAGTCTTCCAGAAGGAATAGCTAGCCATGTCCTTTACATTCTTGCCCCCGGCCGACAGACCCGTCATCATCTCGTTGATGTTGAGGCTTCGCAACATATTCTGGAGATCGTCCTTGCCCTTGGACTTGGACAATAGCTCGTTCTTGAGCGCCGGATTGGACTCGAGCAGCATATTAAGCTGGTCATTGCTGAGATGCTGGCTGGCAGGTGCGCTGGTGGAGGCAATGTCTGGGGTTTTGGAGGAGGATCCCGTGAGAGCATCCTTGACCTTCTTTCTCCGGCTCCTCTTCTTCTTTTGGGTGGCACCCTCGGCACCTTCTACCGCCTCGGTGGGCTCTTCGCCGCTGTCGTCGTCGGACTCGTGGGCATTTTGGCCTTGTGTGCTGGATTCGGCGACGGCTTCGGCGGTTGCTTCAGCGGTGGCGTCGGGATCGACAATCTTGGAGCCTTGTTGAGGCATGGCTGGAGGTGGATGAGCTGGAGGGTGGTGAGAGCTGGGGAGGGTGTGTTTTGTGGCTTGTTGTGTTGTAGTGGGGCGCGATGCTGAAGTCTGGAGGGGTAGTCTAGTAGCGAGCAGGGGTCGGAGCTAGCCAACGACGACAGGGAGCAGGGTCTAAGCCATACTACTCGCTATATCATGGTGAATGATCGGCCTATTCAATAATATTTCGTACTCTATTAAAGACCGAAAATATGATAGTTGCTCTCATCGTCCATGCATAAGAGTGGCTTGACAAAGCTCAAGTACGGTGAAAGAAGTAATAGAGGGATAGTGATTCACATGCACATTTCTACCTCCCAGACCAACCACGTCAACGCCGGGATTGTATTTCAAGAGATACATATGCAGTCAAATACGAAATCTAGACTGTATTTTAAATCGTGGCGAGTTGATATGATGGAAACCTTCAATCGGGGTGCAAACGCCTGATCACCCCCCAGTCTGCTATTCCGTGAACAGATCCCTCTATGCGTACATGTGTATCGACCTCACTGACCTACGACGCGAACAAATCTCGTATGATTTCAATCACTGGCTCAGAACTTATTTGCTTGCGCCTTCCATTCGTTTCCGGTCGAAAATACATATAAGAAAAAGCATAGTACCAGATGCGTTCAAACTGGAAGAATAGATGCAAACGCTACAAATGTCGATGCTACATTAGATGGAAATGAGATGACAAGAAAAAAGAATGTAGAAGTAGAATAAAAGAGAACCACTCATATGCATCCTGTGCTTCTTGGACTACCGCCCTCGCATTTCGCAATAAGAAAGCACGCTGCTTCATCAAAGGACACCAACGACGAAAACACCTCGATCCATGAAATCACGATGCCACCCTTGTACCGAGTCCCAATCCCGCACCGCCGAGCCAAAAGAAAAAGCACGAGACCGAACGAAAGGACGAATTCTCATTCACATGACCTCCCTCGGCCTCGCAGGCGCAGCACCACAATCCAACTCCACAACTTCCCTCTCCCTCCTCTCACAGTCCCCACTCAACTCCTGCGCCACGCTCCCAACACTCACACTATCAATCTCCACCGGCCCGCTGCCCCCATCACCAGCTTGATACGCGAATACTTCTTTCTCCCTCGCGTAGTACCGCCCCGTTACCCCCGCGCCTGCTTCGCTCAACTTGGTAAACGAGCCGTGCAGCGGCGATGAGATGGGCGGGTAGTGTTCAAGGTGGCTTGAACGCTTGGAAGTCGTTGCGGCTGCTTTTTTGGCTTTGTTGTGGCGCGAGCGGAGGACGAGGACAAGGGTTGCGAGGGCGGCTAGCAAGGCGAGGATGCCGATTGTTATTCCTGCTATTGCGCCGCTGCTCATGTGTGGGGGTGAGGTGTTGGACGCGGGAGACAGTGTGGTTTGTGGGGATGGGAATGTGGTTGGTGAGGAGGGCGCAGTGTATCGGGGTGGTGATGAGGATGCGGACGGGGATGCGGATGAAGATGCTGAAGGTGGGAGGCTCTATAAAGAAAAAGAAGTGGGTGTTAGTCTTGTACATCTCCATATAGATTATACGGGAATAGGGGGAAGTTGAGTGTCGTTATAGAAGAGTATAAACGTACCTCGGCGCCATCTACATCCTCAATCATCCCACTGCCTGCCGCCGGCATTCCTGCAGACTCGTTCATCTCGATCCGCCACTGTGTGCCCCTCTTCAAATCCTTGGTCATAACCGGATTCAGCTCATTCAGTCCCAAATAAAACTCCTCCCCCAGCAGCGCATTCGTCAACACAAACGTGTTCCCATCTACGCCCTCCATCTTCTTCATCGTCCACTGCTGACCCACGACCCCACTCCTCGGCCATAGTTTAGGCTCAGTCGACGTCTTGGTCTCGAGCCCGAGTTGGAACTCGCCGCCGTAGTCGAAGTTGCGGATGAAGTAGCGTCCGGATTGAAAGTGGAGAAGCCAGTTTTCGGATGAGGAGAAGTGACCCAGGCCAGTCATTGTGATGGCGCCGTTGGCGTCGCGGGATTTGCCAGATGATATTGTTTTTTCGGGCTGTTGCGCGTTGAAGAAGCGGTAGTAGTGGTTGTCGAAAGCGCTCGACGTCTGACGTGGGAGTATCATGACGGGATATAAAGGTGCTGCGTTTGATATGTAGGTGTGCTCGTCGTGGATTTGCGTATGTTAAGTATTTAGGAAGTAGAACTGGAAAGTGAAGCTGTAGACCGTATGAATCGCAAAACGCTGAATAGAAAATTACATAAAAGAACGACAATATACTAAAAGAGTGACTTGGAAGAAAAGATAGACGATTACGAAAAACCCCGAAGAGGAGAGAGAGAGAGAGAAACGGGTCTAGGGAGGTACATATAAACAAACAGATGCAAATGAGTGTGGCAGTGAAGAACACCAAACAAGGGAATTTACGATGGAAGCAGTGCTTGAGCTCCGGAATCCAGAGCCATAGCGACGCTTCTTTCATTTCCATCCTACGGAAAGCCTTAAACAACGTGGGCCTTCAGCTCAGCCAAAACCCGCCCGGCTCGCCCAGTCCCAGATGGCCAAGTACATAAAGTCCGATGGCGAAGATCAAGTGGCCCACCGCTCGGACCATGCGGTTGCAAACGAACCGATGTTCAATCAGGCGGTCCACTTACCTTATTTCAATTGAGAAACTTTGAGTTTACTACTTGGTAGGTCAATGCGCACACTTACCAAGATGAATATACGTCCTCTCATTTCAATATAATTTCTCAATGCTGATAATCACAAAATGTGATTTGATGTTAAGAGACATGAGTCTATACTTCAACGGAACATACGAAAAAAAAAATCCGTGTCATCACCCAATGCAGCCGTTTCAAACAACTTCCGCCCGGTACTACCTACACTGCGTACATATGCCAAGGCAGCAACAACACAGCCACCGCCTACAATCCTCCTCCCATCGGGATTCCCCACAGACAAGAACAAGACAGACAACCGAACCCCATTTACAGTTTCCGGCAAACTTCAAAAGTCGTGATCCGCTAGCCCACGAAACGCAACAATCTTGTTTAGTTAAGTTCCCTCCGTCCATCCATCCATGTCCCCAAACAATCTGTACATCCAGAACACCAAAAGATCCCCCCTCCCCCTCCCGTCCAAAAAAAAAAGGAAAAAAAGTTAAGATATAAGCTCTCAGAACCCAATTACGTTCTACCAGGCATGTCCAAGCAGTTTCAAAGTCATACTAAACTCAGTGCACAAACCTTTCCCCCCTCCATCATCCACACTTGTTAGACTAGCTTAAACGGCATTCGTATACCCCTCCCCCCCATCCTATCTGTTTGAGATAATACATATACAGCTTAATTAAGTAGTCAGCGACGGATATTTTCGCACGTTAACTAACCACAAAATCCTCATTCATCCGCAAATTAATTATAATTTAAAGATACAAGAAATTTAAACCCAACTATTCCTCTCCAACATAGACTCTACTCCCGCAAAACTTATACATATACATATATAAAGTTAGTTACTAAGTCTTGCATTGATTTAATGCTTGTTATAGCAAAGCAAATAGCAAAGCAAGCAGGCAGGCAGAAAAGTAAAAAACTTTTACTTTTTCTTTTCTTTCTTTCTACAGTCCTTTATATATAAATGTAATATTACTATTACATTTTAAACCTTACATATTAGTAAAAAAAAAAAAGAGAGAAAAGAGAAGAAGAAGAAGAAGTTTACAAAATGGATTTTTCTTCCCCTTCTCTCTCCTTTTTTTGCAGAGGAATACAAGAAGAGGATAAAGATACCTAGGTAACGGTGGGATAAGGAAAAAGAATAAAAGTAAATGAATATTAAATAGCAAATAAAAAAGATTTTATATATATAAAAAAAAGGGTCAAGTTTAAGCCATGTTTAATCAGATGATTTCGTGAAATGCTGCTGCTGCTTTCTCTCCCTTGTCGTCTCTTTCTCTCTTTAACATACACACACACTCTCTCCCCCCCCTCTTTCGCTCTCGTTACACCGAATGTCCTTCTTCGTTGCTTTCTCCACCACCAAACCCACAAATGTTACCTCGCACCATCCCTCCCCCCACCGCCACCACTTCCATCCGTGGTAATATGTATACTGGGCAACCGCTCCAAGCTCGGCAGCATGGGCGCTCCTCCCTCGCCAGGCGTCTGCGTAGGCAGAGTCGGGGCACGGGTAGCAACAGGGCTCGTATACGTGGGGGGATCTTCATACGCGGGGGCGTCATCATGTGGGATATGTAACGGCGGGGCATGTAGCGGGGGAGCGAAACTGGGGGTGGAGACTCTGCTGCCGGAGCGCGAGTGTGTGGGGGGCGGGTGCGAAATGACTTCAAACGAGTCTGCAATGTCTGGGGATTCGGAAGCGTGGAGGGGGCTGGAGATTGGGTTGGCGGTGGAATTGGAGCGGGATTGGGTGGGGTCTGGAAAGTCGAATTCGTCGGAGCCGCGCGAGGAGACGGAGAGGACCGAGGAAGCGGACGCGCCGCGGTAATGCGACGAGGTGTTGAGGGTGTTGCTGCTGACGGCTCGAGAGCGGCCGCTGAGGCCTGATATGGAGGCGGCCGAGTCGAGGAGGGGGCGGTTATCGCTTTCGGAGGAGTTTGCGCGGAGTCGGGTGCCGTCGTGGCGGGCGACGCCCAGATCGCCGTACTGGACAGAGGATACGCGGCGCTCGCGGTTGGCCGTCTGGTGTTCGGCGATGAGCATCTGCGAGACGGATTCTTCGGCGGCCTGCTCTGCTCTCCTGCGGAGCTCGGCGAGGGTCTCGTGGTCGCCTCGTAGACGGGCTTCGCGACGGGCTTGCCGCCGTTCTTCGCGCTCGCGGGCTTCGGCGCGGCGGGCGACGCGGATCTGGTAGAGGGATTCCATTTCGCCCTCTCGCCTGCCTTCTTCCTCGTCGTTGGTTTCGGGGAACTCGAGGACGGTGTCGATGCCGCCTCGCTCACCCTCCCTGCCGAGGATCTGTTCGTTCTCGCGGGCGGTGGGGGCGTAGGCGGGTAAGGTCATGACGCTGCGGACGGAGGTGTTGCGGTCGACGCCGGCGGTGGCTTCGTTGGTGTTTTGGCGGTCTGCATCGGCAATGGAGACGGAGCCGTTGGCTTGTCGGCGGCCATGGTAGCTGGTGGCGCTCAGTTCGTTACCCTGGAGGCTCGTCGAGTATTGGCCGCGCTGGTCAGGATTGCGCCATGTGCTGGGTTTGAAGAGCGAGGGGAGTTTGTCGCGGGGCTTCTTGGTGGAGGACTTGTTTTTGCCGCCGCGGTATTTGCGGTTGCAGGTGTAGACGATGATGAGGAGGACGAAAACGACTCCAGCGATGATGCCGACCTGTGGTGTGATGAGATGTGATGTGATTAGCCAATTGGGCGTTGATTTGCGGTGGAGAGGGAGAACAGAGTTGACGTACAGCTATGAGGGACCTGTTGGTCTGGGACAAGCTCCTCTGGACAGCAGCTTCCCGCGGCTTCACTCTGGGCAAGTGCATGGCGTGTGAGCTGCGTGGTGGTGGTACTGGTGGTGTGGTGCAGAGCGGATGCAAGCACTCGGCGCGACCGCCCTTCTTCTCCCTCAATCCTGTTGACAATTCCTGCCCCCTCTTCCTCCTTGCACACTCTTGTTTCTTGTTTATTTTGCTTTCGAACTCAGGATCCTCGGTCTGCCTCGACCAATTCACGATGTGGATCACCGGTAGACGCTGCAGCACGGAACCGCAAGAAGGATTGCAGGCACCAAATGAGCCCGTCGTCCGGGGCGTTCCGCTGGATCGGCAAAAGATTGGCAAGCGTTGCGGAGGAAAGCAATGGGTGGGGAAGAGGACGTTTTAGTGTTTTGGTGGCGACTGATAACGGGGCAGAAGGTTGCTGGGAGGGTTGGAGAAAAAAAAGGGATAACAAGCAAAAGATGTGGTTTCTCCACAACCCGTGAGGGTTCAGACGGATAGGTAGGCTGGTAGGCAGTCAGACAGACAGACTGGCAGGCAGTCAGACAGACAGATCAGGGCTGAACGCCGTGCAGCGCGCATGTACCGCACCGCACCGCACCGCATTGGACTGCAACCGCCTAGAGTGCCCCTTGGCGTGGCTCCCCTCGTTCTCTCTCTCTCTCTCTCCATCCGCATCCGCAATCCATGCATGGCCAGGCCAGCAGGGATGGCGACCAGGGAATCTGGCATGTGTGTGGTGGCTGAGAGCGAGCTACTACCACTGCTTACGTATGTATGTACTATGTACTATGTGTATACCCTCGCTGCTATCGTGCTATCGTGGCTGGTGGTGTATCGCGGGCTGTCTTCTCTTTTTTCTTGTGACATATGACGTACCATTGACAAGGACGCTGAGCTAGTTTGCCTCTGGACGTTTCCACTACGCACCGGGCTGTTTGTCATTCAGTCAGTCAGTCAGTCCGTCCCCCAACGGGTGCAAGCAAGTCGTCGTCGGCTAAGGACCTTGCAGAGGTATTATACGTACACTACTTTCCCCCGTCCCTATTTTTGGCCCCTCTTCTGCTCGCTTACCCGCGTGTATGCAGTCTAGCGCCGAGCAGGGGGGACGGCTGCATACCACGTGCGTGCCAATCATCAATCATCAATCAATCAATTCATGTCTGCACCATGTGGAATCATCCCAATTCTGATCTGTATATGTATACATACATTTATGATACATAATCCTACAAGACGCGAGTCCAACCGTGCTGGCTTACGAGCCCCCACCGAGCCATGCCAAAGGTACATGCTGTCGACTTGGATACTACTTACTGTACATGCTTACAACGCCGCATCCATGCATCCGCAAAGCGCTTCCCCTCTGAGAACCAGCGTACAATACAGTTAAACACGCTTATCTTCGTACCGTGACCGCATCTCGTACATCCCGGAACGGCAAATCCACCCTACCACACCCGGCAGAGCACCATACCCCCAATGCGCCTTTCCACACACTCCCTAGCCTCCAAAATACCTCGATCCGTGGTCAAGAACATGCACTCTCCCGGATGGGTCATGCCTTTGACGTAGCCCGCATGTCTCGTCCGCGTGATTTTGGCCAAGTCGTCGCCCGTCAACCATATCCTCCGCGTGGGCTTGCTGAGCAGCTTCATGTTCTTGAGCACCGGCTCGTTGTTCCAGTACTTGAGTCCCAGCCACAGCCGCCGGGCCGCGGGATTCCTGGGCACTTTGACGTGGTGGACGAGCTCTTCTCGCCCCAGCGGCGACGGCGACGACTCGTTTTCCGAGGGTGGAGGGTATGCGTCCCAGGGCGAGTGGGCGAGCGTTTCGGCCAGCTTCTCGTGCTCTTCGGGGCTCAGCGTCTTTTGGAGGCTGTAGGGCGTCGGCGGGGCTTGTCCGCCTAGCGTCACGCTCGAGATGAAGCCCTCGCGTTGGAGGCCCAGGGAGAGGTTGACGTGCAGTTTGGAGACGGGGATCGACGTCAGGCCCAGACGGGCTTTGGATGCATTCTGCAGATGCGAGCACACGTGTGCGAGATTGACCAGAGACATGATGGACCGCGATGGATGGTTGTGTTAAGCGGTGGTGGTGGTGGTGGTAATGGTGATGGAGATGGAGATGGGGGGCCCTCGAGGGGCGGGTCGGGGGAGAGAGCTGCTGGGCGGCGGGCGGAGGACAGCGCACAATCACAATTGGAGGCTCGCCTGTACGACGGCGGCGTGATTGAGGTGGACGGGACGGGGTGGGGCGCGAAGAGATGGGGTGGTGGTGATGTTTTGGGCGGGTTTGGTGGTTTGGTTCAAATTTCTCGGAGGTCCGCCTATCGGCTGGCTGGCTGGCTGGCTGGCTGGCAGGGGGAGCTCGGGCCAAGCACCGGCTAGCTGCAACCTGCATAGCGCATACTCACCTATGTACTTGTAGCCGCTGTCCTTACTTTGACCCCACGATGGATCCAAGCCTGGCGCTTCGACGCGACTGAAATAGATCCACGCCCCAGCTCTTTAAAGCCGTTGCATTCCCCTGCGTGGCCTGGTCCAAGATATCCGGCCTCTTCTACATCTTCATCTCTCTGCATGACTTGTTCATTCTTCGCCAACCTTTCTCGCTGATCTTCATACAAACCTACACCAGCAACTAACTGTAGAGAGAGTATCCGGGACTGGCTGCTACATACCTAGGTACACATCGAGTGTATATTTGCATCGCTTTACAATGCCTCCACAGCAGGGAGAAGTGTCTCTTATGACCTTGTGCGTTTACTCCTACTACTCCGCCTTTGTAGATCCCGTCTCGTCTCATCACATGCCATGATATATGCATATGTATTTGTTTAAATGTGCTCACGGACAACTCCCCTCGCAGATTTGCCGATATCCACTACTACTTCTCTCCACCAACATACACCACCCATCATCACCGATTTGACAAGAGTTCCTATGTCTACCTATACCATAACCCCATTCAAAGGACTGGCCGCATAGAAGTGGCCAATCATGCAGGGACCCCCGAGCAGGATGCCTTTGCTGGCCGTGAGTCAACTACCCCCATTGATATAGACACATGTTTCCGACTGACCTATGCTTTCTGCAGAGTTGGACACGGTCAAGGTTGAACAGTCTTACAAACACCCATGTCTATTCACCATAACTATCGATGCGTTCCGCGGCCAGAATGGAAGCACAGGCACCTCTCCGCAGCAGGACCTCTCTCAATGGCATCTCCCCACCCCCGACCCAAACAACAACGGGAAATACATGTACAAGATCCACACCCTCGACATCTACTTCTGGACCACCGACGATGCCAGCCTCTTCCTCGACTCTCTCCGGCGAGTCGCCCAACCCCACCAACTCCACATCCTCGAGAACCCCCAGGCCGCATCATCCTCCAACGACCACAAAACCGACCCCGTCAACCCATTAGTAGCCAAACTCGAAAAAGCCGCCTTTTCCCACTCCAGCAGAAGTCCCAGTCTCAGCGGCACCCCATCCTTCCCAGGACCCCCAACCGCTCCCCCACCACCCACATCCAGCCCTCCCGCAGCAGACCAGACCCCAAAATACGCGCCCATGGCGTACAACCCCGCGGCCCCCGCGGCCCCAGAACCCATTGCGCACCGCGAGAAAACACCGCCACCCCCAGACGCCGCCGACGGAACAGGTCTGAACGCAGTCGCAAACCAACAACATCATCAACATCAACATCAACAACAATCATACCCATCAAACCCGCTCCAAACCTCCTTCGCGCCCCAACCAACCTCATCAGCACCATACATCCCGGGCCCCCCCTCGCGCTCCTCAACCTTCTCCAGCCCACCCCCACAACAACAACAACAACAACAACAACAACAACAACAACAACATCCCCAAGGCTCAAACTCGTCAATCCCTCCGCCGCCACCCCAAAGCCCCCCAGCAAATCTCCACCGTCTCTCCTCCCTGCCCCCAACAACACAGCAATACGCAACATACCCATCCTCCACATCCCCCCCACACTCGACATCCTCCCCCTTACCCTCCCCGCAATATACCCCGCAACACGCCTCCCCGCAACAATACCAACCCCTCGCCTCTCCTCCCCCGCCGGGCGGCTACGCCACATACTCGTATTCCTCTCCCCCCTCCTCATCCACCAATAACAACAACAACCCTCAAGCTACTCAGCAGACCGACGCATACAACATCCACAACCAACTCTACCGCCCGACCGAGCACGAAGCCAGCGTCAAAGACCACGATAGACCCGGTGGCAACCTGCATGCGAGTCAGTTGGGGAAACGCGCCGAGAAGGTGGAGAAGGGCGTCAGTCGGTTTTTGAAGAAGTTGGATAAGAAGTTTTAAGTCTTTTTCTTCTTCCTTGTCTTCTTCTTTTTGCTTTCTCTTTTCTAGCTTTTTCTTCTTTTTTTTTTTTTTGAGGGAGGAGGGAGGCGGGAGGGGGGAGGGGGGAGGCGGCGGAGCAGAAGAGAAAAAAAAGGTTTTGTTAGTATGTATGTAGCACACAAGTTTTTCATCATTCATTAGTTAGACGTTAAGAAAGCTAAGTTCTAGTTCATGTTCAGTTCAGTTCAGGTTCAAGATGTGATGAAAAAAAGAAGAAAAAAAAATAGAATAAATGAATATATGAATGAATGAAGAACAAGGCAAGGAAGCGAGGATAGATAGAAGAGGAAGAGTCAGTCTTATGTAGATATAAATATGAAATATTATGATAATCAAATTAAATTAATAGCTTTCCTAAAAAAGGGAATAAAAAGGCAAGAATTTTTAAACTTGAAACGTTTTGACAGAGAGAAAAGAGAGGAGAGAAAGGAGAGTTTGATTTGCTATATAACATGAAGACGCAGAAAGAAGAAGTACTGTCGTGCCTGCCTGCTACATACATACATACATACCTATATACATATGTAGGTAGTTTTCACAAAAACAGATTTTATCAACAAGAGAGGCACAACAGCAACAGCAACAGCAACAGATTAGATACCATGTTGAAGTTATTATAATCAATCTTTCTTCTCATTTCTCCTGGATGAAATTTATTTATATATAAGAAAAAAGTGCCGTCTCTCACCCACTCACCCACGCCAGAAAGCACAATATTGATATAAAAAAGAATTATTGATGCTAATTATGTGTGAGAGAGAGAGGATTGCCCTGTAAAAACCCTATAAGACCTAGACCCAGTAGTAAACCCCATCCCAATAACAACATTTGAAAGCAGCATACACACACACACACACGCACCAAGAAACGCCCACGCCAAACAAGTCCTCCCTCCCGCCATGCAAAAACGCCAGCCCATGACAGGGAAAAACATCAAAACACTCCAATCAAACAAACTTGTATTAAGAAAAAGGCTGGGCTGGCGACAGCGCGAAGAATATGCATCTAATACACGAGACAGAGACAAAGGCAGAGAGAGATCTAAGACGGCAAAGCAACGACGAGCACCGTCCAGTGCATCACTGAAACGAAAATCGTTTCCGCTGGGCCTTGCGCTTTTCCTTTTCGCGCTCCTTTGAGATCCGCCTCATCTCTCGCTGTTCGTAAGTCAATTTCGGCGTGTTGTCAGCATCGATAAACGTGTGTTCAAAGTCCTCCTTGGTCGCCGCCTCCTCCTCGATAGTGGTGGTGGGTCTCGGTAGCTTGGACCAGTAAATGTCCCTCTTTGCTTTCAATCTGTTTGCCCTCGTCGAGGGATCAACATCGTCGTTTGGTGCATCGTCTTCGTCATTATCATCATCGTCGTCGGATAAAGAAACACGACCGCTAGCCAGAGACGCGGAAGAGCTGCTAACGTTGGAATTCCCAGTCGATGGCCCCGCGAGACAGGTATCCAATCCCGCAGCCGCGTCCGATTCTTCGCCCGATGAGCTCGATAGCGATGACGACGACTTCATAGCGGCGGGCAGATTGCTTTCCGATATATTCTGTTGCTGCAACTCCGCCGCGTGGAACTTTTCATACAGATTAAAATGCTCGAGATTCTCAGGGTTGGTATCTTGTGTAATGTTGGAAGGACCCGCCTCATTGCTACTGCCAACGCCCTACAGAGTGTAGTGCGTTAGTAACTCTGGGGGTATTGTGCAGCTGGCTAAGATTTAAGTCAGTGGATGATTCATATAGGTGGAATATATATAGCCCTGCAGTGATATCGGTTATGGACGGATTGAATACGTACCGGTGAATTGAGCATGCTTTGGCGTTTGTTTCTGCTCTTCTTGATGTGCTGCTTCAGAGCACTGGAATCCAGCGGCTTGAGGAGCTCGAAACTGCACAGCAATTCGCCGGATACAGACATGACAGCGCCCCAATTGTCAAACTCCCCGCAGTACTGCTCGTGATTAGCGCGTGTACAAGTCCAAGGGAGGCAGAATACACTTACGTTTGGTGCTGAAAACACAGTCACCAGTATGCGATCGGTGAAGAATTCGTATCCATCTTCCACAACCATGTGCGCCCGGCAAACCAAGTCGAAATCATGTCTCTGTAGGAATTCCATAATGACCTTCTTCCCGAAGCAGTAACTCACGCCGCGTTCGTTCGACTCCCAGTCGTTCTCCATGTCGGCAGGGTCGCTCCACAGAAGGTCATTCAGCAAGCCGTAATCGGGGACGTCGGTGGGTCGTGCGATTTGTCGGATGTCATCCATGTGGGATAAGCTTGGCGACAATCCTCCGTGGACGCAGAAAATTTTCTGGGCCACAATGGCTGCGATGGGTAGGCAGTTGAACGTGTCCACGAACGATTTCCACACTTTGATGTTGCACCTTCTCTTGCATTCATCGTAGAATCCGTAGACTCGCGTGACATTGGCGCATTCGTGGTTCCCGCGCAAGAGGAAAAAGTTCTCGGGAAACTTGAGTTTATAGCACAGCAATAGCAATATAGTCTCCAGACTCTGCTTGCCGCGGTCGACATAGTCGCCGAGGAACAGGTAGTTGGAGTTTGGTGGGAAGCCGCACATTTCGAACATGCGGATCAGGTCGGTGTACTGTCCGTGGACGTCACCCACGATTTTGACTGGCGCAGCCAGCTCGAGGAGGGCCGGCTGTGTCAAGAAGACTTCGCGGGCAGCGGCGCAAATCGCCGTGATCTCTGCGTTCTTAAGGCACACCGTTTTGGTGACCTTGCCCGTGTAAGCGGCATCCAGCAGGCGCTGGATCATGTCGTCCAAATCTATCGTCTTCAGCGCGCTGATCTCCATGGGCGAGCCAGCGCCATCGCCCGATGCGGATGGCTGCTCGATTCTGGGTATGGGCTGGTCCTTTCTTTGCAGAATGGGCTCTCCCGGCTGGGCACTAGCCGCCGGCAGAGGCATTCCGCTGGGAGGCGCATCCGAGACATGGTCGACCTCGCCAGTGCGCTGGGCTTTGTTGACGGCGGAATGGCCGGTTCCGAGCGTGGCACCATGCACGGGCGACGGCGGAGGTTGCGGGCTGTCTGGGGCGCCATCGGCCTTGGAAGCAGCCTCGATGCCGGCTTCTTGCGCGGAAGCGGTCGAGTCTCGGTGGGATCGAGGACCTGCTTTGCTATTTGCAGATCTCGTCGAAGCAGCGTCCGACTTGTCCACCTTGCCATTTGTGTCAGCCACATTGGAGACCGAGTTGCGCGGGCTGTCCGTCTTGTTCCCTACGGGAATCTTGGAGCGGATGGAATTGCGAATGGAGCGAGTGGATTCCCTGGTATCTGTCCTATCAAAAGAGCGGTAGTTTTCTCGCTCTAGACTGACGCCATCGACATTGGCCTTGTCGCCTTTGTCCTTCTTGCCGCTGGACTGCTGGTTGCCCATGATGTATGCGGGCTGCCAAAGAGAGATGGGATGGGTGCGGGATTAATGATGAAATGGGTGCAGGGGGATGTTTGAGAGAGATGTGGGAGGAGGACGGACGGTGGACGGGTGCGGGAGGTGATGTGGGCGCGACTTGACGTATGCAGGTAGCGGCAGAGGGCAGCTTCGTAGGAGGAGCGGCAGTCGCGATGGATTTGGGGTGCAAAGGACCGGCGGCAAGCAAAGAGCAGGAGCGATGTTGCGAGGGACCCAAGGCTACTCGGGGATTAGGGCGGTCGGTACAGACGCGAAAGAAAGGCCAAGAAGAGGGCCTCGGTCGGGGCGGGCACTGTCTGCTTCGCGGGGCGCTGGCGTTGCCAGGTCAGCAGCGGGTCGGACGAGTCGAGAGCCTGCTTGCGAGCCAGAGCGATGGCTTCCCACGAGACGTTGCGGAAGGTCGGGTGTGCAGGGAGTGGTGGCGGTGGTGGTGGTGTGGATGGACGAGGATGGCGGTGGTGATGGAGGGATGATGGAGCGAGAGCGAGATAGAGGAGGATGGATGATGATAGTAGGGCGGTGCTAAAAGCGAAGAGTAAGCGGCGGCGATTAGCTAGTGCGGGCGCTGAGTGATTTGGGTAGCGGGAACAGGCTGGGGTAGAGATGAAGTGAGTATAAAGAGGTATCTAGGTAGCTATGTATGTAGCTATGTAGTGGAGAAAGGCATGTAGGTACACGAGCGACGAGGGTGCATGAATGGATGAATGTACAGCTCTTCAACGTCTGGCCGTGTGTTTCGTATAAGTTCTGGGCAACAGACACACCAAGACAGACACAAGACTGCAGACAGACGGGTGAATGAGGGCGCCGAAGCAGAGGGGAATACAGCGGGGAACACCCTTCACAGGCAAGCTGGCCCGATGCTTAAACGGATATGTAACTGTACATATGTACTATAATATACTTACAGTGTCTGTGTGTGCGTGGTCAACGGTCAACAGGTCACCCCGTTTAACAGCGAGCGGAACAAGGTGGGGGGAACACGGCTGGCAGGCAAATAGCGCGTGTGATGCCGGAAATAGGTAGTAGCTTGGGGAGAGCTGGATACCGGTCAAGTCCGCGCGAGGGAGAGAGAGGAGCAGTGAGAGAAAGAAGAGGAAGAGGAAGATGAAGAGAGAGAGAGATGATCTAAAGCAATTCAGTCAGTCAGTCCGTCAGTCAGTAAAGAAGAAGTTCTTCAAATCTCTTGGAAGAGGCGTCATTGGACCCGTCCAGTGCCCGCAACATGTCACGCCAAGCCGCTAACCGCCGCTAGCGTCCCCTCGTCGCAAAGCCGCATTCGTCTTCTCTACACACTCTTGACCTTCGACCACCATACTACAGAGGTAGTCATCCACGGCAATGATACCAACACCTTTTTCTCTTTCTTTATTTCAGTTTCCACAATTTCCATGATCTTGATATCCATTTCTTTCCCCTTTTTCATCGGTTCATGTTGCCCCCTGCCTCCGTCATGTCGTTGCATCTGCACCAACGCCTTACATCTCACCCCCACATCCTCACCTAATCAATCAATCCTTCGCCCCACGGATAGACCAGATACCCAAACCAACAAATCCATTCTGCCAGACTTTCATTGACTACGGCACCTCCTTTCTCTTTTCTCTTTTCAATACTTTTTTTCTTCTTCTACGCTTGCATATCCATCAGTTCAACGTACTTACTCTTGTACCCTTGCATCGCTGCACACTGCCATCATACGCGCCAATTGATGCATACCGGGTTCTCGTACATCCCTCTCGGCCATCATCTGCAGTCCCAGAGGAACAAGGAAGGAAGTCACGCGCGCTTCCTTTTCAGCCCCCGCTTCCGTTGCTGACATGTCTTATTCGCTGCTCGTCCCGATTCCGACAACTCTATTCTATCCTTTTTTTTTCTCTCTTCACAACAACTTATCCTCGCCCCCCGTCGTTCACAGCACAAAAGGCCATTGATCGAGCAAGAGTGATTTTTTTTTTCATCTTGCCAAACGTTGACCATCGAAGCCCACCGAATCACAGTGTTGATTTGACAATTCTGATTCATTCTTTGTTTGTTCATTACTCAAAAGTCTTACACGTCTTTCGACTACTGTTCGCGTACCAAGCCGCCAGAGACCCGCAAAGCCATGGCGCCAAGCCCATCGTTCCGCGACGCCTTGGAACCTGGCGACGAATCGTCCCTCGCTCCAGCCCACCGCTTCACAAGAAAAACATGTTGCGCTGGTGAATCGTGACAGCTGCGTTTCATCCGCGTGGTCCAGCCATGCCATACTTCAAACCCCCCATCATGCGATACTTTTTGACAGACGCTACAGCAGTCTTCTATAGCCTTGTGCCGAGGTTGACGTGGATGGCCTGTTTGTGATGTGTCAGTGCTATGGTTACGAAACATTGCCAAACAGTTTCAAACGTACCTTCTTGTTGGTGTATGCCTCCAAACCGGCCTCTCCCAGCTCGCGGCCAATACCGCTCTGCTTGACACCGCCAAACGGAATGCGGGAATCCGAGTCGTTGCTTGAATTGATCCAGACCATACCAGACTCGATCAACCGTGCAACGCGGTGAGCTTTTGTGATGTTCTCGGTGAAGAGCGCCGCTCCCAGGCCGTACGTGGTGTCGTTTGCACGACGGATGGCCTCTTCCTCGGTCTTGAACGAGCTGATGACGACAAAAGGTCCAAACACTTCCTCGCGGTAGATCTTCATGTCGTCCTTGACGTCCGTGAAGACGGTGGGGGCAATGTAGAAGCCCTTTCCACCAACATTCTTGAAAGCTTCTCCTCCTGTCACCAGCTTGGCGCCTGCTTCCTTGCCGGCATCAATGTACGAGAGAACGCGTTCGAACTGTGCCTTTGTGACCTGGGGGCCTTGGAAGGTCTTGTCTTCGAATGGATCTCCAACCACGGAAGCCTGGCCAACGCGTTCCTTGAAAGCTTCGATGAACTTGTCGTAGATGCTTTCTTGGACCAGGATACGCGAGGTTGCGGTGCAGACCTGGCCCTGGTTCCACATGATGCCCATGTGTGACCATTTGACGGCTTGGTCCAAATCGCAATCGTCAAAGACAATGTTGGGCGACTTGCCGCCTGTCTCGAGCGTGATGTTCTTCATGTTGATGGATGCCATCTTCATAATCTCCTTTCCGGTGGCAGTAGATCCAGTGAAGGCGATCTTATCGACATCGAGATGCTGAGCAAGAGCGGCTCCGGCTGTGCGGCCGTAACCGTTGATGATGTTGATGACACCTGGGGGGAAGCCGGCTTCCTTGACCAGAGTAGCGAGGTAGAGGGCAGAGAGCGGAGTCTGCTCCGCAGCCTTGATGACGACCGTGTTTCCGGTGCAAATGGCGGGACCAATCTTCCACGCAGCCATGGCAAGCGGGAAGTTCCATGGGATGATCTGGCCGCACACACCGACGGGCTCGCGGACGACGTATGCCAGTTTGGCGGGCGAGGTGTTGATGACCTGGCCAGAGACCTTGTTGGCCCAGCCAGCATAGTACTTGATGCAGTCAACGGTTCCAGCCAGATCCATGTTCATGGCCATCTGGTAGGGCTTGCCGTTGTCCCAGGTCTCAATGGTGGCGAGCGTCTCCCTGTGCTCGTGGATCAAAGTAGCAAACTTGTACATGAGATCGCCACGGACCGTCGAGTCCATGTCCCGCCATGAGGGGTCCTTGAAGGCCTTGCGGGCAGCTGACACGGCAATGTCGACATCCTCGGGCCCGGCAGCATACACGGTGCAGATCTCCTTCTCGTCGCTGTCTGATTGTTACCATGTGCTGTGAGCAAAGCAGGATGGATAGGCTGCTGACCTTGGGTTGATGGTGGAGAGAGTCTCGCCCGACTTGGACGCGACAAACTCGTTGTTGATGAACAACCCTCTGGGCTGTGTGTACTTGCGGCCATTGGGCGCGGTGAGCTCGATGGTTAGGTCCGACATTCTGGAGTGATGGGTGCTGAAGCTTCTAGGGGAGACGTATCGAAAGGATGTCGGTGAGGGACAACAAGCCTTATATACCCTAGGCGTACGAGACGACAGACGGAGATAAGGGACGAAGGAGAAAGACATGGCTGCCTCCGAGTACCTAAAGCTACGCCTTGGCGGGAGAGGAGGGGGGGGGGGGGGAAGAGGGGACACAGCTTTGTCGAGTCGCGGCGTGCAGAGCTGTGGAGGAACAGCAATGCAGCCACGACAGTGGTTAGCTGGCTAGGTACAGGATGCTATGCAACTGTGTTATACCCAAAGGGTGCTCAACCCCGCCATCGGATCTTCACCAAGTGCCGCAGTTGGCCGAGGCTCCCATGTAACTGACGACGATGGCTCGAGATGGGATTGCCCCGTTCCCCACATTGGGCCGGCTCGTGGAAACTTCAATTGTCCCGTCCCGCCTGGGTCCCGTACGTACCTTGGTATCTTAGTTGTTGGCGTCTGTGGCTTGGTGGAATTCCGCGTGCCTTGACCGTTGAAGAAGCAAGACATTTGGTAATGATGACTGTAGCTGGAGACGCGAATAAGCTCGTAGGTAAGGCGTTAAGTCCGTACTCGAATGAGGGAGATGTAACTATATTCAAGGAAGTATACGATGATTAAGCCAGTACCTGCATGTCCTCATGGAGATTGCCCCACATTTGATCAGAAGAAGATGTTGATTACTGATGAACGAAACCCATGTTATAAATCTCCGTCTTATACACTAATCAAACAATCCCTCTCACTGCACATCTCCTTCAACATTGAGCAAAGCGCGAAACAAATAAATAATAATCATATTGCCCGGTTGCTGGAGTCGAGCGTAGAATGACGTGGGAACGAAAGGTGTCCTATCTAGCATCTGGCAGTACGGCGATGCCGCATTGAAGACGAGGCTTTTCCAATGCGGCATCACCGTACAGCCAGATGCCAGCTCAGACGCCTTGGAAAATACCAACAAACATCCAGAGCGAAAAGGACACAAGGGGTAAATGTCTTGAAGAGAAGAAGTTGAACTCGAAAGAAGAAAAAAGCTCTGGAAAGCAAGTAAGCTTCTGATGACGCAGGTAGACAGCTACCCCGCCACAGACCCAATCAGCTTTCCCACCTGCCCCGCTTAAGCTTTTTGGCCGTCGATTGTCAGCACCTTGGTCCTCCATGCTATGGACACACCAACAACCACCCCTCTCCGAATAAACAAATAAACAATCAATCAATCAACTCCCACCCCTCTGCCCACTCTCCTCCTGTACACAGATTCACAAACGAAGAACCCTCTCCATCAGAATCTCAGAGATGGCAATGGACATGGACCCCCCCATAAACCCAACCTCCCCCACAGACAACCACGACGAAGACGACGACGCGCCAGACGCCCTCATCGACCCCGCCGCCTCCCTCACATACTGGAACTCCGTGTCCGCAGATACCACGGGGATGCTGGGCGGGTTCCCGCAGACCTCGCGCATCGATCTCCAAGGCTCACACAACTTCCTCACAAAGCTGCGCCGATCCGCCGCGGCCGCTCGACAGAAAAAATCCACACCCAGCAACGACAAGGGGAGAAACGAGTTATTGCCGCAGTTGGGTCGGGCAGCGGACTGCGGCGCGGGCGTCGGGAGAGTAACGAATGGGTTTCTGAGGAACGTCGCGGCCGTCGTCGATGTAGTGGAGCCGGTGCGCAAATTCACGGATGCGTTGGCGTCCTCGTCGTCGTCGTCTTCGGTGGGGGGTCCTGCGTCTACTACTACAACAACGCCGCAGCGACAGGGAGACAAAGAGCTGCAGCTGCAGCAACTACAAGGGAAAATCGGAACGATAGTGAACCTCGGCTTGCAAGACTGGACTCCCCCTCCTTCATCCTACAACTTAATCTGGAACCAGTGGTGTCTGGGCCATCTCACCGACGCACAGCTCGTCGCGTACTTGGTGCGCTGCAAAGACGGGCTGCTCCTCCCTTCTTCTTCTGTTTCTTCTCCCTCTTCAGGAGGAGGAGAAGAAGCGTGGATCGTAGTCAAGGAAAACCTCTCCACCGATCCATGGGGTAAAGACATCTACGACGAAGTCGATTCGAGCGTCACGAGGAGCGATGCCAAGTTCCGCGAGCTGTTTGCCAAGGCTGGCTTGAGGGTTGTGAGGGATGAGGTGCAGAGGGGGTTTCCGAGGGATTTGTTTCCTGTGAGGATGTATGCTTTGAGGCCTTGAGAACGAATGACGGGGGCTTGCGGAAGGGAGGGAGGAAGGGGAGAGGGCAGCGCGAATGTTTGATACGATTTTTTTTTTTTGCACGTCATTTGTCGCGGTTTGGTTCTGGGGAATAAGAGGGTTTTTAGCATTATCGGGAAGGGCATATTCGGGCATGGAGAGGAAATGTTTTTCTTTTAAGGAATCAGTATACCCCCTTTTTTGGTAGGATTCTTCTTCTTCTTCTTCTTCTTTTTTTTCTCTCTATTAGTTTAGGACAGCTTTTTTTTTTCTATTACAAAAAATCAAGGGGGGAGAACAAAAGGGGAAGAATCAAGTCAAGAATAGAAAACGAGAAAGGATAAAAATACAAATAAATAAGAAAATCTTTTCGTGGTGGAGGACATGGAATGACTAACCGCACGCACGCAATCAAGTCTTATTTGTGCTTATTACAGATAACAAAAAGAGGGAATAAAGTGAAATCATGACTTCAAAACGTAGCCGAATACATATAGATGAGATAAATCAATGAATTGTAAGAATGATGATGATGTAAGGAGAAAGGGGGGTATCATACACATATACACACATACACCTCGTAGTGGTACAAAAAACGCCTTACTTCCCTTCCCCCAAAGAACAATAGAAACATGAGAGTAGCACATGCGCACACACACACACACGCACGAAACACCTTTCCTCCTACCCTACCCATCGACAGCCCCTCCACTCATCATAAACCTATGCAGACTCTCCAGCGGCATCAGCGTCTGCGCAACGACACTGCTGCTACCGCCACCACTCTTCCCCTTCGCACCATCATCCACACCGCCCATCTCCTCATCCTCATCCTCGTCCTCGTCCTCGTCCGCAGGCGACCCATCTTCAGACCCCACATTCGCCATCTCATCCTCCACAATGGCAGGGGCGTCGCGCCACAAGCGCGCGATCTCGTCTTCGCTCAACATCCCCTTCACCCTCACCTTCCCCTCCTCTTTTCCATCATCACCCTCGTCGTCTGATGGTGAGGGCGCGGGGGCATCAACACCCCATTCCTCAGGCACGCGCATGAACCCCGCGGCCTTGCCCACCCGTTTCTCAACCCACGCCGCGTCGTGCGGCTGCGGCATCTTCCGGAGATGCGTGTCCAGCACCGACAGCGGCTGTGCGTCGTTGACGGGGTACGGGGAGACGGGGTAGACGTGTAGGGACGCGAAGAGGTGGGTTGTCTGCGGCGAGGAGGAGTGGAGGAGCGTGTGGAGCGAGGTTAGGAGGTGTGTTACTGTTGCTGTGCTGCGCTGGATCGACGGCCTGTTTTTCCCCTCTCTCTCTTTTCAGCGTCTTCCATTTTTTCTTTTTCGCTTCTTTGCGAGGTTTTGTTTGTTTGGGGATCGGGGTGTGAGAGGGAGGGAGGAGGGGAGAGGGAGAGGAATGGAGGGATTACCAGTCTGGAGGTTGTGGCGAGCTGGCCATTTCTTGCTTCATCACTTCGAGTTGGTATACCAGCGGCATCAACTTTGAGCGGAGCGAGACCAGGGCTGCGGCGTCTGCGCCGCTGAGACGCCCGAGGGTCGAGGTTGCGGGGGCTCCGGGTGCGGTGGAGGGGTTCGAGTTCATGGTGATGATAGGGATGGATACGTTTTCATGTAGAGGCGGGAAGGGGAGAGGAGGGAAAATGGTGGTTGTGGTTGTGAGTGTGCTGAGAGAGAGGGCGTGTACTCGGGGGATTGGGGGAAGGCGATTGGTTGGTTGGGGCTAGCTTTTGGTATGCATGTACTGCGAGGTGCTTATCGATAAGAGCTACATATGTCTTGGCGGCGTGGTGATGTTTGGCGGACGTTGTGGATCTTGTGGATTAGGGATTGGTTCACTTTCAATTCGACCTGGAACGGGTTGGTGAAATGTAATCGTGAGATTGACCGTCGTCAGTGGATACTTTTTCGGTATGTGGTGTCATCTTTTGACTCTATTGATATCAATACCACCCTAGTGCTAGCCTAACTACCACCCTCGGCTTATTCTCACCCATGTATTGACCGCGTACCCAGATTTGCCTGACACCGCCAAACTTCAAAGGACATCTCCTTCAAAAGAGACAGACTATCTACGGGCTACCTTGTATTTATGTTGCATGTGAAATGCCATGTCTCAGTCTAATCTGTTTACAACACTACATACAATCTTGATAATGTTGGAAAAACTTCAATCAGTTATCTTCTATTCCGAGTGATGGGAGTATTTCATGTGATATTGAACATTTGTACAATAGGAAAGAAAAACTCAATGTATCAGTCGCTTGTCAGGGTTGACCGCTAGCCTTAGACGCGCTCGATCTCATCGTCTATCATCTTACCTACACCTCTACCATCCTGACAAAGCTTGATTTTGCTCAACACGACCTATCAACGACAGAAAGCTTTATTGGCCTTTTAGATATTCTCGATACTTGTCGACATCAATTGCACATCAACAGTATAACAGACCAAGCAAAACCGGACGACGACTCAGTCAAGCATCACAGAGTGGGTGACCTGTGTCTTGCACCTATTGCCCTATTATACGATTGTTCTATTGTACAGTTGTCCACAATAGTAGTTGAATGACTCCACCCATTGGTATTGTCCTCACCTCACTTCACCTTCAACTGTATTGGACGAGTCCGTGCACAGTTCCAGTCATTATAAGACCCAACCCCGACTCCTCTGCTTCTTCAAACACTCCTACTTCCATTCCACAGCTTTACTTCTACTTTGGACATCTTCCCTCACATCTTACATCATTCTTGTTGCACCATCCCAACCTCTCAACTCAACATGTCTAAGACTCCATTCAACTGGGCTGGCTTACCCACCGAAGTCAAAGAGAAAGCACTTGTTTACTGCACCTCAGACTTTGTCAAGTTGTTCCGGGTTTCGCGGCAGGTCCGCGCAATCTGCATAGCGTTGACGTTCCGGCTGTTCTTCCACCTCTTCTTCGAGGATCCCGTCGACTTTAGCAAGCAGCTCTATCGTCTTGACAAGAAGCGCCAGTTCAGCGCGCCCGTCAACTTCCGCGACTACGAGAAAGCTCATCTTTACAAGTACTGGCCATCCATCTACCCAGACCTCAGCCGCTTCTCGACCTTCAAACACGCTGTCCAGAAAGCCACCCTCAAGTTCGACTTCCGCGAGTACCTCCACTTCTTCAAGATCACCACCAACGGCTTCAACACGCGCGGTTCCCACCCTGCAACTAGCTCCGACGATCTCAAGCGTCTGACCAAGCTCCACGACCTCACCATCATCCTCCCAGGAAACGAAAACACAGAAACGCTCTGGGATCGCGCCCGCGACTGGCCGCGCATCTTCCACGAGAACCCTTGCCCCCGCGCCCTCCACCGCGCCATCTACGAGCGCGTCGCAAAGGACCTCATCTACATCCCGCACGTCAAGGTCGTAGGCTTTCTCGATCCCAACGAAGAAGCACGCTTCTACAACCTGCGCCAGCACGCTATCAAGTCCAATCCGTTCCCCTTCACCCGTCAGGAGCTCGACGAGCTCTACGCCGACGACGCAGGCGGTATCAAGCTCACCCAGGACGAAGCAGCCGTCGACACGAAGCATTTGCCTGTTACTCTGCCGTACTGGGACGCCCCAGAGTGCAAGTGCGAAGTCCCTTGCGTGCCCATCTTCCGTGGTGTCGAGGCTGACGAGTTGCCGCCGTTGGTAGACGACGACGACAGTGACGCTTAGCCTCTTCACATTTCTGCTGGCCAATGGTACTGCTGGCTCACCACATCAAGATACTTGTCTCGGTCCTTTCTACATCGTCATATCGACTTCTAGAATACATACTTCGGGAACGACGTCGGGATCTGGATCCAAGCGTTGGGATTCGATATCTTTGACTTCGAAACACTACGTTCTTGGGTCTGCTGGCTGTTAGGACTCCATTGCGGCAGGTTTCTTTTTATGCATGCTGTGCATGATATACACCTTTGTTTCTTTCCTTTTGTCATACATCGGTTTCTTTTTGTTTTGTGGTTTCCAATCTTGCCTATGGGTGTTTATTCACTGGGCTGAATAGAATGGAATGATGGAATGAATTGCATCACTGCACCTACATACGGTTCCGTGGATGGATGTCGTCCCAAGCCTTCGACACAACTCCATCAAACCCAATCAAGCAATCAATCAATTCATCGACCAGTACAATACAGATCAGGTCTATAGAAATACAAACACAACATTCCTGCATAGTCCTTTCTTCACTCCCATAGTATAGCATATATAGCATGGAACCAGAGCACCGATGAAATGTGGATTCATTATAATTCATTAATCCGGAAACTATGTAACCTTACCCCCCTTCGTTGGGACCTAGAACAGGAGAAGAAGGAACCAACTCCTGGGCCATCATGATCATCATCGCTTGGAACGCTCGCTCGCTCGCGCGCTGGCTGCTTCTCGCTCATCTAATCAGAGAGAGAGAGAGAAAGAAAATACAAAAATAAGAAGGGAAATGGAAAAAGGAGGTATAATATATACAAAACACCGCTCCTCTCTCCCTATTCATCGATCCAAGGCTCCAGCTTTTTTATCCTTCCTTCCTTCCTTGATTCATTCATCGTGCATTCGTATTCCCCAGACATCGGCAACGTCGAAAAAAAACATAAACAAAACAAAAACAAAAAGGCCAGCTCAGTTCAGGCTCAGACATAGCTGCGGCTGCGATGCGAGTGATGGGAGTGGCGGGGGCTGCGGCTGCGGTGGCCGTGTCTCGAGTAGTGTGTTTCGCGCTTGACGACGACGCGGTCGGAGCGGTGATTGTGGTGGACGAGGAGGGCGAAGATTGCGGTGAGGAAGAAAAAGATGCAGTTCCTGTTGCGGAGGAGGGTCAGCGGGATGGGTTGCGTTTGGTTGATGAGGGGGAGAGTGGGAGGAGGGGGGTGTAAAATTAGGATGAATTTCCTCTAATCGTATCCCCCCCTCTGTTGCTCAGGGCGGGGATAAGAAGTGCTGGTGAAAGATGGAAAAAAAAAACAAAAAAACTTACATGATGCCAAACGCAAAAGCCGCCTTGAGCATAGCGCATCTCTTGTTCACATCCACACCCGAGACAGTCCCCCCAAACGTCACGATGCCGAGATTCACAGTGCCCGAATGGCTCCCGCCCCAATTCACGCAGTCGAGCTCGGTGACGAATCGCAGACACCACACAGCGCCAATGAAAGCTCCAACGAACAAGAAATCAACGAAGGCGACGAAGCCGGCGCTGTGGCGAGCGCGCGAGTAGAGGAAGAGGGTGGCCATGGCCCAAGCGGCGGCGAGAACAGAGACGATGAACAGGACGAGATATTCGCGGGGGGTGAGGTACTGGCGTGTGTTGAACCAGTCCACGAACCAGGCGAGCATGCCGAGGGTGGGGATCAGGGTGATGATTTGGGCGATGCGCCAGAAGATGAAGGAGAAGCCTGAGATGGACATTTTGGCGGCTTTGATGTTGTTGTTGACGTAGTGTATGTATGTGAGTGGGTGAAGTGAATGTTAGTTGGTGTGGACGTCGGCGCCGACCAAGAGGTGGGTGAGAGGGTGAGAGAGTGAGATTATGAGGGTAGAAGTCAGGTAATAAGTCCACGAGTACCACGCAGTACTACGTAGAGGCAGTACAGAGTGTGTACGGGGAAACCTGCAGAGTGACGTAGATGGGCGATGAGTTGTCTATGTCCCCTAGAGCAAGTCGGTGGTTGTAGTCGTAGTAGTTTATGTATGTAGTCGTACACAGCCATAGTGGGGCAGCCCTGGCGAATGGAGATGGCGGGGAGAGAGGCTGGTAGCGAGACGGGCCTAATCCGCGTGGCTGGTGACCCCTCGACCTTGGAAACAACCCTGACCTCCAACATTTCATCACCACCGACACTCGCAAAGCAACACCAGAGCAGATGGGAAAACCTGCATCTACAAGTATCCTGAAACTGGGAAGTGGCTGGCAGCAACGTCTGCCATGGCTTGAGGCTGGCCTCGTTACGAAGTGCCCTGCCGATTGAGCCGTCATGTCATGTGACATGCCCGACCTACATCACACATCTCACGTCTCCTAGCTACCTACCCATCTCCAGCTTCTTTTTGGAGTCCACTCTGTTTTCTCCTCTTTAATCAATCCCTCTTCTGCCTCAAGCCAGTTGGGCAGCAGGCAGCCTTTTGGCCCCTGCAGCATGTTGCATCGGTGTCCTGCAACAACACCACACACAACGACAACAACGCCAACAAGGATGCGCATCGCGATGCTTCCAGCCAGCTTCTCGAACCACAATCCCCTCTCCCGCCCCTAGCCACTCCATCGAGATGCTACCTCTTGCATTGCACGATTTGCCCCCGACAACGTGGTAGAATCATCCTTTTATCGACTCCACACGTTCCCAGCAGCTCCATGAGGAAAGTCAGCAACCATCATGCATTCAGCCTAGCCCCATTTACCCGTTGCCGCTCGGAGATGGCTACACCGTTTGAAGGGCCAGAGCCGGCATGGTCCCCGAGGTCCGGGACGATAAACAACACCTGAGAGCGAAGAAAATCGTTAATATCGCTGCTGCAGCCAGCGAAAATCTTCATCTCCGTTCTCCTCGTTGTTTTCGTCTTGACCCAAGCCATCGTCGTCGAGTGCAACACATGCTCAGTCTTGTCGCTCTGGGTCCAGCCTCTACTCTCAGGCCAATCTCGTATCCATGGAGCAATTGGCTTACATGCCCGCACCCCTGCCGCCCAGAATGCGCCATTCGCTTGAGCTCTTATTGAGCCCTGCGCCGTACACCGACAAGGATCTCTTATCTCTGCTCAGTGCTCCCTTTTCCTCGCATACTTGCATACTTCCCCGACCCTTGCGGGTACGGTCTTCGCATTTGCCCTAGCTACCTGAACTGTGGAATACGGGCTCCAGAATAGACCAATATAACACGCTTCTCCATCTTGTGCGCGCAGCTGGCTGTTGAAGCCTCCTTCATCATCTACATGTCATTGCTGCCTTTCCACTTCCGGTCATCGATATCTGCTGTCTTGTATGCACTGTGCGACACACTCTCTCAGCCCCAGCTCTCCATGTAGTTAGCTATACATTTCGTTATCCCCAAGGATGTGCCTATAGCCCTGTGTTTCTTCCCACCCCACTCTGATCGACATTTCCCTCCCCACCCACCGCCCGTCTGGTTCTATACGCTTTACACTCTTCGCACCCGGTACATGCCTGAGTCATGTCGGCACGAGGGGCCAGGAGTAGAAAGGCAGTCGAAAAGAACATTGAAAAGCAGGAGAAAAAGGCGGCTGTCAAGCAAAAAGCTCCCGTGCAAACCATCCGAAAACCAGGCGATGCTTTCGGGTCCAACATCCACCCATCCAGACAGATCACGGTATCAAGCGACGTAAGCCGCGCGACCTCCTCCCGGACCAGCTCCACGAACGGTAGCAATGCACGGCCACTGTTCGTCTCGGCAAGCTCGCAAGATTCCCACGATTACAGGCGAAACGGCCGTCCTCCAACGTCCACCAGCGGCTCTACTTCGGTGTCGGATGGTGGGTCGGGCAAAGGCAATGACAAGAACAAGTACACTGCCAAAGGAAACAAGGAGACCAAAGCTCCGCGGGGACGAGGCGGTGGTGTTCCTTTGAAGAAGCCTGCGGAGCCGCTGCAACCCCCGCTGCTTCGAGCCGAGACCTCCCTCGCATTCACCCCTACAAACCAGAAGACATGGATGAACTTTCGGATATGGGATGGCTCAGTACAGGGTGTGAAACCGTATGGCGGGTTTGATTTTGTAGGTTTCTATGGATTTTGGTGAACAGAGAGCATACGTTAACGGAAGCAGGATGAACACATGCAGACCGGAACTGTTCTCATCTACTTCAAAGAGGAGCAGGTCAATGAGGACCGTCCAGTTCCACAACTACGCGCCGAGTACGAGATACTGGAAAATTCCGGCTCCACATGGATCAACAACGCCTTGCTGTACGGCCGTCTCGAAGATGCTGATATGGACGATGAGGAGTGGATGTACGAAGCCAGACGCCAATCCTCACTTTCACCGCAGTCGGTATCGCCCAATTTCCCACGACCATCTGGTCAACGCATGCTTGCGCCGACCTCGCCCTCGGGTCTATCCTCGCCACCGTCCTTACACATTGACCAGCAATACTGGGGAGTTCCTGGAAACGGTACTGCCTCTAGAGCGCAGTACTACTCCGAATCGAATGCATCCGATGGGCAGTCTTCACAGCGAGCAAGCCAAATACAACCCACTCACGAGTTGTGGTTTACAGCCCCAGAGGGCTTGAAGACGCCGCACGCCCAGCGAATGCATTTCGTCGCGGTACGGAATTTCCTCGCCATATTGCACGGAAAGCCTCTAGTGGGGGCCGACATGTTTGACATGCTTACGACCCTGCAAGCCGAGATCCAGGTCATGTACGATCTGGACCATGATACCCACACACGAACATCGTCAAGCGAGCGGAGCGTGCAGATGATCATCAACTACATAATCAAATACCAGCTGGACGATGTGCGGCAAAGTATCAAACAGGCCATGTGTTTGCTGGCCTGGGCAGAGCAAGATAATGTCCGATGGAAGCAAGGCTATCTGGAGTGTTTCGTCCATCTGACAGGTGTTATGGTGCCACAGCTCGAGGAGGTTCCCGAGTTCAAAAGGCTTTCCCTCGTCACGAGGAGGAACCTCGGAATTGCGGCCAAGCAGCTACAGCTCCGCATTATGGAAGCCGAGGAGAAGTTGGGCCCATTCGATTTCGACGATATCTGGTTTGACCCTGCCAAGTCGGGAAATCATGCCGTTTTCCAGAGCTATCAGACTTTCAAGCAGTTTTTGATCAACTACTACACAGGCACCTACGGGAACTGGCCACCGATGCAAGGGAAGAGCTGGCTTAACAGAAAAATCGCGTTGGATCTGCAAAACGACTTTGGCGCCCTGTACGACTACCTGGTGAACCGCGACGTGGTGTGGGACTCGCGCGAAGAGAGGCCAGGCAAGAAGTGGCAGATGGCGAATCCCAAATCCGAGGACTTTAGGGCCGATCGTCCAGACTTGTCAGTCACTGATATGATTGTGACTTACGACAGCAAACACGGGTATCTGCATATTCCGCACCCGTACGCGCTTCTTCCCCGCGACATTCCGCAGACTAAAAGCAAGCCCGCGCCTGTTCAGAAGAAAGGCCTGTTTGGGATGAAGAAGGCCAAACCAGAGGCGACCAAGGATCCAAAAGCGCATCTGCAATTGTCGATCATCTACAGCGATGCCACCAACATTGAGAAACTCGATGACTCTTTCAAAGGTATGATTGTTCGTCATTCATGTATACAGCAAAACTGACATCTTCCAGGGAGCCCCTTGATTGACGCTTTCGAGACTTTCGAACTCTCAAATCCTTTACGACCTAATACTACGCCACGCGAAGCCCGTCTCGGCTGCTGGCTTCTCCTTTACCCGATTCTCCAATACCTCTCGACGCTTTCGGTCGACTCGTTAACACTCAAGCATGCTACTGGGGTACGCTACTTCCTCAATGCGGACCTCAAACGGCTGCCAGAGTGGGTGACGACTGGACAAGCGCTGGTAGAGTCGATCGAAGATGCACAACGACGGAGCTGGTGCTGGAACCGCAGTTGGAGCCCCGAGAAAGGACATGTCAAGTCCGGACAACCGGCGGAACTCGACGGCGAGGGGGTAGATCGGGCGCAGGAATTTGGCAGTGGCGGTGGGGAAATGCAGAGGAGTGTTGACGGAGTGTATACGCACCCGCAAATGCCGATGCAGATGCAATCACTGAGCCCCATTCACGGCGGACACGCCGGTAACATGGATGGAGGATCATTCGATCCCACCGCAAGGAGGGATAGCAGGCCGCAGGTACTGAACCCCTCCGCCTTTCACCAACCGCCTCCGTCGACCCAGCAGCAGCAGCAGCAGCAGCAGCAACTTCCCCAGTACAGTTCCACTTCAACCATCCAAAACGACATCCAACGCATCGGCGAGAAAATCGACTCATTCAGCCTGTCCCAGCCTCAGCCCCATCATCAACAACAACGCTACTACAACTCCTCTCGCGCCCCCAACCCAACCCTCGAAAAACTAAAAACCACACACGAAGACTTCCCCTACCCACCCCAACACCAAGCTCTCTCCAGAATGGACTCTTCATACCGCCTCACAGCAAGCGACTACGCGTCCCCAACATCCGTCCCTCCCTCTCCATCAGAACAATACCCCTCCCCACCCCCACCATTCTCCTCAACTCCTTCATCACCACCCCAAAACCCCTCGTCCGAAGACCAAACCCGTGCCCGAGACGAAACCGAAGACAGCGAAACCGCACCCCCCACACCCAGACTGCCCTCACGCAACCCCCTCCGTCCACCAAGCATCTCATACATGAGTAGCCCCCGGGGCGGCGTATACGACCGCTTCAACGAAATCGCACCGACTTCCCACCCCCCTCCTTCCCTCACCTCCTCCACACCAACCCCACACAACGACACCGCCAAATTCGACAACCCACCCCGCTTCCCTCCAAGACACACATCGCGATTCGGCCCAGGCTCACCCCACGGCGCCTTCGGCGTCGGCGCCGCAGACTTCATGGATCCTTTCCCCCTCCCTTCTGCCTACCACCCCTTCCACGCCCATACCCACCACGCTCTATCCTCGGATCCGCGCTCCACCCCGCATACCAGCACCACCTCGACCTCGTCGTCGTCGAGCACCGCGCCCCAAAGTCTGATCAATAGCGCGAGTTTGGGGAATTTGGCTGGCAGCTTTGTGCCGGGCGCGTTGTTGGGTCGCGCGAGGAGCGTCAGGAGTAATTCTAGCTCTACGAGTAGTGCTGGCGGCGGTGGAGGCGGTGGAGGCAGGAGAGCGGGGAGCGGAGGGAGCTATTACGAGGTTTGGATTGAGGGCGGACCGGGGAGTGGTGCGGGTGGTGGAGGGAAGAGGAGGAAGTAGGAATCGATTTGCGCTTTTGAAAAAGGATTAGGGCGGAGTGTATATGATACTTCTTTATTTTCTTCCCTGACCTTACTCTTGACGCACGTTTTTATTTTACATTGTTTCTTTATTTTATTTTTTCGTGTCTCTCGTTCTTTCTCTTTTTTTTCTTTCTTCCCCTTCTTCTTCTTCTTTTGTAGGATGATGGAGGAGAAGGATGGTATTCATGTAGGATTCTTCACTTATAGTCTAAAACTAACAACAAAAATCAAATCCTAATTGTTTTTTTTTTATCCTCTGCTTTTTATCCTTTATTCCCCCTTCTCCCCTGCTCTTATATATATTTAAAATAAGCGTGCATACACATATATACAAACCTTGTATTACCACCCTCTTCCACTCACATCTCCCCCCACCTTCCCTTCCCCCCCAGAAAAAAAAAAGAAAAATTCTATTTCGCCCAAGTTGTCAAATCTTTAATAACTAACCCTCCTAACCTTACTACTTACATATCCCTAGCGTCTTAACATAAAACATACCTTCTCTTTCTCTCTTCTCTTGCACTCTATCTCTATCTCTATTCTAAAACATTAACACTAACAAAGAAAAATAAAAGTAAGAAATAGAGCCGTATATTACACTCTATGTAGTCTGAAAACGCATGCTATCCACGCTAGGAAATATTTATTGTACTGTACTGGACTACTGCGATACGCGAGCTTTAGCTTTAGCTTTAGCTTAGCTTTGATGATTTCCCCCACACACGCTGGCGTTGTTGTTGTTGTTGTTAGGAGGAGGGGGGGTGGAGATCGTTATTTCGCTACCTTACTCATATGTACATAACATGTATACAGTCATCTAGGCGTGTGTGTATGTATGTACCTAGCGCGATCTCTTAGATTGTCGTGTAAGTTAGGAAATGAACTAATGTTGCTGCGCCGTTGCCAAGACGCCGCTTTCTTTTTTTCTTCTTGTCTAGTACGATGGGGTTGTAGATTTAGGGACGAGGACGAGATGTGTGTGTGTGTGAGTATCTAGGTTTTGTATTAAGCTAGTTTAGATCGATGGGCGGGCTTGGATCTTAATAATTTATATTTATAGGGGATTTTGAGATAAGAAGATTGCGCCGTAATTAGAGCGTGGCAAGGACGAGAGGTGTATATGTGTAAGTATGTAGGTTTTGTATCTAGCGGACTGGATGGCTGGGCTTGGATGATGGTTTATTAATGAGGGATTTTGGGATGGGAAGTTTCGCCGTAATTAGAGCGTGGTGATTCGCCGGTGTTGGGCCGGTGTTGGGTCTTGCGGGATTGTTTTTTTTTGTCTGGGGGGGAATGTGGATGAAGGGTATGTGACGATTTTTACATCTGCTATGGAGGGCGCTGGGGGTTTTGGGGTTGGTGTAGTGTTGTGGAATTGCTGAGGGCGGGGGGTGTGGTGAGGTGGAATGGAAAAGGTGGTAGAGGGGGATGGTAGGGAAAGTGGAATTGATGGATGTGTAGGGTAGATGGTTCAAGGTGAGGTTTTGAGGGGAACTGTGCTAGTGATTGTTTTTGGGGGATATTTTTGTCCCCGTTGGATGATTAGTGTGTTTGGAGATGTTCTGCTGCGGACGCTGGATGATGGCATGAGTGTTTATATGAGAGTCGAGTAGAAGTGTTGGTAGCATCGAATCGGCATGAAGACCTAAGAAACGATAGATTGTGGACTTTGGAATATAAACCCTAGCTTTAGAACTTATTATAACATTGATTTCTCCGAGAAGTGAACGAGGCAAGTTGGGTCACCTGTTGTTCGATGCGTCCAATGCCGTTCTTCGAACCCGTTAGCTATCGACTGCACATCCCCACTGTGAATTGATCCGGCCGGTAAGGAGCAAGCCTTCTGAGATGCGTGATCGATTCAAACCTGCGCCGGCCAAGAGAAAACTCCGCGATTTCCCGCTCAATCAGCTCACTCCAAGAGTGGGTTGTGGCCCGATTGCTGTTGAGGTGAGCAGGGAACTTGGATGTAGCGGGACAGCTCGCGGTGCTATTCAGCACTCTACTCTTCACGATCGTGCGAAGCGACTTTTTTGCCAAGAGTTTTCCGGACCTTTCCGCTGAGTGAGTTCACGCCGAGAGGAGGTGATGTGGCTGTATTAGTGGGGATTGGGTGGGGAAGGTAGTGGTGGAGAATATAGGGCAGGGAACTTGGATGGAGCGGAATTTGACTTGAAGCTTGCGGTGCTACTTAGTACATTGGTCTTCGCTATTCTGTCTTCAACGGCTATCCTGCCAAGTGCACCCCGCATCTTCGCGTCTTCGCACTGGAGTCTGGTGATGGTAAATGGTGGAAAATCATCATGAACTAAGAGCTGATATAGAGGAACTGTAGGGAACTTGGATGAAATGAATTACCTTGCTGAATTCTTGAATGTCTCGTCCTCAGGCCGAGTCTCTGGCGCCAAGAGCAGGCTCCGCGTCTTCCTACAGCTCAGCCATGTCTGCTGCTGAGCTCACATCAGAGTCGATGATGTGGTCTGATTTGCCAAGGAACCGCGGTGGATGTGACAAGTACCTGACAGCGGGAGCAAGTGGACGCGACGACATCCTATCTCATCATGATATTTATTTATTCCTGCGCACGTAAAAAAACACCAACAGCACAAGCGCTTGAAGAAACGCGGGCTGGGCAGCTTACGGCGGACAAAGTCTTAAACGTCGTTTTCTCTTGTCCGTTTCGAAGTGGGCTGATTTCCTCTGCACTGTGGCGGACGGCCGTGTGTGGTGTTGGCACTTGGCAAGACCAATCGACGAACTGGAGGGCTCTCTGGGGACGTGGGGACGCAGAAACAACGTGCTGTGATCACCGCGAAGCGCGAGGAAACCGGTGGTGACAGCTCTTTTGGGGGCTTAGTACGACCCTCGAGTCAGGGACCAACTGTCGCAGATCCTGGGTTCGCTCCGCCAAGCTGTCTTCGCTAGCTGTCAGTTGGTTTCAAAGTCCAAGAAGTGGCCTTATTTTTGCTGCTGGTTCTTGGAATTCTTGAGATGGGAAAGAAATTGGCTGTTCTTGGTGATCATCCCCCGAAGCAGCGCTCAAATTTGGAGGAGCAAGCAAGATGATGGGAAAAGGCCGTGGCGGAGGGCTTGGACTCCGGATCCAGTCGCTGATAAATCGGCAGCATGCGTCATCATTCGGAGAGAATACATCTGAGCGCAGCATATTTCCGCAGTGATGAGAAGGTACTGTTCGCCATGGTATCTCGTGGTGGAGGCTGAAGACGCGCGCCCACGCCTTTCGCGCGAGCAGTCGTTTGGTTCTTGCATGGGGCTCAACCCGTATCTTCTACTGTCCGGGGAAACGCCAACCTCAAACAAGGAGCACCCAGCCCCTTGACGAGACCCACAAGCATCAGCGACAGATCTAGGCTACTCTTAGCCGTCACGACAGCTTGGCATCGTCTAGCCAGTATGCGTGTGCCATTGTGAGCCTCCCCTTTCATTCCTGCAGAACACTGCAGCCCATCCTCGTGGACCGATGCCCCTGAAGACCTCCAAACTGTGTCAGTGTGGGACTTGGCCTGCGGCTACGACTTGGCCTTGCTCGAAACGGAGAAATTCGAGTTTGAAGGGACGACCTGGTTTCCCAAGAATGCATATATGAATACAAGCAGGCGGCGCCTCTTGGATGTACTTGCATTCTCTTCGCTTCGGTCTTATTCATTCACAGCCTTTCTTGGTTGATCCACGCTTTGTGCTTACAGCTATCTATCCTTCCTAATTCATCACTGCTGAGCTTACAGGTCGAGCCTGTGCCCGCCAGTGTCCTTACGTTCACTGCCCCTGTGCGTAGATCGCCAATAATCCTTGCCTTCTACTTCCGAATCTCTGCGAGATCATCATATATATCTCATCGAACCCACCGCCTTCTTTTCGAATTCGAATCAAGCAGATTATCTCGACTTTCTTTCTTTGCATATTTCCTCTCGTGATTCAACAAGGACTGCCTAATACCTCATTTATCTTTTTTACCAAGCATTATCATATCCAATATGTTGGCCAAGACTCTCCTATTCGCCAGCACGGCTTCGGCCACTTGCCTTCACGGTGTCTTCAAGCGCGCTGAAGGCGGCATTGAGCCTCCCGCGTTTGGCTACGATGCTATGAACGGACCTCATGTGTGGGCTGGACTGAAGGAGGAGAACAAGGCTTGCAGTTCCGGCCAAGTTCAGTCACCCATCAACATTGGTATGTTTTTCAATGGCATTGTATGAGAACTCAATTTTAACTCTTCCACAGACAGCTCCGTCCAACAGGCCGCTGCCAAACCCGAAATCAACTTCCCTCAAGCACCAGTCAAGTTCGAGAACTTGGGCACCACCATTGAGGTTATCATGAACGGCACCACCAAGGTCGGCGACGCAGAGTTCACCTTGAAGCAGTGAGTCTGATCCGTGCAAGAAAATGCAATGCTTCAGCCACTAATGCAATGACAGATACCACATCCACACACCGTCCGAGCACCGCATCAACAGGGAGTATTCCCCACTTGAAGTGCACATGGTTCACACATCTACCGGTAAGTCAAGTTCCGACCTCAGGCACGCTTCAGCCTTGACCCCTCCATGTATCAAACAACACCACACACCCCTGCCCAACACCATCATGCAACACCAAAAAAAGCAAAATTGAAGGACTTCCCATAACTTGAAAATAATTTTCTAACGTACCACAATAACAGCCGACCCCACCCAAGTCGCCGTTATCGCGCTCATGTTCGAGCTCAGCACCGAGGAATCTGCCCCAATCATCGCAGGCATCACCCCATCCCTCTCGCAGATCACAGCCGTCGGCACCGAGACCGACATCGAAGCCGGCATCGACACCACCAGCCTCGCAGCACACATCGCTTCCTCCAATGTCCTCCAATACACCGGATCCCTCACCACCCCTCCCTGCTCCGAAGGCGTAACCTTCATGATCGTCGAGGACCCGCTCCCAATCTCCGTCGCAGACTTCAACGCCATCAAGAAAGTCGTCAAGTTCAACAGCCGCTTCACCCAGAACACGCTCGACCAGCAGAACCTCATCGGCGTTGCTGCCGAGGTCGCCGCGGGAAACACCACCATGGTTGAGGCCGTTCGCGCTGCCCACGCCGCGACACTGACTGAGAGCGGTGCAGGCGAGGTGTCGAACGGCACTACGCCTGTTGAAGCTGCTGCCCCTTCGGCCTCTGCCCCCGCCGCTGCTGCTAAGCCTATGGTGTCCGTCATCAACATCAACATGGGCATGGCTGTCGGTGGTAGCGTCGCTGCTGAGATCGCTGCCAACGCGCCCAAGCCGGGCGAGACTGTTGCCATCACTGAGATGTCGGGTGCTCCTATGCCCACCCCGATTGCCGGTATTGTACAGCGTCGTCGCGCTGCTAGGAACAGCTTGTAAATGTGGACGACTGCATTTCAAGTAATGCTTCTGGGAGTTGAGAATTTAACGATGTGGTAGAGGACTTGAATATACTCAAGACTAAGATCGGTAGATATATCCCCATGGAGAACGTTGATACGAGTTTGTCTTGCTGTGGGAAGTGGGTTGTGGTTCTGGTTGGAGCATTGGGTATTCTCGATATACATATATACCTCTTTTTTGTCTGCTTATTTCTTTTCCTGGCTCAGTCTATATCTGGGTGGTGCTTCTCTTTCTATTGTTATATTTGTCTGCATTTGGGATGGTCATCTGCATTTTTTCTAGTTTTTATAGCCTAGTCGGTGGCGGGTTTGGAATTGATGGGTGGAGAGACGGAGAATCGTCGAGTTACACACTCGTCAGAATATACCCATCCTCTCTCTTCGAAGAAGTAGAAGAATCAAATCACTTCAAGAACTTATAGTCACCACCATTTTCTCACCGTATACTTCCACCACTGTCACATACCTGCACACTGTGTTCTTACCAGGAGTGGGAGCACCGGACGAAAAGAAGGCAGATCTCATCAGTGACGCAACATTGCCGACGTAGCACACAAACCACAGCCAAACGCTTGGCTCTTTCCGCTCATACATGCCAAGACTCTATAATCACCCCATTTCCAAGGCCTAAATATAAGGCACGCATAATGATGGAGGAAAGTTGCATGAATCTGCGGACTGACGACGGCTGTCAATGTCAAAATGCGAAAGTGGCATCATTTTCTCGTAATCGGCGGGAGAATTTGGAATGATTATCTTTGTTCGATGAGTAGCTGGAGATATTTAGTGGTGTGTGAGGGAGGAATTGAAGATGGACTCGTCTGTTAGTGTGGAATGATAGCCTGTGATAATGGGTTCAAGATGAATGCAGTACTATCAAGGATTTGCAGTCTTGAATCACACTCAGAAATATGGGAGATGTGGCGCTCTAATGACTATATATGTGTTGTGCCGTCCTTCACCATCCCAGTACCGTGCTGCTGCTAGAGATAATCAATCTACCAAACTTTCTAATCGGGTAATTCTTTGAGTGTCCCCGATCTCCATCGATCACTGTGCAGTTTTGAACTGATGTTTTCGAGCACGCTACAAATTTGTAGAGAAAATAATACTAGATTGCTAGTGTTCTACTATTTACATAATAGGGATGTAGCGCTCTGAGACCCTGGATTCTATTATACAGAATCTCAACTAAATACCTTTTAATGCTTCATGACATAGTTCAGTGCACTATCAGCGATTTGCTTCTGTCACCTAATCTTTGAAAAGAAGTCCGGCACCTGCCTAAGATCCTGCAGTGATCAACGGATTTAGGGATGCCCAAGAATTACCCGATTAGGAAGGCTGCTCTACCAATGACCATCCTTCGTTTTCGGGGCCTCGGCTAAACTTCGCCCGATTCATCCAACGATCCTTCTCGAACCTCAAAGCTTCCATCAAACCTCCACCTCGCCTCTCCTCATCATCCAGAAGCTCTCCAGCCCCATCAACCTCACCAATTCATCCGTCTCCACCAACCAAAACACCTCACCAATCGTCAAAATGCCTCGTCAACGTGGAGGAGCTCCTCCTCGCCGCCCTACGGCCGCACCCGCCAGACCCGCTGCCCCAGCTCCTGCTCCCCAACGCCACTCTTCCACTGCCGCCGCACCCCCAGCTGCAGCTCCTCAAGCGGCTGCTCCTCAGGCTAGCCAGGGCCCCGGATTGTTCGGTCAGATGGCCAGCACAGCAGCGTACGTTCCCGGAGACGCGATCAACAATCGGACAAAACATTCAATGGCTAACGCGCGTACAGTGGTGTCGCAGTCGGATCTTCCATCGGCCACGCCATCGGCGGCATGTTCGGTGGCGGCAGCTCCGCCCCAGCTGCTGAGGCCACCCCTCAATCCTCCGAATTCGCGACCCAGCACCAGCAGGTCAACATGTCGCAGCAATCCGGTGCCTGCGCGACGGACGTTGGAAACTTCCGCAAGTGCATGGACGAGAACCAGGGCAGCTTGACCATCTGCGGATGGTACCTTGACCAGCTCAAGGCTTGCCAGCAGGCCGCTGGACAGTACTAGATTGGAGTTTGAAAGGAGAAGGAATGTAGCGTGAATTAGGACTGCGTGATAAAGTGGAGTGAAGGGTCCTGTTGGAATCTTCACTGCCTTGCATATTGCATATCTATTGGTTGTGCCTTTTTCCCCTTTCGTGTATCTATACCGAATCAATTTAGCATCTGGCTCGCCACTTTTCAGAAACACAAAGAAAACAATCAAAAACACTTTATCAATATCAAGCAGAGCTACCGATTGAGCAGTTGACAACACCCTACAGAATTGAAACTATTAACTGCTTGACGAGCAATCGACGTTTGTACATATGTGTTGGCAATGAACATTAAACTCTAGTTACTTTGATTTCAAAGGGGGGACAGCAGCAGGTCGCGCAATAGTCGTTCATCTCATGCGTACTAAAGATCTTCCCTTTTTCCAACGTGGTAGATGACCATATGCTTCTCGGCTTAATCTCCAAACAGCAACATTGCATCATTCATCATTCTTGAATTCACTAAAAACACTCTATCGCGCGTGAATATGAGGAATCAGTCTCCATTCCTACCCTAACTCCCGTCATGATCATCATCACCACTAACAAACACCACCGAAAACAGAGGCTAGTACAGCCCATGCGAATACCGGTACCAGAGCGATCCACACACACACGCATGCTGATCGTTATCATTATCCTTTTTTCCACGTTCTCACAGCAAACAGCTGCAGTAATGAAGGAAGGAGGTTTATATACTTCCTCTGCCGCTAGTTTAAGACTTATCCTGAATCAGAAGCGTCACAGTAGTTTTTACTAAATGATGCTGATGATGTCCATCATCATTACTAGTACGCTTCACAAGAGGAGATATAACATGTTTCATGTCAGCACCGGCGCGGGAGCGACACACACATATAATTGGATGATTAAGCATTATAGCTTGTATTTTTCCCACAATAAACATATGAAGGAAGGAAAAGAGAAGGAGAAGCAGAGGAAGAAGAGGGTGGTTTATATACCTTACTACCTATTTTTCTAGACTAACGCAAAGTAGAAACTCCTTCGTGTTTTCTATCATAATGGTAATCTCCATCATCATTATCACTGGCAGACAACAATAAAAGAGAATTTAACACATTTTTGTCAAGCTCCGCGCACACGGCACACATAACTGTCTATAGTAGACATTTTTTTTTTAGTAAAAGCTCCGCTCACAGCAGTGCACTGTAGAGAAGGAAGAAGAAAGACAAGAGGAAGAGGGAGAAGGAGGGGGTTTATATACTTCTCCTCATCCTCCTATGCTAGACTAACGCGAAGTAGAAGCGTTGTTACTTTTCGTGATGTGAATCTTCATTATCATTATCATTGTTATTATTAAACAGAAGCTGTAAACTGCTGAACCCAGCATAGCAAAGCGACGACGTAGACATGAGACAGAAAGCACAGAGGCAGCAGCACGCATACCGCTCGTTGATCGTTGTTATTAATGTAAGCTCCACAGCAGCGCTGTATAGAAAAAAAAAGGGAGAAGGAGAGAAAGAAGGGGGTTTATATATCTTTGTTCTTACATAATCTGTCATCTGCGCTAACTATTGTATATGCGATTTAATGATTAGCGTCATTATCATTATTGCAAGACTACTAAAATCAGCATAAGAAGTAGTAATGAGTACTTTATGTAGGGAGGACACGGGAGCAGCGGCACACATGAAAAAACACATCACACTCTTTTAGTGTAATACGTACTCACTTTGAAGCAGTGTAGAGAAAAAAGAAGGGAAGGAGGAGGGTAAAGAGGGGGGTTTATATATGTGCGATTTGACGCTTGTCTGCGCTAGTGGGGGTTTGATGGTGATGGATGGCATTGTTGCTGTGTGTATATAGATTAGAAGATTAGGGAAACAAGAATTATGTTCAATGGGATGCTAGTTTAGGTTTGTTGTTCGCTGTCTGTAAGGATAGGTCTATCTTTGGAAGTTTTAGTAGTAGATAGACTTTACTACGCACATAGCGAAAGACAGCAGCATATGAAAAACACGACGCGTGAGGAATATGTATAATACTCTAAGCTTTTTAATGCAGTCTGCCACCGCAATAGGGATACTGATCATCATCGCCTTGTCAAATCTTTGTAAACATATATTGGAAAGAACCACGTTTGTGCACGTATGACGTCACCCGCTGGCCTCCACCGCCGCACATGCAATCTACATCTCCGTTAATTTAGTCCTAGAATGCCTAGTGCACTGCTGTGTAAAGAAGAAAAAAGAAAGAGAGCAAGAACAGGAGAGAGGGGGGTATTTATACCGCACTGCTTACGCGGTGTACTAAGTGTTCCTGTGTATAGATGTAATTACGCGAATACAATGATGATCCTCACCACTATTATTATAATTATTATAACCAATGAATTGGTTTTAATCGAAGATGTTGCCATACACACCGGACTCTGGGAACACACATTTTGTGTGATTTGAGAACTTTTTGGTTTATCTCTTGCTGATTACAAAGAAAGTGCGTGTGTAGAAAGAAGAAGAACAGATAAGGGTGGAAGACGGGATTTATATACCTGACACTTGATAAGCTTTCTAGACCTCACTGCGGCCATCATCATGCTCATTATCATCATCAACACTACCGTTACTATCATTGTTACTTGAGATACATACACTAGAATATAATTAATTGTAAATAAGACAGAAGAACGACCGCGCACACATGGAAAGCTTATAAAGTGTCTTCTATTGTTTTTTGCTGTTAACGCCAAGTTGCGTGTGTGAGAACAGAGGAGGCAAGAGGTTAGGGAGGAGGTTTATATATTCTGCAGTGGAGCTATCGTCCTAGTCCGTTTACGGTACTCCATTATCATTGCCATCATCACTATTATTATCATTGTGAATGAAGCTAAAAGAGCAAGTTGAAAAGGCATGCTTAGCTGACGCGCGCATTCAAATGCTCAGACTCAGTTCTTTTATGGCTTATGTGGAACACAACTTATTATAGGTGTGTAGGGAAAAGAGAATGAATGCGCAGAAAAGAGGGTTTATATATTCTTCTTTTGTCCAGTCTAACTAGATTCCGACTCGGCGGTCATTATCATCATCGCGGAAAGTAGTTCTAAAATTGTACCTTTGCAAATGCAGACTTCATATTTTGTCAGCAACTAACATCCTTGAACTTGAATTTTTTAGATCCTATGGATGTGTAGAGGGAAGAATAAACGAATGAAGGGGAAGGTGTACTGATTTAGAATAGCTTTATATATCTCGCCTTGATAAATTCAACATGAGTACGGGAGGGGGTAGTGATACAGTGACGCTGATCATCATCGTCTTGTTTCTCGATCAAAAGCTGGCCTATAGGCATTGAAATGACTTTGACGAGGCCGACAGTTTTCCTCGACATGGATAGATTCTTTCATAGATTTCCATATCTGCCTAGAATATAGATTTTAGGCGTATGGAGAGGAGAAAAGCAGAGATGCCATGCGAGGTAGAGAATGGGTTTATATAGATGGCACTATGATTTATGCTAGCTGGATTTTAGCTGGTGGTACCATCATTTTCATCATTATCATCGCTTCTAATCAGAAATATTCATATGCGATATGAAGGCTCTGGAGACGTTACCAGCCACTCCCCGCACACATCGTAATCTTATGTTATGGTGGCTATGTAAACAGCTTGTGCCGCAGGAATCTCGTGATAGGGCGGCAGAACGTCAATCCAGTGTCAGTGGAATCAGAAAATAGATCGGGGGAACACAGCGCGCATAAACTTTTCGACCATGATCAGCATCTCGCGTCAGACCTGGCTTTGATCAACGGCCGCTGGCGAGGGAGGTCCTCTAGACTTCATCTTGGGCTATGACCCCCTAAAATGAAGGCGTATAGCAACACAGACTATAGTATTGGTGCATGGTTCGAATCAATCGTGCAGATAAAGAACAACAGAAAATCTATATCTGACGGTGCACAAGTTGAGCTCTACCAGACGGGCAATTTTTACGTCTCGCTTCTTCATATAGTAGAGGGTCTGTAAATCCGACACTGTTATCTTCTATTTATTTTGAGTTGGAGTTTAGGTGTACCTACACACAACGATGATTTATAACGATGGAGATAGACAAAACAGGCAATTACAGCGAAATCATGACGCCGACACTGTTATTATATTTGCTTGTATCGCAAGTGTGCATTGTAAGCTAGTCGATGGAGCGGCTGGCAGGAAGCCGGTTGTCGCAAACCAAAAGCAACTCACAGACGGTCAGGCAAGATTGCATGTTTACTAATACCTACTATTGCAACAGAAACGCTGGAATGACAGCAGAAAAAGCATAATGAAATCCAATAATAGGAGTTTGTCTCGAATCGGCGCGGGGCGGCGTGTCACGTCGACAAAGTCATTCTCAAGAGGCCCTTTCTTCTGCTGATTTCAAAGCTTTGGGAGATACTTATTTGTTGATAATGCTACTTCTTGATCACAATATACTCCCGCTGCTCTCTGCTACTCGAGTATTTGTATTAGTCTATGATTCTTTACAATAGCTTTGACTTCTCACTTCCTATAAAAAAAAAAAAACTTTCACTTCCTACTTATGGATTCGCCCTTTATAGGTGATAGCAACTAGTTCTTCATTCTAATACAATGATGCATTTAAAATACATTTACCCCCAATTGACCATGCACCCCAAAAGCGATAAGATAGAAAAACGGAATACAAGATGATGTGAGGGGAACGCGATCCGCAAGGTTCCGCACCACGCAAATACGATCACCCGGCAAACTACCTGCGGGCCCCAAGCAAATGTCCATGATCAAAAGATTACTTGCTGATATTTGAGGTTACGGTGATCAATCAAATTCAGAGGTAGATATATCAATATTGCTTTCAATGTCTTGTGCTGCATGCAGCCTTCGCATTCCAATGTGTCACCAACACTGAGTATACAGCTACACAGGTAACATTCTACCTTCAATATTCTTCATTGTTTCCAATTCTGCAAATTTGTGGCGCGCCTGGATGCCTGGTTGTGCTGCCATCTGATCGCAGCACCATTGACATCATGAGCTCAAAATTGGGGTCAGGTCAGGCCGCACATTTGCCTTCGCTGAAACAAAAGGTTTTGCGTTTCTCACTGCATAATGTTGGATAACTATCTCATCCAATCAAACAGCTAAAAACAACTGCGCGCTTAAAGTCACGTCCTACGAATCGATTAGGCATTCATCACATGACGATAAGCGTTAGGTAAGCGTCTATAGGCACGGAAACGGCGTAGACAGCTATCCAGATATGATAACCTTAAAATAAGCGTAATCTGGAGTTCGAATACAGTGAAGGGGTTCGAATGACTAGATAGCCATGAACATGTTAGAGGCAAGAAAACGGCCCCCCCCCCTTCTATGCGGCACCGCAGAGGGACTCTTACAGGATGAGACAAGTACTTTATTGATTCCGGCATCCAGAAATATCTGTAGGCGTACGAAAAAGATGGAAGTCGAGGCCCCCTTCTATGATGTGCCACCGCACAAGCACAGTTACAGGAAAAGACAACTGCGGATGTCAGAAAACGAAAAAACAGGGAAAAAAGAGCACGTCCAGATCCATTGATGCGGCGCTGCTGAAAACCTAACAAGTGACTAGAGAATAGCGTGAACGGCGCGGGATATTTTTGTAACAGAGAATAGATATATAAAAGTCGATAGTTCAGATCAATGTGAGAATTATCATTCCAACAACCTGCGGACGTTTCCCAAAGTGAACACATTGCTATATCATTATTATGTCTCGACTTTACCTGACCAGTCTTTTGGCCCTGGCAGTTGACTTACGAGGAGCTTTCTCATACCCCACGAATACTTCAGAGGTATCACTGCTCGCTAGGGACGATGGCGAATTCATCTTTGCTGCCTTGGGAGATTCTTGGGCTGTAAGCTCTCTAAAAATACCATACAAGATTGACTTGCTTACAGACAATAGAGTGGGGTTACGTATACGCCTTTCAACAGTTACGATGGCAATAAAGACAACTGCAAACGCTACTCGTACGCGTGGTCCACTGTGGTAGCAAACCATGGTTCCGACTGGCTGCCCGATGGCAAAAAAGCGAAGCTCGAATTTGTAGCGTGCTCTGGTGCAAAAACAGAGAACGTAATGGAACAAATGGATAAGACGACGAGACCTAAGATCACGCTCATGGAGATAGGAGGCAACGACGCCGACTTTTACCCATTGGCCGACTCTTGCCTTTTCCACTCTCATAGGGATAAGAATTATGGAAAACGTTACGAAGAGGACGACGCAGAACATCCTGGAGGCGAATGTCGGAGAGAGATAAAAGAGGTTAGAGGCCGAGTCGAAACAGATGGCATCAAGAAAAGTATCAAGGGAGTTATCAATCAATGGAGATATCACCCAGCTAATGCAGGGAATGAGGCCAGCCTGTATCTTCACGGGTATCCCTGGTTCTTTGGCGACAGCGAGGAATGCAACGATTGGGACTTTACCGTCTTTTATAACAGCGATCCAGCTAAGAACCAAAAGCTTGTACATGATCTGCGCACTGATTTCAATAAAATGGTACGTACCACATAATAACAATGCATATTCAGTCACTCTCTGAGAAACTTGCCCACTAACAGCAGCTTTTATTCACAGATTGATCAGATGAATCGCAATATTCGCGAGGCGGTTGAAGAGTACCAAGATCCGAAGATCAAATATATCGACATCAATCCAGCGTTCGACCAACGTCGATTCTGTGAGCCAGGGGCCTCATGGTGGTCACAACTTAACTATAACAATGGCGTTTGGATTTGGAACAACCCTGCAAGATGGATCATCACCATAAAGAATGGAAACAAAGAAAGGAAATATGGCAAGCTTTTCGAATCGCCGCCCCAGGACGAGGTAGAGAAGATGCTGGCCCATCCCAATGAACCAGTGATGCTCGACGATGGTGACACTATATCCAGAACATACAGTGATCCAGACGATGAGAATCACAGTATGACACTGGAGGGAAGTCTAAAGGACTTTCAAAATTTCCGCAGTGGAGGTGGCGATGGGTCAGTATCACGGACACTTCATCCCACCCAACCCGGCCACGAAGCCATGGCCAAGATTATCATTGAACGGTTGAAGAAGGATTTCAAAAGTGGCGTTACGCAACAGCCATGGGGCTCGAACAACTGTCCTGCCGGCTGTAAATGCTCCAGCTCCGGTGCACCACCGCTTTGTAGTTAGTTCATGTTAAAAACAGCAGTTGTGAGGGATTCTTTATCATGTAAACGTCTTTTCATACATGGCCGCGTTACATAACCGTGAGAAAGTTACCAAACATGATTTCACCACGAGAATTGATATCACAAGGGACTCTGATATATGACCAGAGGAGCAATTATTTTTGCGCGACTTCAGACAGTATTGGTTGATGGATAACTAGATGTATATGTTGCAGATTGTGTCGATATTGCTAGTTCTTTCTTCCACTACGTTCGAGCCAGAACTTCTATGTGCCGACCTCCCAATTGTAACAAGCTTTGTGCCTGGTCTCATTCAACGCCACGATCCCAAACTCTCAGTATGAAAATTTGTGAGAAAGGTGATTTGTCCAAAGTCAATCTTAAAGAACCACAAGTTTTGCAGTGAACCATAGTACACCAAAAGTGCAGATTTTTTGCCTCAACAATAGCTTTCGAATAAGCCGAGGTAGATATATAAAGCTCCTGTAGTAATGTGCGCCTTCATCTGAGAATCCGCCTTCCCCTTTGTAGCTTCTACATACCCCTCACGTAGCGTAACACTTTCCAAATTGTGCCCGTTAAATGTTAATTTGCCCTGTTCAATCTTGCCTTCCATACTGCCCCACCAGGTAAGGGGATAGCCCACCCATAGTTTGCCCTCCGTAACCTCGTGCGTGCTGATAGTGTTCGTAAGCGGATTATAGTCCCTATCAGATGAAGCATCGGATGGACTACAAAGCGTCACCGATGAGTCGCCTCTTGAAGTCGTATATATTCCATTTGTGGTGTTCGGACTGGCAGCTCCCCATGTTCTGATCATTGTCTCAAGAGTGCCGCTCATAGTGGAAATATTTGTATATAAGCCATGCGGTACGTGGGCAGAGATATTGCCTGAGATCGACTCAATTTTTGTTTGATGGGTATAGGGTTTTGAGTACCAAAAGTCATGGAGAAGTCCTACGCGAATTCTGCCAGAGACTGTAGTGATGGAAATACTCTTTGGATCAAACAATATACCATCAGAAAGCCTGGGACAGAGAAGGACTTCAATTCCGCCTGCCTCGTTGTGGAGTTCGAGGTGCTCGTCAGGGGTGAAAAAGCCAAGGACCATTCCATCAATGGAACTCATGGAGACGTTATGTGTAATCAATGGAGCTTCGAAGGGGTATCGGGAGTCTAGAAAGATCTCGCCATGCGAGGTATGTGTGAATAAGTTGTTGATCTCCCAGCCAAGGGATGGTTCGTAGTTGATGTCGAGGATATTAGTTCGAATGTCGAACCGTTCTAGGAAACGTTTATTCGATGGCCGCAGAAGTATTTGTATATGAACCTCTGTGCAGACATCGCTGCTCTCATATGTATAGTTCATGTTCAGCATGAAGTCCGATTTGTTGAACTGCACATTCGTCAAATCGTCCTCGTCACTAGAGCGAGTGATAACGATGACTTCCATATCATGGAGTTGAGAGGAAATTCCACGATCCACAGTTATTTCACCTCGAAGACTCTTGCGTGACTCAGCAGGAGAGAAATCAAGAAACTGCCATCGGTTGGCGGCTACGTCATCTTCTGTGAAGTCGAAGCCGAACTGGTCAGATCTGGAGGTGACGACGGCCGGACACCTGTCAGGCATTATTTTCTTCTGTGGAATCTCAAGAGATCCGAAGTCCGGTTGGCGAAAGACTTTTCTTTCATTGAAGATTTCCGGGAGATAGTATAGATGATTGTGACGAAGGTTATTCCGGGAGAGGATAAGCAGGGTCAATGGCAGGAGAGAGCAACACAGGACTCGAATTAAGGGTCGCCATTTTCTGGTAATTAACTGATTGATTGGCTCCCCATGATCGGCATGCTATGAAATGTTAACTTCAGTATGGGGAAGAGGGCGTAGCACTAACATTTGCGAGCTTCAAGCTACTATCGTCGTGCTTTTCTTTCTCGAGAAAGGGCGACCTCTCAATAATAGTTTTCTCGGTAGCCATTCTGATGAATGGAAATCGAATACCAGCCAAATACGGTAAAAAGATTTGGCGGGATATTGGTTCAAGCTTGTGTACTCGCACTGCATTGGAGTGTTTGGACTACGTCGGACTTGGTCGCGCTGTGCCGCGCTGCGCCGCATAGTTCTATAAAACATCCCAATTGTGGCTTAAGCGAATGACGTAACACATTATATGTGTTAATGCGAGAGGAAGTTCCAACATTCTTCCTCGTACTAAAGTGTTAGTTCGACGATTCCAATCAACTAGAAAATGCTCAGTCAAAAAACGCGACTAGGATCGCTTCCCGATCTTCTTTCGTGGTCATCTGCGCAAATTTACAATGTAAGGACATGAACGTGTACGTCATGAGATTTATGTGCCAGAATTGAAGGACCCCAGCTCAAAGCTCCGGTGAGACATGATTCTCGCCCCCATCCCTTCCTTTCGCCAATGAACTGAATGCGGTCCTCCCTCAAGTTTGAGCGAGATAGGTCGTGCTTCTTGATTACTGCTTGGCATGCCTGTCACCATAAGTCCTCTCAAAACAAAGATCATGCAACCGCCCAACCAGCCATAACCCTCCCACGATAAGCGTTCTAACTTGGACTTTCACAGAAATCTCGAAACTACCAGCTTCCCTGTCTGAAATCTAACCACTGCCCTCTTTCCACCGTTTTTTCTGCATTGATGAAGATGATTAATGATTGATGTAATGATTGATTGGAGAAAATGTACGTATTTCTGTACTTAATAATATAAATGTGGTAAGAGCAGGACATTTGGTTGGAACCATTATATGTGCTACAAGTGGCGTTTCATTTCCAAGTTCCGGCTTATCTCACGAGCGGCACGCTTTGTTGGTAGTATTTATGCGAAGATTTACCAGTTCAAGAAGATGGCCCTGATGGGGACATGCGTCTTACTCTCACGTGACATATACCTCTGCCTGAGTCCTTGGAAAACCCATTGTGTTTTTGCACTGTGGTTTGCCATTTCTCATTGATCGCAATGACCTCATATTTTCAACAAATGGAATCACGCCTGTGCTGCTGAGAGTCAAGTACATATCCGCTATATCCCCTCTTTGAGTTGATAGAAGAGGACGATGACGATTTCGATCATTTTCAATCTCTAGCGCTTCTTGAGTTTTGAGACACGGCGAGTATATATGCCTCGCCTTGTTTCGCTCTCTTCCCTTCTCCTCCCTCTTCCCCTACGCCACTGATTGCCAGCTCAAACTCTACTATCAAATCTCCAATGCTGACAGAAATGATACATGAGCGAATCCGCCAGTTTTAGAAAGAGATGAGAACTTACACGTCAGTTCCTATCTTGAATTCTTGGGAGGTATGATGATCATGATGACCATGATGGTATTCAGCACTGCCCATGAATGACCGAGCAATCAATAGCAGAGAGCGAATACATAACCCTCCATGATTTCTTTGCTCTCTTCTTCTCTTCTTCTCTCTTCTTGATAAGCAGCCGTAAATCTGCTCACTAGATTGAATTCCTTACTGTGCAAATCACATGTGTGTGCCTAGTGCTGAAAAGCAATAGTAGATTGATCTATCAGTACAATGACGATCATGACGTTCATTATCATTCTTCATCTGTTCAATTGTTGATTATCAGTATTTGCTTAGTCAGTAGCGTGTAAACCCATCTATATAAATTTCCAGTTGTCGTACCTCTCTCCGCCTCTCTTCTTCTCACACATATGAGGGATTGCTCAGTATAGTGTAAAATAATCAAGCACACGAAGATTTGATGTTTTGAATGTATGGGATGTCGTAGAAGAAAAACTACATGAAGTTACCATTTCTAGTGAATATGCAATAATAACGCTCATTACTTACGCTTATACTGCTGGATACACAGTTATTAGCAACATATATCAACATCCATTGCGTGCAATATTCTAGCTCATGATATATAGTCAACGATCGTGATCATAACGCACTTATATAGTATATGCCACCACAATTACTAAATCTAGCATCATAAAAAGTACCACGACACTGGAGCTGCTGACAGACGATGTTGTTTACCATCATCCAAAACGCAGATGATAAAGTGTATGTATATAACCCCTTTTTCTTTCTTCCAGATCCATCTTTCTTTTTCTTCCCTCACCCAGCCGGCCTATTCCTTACTATATCATACAATAGTAAGTTAGACACGGACAAAACGTATGGTAGGCAGACAGACATGGACTATCGAAGAATCAATTTTATCGTAGTTAGCTCGGTGCTGATGAGCATCATCAGCGCGATCTTCCTCACCTGCGTACAGAAAACAATCTCATAATCAGCAAAAGACAGACGGATATTTAAACTGCCCTGTCTTCCTCCTTTCTCTATTTCTCTTCTGCATAAAAGAGTGAATGCGTTATTCAGCACATCAAAAAATTTACCGTTTCCTATTCACGTGTGCGGCCGCGCGTGCTTGTGCGTGCTAGTGAGTGATTTGTAACTGTAGTTGATAATCATCGTCATCATCGCTACTTCTTCATTACTTCTTCAACTATTTAAAACTAACAATCCAGCTGGCAGTTAAATGCATCAAATCCTATAAGTATTCCTTTCCTTCTCCCGATACACAAGCCTAACAAAGATTCTAGATTGTAGGGTGTAATAAAAGCTAGAATTTGCACGTTGCATGCGTGTTTGTAGGTGCATGTACTTGAAACATGAACAGCAGAGATAATTAAATTAAGCTGGTGCTGCCAATGGTGGTGGCGATGATGCTCATCATCAACACACTTTCCTCCAACTCTACATCCAGTAAAATGTTACGTGATCATTACCTGAAAACAAATATATAAAGCTCCTTCTCCTCCTTTCCCCTCCCTTTCTCTTTTCCTTGCCTTGCTAAGCAAGTGTCTAGTTTAGCACATAAGAAAAACCAGTCTCAAACCCTTTCTATGTGCGTAGGTAGACCTTTGTATATCTACAAGAACATAAACAGCAACAATAAGAAGTGTTTAGAAGCACTTTCACCCAATTTTTAATGATGATGCCTATCGCCGCCACAACTCTTATAAACTAAACGTTGATGACACATTAGCAGTCCGTACACAAATATATAAAATCCTGTTCTTTGCTCTCTTTTTTTCCTTCTCTCTACAAGCAGTGCCTAGCTTAGCACATCAAAGCAAAGATTCAAAGCAGGAAAAAATATGCCTACGCTCGCATGCCTGCGTGTACGCAAAGACATTATTAACAACAACAATTAGTATTTCTTAAGTTATCTTAAGTAGTAACAGTGATGATGATGGTGAGCAGTATTACACTCTTTACTCTTGAGCTACGCAAAGTAGAAAGCTGAGTAATTGGCATAGCTACGAACAAGTATATAAACCCCCTTCTCTTCTTATTTATTCTCCTTCGCCCACCGCCTATTATATTAGAGAAAGGTGCGTAATGCAGCCACCCTATGTGGAGGGGCGTCTGTCTGCGTTATCTAGATGCACATATATTTAAGAATCTGCAACTTTTGCATAAAGGGAGTTGTATCTAATGATGATGCTTATCGCCGCTTATGGACGGGAAAACGGGTATATAAGCCTCCTAATCTCCTCCTCTTTCTCTGCTCCTTCTTCTATTCATCTACACATACAGCTATAAAGCTGCTATTTTAATATAAATTTGCAGAAAGTCTAGGACTTCTGTGCGCGAGCGTGTCCTGCTCGCGTTTAATCCTACCAAAGAGCACATTTTAGTGGAAGGTAAAGATGGCGATGAAGATCCTTATCACTACCTATAACCGATTCCGAGATAGAAGGTATATAAACCCTCTTCTTCCTTCTCTTCTCCTTCTCTCCTTCTTTACAAACACAGCTGAGAAATAGCTTATATATGAGTAATAAAACGCTACATTTTGTAAAATTGATGTGTGGGCGGCTCTGCGCGTCTTCCCTTATGTATTGCTGTAAAGATGGTAGGTTAAGGTAGGTTAAATTGCGAGTGATAATGATAATGATTATAATCTCGTCATTTCGCGCCGTTATAGGGTTGAGAAGAGTAGGGGATATATAAACACATCTCCGCCTTCTTCCTTTCCTTACATCGTCAGAAAATCCCCAGCTCATTACGCACGAAAACAGTGGCGCAAGAAACTATATCGCGATACACACATGTAGAATCAAATTGAGCCTCAAATCTCCTAGTATGTTTAGACGGTGATGGTAAGTAGCACCGCTTATTCTAACACCTAGATAAAACATTATAACTAGGAACGAGAAGCGCTAGTAAGAAGGACGTGCATATAAACCTCCCCTTCTTCTTCTCTTCTCGTCTATACAAGCACTGCTAAGCAGTTAATTAGCAAAGAAAAGACCGAAGCAAATTGCAATGTGTGCGTGCCGTAGAAAGGATATAAATAAGTAGACATGTAATTTCTAGTAAAATCTGCGCTAATGCTTAGCATTACTGCCTATTCCTACGCCTAGATAGGATTGGTAGGTAAGAAATATAGATGAGAAGACAAGTATATAAACCCCTTCTCCTACCTCTTTTTTCTTTGCTCTTTTTGCTCTCTCTTCGCATAATAGCAACTAGGCTTTTATGTTAGTATAAAACTATTCAAGAGTTACTTCATGAGTGCGTGCTTTGAAATAGGAATATACCTCTAAAGCTTACGCTTTTTTATTATTTTAGTAGAACAACGAATAGTGATGCTAAGCATTACTGCCTGTTGGTACACTTAAGTACACTTAGTAAGAGGAAAAGCAAGACAGCTAGATAGTAAGTAGCAAATAATAATGATTCTCATTACTGCCTGCAATATGGGGATTCCTGGACGACAAGTATATAAACTCCCCTCTTTCTTCTTCTTTTCCTCTTCTCTTTCCTGCACGCAACAGCACAATAGCTTCTATTATAAAGTAAAAGGAACCAATAACTGGTGGCATGTGTGGTTGTGTAGGCCCGCGTTCAACAGAACATAAACATATACACGTTTTCTGAGAAATTTAGTATAGTGATGATGAGCATTGCTACTTTTTTAAAATATTAAGTTCTACTAAAATTAAGACATAGCAATAGCAATAAGAAAAATAGTATTAAGCATTACTATTTCCTACAGTATTACTAAGACATTACTAAGCTAGGATAGAAGACAAGTATATAAACTCCCCTTTTTTCTCTCTTTCTACGTTTCTTCTTTTCTTCTACACAGAGTAAAGCATTTGCTTACTTAATAAAGCACTAAAACAGCTTATAATTTTGTACGTATGCTTGCGTGCTAAAGTTAAGCAAAAACATACCTATAAAAGCGTTTAGTAGACTTAAAGAACGATAATAATAATTAGCATTATTACTATATATTCTTATCTAAACTAGGAAGACAGATATATAAACCCCCCTCTTCTTCTTCCTCCTTCCTTTCTCTTTCTCTGCAAAGACATAAGCATATGCTTATAATATTTATAAAAAACCCACTTTTAAAAACCTATGTGTGGGCGTGCGTGTCTATCTCTAGCTACTTCTACTACACGCTGCAATAATGCGCAGCATTATTTGCTCTACTACTTCTCTTTACTTAAATAGACCTAGCTAAAAACGCGTAGAAAAGCAGGTATATAAACCCCCCTTTCTTCTTCTCTTCCTGCCTCTTTCTTTTACATATAGCTAGGCATTTGCTTAGTATACTAATAAAGAACTACTACATAATGGAACATGTGGGCGTGTGTTTGTCCCCTTTTCTACTTATACAAAAATAAGCCTGTTTTATTTACATAGTAGATTGCAATAATAATAATAATAATAATAATGCGCAGCATTAGCATTGCTCCTCTTTTTTCCCTTAAATAATACTAGCAGAAAACACGTAGATAGAACAGGTATATAAACTCCTCTCTTCTCTTCTCTCTCTTCTCCCTTCCTCTGTAGAGTCTTTTCTGCAACTTTTTATTCTACTACTAAAAATTCTCAACAATCTACTGGATGTGTAGGCGCGTTTCTGTCTCTTTATTATCCTAAATATAATATTAATGCTAATAATGCGTAGCATCAGCATTGCTACACTTACTGCATACATAACTAAGTGCTTACCTAACAAATGTGTATATAAACTCCCCTTTCTTTCCCTTTCTCTCTCTTCTTCTTTCCTTAATACTAAAGGTATATGCCTATCTAAACACGAAAAAAAATACTAGACGCAAGACACATGTGCGCCTGTGTGTGTGCGTACACAGCAAACAGAAAAACATACAAGCTCTCCTCAACCATAATCTTAAAGTACATAAAGAGTAGTAATGCTCATCATCACCACCTTTTCCTATTCCTCCTAAAGCGAACTAGTACACAACATAAACACAAGTATATAAACCCTCCTCTTCTCCCTTTTCTTTTCTTTTTTCCTTTATGCACAAACGTGCAAAGAGTTATTGACCTACCAAAACTATTTCTATTGAAATTAATGTGCTGGTCGTGCGTCTGGAGACATAAAAACATGATAGCGTTACTTAGCTGTGTGTTAAGTTTTTTTTTTTTGGTATGAGGTTTATACGCTGATAATGATGATAATGAGGGCGATGAGGGCGATGAGGGCGATGAGGGCGATAGCGATGAGTAGAGATACTACTACATCTTTTCTACTACTGCATATGCAGCTAACTGATAAAAAAACGGCTAGGGAAAAAAACAAGAAGGGGATAGCATGTATGCAACTATCAAGCGGAGGTGTAGATGGCAGGGAGTGTTATAGACTGCCGAATATTGATTTTTCTTTGAGAGAGACGTTCAAGCGGTGATGAATGATAACGACGGTGAATGGTACCCTTGTTACTGTTATGCCTTACCCTCGGACTGACGGAGAGAGAGTGACTAAGCATGGGGGAAGAGGAGGATGTATATAAACCCCCCTTCTTCTCCTTTTCTTCTTTTCTTTTTCCTTCTTACTATGTGCATGGCACAAAGTGCGCAGTGTCTTTGATGCTGCACTCTTTATTAAAAAACGTTATCGCCGTCTGATGTGCGTGGGTGCGTGTCTTTTGATTTCCAGCATGAGTAATATCGATGATGAGGAGCAGCAGCGCGATCATCGTAGACATATCGCACCCGCAGGCAATCTGAAGCTGTTCTGCTCACAAGATCTAAAAGATAAACGTATGTATTGAGTGTAGCAGACATGTGATCCATGTAAGCGCGAATAACATATATAAAACATCAACAAGGATATATGTATGCGCATGCGTGTGCGTATGTGTGCGTGCGAACACCAAATAAAAAAAAAAAAACCCGACGATCATAAGGGAAAAAAGCAGTGAGCAGATCTTTTTGAGGGGGGTGAAAGCAAAACAAGACATGGTCGTTTGGCGATGGAAGAAAAAAAGCATCATCAGCCACAGACAGACAAACAGCCACCGGCGAGAGATAGACAAGAGAGAAGAGAGAAAACAAGAAAAAATCGCTTAGTCATCGCAAAGCACACACTCGTTACCTGCGTCAAATAAATCGTGATCGCGTTTCGTATCCAGCGCCCAATCCCATGCATATGCAGAAGCAAGCCGTTCAAGGCCTGGAACAGAGTCAAGGTCCGATAGGAGAGACGGAACCAGAAAAAAAAGCACAGAATCCTCCGCCCGTTATTTCGTATCGTCGTGTTTTGTGTAGAAAGAAGAAGAAATAGTAAATCGAAAGTCATGTTGGACATGGAAAAGAAAAGGGAAGGAAAAAACGCGAATCATTTTTTGATTTCTAGAAACGATGATTGGAACAACGTAGCGGGCGAGTCTAGAAAAGTCGGCGGCCAATGCAATTGCACAAGCGGCGTGCATAAACCACATGCATCCCAGGGATAATCGAAAAAATTGGCATGAGCAGTAAGCGACCACCACAACAACGGCCAACGTCGAAAACCCGAATACGGGCGGTTCTTTCGGCACGGTTCGGAGCGGTACGGTTCGGAGCGGAACAATGTGGAGTGATAGTCACCGAGCGGTGGTTGGATGGATGGGTGAGGCGCATAGGCTAAATATACTGCGTGCATGAGCTGCTGGCCGTGACGATGCGTGCGTGGCAGCGAGGGAGACGGAGGAAGGATGGGCGGGGTAAGAATAGGCCGTCCGCTGTGCAGTCACTATTGGTTGCTCGCAGTGATGGGGCGATGGCGCGGGTTGCTCCTGTTGCGTACGCGTACAGCGTACAGCGAGGCGGGTGGATTGCAGTGCTCATTTGTGTACGTGGGGTTCGGAACAGGCCTTTCTCACCACCCACTTCTCCCAGAGCTTGCGCTGCGAATTGGTGACGGTGACACCGTCGTCCTCGAGAGCCTCGATGCTGTTGACGTGGCTGGTGCAGTTGCACCAGGGTGCGGACGCGGGGGTGTCAGGAGACATGGGCGGAAAGTGAAGGTCGCCTCCTTGTTCAGGCTCCTCTGAGCCAGTTTCGGAAGCTGCGTCGGAATCGTCAAACGATACATCGCTGCCGTAGTCATGAGCCTGCTCAACGGGCTGTGCCTCGTCTCCGTCCCCGTGCAGATCCCAATCATCGCTGTAGCCGTCGCTGCTGCTGCTGCTATCGCTGCCCAGGAAGTGGTCATCCGGAATCTCTGCGCCCAGCGTCGACTGCCCGTCAAAGTGCGTCTCGTAGTCGATCCTCCGCAGACTGACCCAGTCCAGCCGAGCCATGTCAGATCGGAGAGCAGAGAGTACGTCCTGCCACCGGCTGCCGTCCCTCAGGAGCACATCTCGCAACCGCAGTCCACGCAGCCTGTCCCGGTGACGGCGGGCCAAGGCGATGATTTCGTCGGCGTCTAACCTCCAGGCTTGAATGCCAAAGGCAAGAAGCTTTTCCCACTTGACGTGGTGGAATATTTCCTCGAGCCGCAACGTGAGCGGGCGGTGAGACGGGAAGCCAATGTGGACTGCCTGCATGTTCTTGGCGGCGTTGAAGACGACTTTGGACAGGACGGATAGCTCTCTCATGCGGTTGTCCAGATCGTAGCCATCGTCGAAATGGAGCTCCAAACACGTCAAGCGTTCGGCGAGGAGTTGGAGCGTGGAAGGCGGATCACAGACGGCACCCAGGGCGCTTTGCGGGCTGAGCATGGGCGATGAGAAGCGAGAGCAAGGTGAACTGGAAGCCAAAAGAGCGCCGCCAATGGTTTTTGTGGAGTGGGAACAGGCAGGGGCCCACTTGAGCTCGACGAATTGGTTGAGTTGGTCGTGTTGGCGGATGTAGGAAATCAACAAGCCGTCCTCTTGGTCCTGTAATCGGAGAATTTGCACGTGTTGCAGGAAAGTAAAGGCCGATATCGCTTTGTTCAAGACGCGGACATCTTCCTGGGTCTGGACGATTTCGCGCTGTTCATTTACTTTTTGCACAAAATGCCTCACGTCCAAGGGACCCAGGCTAGCCGGAAGGGTGGGTAAGAGTTCGTTCACGCGCTCGCGACCTGTCAGTTGGTGTCAGTCAGGTGGGGGGTTTTCGGACAGGGGTTTGTTTTAGGGAGCCGGACCTTCTACGTAGAAAAATGGAACCATGTAACTGAACTTTTTGACGTGCTTGGCGAGATGGGGCTGCTGGGCAATCTTCTCGAGGCGAGCGAGTCCTTTGCGTGAAAACCTGGTGGTGACGCGGGAAAACTGGTGCAGGGCGCCCAGATCGGAGAACCTCTTGCAGGTCAGTCGAAAGCTGGCAATGTCCTGGGCCTGGTCGCGATCCGGAGGCGGGGGTGCCCTGAAGCTTTCCTGGGAGAGATAGGCGCGGCGATCGACTCCTATGAGTTTTTCGGGGTCTGATTCTATGTAATCGAGGATCTCACGGAGGAGCTCGTTTTGCAAGCTGAGGAGAGGCATGGTGATTGCTTCTTTCGTTCCTGGGACGTGATTCCGCCTCGGTATTGGTTGCTGATCAAGTCGTGGAGGTGGTGGATGATGGGTTGGTAGTGGTAGCAGTGCACTACGTAGTATAGACGGTGGCTAGCTGAGAAGGTAGGAGAAGAAGATGAAGAAGATGATGAAGCAGATGATGAAGGGGGAAAAAAGTGAAGCCGTTTAACGAAGGAAAAGAGAAACAAGAAACGAGAGAGGAGAGGAAAAAGAATAAGTGAGTAGGCAGGGGGGGTGCCAAAGAGAGGTGGGGGGTCCTGGGAGGGGTGGGAGAGGGGTGGAGAAAGGGAAGCAAAAGTTGGGGATGACGATGGGGGTTAGTGTTGGTGGGCAGGAGTTGAGACGAGGGAAGAAGAGAAGAGAGACAGCAACAATAGACGGGACAGGGGGAGGAAGAAGAGGAAGAAGTATGGATGGTGTAGAGAGTGGTAGTGGTAGTAGTAGAGTGGTGAAAGGTCTACAGCAGGGCGGACGGGGCAAGCAGCAGCAGCAGCAGCGGGGAGAAGAAGAGCATGACCTCTGTGTGTGGGAGTATACCGCCTTGAGCTTTTGCAAGCAAGCAAGCAAAGCAAGGCAAAGCAAAGCAAGACAGATGGAGGGAGGCGGGCGGTGGTGTCGAGAGGATGATGGGATGGGACGAGATGTTGGATGTCCGGGGGACCCATTTTTGCGGCGAGTGCAGGCGAATCAACGCTGTGCTACATCAGCTGATTGACAGTTGCTGCGCGGGACGCAAGGTTCCTCCCGAGGCCTGTCTGCTTCTATTCCTATTCCACCCTCGACACCACGTCTTGCCAGCGAAGCATGCAGACGCAGCAGCAGCAGCAGCAGCAGCATCAGTAGCTGTCTGTATGTAATCTGACAGACAGACAGACGTTGCATCCATCTTTTTCCTTTCCATACCTACATGGAATCGACAACATGCATTTTGCCCTCAATGCCATGTCCTCGTCACCATCTTTTCTCTTCTTCTTCTTCTTCTTCTTCCTTTTTCCCCTGTCTTCTTCCCACGTCAAGCATCCCTTCCTTCATGGGTGTTTCCCCTGCTCTGTTTCCCAATAATCCGACACGCGCGACGGAAGGATCCCGTAGACCCCATCTACGTCGACATGTACAGTATGGTACAGTCCATCTACCGGAAACCAGACCAGGCCCGTCTGACTCGCCGTGGCCCATGCGTCATACCTTTTCACCTCTACACACATGTACACTAACAATCTCTTAGACTACCCGCTGACTACAGACATGGCGCATGCCACCCTTTCACGGCATCCGCACATGACTGCTTCTCCATGCGGTGCTGCCCTGCCCTGCCCTGTGCCGTATTCCATGTCATCACTGCTTTGGCACATCCCGCTGCCAGCCTGCATCATTGTGGCTTGCCACTCCACGTCTCCATTCGATCCACTTCATTCTTCTTTTCGCCCACTGCAGTCGCCCATGCAACTCCCGCCCGGCATCGGCATTCACCACCGCGTGGGGGACAAGCATTTAATCAATGCGTGACGAAAGGAGAAAAAAAAAAAAACTTTGCAGAGCTGAACAGCAAGAAAAAACAAAAAAGACGCGGGGGTTCAAGACACTGCTGTCCATTCGTCTCATATTCCAAAAGCGCATGTAGGATGCAGCTCCCTATTCATTGCAGCTGTACCTGTCCACGCCCGCATGCTCCTTCACCCACATGAGCAGACACGCATGCTGCTTCGTGCGCCCACCCTACGTGGTCATTCATGCATCTGTACCACCTCTTCCCGCCCGCCGTTCGCTTCGTCGCTTCCGTATCTCGGTGCTGCTCAACTTGCCCTGGAAGTCATCCTCGACCTGCTTGCTGCCCTCCTCCTCCGCGTCCAGCACATCCACCTCAAACACCTCCAGCCCCGACCATCCCTTCTCTGCCCGCTTGTCGTTGACTGCTTTGCCTCCGCTCCGCGTCTCCAGCGAAATCACCAGCGCCGAGATGGACTCGTCCGTGATGGTCGGCCCGAACGGATCTTGTATCTCGACGTATTTGATCGTCAGACCCGACGGGTATGTAACGTGAACAGCGCGCCCGTTGGGCCCTGGCTCATCCAACGCTTCCGTGCGGATTCTCCCATCTTGGGCAGGCCCAAATCTGAGGATGCCCGACAAGAAGTCGTGCGTGTTGCGCTGTCGCTCCTCCCAGCTCTCCACAAACTCTACATACTTTTTGTTCCTCAACAACGCGTCGCCCGTGATACCCACCGTGAGCGAGCTTGGTGAGTCCTGCCGAACTACAACAAAGGCAAACATGGTTAGCAGCAGCTTGTGGCCCATGTGCAGATGGTCAAACGTGCCACCCACCGCCACCGAGTGATGGCTGATTGCGTGTCTCACATGTGCTGCAGGCTGCGTGGCTGGGGTGGAACCGTCAACCGAAACAATGCCACCTCGCACCTTCTGCACGTTTTTGCTCTTTGGGGACAAGGACTGGAAATTGCGAGCTAGCGCCTCCCCTTCTTCACTCTGGACCGCAAACACCGTGCTCCAGGGCCTGTCGCATGTCGCGAGCGTGTGCAACTCGACAACGGGGCCCAGGGATTCCTGTTCGGGTCGCGCCGTCTCAGATGCTTGGTCCAGTTTTCCGTCTCGCGGGTAGGCCAGCAGGAGGATGCGGGCATCGACTCCCTCGGCATCTTCAGTGTCGATGGCGTTCTGAGCGGCGATGACACAAATGAGCTTGTACAGGCCAGCCACCAGGTTCTGGGTGTCTGCATAAAGGGGACCGCGCGGGGCATTGATCTGGCCGTAGAGGTGAGGGCAAGGCAGAGCAATGTCCAGGATTGCGCGCTCTTGGGCTCTCTCAGGAGCTCTTGCCAGTTGGCTCAGGACAGTGCGCAGAGTCGGTCCATATGCGGCGTTCAATGATGCAAAGACCGGGGGAGATGGGGCGGGCGGCAGAAGCAAGAGAGCCTGATGGAGGGGTTGTGGGGGGGCAGGCGGCATGGTGACGAGGGGTCGCACAGGGAGAAGCAATGGTGAAGTGCGATGTAGCAGGTTGGGGCTGTAGAGGTAGAAGAAGACGGGTCGTGTTTTCAGGCGTTGCACCGAGTACATGTAGTAGTAGTAATAGTAGCAGCAAACTCGGAAGGCATAATAATATGGTACCTGGGGTCAGTAGCACAGAAGGGGAACAAGCGACGACGATCAAGGAGGAAGTGGGGAAGTGAGAAAGTAAGGAGGGGAGAGAAGAGTTGATTACATTATCGTACGTGGATGGGGAGATGACGCAGAAGTAGGTGAGTGGGTGAGTGAGTGAGTATGAGTGGGAGGGTGTGGTGTGGGGTAGCGATGTCTGGAGGTGAGATGGGATGGGATGGAGGGATGCCAGGTGCCAAGACAAGCTGCCACAGTTCTGGCCATTTGTACCTATGGAAGCCATGGACTGACTGACACATGAACAAACAAGGCGGAGGCTCAGGCATACGCGGCATACAGACCTAGAATACATAGACCATATAGACGTACACTCGCTCATCCACGCCCTCACCCGCCCAAAACATGCCCTTCGGGAACCACCACCACCACCAGAACTCGGCCTTCACCCCCTCGGCCGCCCTGTCGAGTGCCGCGCAGGCTTTGGGCTCCATCGGCGCGCCTCACGGCAACCTGCGCGTTGCAACCTCAGGCACCACCAGCGCTGGCACCGACGCATTCCTCTCGTCGCCCACGCAATCCACACAGGCTCCCCAGCCTCAACCTCAATCCCAATCCCAATCCCAATCCCATTCGCAGGCTGCCCACGCACACACTGCCCCGCCCCAGCAGTCCTCCGGCCTCCCTCCACCTCCTCAACACCAACACCAACATCAACATCATCATCAACAACAACCACCACCACCGCAGCAACATCAGCCGCAGCCGCCGTCCAACGCCTATGACGCACGACGCCCGTCCTCTCTATCCGCCTCCATGAACCAGCAGCCCGATCACTACTCGGCACCTGCCTCCTCCGCCAACATGAACCTCCACCAAAACCCTCCCCAGCCTTCGCAGTACAGCCCTGCGCCCCCGCTCCCGGGCAGCCTTCAGCCCGGTGGAACCCAACAGCAGCAGCAGCAACAGCAGCCATCGCGTCCTGCTCCTGCGACCTCCTATACTGCCCCTTCCGCTGTTCCCCAGGTCAACACCAATGCCCAGCAATATACCCTCCCCACGCGCTCCAACACGAACCAATCCCAGGCCCCTCCATCGCAGCAACAACAGCAGCAGCAACAGCAGCAGCAACAACCTACCTCGCATTCCTACTCGCGCTCCAGTCCCGCCGGCTTGGGTCCCGACCAGAAATATATTCCTTTTTCCAACACGCCTGAAAACCCAAAATATACCGCCCCAACCCCGTCTCAGAAATACTACCCCTCGACCCCCTCGGGCGCGGCTTCCAACTCTCCTTTGGGGCTCGCCGATATCAGACCGCGTGCCCTATCCAACATGAACGAGGATGGTATGGGAACCAGTCCATTCTTTAACGATGCGGACCGCGTTCCTTCAAACAGCAACTACGTCACTCCCTGGCCTGCCTACGCTTTTGACTGGTGCAAATGGAACATACATGGGGGGAACAGCGCGGGCAAAATGGCCGTAGGCAGCTTTCTTGAAGATACGCATAATTTTGTATGTGTTCCGCCGGCCTTTCCATTACAATGCCGCCATGTATTAATACACGACAGATTCAAATCCTAGATACCCACGTCACGCCCCAGGAAACCTCCACCCCTGGCGCTCCGCAGTACGGCCTCGAATACACCCGCGTCGCTGAAGCTACCTGCTCCTACCCAGTCACACGCATATTATGGGAACCGCCATCCTCCCAAAAGCAGAGCACCGATTTGCTTGCGACCTCGGGCGATCACCTCCGCCTGTGGTCATTGCCGCAATCAACAGGATCCACAGCGAGCAACACGATATCAAGAACCTCCTCTGTGAACACTCGAGAACCGCCTCCGCAGAAGCTCACGCCACTTGCCCTGCTCTCCAACTCCAAAACCCCCGAACACACCGCGCCGCTTACGTCTCTCGACTGGAACACCATGTCTCCGAAGCTCATCATCACCTCCAGCATAGATACCACCTGCACGATATGGGACATTCCCACTCTCACAGCCAAGACCCAGCTTATAGCGCACGACAAGGAAGTCTTTGACGTGCGTTTCTGCGCCGGTAGTGTCGATGTTTTTGTAAGCTGTGGAGCCGACGGCAGCGTGCGCATGTTTGATCTCCGGAGCCTGGAACACAGCACAATCATCTACGAGCCGTCGGAGAAGAACCCAGGCGGCGACAAAGGTAAGCCGCGCTCTACCACATCCTCCTCTTCTTCTTCCTCTTATTCAATCCCACTAATCGCATATACAGGCTCGCCCGGAGGCGGACGCATGTCGCCAACCAAAGCCCAGCAAACCATGTCGTACGCGCCCCCGCTCCTCCGCCTCTCCGCCTCCCCCCACGACTCACACCTCCTCGCCACCTTCGCCGCCGACTCCAACCTCATCCGCATCCTCGACGTGCGGCAGCCGGGCCAAGCGCTCCTCGAACTGCGCGGGCACTCGGCGCCCCTCAACTCGATCGAATGGAACCCCTCGCGGCGAGGCATGCTCGCGTCCGGCGGCGACGACTCGCTCGTCCTCATCTGGGACCTCCTGCACTCGCAAAACGGCGCCGTCATCAGCGGCGACTTGGCCGCCGCGCATCCTCCTTCCACCCCGGCTAGCGCTCATCCTGCAAATGGAGGAGCTACCGCTACTGCTCAGGGCGCGGCCGCCGGCGGTGCTGGGAATGCTGCTGCTTCCGCTGCTGCGACGACCGCGTCGGGAGGTGGAGGCGGCACCATGGGTCAGAAGGGCCCGTTCCAGAGCTGGCGCTGCGAGTACGAGGTCGGCAACATTAGCTGGGCGCCGCAGAGCGCGCTGACGGGCCAGGGCGGCGAGTGGTTGGGCGTCTGCGGCGGCAAAGGCATTTGGGGCGTGAAGCTGTAGACGAGTGTTTACTCTTGTTTCAGGGAGGAAAGAATGCTGCTGTGGTGGCCATGGCTGCGGAAGAGTTGGTTTGAAGAGGAATCTTATTTTTTTTTGTGCTTGTTGTTCCTCCCTTTTTCTTCTCTTCCTCTTTTGGTAAACCCCCCTCCCCCCGCGCTTGACTTGACGACGACGATGATGATGCTTGTTGAGAGATGGAGAAAGCAAAATGCGAAGCAATGCAACAACCCCCCCGAAAAAGAAAAAAATTAAAAATTCTCTCAAAGTGAGATCAATACAACTTCCATGTCACCACGACCCCTTTGATGAATATTGCCTTCTCGAGATGATTTGAAATGATGAATTGTTTGTTCCACTACACTACACTACATTATACTGTGTGCTGTCTTTATCCAAGAAGCACAAGATGCAACGAAACGGCTCGAATGGTCCCTCAATCGTCCCTCGATCGCCCTTGACCCTCATCACCACCATCATCCCTCGGCGCATAACTCAGCTGATTCCCGTTATAAAAGTTCTGACCCCCGCGCTCGCCGGCCCTCTGATCCGCCAGCGTGCGAACGCGCACATTGACATTCGTCGTCGGCCCACTACCACCACCGCTGTGACTACCGCTCTCGGCCTGCCAGCTCCCCAGCGATTGACCAGCGGGATTCTGCGTCGACGACGACGACGAAGAGGGCGAGGAAGATGATTGCGTCTCTGTGGAAGCTGCGCCGCCCCCCAGAACAGACGATACCGTGTTTCCAACATACCCCAGCACAGAGCCGGCCATGTTGAACGCGCTCCCCACCAACCCCATGACATTTCCCGCCGCGCCATATACAATGCCACCCGAGCTCCCCGAGTACGCCTCTGTGTAACCCTTGACGGGGACAAGAACAAGAGTCGCCGAGGGTGCGAGGTCGATATCACCGAGCGTTTCCGCTTCATCGCCAGCCGAGAGCTCGCGACTGGGTTGGGGCGCGAGGATCTGTCTGAAGTAGTAGGGCGGTTGTTTCTGGTGTGGGGTTTCTGAAGTTGCCGCTGCGGCTTCGGCTTCGCCATCTACCCAAGGACGAACGTCTGTTTCCAGCTTTGCAGTGCGCGGGAACGTGGAGCGAACGGTGCGGCCGTCGAAGAGTCGGACATTGAGGTGAACTTGCTTTGCCTGCGAGCCTTTGCTACTTCGTGTGGTGAACTGTGGTGTGTCGGATGCTTGTTGGGCTTGCCTCTCGCGTTCAAGTTTGCGGGCCTCTGCTTGTGCTCTTCTTTCGGCTTTGTCTGCTTCTATGTTCGCTTTCACCCGCTCCAGTTCCGCTTTCTCTTCCTGCTTCTTCTTGCGTAGCGCATCTCGAGCAGCTTGTTGCGCAGCTGATTTCTGGGCGCTTGTTGGTGGCGGAGCGGCTCTCTGCTTGCCTTTATCCTTCGCGGTCGGTGGAGGCGTCGAGGATTGTTCGGGCGCGGGCACCGAAGTGGGCGCAGGAGACTGAGAGGTGGGAACAGCTCGCGGTGACGGCGCCGCGACAGGGGGATTTGTCGATACGTGCGAGTTTGTTGACGTTTGATCGTTTGCCGTCGAGGCTGCAGCGGAGCCTGGTATCGGGGATGCACCTAGGACTTTGCGCACTCTATTGACGAACTCATCCTGCGAGATGCCCGCCGAGAGTTGCTCTTTGAGCTGCCCGTTGCTTCACGTACAATCAGTAACCCAGAATCGCCAATCGCGTAAGCCGAATCTGAGAGAAGGCGCGTACTGTATTACAACAAACGTAGGCGTGCTTGATATGGTGCAGAATGCGGAGAGGAAGCCTGCCTCGGTCGAGCCGGCTTCTAGGCGGAGCAGAACAGCAGTCTGTTCGAGTAGGTTTTCTATCTGTTGTTGCAATTGCGCTTCAGCATTCCGTATCCTCAGTAGAGAACAGGAGCACAACTTACCCAACCACTATGTAACCACTCATTCTCCCATTGGGCGCTCTCAGGGCCATCGTCTGGATACCACGTAAGCGGGGATCGAGCGGAGGACAGATGTTGGACGGGACGAACCTCCAACTAGGATTCCAACGAGCTTCTGTTCTTGGATAGCAAGCGTGATGCCGCTCTGAAGATTGCCTTGGTGGAACATGGTTCACGAAGGGTGCGACAAGTACAGTACATGGATTGATTGCTGTTGGGACAAGATTGCCGTCGCCCGTCGTTCATCTCGTGGCACCGTGGGTCTCCGTCCGTAGCTCGGGAAGGCGACAGGGACCAGGGTCCGAGTCCAAGCTTCGGCGGGGGAGCAGCGACGCTGGGCTTGTTATGTAATCACCCAGCACCATGCATGTAGCATTGAAAGTAGTGTACATAGCTCAGTCCAAGGCAAGCAGCACACTACGTATGTACCATTGGACCGATCCACCGCTTCTCACATGTCGCGACATGCAACACATGTGGCAAACACAGGCAGCATGACATGCGCCCTGGTGATGCAGCAGCTGGATTTGGTCGTGGAAAGGAGAAAATTTCAAGTGAATTGCCATGCTAGCTAGCTACAAAGTGCCCAGAGTCCATTGCTCTCCAGTCTGTCCTGCCCCTACAACAAAAGGAGAGTTATCATAGCAGGACCCCAAAGCCACAGATGCTGCATTATCTACACAAGGCGCGCATCATCTTCTGTGGGCTCCCACATTGTATTCCACGCACCGAAACCAGATTGAAAAGGGAGTATATGCTCTGTGCGCTCAAGCTGAAAGCGCCGCCGTGGAGTCGAACCCAACAGGATGCAATCTCTGTGCAATGCCGAGTTACGCCATGGCTCATGCGGCCGACTTGGAAATGGAATCGTCGCTCATCAAGGTTGCTAAGGGGTATTGTATCCAATGCCCATGTCCACACGTCTACACCAGTCACCACCCGCTCGCTCGTTCGCTCGCTCGCTGCTCCATCATAGAATGGTGCACTTCTTGGACTTCCGGGGCGCGGCTGTGGGGCGGGGGCTCAGAACGGCGCTGCATCATGTTAGCGGGTACGCTTGGAGCGTCTCTCAATTCCGAGGCACGTACCGGATCGCCTCATCGAAGACGCTCTTAAGGTTTCGTTGAGTCAGAGCAGAGCACTCGAGGTATTTCTGGGCCTTGATTTCCTTGGCGACCATGACAGCCTGTTCGTACTGGATGGGCGACATCTTCTTCTGGCGCAAGCTCTCCTTGGTGGCTTCGTCGTCCCTGAGATCGAGCTTCGTGCCGACGAGGATGATGGGCACGCCGGGGGCGTGATGGTCAATCTCGGGGTACCACTGTTGCAAGGGTCAGCAGGTGTCCGTGGGTGTTTGCAGATGACATCGGAGCGCGGCTTACCTTGGCTTTGACGTTATCAAAGGAAGGAGGGCTGACGATGGAGAAGCAGATGAGGAAAACGTCGGTCTGGGGGTATGAGAGGGGACGAAGACGATCGTAATCCTCCTGACCTGCAGTATCCCAAAGTCCGAGGCTGATTGGCTTGCCATCGACCATGACATTTGCGGAGTAGTTGTCGAAGCTGCGAGGAGGGATTAGCCCGAGGTGGGAGCGCGGATCGGAGCGACTCGACTTACACGGTGGGGATGTATTCGCCGGGGAAAGCGTTGGTCGTGTACGAGATGAGAAGACATGTCTAGGGCGGGAGCGGTCAGCTTGGATGCGGAGGACACCAAAAGGCGGAGAGGGAGTATTTACCTTGCCAACAGCACCGTCACCGGTCACGACGCACTGGTGTAGAGATTAGTTTGTGAAGTCGGGCAGCGGGGGACGTGGAGGGGCGCACCTTGAGGGATTGGGTGGTGGGTGCAGCCATTGTTGCGATGGCAGCAGGCGGTCGAGGCGGTGTCTAGAGAAAACGGATATGGCGTCGGGTTGTGGGTCGTGTGCGAGGGCGTCCAAAAGAAGGGGACGGGAGAGCAATCTGGGTCGGTCAGTCGAGATGATGATGTTGTTGTGCGGCGGTACGTCGCAGGGCGGAGGAAGTAGCAGAGGAAGCGTCGTCGGAACCAATGCAGGCAGGCGGTGCGAGAGAGAGAGTGTGTGGTGCAGCAAAACAACGAGTGGACGGATCGGGGTGTGGCCGGGCAGGGCAGGGCAGGGCAGGGCGCGGCATGGCAGAGACGGACAGGGTACGCGGGGGCTACTTACTGTAGACGAGAGAGGGTTGCACGGAAGATGGTTGCACGACGGACGGCGGATGCAGCGAAGACGGCAGAGAAGGATGTTGGCGATGTTCCACGGCTTGGCCAGGGAGGTGGACGAGGGATGAGTCGGGGAGGCTGGAGAGGTAGGTGATGGGTAAGTAGGGTGATGTGATGAGGTGAGGTGAGGCGGCGGGCTTGGACGATGGGTGTGGACGGATGGAGTGGCTGGACGACGGGGTGGGAGGCAAGCAAACAGGGCACGGCAAGACAAGACAAGACCAGACAAGCAAGCAAGCAAGCAGCAGCAGCAGCAGCAGAGGCAGAGGCAGCAGAAGCAGCTTATTCGTTAGCTGGGCGGGGATCGTTAGGCGACGCGACTCGCGAGAGGGAGCAGAAGTGGAGAGGGTTGCTTTTGCAGTCAATGCTAATGTAATGCTGTGCTATCATGTGCCTCTTGATTGATGACTCCCCGGGGGCAAGCCGCTGCAAGATGCGAAGAGGTGGTTGGAAAAAAGAGAAGGGCGGAGGCCTGCACGGCAAACCGGAATATATATATATATATATATATATAAAGGTATCACTGTCGCCGCCAAAAGAGCTATACGTTGTTGGTGTTGATGTGCGAGGGGACAATCAGGGTCAAGAGGGGCGGCGGGCGGTAGCGGGGGGACTACCAGCAACAGAGCAGCAGCAGAGATAGCGAGAAGGGGGTATGGAAGGGATGCAAACCAAAATCAAAGACAAGGCCGGTGAATATCGGTGGATTCAGGTGAAGAAAAAAGTGATTGAGATATGCCGCAACGGGAATGCGACATGGGCTCACCATTGGACTTCAAGAACAGCGACCACCAGATATTCTTAGCTATCCAACCCATTATTCATACAAACGGGTGCGTCTTATTCGTCTAGACTCACATCGCGATTCCAATAGGCAGCAACAATTCTACAACACCATGTCTCTCTCTGTACATGTGCAGCGCCAGGGGGCCTTTCCCGTGGGTTGCTGGCTGTATGGGCTGCCTCTGTCCGAAACCCTTCTGCGACACCCGTGCAGCATTCACCATCTGAAGTCGCCTCTCTCTCGCACGTCTTCTGTGCCGTCGTGCTGAGAATCATCTGCCGCCTCTATATCCCGGCACATCCATCCCATCCCATTTCCACAGTGGATGAATACCAACGCGATACATGCTCCTGTATGTAGACATGGATCGAATAGGGTACATACATATGTAGTATGTAGACAGCTCCCCACTCAAATCGCCTACCTGCATGCACCCCATGTGTGTGTGCGCCTGCAGCCAAAGCCACATGCCCAGGGCGAGCAATGCCATCAATCACACCCGCCTACCAATGCTAAACACCACCAGTTGAAATCAATTCAAACTTCACATCTCCCAAGAAAGACCCCGTAGCCGCCGCCTCTCTCCATGGTGCGCCACCCACCCCACATCAGAATCACCTCTCCCGTCGCCCTGGTCCACTCATCTGCCCATTCTCCTTACTCGTCCAGTTTCAACCTCCATCCATTCTGCTTTTCCCTTGGCCCCTTTGATCTCACCTGTCAACATTGGCATCCCACTTAGCCACCAACCATCTCGTCTGATGTCACTCTTCGTATGCTGCCCCAAATAAATAAACACACACCACCGGTCCAACACAAAAGGGTATCATTGTACGACTTTGCCATCTACCTCTGGTCCGCTAACCCTTGCTTGCCATCACCACCCTTCCCGGATGCTCAGTAGAAAACAAAAAGCTCGTTGCCGTCGCCCTCATCCCCCACAAACTCCTTCCGCAAAAGTAACTTGATGAGCGGTTCGTGCAGTTCCTTCATGTCGAGGATGCCGCGCTTCTTCTGGTCAATGTACGACGCATCCACCACAACTCGCTTCAAGTTGGCCGTCGAGAGAGCGTCCTGATCGAGCAGCGCAGACAATCTATCTGGCGTGCCGACGCCGTAATCAATCCTGCATGCAAAGTCAGCAAAACGCTCCAGAGCTGGGCCTTGCACTGTCAGCTTACTTGTGTTTCTTGAGTTGTTGGATTTGCTCGGCAATCTTCATGTGTTTGGCAAACAGCTTTGCGACGTTTGGGTCTTTGATGCCTGCTTTGGGGAGCCCAGTCTTTAGTGATCGGACGACGTCGGCTGCACGAATTCCAGACGCCGTCACCACAATCGTGTGCGGCGCGCCTTTGGGCTTGTCAGGCGTGGGCTCCAACTTTTTGCATTGCTTCTTCAAGAATGCGGATAAACTGTCCGATTTGCGTGGCTCACTCCAGCTGCTGGTGTCTTTGATCGTTCGTGCTTGGGTAGAGTTAGTACATTGACTCGCCTTCGTTCATCGCAACACCAGGGCAGCAGCTTACATGGCACGAACAATTCTTCGAGCTCCACCGAACTCAGATCTTTGCCATATAATCGCGTTCGCGAGTTGATGTAGTCCGCGAGCAACTGGCTGTCCATTCTCTCAAAGGCACGATTGACGCCCAACTCTACATCGAGATCGTCTTCATTGATCGACTTCATCTTCTGCTTCTTCTTTTCCTTGCGCTTCGCCTTCTTGAGCGCTTTCTTGTCGTCATGGCCCTCCTCCGTCTCACCAGCTCTCTTCCTCTTCTTCGAAGTGGAGAGAGCGTCAAACTCGGGCTCAATCAGGGGAACACCCCCTTCTGCCTCGGAATCAGACATGTTGTAGTTTGCGTTTGAGATTGCAACGAGTGATGTCGGCAGACTGGGTATTAGGAAATTTCTCGACATGTGGCTGAAGTGGCGCAGCCTATCGATAAGATAAGATGCGGCTAAGCCGTTTTGGTCTCACGCGTCTGGTGGGTGGTGCATGTCAACACTAACAACATCATCTATACCTCGAGCAATCCTGGGGAGCAGCCACAATTGCCTTCAACCATGTCGGAATCCGCGCGCAAGAAACAGCGCACGAGTCCGCGTACTTCGGACATAACAGATACCAACCCTTCCACCATCTACAATGACGTTGGTATCCCCCCCATACAGTTCGCGCATAGTGGATGCTAACATCGCTTGCAGCTTCACCGATTGGCAGCAATCGCAGCGAAACCCGTCACTCCTTATCGTCGTGCTGCCAGCGCTGGAGCAGCAACTCCAGGAAGCCGAACTGTAAGGACTCCAGGTACAGCCCGCACGCCACGAGGTGGACCAGCTACACGACCGATTCCAAGCAGAAGAGCAGCGCCTACAACCCCCCATGCGATTCGAGCTCTCCGCGAGCGCAAAAATGCCGCCAGAACTCCGGGAAATGCGCGGAGACGTAGTGGGAGGATGCAACGGGAAACCCCGCGAGACATTCTACGAGATCTAAGTAGAGGTGCGTGCGGTTGATCTGTCGGATCGCTGGAGCGAAATACTGACCATGGTTTTATATGTGATATATAGTGCTGGCGCGCGATAAACCACCATCTCCAGTAGTTCCAGCAAGGCCCTCGCGAAATTCCGCTCTCGATCTCCCAGAAATAGACGATGGGCCTGAACCGGCCGCACCCCGCCTTTCTATGCCCCTCGGGGATATGTACGACGATGATGATAGTATTCATGCAGCCCCCCCACGCCAATCGCTTCTCCCACATCTCCCAGACGATGTAGACAATGGCACATTACAGTCGTTGGAGTTCGGACGGCGAGCGCTTAGCGAGGACCCTCGGATGATGTACACAGGCAGGGTCAGCGAGCGATTTGGGGATCTGAGCGAATTGGGCATGGATGGGGAGGAAGTCGAGGTGGATGGTATTTTTGTCAATCGGAGGCGCACCATCAATCCTGAAGATATGCTCGATGAGGTTCCGGAAGAAGACATGGATGATACCACGGCGCAGATGTTGACGGGGCGACGAGGTGGCCGTCCGAGTGATGTGGACTTGGGCATCTTTGGGGAGGAGGATGATGAAACTGAAGAGCCCACGTTTCGCTTCACCATCCCACCTCGAATGCAAGCTCCAGCTCCGAGGACCGACGACGACACTGGCAACGGGAATATCCTGGACCAAACCATCATGGAGGAAGACGAGGATGCGGATGAAGACGCGGAACAGCAAATCTTCGCAGGCGCCGAAACGGAGCAAGACGAAGCCACCGCAATGATTGTTGACGATGACGACCCTACCAACATGCAACAACTAGATTGGGAGTCCGACCCAGGCCCAGACGAAGACGCAGACCTCCAAGCCTATCGTGAAGAAATCTCGGCCATTGACCGCAGTCTGCAAACGCAGTCGCCGGAACGCCCACTCGAGGCGCGCAAACGCGCTGGCCGTCAACTCAAAGTCCTCAATGTGTCCCGCTTTGGGCACGAATACCCTTCTGTACCGGCCGCGACGGTGAAGACGCTCGCGACTGGATTTGCAGCGTCGCAGGGGAGCAAGGCCAAGATTAGCAAGGACACGCTCGAGGCGCTGGTGCAGACGTCTGATTTCTTCTTCGAGCAGATTGGAGAGGATCTAGCTGCGTACGCGCAACACGCTGGACGGAAAGCGATTGAGGAAAGCGATGTCATCGCTTTGATGAAGAGGTATGCATTATCCTCCTTGCTATTCTTTCATGTGTTGCTATACACGGTGGTTTGGTTTGATATACATGCTAACTATACATTTTGTGTAGGACCCGCCAGATCTCGGATAGTAGTACAGTGTTTTCGCTGGCGCAGAAGTTGCTGCCCAGAGAGCTACTCCAGCAGCTTCGTATGCCCCAGAAGCCCAAATTGAAGGGTCCGAAGCGGAAGACGTAAAGGCCATCCGCTGGAATGTCTATGAAGGTGGTATGAAGAAAGAGAACGAAAGCGAACTACTACCATTCGCTGCTATGACGTACACGGCGCTGTGCTCCAGACATGGGCTTCTTCACGACCATGTAAAACATGATTGAGGTTGCGAGACTCAAAGCATACCTAAGAGATGATGAGCGTATGCTGACGGGTGTTGAGGGCGAGAGTAGTGAACATACCATGTGAAGATGTACTGTGTGTGGTTATTCCTCAAGTTGACGGTGGCTGCTCTTCCAATGGGAATTCCTTTAGGTTCGCGCTCGTACGTCGTGAGCAGGTCCGGCGCTATTCACAGTTAGATACCCCAATTCCAATTTCCATTCTCCAAGTCCCACGCATCATCATCATCATCATCACTAAGCCGTGAAAACCAACAAAGGAACGCAAAAAACAACTCACTCATCGTCTCCTCGACCCAAACCGCCTGACTCCCCGTCCACTCAGCCATCTCCTGCACACTGGGAAAAAACCACTTCCCCTCCTCAGGCCTATTAACAGGCGTGAACATATTCCCCTTTGGCGGCACCCTCAACAACCCTTCCACGAGCACCTCCCCCTCAGGCAGAGCCCCCTGCTGGCGCCTAAACCACTGCTTCTCAGCATCCTTCTTAATCCAGCCTCTACAGCACAGAATCTTAGTCTTGACGCCAGCCTCATCGACGCGCTCCAACGGCGTGACAACCGTATACCCTTCCTCGCCGTCCATCATGCGCGGCCCAATCAGCATCTCCTGATCATGCCGTAACCGCCCCCTCGCAAACACTTTTCTGTAATCGAAATCCGCGATCGCGGCGCCGTCGATGCGGTGCGGGAGCTCTAGCGGAGGGAACGTAAGACGGTCTTCGAAGCGCGCCACGAGTTCGGTTTTCTCGCCCAGTCGCTTGACTTGCCAGCACCCCAGCGCGAACGCCGTGAGCGGGATGATGGCGAGGATGATGAGGCCTGGGCCGTGTTGCGAGCCTGCTCGCGCCATTTTCGCCGGCCGGTCGAGGATCGAGACGAAGTTTGGGTCCAGGCCGTTGTTGGTGTCGTTGGCGGGTCGGAGGGTGCTGTGGAAGGTGCGGGTTTGTTGCGGGTGGTGGGTGCGGAGGTGTTGGCGGGAGAGGCATTGTGGGGTTTGGAGGCGGGTTGGCAGGGGTTTTTGCGGGTGGAGGAGGGTTCGGGAGGTGTGTCTTCTGAAGAGGGTGTGGAAGGGGTTAGGTTTCGACATGGTGGGTGGGTTGGTGGATGGTGGTGGGGAGTTTCTTGGGATGAATGGGTCGAGGTTGGATATGGAATGTTTTGGAGCTAGATGACGGGATGGGGTTTAGCGGCCGAGGTAGCTGTCTTCTTTTGGTAGACACCAGCGAACACCTCTAGATTGAACAATGTGTTCATTTATTTTGAAGGTGTTGAAATGGTGAATGTGCGCTCTCGGAAGGAAGAATGATGGCTCCTTTCATCTTTTAGTGCTTCTCTTGTTTGTGTTAGCAGCGTTTCTCTTCGTATGCAGCATTCAGCTGTTCCGGGTTACATGCTTGAGCTCTTGGACGGAAGTCATCGACATTGAGTTGCTATGGATGCATCTCGCCATTGTTTATTCTAAAAAAATACCAATGACTGCGAATATGCCGTTGTAGCTGTGTTAAGGGACCCTGGTTTCACAGCATTTAGTGTTATTTCGAGTACCAATTTCATAGTACGCAGGAGACGTAGACGAGCCATGGTAAACACTGGCAGGCATCGGATGCAAGAATCTTCAACGCATGCCACATTTGCTCATTCCAGAAGCACGATGAAGCTTTTGGCATAATCTTTGAATTTCAATGCGGCAGATCCATTTCCAGGACATGTGCACAAGGAAAATCCACCTTCAAGCTCCAGGCAGAACACAGGCTCCAAAGTCATCATGAAATCAGGGAGTATTGCAAGCGGGTGTTGAAGCTCACGTTATATCCCTGGCTCTAAAACTGACTCTAGGTCTATTTTATCATCATCGCATTTCTATACGGCACAAATAGAGCTGATTCAACTCTTGAGTGACCATGTTGCATCATGCCCATTTGTCACTGGTAAGTTTTCTCACGCATGTTGGACACACCCTACACGCACATGCATGAAGTATTTTTACTGTACTATACGATGATAGTGGCTAAAGAAAAGAAGAACTAAGAAAAGATACCTAACATTTACCGTTCAAGGCCAATTCATTTGTCTACCACAACATGAAAGGCCACATCAAGGGATTTCGCTGACGTTACTGCGGGCGGCCTAGCAGCGCTTAACAGCCAGTCCCCGTCTCACGAGAGACAGGATGTCGGTCAACACCATCCATGATGATCCGAAGCTTATTCTGTTCGTCCTGCCGATTGATTATGCTTGGTGTGTCATCCATTGAGGAAGGAAATGAGGGACTTATTACGATAGGTGTACATATGCAAGTACTCGTATTCTACTTTGGTGCGTCCTTCACGAACGGCGATCCGAAAATATCGATAGGTAATATCCGCTCCCCTTATTCGTAGTAAGAGTAGGCTATGCAAAATATGCGCCTGCTTTTCGCTGACCTCACCTGTGTTGTGGGGGTGGACGTCGCAATGAATGTAGACTTGGTCGGCGTCGGAGAAACATGCCTCGCGGAAGCTTGTCAGCTACTGCTGCCTACCAGTTGTCCTCTGACAACACCATGGCCGGAATTTTCAATTGAGCTTGATTGAAGCCCCATCCTTTCGAACATAACATATTCTCAGTCAAAAACGACGGCCAGCTTCACATTATTCTCAGGGCCAGAAGGGCGGTAATCAGTGCGAAAGCTGAGCATACAAATACCATCCCGACTTTGCAGAACGCCTGCACCCTATTCCGAGCTTGCATCATGGTGGCGGCTCAAGATGAAACAGTCTCGAGGCTGAAAGATGACGACATTGATAAACACGAGCTGGTTCAGAGGCTGGACGAGCTGCTCGAGCAATATCTGCACACGGTGGACGCGTACCAGCAAGCTCAGCAAAAGCTGGCTTCCCACCTATCTGCTGTGAGTGATCCTATTCGGACGACACCTGAAACACGAGCGAAGCTAACGAAGACATGTCCAAAGGGATATATTGCTCTGGCCCATGCAAACTTCAACAATGCATCTGGAACCCGCTATGGCCAGGATTTTTACGATGATCGAATGTCAGCGTCTAGACAAATGTACGTGCGAACATCCCATCGGACTTCACTATACGATTCTCCCGAACTGCAGAATAGCATGATTCGTCCTTTTCATGAGTGAGGCCTTTACCCGGGTGGGTTCGCTGACGAATGCTAGCACGCTGACGGACATGGGGCCTAATGTGAGATTCTCCGTTGACGTTTTCGCCCCCCTTGACCCGCCAAACAAAGAAGCAGACCAACCAAAAGAGAAGGATCAAAGAGGTACGCGTACACATTCGAGCACTGTTCCTGCAGGTTTCGAAACAGCCACAGCCCCGAAAGACCAGGCAGTCGAGCCAGGCATTGAGAACGTGCTCGAACCGAACCATGTCGTGACTCGTCGCGATCCTATTCGGTGGTTCGGAATTCTGGTGCCTTCCGCTTTGCGATCGGCTCAGTCAAACTTCGTGTCCGCAGTCGACGGCCCTCTGCCTCAGATTGCAACATTATCCAAAGATCTAAGACAGCAGGAGATTGAAATAGGACGGTTGAGGAAGCAGCTCAAGAAGATCTGATGTCAGTAGCTGCAATGAATGCATACGACGCCATTGAATGCGTTATTCAGTCTATTCTGGACTGCACCTCGCAGCCGCCTATGAACTACTGCATAACGTACCTCGCATCGCCGTTAACCCAAAAAATAGTATTGGGCTGCCGAATCAGCTCGTGTACAGGGCAAGGCAAGCTAGCGCGCGCTCAAGGTAGTCGACGATTAAAGCGAGGCCGCAAGCTGGGCTGGACGAATCCCTGCAGGGGCAATATGCTCGACCATCTGCATTAAGAAAGTGTTTATTGTTTCACGGATGCCCCTGGACCGTTCGTACCGTTCAAGGTAACCGTCGTCCAAATCTAGTATTGCAAATGCATCCCGCAAAGTGCTTCGAGCTCAGAGGCGCATAAGAATCTCACGCTAAACGCCCAAGAAAAGGAACGTTCCGTTAGCGAGCCCCAACGTACGCGCGAGAAAGAAGACATGTGTTGGCCGCTATTTCGAACAACGACCAAGCCGCGTGGAGACTCAATGCTTTGTCAAGCATAGCCGCTGATGCCATCTCTGTCCATTGGGTGAAAGAGGCTCACTGACAGAAAAAGAAACCGGCGGCTGAAAGATCAGCAAGAACAAGGCATAACAAAGAAGCCACTGGAGGACGGAAACAAACAATGGTGACTGACTCGGACATTGCTTGGACCAGGTCGGCATTCTGAGCACAGCGCACCACCCCACAGTGACGGGAACAAGGGTTGCCAAAGTCCGGAACAAACACGCTAGTCCCTTTCGCCGACCTATACGAACAAAGTCACGATTCTGTATAAGAATGCTTTCGCTCCGCCAGCATTTTTGTCCTTCACGGAGCTCTCACTTTCTCTTCTCTGCCTTTTTGTTTCCATTGAATCTTTGCAGTCACTCGTTAAAGCTGCTTACACACTCTCGTTAACATCAACACTTAATTCATCATGTCCGGCAAGGCCATCTTTGCCCTGTCCGCTTTGAGCGGCTTGGCTGCTGCTCTTCCTGGCTATGAGGCCTACCAGCCAGTCCCCCCACCCACATACGGCGGAGGAAAGTCCTCTGCTTCCGTCCCTGAAGTGAGCAGCGTCTCAAAGCCTGCCTACGGTGGTGACAAGTCTTCTTCCATTCCCTCAGTGAGCAGTGCTACCAAGCCAATTGGTTACGCGCCCTCCTCTGCTGTTCCCTCTGCGTCCATCTCGCAGCCCACCGAGGGACTTGAGAGACCCACTGGTTACAAGCCCAACTTCCCTTCGGGCGTCGCTAAGCCGTCTGGAACGGGTAGCGGCCCCATCTACGGCGGAGGATCCATGACCTACTCCCCTCCTACTGGAACTGACGTGCCCGTTATCCCATCCCACGGCGCTGGCGGTGCGGATAACTGCGTTAGCTACACCACTGTCACCTCGACTTCCATCTACACTTCTACTCAGATCGTGACAGTTACTTCCACTGCCTCTGGCGCTGGAAGCACCGATGTTGCCGGTTCAGACTCTCCTACCTACGGCGGTGGTAACACTCCTTCGACTACCCCAGAAGGCAGTGAAGACACCGAAGACGAGACTATCGGTGGCGGAGATGACGAGACCATTGGCGGAGGAGACGATGAGACCATTGGCGGAGGCGATGACGAGACCATTGGCGGAGGCGATGACGAAACCATTGGCGGAGGTGACGACGAGACTATTGGTGGAGGTGACGACGAGACTATTGGTGGAGGTGATGACGAGACTATCGGCGGAGGTGATGACGAGACTATCGGCGGAGGTGATGACGAGACTATCGGCGGAGGTGATGACGAGACTATCGGCGGAGGTGATGACGAGGAGTCACCATCTGGATCTACACCAAACACTCCAAGCGGGCCTGGCGGGGATTATGGAAACAACACTCCCAGCAACCCCCCTACCCCTGGCCAGAACGAAGAGGAAGACGAGGGCGAAACCCCTGGATCAAGCACTCCTTCTTCCACTCCTTCAACTCCTGGAGGCAGCTACGATCACGTCACTCCCCCAACTGGAGGACGTCCCCCTTACGGTTCTCACAATGGCACCATCGTGAAGCCCAGCGGTCACGGTGGATACGGTCCCGGCCATGTCAAGCCCTCTGGTAGTGTCCCAAGCGGATACAGCTCCGTCCCTAGGCCCTCGGGCCCTCCCGTTTACAACGGTGGCTCTTCGGCAATCTCTTCTGCCACTCGCCCTGGATACGGTGCCCCCAGCTCTGCCGTTGTTCCCTCGAACTCTGCCCCTGTTTCTTCGGCCACAAAACCTGCTGAGAGCGGTCACTACGGTGGTGGTGCTCCCAAGCCCAGCTCAACTGGTGGGTACAACGCTCTTCCCGTGCCTTCAGGTCCTCCCGTTTACGGCGGTGAATCTTCAGCGGTTTCATCTGCCACTCGCCCTGGATACGGTGGCCCTAGCTCTGCCGTCTCTTCTGCCACTCGCCCTGGATACGGTGGCCCTAGCTCTGCCGTCTCTTCTGCCACTCGCCCTGGCTACGGTGCTCCCAGCTCTGCTGTTGTTCCCTCGAACTCTGCTCCTGTTCCTTCGTCGACAAAGCCTGCTGAGAGCGGTCACTACGGCGGTGGTCCCAAGCCTAGCTCAAGCGCTCCTGGTGTTCCCCAGCCCAGCTCAAGCGCTCCCGGTGGTTACAACACTGTGCCTGTTCCCACCTCAACAAAGCCCGCCCCCGGTGGTTATGGCCAACCTAGCAGCGCTCCCGCTGGCGGCCAATACGGCGGTTCCCCCGCTCAGTCCACGCAACCTGGCTACGGATCTCCTGCGCAACCCACTCAGTCTGCTCAGCCCGGAAACAGCTACCAGCCTGGAAACAGCTACCAGCCTGGAAACAGCTACCAGCCTGCTACCCCTCCCAAGGGCTACCGCATGCTCCGCGCTTAAGTCATGCCCTTGAATGACTTGTCACGCATGAAAGGGAAGCAAAAACGTAATTTTCCCAAGGCGTCAGCATCAACACTTGCATATATCAAATGAGCGAACTCTGGTCTGCTTTGGCGGGAAATCTTTTTGGTTTTCCTATGTTTATCGAAGGTATCTTTTTTTAGTCATGTTGCGTCTTTTTTTTTTCTAGTTCATAACCTTCTGTAGAAACCAGTTCTTAATTTTATATGTGCATGAAAACACAATCACACTCTTTTGCTCCCCTCTTCTCTCGTGTGGCTCACAATATGTTTGGGTGACGATGTTGATGATGTCTTGAAATTATCCATCACGATACTCGTTCACAACACAGGCACGCCGATGGGATGGGTATGCCCTCAAAACCCCAGGAAGTAAGTACTCGCAAAAACGCGTTTGATGCCAACTGGCGGTGGCAAGGGGCACGCGTGACTATCCATTCTCTCCCCTCCGGCCCCCCTTTTGCAAAAGAACGGAATTTATCGATTTCCTATTAAGTCAGTCTCCAGAGGACCGAGCTTCACCCCTCCCCCTTGATCAACACCATTTCAAAGCACTTACTCAAGTCACCAAGACTTCACAAACGAACATGCAGTGTCCCTAGTAATAAAGCTGGACAGCAAAATCAAACATGACAGCTTCCAGCAATGAGCCGCGAATTCACTGTCCTTTGGATATGTATGGCGTGTCGGGATGTGGTAAGCACAAAATCGTCACAAAATGAGTGAAACTTTGTGTGATGGCTAGCGCTGTTCTCCTGGATTATGATCGTGGCTTGTGGATATGTGTGTGTGTGTGTGTGTGTGTGTGTGTGTGTGTGGCAAGTCCATCGCTCCTGTTGGGAGCATTCACGTCTACTGTGTACAAGCACGGGGAGGGAACCAAAAACTTCGCGATTAGGTAGGTATCCTGCGTTCCTCGTCGCGTGCGCTGATTCACCCGTGGGAGGAGCGAGTAGTAAGCTACGCTACGTTTTTAGCATGCATTAACGACGTGACTGTGCTTCGTGCTTTCCCTTGACTTTTAGTTGTTTATGCGCATATGCTTTGGTTGTTGTGGATGACCTCTATGTATATAATCTGGCAGCGCTTTGATATGGCTAAGATTGTTGGCGTTGAGAATGTTACGTCCTGATTACCTACGAATTTGAGTACATGCGCTTATTATTATGTCTATTTTTTTAGGTCTTGCGATGGTGATGACGCTCATCAGAAGCGGTATTATCATCACATGTTCTACTAAAAGGGAATGTGCATGACAAAGGAACGCTCCTGCATTCCCGACTTCCTCTCATCTGTTGTTTTTTCGATCCTTTTGAAGGTATTATAACAGTGACTCTAGTGTGTAGAGAAGAGGAGAAGAAGAGAAGGAGTGCGAGAAAGGGGGAGTTTATATACCTTTTTTTCTTGTGTTACGTAAGTCCCGTAGGCTGTTGTAATCATAATAATGATGATGATGATAATGGCTGGGTTCATCATCATCGTTGTTATTAGTTTGCAGCTAGAAAAAGCTGTTAGATGTGAGCGCACAGGCGACAGTCGCTATACGCGCACATATGCCGAGTTCTGTCCAGTTGTATTTAAGATATGTTAAAACACCAAAGGTCATGTGCAGAGAAAGGAAGATGTAGTAAAGGGTTCAAAGAGGAGATTTATATAGCCGTTAGTTTGTGGAACATAGTGTGCGATGATAACATCAATGTGTATGTTTTTGGTGGGATGTTAGCAATCATCATGTTTTTTTCAGATCAAAAATCAAGGGTCGGACATGTTGCTTTTCTGGGTCAGATACTCCGCACATGCAGGTTTCGAGAATATCTGTCTTAAGTGTAAACTGTGTCATTGGTGTAGAAACAGAGGAGGAGAATGAGGAGGAAGAAGAGGGGGTTATATACTATTCCTAAGAGCACTAATCTCTATTTACCCTAACAACGATGATGAATTCCAGTAATGGATTTGTGATTATCATTACTGTTACATTGCTTCCAATGAATGGTTGAAAACATGTACGTCTTAGGTAGCGCCATAAAAAAATCCCCCTACACATAGGCAATTCGGGTTGTTTCTTTGTTCAGGCCAGTGCGTGAATTCAAAGTTCAAGGGCAGCTTGAAGAGAATAGAGGAGTATTAAGTTGGAACGGTTTATATACTTAATTGCTTGTCAGCTACATAGGTTTTGTGTAGCTACAAATCGCATAATGATTGCCATCATCGTCATCGTCGTTGTCGTCGTTTTCCGTAACAGAAATTCCAAGTTTATGTAAATGTCGTTCCCACTTCCTCCCACACGAAGTGCCCACATGCAATTTCTGTGATTAACTTTCTTTTTGTAGACCTATGCAAAAGCACAGTGATCTTGTAAGGAGAAAAGAGAGATGACGACAGACGGAGGGGGGCTCATATAATATTCTACTGACTAATCAAGGTATTACAGACTCACAGTCATCTTCATCATCATTATCATCGCTGCCATCAATTCAAAATGAAGAGGCAAGAAGAGCTATATGTTTCTTCTCACCGCTGCGCACACATACGTACCCCACATACACACCTTGTTTTAGCTGAGCATGTGCAGATTACATGGTGTGAAAGTTAGGAGTGATGGAGCGTAGAACAAAGGAGGATTTAAATACATTTTTCTGTTGACTCGTCGCGGTGTCTTCATCATCACCATCATCACTACCGTAGCTACCGATGATTTTTATTTAAAATCCGAAGGACACACATCGCAACTCCCTCCACTATGTTGTTCCGTCGCACTTAGTACAACTCGAACATCAGTTGCGTGTAAGAGGAAGAGAAGAAAAAGGGAAGTCAAGACAGACAGGAGGGGTTTATATATTCTTCGCTTACTAATATAATGTTAAACAGTCGTGATGATGGTCATTGTCATCCTCATCGTAATTGATACACGGGGTCAAATAGCGTAGGCAGACTTATGATGTATCTGTTCCTACAGGCAACAACAACATCTGGGTGGCGTCAAGTAGCTTTTGCTTAGAGAAAGTACAGAATACGTGTAGTGATGAGAAAGCTGAGGGAAACTTGGGAAAGAAGGGGGTTTATATACCCATCCTTCTGCCTTTTTTACTCATAATTATGATAGTGATGATGCATAACATTGCCATGAAGCTTGTCGAGAACTCTAACCTTAGTTAGTAGCTCTCCTTCCTGCCAGAAACAGAGAATGGCGAATATGTCCCCCTTTTATAAGTAATGACTTGCGTAGAAGTATGTGGCCACTGGATCGTTGGGACGTCGTATACGTCACTACGTCAAATGCGCTCAAGAAGTATGTGTGTTATGTGGATGGAAATATCAGGAGAGGGCAAAAGCACAAGATTTTGATATTCCTTCGGCCAAATTATGTAAATTGAGGTAATGACTAACATCGGCATACTGGATTAGAAAACGGGGATATTCCCTTTCCTCGACGCCCGCAACATGGATGGTGGAGTTTTGATTTTTGTAGGTGTTCGGAAGCACGGAAGTTGTGCAGAGCGACAAAGGAAAAGGTAGAGCTAGATAGATCAATTATACCTACTCACTTACTCTTTGGACGACAGTGAAAACGCATCGTTAGCATCGTCATCACGCAGATTTACTAAAACACGCTTGCCCCTTCTCGGTGCCTAACGCATAAAGAGAAAGTGTCTATGGTGTATGCAAATATGCATAGCGACGATGCGGAGAGAAGAAGGGAGTAAAGAAAAGTCACTCTGACAATGACTCTTCTACTTGCCAATTTCAACTGAGTTTATGATTTAATCATCGCATTTTTATGCGGCACAAACACTGGGTATTGAAAATCACACGATAAACCTGCCTTTGAGCTCCAGGCAGGACAACACATGTTCCGTGGTTCACGAAACTGATGCCAATTTCAACATCTAGTTTTGAGCATCAACAGTTAGAGTATTCATCATTATCACCACTGACACTGTCAAGTAAAATACCACCAAATACGTATGCGAAGCTTCTCGCTCTGACAAACACATGCTGTAGCTATGGGGGGACGTCTAATAAATTTTGTGTCGTATCAGCTTAGCATTCACGTAGAGAAAGATTAAGAGTGTGGTCTAAAGGGTATTCGTACACACGTCTATGCGATTGTAACATCACCAAAGCTGCACAAATGATATCTAACATCATTATCATTATTTTCAGCTTTCTTATCTTCCAAAAGATCAAAGCGTACATGTATACACGTCCTGATCTCACCAGGACATCGCCGATATCTCGACCTGTTTTTAATTTGCAGTGCAAACGGATTCCGTAGCCCTGAAAGTAAAGAAAAAAGAAAGGAGGATGAGGAGATAAGGAAGCTTTATATAATGCTAAGTCCATAATCAGCTTATGTCAGAGTGGTAGGTCTATGGTGATGAAGATGGTTACTATTATTGCGAGTTGTTTCATAGTGACCTTCAGACGTACACGTCAGGTCACCAACCACTCAGCCACATACATAGTCCAGAAGCTTACTTCAGCTTTCCTCGATTAGATGCCAACTAGAGTACAGGGAAAATAATATAGCGGCCAAGAAGAGGACATACATACTCTCCTTCAATAGCCAGTTCTTGACATTGTAGACATGTTAATTATCACCATCATCGTCTCATTTTATACAAAAGTTGTCTTGGATGTACCAAAAGCCCGTCGAAAAATATGCCATGTAGCACGGGCCCGCCCGCATGGGGATTGGAAGTTGGCACTTATAGCGCTCATATCGCGAAGACGAGGCCGTGGTGAAGGAACGAAATTAGAGAAAAGAGCGCCTGCGGTGGGAAGGGGTTAATATGTCTACTCTCTTGGCCCTAGTCCCGAATTGGCTCCCCCGGCTGCTCTCTCATCGTCATCTGCATCTGCATCATCCCACGGAAAGGGATAGCTTCAATGGCTATGAGTTTGTATCCAATATCTGTACGCGAGTCCTTATCTACCGAGGCGATCTTTATTGTTGATTGAAGGCGTGCCGGCATCAGCGTATCGCTGTTCATTAATCCCGACACAGACACTGCAACTACAACCAAAAACTCTGTACTCTACCCAAAAACCTCCATATCTAGATCCTTAGGCATAGCACATATCGTGTGGTCGACGCCGCACTTACATCTGGGTTGTCACAGGAGTTCCACCTCGACGAACAATAAATTTCCTAAACAATCTCCATCTCCTCAGTCATGCTAGATTGCCAGGCCTCGCCATTCATAATGCCAGCGACGTAAGCTGGTCCTATTACTTCCCATCTATTGCCCTTGGGACGAATGATCGAAGCGTACTTCCCCCCACGTAGCAATGCAACACTGTCACCTATGCGAGATTCCAGAGGTATCCTAGCTAGGCGCCCACCTGTTGTTCGTGCAAGCCTACAGCCCAGAGCAGATACAATGGTTACAAGATGTGACTTTGATCTTGACCGAATGAGACAGATATATGCAAAGAAGCCCAGTATCATGTTGTATACCGTGATTGTACCAACACTACGCCCGAAAACCCGCAGAAAAGCTAGACGCCGCAGCCAGGTTATCAATAGGCGCCAATTCTTTTCGTATATCTGAATAGAGGTTTCCAGACTCTCAATGTAATCGCTAACTTCCATGACTTCTTGGTAGATCTCTCTCTCACGTTTCGTTGGATGTGCAGGGTCCGCAAAAGCCAATTCCTCCCAGCTCAGTAATGCCGATACAAAAACACTGACGCGAAGGCACGTATTGACGAACAGATGAAACCTCTGAACTAAGGACATGCTAGTGCGCTCTTCACTAAACAGTCTCCATTTTTCCTCGTCGTCATCGGGCAGCTCTCCATAAAGCGGTTCACCTTTTGATGCGATAGTATCCACGACGTACCCCTCTAGTACCAGTACAGATCCATCAATCAAACGCGGGACGCACATCTCACTTTCTGGACATGCGCTGAGAAACAATAGGTCTGAAGTAAGAGTACTTGTCAAGTGCGCGATAGCCAAATGTTTCGCAAAGGGACTCGCTGGACCCCATGAGTTGCTCACCCAAGATGTGAAGGGATCGTAACTCCAATCGGGGACCCAAGAAGGAAGACCTTTCATTCGCATATCCGCCCTTGACTTCAACGCAACATCTTCAAGTAGCCTGACACTGCCGGAGTGCGTCATGATTGTCAATGCTGCATCCTGGTAACACTCGGCTACTGAGAGCCTATAGTTCGGAACAATCGAAAGACCTTCCTCGTGTGGATGTAGATTCGCCAGACCTATGATGCCGTAAATCTTGTCCTGAGGTACAGATGCCCTGAATGAATTGGTGAAAGTTGTCATCCGACGCATGTCGAACGTCGAAATAAAATCCTCAGTCTCGTATGAGTCTTGCGAATCTTCCGAATCATCCGAATCGTCGGAGTCGTCCGAATCGTCCGATATTTGCGCAAGAGACTCGTTCCCTTTACGTAGCCCATCGAAAGTGAGCTTTAGAAGGTAGAGACTTATACAGCAATCAATCCAGGGCGTTGCACCAATGTGAGTGAGCATGCCCCCAGCACATATGGCAACAACGTAACCGGAAGAGAGATCGTCCCAGGACATAGTTTCATGACCACATATCAGTGTGACAGCTGTGTTCACGCAGACTTCCTGGACGACCCAGAGCCTTGTCCACCAAGGTCTTTCTAATATCGCGCGCAATGCTGTGACTTCTTGAGCTCGCAGCTCAAAGCGCTCATCGGTCTCAATGTCGTCATTCTGCGCAACTTCTTGTGTGTTGCGTAGCCGCTGCATCGTCTTCCTGTAAGGTCCCAGCTTTAGCGCGCTCATTCGATCTTGATTCCAGCGCTCAATAATCTCAGGCGAGTACCCGCTTAGTCTCCGCAACGTGCTGTATGCTAGGTCGCTGTTATCTGTAGCTGGCCCAAGCCAGACTAAAACGCGCTCTGCCCGTCTGTAAATGTCGCGCATGAGAACCACTTGGGCGGATTGCTCGTCCTTATCTACTTGATTGATGCATATTGCGTCTATCCATAATGTACGGTTGCTTTTTGGATGTCGCAAATGCTGGAGAGCTACGTGAAGATTATCCGTGACGGGGAGTTGATGCCCATCACACACAATCTGCTGCTTCTGCGTGGCATCTCCCCAGTAATATGAGAGAGCTTCGAAAGCCGGAGCAGTCGCTAATTCAGTTGTAGTGAGGGAGCAACACACTGAATCGATTTTGGATTCAGCGGGGAGAAGTGTAAGAAGTCGTATGTGTGGCTGTTCATGTTCGACTATGCAGTCATAGAGTGAAGCCATCGCAGGAGTTCAAGTCGTGAGGGACGCAAAACGAGGCTTCGTAGGAAGGATCCAAGATAACCGTCGCGAAAGGCGAGCTAGTAAGGATGTATCTAGACTGCTAGAGCCAAGGCAGAAGTCTACGCGAAAACCTAGTGGCGATTGGGCATACCACAATCTTAAACACGATCTGGAACATAATCCTTCGAATATCTGCTTTCCGAGATTTCTAAACATCGAGCTCCAGGGCAACTTAGAGTATAATAAGACCAAGATAAAGACTGGAAAAGTTGACAATGGGAGAGGGAATCTGCAGAGCGCACGTGCATGATCACTAGTCACGTGATATACATAAAAGGTATCAGGGGTTCACGATGCTGGCGATATCTTACCTCGAACCTGCTTTGTGTCATATAAATCGTCATAAAATACTTTTAGCCTCTTCATTCCGGAGCCTGGTAGCCTTTTGAAAAGTAGCATTACAGATCCTAGCCATCTGGTTTGTCATATAAACTCGCATAGGCACTTCCATACTCCTTCAGTGGCGGCTGGTTTGTGTATTTAAGTTATGTGCCGCATATAATATGCGATGATCTCATAATAGACTCAGTACATTTCAGTTACGAACATATACTTTGTATATACTTACCTAATTGGAAAAGAAAGTGTGACATTTTGCAACACCTTGTTGATTGCGATGACCACGCGTTATGGAGAAGGCGTAGCGAGAAAATAGAACTCAACACACCTCTTTTACCTGTTTGATCGAGGGATAAAATAAGATGTAAGATAGATTAAATTACCAAAGTTTTCAATATGCTTGGAAGTACTTGATTTAGCTCTAAGGGTCATTAGAGGGTGTGTAGATCGTCGCATGCCAGAGAAAAGTCATTCAGACGCAACATAGTTACATGACCTCATAGTAAAGTCATCGTTAATGCCAATAGAACAAAGATCACAATAAGTATATATAAGTGCTAATTGTTTAAGAGAGATCGGAAGAAGAAGTACAAGAAATAAGGTTAACGCAATAAGCCGAGAAGATCCAGATTGCAATCGAGTTGACCGTCGTAGCACCAATTGGAATAACCATAGTTATGAAGGGTGCCACGCTCCAGAGGATATGAATCTAGCACCTCCTGACATCATTCTTGAAAAGACCGCAATTCTTTTCGCAGATTCTAACGTCGCTCTCCCTAACAAATTTGTATGCAACATAATCGTCGGCGATTGGTTGAAATGAGAGGCGGCAAGAATTCCCACCGTTAAGATCTGTATTCATGGCTTTCTCTCTTTCGCCACTCTTCTCATCCCGCGTCCGGCTTGAGGAGTTGCAGAAACCAAAGGCAAAGCCGCGACAAATAGACCAGTAGCATTGATTTCCAGCCGTTCGTAGTGTCCTAGTCCCGAATAATTTGTCGAAGTCGGAAACGGCATTTTTTAGATCGTCATTCGTGGCACCCTGGTAATCACACGACCAGCCGACCCCTCCTGTACTGCCTGCCCCACCTTTTGGTCTTCTTGCTTCAACACCGCTGGAAAGTGCGAGCGCAATCGCAAGTACTGAGAGATCGCCAAATAGCTTCTGGGCTTGGTTTAGTCTTAGCCAACTAATTGTTTCCTTGAGAAGACTTACCATATTTTATGGTCCCGCAGTAGTATAGATAACTTTTGTGAAGGATTGTAAATTGATGTTTGGATTCGATTTGGTGAGGGTACACAATTTCAAGATCGTTTTCTTGTCCCCGAGAGCTGAGTGGCATGCAGTAAGTCGACGGCCTGTGTGATCAACTTCAACTGGGGACTTCTGATGAATTTATATTTTCATAAACTATGATTGCCCAGAACGAATTCTAGTGTTTGCCTTATTTCAGTTAATGAAAGTGTCACAAACGTTATCACATATACTGGATTCGTCGTTCTTCGGCTATTAATACAATGCCAAATCAGCTTAGCATCTTTACAGAGATATTGTCCGGTAATTAGACTTGGTATATCTTGGCAAGATCTTGGTCGTCCGCAGTCAGCCCCATCTAGTATGAATGCCAACTTGGCGGATAAAGGATGTAGTCTCTTGCAGGGCAAGCCACGCCCTTGCCATAGGCTGGCGAATGGGCTATACATAACTATAGCTGGGTTATTTAGTTATAGTTATAGCTATTATAGTTATAGTTAGGGCTTAGCTATAAAAAAAAGGGTTATAGCTAACTTATAGTTATAGTAATCTAAAAATAGATATAGTTATAGTTAGAGTAGCTTAAGCGTAAGTTAAGGTATAGTTATAAAGTTAGCTTATAGTAGTATTTACTAGCAATATAAACTAACTAGATATATTAAGTATAGACTTACGTATAGCCTATATTTTTAAAACTATACTTAAGCTATAACCTTTTTTTTTTAGCTATACTTACACTAAAAATATTAGCAAAAATATTATATACGCATATGCGTAAAATGCGTGTAAAATACGTAAAATGCGTATAACGCACACTTATATATAAATATATAAATTTTACGCATATAACGCGTGTGTAAAGTGTTTTTTACTTTATATGCATTTATGCCTACAGTAGGCACAAATGTATATAATAAAATAATTAAAAAATAATGCTAAATTACGTAATATTTAGTTACGTAACTTTTAAAAAAATTAATTTAATTATATAAGAATATTAATAAATAAGCTTATAAAGCTTAATAAGCTTAGTAATTAGCTTTAAAGCTTTAATTTAAATAAGAAAAATAAAGAAAGAGTTTTTTTAAAAGTAGTATTAAATTAACTAGTAAATAAAAAGTTATAATTATTTAATATTACAGTACTAAAATCTTAAGTTGCGTTATATTTTTTAAATAAAAACTTTTAAATTATAACTTTTCGCTTATTTAAAATAAGCAAAAAATAGTAGCTTAGTAAATATTTTAAATTAGATTTCTTTTTTCTTAAATAACTTTTTTAATATTAGAGCTATTAATTTTTTATTTAAAATTATAAACTTTTATAACTTATAATTATATGCTTAGTAATAGAATATTAGTAATTAGAAATTTTTACTTATTAAAAATTAAGATTTTAAATAACTTTCTAATTATTAGCTTATTTTAAAAAAAAAATTTTAAATAATATACTATAAGCTTAATAGTATTTATAAATAAAGTAATTAGATTTTTTTCTTTATTAATAAAAGCTATAGCTTAAATATAAATATTTTATCTTTTAAGCTTAATAACTTTTTACTTAATTAAGTTTTTAAAGTTTTTATTTAAGTTATAAAGCTTATATTTGTTAGAATTATAGAATACTTATAGTCTTAGCCTATTATTTAGTTTATATTACTACTTAAAGAGAGTAGGCTAGAGTAAAAAACGCCCTAAGTAAGCTATTTATAAAACTTAGTTATATAAATACTTATAAATAAGTAACTAACTTTACTAACTAATAAAAAGTTACTTAATAATAAGCGCACTTTTATAGTAAAACTAAGCTTTACTTACTATAAGTACTTATAAGTAAGCACTTATAAATAAGCGCTTATTAGTTAGTAAAAAACATTATATATATAATTAGTAAATAAAAAGCTTTTATAGTTTTTTATATTTACTCTAAGTTATAACTTACTTTTTAAAAATATAATTTAGTTATTACTTATACTTTTATCTTTTATTATTAAGTGTTACTTGTTAAGCTTATCTATAAAAATTAACTAGAGATCTCTAAGACCTTAACAATATTACTTATATTTTAATATAAAGTTATAATATATACTAGTTTATTAGCTAATTAGCTAGTAATAAAGCAGTGCTTATGACTAGCTTAATAATTAGTAAAAAGTACTTTTTTTTATAATAATATAAAATTTATACTTTTACTACTTATATTTTAAAATATTAAAAGTAAAGCTTTATTAAATAAAAAGTTATTGAAAACTTTATTTTTTATATAGCTTTTGTTTAATAACTTAGCTAATATAATAAAAAAAAATTTTTCTTTATTTTTATTACATTTATATATATATTTAATAATTTTAAGTAACTTTTATAATATCTTTTTAAATTAGCGGTAAATTAGAAAAAACTAAATAATTTGCTTAATTTTTAATATTTCTAAAAATTCTTTAAAATTTTTAAAGTTTATTTAAATTTATATAGTGTGTAAAATTTTTAAAGAATTTTATAAAAAAATAAAAAAGTTATTAAAAGTTTTACTATTTTAGCTAATTCTGTAAAATATACACGTTTGTGCTTAAATACGCATGTTTGTGCATATATGTGCAAATTTGCTAAATTTTGCACCTATCTAAAAAAAAACTTTTGCTGATGTTAACTATACCTGTAGGTTTGGGCTGGGTTAGGGCTGTCACGTGACATGACCATACCATAACCAAAACCTGACCCATTTACCACCCTACCTTGCCAAACCAATCGTTGACATTGATCGTCACCGAGTCAGACAAGCTTTGATATCCACAATACTGTATACCCAGTATGAGCAATCGGGCGAGCTTTTGCAGAATATATGAGTATTGGCTTCAAGAATGATGTTGTATGTACTGCAGCGCAGTTCCGTGATGGGGCCAAAAGTGGCTGTCAGCTGACTGCATCAAGCTATGCAAAGCCCAGATCAAGTACGCGAACATTACTTCGACGTATGCTGATGCTGTATTTAATGGCCAAAATCGAGCAATGCAGCTAGGTGAGCATAGCCGCAACCAGTCTTGTGAATGCGTCACGGCCCGTTATTGATGAGAAGACGCCACTAGTAGCAGTCAGCGACAAGCCCTCAACTTATACAGATACGTCAATGGCCAAGATTTGTCTCTGAAATGGAGTGGATCAGAACTTCGCAAGGTGGAATTCAATAATAATATCAATCTTTTTCAGTGTCGATAAAATGAAGATGCCGAAGTCACTTTTTTGATTAATCGGAGCAGGAGCACAATCAATGATATTTCCCATAAGTATCAAGTACGAAGAAGGTCACGCGTCTCTCTCGATCAGCTTGAAAGGTGTTCTAGCGCTGTTGTGTATTGACCCCGTGCTTTTTTCCAGATCAGACAATTAGTTACAAGCCTTGGAAGTATTTGGTTTTACTACTCTCCCTAGACACGAGACAACGCTGAGCTAAAGTATGACCGAGGTCGCTCAAGACGAAAGCCCGTATTCTTCTTCTTCACGCTCTTTTTTTCAACCGCTTGTTATCGAATCCTCAATCCGTATGCTAAAACAAGTTTTTCAGCGTAGCTGCCCTATTATTCAGCACGTTAGTGAATCATCGCATTTCTACGCGGCATAAACACTGGGTACTATGAAACACGTTGAATCTGCGCTCGAGCTTCAGGTAGACCTGCCCCGATATAGTTTCCGAGTATTTGACTATGAGCTAGAAGAAATCTGGAGTAGTGTCAAATTTAGCATTCATCCCATCTTCAAACTTCTTTTTTAGCGGTTACCAAATCTATCGTATTCAGACAGTTGAGCCTATGATCTTTTGTCGAGGCTATCGAAAATGGGAAACACCTATTTTTTCGCAATGCATTACTTCTGTTCTGGCAGGATTTAGACTCATAACACATATTATAGGTGTCACAAGGTGCAAGGTACGTGAGGGCAATATAGTAGTGTACTAGATGATGAGCTAACTAGGGCTTGACGCCTGCACATGTGGGTTATACACATGTGCATGTAGCTCACTAAGGTCTGTGCTCACATCACGTGACCTTACCATCACAATAGGATCTTACAAAGCATACCTAAATTTTGGACGACCATAATATCAAAGCCACGAATGGGCCACGCGGAAACATGGTGATTTTTTTCTAATGATAGATGATTAGGTGCTAAGATAAGACATGAATAAGCGCATATTTCTACGCGTAAGCCCTAGCGCCCTACACTAACCACAATGTCTTGCCTGGAGTATCGTATTCTAGTAGGATTCCTCGGAGGCATATGTCCTCCGTCGTCCGAAGACTGGTGTCTCAAAGACCTGGCAATAATGCATTCCTGCGACAATATATTACTCTAGATCTTAATAACGTATGAAGCATCGAGTCGAGTCTCAGTTCATACAAGATCTCAATTTCTGTGACATTGAACTTTCTCTTTTCCAGTACTTCAATACAGTCGGTATATTCCGGCCCCAAAGAAGACTATACATATGGCTGCAAAGAATATACCATCTGCATTCCGTAGTTGGCAGTACATGACTACCTCCGGTGGCCTCGAAAATAACCTGAAAATGCAAACGATACCTATGCTCCAGCCTACCAAGGACCAGCACCTCGTTCGAATCCTCGCCGCTGGCCTCAATCCAGCCGACTACAGACTTTCAGAATTCCAGCTACTACATCGTTTCGCATTCCCAAAGCCCGCCTCCCCTGGGAACGACTTTGCCGGATACATTGTGAAGCCCGCCCTTGATTCTGGTCTCAAGGAAGGGCAGTTGGTTTTTGGCGCTGCAGGAACGAACTTCATGTACGGCGGATCAATGTCAGAATATGGAGTTGCGCACGTCAACAACATAGTGCCTATACCAGCGGGCTTGGCTATCGAGGAGGCTGCGGGAATCACCATAGCTGGCCTTACCGCTCTCCAGTCCATCATTCCGTACTCGAGTCCGGGATCTCGAGTGTTGATCAACGGAGGCTCTGGGGGAGTCGGCAGTTTTGGAATCCAAATCGCCAAAGCTCAAGGACGTCATGTCACTGCGACTTGCTCAACCGCCAATGTTCAGCGATGCAAGATGCTCGGTGCCGATGAGGTCATTGACTACAGAACTCAAAATGTCCTCAAGACTCTAGAAGACTCACCGCAAAGGTACGATCTCGTGGTCGATTACGTTGGCGAGAACTACGACCTGTTCTGGAAAGCAGACAGGTACACCAATGAAGACGCAAAGTATGTTACCGTAGCAGTGAGCCATCACCCTAGTTGCATTCGTTTCGTTGCCGCTGCGCAGTTCATGCCTAGGTTTCTCAGCGGAGCGAAGAGGCAGCATATCACCGTTTTTGGTCAACCCAAACGAGAGGATCTGGCGCAACTTGCAGACTGGATGGTCGAAGGGAAGATAAAGGCCGCGATCGATTCAAAATATGCATTCGAAGATCTGAAGACTGCATATCAGAGGTTGAAAACAGGGAGAGCCACGGGAAAAATCGTTCTTCAAGTTGCGCTGAACTCGGCGCTCAATGTATAGGATCGCGAGGCGCTGTAGCAATATATATTTCATCTTGCACAATGACACTATCTTCACTATTGGTATACAGGGCTACATATAATTCATTATCCTGTGTAAATACTGTATTCGGGGACAGAAATGGTGTGTGGTTATGCTGTCATTGCGATGATATATGCCCATGATACAACAGGCACCCTTTTCTTGATCAACTATTGCGCTTCTGAACATCTACAAGCCCATTTCCTGCTTTAGATATAGTGTAAAGTAATACTTTTGGCACCGAAAAAGCTAAATTTATGTCGTATTCTTGCTTGTTCAATGCTTCAGTGCACTAGAAGAGGCACATCACCTTGACTTTCGGACCGGCGGACATAGAACGGATATCGTCTAAGTCCGAGCTCGGAATGTCGACGGCCCCGTACGAGACAAAATACGGTTTGTCTTTTCACCGTCGGAATGTTCGGGAAACCGACTTTTGAAAGTGAGAAATTGCTGAACATTTTTAATGTATAAAGCTTGAAAGGCGTTGGATGTCGAAGTCCAGCATATTTCAACACCTGACTTTTGAACAACACAACCATCACATCACACATCAACGATTCAAATAAACAAGAATAACGACGCATCATCATGTCAACTGTTGTAACGCTTTTGTTTCCCGTTCCATCAGCAGGAGGTAAGTTTACAGCTAGCTTCCTTCCCATTCTCATTCTAGCCGGCCGCACGCAATTCATATCTGTTCCTCAAAGCCATAAAATTTGTGTTATACTAATCGATTCGTAGCTGAGGCTTTCGACTCTGATTACTATATCAACAAACATCTTCCTCTTGGTCTAAAGGCCTGGTCCAAGTATGGACTGGGAAAATGGTCGATCATCAAGCTGAACCCCGAGACTGGATATGTGATGCAGACCATCATGGTTTGGGAGAGTGCGGAAGCTCAAGCTCTGGCAATGAAGGAAGCTGGCGCCGAATTGTTGGGAGATATGAAAAACTTTACAACTGAGAAACCGCTTGTTGTTCCTGGCGTTTCTGCTGCTGGCGATTTGATTTGATGGAAAGGGCATATAGTGCACATTGCGATGTTTCATGTCTTCGACCTCAACCAAGAAATACGGAGATATGATGGCTTAGCATAATTCATTCTGTCAATACGCATTGTCCGAATGTTCAGAGACGCAGACTTCCTCATATAAAATTATTGGTTGAGCGAGTGTTTTTTTTCTTGAATTTTCCACTTGAAAGATCTGATCATTTTTGATAATCTTTCAAGCTGTGTAGCTAAATGATATGACAATAGAATTACTCAAGCAAAACATTTTATCCCTATTGCGTGCTCAAATTCAGTCCAAATTGGTGTATCATGAAGTATTATGTGTACTCGGCATTATGGATATCAGTGGCTCATTGCATCTATCTGCTGCTATATACGTGGGGAACCGTATTGTGAGCAAAGAAATTGAGTGAGAATGGGAAAATGAGAATCAGAAGAGGGAGATGGGTAAAGGCAAAGACAAGATCTAAGGCAAAAGCTAGGAAACAGGAGACACGTTGATCTCATCAAGAACTTCTCCAAAACAGCACGGAAACTCCCCACAGAGCCATCGTACAGAGTGCGCAGCCGGCAGTCATTCACCTGCTCTACCAAGGGAATGTTTAGCAGTGTATGAATCCGCAGCCCTCGAGTGTAGCTGTACAGATGGGTCAAGCCCCAGTACAAACCAATATTAAGTCGACAAACACAACATTTGATCAATCTGCAGACAACAATTTTAATTAGCCTACTAACACAAACGAAACGTTCTACCAGCACACACAGGCGGTCAGTCCATACATCCATCCCATACTCACGTGCAATTCATTTCGCCAACCCGCACGCACAGTTGAGCTACATAGATTTATATAAATTTTGATATAAAATCTAGTGGTGCATATAGCGGTCCATTCATCGGCACATATGCGTTCAAGCGGGGCGTCACGACATTCACGATGATCATGACCTTCATAGAGGAAACACTACTGTGCAATTCAGTAGCTCAACCTCCGAAAGCACAGGTCAGACAAAATATTTCATGGACGATATGTCAGCTTGGAATGACATTGGTACATTCGAATCATTAGCAGCCGCGAACCAGGCGACAAATCAACCGTCGTCGACCTTCACGTCTTCTTATATAGGCCGGTATGGGAAATTACTAATGCCTCTGTTTCAGAATCAAGTCATGATGCTGTCCCCTTCGAGCCAGCAGCTCCAATATCACGATGCTCCACCCTCCTACCAACCAAACCAGGATAATGAAGAAACATAGAGGAGCGGAAAGAAGTAGAGGAAGGAGACAATATGCAGCTTTCAGCAGTCAGCAGTTGAAAGGGAGAGACAAGGTATGGGCTGTTATACCTTATTTCTTGTCAGCCTCCTCGATGGCTTCCATGGCGCCGAACGTCTGGACACTTGTGTCAAAGGACACATGGTGATTGCTCCGGGTCTGATTGTCGTAGCCACCAAATTTGCGACGTTTATCGATCAGTAGTTTTAGCTCTTTATTAAAGCTTTTTACCCTGTCGGTCTCCTTCCTAAGCTCTTCAGTCATGACGCAGGCTTCTTTCTTCCACTCCTCGATCCCGGCGCGGATTGCTTTCATCTGCTTCTCCCACTCGGTCCACGAGGCAGGGTCATTTTCCTTCTGCAGCCGTTAACGTCTTTTTTTCTTCAAAAAACATCCAAATGCAGTTTATTCTATGTAAGTTCGATCCAGGAGTATCATAGTATAATGCGCGTAGTATGTGACGATCGACATTGAGCTTACACGAGAAGGAGATGAGCCGCCACTGTTGACAGCATCGACCGACTCCTCTTTCTTGATCACCGACATCGTCATATCGACAGGCTCTTCTTTGTTGATAGCGGGCGTGGTCATCGCAACAGACTCTTCATCCTTGACAGTTGCCTCTCCAGAGGCTGAACGTGGGTGACGGTCCTTACTGAAGGACGGCTGATCGATTCCAGAGGAAGCCATCGCGATAGAGGATAGATCGGGAACGAATACCACGAGATGGAGCACGCGGTTCTGCGACAGGGTGCGTGGTGTTGAAAAGCAATTTTGGGATATCAGCACAAGAGTGTGGCAAAATAGTAATACAGTCCGGCTAGCGCGAGCCAATCACGTCGCGTTTCTGTATAAACAAAATGTTGGAAGCGCTCTTCAATCGCCACCTCATTGGATATGTCTACTTAGGTAAAATTGACCGCTACTTCTTCCAATCGCCTAGATCTCCATTACCTACCGAGAGTCCCGTAGTAATTCATGTGATTTCAGACCATTGTCATTCTCCGTGCTGCTTAGATGGAGTTAGTGAGACGGCGAAGTCCAAGTACAAATCTTGCGCGAGCAGCGTCTCTCATCTTGGTAAATTTCTCTTGGCAACTTCTTTTACCAGCGTTGCCTACCTGCTGTTCCTACTACGCAACCCGCTACCTTCTCCCCACTACACCAACCACCCTCAAATTTGACGATCACCCCCTCCAATACCGTCACCCCGTTCAGGATGGCACGACGTCCTGCCAAATCTGTGAAGGCCGTTCGCCCACGTAAGCCCACCCGGGCCGACCGTCCAACCCGATCCGAAGTACAGACTAAGCCGCCAAAGAGGGCCATATCCTTCAGAGCACATGTGAAGGTAACTTAAATTACAGCTCCAAGTAGTTGGTATAGTTCATTTTCTGATAGCTCTTTAGATTGGCGTTACAAAATTCACATATGACAAAAAGACCAAACGCTTCTACGTCGACTTGTCCGCACCAGACGCCACTAGCGGGGCGACAGAGGAGGATGAAGCCGAGAACGACGTGATCACGGAGGATGATACTATTGATTATGAGACCGAAGACGATGAAGTGACGAACGATGATACTGATACCGACGCGTATGAAGCGTCGGAATCTGGCAGCTCTTCAAATGAGGACGACATCGCCAGCCATGAAGAGTCAGTCTTTGAAGACGAGGAGTCTGAAAAAGGTATGATTCCCTATATAATAGCGGCGCGCATGGGTATACGAATGTCGGAACGACAATTGATGTGCACACAGAAGAGGACCAACACATCCTGACTTCGTTCGAGCAAGACCAAAATGCAATGAAGGAGCTGTTCGATTCTACGGCTAACCACGATGATGCAAGACTGAGGGAACTCAGTCAGGCCTTCTTCGTGGGGCGCCTGGGAATGTCTTCAATTCCTCCCCTGGAGACCGTAAAGGAGATGATCATGATCCAGAAAGATGGGGTCTCAGCCTACCACTGGGCTCAGTCGGGCGCCTGGATAGAGTTCTTGTGGGGTACAGCCCAAATGTTGTATGTTCAGAGCCCGGACGATCGCTTGAACAAGAAAAAAGTGATATCGAGGGATGGCTGCATGGTCATGTGCCAGGGCCACTAGACTTCCGACGGCGACTACAAAGCGACAGAAAATCTTATGATGACTATCAGATCTTGAAAGAAATGAAAATCTACGGTTCCGGTCTAAAAACTCTTAACCAACTCTGGAAGGAGCTCATAAATGCCCATACTGCCCGTATGGAAGACTATCGAGAGACAGACGACTAAGGCGGCGGAAACAGGGAACTAAAGAATGAAAGAGAAATGTGTGGGAGCTCATGGGGTATAAGGCTCATGAAATGAGAAATCTGGAGTTGGCTTGGATTTGTTCATCTGCTTGGGAAGCGCGTCAACTTCCGGGGTTACGGGCACGCACGAATGAGATCAAATGTCTTCGATTCTTGCATTAAAAGGAAAACTCCCCTGAACTATGGGCACACACAGATGGTATTGGCCTGTGTTTCTATTTCATCCATACGGCGTATGGTATGCTATAATTGTGGGCATGGCCAAATTCATGTGATCATGCCAGGCCTGCACTGCAAGGCAACCGTTTTCAGAGAGAACACTATAGTTCCCAGTCAATTGTTTAATTATTCAAATGATAATCTCTGTTCCCATCTCAAGGAAATACCACGAAGGAAAGGCACAAGAATAGGAGTGGAAGGCGGTATTGATACATAACGGATCAGTACGTACGTGATTCGAAAGAACAGAATGAAGATGGATTTATCCACTAGCCGCCAAGCTCAGCCCATAATGAGACTATCCTTGCGGACACTGACTGCTATTCATGCAACCTTTTGTGTACATACTTTTAGTTGTGCTTCGTATATTGTACCGCGCGGCAGAGTCATGTATCTGGAATTATGGATGATGAGAAGATTAACCAGGGGATGAAGATAACCTTTTAAAGTTCAGAGAAGTCAAGAAGCAAAAGAGATTGAGTCTGCTACGACTCTAAGCTCCGTTTCCAGAGTTAAGATGTTGGCGCCGGGCCGAAAGGGTTGTCATCCAGTTCTTGAATGAACCCAGCCGTAACCACCAAGATGTCACTGTCCATCAAACCGGTCTACTTGGCTTTAAGGCTGATACAAAAATCTAACTGCTTCCTGGTCCGGCGTTCAATGACGAATTTCAACTTTCGAACTTTGCACGGCGGCGTGCATCTTCGGACACCGTCATAGCTTGAGATATTTTCCGTATGTTACTTTGACCTCGTGGGACTTGATGGATCAATGGCGGTTTGAGATATACGTGTTCACGCCACATCGATGCGAAATATCAAATATCTTAGCCTGAAAACTATACCATTCATTTATCTACAGATAAGAGAGTCCTAGTAATCTATGAGTATTTAGAAGCTAGAAACTCAAGTGCTGATAAGAGAGACGTCTGATGGTCTTGAGTCGACTATCTCACTATGTGGATGATATCAGAGCATGTTCAACCGCCGACCAGCTGGAGGGCTGGTCAATATGAAGGTAGATTGGATCTGAACAGAGACACATCGAGTATCGCGTTTTTCCAATTCTATTTGATTCGTGCAATTGCGTTCTAGGAAATCTAGCGAAAAAATGAGTGCCACCCCAGTATCAACACAACATTGATGAGATGGAATCACTGCGCAAGACGGACGCGAAAGAGAATCGATGAGAAATCTCCACTTGAACTTTAATTCCATCTATATAGTGCTAAACGAGTGTCTTTGGATCCAAGAAAATAAAATCAACCACAAAGAAAAAACTCAATGGATAAGATTTATCTCATCCTAAAGTTGCACCAGATGAGGATAAATGCAGTTAGTCAAGGTATTCCCAGATCATGCCCTCAGGACGTGGAATTGAGGTACACATGACGCCGCGCCCTTCGACAACTGCGCATCCTTGATCTTCGACAGCTTTGTATCTGGCGTGTAATAGAACATCTATTTGTCGCACTTCACAAAGAAGTCTTTGCCCTGGTTGTTGGCATCGACTTCGGAGTGTGTCATGACACCACAGAGCTTGGGGCGGCCATCGTGAGACCCCTTATCCTTCAGATAGACGATACGAAGAGGGGTCTTGGCCTGATCTTTCGAAGCCTCGTCTTTCTTCCACTCCTTCTTCAAATCGTCCCAGTAAATGGGATCTATGATTTGTTAGATCAGTCGTTGCTCCTATCATCGGGGACATCAGAATACGAACATTCCCACAGCTCAGCATCTTTTTTGTTGCAAGGCTTGGTTCCAAACTGGATGTTGTCTCCGTTGTGGTAGCGGTGCGGATCACCGCTCTTTCCCGCCTCATACAGAGCAATCTTGGCCTGGGCCAAAGCGCGGCTTTCGCTGACTTTGAACTTCTTCACTGATGAGTCGTTCTTCTTTGGAGTGCATGTATATGTCGCGTCACGAGCGACGATGGAGTTGGAGTCGTTCTCGGTGACGGGAAATGCTGAGACGGAGACAGAGACGCTGGTGAGAACCAGAGTGATCAAAGTTTGAGTGAAAAGCATCTTGAAGATGTTTGGGCCCGGAAAGGTGACGGATTAATGAAAGAGAGTTGCTGATCTGACGATTTCTGAATGAATGGGTGATTTTATCAAGAGCAAAAGGGAATTCAAAGATTTATATATTTTCTCAGGCGTTGCATAAGATGAAGGTCGAACACTATTTCAGAAGTGTCCTCTACTGGCTTGCTTCAAGGCGGTGGCTATGTGAAAAGTCCACTCGTAAGATTTTGGGATTGGTGCTACCGTAGAATGGGATTTTGATACCCGATCAAGTATGATAACTGTGTGCGATTGCGCTACATTTCGTCATTGAACTGGAGCGTGATTTAATCTGTAGTACAGCTCGAAGTCCGGTAGCACTCCGGATTTCATTGTTTCTTGCTGTTCTGAATGCAACATTTGATTGACGGTATACAAATTTTCATTCTGATATCGTGACACCAAAGCTTATTTTTGCGGGGGAACTTGTAGCCACATGCATGATTTTTTCCCAAACAGGAGAGTGCGTTTCAGGCTATCGTGAGAATGTGCGGTAGTGTAGGCTGCGCATGTGGTAGTTCAGGCTCTGCTCGGACGCACGAAAGCAAGGGATAATCGACCACCTCCGACAATAGAACTTCTTAGTACATTTCCTCATTGATATCGATGCACTAACAAGGATCATTGCAGTTTAGATTCCTCTTTGGGTTCTGTCATGACACTTTTGGAGTCTCCTTCACGTGCCCACTATTTTTTCCTATTCTCGTCGAAAGTGAAGAGGTCTCGGAATGTTCATCTTAACCGTAAGCCCTAGCGGTTCGAAGCAATGTACTACTGTGAGTACACCCCGAAATACCAAGGTATGGTTGAGCTTACAGATGAAGCGCTAAACAGTCAGCATAGAATCGTTCGATGCTTTGCCAAAAGTCTCGTCACATGCTAGGCCAACATTACACCAACTTCCGGATACTCTCTCCTGGGAGTACTTGGTGTTTTTTATGATCTCAAACATGACAAGTAGGGAAACAAACGATGAATCAACAACATGTGGGTTGCCTGGATGATAACTGAATTGCTTGCATCATCCGGTATCACTTGAGTAAGGCCAGAGTCACTACAGCATCAATTTACATCCGTTCATGGAACTAGATGCTCAGCCCTGTCATACATTAGGTGCAGTAGTAATACCTGAAATAGATGGGTTTAGGGGCGAGCTAGTCGACTACCAATCAACTAAGCCACGACTGTGCCGCAAACGCTTCAGCCCACTATGTTGTGTGCAATACATATTTCTTCAAGTAAAACACTTCCAGTCACGTAAAGTGAAAGAGAAGCTTCCCTTGTCCTCCCAACCGCCGGTCGAGGTTTCCCCATTCAGTACCGCTTACGTCATCAGGTTACCTTCACGTCCCTCGCCACTACTACCATTGTCCATCTCTATTCCAGCACCAGATCCAATTTTTTATCAACTTCATCTCTTCATACTGAAGTTTTGAAAAGCTGCAACAGCGAGTATGGAGAACAACACGGAAACCCCGTTGCCCTTGATCATACCCTCGTGGTATGATGACCCATCGAATCCCGAAAACACTTTCTGCGTTTCGCTGCTCAACGGTCTCTACCAAAACACCATTTCCCCTTCCGCTGCTGCTGCTAAACTCGACACTTGGGTGACGGAGAGCTCCGAAAAGACCCTGCAAGATATTCGCTCCAACCCGTCTTCTCTTATCTTCGATGACGACGGCGTAATAGCGCGAAAATCTACGCCAAACGCGAGTGGGTACATCGATACTTTCTTTCAGGCATTCCCTTGGTTGTGCGAGGTCTTTGCGCCGCATTCAGAGGGCCAGAAGAGAATCGTTGACTTCTTGGATGAACTTTTGAAGCTGGAAGTTCACGAGGTTCCAGATGGACTTCCTGATCCCGCAGATCTACAAAGCGTGCGGAGGATCCGAATCTGGGAGAGAGCAGGATATGTGCAGCCAGATAGGTTTACTATGTACGAAATGAGTAAGTGACACCGAGAGCCGACACATCACAGCCAGCTTCGATCCCGCAGTTCACGTAGCGGATACTGACCTTCCATCAATAGAGGATCGACCTGACGACGATCACGATCAGCGCAGCCGAAATCGTCAGTCTACACTCTGCCGTATCAGCATGATCGGTTTTGTGGACTGCTCGTATCTTTCCCTGCTTCCTGAACTTCTTCCAGCTGGAAAAAAGAGAAGCGTCCCAACCCATATTATACGATGCGGTGTGCGCCCTGCTGATATTGAGACTTGGCTTGACTCGGCTGCACAGTGGTTGCGCACTAAAGAGGAGGCGACGTGGGTGTATGCTCGGTGTCGCGAGCAAGACAAGACTACCAAGGCGAATCCCAGGGACGTGTGGAGCAGGGAGAACTGGGAGCTATGGAAAGTGCAGTTCAAGTTCTACGCGGAGGATGATCGAGTGACTCCTAAGGGAAAGGAGTATGCTGGGAAGGCCCTGCGGATGATGGAGGAGGTTGAGAAATAAGTTTCCCCCGGAAACGGCATGATTGGGCCACGATTCAATGCATGTTTACCAGTAGAAGCTTAAAGCTGTTACCTGTGTCCTGGAAGTTTGCTTCTAATATACCATGTATCTCTTAGTCCTACTCAAGTGTGAAGAGAAGATTCCAAAAAGATATATTCTAAGATCTGACGATTGATACCCACAGCTGGGGCCATCGCCCTACATATCCAAGTATTCCTTTCCATCCGGTACATGCAAGACTTGTCGAACTGCAAACTCGATCAGTGAGTGGTGTGGAGCATATGCACTACGCCACATCCAGATGCCCGATCCGACATTCGAATGCCGAACCACCGATGCTGCAATGCATGTTGGATCCTTCGAAAAGATAGATCGCCAATTGTACAACGATCTGGGTGACAGACCGATGCATATTTGTAGGGAGTGCAAGCGAAGCGGGGGAAGAAGAGGGGAGCCGGGTGGGGGCAACCTCCAACGACATCAACAAAAAGTGAACAGGTAACAGCACAGTAGCTCATACGTCACAGCGCAGAGCCGCGCAGTAAAAAGGAAAAAATCGCGGAATACTCAGTGACAAGCACGACGAGTTACATATGCAAGTTTGAGCTTCATTTCCCTTTTCCCTCTGAACTATAAAAGAATCATGCGAATGCGTGACAGATTACCCATCATCCTAACACTCTTCTCAGTAGCGACATCAACAGCAACAATGGCTTCACCAGCATCCCTGACATCGCGCATCCAATCCAACGCAGCCCGCGACAATATCGACCTCTCATCCCTCCCGTTCCTCGCCGAAGCCCTAACCTCCATAACGAACCTCTCCACCCTCCGAAGCACCCACGAACCCCCAGCCTTCAACCCCCAAACAACCCTCCGAATAGACACCCACACGCACCCCGTCCCGCCATGGTTCCGCGCCCTCGAACCCGAGGCCGCAGGCCGCGCAACCCCATCCTGGGATCCCCTCTCCCACCTCGACTTCATGGCCACGCACGACATTGCGCGCTCGATTCTGTCCGTCTCCACGCCCGGCGCGAACGCGTTCCGCGGGGATAAATCGAAAACGGTGGCGCTGGCAAGACTGCTGAATGAGTATTGTGCGGAAGTCGTGCGGATATGGCCGGAGCGATTTAGTTTTCTGGCTACGACCGCGCTGCCGTATAGCGAGGAGAGTGTGGTCGAGGTTCGGTATGCGGTGGAGGAGTTGGGGGCCGTTGGGGTGGTGGTGTTGACGAATCATGAGGGGTTGTATCCTGGGGATGGGGCGTTCGATGGGGTTTGGGGGTACTTGCAAGGGAGGGCGGAGAAGGAAGGGGGTGATGGGAGGGAAATTGTGTTTGTGCATCCTACGGAGCCGGTGATTAGGTTGGAGAGTGGGGAGTTGGTTTTGTCGAAGCCTTGTAAGTTCAGTGACCTCTTTTTTTCTAAGAGCAAAAGGGTGGACAGTGACGATGAAGTATGGTATGGTGGTGCGTATGTGTGTGCTGAGGTCCATTGTTCTTCTAGCACCACTACGATCTGGCCTGGGGGAGTTCTACTTCGAAACTGCGCGCGCAATTTCCAGTATCACAGCCAACCGCACCATCTTCAAGTTCCCCAACATCCATTGGCGCATCTCCCACGGCGCGGGTGCTTTTCCAGATATTTCGGATCGGTTCCTGCTTGGATTTCCGAATGATGCCGAGGCTGCGCGGAAAGCGTATGAAGAGCGCTTTTGGTATGACAGTGCGGGGCCTGTGTATCCGCGGCAGATCAAGGGACTACTCGCTCATGATATCCCTATATCCCAGATGGTGTTTGGTACAGTAAGTTAAGAGCATGAAAGGAGTAGAATCAATCTGCTGACTCAGAAAAGGACTATCCGTACGGGATCGGGTTTTGGGATGTGGATGCAAACATTGGGGGACTGGCAAATGCCAAGTTTCTCTCTTTAGAAGAGAGGAACTCTGTGTTCCACGAGAATGCGCAGAGGCTTTGGAAGGGGAAGATCAAAGACTTCCAGTAGAGCTTCGTGCAAAAGACCACTATCGCATCTGTGGTACCAGGCCCGAAAATCCATGTTGCAACACTTTATGACCGGCAAGTTCATTTGCCAACTCTAGCTTCCTTTGCAATGTCCAGTCGAATTCGTGGTGAGCAAGCGCAAATAGCATGCCAGCAATGAACGTATCTCCGGCACCGATGGTGTCAACGATTTTTGGTGAGGACTGGCCGTCGGGCTTCCAGGCTGCAGCCTCAGCCCATTCGCAAAGACCATTCGTCTGCTTCCTGGCTGCGACTGCACCTCTCTCGCCCCATGTGCAACATAACACGGCACTATAAAAGCTCAGCTTACATGCCCTCGAATCCACACGCGAGAAAAACTTACCCCGGTCTCATTTTCTCAATCTCTTTCTCCAGAAACTCCCTAGGGCCCTCAAATCCCTGAGCCTATGTGGAAGCTAGTCAACCAAGTAATTTCTAGTAGATTTCTTTAGACCAATACTCACCAGGACCCAAATCCTCGAATAAAACACCGCATCCGCGTATTTCGCTACCTCACTCATTCCCACACGCTCGGGCTTCTCACACTCCACACTAACCTTGAACTCTCGCTGCGCCGGGGCCGTCCGTAGGAACTCGACGCATTGCTTCAAAATACCTGGCACCCTCCCCTCAAAATGATACCACCCTTCCACACCGCTTCCCGCTTCCGCTACTAATCTCTCCGCACTGTCGACGAACTCATGCACCGCCATCTCTTCGAGCGGACTGTGACTGATGATAGTACGACTGTGGTTCTGCGCATTTTGCAGGATGTAGCATGATGCAGCTTCCTCATGTGCAGCGCGGAAGATACTGTCAGCTGTGGAAATCTCGGGGAGAGTATCGTAAATGAATTTTGTTGCCAGAGATGTTTTGTTGGGTAACACGGTGATCAGATGAAGATTAGTTGTAATGTTGTCCTTTTTACCGTTCTGGAAAGAAGGGGCAGAGATGAGTTGGGAGAGGACTTCGAGTGTATTTGCGCAGTTGCCTCCGCGTCTTTTGGTGTGGTGAGTTGCGCGGAGCTTTTCATCTTCTATGGGGAATTTGGGGACACTTTTTGTGATTGTATAAGTAATTCGATTCGTTCATAATCAGTGACGGAGGGTATTGTAGATGGAGATTGATCGGTATATTTTTTTGCATACCTTAGAATAGTATCAATGTACACGGCACCTACGCAGATGATGTGCTTTGTGGATGGCAACGATGAGGACTCCATTATTTTGGCTATGTCTGTCAATGTGGAAGCCCCCACTTCCTAGAAATTTGGTGTCATACAGGGAGTGGTTGATATTGATGTTGGGTATTCTGAGGGTCGTTGAGTTCGGTTGCCGCTGGTTGGTGGGGGGTGAAAGTGGGACCTCGACAGACGATCAGATTGCAGGGTCCAGATGTCGCGACGCGTTGAACGCGCGTTCACGTGAGGCGATATACTCCAGTGCGGACATCCATTAATTGATTGTACATATGTAGGTATTCATTGATCAAGCCGAATAACATCCTTCAATTGCCCTTGAATTTGGAGAATCAGAAGAAGATTACCATATCCAATGCAGTGTACGTCACATGATATTGCACGCTACAGCATCCCCATATCCTCTTTTGACATACGGGACACCCACGTCAGCACCAATGACAGTGCAGCATCATAGAATAGGAAAATAATCAATGAACTGAGTGCATTCTTGAATACCCACTAGCAATCAAATACCCGTGTATCGGTACACCGCAAATATTCCCATGCGAACCAGCGGCGCTGCTGTTGCCAACAACCAGCTCTGCCCACATGCATACATTTATCAATTCCAAATTTTATATTTCAGTTGATAATATCCCGCTTCATGATCCCAAATATCATATCCCATTACCAGTCAAGACTCCAGACTCGGCTCCAAAAATCGTAAATGAGCTAGCTGCCAGAGTCGCAATTGTCAACAATACCATACATACTATCTTGTACAATACGGGAACCTGGGTGTCAAACGTCCTGCTTGCGTGTATAATCTATATTCCGGATATGGTATTGCAGAATTCTGACCTTCATCTTCGAGCGGTGCCCGGAAAAATTGCGAGAGTATGCCAACTGAAGTGAGTGCGACATTTGGAGCCTACACAAAATAGATTAGTCTAATCTGCAGGAACATAACATCTACAATACTTACAATGCATGTGGTCACAGCCACCTTTTTTCCTTATGAAGATACCGCAGGATGGACAAGGTTTGGCTCCCATCTTCTTGAGCATCTTCTCCGTCTCCATCTCTTCAGAAGTTTTGATGGTATTGCATGCGGTGTGTCCATGCCATTGTCGACGGCAGGAGAAGCAATGTTCGTGGGAGCATCTAGGGTCAGGGCACGTCGCCTTGATTTTCATATTAGACTGAAGAGAAGACTGGCCAGCTCCGTAACCCTCGATGGAGAAGGCTTTGCCGCACTTGTTGCAGTCCATGTAGGAGTCGCTTGAACGAAGATGGTGGTTCAGGAGGGCGTTGTCCAATCTACGTTCGCTTTAGTGACATCTGAGATGCATGAAGACAAACGTACTGTACAAATGTAGTCCGAGGAAGAACCTGCTGTAGCTGCGCGAAGCTAATGACAAAGCCACAGCTGTGCGGGCATGCCTCACCAGATTCTTCCAAATTCCCGTTGTGAATCTTGGCCCTCACCATATTCACGAAGCAACCAGTGCAAGTACGACGAAAATACTTGCACAAATCTGCATGGCCTTGATGAACAGATAGAGTTAGTAGAGTAAACTCATATCATCAAGCATTAGATGCTTGAAACACAGCATCATGTCATATTTCCCCGTGCGATTGTTTGTTTACGTACCTACGAGGTCGGGAGAAATGTCATCGTCACAGTATTCACACTTCAGGAGCTGCATGTGTTCCCCAAGTTCTGATGGCTGTGTCTCAGGTTCAAAGTTTTGGTTCAACTCGGAGGCCTGCTGTGAAACTGAAGGTTGCCCAACGGCAGGAGATGGCTGGCCATGAGGAGGTTCGTCAACTGTCAGATGTCGACCAACGTTGGCCATGGTAGGCTGCTTTCTCTTCTTAGCCGGTAGCTGGCTTGACAACTAGTTTAGCTTTCTTGGGGGCTGGCTTGATGACACTCGTAATGCCTGGAGAGGAGCGAGTTCGACTAGAAACAGGCAGGTAGGGTGACTTGATTACCTGGCCGTTGGGACCATATGCAACACAAAATGGGGGATGCTGTTTCCAGAGAGACGGATAGCCAGAACGGTGAATGAGTCGAGTGATGTGAGTGTGAGGTAGAGGTGGAAAAGAGGTTCCTGCTGTTGTGGCTGCGGCAAGATATAGTGAATCGTCTTGCTTTTAGCTTGCGCGCGCATGGCAGCCAGTCGCTACTAGCCGTCGTTGGTATGGCGTGTGGTGCGTACGAGTGATTACGTGATGCATATAAAGGGGGAGGGTAGCTGGTAAGGGTTGACATAGAGTGCAAGCAGATCTCACGAGTGTGTCCGAGACGCTGGAATCGTAACTGCCGCATGCCTGGAGACATTGCGAGGATCGAATCTCTCGGGAAGATAGAGATAGCCCGGGTAGTTGAAATACTATGTTTGTTATATGGATAAGTTTGTATGTCTGGGTGGTAGCGTCAGTGTCGTGGTGACGGCGACAGCGCCCACTGCCAATCTGGCACCGAACTTGATCTGTTGATTCATGGAATCCCTTCGTGATTTGAACGCTCGTCAGAATTAGTCCTTTTATGGGATATTCAGTCGTTCAAACGACATCTAAACCGAACTGACGGGTTCCTGTCGTGTTGTTTAGCTACCATGTGCACGCAAGTGATTCTGATCAATACTAGAACCTCGCTATCAGGAGAGGGCCAGGGTTACGCTGTTTTGGGGTAAAGCTTTAGGGGATTGCATACAATTTTGATATCAGAGGAGTATCTCGATTATTCTTTCTTTGTGGCGATGAGTGCTCCTTCGATCCGGATGAGGAACCAGGCGGTATGTCCAGCAGCCGAATCCATGGAATATCTGCCGCAGCATCCCGAATTCCCCGAAGTCAAATGCGCCATCATCCGGGAAAGCTCTTATCTGTTTCCAAAGGCACTGAAGACGAATACTAATTCTCGTCGATCTACACACACAGTGGGGGATCCGCTGGATTCAAATGTTTACGTTGCAAACATTGAAGACTGCTTGGCGGGCTTGCACTGCAGTTCTACCAATAGCTGGAAGCCAGGAAGACCCCAGAATAATGGGTTAGCTTTCTTCTGCATGGAATCTAGCTGCGCTTGGTCACATCACTCAGTCGCGCATCAACCGGTAATCGCGCAAGCAGTGTTTTACACGTCGGCAGGTGTCGAAGCCGTGAATTGCACCGAATCATGGCAATGTGCCGCAAACGCCAGTGGAACCGGACCATGATCACCACTGGTGGGATCCCACTGGCTATCAATTCCCATAAAGAAGAGGAATATACAGTGCTTGTTACAGATATTCCAAGGTTCCTTTCAAGATGGACCATTCCCCAATCATTGAATGGTGGTGAGTCGCGTGACGGGCACATGACATCATTTCCAAGGAAGTCTGCAACGCAACAGCGGGGCTTAGGCGTCGGCTTATCCAACAGCTCCTAGGCTACCACGACTCCATTGTCCCTCATAAACATCGCTCGTCCTCTTCCATCCCCCTTTTTTTTATCCACAGCTGAACAAACACCACATTCTTCTAAGCTTCACCGAAAACAGAAAACAAACTATGTTCCAACTCGCCCTTGCCGCTCTCCTGCAGCTCTCGCTGGCCGTCTTCGCTGAGGCCGCCCCAATCACCACCCAGTCCGCGGGATGGCAGGGTCCGACTGGCGGAGGCATCCTCGGAGTCATTGTGCTCATTCTTGACATTATCGCATGGGGTATGTATCCACCCGTATAGCAAGGGCGACATAGATGTATGGAGCTGACCCGTCCGCAGTTGAGATCTTCAAGAGCAACCGCCCCCCAGCCAACAAGTTCATCTGGGCCTTGGTTGTCTTCCTCTTCCCAGTTGTCGGCATGATCATCTACTATCTGTTCAGCAACCGCGCATCCCACAACAACAGCGACTATGAGGCCATCCCTTCATAAGCCCTATACACACACCGACAAGACCCGCAGCAAGGTGGCATCCGTCTTCACCGGGCTCACGCGCGATGAAGCTGATGCAGGACACAATGGCTGTCAGACAGAGGACTGTTGAGGATTGGTGATGGTGCAGACGCGGATTGGAACAGGGTGTCTGTCGCGCGTATAGGGGAGATTGCGGTTTTGGATCTGGAGTTGCAGGCGTTTGAACACGGGTTTTGGAGCGATGAGCCCTCAGATATCCAACACGATTTCAATGCGAACAAACTTTTCGGATGAACTCCTGACCTGTCTTTTGGTTGTCGCATTCTCGCATCCTCGCATCCTTCGCATATGTGAATATACCTCCTAACATCGTAACGGCTAGCTTGATCAGAACACACCGCTATCTAGTCAGTTCTAGAAGTTCAGCTGGGGTCTGTGTGTCTATGGAGGACCGGTGGGTCGGGGGCTGTGACACAGCTAGGCTGAGTAGTTTCAAGCTTTTACCCGAGTGCTTCTCAACCAACGCGCTGGTGATAGCATCACCGAAGTCCGCTGGCGCAGCCAGTGACAGTCGACCATTGCTACCACGATTGCTCACTGTTAAACCGTTTTGTGGCGCGCTTGGACCGACTGTACGGGGTGGGCATCTTTAATCATGATATGCACACCACTGGGCAGGCCAGCGTTGATGCACAGAGCAGGGCTTCAGCTCGCCGTCAACAAGCCCCCCGTGCACTATGCTCATTCGTCCTTGGTCTACGGCGTGTGTGACGGTGGCTCGTACCTCGTTGAGATTTTCCCTGTTGGTCCTCCATTAAAGCCCCCAAAAATACTTCCTCGCCCCCTCTGTCACAGCTGTGCCGTAATTGCTAGTCGCACAGCAAATAAACAAGCCTCCTTCTGCATTAACCCGCTAAACCGTGTCACCACCCCCAGATTCTTGAATATATAACACCTTGATCCTCGCCCTATTCACAGAAACTCATCTCTCAAGCAACCCCACATCTTCTTCACACAAGCACCCCTCGCTCTTACGCTACAAAGTACATCAAGTACTTGCTCTCCACTAAAAAGACTACCTACACAACACATCACCACACAAACTCCACAACCATGCCTGCCCTCGTCCAACCCGAGATTCTGCGTCGTGCAGTCGAAGACCCTTAGTAAGTTCCCTCACCCCCGCTGTTCGCAAAGCTCCCCACCCTTTCACTCTTTTACCCACATATCAAACACATAACTAACCACTCCCGCAGTGCCATCGCCTACGAAGCCATGTCCCTCGTTGCGCGTGCCAAAGACAGCAAGAAGGCCAAGGGTGGCAAGAAGAAGGTCAAGGTCTCCGGCGGAGCCATCGCTGGTATCGTCATCGCCATCATCATCGCCATCATTGTGATCTGCATCATCGTGTGGTTGGTGAAGCGCAACCAGAAGAAGAAGAAGCCCGTTACCAGTCACTAAACTGCCCCCGCTATTTCCGACATCACGAATGGGATCGGGGTGTTAATTCTTCGGCGCGGGACCTGAAGGTCTGGGTTTTTGTTTAGGGATGTGTGCGATATACCCCCCTTCCCTTCCCTTTTGTTATGTATTCTTCTGGGTGCGGCATCGTTGGTATTTCTTAGCGACTGCGTTTCTTCTTTGCGGGATTTCAAAGCGCTGGATGGATGGATGGGGAATTTGGAAATTGTTTGGATATACATCACTGTATCACGTACGATAATAATTGGCCTCATGTCTGAGTCCTATCCTCTTCCTTGTCTCGCAATGCCCACTTGCACTTATGTGTTGATGCTATGCGACAACAGGACGCCGAAACTACAAGAACCTCCCTCCTGGTCAACACTACCACCCTGCTACCCTCACCACTCTTAACCCGATGCGATGCATACATAACACCACAATCAACCATCCACAACCCAGGGCGCCTTATCCCCTTCTCGATAATCCCTCCCCACAGGCCTCCACATCAACCACCCACTCAAATCCTCTTCACACCAGCTCCTCCACTTGTCGCTCATCCCACCCTCAACCTCTTCCTCTCTTCCTTTCAACGAAGGGTGCGGAGGTATCACTTCGATCGCGCCGAACCCACATTTCTCGTACGCGCCGCGCGCACTAGGCAACGAGGAAATCACAATAGGAATATTGAGCGCATCTGCTTTCTGTTTCCCGTGGGCGAGAAGGAGGCGCGCGCAGCCGTTTTTGCGGTGTTTAGGAGAAGTGATGATGGAGTGGAGATCTGATCGCGAGCCAATGGCACATGTTAGCATCTCACTCTACTTTTTTGCGCGTTTGCTCGTGCTAACCCCAGCATATCAAAGAAATATCAAGGGAGCAACAGTAAAAGGGCACAAAAGGAAAGGTAGAGGAAAAGAAAGTAGCCAGTCACGCACCCATCCGCGGTCCGGGAACCCTCTCGTCAATGAACCCCCACAGCCCATTGACGAACCGCTCCGCAAACTCCCTCTCCTCGCTTCCTTCTGCATGCCATGTCGCTTCTACTTTCTTCTTCTCCTTCCCTTCTTGTAGTCCGTGATTCACGAACCACACGGCGCACCCGACTATCTCCCCCGTCTCCTCGTCGTAGCATTTCACGAAATCGGTGTTTGGATCAGGCGATTCAACGCGTGCGGTGCGGGATGTGATGTACCATGTTTCAGCGGCGCCGCGGGAGGGGAAGGGGGGACGGAAGTGTTTTAGTTGCGGGTTTGGTGGGGTTTGCCAGCTTTCGTAGTCGAGGGAGGCGAGATGGGGGAGGTCGGCGATGGTTATATCCGTTGATGTTGTTAAAGGCATGATTTCTTTCGGGGTTTCCGGAGAGTTTTGAGATAGGCGATGGTTTTCTTCTTCTTCTAGATGATGAAATATATATCTCTTTGTAACTTTGTATAGTTTGTTTCTTTCTCTCACGTCCAAATTTTCTTCTTCTTTTTCGCACTCTAGTATCCTGTGCTAGTGTTTCTTTTTTAGGTGGAACAAATGAACTTTCAAATCGCCCATCGGACGGCTGGTTTTATATATGAAAATCAACTATACACGCGTAAGTACCCACTACACCGTTTATCTATTATCCCAAAACGGACTCGTCCCGCAGGAACACGGGTTCGTCTTACACATGTAAGCCGCGCTCGCAGCGGCTGTACGAGAAATAAGCGTCGACCCCGCATTTCGTTTGGTGCAATTCATGGAATTCTAGGGTCTGGTTCGCCAAACGACCTTTACTCGGGGCTATTGGTATTCGTATTTCTTGGGAAGATATGTGAAGGGAGCGCGGTAAGCGATGAGTAGTCGGGTCGGTGGGTTTGGTGGACTATTTGGGTAAGCTACGAATAGTTAGCGGTGATAGCGTGTGGACTCTCTCGTACGTTAGTTAGAATCAGAACCAAAATGCGGCAGGCTCGTTAGATCGTAGTTTACTACGAGAACGATTGAGTGGGGTGGCGGATTGTCATAATCTAGTACTGGGGTGAAAATTAATCTTGTAGAATTGGGAAAGCTTCTGATCTCATGAAGTTTGATCACGCTTTTCCTTATCATGTGTACAGGAGAGCGGTTTCATGATGCATATAATTGTTCAATTCGAGAATTTTGCTAGACTCTCGGAGATCTAATCCATCAGTTAAGTTCTTCCTTTTTTACTGCCTCGGACTCGCCGAGTTGAGGTTCTGGCTCTGCCATGCCCTCTTCGGATATCCCACTTTCCACTCTCTTTCCACCTTCTTTTCTACAGTAACGCTCAACGATACTTACAATATCCTTCAACTTCTTGTTTCCTAGAATAGCCTGCCCATGATCGAACCCTTCGAACCAAACCAACTCTAGTCCTTTCCCAACCCACCCTTCAAAACTGCCCTTCCACCTCTCCAGATCGCCCCAACTCCAGCATAATTCCCCACCTGCTTCTTCCTCTTCCTTTCCCCTCGTAACATACGTAGCAATCGCCGCCGCATTAACCAGACAATCACTTCCACCAAGCACAAGCGTAGTCGCACACTTGCCCAAATCCTCGCGCCAAAGCACGTGACTGCGCCAACACAACCTCCTCGCAAACGTAAACGCGATATCCGGCTCCGTCTCTGCACCCCACCACATCTGCCACTCATTCGGTTCCACCGGTTTCTTCCGTGCAAAATTGTATGCTAGATCCGGGAGGTGCAGAAGTACAGCTACAGGGTCTATCAGGACCATCTTCGCCATGCGAGAGGAGAGTAATGGAGAATCCAAGAACAGCTTCGCGAGAAACGTCCCGTATGAGTTTCCTACGAACACAAAATTGGTGAGGTCTTGCTGCGCGATGATGGCGCCGGCGTCGTTCATTAGGTCTTCTGCGAGGGGCGCGCCGGCTGTAATGCGCGATGAAACGGGGAGGACTTCGAGCGCGAGGATGCCAATGTCCTTTGGCAGAAGGAGAAACAGCGGAATGTAGATTGCTAGTCCGATCCCTACACCATGGGCGAAGACTATGGGGCGGTGTGTCTTGGAGGTGTGGGGACGGTAGAAGTAAGAGAGATTTTGGGCGGCGGATTCCTTTGGTGCAAGGAGAGTGAGTGGGCGGAATGGGAAAGAACGGAAGAATTGAGATCGTGGTTGGCGGTATAATGTGAACCCCATCACTAGGAGTGTTAAGGAGGAGAATAAATCAATGGTGCCGATCATCTAATAGTAACGTCAGCGGCCATTCAGTTTGTCCCCGATGAAGATTAGAAAAGCCTACGAGGTAGAAAACCAAACTCCGATGCGACACAGCAAATCGTTGGAGGTTCAACCGCAAGCTTTCCACCGGTCCCCACCCAGGACGAATCTTCCTCCCCAGTCGCTCTTCCACCACCCTTACATACTCTTCTAATTCCTCCTCATCTACACCGGGTGGACCCTCTCTATCGAACAATGACCACAACATCCATTCTTTGAGATTTTCCCTTCTCATGTCATCCAGACTTGCTCCGCCCATCCACCCTCGAAAAAAAAGCTCGATATCCGGTGTAACTCCGAGACTTTTGCTGAACAGTTCCCGCCGTCCATCGCGATTCAATGGCGCTGGAAATTTCGGTGGCTGCTTGTGGAGGTAGTATCGGTATGGCAGAAACCAGAAGAGATAAAAGAGGATCTCGATGGCGCCGATAGTTTCGACGGCAATGGAGAAGGGGTGCGCGATCCATGTTTCGCCGCCGATGGAAGCCGCTAGAAAAAAGTACGCGAGGCATATCAAGCCCAGATAGCTGAAGACATAGATGATCAGTTTCACAAAAACGTACTCTGCGGTGGATTGCCCGACGAGCATCGTGACATTGGAATTGTGAGAGATGATGAAATCTTCTCGTAGCAACTAGAGTATAATGACATTCAAATAGAAAGGCTTGAATGCTACATCAGTAGAAAGTTTTGTAAACTCGGGGTATTGTTTCGTCTATATATGGACACTGTCAGTGGTGTGTTTGAGTGTTTCATCGATGTTTGAATCGCTGGGATGATATTTTTGTGGAAGTCGGAGCGAACCCTAGTTGACACCGACTATACTTACGAACTACCCCGCAAAACAACTTGAACCTGCCCCGATTTGATGCTACATCTCGGAGTGGAGCTGCAATGGGATATTTGGCAGAACTTATTGAGGCACCTAAACAAGCCCTCAGTTGGCCCCATAAACAGCACGCAAGATCAGATATGAAGTGGTGTAGCCAGAGTGTAGCCAGAGTGTGGTAGGGAAGCTACAATTTGGGGGTGGTACTTAATCATACCACTTTGTCGCATCCGTGTTTAGAAGTTATATCGGTAGTCGGATGACAGGTGAGGGGTTCCGAACGCCGTCTCTGTTTGATGCTACCAGAAAATTTGTCTGAGAAATGATTATGGAGATCAACCACTGAAAGAGTGACTCGGCGTGATATGTCTGGTGCATGTCAATTTCATTTGAGATGGTGAGAGCTCCCACTCTTCCAAAGCATGAGTAGCAATTCGCAGCTGACAATATGTGAGAAACTTGGAGGACTGTAGTTGTTTGTTCTTGGACGACATCTCTCGACTAATCGATAGATCCTATTATAGATTTACGGCGAATACTTTAGATCTATACGGATCGCATATCATGCAAACTCAAACAATGGAAACGACCTCTAGGAACTCAAGCGCGATACAATGATTCCTGTGCCATCTCCAGGAGGATCATACATTCCCAGAACATCTAGCCCCGCAGCACTCAGCAGCTTCTGCCACTGGCTCCTTGTTCGCTCCATTGCGGACAGGAAGGCCATCATCTCTATATCCCACATCGCGGGTAGCAAATGACAGCCTGTATCTGGAATGATAAAGTCCTCAACGACGAGAAGTGAAGTGCTCTTGTCCATTGCAGCAGTGAGATGGCTGAGAATCTGCAAGCATTGTTCATCAGACCAATCATGCAAGATGAACTTCATGTAGTAAATTCGTGCACCTGTGATTGAACATTAGCGTCTCCCGTGAAAAGAACAGTAACATTATGCAAACCTTGAACGGGACCTTCAACCCAAAAATCGATCGTCTTTTTCTCTATCCTGGGATCCAAGCCCAATGTAGGATCATCCAGCACGTGAGGTTGATCCTGGAGTATAAGTCTCCCAGGTAGGTTGGGAAACTTGTCGAGAAACGCGCTAAGCTCATGCCCACGACCACCAGCAACATCGACAAGGAGAACTTGGTCCTTATCCAATCCACTGTTCTGGATCAATTTTTCTTCCACTGGGAACCAATCTACCCAATTCGGCCGACTCCCACGGTCCGCCTCAAAGTACGTTTGCATAAGTCCCAGCTCTCTTGGGTGTTGTTGGAGCCAAGAGAATATTTGCTGGTCCTTTATACCTCTTCCGAGTTGCCATGGGCCATTAGCAGCATCATGGGGGTTTTTGTAGCTGGTGTTACGCAGGTACTCCGGGATGGCAGTCATTCCTGGAAGCCCAACATCATAACTATAGAATTAGTCACGATGGGCTTCATGTCAAAGCCAAACGAGAACTTACACTGCTTCTACCATGCCAGTCATGAGTCTTGTGGCGAGAGCCTCTGTTACTCCGCTGGGTGCATAGGTCGCGACTGCCGTTTCGGTCACGAAATCACTGGCTGTCAACACCCGCAAGAGTCGTTCTGGTTGCACGTTAGTGATTCAATTCTCGTTCGATTAAATTTCGGATGATTGCATACCAATCAACAATTGATCTACCCCTGTTGCGTGCGCCAGCTCCTTTGATGTGATTGGCCCATGTTCCACTATCTGATTGAACAGCTTGAGCTCTGAACACACTCGTAGAGCTACAAACCGCGACGGCTATTGGGAAGGATCAGTAATTCGAGACGGCGGCAACAACTTCATGATTCTTCTCTACATGACTTACTGTATACAAAAGCTTGGTGATAGCATCTTCAGGTTTCTCAAGCAAAGTTGTGAACTTGACGACGGATTGGAGGAGCTCAACCCTTTCTTTTTCAGAAAGAGCTCCGCTACTCACGATATTCCTGAGCTCACTGATTAAAGCTCCTGCTCTCTCGGATGCGGCAGACATCTTCAATGGATGGTGATGTTTGATGACCAGTGAATTAGCGATGCACGAAGGCTTTATGGTGTGGTCGAAGCATCTTCATTGAGTCAGGTGATGGTTGCTTTTCGACATACCTCTGCATATAATCACGATTCAGAAGCATGCAACCAAAAAATCTGTAGTAATACCGTGTATAAATACAATGGCATCATCGGTGTGAGTCTTGCGGTACAGTCCGTCAGCACCCGCAGATCCCGCACCAATCAATCTGATCTTTGCTGACTTGTCCTAGCCAAAAGGATGCGGGTGAACTCGACGCGCCTCGCAAACCGCATTCTGCTTGGCTGATGCATAATCATGATAGTTAACGAGGTCGCGTATGTTTAAACAGGGATCTTACGAGTTGCATCAAGTTTGTCTTTCTCTGGTATCGCCCTGTTATCTAGATTGTGGAGTCAGGAAATGTCATCACTACACAAATGGGCTGTGACTGTCATGACGATATGCAAGTACGCTCTAGAATATGTTGTCATTGTGATCAACTTTTGGTAAAACTGTGCTGCTTAATTCGCAGTTCTATGGACGGACTGGTCACTGCTTGCAGCGGCACCTGCTTTTATCTACCACAAGCTTCTTGACTAGTCTAACATACCCTTGCCATGTTCTTTTGCTTAAGATTTTTATAACATGTCATTGCAATGGCTCGTGAGTGGATGTATGCTATCTGCAAATCAGCATCAAGGAAGATAAAGTGGAACGGTTCCCGCAGCGTTCGTATGATGGAACCTGTATGCAGTTGCTCGCGTCATCACTATCACGAGATGCCATTGCCGGCTAGTGGTCATGCAGCTTCTAGCCATTGTGAGGTATGAATACGAACTATCCAAAAGCTTCTTATTCCCTTGACTGACCACCCTAAGGTTTGGGGCATTGCATGAGTGTCCCCAGTAGCCGTTGCAGGACAATGGGTTCGGAATCCACATGACCGCTCTCGAAAACCCAACCGATCGAGAGCAAGCTGTCGAATACACTTTACTCGCGCCCTGCTTCTCAATATTTTCTTCGAGGTTCAGCAAAGTTTCCATGCTTGTCTTCAGTCTGAAACTGATTGTCATGGTATTTCTCAACGTGCTTAAACTGACAGTATTGATAGCCTTTTCCTAACCAATAAAGAAGTCCTGCAAGTCCCCCATTGGTGGCAAGTGCTTACCGGCCGGCTGACTTTGTGGAAACAGGTAGTAATAATTTAAAAATTTGTGAGTTGGAGCTTGGGTGATCCTACACACAGCGATAGTTGCAACGATAATAAACCAAAAAAATGAGCGATTGATAAAACTTCAAACAAAAGAGACTTCACACAAGGTTATTGCAACAAGCAGAAGCAGGGATCGGATACCGCAACAATAGTAAAATCTATGATCATGGAAGGACTAGGGCAACTTGACGGCATCACTCATACTTGGTGTCCTCTCGCAATCATGTGCCAGAAGACGCGCTCGAGAATGCTGTTCAACAATGCTCGTTTCGCCATTAGATATATTCAATGACATCTAATTTCATATTACATTATCCTGCTACATATCGCACCGACTACCAGTCTCCCATAAGCTTCATCTCTCTCCAATTAAAATCGTCCGAAAACACATTAAGCTCGGTCAACAAGATTGCAATCACCACAGCCACGAACCATCCGAGCCAACGCAGAAGCGGAATACCCTTCTCGCGATCAAGAGGACTTCCGCTGCTGCTTTGCACCTGCTTGTTCTGGCCCCAAGGAATCTGCCCTCCGATATCTTTGAGTAGATCCTCGCTCACCATCTTAGCGCCTGCAAGCACGATCGGCACTCCAGTACCTGGGTGAGCACTGGCGCCCACAAAATAGAGATTATCGATGCTTGCATGCTTCGTCTTAGGACGGAAACTCAGTACGTTGAAGAAGGAGTGGCTCAATCCGAGGATAGCTCCGCGGTCCAAATTGAAAGTAGATTTCCATGATGGTGGTGTGTTGACAGACTCGTGTACTATGTGTGCTGCGAGATCAATCTTAAGGCGAGTCTCCATAGTCTTGAGAATAGTTGTCCGTGCGATAGAGACCATCTTGTCCCAGTCCTGGGTGCCGCCTGTAGCGCTGGGTGTACCCCTGTGAGACTCAGTGTTTGAGTCCAACAGGTGGCCAACAGGAACCAAGACGACAAGGGTGTCGCACCCAGGGGGTGCAGCGGTTGGGTCCATCCGGGACGGTACGTTGACATAAAAGCTGGGCTCTTCTGGGATCTGGTGCTTCTTGAATATACTGTCGAAACTCTCTTGATAGTCTTCAGCCAGGAAAATGTTATGCCCCGATAGCTCGGGGAACTTTTGGTCCATAGCCCAGTAGAACGAAATACTTGAGCAAGATGCTTCACGCTTGGATAGTGATTTGGCATAACGTGTCTGGGGTAGCAAATTGTTGTACGCGTACGTCAGATCGGCATTGCAGATGACCAAATCCGCTGTGAGGGTTTCTTCGGAACCTTCCAAGACTACTCCAGTTGCCCGCCGTCCATCTCCAGAGAGCTGAATCTTGGATATAGGCGCGTTCATCCGGTACTCCACACCTTTTCGCTCCCCAATCTTCACAATAGCGTCAACCACCTTGTGGAAACCCCCGACCGGATACCATATTCCTTCGGCGAGCTCAGTATATTGCAACAAGCTGTAGGTGCCAGGAGCATCAAAAGGACTCATTCCCATGTACATGCTCGCGAAGGTGAAGACTCTCCGCAGACGTTCGGTCTTGAAGTACTTGCTTGCCCTGCGATAGATGCTTTCGAATGGATGCAGTTCCAAGAGATGCTGCAAGAAGTTGGGCCGTGCCATACTCAGAAGAGAATAGAAATTCTTCTTCAGCACGTGAATGACAGAGAGTTCATAGTGACGATGGGATTCTTGCAAGAATGAAAGGTACCGCTCGAACCCGGCCTTTCCTTCGAACCGTTCAATCTCTTGTTTCATGACACTCAAGTCCGTCGAGAGCGTGAAGGGTGTGCCATCGTGAAAATGCAGCCTGTAGTTTGGCTCGCACTTAATCAGCTGCACACCCTCATCTTCGAGCGAAGTCCCCAGATCGTGGAATGCTTCTCGGAAAAGAGGTGGGAGCAGCAATAAGCTTGGCCCTTGATCGAATCTCTATATGTTGTAAGCAATTTATGCGATCACAGAATCACTTAAGGTTTCGGTACATAGCCGTCGTGGTGAATTAGACTGCATCGGCCACCGGTAAAGTCGTTCTTTTCCACCACAGTAACTTTGAGTCCCGCGGCCGCCAGTCTTGCGGCTGTTGCCGTCCCACCCACTCCCGCGCCAATGATGATCACGCTTTTCGGCTTTTGTTTTTCAGCCATTGTATTGAACGAATTTTCAGTGCCGGCACTCCAACGAGAGTCACCGTGGCTTTCTATGTATGCCTCTAGAAGCAAGGGTGGTGGTGAGAGGATAGCGGTGCGGCATGTTGGTTGTGCCAAGCTTTTCGCTAACCAGAGTGCCAGAGTGGTGACGTGTGTGATAATGGCGACATCAATTCGGCCATTTGAGATTCTATGGTGTATAATCGCATCTTCCAGTTGAACAAATCTTTGTATGAACAAGAAAACACGATCTCCGGAAAATACGAGGAACGAGATCTTCGCACCCGTCTATTATTAGGAACACCACGTGGCCGGAGAAACCTTTAGCCGATGCCGGGTATGGCCCAGTATTGCAGTTGGGAGTCGCGTACTTATTATTCCAGCGATTAATCCACGCGTGAACATCGAGTATCCCGTTTTCTTGGAATCTCTTTAGCCCCAGGAGAAGATTACCGTGAGCGCTCGGTGCCTGGCGTGTGAAGATCAGCGGACTACAACATTTAGCGAGGTTGATTCCAAGACCGCCCCAAAGCACTAACATGAAACGCGGACCGCCTGCTCAAAGTGACTTATGCAAGAGCCAGCCCAAGATTGCCTCCGCTTGTTGTGCCCTTGAAGCTTAGATTCCTCGAAGTCTTGCCTGATGTTTGAGCATATAGCTGCCATCACATGAGTAAACCGCATTCATATTGCAAGCTGTACACATTCTGAGCTGTACACATTCTGTGTAAGAGTGAGAAGACTCCAATCCCACTCAATCTAGGAGAAACCCCTTTTGGTGGCTAAAATGGAGATCATGGATTCTTTCGCGCGAGAGCTTCCACGCATTGACCCTGACCACGCAATCGACCCATAGAAGACCACAGGTTCACCGAGTATTGAACGACTTTCGTAGATGCTACGCTCATTGCTGAAATACAATCCAGTCGAGATTATCAAGTTCAACGGAAGTATGAATGTTGTACTGCACCGTATCATCGTACGTGCACTGTGCAAAAGGACCAAGATGGCGCATACGTCGTACACCAAAATTATGTCCGCACATATCTATCAAGTGTATATAATTCACGTTATACTACAGGGCTGAACTTGGCGCTGGATCCTCCGGCACTCGGTATCTTAAACACCAAGCCTCGTCGCTGTCCGTAACTATTTCGAATAGCCCCCAACCCTGTAACTGGAGCTTTAGTGAAAACGGCCGGCTCCCTCGCGCACTGGCACACTGATTTGGCAATTGCGATTCCTCTTCCTTTTGCCCCACGATACTACTCAGCAATGAAATGGGTTCTCAGTCCAACGCCAGTTATCCTGGCTTTGTGGCGCCTCCGTTTGGAGTGGAGCCGGACCTGAAGTGGGAACCAAGCAGGCTCAACATCGTGGTGCAGAGCCTATGTATTGCGTTGACCACAACTTTTGTCGCAACCCGGATGTGCATCAAGTGGTTTCTTATCAAGCAGATACATCTGGATGATTGTACGTGGTAGCCTTCCTTCTTTCCACTCTGTGGACTATTCCAGATCGCAAATGCTGATTGATAGCGACATAGACGTGTGCATACTGGCCTGGGTATGTCACGATGAACAATTCCATTCCTAGAAGCGTTCGAGCCACCGAACTAACTATTCACCAAGATTGGATCGATTTTCTACTCCAGCATAACGATCGCTCAAGGGTACCTCGGTCTGGGTGTCCCCCAGTGGAACGTCGCTCCTGCCACAGTACTCGCTTTCCTTAGTCGCGGCTATGCCTCCCAAATTCTCTATGGCCCAATCGCCTTCACAACCAAGCTCGCAATTCTCTTGTTACTCATGCGCATCTTCTCCATTGAGCGCCGTTTTGTTCAATTCTCGCGCGCGCTCATCGGGGTGTGCGCTGCGTATTATATCGCCATCACGCTGGTGCAGGTGTTTCTGTGTCGCCCAATCGCTAAGGCCTATGATCCACGCATTCCAGGCCGCTGCTTGGATTCTCGATCCATCTTTATCACGAATACGGCCATTGCTATTTTGAGCGATCTAGTGATTCTCGCAGCGCCCGTGCCCGTGATATGGAAATTGAATATGGGATTATGGAGGAGGATTGGAAGTATCTTGGCGCTTGCGGCTGGTGGACTGTACGTTACTGATTCCCTTTTTCTCCTCGTTGGGCTTGTTCGTTCTACCTGTGTCAACCAGAACCAGCTGACCCTGGACTTAACAGCGCCTGCATTGCGACGATTGCGCGGCTCGCTGTCATAGTCAATGGCCTGACGTTAAAGGACAGGTCAAAATTCGGCCCACCTATCGTTATCTTGAGGTAAGTAACATGATCAGAGAGACCATCCTCGATATGAAGCTAACTCAAAGCTAGCTGTTTAGAGGTCGCAATAGGTGTGATATGCAGTTGTCTCCCCGTACTCCCTGCTCTCTTCCGACGTGTGCTTGGCGGTTCAATCACCACCACATATGGGTCACGCAAGCAATCAACATATAATAGTTGGGCGAAACGGAACACGATCAAACTGAAACCTACGGTTGGCTCGACGAAGTCAGCGCAACATGATGCCAGTAGGAATAGCAGTCAGGAGAATCTGAGATGAACGATGAAGAGGTTTTACAGAAGACGTGTGATAGCCCTGCGCAGAGAAACATCTGTCTAGTGCTACAGGAAGAGATGGAATCATCACCGATGTCAGAGTGTCGCCTGAAATACAGTTATAATACCTCTCACGATGAGCAATTTGGCTCGTACCCTGCCGGAGCAACGCAATCCGAAATCGACCGGTTCTTATCCGCACCAGGAACCTACCGAAGAGTGTTAGCAATCAGATCATAGTTGAAGATGTTGCTACGAATAGCGACATTAGAAGGGCAGGAAGAACCTCACATTGTGAACCACGGAAAACGAATCCCAATCCGCATCCGTATGAGGCGTATACTCCATAATGTTCATCACGGGATTGATCTTCGCGGCGCCATACAAGTACTTCAAGAACGCATACGTCATATCAATCCCCGCGGAAATCCCAGAACTCGTCCAGACCTTGTCGCCCTCGTTCTGGATCCATCGCGCAGTAGGAACCCAATCGATACCTTCGCCGTGCTTAGGATCCGTGACCCAAGTCCACGTCGCTTTGTTAGTCGTAGCGCGGAGACCTTTCAAGACGCCCGCGCGGGCGAGCCATGCAGCTCCGTTGCACACACTGAGGACGTAGGGTGTGGATTCGTATCGGGAGGCGATGAATTCTTCGATGCGCGTGTCTTTTGTGTCGTCGAGTGCGTAGTTGACGCCGCGACCGCCTGGTGCGATGAGTACATCAAGAGCCGGAGCATCCGCCAGGCTGTGTGTTGCGATGGTTTGTGGGGCAACTTTCAGATGTGCAAGCGTGGGTACGACAGCGCTTACGGGCCCGGCTTCATAACTGATTGTGCTGACGCTGATGTTGGCGGAGCCCTGGAGGAGGTAGAGGATTTCGAGCGGGCCGTAGATGTCGAGGGGCTCGTAGCCGGGGAAGATGAGCTGTGGGCACACAATGTTAGTGGTGAGCAATGTCGATTGAGAGGTGGCTCAACTCACGAAGCCGACGTTGAGAGTCTTGTTCGCATTCCAGACCTGGCCTTGGACGAGGGAAGCAAACGACAGCGCGGACAGTGATAGAGCTTTGAGAGAGGATTTAAGCATTTTGATGGTTAGATAGAGAGGAACTATTTCCTGAATGAAGCATTGCGAAATACTTCCGCAGCCTTTATATAATGCATGCGTGTTTCCTACTACTCTTGCTGACTGGGATATAAGAGTGGTGCCATGTCGTCTAATAACCGGAAACGCAATCCTCGCGAATCTCATTCCACATTGAGCATATTAGTTCTCCCTGTAAGCAAAATTGAGCGCATTTGACGTAGTGACGTATACGCCCTCATACGTGAGATCCGACAGCTAACTGGCTGCTATTCAAGCAAGCTTTTTCATTTGAATTGTCGGTTCGCGAAGATCCAATCTACTAATCGAAATAAACAGTAAAACCAGATCAATGACCTTTTTGGCTTCACAGTACCACACAAGACTATGATTGAACATGGTATGCTCTTCGCGGATTGGCCTAAGCGTGGGAGCTATCCCCGGTGATTGGTCAGAAACACAGACACTTGGGTCAACGGAATATCAGCTGATCCGATGGGAACATACGAGATAGCAGGTAGAGAGAGATGCAATAGGTTGCATGGGTGTGGAGAATTTGGTTCTACGTAGTAAAATGTGCAGGTGGCTTACTTTTCTCCCAGATTCTCTATGCATTTCGCCTACCGCTTACGAGCGTAACTAGAAAATTGGCTGTTACGAGATTACCGCTATTGAAATGATTGATTTCGTGTGAGTCTCGAGTCAAGAGACGACCAGTGCAATTGTTGTTGGTAGACCAGCGTGCAAGCTCGTATCCTGTTTACTATCCCAGGCAGCAGAACAGGAGTTGTGGCGCAGGTTCGATCCACTCTGCCCTATCGCCAAGCAACTGGAAATGTAATAAGTGTACCCCACTCCCGAGAGCAAGTTACGTACAAACAATCGGTGTTTCACAATGATTAAAATCAACGTTTCGCCAAGCAGATGAACTATGAAAAAGCGGCAAGACTGTACTAGTGATGGGGTCTATTGTGCTTGGGGTGGCCGACGATGCTTTAGCCCCCACACAAAATACGAATACACCTGCTAGCACAAGCTCCACCCGCACTTATTGCTGTAGATGTTATCTACTGAGTTTTCAGCAGTCAATTTGACTATCGCTAATGACACATGATTGCTGTACGGAGAATTTTGAGCTGCTTGAACTTGGCACAAGACTTATAAGACGCAGCAGTACTAGATTTGATAGTCACAACGACTGCAAATGCAACAACCTATGATGACTGTGACGACTATTCATAGATACGAAAAATTCTGCGGCAGGGATCACGACGTCTCAATACTAAAAGCGTACACATGGCCGTGTTGTGCTGTCCCGTCTTCGTTTGGTCTCGTACGGCCTGGAAATCTTATATACGCGGGTCTTTCTTACATCAGATGGGGTCTTAGATCCTACTGACACTTGCAAAGAGTCTCCATTTACTCAAAATATCCGTTTCGATTTATTTGTTGTCAATAAAGCTAGAAGTATAGGATCCTCGACCAGTTCCTATACTATCTTGCGCCCGATACAGCGCAACCGGCTCGCCAACGAGTTGTTACATTCCCTAAACGCGATGTGTTAGATCAACGAAGATATGTGGCAGCCAGTGAACGCCGTCTAGATCTTTGACAGTCATCTTATCTCGCTATCATGATTTTGATTTTCAGTTGGAGTTTAGGTGTTCCTACACACAGCCATGGTTTATGACGAACCCCCTCGCCATCATCCTATTGCACTTTTCAACCATATTCTTGTTTTCGGTGGTATGTTTGATTGTCGAGCTCTAAATCTTGTGTGAGCCGGCAATTTTGATCATGAATACCACTTAAAGTCTACATTCTCCTCACAGATAGGCGCAGGATCAACGTCAGATTATGTGTGTGAGGCTTGAGCGCTAAAACCTTCAAGAAAAGACATCACGATCAATGAGCCCAACACGACTTAAGTTCGATGACACGGCGGTGTATTCGCAGATCCCATACACCAGATCTATTCACTCGCGAATATCCTAACCAACTACCAATCCCCACTATCCCAAACAAAGCGACCATCCATCGATCGCGGAATAACAACCACCAGCCAACTAATCCATCCCAAAAAAGCGCACCACAAATCACGACCACTTCATGCTCCCCACACTACCCCCCATCCACCTCCTCTCCACAGTCCCATTCCCCGTCCCATTCCCCCCACCCAGCCCGTCCGTCACACTCGGCGGCAAATCCGCTTTCCCCGTCCCCCACGAACTCTCCTGAGCCCCCAACACAAGCACCAACTCTCCGCCCTCGCTGAAAAACTCATGCCCAATCCAGTTCCGCGTATAATTTGCTCCGTTAAGTGTCGCGCTCTGGATGTAGACGGAGGAGTACGAAGGATCGAAATTCTCGGCGCGGATAGTGGCGGTGCGGTTCGTGAGGGGCGATGTGATGGATACGCTAGGGAAGAAGGGCGGTGTGAGGAGGTATATGTTTTGGCCTGGGGTTGGGAAGAGGCCGAGCCTAGTTTGAGGTTGAATTAGCTGGGTGTTGCTACGGTATATTTCGCTGCGGGGTTGGGTGGGGGAGTTGGTTACATTGAGAAGGCGACGAAGCTGCCCATTGCGCCCGAGTCGTCGTTTCCGGGGAGCCCGTCGACGGTGGGGCTGAAGAATCGGGGGATGTAGAAGTGGACTCGCTCGGCGGATAGTGCGGGGCGGCCGGCCCAGTGGTATTGGTATACGGTTAGGAAGGATGGCTCGTTGCCGATATATGTGATGTTTTGGTCGTGCAAGTAGTTGAGGCGGTTCACGAAGGAGGTGGGGCCTGAGTACAGATCGATCAGGGCAGCTTGGTCGTGTGGGACGTAACTGTTGGAGCGTTGTAAGTTTCGCCGTCTTGACATTGAACGCGATATAGGGAAGAGAGAATGACGAGGGATCAGAGGCTTACAATCCATACTCCCACAAACTGCTTTCAAACGTCTCTTGTCCGTTATTCTGCAGCGAGCAAACGCGACTACCATCTGGATCAATCGCAGAACACCACAACGGATCCTGCGTATGCCACGTCCCATTCGCATACCTCCCCTGAAAGAATCCGCGGAACCCCGTGTCAGTCCCATCAAACAGCTTACTCTCCTGCTCTGCATAAAATAAATTCTTCCAATTTCCGCTCCTTTCCACATACTTCTGTACGTCAGCAGAATGCCCAAGTCCATCCGCCATCTGCGCGATACAAAAATCGTCATACGCGTATTCGAGCGAGCGACTGACACTCCTAGTAAATGTTCCGAATCCCTTGTAGTCGAAATCCTCGGTGGGAATATAGCCAAGCGTTTTCCAGCTATCCAGACCCCCACGGCCTTCAACAGACCACAGAAAGGGCTCGACTTCTGCGTCTTTGACTACGGCCGCGTATCCTTTCTCCCAGTCGATACCGGAGCGAAGTCCCTTGATGTACGCATCAGCCAGTACAACATCGGCATTAGATCCGCCCTGCGTGTACCCTTTGCAGGTGCTCATTCTACAGTCTGGTAGCCAACCTTCATGTTCATACGTGTCAATGAGACTTCGAATCATATGCTCTACAGCTAGCGGGTCGAGGACAGTAAGAAACGGCAGCTGTGAGCGGAAGCTGTCCCAGAGGCAGTAGAAAGAATCAAAGTACGGCTCCTCGGAGGTCCATTTCGGATTCTCATGCGTGTAGTTTTGCGGATTGACCATTGTACGATAGATTCCGGAGAAGAAGTTTGTGACGAGAGATTCGTCAACTCCAGTCGAATCCAGTTTGATTGGGGACAATTTGCTTCGCCACGCTTCCTCTGCCACTTTCTGCGTTTGTTCGAAGTCGAAGTCGGGAATCTCCGCTTCAGCGCTGGCGCACGCCTGCTCCGCGCTGATCAGGCTGACGCCGATGCGCGCGAGTATACCACTTTCTGGGTTCGTCGAGAAGCGAGTGAAACCACCACCTGGAAGCGGTCCTCCGCCATTGATGCCACGGTTGATGGTCAAGTCTTTGACAGTCGGGTCTGCCCGCGAGTTGACCCAGATTCCGTTGTCGCGGAGAGGGGCCCCAGAGAAGTCTGCGCAAAAGTAGCCAACCCACGTTCCCACACCAAAGCTCGGTTGGAAACGCGCGCTACCAGTCATACGACCTGAAGTCCCGTCAAGAGAGATGGTACCATTGTCTTGTCGTGTGTTGGAAAGGTCCGTAAGGTCGAGCAGGATGAGTGGACTCGTGCCGTTCCCGCCACTGGGAATCTTGAAGCGGAAGAGCGATGTATGCTGGCTCGCCGTCATCTCCGCTTGTATGCCATTTTCCAACGTCAATCCAAAATATCCAGGAGTAGCTTTCACAGAGTCTTCGCAATAGTGCAGCGCGCGGCGCACTTTTGGGTAGACGCAACGATTCACATCGTCGTCTGGACACGCTGCCGAAGGGAAGAAAGCGAAGTTGCCTAGGGAGGGTGAACCGCCTGTGCCCGAGTCGTGCATGGTGCTGAAGCCCGTCACCCGGCCGCCCTCGCTGGTGAAGCCGCCTTGGTTGCTGGAAGAGTCGACGTCTGCGACTGCTTTGGCCATACCGTAGGGGAGGGTTGCGCCGGCGAAAACATTTCCTTATCCTAGCTGTCAGTCCATGGTAAGCAAAAGCATGTAGAATATAGATTACCTCCATTCGCGCTTCCGATCAGCGGGTTCACATATTTCAGATTATCAGTGGCATTTTGCGCTATCACGTTCGAGATGACGAGGGAAAAAATCCAGAACTTCAAACAGAAGGATATTTCCATAGTGATCGCCATCGTCTACAAAAAGGTGGACGACGCAACATGACAACCACGGCAAAATCCGCAACACCATCGGGCCAGTACTTATCCCTTGCCATCAGACCTCCCCGTAACTCCGGTATCCCCTCCGTCGCTTTGAGAGGAAGGTGGGGATTCGAACGTGACATCAGAGAAAATGTTCGGCAAGATGCATTATATGGGTGGATGGGATATAGTGTTACGCGAGATGAGCTGCATGTGAAAGGATGCGTCTGGGTACTTCATCTATCGGCCCAATCAAACGGGATCGCACATCCTCCCCGCGTGGATATGTCGTCCTCGTGGGTGTTTCGATACAGCCGTTGGGGGCACATGGTGGTCATGCACGGGGAAGAGGATAAAACCTTGTGCGAAGACTGCTCGCGATGGGCGAAGCGCAACTTCCGAGAAGGTCCACACGAATGATGCTTGATGAGAGGTCGAGTCGAAGCAAAACGGAACTAAAGATGCAACTCTCTATATACACCGTTGAAGACGTCGGAGCAAGCTTTGTAGATGCTTTGGTTGCAAGTGGGGGACATGGGGAGCTGTTGCGGGGTCCATGTTCATCAGGGGTAGCTCGCCGGAATAGGCATGTAGCATTGATGGAAAGGCATGGTGACCACCTCAACAACCTTATCGACGTTTTGACATGCATTCCGCCGCGTGAACAATGGGAAGTATCCATGTCTCCAGATGTCGTCTTTTTCGGTCAGCAGAACATGACGTACTTGCCCCTGATAGTCCCTGGGGTTGTAGGCGCTATGTGAAAGATAGAGATATCACACATCCGGCATCTCGTATCGCGGCGAGCATCCCTGAGGGCCTCTTCATCACAGCTCTTTGTAATCAACGCTATCTCATTCCGTGTAAGCACATTTGCCATCAAGAAGCTCGATAAGCTCCTTTCACGCTCCTCTCGTAGAGTGCAGTCTAGTCCTGCGCATGACCTCCAGGAAAACGTTTCACCGGCATAAAGCGCTCATAGCACACATCATTCATCATACTCTTCATATTCCGAATCTCACTCAATCCCTACACGCACTCCCGCTCATCGAACTCTAATGCACATGCGAAAGATGCCTCTTCCTCGTCGAGTTCCCCGTAGAATTGTTCCCTGCACTCCCCTCGCTAAGACCCACCGAGATCTCCTCAATCATATCATACCACTCATCCCACATGGCCTCTGCAAAAGTCTCGTTCTGCAGGACCTGAAGTCCCGTCAAGGCGAGCACTTTGGCTGTTTTGATAGCCTGCTCGTGCGCAAAGTCCTGCGAGGAAAGACGTAGATTAGTTTGGGTCGTGCGCTTAGAGAGAGAGAGAGGAAGGAAAAGAGAGAAAGGGCTAGGTAAATCAACTTACAGTTCCTGCGAGCTCTCGAAACCCAGCGTTATGAACAGGCGCCGTCCCACCAACCGGAAATCCAACTTGAATCGCCGGGAGGAACCACGACACATTTCCCTGGTCGGAAGACGCCGACGCTTCACCCGACTCGTCTTCAGGCGCCGTGACGGTGAAATTCGCCGTCTCCGGGTCTGCGGACGGATCCATATGTTCAACCAAGAGCTTGTGGAACTCGCTGGCCAGCGAGAAACTCGGGTTCTGATCCCAGTAGTCCTGGAAAGGGGTGATTTCAATCGAGGTGTTTGTCGCGTTTGAGGACGCGTAGAGGATTCTGTAGAGCTGCTCGCGGACTTGCTCTGCGCGAGGTCTGGATTTTCCACAGAGTGAGTTTTTATGTAGGGTAGGCATGTTTGACGGATGGATGGATGGATGGATTGCGGGATGTGTGGTGCTTTACCTTGATTTTCCTCGTACTCCCCACACGCTATCCACGGAATCCGGGATGATGTTGGCTACCAGCTCGTTGTTCCCCTGGATAATATGGTGGATGCGGTCCGTCGACATGAGTTGCTGGCGGTACAGCCCGGTACTCGAGTACGCGGAAACGAAGCCGTCGAGCGCATTGCGGCCCATGAAGGGCGCTGCAGCAGCGTGCGATGCTTCGCCCGTCCACGTGACGTTTGCTCTCCACGACGCCAGCGTCCGGCCAAACGACGCGTAGTTGTCGTTGCCTGGATGGGCCATCAAACTGCAGTCGAGACCATCGTATGCGCCGGCCTCGAGGAGCTTGACTTTTCCGCCCAAGGACTCTTCGGCGGGTGTACCGATCAGACTGGGCGAACGCTATTAGCTATGTCTAGCAGACTTCTTTCTCCCTGAATATATTGATGCTTACACTACTTTCCCCGATACGCCCTGGTTTTCTAAAGCTTCTTTTACGCCAATGGCGGCAGCGACACCAATCGTCGCGATCAAGTTATGCCCACACGCATGGCCGATGCCAGGAAGCGCGTCGAATTCAGAGTTGAACGAGACCGCGCGTCCCTCGCCGCTCGAGTACTCGGCACGGAACGCAGTGCTGATGTTGTACGCGCTCCTCGTCACATTGAACCCTTGCTCTTCCAGGAAATCCGTGAGGGTTTTGTGCGCGTGGATTTCTTCATAGCCTAGCTCCGGGTTCTCCCAAATCTTGATCCACGTTAGCTTCGTAGGTCTAGTCGAGGAATCTAAGACTTTTCTTACTTCGTTGTTGACAGTGCGAAGTCCGTCGTCTTGCTTGTCTATGGCAGCGAAAACCTCTTCTGTAAGACCATTCACACAAGAAGTGCCAAAGAGCGCACCGGCCCAAAGTAAAAGTCCAGCAGTCGATCGCATCTTATCTACACGAATCCCAGAAAACCAAAAAAGAAAAACAGGCGTGAAGCAATCCGCTAGATACCAACTACAAGTATTTATTCTACTTATATATATATATATATATATATACCTTTTCCCACCAATGCCGATCGTACATGTGCAGCGACTCTGATAACCCGCGCGCAAATACCGATCCCGCCCACGCTACTCAACTCTACGGTATACTAAATAACTTTCCCTCAAACCCCAAGACGCTCCAAGCGTTTCCCTCCACCGCGTCCCTCGGAATCGCGCAAAATTCGGTCAAGAGAATCCCAGCATCCGGTATCGGTTGAAGCACAAATTGGCCCTATTACCTCGAGCGTTGGTCGGCCGAAGTGGTCCAAACCGCATGAGTAGCATTGAGCCTATCCCTACCTTTTTCCGTGGGGTTTGATAAGGGAGTTAGGATGGAGGGTTATCGGATAGGTGCCGTTGGGAGTCGGCATGGAGGTGCGTCACTGCTCTTGGCTTGCAGGTGCGAGTAGCTTGATGGAGGATTGGGGTCTGGTCAACGACAGGCGAGTATCACGGGTCAGGTTTGTGTATTATTGGAAACTGCGTGTAATTTTTCCCTGTGAAGCTTGAACGGAAAAAAATTAACTTTCTTTCACAGTGCACTGTTTGCCTTCTTTAATATCTAGCTGTGTACCAAGGTGGATAAAGATTGGGATAGTATCAACATCGTGAAGTACCCTTAGCACGACGGAGAACTCCACCACCTCCACAACAGCCCTCAAATCGATGTTCTATCATTGTCCAAAAATCCCTATATCCCCGGCATACGTTTATACAAGAAAATCCAACATCATAATTCCTGGTATATCCGCGCTACTATCCAGCGCAACAAGATTCCTAGAGCTACGTTTGTACCTCGCTCAACTGCCGTCCCTTCTGAAGAGGAAGGTGATGCAAGCTTTAGGATTCTAGCATACCAAACGCCCCCGCAGCCAAGACTCTTGGTAGGTCTACCTCGGGAAAAGGCTACTTCGACTAGTGCGTGTAGTTGTAGTCGGGTGGTTTTCTGGGAATGTGTGGGTAGGCGAGGTTTGTCCGTCATCGCACATCGATTGATCGTTCGCAAGAGTGGGGGTCACCTGTTCGGATGTCTCCCAACCTGTGGTCGTGTTTCCACTGTGTAGAATATATATATATATATATATATATATATATATATATACATACATGTTGCCTATTCGCGTTTATGTTTACATTGAAGTCGCTTAGGATTGGTACTAAGGCATAGATTCGACATTCAAAGCGGGCAGATACGGATTAAGGATCCGAGTCCGCTGGTGGGTAGGTACGTAGGTACGTAAGTACATTTAAGTAGTTACTTCCACCAACACGATACCCCAAAAATAATTCAACAAGGCCATGGAGAAATTTTCATTCAAGCAAAAGAGGCAGCAAGGCTGAGCAAATAGTCAAAGAACATTTTCATATACCGTCTGTCCCTTGGAACAAAAGAATCTTCATACACCAACCCAAACCCTAAAACCCACCCGCTTCCCCAACCATCTCCACCATCACCCAGAAACCTGCGGCGCCTTGCCCGTACAGTTGAACCCTCTGGGCTCAACAACATTATCACACAAATACCCTCCCGGCACAGTCCCATTCTCTTTAACTCTCAACCCTTCATTCCCGAAGATCCTCACGTCCGTACAAGGCCTCGCCCCGCTACACTGCAAACTCGCCACATTCACCTGCCGAATAGTCCCACTCGCGTTCCCCCAATTCATGTTATCGATGTGGAACAGCGAGGTATCGCAACCACCGCTGACGCCGTTGTACGAAGTGCATTGCATGATGTACCACGGGATCCCGACGTTTTCGAGCTGGAAGTCGGTGAAGGAGATGTTGCGCGCGTAGCCTAGCCCACCGCCACCGCCATTGGGCGCGAGACCCGTGGAGCGACCTGTCCATGTTTTGACACGGGCGGCATAGTCTGTGTCGACGAAGCGCGTGTGGACCGCAGTGATGTTTTCGATAATGTTGATCTGGTCCTTGTACTGTCCGATACTACCCATTGCGTATCCGAGACCCCTGACGAACGTGTTGTTGGCCATGTAGATGTTTGTCGAGTTTTGTTTCATGGAGATGTTGTCGTCGCCGGATTCGACGGTCCAGCGGAGGAATGTGATGTTGTTCGCGTAGATTGTGTCGACGCCATCCGTGTTGACGTTGCAGCGATGGATTTGGGAGGCTTCGGCGCTGCAGCTGTTGTTTATGTAGATGTTTGTGAGTTCTACGCGCTCGCTGCGTGTTACAGTTGCGGTCCACATTTGCGATTTGATGAAGCGGAGTCCTTCGATGAGCGAGTTGGTCGTGTTGACTATGGAGATGGCGTGGGGACGGCCTTGCGCGTTGGATGTTCCGTTGTTCCAAACATACCAAGTGTCGCCGTTACCATTGAGTGTTCCGTATCCGTGTCCGAAGAAACGAATATTATCCCCACCGAGGTACCAGGCTGTAGATTGGTTTTGGAAACCGACACGCAGTGAGCTATTCAGCCAGTAGTCGATATCGGTGGACCATTCCATAGTTCCTTTGAGTTCGATATCGACATCTTTGAGTCCAGTGGTGTTCATTGCTTGGCCGACCTTATAAGTAGTATTCGTAAATAGAATGTGACCATCTTGCCCACAATCTTTGAATGCTTGCAGGATTGCGGGTGTATCGTCACCGTCCGGTGCGCCGGAAGCCACCTCGCACAACTTTGATCTGGGTTGCTGAGCATCTCGAGGGTACATATATGGTGGACCATCACCACCAATCGATGGTGTCCACTGGCCCCAATCGGGATCGGGGATTGCTTGCGTGAGAGTAGCGTACGCAACTAGAAGAATCCGTGATACGTCTTTCATGGCGATGGTGTATTTAGCAGCTTCTATACTAGCTTCAGTACGTGACGATCCTAGGCGAAGATGCCAAAATGCTCAGCAAAATTCACAAATGCTTCGAGTAATAGAAATATGCTAAAGAGACTTGGCGATACAAGGGCAAAGCTTCAATGCACCGGCAGCGAGCACCGATAGATATACCACTGCAAACCGTCGCATTGAACGAACCAATCGAGCACTGCAATTGTGAGCATTAGGTCGGCAAGGAAAGTATGTCACCCTCATCTGTTTTTCTCCGCGCCATATTCTGTCATGATGCGTTACCCGGTGGCGATCGTTACCGCGTTCTGATCTGCCTTGCGGGGCACCTGTGTTCTCCTCATCGAGCGATGGTCATGTTGAAATCCACTCGCACCCATACAAGGGGGTGGATTTTAGCATCTACCATTAGTTTGAGCCAATAAGCGGTGCTCGGTATCGGAGGTTATAACCGGGTGGCCTACCAAAGCAGTTCACACTTGAGCCGATGACATGCTGCATAACTCCATGAGCCCGATTTATTGACAGTCCTGATATAGAGGGGATGTCCTGACCACCTCCTATATTTGGCGATGATTGAGGAGAAGATGCACATGAGCTGGTGGGGTAGTTTCCAGAGCTCAAATGAATGTTACAGCCATGGAGCTCCAGGCATCGTTTGCAGTCAGATCTGTCGATAAAATTGGTATATAGTAAACTTGAGCGTAACTCTAGAAGTCGCGTGTCTAAAATTAGCATCATCAGCAAACGTCCTCCACCTCAATATCCCCACCATCCCTCGGCCCCAGATCAGAGCGCAGGGTGCGGTTGAAGAGCTCCTTCAGCATCTCAAAGCACACACCCGACAAGGCAGCGTCGTAGCGCCCTTTGCTCAATTCATCGCGAATGAAAGCGTCTGCCAAATGAGCGTTAGTTGTGATAAGTCAGTTTGATGGGAATTGGAAACAACTCACGCTGCGCCCAAGCCGGTTCGTACCATGAGAAGTTCACCTTCTCCTCATGCAACCGCTTCCTGATCAAGTCTCGCCCTTCTGGCGGCACATGAGTGTCCATCTTGCCGAAAATCATGCATAGCTCGCCCTTGATATCTCCACATCTCTCCAAACTATCATCGTTCTTCCCCTTCCCCAGCGTCCGCGAGTGTATATCAGTGGCGAAATAGCAGACGGCAGCACTCACACGAGCATCGAGCGCGCAGCGGTATGCCAGATGACCGCCAAGACACATACCGGTCGCGCCAATGCGACCATTGCACGTGGGGAGCGAAAGGAGGTGCGAGACGGAGAGGGTGGCGTCTTCGTCGTAGGCCGAAACGGCCTTTTCGATCTTCCAGGCATTGCCGGCGTCGGTGCCCGGGCCATCGTAGGCGAGGGGTTCGGGACCGGTGAATTCGTGGTAGGATGACGGCGCTGCGACTATGTATCCTTGCGAAGCGATCTGGCGGGCGAAGCGGGCGACTGGACCGGTGACTGTGAGATGAAGTATGAGTTGAGGTTGATTTCAGACCAGTGGAAATATGGAAGTCGAGTCTTCTCACCCTGATAGATTTCACTGAATACAACAACCCCTGGGAATTTCGCCTGTTTATAATTCGGAATAGTCGGATGAAACATGAATATTCCTAACAAAGTCAAAGGATCAGCCTGATTTCTATATCCGTCTCATCCACATGACCCCCCAATTGCCAATTGTGCCAGAGAGGGAGGGGAAGATTCTCACATACTCATGTCACCGCCTGCCTTTGTAGACACATCATGATGCGACTCAGTGATAAGCATCTTGGTTCTCTATACAAGGTCGAGGTTGAATGCTTGCAATTGTGAGGTTGGGTATGTGCCAAAGTGAGGTGACGGTGGTGAGGATGGCGGGGTTGGAGGGGTAGCTCCGAGCTCGATGGACATGGAAATAGAGTGGTGGGGCAGACGACAGAGAACCAACCACCAACGGCAAGAGGAAATGAAATGGGCAGCATGACTAAAACATTGTCATCCACGAGGCGAACAGCTACCACAGTATATATATATACGACACGTCAAGTGAAAGGTACTGTTTGTCAATTATGCTCTCCAACGTACTGACTAACTAACACACACGCACCGACTACTAAGCTATTCCACCCCCTCCACCCAGGGTATCTATCTCTTGTTACCCACCTCCACTCCCTCGCACTCTTCCCCTTGACTATACATCTTCCCAGCCCCACACGCGCCCATCGGCGTCCTTTGCATCTCGCTTGAGATGCTGGCGAGAGATCCGTCATGCGTTCGTGATGCCCGCAAAATGCATTGAAGATAAACTTTTTCTTTTTTTTAACATGGTAAACCAGCCTGGGCCCGGCCTCACAAATCATAAAATGTCAGGCCGCTCCATGGGCATATTCCCCGTATCCTACTGCCCCTCAAGCGTGTATGCGCTCGTAGAACAAGATATAGGCTACCTTATTGTCCCGCACATTCTCCTTGATAAGGGGTGTTCGCTTTCCGGCCGAGTTGGGAGTCGCCGCTCCGTTCACTAGACCGTTCAGTTTCTTGCTGCCCGACTTTTCGGACCCGTTGACCTTGCTCCATCCGCCCTTGTCCGCCTCTTCACCGTACTCGCCTATACCGATCTGCTCGTACATGTTCTTGCTCTTCGTCGTGTCGTTCTTGTGCTGCTCCAGTGCCTCCGCAAGCACTTTGGGATCTTCCTCTGCACCTCCTTCTGCAACCTCATCAGCGCGGATACGACGAATCACAGTATCGTCCATGCGAATCCATTCGCGGCCGTCCTGACGGCGAAGGTCAGTAGTATAATGCCCGCCGCTAGCGTTCTTGCCGTGATGGTACACCACGCCGGTAAGCCGGTACCGTGGCAGACCACCCCGTGCAGTGACCAGTCCTCGCATATGAGGAGCAAACACCTCCTTGGGGATCTCCAACTCCAGAGGATATCCGATTTTCTTCCAAATCTTCTGCGGGCCGTTAGCGTCATAATGGAAACGCTTCAGGTGCAAGATGAGCACAGGTGGCAACGTTTCGATAAACATTTGTTTGGTGGAAGCTCGGCCACCGCGTGTGGCGCTATCCAAAGTCTCTAGACGGGTCAGACCTTTGAGGGCATCAGCAATGCTGTTGATATCAGGGGAACCAATGTCTAGCTGCAGTGGCTGGTAAGGCTCGAGGGTGACTGATGGCTTCTCGCCCGGCTTGCGATATTCGGATCGAATCTTTCCGCCGAACATCTTGGTAAGTGGACTCTCAAATTCAATCGCACCAGAAGACTGTGTGATGGCCGACTTTTGCTTCGGACCGACCTCGAGCCATTCTCCCTCGATGGATCCCGAGCGTTCGCTCTTGGGAGAGGGCACATTTTCAGTAGCACCTGTTGACCGAGAAGATTTGATGACCTGTGCACATTCGTCATGCAATCCCGCCAATAAGAACCCCAAGAATTCCTCCGCATCTTCTTGCTGACCTCGTTTCATGTTGTCGAAGCGAGGAAGGCGCTTAATCACATCGTATACGTATTCGGGGGTGAGCGGTTCGCCGTATTGCTCCAGCTCGGTGTCCTTGAGTCGCAGACGAAGCTTCTCAGCAGAAGAGGCCGAGTCAATGACCTTGAAATCGCGCATAAACATGATCCTGCATTGTGTTAGTGGGTGGGATAAAGACAAAGATGACGTCGACTTACATGGCATCTACAAGAGGGGTCTCAGACTTGAAGCTATGCACAGCGCGCTTCGCAACCTGATCTAAGAAGTCATAAAATGGAACGCAAAAGACAAGCATTTGAAGGATCTGCAAACTGTCAGCTTTGAAACGACTACCGACGGAGATTATCTTACAGAATTCATATAACACAAATTGCCCGTATTTACAAGACCACGGGGCTCAAGAAAAGAAAGCTTTTTGTCAGAATCGACAGAGAAGGAAGCAAGGACGTCACCCAAGGAGTTGCTGGTGGGAGGTGGGGGTGCATTGGTGGGGGAAAGGACGCCATTCGTCGCAGGAGCTGCTTGTACTGGCGCTGGTGCATTTTTACGTAGAAGAGCTGCCCATGAGCTGGGTGCCTGCTTGGGTGCGGCCGCGGCTTTGGGAGCCTCTTGAGCGCCTTCAGCGGTGGCTGCAGCGGAACCATTAGCGGCCTTGGGACTCTCTTGTTCTGCCGATATGGACTTGGCCGATTTTTGAGTCGTAGAAGCCACACTGGGAGCTTTGGCAGATCTGATAGGAATCAGGGGGACTGCGGGCTTTGTCTGGGACCGAGTGTGCGATGCTTTGACAGCTTCTGCTGATGGTACAGGTGCAGCATGAGTCAATTCGTTCTCCGAGGGCGGGTGAGACGTAGAAGGAGTATCGACCTCGCGTTCCGAGGCAGCAGCGACAGTAGAAGCCTGTGAGTCCTCAGGTTCCTCCGTCTGTGCCTTTTCAGACTCTTCAACGACCGTTTCGTCTTGTTTGCCCTCAACAGGTAGCTCGCGCGATGGCAGAGCGAGACCTTGCTCTTGAGCCGGTACCGGAGCTCTCCTTCGCCGTTTCTTCTGTGATGCTCGGGCAGGGAAATCGTCACCTTCGAAAGACTTCCATGGCAATTCCGGATAATAAGGGAGATAGGTGCCAGGTTGAAGGGCCGGAGTGGAGACGACAGAGGACATGGATGGGGTGGTCGGCGGCGGAGTGGGTGTAGACAAGTTAGCGGGCGGCGAGGATGAGCTAGCTACGGGAGGCTGTGAATGAACGGATGGCGTCGAAGGAGCTTGCTGCGGGGTGCGGTGGGGAGTGGACATCCTCTGCAAAGCTGGGGGCGTACGGGAATGCACAATCGGGGGAGTGTGACCCATGGCCCGGTTTACTGGAGGAGGCATGTGTGCCATATGCGGATGGGACGATACGACGACAGGCGAACCGTGTGGTTGAGGCTGCGGCTGGAACTGGCGAGGAGGCATGGCATACTGGTGGGGATGGGGCTGGTGGTACGGGTTATACCATTGCTGCATGTGCTGCTGCATCTGGGGCGGGTAGGGCGATGCGTGGGGAGGAGCATAGTGCTGCGGGTGGTGATAGGCGGCGTAGGGATTGTGATGAACAGGCGAATGGGCCTGGGGAGGCATATACTGGTGGTCGGCATAGGGATTGGGTCGCCTGCCCGGATGGTGAGGCCCAGCGGGCGGGATGTGAGGACCGGGCATCATTGTTGCCTTCACCAAGTCGGCGCTGGCGGGGAGCTAGCACCAACCCGTGAGGCAACGAACGAGGGGGGATGAGAGCGGAAGGCTGAGGGCGCGAAGATGGCACGCGACTGGGCGACGATGCGACGATGAGGCGGAGGTGGAGGCGGAGGTGCGCGTTGGTGGATAAGTACAAGGAAGGTGACTTGGGTAGGATTTATTTATTTGCTGGGATCCGACGAGTTGCGCAGGCGGCGGCACACGGGCGGGATCATGGCCTTAGCAGGACATGATGACGAGCAGAAAAGCTGCTCGTGTGTCGGGAATGAGGGCGTGATGGGGAGGGAAATATTTTTTGAGGGGGGAGAGGAGGGGGGGCGTGGTCGGGAAGCAGGATGTGAAGGCGAGTTGGGACGGGAGTTTGGCTGGAGTGGAGGGCTTGGCTTGGCCGCGTGTTTATGTAAGCACGCGAGCAGCAAACTCGATGAGCAATCAAGCAAGCAAGCAAGCAAGCAAGAAAAAAACCCACGGAACGATCGGGTATGCACTGATGACACTTATATAACTGGATCAGAGCTGGCAGGTAATGCGCCATGTCCAATGATGGATGGAATTGGTTGATTTGAAAAACGGCATCACTGACTGGTGCCATCGTCATCCAAGGCTTGCCCTATAGTCAACTAGGAGCAACATTGACATAACCTTTGCAGATATAAGAATCTTTTACCCGTGAGCTACTGCATCAGAATATGGATGGAAAATGGAAAATTCAGAATTACATGGATGATGCGAAGAAAAAGAATAATTCCTCCAAGGAATCCCCATGCTCCCGGATGCGGGCCTGGAGTGGTGATTGAGATCACGTGATTTAACCGGATCGTCATGTCATGCTTCTTCTAGGTGGCCAATCTGTGACTCTTCCTCTCCAAGTCCTAACCCTCTGGGGGAACGACCCAATCATTCAACCAACCACCCAATCTCTTCGTATTCTTTGTTGCCTCGTGTAGTCCATGGACGTGCATGGTGTTGCTTCAAACCGCCATCATCCCTCTTATCGACCCTCTTTCCTTGCCACTGGGGTACTCCTCCACTGATCCCATCTCATCCCATCCCCCTTCAACGCCCACCACGGGGCCATCATGTCGTTGAACTCGCCTGCCGTTCCGAATTCTTCAAAAGCCGCCGCCGCCTCATCTTCGAACCAACCCTCGCCCGTTCAAACCCAGCCCAGCTTCATCGCAACGGGCGATAGTCACGGTCAACGTCGAAGTGGGGGCAGTTTCGGAGCGGGGGCATCAACTCGATCTGCGCCCGCGCCACGCAACAATCAGGCCGCGAGGAAGCAGAACAAGGCTTCGAAGCGCTTCCGACAAACAGATGAGGATGCCATTGCCGAGTCGGTGAGTTTGGTCCGCACCCTTCAAAAGTCCCAGTCCGCTCACGCCACGCCGCGCAGCTCAGCATGCGTCCCTTCAACAGCAGAAAGGGCCAGACAAACATCACCCACTTGATGAACTTCAGTCTGCCTCCTCGCCCTCAGAACCACCACTCTCATGGTCATGGCAGGAGCTACCGACGGAATCCGACGTGGGGCATGGGGTCTGGCTACCATGCCTCGGATAAAGCAAGGTATGTTGACCTTCTCATAAATGTGCTTGGCCACACTCTCTAATCGACATCCCAGATATGTCCACGCCAACTATCGCTTCATTGTGGACCCGCGTGGCGACTATCGCGCCCAAAGCGTCGACGCCGACATTCACTTGGACTGGAATAATGTCCTACAGATCTTGGCCTCCTCGCAATCCCAGGACGCTTCCTGCCCCATCTGCCTAGGGACTCCGGTAGCCCCCAGGATGGCGAGATGCGGTCACATATTCTGCTTGCCCTGTTTGATCAGATACATGCACTCGGAAGACGATGGGAAGGGAATGCCTGAAAAGAAGGCGCGATCTAAAAAGTGCCCATTGTGCTGGGACACCATCTACATCTCGGAGACACGTCCATTACTTTGGTATATAGGTCAGGAGAGCGAGCCGCCGCGGGAGGGTGGCGACGTTGTGCTGCGCTTAGTTATGCGCCCGGCCGGGAGCACGCTGGCCATGCCCCGGGACGGTGCGGATGCACTCGGCAAAGACGACGACATTCCGTGGTTTCATGCTGCCGAGGTCATGGACTACGCACGTGTGATGCGTGGTGGGGAAGACTACATTGTTGAGCAATTTGACGCTGAAATTCGTCAACTGCAGCAGCAAGAAAAGGAGGACGAGCTCATGTTTGGAGAAGACAACATTGAGTGGGTGAGAAAAGCGATACGTTCGATTAATGAAGCGAAGGAAAAGGCCAAAGGTATTGGAAACCCTCCCGTGCCCTCTTCGAAGCCAGCCGAGCAGAAATCGAAGAAGGCCCCCATCGTTTTCCACGAGGATGAAACTGCCACGCCTGATATATATTTGGTGCAGAACGCCTCCAAATCGGGCCAGAGTCTACCCTCACACTCACACTCACACACACCCAACCCCGAAACCGCCTCTGCAAGTGGGGATGGCGATGCCGCCTCCAGCAACCGAAAACTATCCATGTCTTCACATTCGTCAAAAACAAGTCATGGAATTGGCTCAACCATTGCAGAAATTCGAAATCGTCAACAACATGACAACAGCCATACGCCGTCCGAGTACTATTTCTACCAAGCCCTTTCGCATTACTATCTATCGCCTTTGGATATTCGCATTCTCAAGTCAGCCTTTGGAGATTTTGCAACTTTCCCGTCCACCATTCTTCCGCGCGTGGAGCGAGTCTCAACTGGCCATGTGGTGGATGACGAATTGCGGAAGCGTACCAAATATCTCGCACACCTGCCCTATGGTTGCGAGGTCAGCTTTCTTGAATGTGACTGGACGGATACGGTTGGTCCCGAAGTGTTGGAACGATTCAAGCCTGATATTGAGCGGAGGAGGAAAAAGCATACCGATAAGGAGACGAGGGAAGAGAAAGCACGGCAAAGGGCGGAGAAGGCCGAGTATGCAGAGTTTGCTTCCGCTAGGAGGAAGCGACCGAGTATATCTGATCAATTCTTAGCGGAAGAGTTTCAGCCTTTGGCCAGTGGCAGCATCCCTGAGGCTGCTATGCCGACAGACGGGGAGACAGTATCAACATCACCACCATGGCCGGCCCGAAAGGGTCAAGGCTTCGCTTCACTAGCGTCGCCCTCCACAAGCCCGTCCGCACCCCGCACTGTATGGGGTACGGCCCTCGTAGCGGGTGCGTCTCCTGTCATTGCACCGCAAGAGATGGCGAATGCCGACGACGGGTGGCTTCAAGGATGGGAGAAGGATCTGCTGCAAGAAGAAGAAATGATCGCTCAGGCGCAGGCCATGTCGCTGGGCGAGGAAGAGTCACCGAAGAAGCTAGCTGGGGGAGGAAAGAAGAAGAAGGGAAAGAAGATCACTCTTATGAGTACAAACGTCAGACGAGGCGCGTGAAGCGTGAAGCGACACAGGGCGTTCATGTTTGCTGCAACGAGCCTTGAGCTCAACAGTACCTATTTTAGGCATATGGAATCAAGTATACACAAACTACTTTTACTGCATCTTTTTTTCAGCTGTCGGAGACCTCAATTGACTCTTCTCGCTCCTGACAGTCCATCGCATGTTGTTGAGGATCACATGCTGCAAGAACAGCACTTGAACATGAAGTTCGCCGGAGCACGTGTCAAAGACCCTCGAGCTCCCTGCCTTCCCCATCTTCTGCCTACATAGTTATCCTGCCCATCTCTGTGTCTGGATCTATAAATACACACGCATATTGCTTCCCCGAACCTGCGTCGGGTATCCAAGCAGATGTCCCGAACCGCCACACCTGAGGTGGTTAAGCTCAATCAAGACAGTCCAGTCCCTTTTTTTCGAAGCTTGTGCACATGCTAAGCTATCATGGGCCGCATTCCGCCAGTTGTACCTTTTTCGCGGCCCTTCTCACTCACGTCAATTGGGGAAATGCATGTACTGCACTGCACTGCACTGCAATGCGTGCAAAAATCCACCAAGAATAAAGTCAACGTCTCCCCGGTGGCGCTATCTGTTTAGAATCAAGGCTTGCCGGCAAATCAAGGTTTCTGGCTAATCTTCTTTTGTTTTCCCCCTCTAGAGCGTTGGCATCATAAACTTCGCAGGGACGAGGTGGGAATGCGGAACGGAGTGTGTTCCGATTTCCTTCTTGAAATGGAATGGTAGCGCATGAGAGATGATTGGGGACTTGAGCTGCGATTCATGAATATGCAGTGCAGTGCAGAACGTGCTTATTCTTCTTTGCTGTGTTGGGTGTGTTTAGGGGAGACTAGATATTTTCTGTAACTTGGCTAAGGTTGCTTTGGGGAGTGGGATTTTTGGTGGATCGAATGTACATACATAGGTATGTATACGGTAGTAGACTGATGAAGTGAGGGATCGATTGTATCAGAGACGGAGAGGAGGTGTTTGACTTCTAATTGGAGGCCGTAATCACCCAGTCTCTCGGCATAGTACCTCTCCACGTGCAGTTTTCTTATGTGCGCTTTTGGATGAGGCATGCAAGCCATTCACGAGTGCGGGAAGATGAACGCGAGAGTGAATCACCCGCTAATGTACCTACCCGCTTGGCTCATAACAGTGACTACTGTAGGTAGTATCGCCACATGTGCACTTGTGGTTGAACTTGCGAAGTTGCTCTGCAAACTCGGAGTAGTCTAAACGGCGTACTGTAAAGGAGTTTGGTTCATCTCTCCCCTGGTAATCTCCCCTGTTACTCTATTGGGATATCGAGAATGAGGAGGTTATACTAATGGAACCGGGCTGATTTGGTTGTTTTCGATCTTCAATGTTTCCTTTCCGATATATTCAAGACTTGAACAAGTGTCGTGTGACTAATTCTTCTGCCTAGAGCTCAAAGGCAGATTTATCGTGTTCTCAATACCCAGTGCTTGTGCCGCATGGAAATGCGATGAATCACCACTACGCTTAGTGAAGAATTCTTATCCGCAAGTTATTCGTTCTTGTCGTCTGGATCTGTTCCCCTCTAATCAAAATCACTCTATACTCGTCCTATGTGCCTATGCGCCTACTATGACACTTCCTCATTTAGTCCAGCCCGTTCCCTCCCAAACACCCCAACAATGCACCACACTGTGTGCTAGTTTAGAGCCAACCCACGGTTCCCCACCTGTCCATCTCGACCCATAACACTGGCAACGGTCCCGATGGCATGGAAACCGCGTATACGCACGTCGCGTATCTGATCTCGCCCCGGAGAGTGAATGATTTTCCGAGGCTCTGGGTTCTTTCTCTGCCTCCGAGCCTCCGAGATAGGACCTTCTTTCTTTCATCCTAGGATGCACGGTTTATTGCTTCATGTTATACTGGACTTTAGGTACATGTATGCGTACTTTGATAGATACCCCACATCGTCTTTAATATCTTCTGCTGCTGCTGACGGCTCTAGGAAATGCGCATGTGTAGAGTGTATGGCCATTCGTTGCTCTTGCTCTCATCGGGAACACACTATTCTCTAAGAGCTCTATTCACAGAAGAAGTAACAACTAGTAGTTAACCTGTCAATGTTTTTCACGCAAATATCTATTTGTGTCCTTGACGGATAGTCTGCAGGGAGGATGTGCAGCGCACAGTCACTAGCCTTTCAATCACGGAGTCTCGTAGATTGGCTATCATCGACCATCGGAAGCCCAGCCATTCGTATCTTGGCTTCGTGTGTGGCGGAATGCTTGATATTTTTATTTTCTTCGTCGTTGTGTGTCGCCGTACATGTGGCAAGCAGCACTAATGCGTCAATGGCGAAAGAGCCTCCATCTCAGATCTATCCAAATTCACACCACGAGAAAATATAAATACAGATCTCATTCCTTTGTCTGATTCTTTTCTGATCATCATCACGAGATTGATCACTTCACTTCACTCGCTCGCTCGCTCTTCTCTTCTTCTCTTCTCACACCATCGTTACGATATCTTGTTCGGTTCAAACTCTTCTTTCGTTTCTCCTTTACATCCACCTTATTTTTTACTGTTTCGGCACGGACAAAGGCCGATAAGGACGGAGACCATGTATATTCCATCTTCCCTCCCAACAACCTCCCTCCTATTCTCCACGTTCTCCACTTCCCCAGCTCCTGCTCCAACAGGCCTCGTCAATGGTCTTCCATTGTCTGGGATCACTAGTGCCGCTGGTGGGATAGTTCCTGGACTCAATGGCGGAGGCTCTCCGCTGTCTGGTCTGACTGGCGGTGGCGATGGCAAAGGTGGACTTCTCCCCGGCTTGACTGGGGGAAGTGGATCTGGCGCGCCGCTGTCTGGCTTGACTGGCGGCGGGGATGGTAAGGGCGGTCTTGTCCCCGGTTTGAATGGATCCCCGCTGTCTGGTGTGACTGGCGGAGGTGATGGGAAAGGTGGTCTCGTGCCCGGCCTCCCTTTGCCTGGCGTCGATGGTAAGAGTGGTTCTCCGTTATCTGGCCTCACGGGTGACGGGAAAGATGGACTTGTTGCTGGCCTTCCTCTCCCCGGCGTCAACGGGGGTGATGGTAAAGGTGGGCTCATCCCCGGTCTTCCTCTACCTGGAGTCAACGGCAACAGTGGGAGCGGAAGTGGATCTCCACTTTCTGGGCTCACTGGCGGCGACGGCAAAGGCGGACTCATTCCTAACCTGAATGGCGGCAGCGGCAGCGGCTCTGGATCTCCCCTGTCCGGTCTGACAGTTGGTGGCAACAAAGGGCTCCTACCTGGTATCAACGGCCTTGTAGGCAGAGGTGTGCCCTCGGCAGCAGCTCCAGCTGGAAGCGCGTGCAACAACAATGTGAACAATGCAGCTCAGCAGTTTTTCAATGTTCTTGCCGGCGATAAAGACGCGAAGAACTTCTGCGACGGGAAATACGCGACTACAACTGTATGGGTTGCACCAACACCCGGGGCTCCGAATCGCAATTGGGGAAACAGCGGCAATGGGAATGGAAATCAACCCGCCAACAATAACTGGGGAAGAGGTTTTCTTCAACCCAGAGATGGAAACAAGAAACAGTGAGTATATAGTTGCGAATTTCACCGTAGATGCATTATTCTAACTTGAATGATAGGGTTCTCTCTTATCTTATCCAGGCCGCCCCAACCTATGCGCAAAGCTTCTGTGCATGCAACTTCCCTGCCTCGAAAACAACTACAGTTTCTTCTCAAAGCCCTACGGTCTCCGTTCCAGTGCGTGGTGCGTCGAGCACTTGGCTTTCCTCTGTGCTTCCATCGTCCATCGTCTCCTCCATCGGAAGCTGGGGATCTTCGAGCTCGCCAGCCGTTCCCACTTCGGCTTTTACTTCAAGCTTTCCAAACACGCCCTCTGGAGGACCGTCGACGCTAAGCTCTTCTTTCATTCCCTCTTCGGTTGCTTCTTCTGTGGGGGGCTCGAGCTCTTTGAGCTCGCCAGTCGTTCCTAGTTCAGCTTTCTCTTCCAGCTTTCCAAATGTTCCTTCTGGAGGACCGTCGACATTGAGCTCGTCTGTCATTCCCTCATCGGTTGCTTCTTCTGTCGGGGGCTGGGGCTCTTCGAGCTCGCCGGTTGCTCCTAGTTCAGCTTTCACTTCTAGCCTTCCAAACGTGCCTTCGGGGGGACCGTCGACTTCGACTTTACCTGTAATTCCTTCCTCAATCGTTTCTGTTTCTTCTGGAGGAGGTTGGGACTCCTCAAGCTTTCCAGTAATTTCCACTTCAGTCTTCCCCTCAGGTCCCTCCAGTGTACCCTCCGCAGGTCCTTCTACAGGGATTTCTTCTGCATTCCCTTCCTCGGTCGGGTCTTCTGCAGGCGGTTGGGATTCTTCGAGCTTTCCCCCCGTTTCGACTTCAGTGTTTCCCTCGGGTCCTTCCACTGTACCCTCCGCAGGTCCTTCTACATGGATCACTTCCGCGATCCCTTCTTCCGTCTGGTCCTCTGTGGGAAATTGGGGCTCTTCATCAGCAGTACCTTCATCTATCGTGTCTGAGGCTGGGTGGGGTGATTCGAGCTCGCTAGGTTTTTCATCGACCTTTTCTAACGGTCCCTCAACGTGGGCTTCGTCTGCTGGACCTAGCTTACCAGTCACATCTCCTGGGCAGAGCGGACCAAGCTCGTGGGTGTCTTCTCCCATCCCCAGCCTACCATCACTCTCTATATGGCAACCCAGTTCGGCATCTTCATCCTGGGAGCAAAGTTCCTCGACCTTCTTGGCTTCCACTCCAAGTCCTAGCATTCCGGTCTCTTCTCCGAGCCCCAGCCTGCCGATTTCGTCTCCTAGTCTCAGTCTGCCAACTTCATCCTGGGAAAAAAGCTCGTCGACTGTGTTATCTTCCTCTGCTACTCCCAGTCTCCCAGTTTCTTCTCCTGGGTCTAGCCTTCCAGTCACTTCGCCATGGCAGGAAACTACATCGAGCGTACCAGTTTCTTCGCTTATACCTAGCCTTCCAGTTACATCTTCATTAGAACAAAGCTCTTCTAATGTGTGGTCATCATCTCCAAGCTCTAGCCTGCCTGTCACCACACCATCGCAAAGCTCTCCGTCTGCATGGGAATCTTCCCCTAGCCCAAGTGTTCCAGTAACATTATCGTGGGGACAAAGCTCTGCGAGTATTCCAACACTTCCGGTCACTACACCAGAGCAGCCTAGCTCGTCTGTGTGGGAATCATCTACCCTTCCCACACTTCCGGCCACGACACCAGTGCTACCGAGCTCATCTTCAGTGTGGGAAACTTCTCCAAGTCCAAGTATCCCAGCCTCTTCATCATCTTGGGAACAGAGCTCTTCTACTATTCCTACGCTTCCGGTCACTACACCAGAACAGCCCAGCTCATCTGTGTGGGAGTCTTCTACTATTCCCACATTGCCAGTGACTACACCAGTCCAACCTAGCTCGTCTGTATCTGTGTGGGAGTCATCTACCCTTCCCACACTTCCAGTCACAACACCGGAACAGCCTAGCTCGTCTGCGTGGGAGTCCTCTACCCTTCCCACACTGCCAGTAACTACGCCGGTTCAACCTAGCTCGTCTGTGTGGGAATCACCGACTCTTCCTACCCTTCCTGTCACGACACCGGTGCTACCGAGTTCGTCTGCGTGGGAATCATCTACCCTCCTCACAATCCCAGTCACAACACCAGTGCTGCCTAGCTCGTCTCCTGTATGGGAATCCTCCACCGTCTCCACGCTTCCAATCACTTCGCAAGTGCAACCAAGCTCATCTTCGGAGTGGGAATCTTCTACCATTCCAACTTTGCCAGTAACTACACCAGTTCAGCCGAGCTCGTCTTCGGTATGGGAATCTTCGACTATTCCCACGCTCCCTGTGACTACATCTGTACTACCAAGCTCGTCTCTTGTATGGGAACCTTCTACCGTCCCTACACTTCCGATCACTACACCTGGTCTACCAAGCTCGTCTTCTGTGTGGGAATCTTCTTCGATTCCTACATTTCCAGTCACTACACCTGAACAACAGAGCTCATCATTCGTATCGGCATCTTCTTCTATTCCCAGTCTTCCAGTAACTTCATCTTGGCAGCAAACTCCTTCCAGTGTGTGGGCTTCATCTTCTGGTCCAAGTCTTCCTGTTAGCTCACCATGGCAACCGAGCTCGTCTGTGTGGTTCTCTTCTAGCATCTCTACGCTTCCTGTCACATCACCTACACAACAAACTTCGCCCAGTTCATCCATTTGGCAGCAGACTTTGCCAACTACATGGAACTCTTCTCCCCAACCAACCAAGCCCGCTCCATCACAATGGCAGCAGAGTTCTTTCACCACGTTTGTCTCTTCAGTCATTCCTTCTCATTTGCCAACCAAAACCAAAACCAAAACTAAGGGTCAGGGCTCCACTCCCACAGGATCTTCCCGATCTCGAGCTCTTTCTTCGAGATTCTTTCCCTCCGCCGCTGGGGACCAATCTCCCCCTTCTTCAGAATCTTGGGCTGGGAGATTTCCTTCGGTAATCTCCTCACTTTTTCCATCCTCTATGAGACCAGGATCTTGGGGTCCATCCAACTCCCCCTCTGCATCTTGGGGCTCATCTAACTTCCCCTCTGCAACTTGGGGTCCATCGGGCTCCGCATCATGGAATCCCTCAAACTATCGTTCTTCCTTCCCCCAGTCTAGATCACGCGGACCAAACGGCTCAAGGACGTGGGCCGCAAACGGTCCAGCAACATCCACTTTGGCAGCTGTCCCATCTCCAGATGCGCCTACCACTCTCCAGACTCGAACCGTTCCCGCCAAGAGCCAGGGGGCAGCTGAGACGCCCGTCACCAGCACAGAGATCTCTTATGTCCCGCAAGAGTACCCGACCTCCATCATTTCCACCGGTGCCTTAGCACTTCCCACGACCAGTGTAGTTGCTTCCTCGTCATCGGCATGGGATGATGATGCCCCAGTACCCACAAACCTATCGACCAAATAAGTAAGTTTATCTCTCTGACGCTCAAAAACTCTTGTCTTCTTGACAGAAAATGCATGACTAACATTCTGGTGATACAGACTACACACACTTTTCATGGCATTTCAACGGCGTCTGCTTCTACTGCATCCTCTGCCTGGTAGACATTCTGCATGCGGCTATTAGGCCTCATCTTGCCTTCTTTTTCTCATCTTCTCATATTTCCTGAGAACGGTGTTCCCGGAGCTTCGAATTCCCTTCCTTACTCACATTTGGATGTAACCCACACTCCTTTTTGCTATACAGCAACGATTCACTGTTTTTGTATTGCCTCGTACTCTCACATTTTCAACTTATTGCGTTGTCCCAGATTTGCGATACGTTCCTTGCTTCTCTATCAACAATCTTCTTATCGCTCATTACTCCTATTTACTTATTACATTCTATTCCCTCATTTACTTCTATTGACCTTTATCACGTTCTCCTTCTCAATTACTACTTATATCAACCATTTTTTTTTTTTTGAGTTGGAGTTAAGGTGATCCTACACACAGCGAAGGGTTACAACGATAAATAAACCAAAATGACGAGCGATAACCAAAAGAACAAACGTATATCAACCATTCCTTTAGCTTGCACTCACGTCGACATGTATATATTTAGTTTCACATTTTACACACGCTACGCTCTTAGTCTAATCTTTGCACATCATCACGCTCTTTAAGTATTTGACGATTTTCAGATCCCGTTGTCTCACACATCGTCACTCATTTACAATTTACATTTTGTAGCGATGTTACTTCACTTCACTTTGTACATATTCCATACTCTCAATTTACCATATTTAGCTTCCTTCGATCACTTCAGCGCGCTCCGTGAATGATCTTGAACATGATGATCTATGAAAACAGATTTTCATGGATGTGTACAAGAAAATTCGATTCGATACAGTAATGTCTATAAGAAAGGACTGGCTAAAATGAAGAAAGAAAAAAGCATATACCGATACCCCCTAGCATCGGCTCGCCATATACAACGATTGTCGTTGTACAACATATTGATGACGACCTGCACAGTAAAGGAGATGAATTACTTTCACAGATTCATCACCGGAAAAACCAAGCACACTCTCGATTTGAGGCAGGAAGGAGGCCTATCGCCCCCAAAAGCATTTCGAAGATAGTGAACAGCATCTCCCGTAGTCAGCTTATTCATTCAAGATTCAAGATCACACAAACACAATTTCAATTTCCTGAAAAGCCCTTCAAGCTGTTACATACCATAGACAAACTTTGTACAAAGTAGATCTGGCCAGGACCAGGCAAAAAGCCACGAACAAAAGATGAAACACTTCCACTCTTACACGTTCTAGCCGCATATGGTAAGCCCAGAAGGGCAAGGCAGCCCTCACGCCGCACAATATTACGGTGATTGCACACTAGCGCATACCGACTGTAGTTTCAGCATAAATTCGCGCTCGTCCGCATCACCAAGCGTGTCGATTATACATCTCCAAATCTTTCCCGGCCGCATCTATAGCTCAACGGCTTGAAAGCCCTCATACCATACTTAAGTCTACCATGGATGCACACGCCCCAGCGGATCATTTCGACATCCCATACACAGAAGGAAGGATATTGACCATGAGAATACATCGCACTGGAAACAAGTCTAATTTACCTGGCCTATTTGTTCAGAACCGAGAGCTACGTGGCAAAATCGTCAAAGTTCGAGAACATTCCTCATCAAGCACGAAAAGAACTTTCATTCTCGAGCTTGAACTACAACATGAAGAACCGAATTCCCCTGCTGTAAGAGCAGTGCTCAAAGTTTACGACCGCCAGTTCACGCCCAATTTTCGCGCTTATCATAATGCCGGTCAAGCGACCTCTGAAACCGAAAAGCGATACACCGATTTTGTGCGGCAAGGCGCAATGCCTCAATTTTCAGAAGACTATGAGCAAGGGGATTTAAATAAGTACGACGGAGCAGACATGCCAAAGACGGAAGCATTGTGCTACATCGACACCGCCAAAATGCACGACACTGAACTCAAGGTGTATGACCGTCTTGCCGATCTCCAAGGCAGCCATGTCCCAACGCTTCTCGCGGATGTCCGTCTGACACCTCAATACGCATCTGCCGATCTCGATGATAGCTTGAAAGAGTATCTCGATATCAAAGCTCTCCTATTGGAATGTATCCCCGGCTTTCCACTCGTAGACCTGGCAACAGAAGCTCCAGAGTCGGATTGGCCGATGATATGCGATCAAGCAATGAAAACAGTCAGATACATCGCTGAACACGATTTCATCTGCGGAGATCGCATGTTGCATGACATTGTAGTTCGCCGCACCCAAGAAAGCGTATACCATACTTTCTTCGTAGACTTTGCACTTTGTCAATTCCGTGAGGCGGGGGATTCCGAGGAATTCTGGCGGGGGCGCAAGAAGCAGGCTAATGAAGAAGGAGCAGTGGGGTATGGATTGAATAACGTGATGTCTTATGCGAAAGGCAAAGGGAAAGGAAAATACAGGAAGAGGTATAAGGGGAACGATCCTTTGCCCTGGGGGTATGTACCTTGATCGCGGTTTGAGGTGGAACGTTATGATCTGCACGCAATCGGAATGGGTGGTTTTGTTGTGATTTTGAGGCTGTAGTGATTGATGGGATGAGGCATAACACAGTACGAGGGAACGCAGTGAATTGACGAAGGACTCAGGCAGATACACATGTCAGCGGTAGTATTGCATACAAACTAGACTGTACAGACTCAATGATTTCATTCTGTGCGAAAACCATGAGCGCGTTTCCTCACTTTTTCCTTCCTCTCCTCCTCTTCTTCCTAGGCGTCTTTTCGGATTGATCATCGCTAGCTTTGCGTTTCGGCGTGACACTGATGAATGGTGCACGTGGGAAGCCAAATCGGTACTCATTCTTCTCCTCCTGCAGGAAACGGGCTAGGGTTTCTGTGCTTGGATATAGGTCGCCCAGGTGTCTGTACTCCGCTTGTGACACAGACCCAGAAGGTGAGCCTCCAAGAGCATGTAGCACATTCTCTTCCGTGTCAGTGAGCTTTTTCAGAACACTCACAAATGCGGTCTGCTTGAGAGTCTTAGGATTAGGAGCGAAGTAGACCTTGAATGATGAGGCCCCACCATTACGGTATTGATAGTGGATGAAGTGGAGAACTCGGAGTGACGGAAGACCGTTGTCAGCTGCTACGTTAAGGAAGTTCGTCACCACTTGCAGAATTGTCGGGTCTTCATTGTTTTTGATCACAGAGTTACAGCTGAGATCAGCTTTTTTGGTAGTGAAGATGCACAATGTGTGCAGATTAGTGAGTCCCTTTAGACCGCCAAAGAAACTCTTGGCCTTTTCCAGGAATAGTTCTGCGACATGGGGTTCGCGAAAGAGTTGCGGATCCTCAATACAGACTCGGGCGAAGGCACCGTTCACACCAAGTGCCTGAAGTTCTGGGCAAGCATCAACCAGAGCCAATGCATCTTCCTCTCTGAACTCCTTCGTACTAGCACGCCAGGAGAAGGATATGAGTGTCTCTCGATGCATCGACGCACATGCAGCCATACCATGTGCTGGCAGGGCGACCCATTGATGGAAACACAAAGTTTTCAGGTTGGTGATATTCCCTAAGAATTCCAACAGAACGTCTAATGTAATTCCCGGGAAGGTGGCTCCTAAAGGTTTCAAAGTCTGCAGATATCGGAAATGGTGGAGTTCTGTAATACCCATTGCTTTTCTTGCGAGAGCGAAGTGGTCGACCAGCAACGATCTCTCGTTCGCTATGGCAGCTTCATATTGCTCCCAACTCGAATGAGATGTGTTGGTGTTTGAGATAGACAGCGACATGATCCTTTCAGGCATTCTCAGAGCTGGACAATCCGGGATGTCGGCGGAGTAGAATGAATCGAATGAGATATCTCGAACGTCATGCCACGACTGGTCAAGGTTATCGAGATTGCCCCAGTTGAATGATTCCCGGCATTGATTTCCATAGAAATGAGCCATCACGACTACTTGCTCAGATGGAACGATTAGTTTGCGCGCTGCCTGGATCTTGCAACCTTGCCGGAGATAAAGGACTAAATCTTTTGAAGTATTTCCTTTACCGGCTTCATGGGAGGTCTGTAGAACAACTCCCATGGGACAGGTCTCATTCTCGCTCGTAGTAGTAGAAACGGAAATCGGGGGCAGCACAGCCGTTCTGAGTGAAGATTGCGTATCAAGGTATCCTTCCAAACAACCGTATGAAAGCTCATCAAGGGTTGTTGGGGCAGTGAATGCCAATATATCGATCTTCTTCTTTCCACCTGAGTAGACTTTCAATATCCTCGAGAGCATCAGGCTCAAATTCTTATACTTATCCTCGTCCGGCTTGTGTTGGTACTCATCAAGACAAGGGGAATGTAGGATTAACGACTTCGTCCATGATCTATTGCGAACGAGGTTGGCTCGAATTTCTGCATTGGAGCGGTCAATTCGTAGAGGAGTTATATGTTTGTGGAGGTCTTGGACAAGTAGGCTGCAGTGCTGTTTGGACAGACGTATCAACGTAAGCTGGTCTTTTAGGGGAAGCTAATGAAATGCATCAGTCATCCGACTGTCGACTATGTGTATCAAGACTTACCAGATTGAATATATTGATCAGAATCTCGCCCGGAAGACGGCTGAGAGGGCCTTTGCCTGTGGTTTTCTGCAGTGGCGCCATGTCACAATGCAACGCAGTGATCGATAGGTAAGGATGCTGGAACAGAGGTAGGATAGGCCGCGATGTTACCCTTAGATTAGTCGAGAATCATATAAGCTTCCTCTTTTATCAGTTGGCGCGGTTTAGTCAATTAGTGTAATGTTTGAGGTGAGCTTGGGAAGTGAATGAGGGAGGAAAGTGAGTGCACGGACCAACAGCGGCGGTGGTAACACAGAAAGCTGCCGCGTATAAAGCCCGCTCTGTCCCCGCTCCTCTCCCAATTTCCCCTCCACTCAACCAACCTCCTCTTTTCTTCTTTTCTGAAATCGAGCCCACTGCTCCATCTTTGAGCCACCCCCGACCCAATTCTGCACCCCAGATTATCGACCTGCACGGCTTCCGTTTGCACTTTAGGGCCTTCATACTAGGCGCTCTCGCTCGCAAGAGTCATCTCGCCGGTATCGTTTTCACATAACGCTTCACACAGGTCTTGTTGGAGGATAGTGTGGGGTGGCTGTGACGACATCCGGCAGAGAAGCACACCGATTCTGGACGATCGACACCGAACTTGAACTCGTCATCGTGAGCCCCAGACTCTCGGGGGCCGTAACGCTTTATGCGTTGCCTGCTACGACTTAAGCCGTTGTGCGAGCGCATTTGCGTGAGCTCTTCTGCTTGAGGGGGGGGCCCTGCGACGGCACGTACATTACCGCCGGGGTTTGTAGGGATCGCTTGGCCCAAGACCTCGTATGGGTAGATCCGTTTCGAGATCCTGTTTATGGGTTGAGCACCACTCCTGGATGATCAGCACGGTACCAGCATCCGTTGCTGTGAGTCTCGATAGAGATCCGCTACCGATGTGATGTTGGAGAGTGACTGTGCTGGGAATTGGTGCACTGAACCTGGATGATCAGTCCTGTATCGGCATCTGTACCCACTTTGGGTAAATCGACTTCGGATGTTCTGGCTCGCAAGAGTTGGCTGTAAAGCGATACATCGATCCCAGGACTCAGTTCGTTTTCCATGAATCATTCCTGTACTTGCGTCTAGTGGTGCGGATGCGGATCCCTTTGCCGCATACCGCCCCTCGTGAAGCGTCCCCAATAGTGAATGGACCGTTGCTATGGTCTTCGGTATGTTATTCTCGACTTTTTTTATTGATACTATATAGGAGCATCATCGCGGGAGGGGTTTCTGCTCAGCTGTGCGGGTGCGAGTCTGCCCATGGCATCATTACGTGCGACCCTTCTCGCCTTCGACTTTTTCATCGGGGCGTCATTCTTCATAGGAGAGTGTTCCCGAGGAAGAAATCTCTCTATATGGCTTTGTGGGAGAGCGTATCGAGACTCAAGTGACGGGCTATGATGGAGTATCACCCTTATATCTTTCAAATGTTGTTCATGTGCATTTGCAATGGATTTTGCACATGGAGCCCAGGATGCTCTTGCGCGCGCATAGAAAACGGAAGCCATTGAACTCAAGCGACTTACGGTTAGTGAATGTTTCCGCAAGCTGTGCGGATGAATGCAAGTATAAGCATATGAACAGCGCCACGTCTAGTTCATGTGGGATGAAGTGAAGTTGAAGAACATTGAAGTCGCGCTAACCAAACAGGGCTAGTGACGTCACCATTGCAAGGGTGAGTGCTGCTCTACAGAGTCTACACGTTGGTGGCCAGGTGCATCGAGCCACTCGCGTGTACGACCAACCTTTTGATGCTTCAAACACTCAGAAAAAAAGACGCAAAGATCAAGCATGGGTGTAGATTCTGCTGTTACCAAGCTTCTGGGCCTAAGCCCCGAAAGTACTTCGATATCTTCCGCTGGGGGAGGAGGATGTAGTTCCGCATCGACATATAAGATCGCGTACAAGCTTGACGACGGCACGGAGCGACAATTTTTCATGAAGACGGGAACAGGGCAGAATGCGGAGACGATGTTTCAAGGTAAGTTTGTAACTTTTACTGTAAAGACACGCAGATCTTGACAGCATTGTAGGCGAACATGCATCACTTGCTGCAATACACGCCATCGTTCCCACACTATGCCCCAATTCATTTGGCTGTGGGAAGTTTGCTTCTCAGCCTTCCACATACTTCCTTGTCACTGAATACCTCCATTTGACTTCTCGTTCTGCCGCCAAATCATCCACCTCTTCCCTTGCCGCCAAACTCGCAAAGTTACACACGACGCCGGCACCCATACCAGACGATTTTGACAAACCCATGTTTGGGTTTCCAGTCACCACGTGCTGTGGGGATACACCACAAGATAACAGTTTCAAAAGCTCTTGGGCTGACTTTTACGCCAATAACCGCCTTCGCTTCATCCTTCAACGCGCTGAGAAAAGAAACGGTGTGGACAAAGACTTTCACTCTCTTGTTGAGACCACGGCTTCAAAAGTGGTACCTCGCCTCCTCGGAGACTCTCATCTTAATGGTGGAAAACCGATTTCTCCCATTGTGGTATGTCCTTGACTTTCACAAAAGTTTCGGGACATGGTCGTGCGATATCGCAAGGTGTTACATTGTTTGACACTCTGCATCGGCAATACTCCATCCAAGACTTTATCCTTGAACTTTGCTGACTGTAGGTTCCTTTTTTTAGGTGCACGGCGATCTCTGGAGCGGTAATGCTGGAGTCGGGCGGATTGGAACCAAAGACGGCGACGCAGAGGACGTTATATACGATTCCAGCGCATGCTATGCGCATAGCGAATTCGAGCTCGGAATCATGAAGATGTTCGGAGGGTTCGGTGGAAGCTTTCTCAAGGAATATCACGAGCTATGTCCCAAGACCGAGCCAGTTGACGAGTACGAAGACCGAGTAGCTCTCTACGAGCTCTACCATCATTTGAATCATTATGCTATGTTCGGAGGAAGCTACCGATCAGGAGCAATGAGCATCATGAGGAAATTGGTGGCGAAGTATGGGGATGGCAAGGGCTGATGCCCGATAACTTCTAATAGATGAACTTAGGCGATTGAATTAACTAATACTCCTCCGGCCCACTGCATATCCAAGATGTTCACTACACTCATTCCAACAATATATACATCAATTATCAAACTGCTTGATATTACCCTCACAAATACTCTAGCATCAGCTGATCTACCCGTCAATCACTCCACCGGCCCCGGGACCACCGAGGTAGAAATAACTTCCCCAATCTGATATATATTAGCCTTCGTCGCTCACAACCGACAAGAGGGATGTCAAAACTTACTGGACCCGCTGTTCCAAGAAGCGGTCATACGGTACCGGTTTGCATCACTGATAATGATTCCTCTACTTCCATCGTACGTGCGGTCCACATTCGAAGTATCAGTATAAACCATGTTCCTGATATACCCACTCTGTCCAAATCCACTCTCTGGCCAGTTCCCACTACCCATGTCGGTCCTCGTAAGCTGCGGGTGGCTGTCGTAAATCTCGCCATAGTAGTTGATGTGGCTAGCTTCTTGCTGAAGACTCCTCGAAGCGTCTGTCCCTGCGCCGAACAACGAAGCCGGGTAATAACCGATGTAGCGGTCCAGCACGGAAAGCCACCAGTTGCCCTGGTAAAGGTACCACCTGATCGACAAGTCGTATTGCGAGCCGCCGCGGGACGACAAGGGATTGAATGATACACCGGGGAAAATGGTGTTGTCGGTCTGGACCCAACCAGCGACATCTCTGTTCCATCCTCCGATGTTGTTTCCCTGGGCAGAGTACCCGTTGGTGGTGAAGAAGACGAAGAGGTGGGGAGCAGCGACTTGGTTGGGATAGTTGATCCAGCCTGCTTCAACAGTCTGGGTGATCTGCTGTCCGTTGTCACCTGGTTTGGGAACGCCGGTCCTGATGATGGCGGCCTGCAAAAGCGAGAAATCGGCTCCAGACTCTGTGTAGGCTTTGAACAGGGAGTATGAGGCTGAGCCTCCGTGGTTGGCGACCGTTTGGGCGGAAGAGGCGTACCAGTGGTCTCCAACGGCGCGCTTCACATGGTCGTTCTCAGATCCAATGCCAGGAGGAGGCTGTTTATTGACCGAGGCTCTGGCACTGCGGAGAATGGGGACCGTTCCTTCGGGGCCTTTCTCGGAATCATAAGGCTGAGGAGTAGAGGTGTTGAAAGTGGCCATGGTGTTGTAAATTGGGAGAGGAGGTGGTGATGCGACGTTACCATTTGGGACTTGAGACTGAATCGGGATCCAATCGACTATGCCGCCTTCTGCTGTCTCAGTGGTATGGCGAACATCGAGTCTGCCGTTCAGAGGGATAGCAGCGGCCAGGCCGTGTATCAAAAACAGTTTCAAAGAGTGGTAGTGCTTCATCTTGCTTGATAGATGCAAATACAAGAATTTCAAGTCTGCTGAGCTGAATTTATATCAACTCGAACATGTTTGCTCCACTTAATATACTTTTCCATACGCCATTCAAGCCTTATCGACTGTTCAACAGTCATGGCGTGTTGCAGAGCAGGTGCCACAGTGACGCACGCGGAGGACAGCCTGGACGACAGGAACTCCTGTTCCCTCGAAGCCAATCGATGCTTCCGGAGGACTTGTATCTCGTCGCGGATGTGTACAAAAAGGAAGCTCCCGCAGATAACGCCAAGTTAAGAACTCTACACCTGTCCGCTCAGGTCCACGCGCCGTGGCCATGCGAGAGGATATCACAAAATATGACTTCAAAATAAGACATCCAAGATAGCACTGAGCTGAGGGTGTGGGCTATCCGACAGACAGCCCTTCGTGATATACAAAGGCAAATGGATCGATTGGTATTCTCTTGTTCACTTATCTTTCGTACAATATGTCGACCGGTGGCACGGCACTCACGCGTGTGAACCACGAGAAGGTCCCGTCTAGACCGCTGACCATGATGAGAAACTTATTCTGTGTCGTATGCGATTTCACTTTGCCAGCTTTCTGTTTGGGTGTTGAGGTGGGTGGGATGAACAAGGTTCATAGCCGAAATAGGAAGTTGAGTTGACCCGGTCAAGTGGTGCATCACACGACGGTTCCGAGGGTTAATGTGCAGCTAGCACGAGGCGTAGTCCTCTCTGATGTCGCGTTGGAATAATCTTGGTACGCCTTCATGTCCCGGATCTGGGGGCCAGGTAATGGTGGTGTGCGGCACTGTAACCGTTGATGGCACATGTGGGTTTCGCCGCGCGTCATATCATTTCGCGTTGAGCGCAAAAACTTAGTCCGGCCATATTAATCATTGGGAAAATTCTGGGGGCCGGGTTTCGTGTCCGGCCAACTCCGCGCTTCCTGTGAGTATTTTTGTCCATGCACAGCTCAAGTGCTGTTCGATCACGCAGTCCGTGATCTGACAGGGCTGTTGCTCGACTTGGTCTTGTATGCGCCAAAGGTAGCTCTGGCTGTACTTCCTGGCCTTGCTGGCTCGGTGCCTTGCGCACGCAGAAGAGCTCCCTCTCTCACCTTATATTGGCTAATTACACTGGAAAAATCTATTCGGATTCCAACATTCGTGAGACCGATACAATGAGAGCTCGCTGGAATGATCGGAATTTCTGGTCTCAACAGGGAAGAATGTCTTCGCATCGCAGATGTACAAGTAGATGCGACCTTTTCACTGCTTCTAAGGACTCTCTCTCTCTAGTTTAAATTTAACGTAAACTGCCCCGCGATGCTTATTATTGCTAGAATTAGTTTTATTCTACATTTTAGAAAGTAAAGGTTAGTAGAGCTATTGCTGTATAGTCCTGTGGTAACGTCTTAAGTTATAGTCAAGTAAAATTATAGGATTAATAGTAATAGAATCTTGCTGGCAAGATAGAGCGTACAGCTACTCAAGTATCTAATTTCCTTTTCTTTCTACTTGTGAACTTCTGCTCCGCAGTTCTACAATCACACAGAACCAAGATCCACATATACATCTGAAATGCCTCCATACGTGCACCAGCCTGGCTTAAGCAGGACAATAGTCTTCAGCAACACGCGCAAGCGTAAGTGGGCGGAGAGAGACACCCAGGACCTAGAAGAGGTCGAGGCTGCTGTCACTTTCAGGGAGATACCGATTCTTAAGCTCTTTATCGCGAGCGATTAGATGTAGCTGGACTCGTTGAAAACGACAGGGTGCACCACCAAAAACAGTGGTCAACGTTAATCTGCGCTACGAAGTGGTTGACCGACCACCAAGTTAACAAAACCACCGTAGCCGTTCTTCTCAAACACATTTCTGAAAAAGAGACGACGTTTTACAAACCAGAGGAGAAAAAACTGCTCGCCAATGGCTCGAGGCGGCAGTACGCGGCCCTGACAAACTGCGTACACGAAGAAGCCGTCAATTTGAAAGGGGAGGTAGAAGCAGCAGGCGGCGTCATTTTTGCCTTGAGCGCACAAGACCGTATGGCACTCATGACATTTCTTCCACTTGTTAAGTTGTATTTTGCTAACTTGTTTCGTTCGCTTTCAGTCAAGAAGGCCATCATAGAAAAATGGAGTGAAAAAACAAGCATTCGCATGTATCAACCAATTTCCTATGCCATCAATTTCCCAGCCATATTCCGCCTAGACGTCAAATACCGAGACCGGGTGCGCCCCCTGTCTCAATACCTTCAATACATCTTCTACGCTGCAATGTACAATGCAAACCACTTGCAGTTAGCCCCTCAGCGACCAGAAAATGCGACAAAGAACGCAAATCTCCTGTTCAACCGATGGAAGAATCCGCAGTCACTTCCGCGCCGTCCGCCAATGCCATCATACAAGAAAATCGTCTTCACTTCTACTCAAATAGAAACAACACCCGCACCGATGAAAACGACACACGCATGCACGCTGATGACATGCTTGGATACTCAGATGATGAGGATGAGGATGAGGACAGTGAGCTTGAGGAAAGTGGGAATGAAGATGATGAGGACGATGAAATTGAAGAGGAAGATGGTGAGGACGATGACGAAGAGTCAGACGTGACTGATTTCGAAGGATTTGACGACTGAGGTACAACAATCTACCCAGGGCCTTCGGGCACTTTTCATCGGTTTTTGAAAGCCTTTTGGGAGGTCGTCCGGATATTTTTGGCACTTTTTTAATCTATTTTCGACCATATTTGCGTAATTTTTGGCGTATTTAGTATCGCCATTAGGGTGATAGGCGTGAACGCTTATTGTATGTTATAGTTTCAAGAGTTTCTTCATTGAGTCATGCGTACTTCGTACTCTAATAACTTGTCAGACTTCTTCGACCGTTTGATGATTAATAACTCATGGAGTGAATCATGGGAATATATGCGGAAAGGTACATGTGTATGTATGGACATGGTAATTCAAGCAGTTATATTTCTCTCTTGGCTAATCTCTCCAATCACTTGAAAAGATGTTACCTGTTGTGATCAAGGAAATGAAGGTAATCAAAACACCGTGAAAAAATATGTATACCTCCAATCAAGCAGGACCCGCAGCTCTGGAAAGAAGAAAATAAAATAGAAAAGAAAGACAGTGGTGTCGTGTGGAAATTTCGTAGCCGAGAATCCCGTCAAACGTTGCTCCTAGCCTTCTGATCGTATCCGAAGCGCCGTTGAATATTTGGTGTGCACAATCCGAATAGGTGCAAAGATTACTGGCCCGGCTAAGAGGAAGCTTTGTATCCAGAGCCTTCTCCAGAACCGCCGGAGCTCCCACCGGAGCCCCCTAGTCCTGGAAGAGGAAGAGATGAAAGACCACCCTTTCCTCCATCGCCGCCGAGTCCAGGAAGAGGGAGAGAGGGTAAGCCGCCAGACCCGCCTAGACCGGGCAGTCCTCCAGATCCTCCAGATCCACCTAGACCGGGTAGTCCGAGTCCCCCAGATCCCCCAGAGCCGCCTAGTCCGGGAAGAGGGAGAGAAGGTAGTCCACCTTTCCCTCCATCGCCACCCAGTCCTGGCAGGCCACCAGAACTACCCGAGCCACCAAGGCCAGGAAGACCGCCCGGGATGGGAAGAGAAGGCAAGCCACCCGCACCTCCGCTAGAGCTTCCTCCGCTACCGCCGAGCAATCCGCCCAGCATTCCGCCGGATCCCGCTCCGCTGCCAGATGAGCTGGATGTGCCAGTGGGTTGAGCGGAATAGCCGCCGCCAGACTCAGGGACGCCGGAGTCCAAGCCACGGCCGTTGAGTGATGGGAATGCGTCGGGCATAGGAAGAGCGCTGCTCAGACCCGCGAGGAGGAGAATCGAAATGGGAGTTTGGAACTTCATTGTGCTTGACAATGGGAATGAAAGAAAGTATTCTTGGAGAGAAAGTTGGAGGAAAGAAGGGTTGAAAAGAATGTATGAACGTTTGGAGAGAGGTCAGAAGCGAATGTGTGGCCTGCTGATGCTGAGCTTGAAGTTGCAACTTCGATCGGTCTTTATATCTTCGAAATTGGTGATTGCGATTTACTTCATTTGGAACTTCATTTCCCAACAATGCAAGCCAGAAGGATGGTTTGAAACGTGCAGTGCCTATAGCGCCTCACTCGTTTAGGGCGACATGAGCGCATTTGCGGAGCGCCGCCGATGTTTGCAGCTATAGGGCATCTTTGAGTTTACTTTTGCGTTTCGTGCTGCCTTGATGCAAACATCAAAGAAATTAAGGCCTGACGTAGATCTCCCCCATGCGTGCAGCAGAGTGATCCATGAGCTGATCGTGGGCACAAGTAGATTGCGTGTAGTCGTTGCGTGACTAGGTTTTTATGGGGCCGTTTCACGTTGTAAGATGTGCTACAACTAGCCCAGCCCCAAGAACACCACAATATGGAGATGCAGCACTAGTCTCCAGAGCCGTTATTGCTGCTAAGATTAAAAGGTGTAGCAAGCGTTTGACTGTTGACACATGTCATACTGCTTTGATCGCGGCTAGGTTGCCCGCGTATCTTAAACATACCAGTCTAGCCACATTTGTGGGACAAGATTCATTGGTGAAATAGCTAAGACTAACTAACTAATCTAGTGTAATGGCATCGCAAAGCTTCCAACATTGATCGACAACATCCAGACCGAGTGTATCCTGCATTTCGTCGATGAAGGTGCGCGCTTTCTCCACCACTAATTCCCACGTCTCTTCTTCGTCCGCCATGTTTCTCTCCATGTGAAGTACGACGAGAACAGTGCCCACCAGTGTTTCAATCATAGATTGATCGGCCTCTGACTTCGCGGCAGAAACTAGCATCTTGATGATACTTTGCACATCGTCAAATTTGATCCCCATCTCCTTGGCTGGTATAGATTTGACTGAAGGCCAAGAGCCATTGAATCCCTGCTGGTCGACAAGACGCTCCAGCAAGGGCCCGGTGGACGTCGTGCTGTTATACTCAAACTTGACTGCTAGATTGTCAGTACTCTTAGTTGCTAGAGCGTGGCAGTGATCTACTTACAGGGTTTTTTTGGTGGGGGGGCTCCCCCATCGAGATCACTGTCGTCTTCATCCGGTAGAGGCATCTGCGCACCTAGAAGATTGTTAGCTACCACTTCAAAACTCGCAGTAGTGATTCAATTCACTCCATCTCTTAGAAAATCGGGTAGCATGCTCATCTTTGGACTTCGCGAACACGTAGATCATAGACTGAAGCCTGATTGCGTGGTATCCAGACCGGCGGATAGGACTTCGGGGTCACTTACTGCACATCATCTCATTTTGATACTGTTGGAGTATATCTTGGTCGGCAACCTCGGGCGGACTATGGCGGAGCGCAGCAGGTGCACTATACCCGAGAGATTTGTTGTTCTGATTGAATATACTTCCACCGGTGTTGGGGCTGGTATGACCAAAAGGAGCTCCTCCAGTAGCGCCAGGTGTACTGATCTGGCCGCCGAAGAGGCTCCCGCCAGTATTAGAATTGTCTTGGCCAAATGCGCCACTTGAGGGTTTCGAAGAGCTACCAAAAAGACTTTGACTGGAACTAGGATTGCTTTGACCGAACGCGCTGGTAGCAGGCTTCGGTGAGATGCCAAACAGACTATTACCAGAACTAGGATTGCTTTGGCCGAATGCACTGCTTTGAGGTGCTCCAAAGCCGCTAAAACCAGTATTACCAGAACTAGAATTACTTTGGCCGAATGTGCTGGCAGCAGGCTTCGGTGAGACGCCAAAAACACCTCCATTGTTGGGATTGCTTTGGCCAAATAGTCCACCCCTAGCCACAGGCGTAGACGGCTGGGCGAAGGGATATGTTCCACTGACCGGATTCGAAGAGGTGCCAAAGAGACTTGCTCCTGAGGCCGGAGTCGAAGATGTGCCAAAGAGCCCTCCGCTGTTGTTGTTACTGTGGCTAAAGCCTTTGAAACCGGTTCCTGCGCTGGAGGAACCGTATGCGGGAGGATGCATGTGATGCTGTGGTGGTTGTTGATTGATGGTTTGTCCTCCCGCGAACATGAACGACAAGGGGTTATTTTTCATGCGTGTGTTACTTGGCATCATCCTGAATCTCTCTTCGGTGCTCGCCTGTCCCGTGAATTCAACTGGAGCGCTATCGCCGACGTGAAGGAAAGATTCAAAATCGAATGTGTCGAGGGTGGCTCCATCATCGAACCCCAACCCTATATCAAACTCTGAATGATCCGGAGCATCTTCTACAATCTCCCAGTCCGTAGTATCGGCCCTAGAACCTCCTGCAGCAGCCTGTCGTTTTGCTGTAATCTCGGCCTGATTGGCTTCTACAGCCACAAACGAGCAGAATTTACCACCGACCTGAAATTTTACACCGAGACGAACAGCTTCCTTCTGTAGAAGCTTTTTGTGTACGTACGGGTCCCTTTCTCTCACTAAACCGCCATCGATGGAGTCTACTGTAGCGTCACTGATCCACCCTCGGCCTTCTTCGAGCTCCTGAGTTGCCTTTCGAGCTGCGAGTTGATGTATCATTTGTTCCGGCTCTTGACGAACTTCGATGGGAATTTCGAGTTCTACAGGGCCTTGAGGCGATGTCCCTTTCAGCAACACGCTTTTCGGTTTGAGATGAGATGTTTTGGGTCCCATGAGCAGATATACACATGTGCGATGGAAAGGATAGAGAGGTGGAATATGGTGCGGAGTCTGCAGAATATTCGGAATTCTGTACCCTGGGATTTTCAATGGTTTTTCGTCGGCCTTGGGGTGCTTCTCCTCTTCGGTTGGGTTGAACAGCGAGATCGGTGCCTTTGGCGCGCCGTCTGTCTGTGCGGCGTTGTCGTCCAGGTTGAGACTGAGCTCCGTACTTTCGGAAATGGACTCGATAGTTCCATCTTGATATTGAATCTCAAGGCGGTAATCGCTAATGTGTGGCATGAGTGCTGCTTTGAGCTGCAGGTGGCGTTAGTGTATGTTACCGGATATCAGTGCATTGGCAGACTTACCATTCGAATGATTTTGCTCGTCATCTTCTCTGCATTCCCGATCATCTGTCCGAAGCCATTACCCGCTCGAGCAATGCCTTCTATGAGTGAACTGGAGACACCGTTTCCGATGCCAATTGGGAAAACGCGTACTGGTGCACTCTTCGTCTCACGCGCTATATAATCAAATAACTGTTGTTGCTGCCATATGTCACCATCCGTAAGTAGTATAAGCTCCGTGGGTACATCTTGTCGTCGGGATAAGAAGCACTGCTTGACAGCGGCAAGAGTCTCCGTTCCTCCCAGGCTATGATGGAATGTATCCACATGGCTGAGAGCCTTTCTGAGGCTCGTTTCCGAGTAGAGCTGACTGTTGGGCCAAAGGCTGCTGTGTGTGCTTCCGAAAGAACAGATGTTGAACCGACAACCAGAGGGAATGGATTTGAGAAAGTATTTCAGAGCCGTTCTCAATGTACCGAAATTAGCTTCCATGCTCCCGGATCTGTCTGCCAAAAATATGATCTCCGGCCTGTGTGCCTTAAGGCTAAATTTAGGGACAAGCGTAGCCAGCAGCGCACGGTGATTGGGTATCGTGGGATGTGTTTCGAGAACAGCCTGAGGAACTCCGATGTCGTTGGCAACAACTTGAAGCACAAAATCGGCATCGAGAAGTGCAGTGCCTAGAGTAAGAGTCGCACATGCTTTGGAAACGGAGTGTTGGTCGTTCCTGCGACTGGTTGAGAGAGAACCCAGAGATAGTTCTATAGGATGCGAAGGTGAGATGACCTTTTTGATGGGGACTCCGTTTGCCAAACAGATGTCGACAGTGAGCGAGATATCGCCCGAGACATTGTGGGACGTGCCTAAGAGTGTACCGGGGTACGAGCCATAGCGCGGCGCAATCTTAGTAGGCAGAGTAAATCGCAAGCCATCGACTTCGGCATCGTGTTTGAGCTCCTGAACGTAGGTGATGGTTACGTCGATGACAGCTCCGGGCTGGATGTTGCCGATGGTTGCTGTAAAGACATCGGCAGCATCAGGGAGCTGTTCAAGCAGAGCAGCCTGCTCGCCTCGCGCCTTCGCTTCCTGGTAGGTTTTCTTCGCTTCTGCCTTCTCTTTGACTAGCCCGTATATGGTGCGCTCTCCAACAGTGCAAACGAAATCAACGACACTAACTCCATCGAACAAGGGAAACGCATATCTGATTTCGTCAATCGTCTGCTGGGTAGACGGATTGGTGAATCTTTGCTTCAGGATTGAGCGCGAAGCTAATGATTGAATTGTTGTGTGCGCCTCGAGTCGGACTTGGGGAAGATAAATTCGTCGGAAAGAAGACTGGTATCGCGCCGAATAATAGCAGCCGCAAATATGGTCAACCATTCTCTTCTCAGGATGTATAGGCAGGGTAATCAGGTATTCTAGCGGAGCGTAATGTTCCGCAAAGGCGATGCAGAGAAGTAGGAAATGCAAGCCGGTAGCAATTCTGAGGTGCGTGCTGTCAGTAATTATACAATTCTAGGCCTGCCCGCGCTCGTCCTACAGTTCCCCATTAGGCAACTTAGCATAGTCTACACAGGCAAAGGCACCAAGCATAGGGCAATGTCGCGGCAGTGTCAGCGATACGGTCTTGCGAAACGTTACCCAAGCATTATTTCAAGACGTAGTCGATAGCTCACTAAAAGGGGCTGAAGTAAGCATGAACTATGTGTTTTCGTGCATAAATCCATGGTTAAGCCCGTCAAGTCAAAAACGTAATCTTCCCGTTGGTACAGTAAGTGGCCACCTGGACGATTAGGCAGAAAGACGACGGATGCCTAGAGGTACCTCGCATTGATGCCTGTATGCAGTACTAGTTGTTAGTGTACGCTGGGCTTATTAGCCGAACACCGAGGCCGGGCCGCAGCCAATCAACAGCTTAGACCAACCAGAAATGGCAGAGAGGTTCCATAAATATACGTTACAGTCCTATCATGGATGGAATCGCATCCGTCCGAAATCACCATCTTGGGACATGTCATGGTGCTACGGGCGGCCTCATTGGCTTTGTTGACCTCATAGGCGGCTTCGAGCATCGCCACACACCACAACCCCCGTCCCCCACCTTCCTCGCAATAATAGAAAAAAAGAAGAAAAACAGTGGGAGAAGTAATATCGACATTGGTGTTGGACTCTTGATAATAGCGCCTTGGTAGTTTGGTGGATTCGATTATGCTGTCTAAATGATATGAAAGTCGGGCGAACGATGCTGGGTTGACTCCGTGTCATCATGGAGCTTTCTGGCTGGGATCGCATTGGCATGCACTGTGAATTGGAATCGGATCGGCCAAAGTGAACATCGATGAAGCAGCGGACGACCGTAGTAAAAGTATTGCTCAAAGCCTTGACATTCTCCGCTGAGAACAGCTTAGACCTGTCAAAATACATACAGCCTCCCGGCGCGGAAACTATGGCGGAAGTGTTTATCAATACATGAATGATTCCCGACTAGGTATTGAGTCACGCTACCAGTATCATCGATGAGTGAGTGTATCTACACATGTCAAGACCACAGTCATCTATAATATCTTCACACCGCCTCTTAAACCGGCTTTATTCAATGCTAATTGATGGCTCTAGATTGATAGAACTCCATAACTCATCTTGTAGATAGTCACCGCTCTGGACGTGTGCCAACATTTGAACGAATAATCAATCTTGCACCGCCATCAAGCTTGCGACATTGTGAAGACTACCGTGGGGTTTGTTCATGGATGCGCAGATGTATGTCAAACCCACATACCAGCCGTGTTTGCAGAGAACTTCACACTATAAATATTTGGTGTCAGCGTCCTGTGACTACTTTCACTTGATACATCAAAACATCGCTGGCTAGGCAAGTGTCCATATCAACCTTCCAGCGCTGGGCTACATCGTTGGGTACCCTCCGATTGAGTTTTTATCTCGTACTTGTAATTGAGAAGTTACCAATACGTTGGGCACATCGCCATATCGGAAGGGGCCAGGTACAGGTGAGTGAGTCGCAGCGAACAATGTCAAGAGCATCGGGCAGTCACGCTAAGACACAGAGAAAAGTATCAATCACCCACAATTCACTCGAATGAGATAGCATCCCTAAGCCCTCACTCAAAGTACTATACATATTACCCCGCATATGCTATTGGGTACAGTATAGCCAAATATTCCACATCGGTACAGTGGTACACCCGAAATGATTTCTTTCCCACATCCTGCACGGCCGCGTCCATTGCGTCTCTTCTCACACCACGCTATCGACAAAATGGCATTCAAATGCACGCCCCAGCTCACGAGATCCCGCAGTCCATCAAATATGCCACCAAAACGGCCTCCCAATACCTCCCAAGATCATGCCGCCGCGTTGCACACGCTCATCGTGAATCAACAGACTGCCAGACATACAGCAGAGAATGCGCAAAAGTTGCCGAAACAGCCTGAGAAATTGATTAGGAAACGCGGGCGACCTCGGAAACTGCGAGAAAATCCTATTGCCTCTACGTACACCCCGGAGATCTTGTGGGATTTATCTGGAGCTACGGGAAAACATGAATTCCAACTAACAGATGATTATGATCTCCCTCCAGCACGCTATGAGTTGAACGAGCAGCGGCGTGCAGCTAAATATAAGGAAGACGTCGAATCACATGCGAACAACCAACGCAAATACCTCAGCAGAAATGCCAAACGCAATACTGAGGTCGCTGACTTTTGGCCAATACATGCATGCGAAGAAAATCGAACCGCTGACAGGAAACCCCGGAAGAGAGCACGCAAGGAAAGCTTTGAAAATTCAGCTGTCAGGCCGTTGTTTGCTTCACCTCATATGTTGTTTACTTCTCCTGGGCTGCCCCAACTAAACAGACCACCCTTCCCGGCTGTGTCCACTAGTACAGTAGCTCATGAGCAGACCCCAACACAATCACCATCTCCTTCAGACATTCTGGATCCCAATACACGACAGACAGGATATTTATCTCCTGTATTTCCCATCAATGGGTGCGCCCGAGCCACATCGTCGTTGACATCAGATCCCTTTCGCTATCCAGGAGAAAAGGCTCCGACAACCCCAGTCGCACCCGTGAACCTACCTAGTGATGCGGAGCTGGACATTGACCCTCTTGAACTGGATCTAAGTCATGAGGGGAGATACTCGGCTCTATATCCAGTTGGTGAATAACGTCTTTCGCGCCGTATTCATATAACTGAGCTAAATCCTCCAATAGATCAGTTCAGTCCCAGCGCCCCCATTCGCGACCAACAACCTGCCGTCAGTAGTACTGCTACATCAGCTACTTCCACCAACCCTCCAGTATACCAACACGTCTTCATCCAACGAACCAGGCCAGAATTGGTGAAAGACCAGCGCCCTCGAGCATATGAATACATGAAAGTCGGAAAAGGCATTCCACATGGGTAAAAGAAGTTGGCCAGCATCGATGCAAAGTCCAATCGAGTCCAAACGGGAGGAGACAAAGAGGACCAGAAGTCCTACAAGCATGCTTGAGCAAGGGAACAATGGTCAGAGTCGGCGACGGGAGTGGCTAATTACGGGAGTGGCTAATTGTATTGGTGATATGGCGGTTCCGATGAGCTCACGGACATCGAAGGGGTTGGCCGGCATGCTTTAGAACATAATAAGAATGCATTCAAGGCATGGGTCTACCCTGTGGTTCCCAATACCGGGTATTCGTCTTCCAGCACTAGTGAGCGGGTAGGGCCTCTGATATAGGCGGTCGTGATTGGCGAGGGAAATGGCTTTGACCCGAGAAAAAGGTTCTACAATTGCGATAGATCATGTCCTTGTCTCATAGTAGATACATGTCAAGATTGATCAACCGAAAACCAAATCAATGCTTCTCACACTGCTCCATGCTGAGGTTTGGACCATCCTTTTGTTGATTAGACATGATGACTTTACTCTGTTAGCACCAGACATATCCGATAGCACGAAATAGGCAGTGTTTAGATCCAAGGTGGTCATTTGGAAAGGTGGTTTCCAACATTGTACCTGGTGGCAAACAAAAGGCCGGGAACAGAACCTAAGCCTGCTAAATTGTTGCAAACATTGACTTAACACATGTACGTTGCAAAAACAAACATGCCAGATAGACGACCTTCCTCTCTTTACTGGGGAGGCACACGACTCATCATGTCATCTCAATACCGTTTTGACTAGCTTGTAGACAAAGCTATCATAGGAGTCGCCTTGGCTCCTGCTGTAAACGGTCGGCTTGACGTTCATAGCAACCAGATGAATGCAATAACGGAAGGCAGAACCGCTACTAATCGCACGCCATATCATAAGCGTTGATGATCCCCTATTGCCAAGTGTGCCCGCGCAAGGGCGGGAAATGAGCAGGCCGATGAATCTCGTAGGTATCCGGGTGCGCGAAGCTTCGCCATATCACGGCACTCATGCGGACAGGATCCTGCATCCGAGCTGCCTTCCCACCTGGACCACGGTATTGTGGTTCATGCACCCAACTAGGAGAGATTATCGTGCCAAGCAAACATGCAACAAATGACGATAACGAGTGAAATGAACACCAAGACTTCCCCATGTTGTGCCCAGCGTCGTAGCATGCGCCTCACTCCGCGCTCGGTCAGAAAATAAGCTTTTGTACAGCGCGCTATTCCGGGATAGGAAGGTATCTCAACCTCGTGTTGATAACGTGAAATGCATGCGACCGAGGTCAACATTCTTGGGTGGCAATTCCAGGGACGACAAACAATGCATATAAAGGGAGGAATGGGTCCCAGAAAATTGGGAGGGCCGCGAGAGTATTCAGCTGCTTTCCGTCATCCTCCACTTTCGCGAAGACATTTGGCCGAAATAGAGCAAGTAGCATCACTTTAATAGTCGCTACCATGAAGTTCACCACCCTTACCGCGGCGCTGCTGCCTTTGGCGGCAGATGCCATGTTCAGCAAGGAGGAATACACGTCTGGCGCTGTTATGGAAAAGATGATGGCTGCCAAAGAGGTATTGCACACCCCCTCCCAACATATTCTAGATCCAAAAGCTAATTCATCCCAGGCCGCATGGGCACATCAAAAAGCCGCCGGCAACTACGACAGCAAGAAGTGGAACGGATTTGGCCAGAAACGTACCAGCAAAGATGTCATCAAGTGCACAGATGGCTACGCCGAAGCAGTCCCGGGCGACGCGGACCAGACCTACAAGTGCAAAGACATCGACATGTACGACTTCAAGACGCACGAAGAGCTCGGCAGCAATGACGGAGAAGGCTCTGGATCTTGGGGGTGGACCCATGAGGGACGCGATTTCATCGCTATCGGTCAAACCGACGGCGCTGCCTTCGCAGAAGTCACAAAGACGGGCGAATTGGTTTATCTCGGACGCTTGCCAGCACAAGCCGACCCAGTCATCTGGAGAGAGATCAAGGCAAACGGCGACTACTTGATTGTTGGCAGTGAGGGTGTGGGCCACGGCGTTCAAATCTTTGACATGAAGAAGCTGTTGGACGTGGACCCCAGCGAGCCGGTTGTGTTCGACACGTCCAAAGACCTCACTGCATTGTTCACCGGTAAGTGGCTTAAGTATTGTATCGAATCAAAATCACCAACTAATGTTTGTAGACCTCCCGGTCGGCTCTTCCCACAACGTAGTTGTCAACGAAGAAAAGAACTACGCTGTCGCGGTCGGCGCGCAGCCTCGCACTGACAAATGCGCATCCGGTCTGATCTTCATCAACATGGACGATCCGGCCAACCCCTTCTCCCCTGGATGCGCCCCTCAAGACGGTTACGTGCATGACGCTCAATGCATTGTGTACCGCGGACCGGACGAGAAATACAACGGTCGCGACATTTGCTACGGCTACAACGAAGACACGTTGACCATCTACGACGTGACCAACAAGACCGGCCCTCAGGCTTCTACCATCATCTCGCGCACCCCCTACACAGGCGCTACATACACGCACCAGGGCTGGGTGCTAGACCCCAACTGGCAGACTCACCTTCTCCTCGACGACGAGCTCGACGAGGGCGAGATTGACCCCAACGACACCAACCCTGAATCCCCCGCCCTTGACGGCTTCCCTGTCACCTACATCTTCGACATCTCTAACCTCGAGAAGCCCGTCAACACCGGTTTCTACAAGTCCACCACGCGGTCCGTAGACCACAACCAGTTTGTGCACTCTGGCCTCGCATACCAGAGCAACTACCAGGCCGGTCTCCGCGTCCTTGACGTTTCCACCATCACCGATGATCCCACCGGTAAGGGTGTAGAGGAGATTGCGTACTTTGATGTCTACCCCGGCGACGACAACGAGGAGGGCGGCGGTGTTGCGTTGTGGGACTTTGGCACCTGGAGCCACTACACCTTCGCCAGTGGATGGATTGTTATCAACACCATCGACCGCGGAGCGTTTGTGGTCAAGATGAGCAAGTTCAGCAAAAGAGCTCATGGAAAGAGGTGGATCCGTGGTGCTACGAGACATTAGATACCCTTGATGTTTGCTAAAATGAAAACTATCAATTATTATCAGTCCTACGTTTCGATAGTGCAATTCGTGCTCAGTGATGCGTCCACGTCATGCTTTCCGTGAAGCGCTACACAGAAAAAAAATCTGTCGCGTGTTCACCAGCATCGTACGGTACCGGTCGGGTCACTCAGTAGTACTCATAGTGCCATCCCTACAGACAAGCCACTCATCTTGGACCACATCGGGAGTTGGCATACTCGAGGTATCACACTGTACGACCCTGTGCACCAACATGCCTTGAGCCCCTCTATTATTAGCACCTGTCACCATCTCTTCTCCCCCGGGCTAGAGATTGCAGTGTTTTCATCCCATCTCTGATTTTTTCCCTCTTCCGTCACGTGCTGATTTCAACCTACCTAAAAAGGTAACTCAAGAAAGGTGTTGACCACTGCACTGTGATTAGGGCACGAACGGTCCCACGTACGTTTTTTTTGCGATGCATTGGAACTGTACACAGCGCGTTATCGTATATCTGGGAACTTTATCACACTTATATTATTTCAGAGTGGAAATATTATTTAGGTAGTTTGGGAATTGAGGTGAGCGGGGGGTACTGTAGGATGTTGGGGAGCGTTGAAGGCAGTTTGATTGTTCGACTTGGGGTGGCCGTGCTGAGCCCAGTTGACCATTGTTAACGCAGCAATCAGCGGATTTCACATACCTTCCTAATCGGGTAAGTTGGATCATGAAGTGCGCTCCCACGCTTGCACTTTGATCAATCCAACGCAAGGCCGGGTGATACTGCTGGTACGTTCGTCACTCTGATGACAGGTAAAATCCGACAAGCACTTCTCTATGGGAGAATAAATAGCTGGGGAAAGGATTGGGAGGAAGTACTAAAGGAAAGTGACACTCGAGCATTCTGTTCTAGACATCCAGGAATATGGTTCCAAACTAGCGGTATTGACGAAACTCAAGCCGGAATTATTTTCTACCAATGTGGTTACCAGCTTCTGCATCTCAGTCGTTGGAGTATCGTGATTCTAGATTTTAGAAGCATTTCGCGTCTCCGCGACAGTCCAGTCCTTATCTGGCGGTGTCGCAACAAAACTCTTCCTCCCTTGCCAACTTCCCATCCATTCGACCAGACCTGGTCTTCCATCTCTCCAGTTCAACTTCGTACGGGTCATACTATACATCGCGGCTGTCGCTGGTGGAGGATCACCTTCCGCACCTTGTGATTTCGTCAAAATGCTTTCTGTCACTGCAATCGCAGTGACGACCGCAACCTCATCAGCCGTTGCCCGTTTTTGGTCGGTCAGCTTCTTCAAAACTCCCTCCTGGGCTGCGATCTCGAACCGATCCAACACACGTACAATCTTAGTCTTTTGGCCTTCAATCCACTCGTCAAACTTCAACCCCCGCGGCTTCCGGATACGAAGCTCGTATGTTATTAGAACAGCAGCATCCATGATGCCATCTGCACATGCGTGAAGACTGCGGCGCTGCCAATATGACTTGTCTTTAGTCTCTTTAATGCGCGCAATGTTACTCAAATACTCGCAGATCATGCGGGAATCGAAGATGCCATCGGGGACTTCTTCGGATACGAGACAAGGGATCTTCGCCATTGGATTGTACGCTGCGACGTCTTTGTTGTTATCGCTCCAGCCTGGTATGTCAACTGGGCACACGACAACTTTCTGCAGCTCGATATGCTGAGTAAGACCCAATTCGTGCGCCAACATGTATACTTTGCGGGTAAATGGAGAGGCAGGGTGATAGATGAGGCGCATCTTAGGGGTTTTGGGCGACTTCAGGCTAACGGATGGTGCTGACTGGCTGACTTTATTGATGCGGAAATTCCATCTGGGGAAGTGAAGATGAAGGCCTTTGGTATTGCGAATCACAACCTCCCTAGATGTGAGTCCGACGACGGCTCCTCGATCTTTATGGCCATGCCCGTAGTCTGATGCAAAAACTTCGACTTCATCCTCTGGCTGCAGGTCCAGCGGGTCGTTTTTGATGAATCCGGTCTCGCACGTGGTGGTAGCACTTAGGATTCTATCGCGCATGGCTTCTCCGTTGAGTGTCTCCGGTCGCTCCAGACTCTTCCTCTTCATCATAGCTTCGTTCATAAATCTCGAAATCCACGCAAAAGTCCTTGGATACTTCCCTTCGCTTATGAGATCCTCAGGTAGCGCCCCACGCATTCCTGGCTCCACGATCAGCCACGAAAAAGGCCAAACCGCATCCAAATCGGCCAGAGAAGGCTCAGTGCCCCCCAAAATCCATGTTCTCCCATCAGCGAGAAACGAAGTTTCCAGCAAATCAAACGCCTGGCGCATATGCTGCAGCGCATCTGGACGATTATGTTCCATCTGTTTAACCTCAAGCCGGCGTCCTGATAGCTTCTCGCGATCATCCAGAAATTTCTCATCTTGCAATGCGCTCGCAGCGTTCCAATACGGCATCAATTGCACTGCTCGCGAGAAGATACCGCCGTCGATCGTCCAACTTTCGAGTAAGCGCCGAATACCCTCCTCAGCTGGTGTCTTTGGAGCGAGAGAGCTGTCTGGATATGAGCTTTCGAGCGTTGAGATGATAAGTCGTGAGTCTATGTATATATCTTTCCCAATGGCCATGATGGGGATGCGCCGATAGTTGATGCCGATGGAAGCCAGGTCCGGGCGAGGCATAATGTGTGATTGGATCTAAAATGTCAGTCTTTTTCGAGTAGATGATTTGCATTGGACATTGTAAACGCTTACGCATTCATTGTACGGGATCCCTCTGAGCCACAAATACCATAACACCCTGTAGGAATAGATTGACCCCGGGTAATGGAATAGAATTGGCTTCTCGGGGGATTCCATCATGCAAACAGCTCGGACTAAAGAATTACGGGGGTACGCTCCGAGATGGTATATTCTCCGTCCAAAATTCGAGGTCTTGATGTCGTTGGATTCCGTTGCGGCTGCATTGCAGATGTGACACAGTTTCGGCTCAAGAATCGACCTCGGCGAGTCGATGACCCCTCTTCTCTGGAGGCAGAGAAAGCGTCGGAGGTTTCATCAACATGGTGCCGGGCAACTCCCTTGATTAATTCAACTTGGACCAATTCTGTGGTCATCAGCCAGTTGCATGCTGTCAGATTATGCTTATCTCGCGAATCCAAGGGTCAATTGTCTGGTCAGCATCACGTGATCATCTCTGGGATCGCCGCCGCATAAGTTGGGACTTCGGCTTTCATTCGTAGAGATTTGGTTAGCAAAGCGGCTCATTACGAATTATATTTCTACCTACTTTACGACAGCAGATGGTCATCATTAGGAGCATCCCAACCGTCAATTTTGTGGGCCCGACAAAGTGTGCTATAACAACGGGCTCGACGCGTTGAGGCTTGCCGCGGAGTCTGGGGGTTCCCACAAAAGCTAGATAGCCAAAACTATTGAAACCAGAAGTGCGCAATGCGTTGCGAAAATTCTGCGAGTAACTGTTACTTTGAAAAATCTGGTCGGTCGGCATACATTTGATCATTCTAGCTGAGGGTACAAAGAGAAAGGAGAAAATCCTCTCTGAGTCAGATCTATGCCCTTGATGATATCAGGATTTGATGAGGCTGTCGGAGCCATTGGCGCCGGCCAATGTGACAAATATATGGTGTTTCGAATTGGGTGATCCGTATTACCTCTGTGCCTCCGTCCCGCAGATCGGATGCCATGTCCGATTGTTGCATCCGGCTACTTGCGTACGCGACGTCCAACAATGATTTCCTCCATGCTCCCACAATATCTATGCATGTGTGTGTAGAAAACATGAGAAGGCCTCGTGGCCTTGCATGAATGAAGCGTTGATGGTGTTCCATGACTGACTCCAATACCGGTACCGCAGCGCTCATCTGCCGTCGTTAGGGTCCCATTCGCGCGTTCAATCTGCATCGAGAACTGGTTCCAGAAAACGCACAGTAGAGGAGGACATAACCGGCTTTCTTTGCGCTTGGTTGTTGGCATTGTGGGTCCCATTGCAGATGATGATGACACGATCGAGGTGTGGCGGCACGGTGGCTTTTGTTTATGTATTATTGATGGCGCCCCCGAAAAGCTGTCGTGCAACACTCTCAACTTTAAGGCAACATACACACCAATCTCTATTATAAAGTGCGATAGCCTTCAGCAACATCGAGGGCTCAAATTGAACATTGTTGTCGCCATCTAATCGCTATTTCAAACGAAACGTGGTGCCAAATATTACCAAGCTCAAGTCCTGGCAAGCCTGCTGCCAGCAAAACTTTAGCCAAAGCATTCGCGCGGGACCCCCCACCCCCCGGGACGCCCCCCCAACACTTCCACATATCTGGATTGGCTGCAACCTTCCCCCCTTTACCAACCACTGCGCAACTCCTAAAATGACGCCCAAGTGTGTATGAGCGCGTCGCATCTGAAAATAAATCTCGAAAGACTTCACGTTGATGCAGCGTGCGACAGCAGACCAATTAGTGCCAGCAACCAGTTAACGCCATGCCTTGGTGTACTCCACGGAAAGCTATACCGCTTATAGCCTTATCCACCTTTCTCGTCACCCTCATCATATGGTTCAATCGCTTCGATACGCCGCGTCAGCAGCTATCCAATCTCAGCTCACTGTACCATGATAGCATCTCCAGCGGTGTCAGGCGACCCTTCTCCCCCGGAGCAGCGAAGCCGCCCGGCTCCGCCTATTCGCGAGTCCTTGTAATCGCAAAGACGAGCGAAGAAGACGTAGGCTGGGTACGAGATGATCTTCCCAATCTACCTACCGTCATTTATCAGGTCGACAAAGCGAATGCCACGTATCGTGTGCCCAAGAACAAAGGCAATGAAGCTATGGTGTATCTGACCTACCTCATCGATCATTATGACCAGCTTGCCGATACCACCATCTTCATCCACGCCCACAGCATCACGTGGCACAATAACATCTTGTTAGATCTCAGCACCCCCATGACGATCCAACGACTGCAGGATGATCGCGTATGGAGACAAGGTTTTATGAATCTGAGATGCCATCTCGAACCCGGCTGTCCTAGCATTTTTCTGAACCAGACGACGTCGAATGTCGGTCATAAAGAGAAGCCAAGCGACGAAATGTTCAGGCCAGAAACGTTCAAAGAGTTATTTCCTGGCCACAAAGTTCCACCAGTCTTGTCGGAACCGTGCTGTGCGCAGTTCGCCGTCAGTAGAGATCGAGTGAAGGACAATCCGAGAAAGACATATGAACATCTCCGCGCGTGGCTGCTAGCAACTCCTCTCGACGATGCGAGCTCAGGTCGTGTGTTTGAATATGTTTGGCAGTATCTGTTCACACGCAATGCGGAGGTGTGCCCCTCGATGCATGCGTGCTATTGTGACGGTTATGGGATATGTTTCGGCGACGACATCCGGCTGGAAGAATGGATGAAGACATTCAAACTGAAAGAAAAGATTGATGATGAAATGAGTTGGGCGAAAAGAAGGGGGGAGTCTCCCAGCGTAATACAAGAGATTGCAGATAGGAGGGGGAAGTTGGAGAAGCAGCTCGAGAAGGGCAAACAAGAAGCCTATGAGAGAGGGGAAAAGGCGGAAAACAGGGCTTCAGCGCGAGAACCACTACCCGAGTGATTGGCTAATCACATCAGAATCCAGGTCTGTATTTTTCGGTGTATATGGAGTAATCTCTAATCTAAGTCTCGCTGGATTTTGTTTCTTCCTCGACGATGGGTTACGCACGACTGTAGATCTATTGTTGCATCGTGGGGGTTATAGTCCTGAAAGCCGGCGCTCTCGGATCCGGTCGCGGGACCCCATGTTACATAAGATAGCATTCTCAAAAGGATGGGTAGCACTCGATGCCGCTGTGCATATACGAATCTAGTTCTCCATATGCTGTGGTAGCAGCCCTGGTGCTGGGCGCCGGGTAACCATCAAGCTTGGCGCACGGGCCATAATCTGATATCTCAGTTCATGACAACTTGGGTTCTCAAACGATTGGCCTACTTCGGCCTTGATATGATTATCCGAGAATAGCGCTTCAAATTAATCAGTCTATTCCTCATGCTATATTTCCACAAGAGGGGAGAAGGAAGCATTGGGCGTCAGCTTGTCACGAACAAGCACTGGAGATGACTGCAGGAATGAAACGCGATAACACGGTTTGCCTCTTTCCGGGCAATCCGCAGTCTAAAAATGCAAGCAACCTCAAATTCGATGCAAACGTTGAGGAAAGAGTTGCAATCACCGAGTCTGAGATATCATGATCACCCAAACCGTGGGGTTGCGACAACCGGAGATTGTGTCGAGAGCATGTCTCAGAACACCACCTAGATGCAAGAATAGCCCTTATCTCTTCTTCTCAACAACCGTTGTCGCTCCAAAGCTACCACGAGTACTGTCGAGGTGAACATTGTCATCTTAGTAGTCCCGAATGGCAATCTCACCTTACTTGGTCACATTACCTTTCGCCCGATCAGTTCGGGACACAGCAGGTCCGCTCTCTACACTGCAGTCCGCCACCGTGAACTCCCCATGATTTTCATTTGATTGGGCACTTCTACACGTAATCTTGGCTTTTTTTGCGCCCACTGGACGACTCCTGACTGCATCTCAAGCAGTGTGCACACCGGTCACTTCAATCCAGGATGTAGTGTCACCCAGCGATACCATACCACAGTCAGGGACACGGAATCAATGCCAAAAGAGGAACGACGTCCCGGGCAGAATTCAGGGCTACCATGCCGAGCGAGATGCTGCCCTAGACGACGACATGTAATGGTATTGAGCAGGAAGGCCTATAAGCAGCTTCCGAATGTGGCAATCGGTGCAAACGCAAAGCACACATGAAGGAGAGGGAGAGGGCCCCCAGTCTGTTCATGGACCAGCGGGCGGGTACCTTAAAGAATTTCAGGGTTTAGGAGGACGGGAGATTTACCTGGCTCACGAGTAGGCTATACCGGGCTCTCGTCTGAACAACTACCGGAGCAGCTAAGGATCGTGGGAGATGTGTGCATACACACTTAGCGCCGTGCAATTTACCCTTGATGCTATTTTTCCCGGTGATTTCTTGACTTGGCCTCGAGATTGGCCGCCATGCCAGTATGTATGTATCAGTAGTAGGTGCCTTATCTTGCTTTTCTTGAGGCTGCACAACACCACGGTACCGACATCGCAAAGGCAGACACCAGACAGCGCACCATCGAGACATGTAGACTTCGTGTTTTATCTTGCAATTTCTGCGAAGCATCCAATCACCGTTATTCTCTATGGCCTTCCTGATTCGTCTTACTGCACCTTCCATGAAAGGCTAAATTCGGTTAGTGTCTGGGCCCTCCTCACTCCCCCTACTCTCTATCTCTACGCCCGATGCCAGACAGACTGACTGACTGACTGACAGATACTCGACAAGCATTCCAGTATCCGTCTTATTCTCCTTCTCGGCGTGCCTTGATCACGCGTTCTTTTGCCCTTTTACGCTTTCCTAGTGCATAGGCGCATGCTTTTGCTGTTGTTGCCGCCGTCCAGACGAGCTAACCATCACGCCCGCATCGCCTTTGTGGTCTGACTACTCCAGACGTTCACATGCTGTCTGATCCACGGTCATGTGTTCTGCCCAAAAGCTCCGATAAGGTGCATGTGGGGTCGAAGGATTCCTCCTCCACCACTTCTCTCGTCTGTGATGTAGACTACATTTCGGTATGCACTCAATCTACTACCCCCGGCCCAGGTAGCATCACAAGCGGCGAAGCCCTTTGTAACGTGGCTTTTGGTCCCCCCGCGCTCGTGTCGGTTACATCCAGCCTTCTTCTGCACATGTACGCTTGACTAGCCCGTCTTCAACAATCACGCTGTCGGACTGGGTTGTGCGCTCACTGGATACTCGAGTACGATGTAGATCTTTGCTGTATGCTACAACAACCTTCCTAGGGACTCTGAATATGCCCAGAATTCCTAGCAGCATGCTTCAGCCTGTACTGGACACTAAGGGCAGGTACTTCACTACACCATGACTATCATCCCTGCCTACATCCATCTCACTGTCTGACTGGACGATAGCAGTATTTCCATCCTCTGACCTTATCGCCAGAGACACTTTCTGCATGTCCCACGATGATCTTGGTGAGCGACCGGAATTCCGTGCGGTATAATCTCGCTAATGTAGATGGGGTAGGAGTGTGCAAATGTTCTGCCTCTTGCAGTGAATCAATCCATTTCCGCAAGGACTGACTGCTACGTCCTTCCGAGTGCAATACCGTAGGGGTGAATGCCCGCCCCGACCTGTGTCCGTACGGGTCGCTGTTCGGAGTATGCAATTAGTCACTAAATGTATAGTAAGTAGAGTGCTGTAGGCAAGTTGGATCCTCATCTGGAAGCTGTTTGTTAAAGCCGGCGGAACCGTTACTGGCTCGCTTCCCGGATCATCATGTTATTAACCGCGCGATTCCAGATCGATTCTGCATTCGACCTCGAATTTTTGCAAGGGGGGGGGGGGGGGGGGATCAACATCTCGGGCCGCTGTTTGGGGCCGTCCGCACCGGCCCAGTGACTGAGAAGATTGCGACAGTTGAAACTTTGTGTTTGACATGTAAACTTGTTGGAAGGTTTGGACCGAGTGGGCTAACGGGACTCAGTCCCACCCCGACTGATGTCACGTCCGCTCCAGGTCCACCGTACTGTACTCGACGTATTCGGGAATCCGGACCCTGTAAATCATCGCGAAGATCGGCGTTCACGCTACGTTAGCACACGACATGCTGTCAGGCACATGCTGCACGCGTATCTGCCTTGACGCGTGCGCGCCATGCAAGGTATAATCAAAGCCCGGGAGAATATCACGACGCTGAACCTTATGCAACGTCTCCCTTACAATGTGCCGCTATTGGTAGGCGGCAATGGCTTGCAGCGAAGCGTGATGAGGAAAACATGACATGCGTGTCGGAGTCGAGGTCAAACGGCCGGCTGTTGAGCATGCATCCCATCAGTTAGATCCCGGCACTATGTTTGCTTGACAAACGACGGCACCTCGAGATGGACTTGGCCTCGCCAACACTCATGATGCACAGGTCATGACTAAGGCAGAGAGCAAATCTCGTCTCTGGCCAGTCAGGTGTGTTATACTTGACGGCCATGTCTTGTCCAGACACCTAATAGAACGGTTTGGCGTTGGTAGGTGCGTTTGCAAAGTGAATGTCTCTCACTTAGGACCTTCTGCTCGGCTTGCCAACCCAGCATCTTGCACTTCTTACCACAAGTGGGGTGTCATCTACCCTTGAGCGGTTGCATTTCTCCTCCATCCTACTTGGTTGCATGCTGCACTTCCACCCTCCTGCTTCACACCTGGCCAGCACTAGCTTCCTATTGTACGACAATAGTAATAGTCGAGGTAACGGTTGCGTGCACTGACCTCGATTTACTTCCAACACAAACCTGGGGTATAAGTATGCTAGTCACCACTACCACCTTGTCTACAATCCAAACACCACCTTCACTCACCTTCTTCACCTCTCCCTGAGCAGTCACAATGAGGTTTTCCACACTTGCAGCTATGCTTCCACTTGCTGGGCTTTCCAGTGCAAGTGCCATTCCCAAGCGACAAGACGAGAGCGTCGCTGCGACCGGGTACAAGAACGTTGCCTACTTTGTCAACTGGGTGAGTCTATTGACAAACAACAACGTACGAAGACATGACCCCAAACTGACTTTGAAACAAACAGGCAATCTACGGCCGCAACTTCCAGCCGGCCGACCTCCCCGGAAACGAGCTCACCCACGTGCTCTATGCCTTTGCCAACGTGCGCCCCGACTCTGGAGAGGTCTACCTTACAGACACATACGCGGATATCGAGAAGCACTACCCCACAGATTCCTGGAACGATGTCGGCACCAACATGTACGGTTGCGCTAAGCAGCTCTACCTGTTGAAGAAGAGCAACCGCAAAATGAAGGTGCTGCTGTCGATTGGCGGTTGGACCTACTCATCGAACTTTGCTCAGCCCGCTAGCACGGCCGCGGGACGATCTAAGTTTGCCAGCTCGGCTGTGGCCATCTTGAAGGATCTGGGGTTCGATGGTATGGTTCCCCTCCGGAAACTTTGTCAAAAATAGGATCGTCGCTAATGACATGCGCATATAGGACTCGATATCGACTGGGAATATCCTGCAGGTAAGTCACATGATGAGCCCTATTCTACATAAGTGAACCATCAACTAACATATTGATGTGAAGATTCCACTCAAGCTGCCAATATGGTCTTGCTTCTCCAAGAGACTCGTAGAGTGAGTTAACCATCATTAACGACTGCCCTTTTCCAATCCACAAGGCTGACCTTCCCCTAGCAACTCGATGAGTACGCTGCTGCAAACGCCAACGGACAGCACCTCTTGCTCACCGTTGCTTCACCTGCCGGACCCGTCAACTACGAGAAGCTCGATCTCGCCGGTATGGACAAGTACCTCGACTTCTGGAACCTCATGTACGTTTCCCACTGCCCAATCACCATTTCACTTCGCCCCCAAGCTAACTCCTCTCACACAGGGCCTACGACTACTCTGGCTCTTGGGACACCAACGCCGGCCACGACGCAAACTGGAACCCCTCTTCCTCCAACCCAGCCAGCACTCCCTTCAACACAGCCCAAGTGATCGCCTACTACACCTCTCACGGCGTCGCTGCCTCCAAGATCGTTCTCGGCATGCCGCTCTACGGCCGCTCGTTCACGGCCACCGACGGCCCCGGCAAGCCCTTCTCGGGCGTCGGCCAGGGCTCCTGGGAAGCTGGCGTCTACGACTACAAAGCGCTCCCCCAGAGCGGCGCTCAGGTCACCGAGGACTCCAGCCTGGTCGCTAGCTGGAGCTACAATGCTGGCTCGCGCACCTTCATCAGCTACGACACGCCCAACATCATCCGCCAGAAGACGGAGCTCATCAAGAGCAAGGGTCTCGGTGGCGGCATGTGGTGGGAGAGCAGTGGTGACAAGGACGGAAGCGATAGTTTGATCACGACTGTAAGTTCTTTTTACATTCCCTCTTGTTTCCCTTTTGCGGCTGTCGTTCGTCATCGAGTGGAAAAGTAACTGACTCGGTCTCAACAGTATGTCAACGCTGTCGGCGGTGTTTCCGCTCTTGATGGATCAAACAACCTCCTCAGCTACCCTGTCTCCAAGTACGACAACCTCAAAGCAAACATGCCCTAGCTATCATGCCCAGCTGCTACCCACAAACTCTGTCCGTTTTCTATTCGGTCAGAGTGGGGTCTCGATAGAGTGGATATATGGCACAATGGGAGAGAATGTCGTCGCACTTCTTATCCTGTGAAGCATGAAACATTCGGTCTGGATGGGGCATGTTCACTTTTCTTTTCTCGAGTATATTCTGCATGGCGGGTGCGTTGTCAGACAAGACAGACGAACTGAGGAGACGGGATTCTGCATTACCTATTTTTCCTTTTTTTTCCAACTTGACCCATCATGGGTCACCCTTCTTGTTCATACCTTATTTCCCCAACTTCTCTTCATCGTCTACATACCTCATTTCCTTCGTTAGGCAGTACCAGGATAGAGCTACGAATGCCAATCACTGGTTCTTTATTGAAACACTCGCTATTCTTGAACGTGTCTTCTCTCGCTTCGGTGCTATAACCCGCGGTGCATACAGTGCGGATACTGTTGCATGTTTCTATTCTTGCCGACAAACTCGGGAGAGAGCTAGGCCACGCAGGATAGACTGCAAGTCAATTAGGTCGAAGAGTAGCTGGGAAGTTACTGTTAAACAGAGCGGAAAATTGAGAAATGGGTTTACCAATGCGCGGGCAGGTCTGCACTTGAAAAGTATGCCGTCGCCGTGTGCCCTGCAATGATTCTCGTACACTGATTGGAGGGGAACTTCATGTTTGGCCGCAAAGGGGTATACATTGTCCTCACCAGTTCTTTTGATGAAAATATAACTTGAAGGGTATATAGCTTCCCCCGTCTTCCGAATCCCGTACACCATCTCTTCTCGTATCCTCTACAACGCCCGACAGTCTCCTACGCCCCACGTTCCCTCGCAGTCACACCCCCATCCAAAACACCGTGTTACCTCTGCCACGATAACAAACAGAGATACAGACACAGGGATGAGTCGACTCTAGCAAATCAAACCACAACTAGATAAAGCGATCCATGACGCAGAAACTACGAACTCCTCTTTCCATATGGTTCAAATGGGAAAATGGCTGCCACGCCAGCCATGACGACATACAGCGCAGCGCAGATGTAGATGGGGACGGGTGTTGACGTCTAAACAACATGACGTCAGCTCGATTAGCATTTTTTCGTCGTGTTGAGGGGGAAGGGAGGAAAGAACTTACGTCTGCCACGGTGGCGATGACGGCGCTGAGGATACCCATGACTCTGTTTGCGCTGACTGCGAGGCCGTTGCCGGTGCCACGGTGGGCGCTGGGAAGAACTTCAGGGGTATACGCTGTTCGTCTCCATATCAGTATGCGGCTCAATTGTCTTTTACGTGGGTATATATCGATTCACACAATCGATCCTTCTTCTTGCACAAAAGAAGTCCCAAAACAACAAGCCTCCAAACAGTAGGAAAAGACAACATAAAAAATCAAACTCACCATAAAGCGTGCCATAGTAGATGTTGAGGCAGAAATTGACAACGCACGTGAAAGCAACATTCTGCGTCTGCGTCCTAACCTGGGTATACGCGAAGAAGAAGATACACGTGACCAGGGCACCGACAACCATTGTATACTTTCTGCCCAAGAACGGCAACTGGCACATCCAGCCCGCCAGTACGGGTCCCCAGATGCCAGAAAAGTTGACGAGCGTGTAATTGCGCCTGGATTCGCGGGTAACAAGTCAGTAAAAGTTATCCAAACACGTTCCGATGCGCTATCAGAGTGTCGCCAGGCTGTAACTATGTTATATCCCGGCACTTGACGACTTTGCACCCGTGATATACATACCATTTAATGTACTGTGACGATTCCCCAAACTCGGCGCCGCGGCTCCCTAGATAGGAGGGAAGGAAGACGTTGTAGAGGGGGTAGGCAAGACCGATGAGAGTCCAGGAGAGCCAGATGAGGGAGGTGGATATTGCGATGCGGCGGGTAGCGAAGAGGCCCTTGAGGTGGACAGTGATGTGGGATGGACTCCATTTGGCCTTGCCCTCGCGTTGGGCCATACGCTCAATGGTCCCGCATGCTTGGAGCTTCTCGAGGGTCAGGCTGCAAGGACGGTTATATTTGGTTGCGATGGCCTGGAGCGTCTCAACGCATTCGGCGTCTTTGCCTTCACCAACGAGAAATTTGGGGGTTTCTTTGAGGCGAATTACGGTTATACGGAGGATGCTCATGACGAAAACGAGAGCGCCAGCGGCGAACCACACGTATCGCCATCCCTTGTTATTTTCGTAGGTGCATGGTGCTGCCCCCTCGACGACAGATGGATCGTCACAAGAGTAGTTGGGCAGAAATCCCCAGGCCAAGAATCCAGCAATGAGTTGACCAATACCCCACCACGCAGCCATCAAGGTCAGCATCCATTGCTTCTTGCTAGGCAGGTACTCCAAGAATACAGCAGTGTCCAGGACCAGATTGCCTCCGCCGCCGAAAGAGCTGAGGCATACGAAAAGGCCCAAGACGATCCAATTGGGACTTGAACCAGCCACAATGGCAAAGATGGAGCACAGGAGCAAGCTGACATTGAAGGCGAATTTGCGACCAATGACATCGGCGCTCATGCCCCAGAAAAAGGCACCTGTGAGCATGCCGACGTATGCAGCGATGGTGAGGCCGTTCTTATAAGAAGGGTTGAACTCGAGCGCGGCTTGACCGGCAATGATGCTCTGGATGAGCAAGATGAGCGAGTCGACGGCATATCCGAAGCCATTGAGAACGAAGAGCTTCCACTGGTAGCGTGTGAAACCAATCTCGTCAATGGCATTATTGACCAGGTGCATCTTTGCGTTGAGATTGCGGTCCAGCGACTCGAGCTGTAAGATGTCGCCCTTATCTATCGAGACGGTTTCGTCGGTCATTGCCATGTCGCGTTCCACGTCGGGGTCATGCTGAGTGACTATTTTTTTATCTGCCTCTGCCATTGTAGCCATGCTGGTAGCTTTCTCTATCCACTATTCGACCACTGGTAGTTGTGTTCCAGGGTATCTGGGATGGTGTACTGAGGCGATTTGTCTAGCAGCCTCGGGAGGAAGACGAGGCACGATGAAGCAACGAGAACTGGGACAGACAGAGTGGAAGACGAGGTGAAAAGGCGGGAGGCTGGCCAAGACGTCCAGCAGCACGTCCATGTTTTTTTCGACCCCCAGCAGCAGAGAAGGCCGGCGATGGCGCGCATGGAGGCAGCGAACACCCACGTGCGCGGCCGTTGATTGGCCCGAGTGCATCCCCCCTCACATGCAGGCTTATCCTCCTCATCTCTTGGCTCCAACAACCCCGGCCAGCAGCCCGCCCGGCATCCATCCTACACCACATCCACCACACCCCCGTTGCATCGTCTGAATCCTCAGCTAGCCGAGCAATGCAACCATATCCCGCGTGGCCGACCATGCGCAAAACAACAAGCAATCGTCTTCCCATACTGGCTACCATACTATATATAACATGACCCCTCAGACCGCCTAAAACGCCGTTATATCATTCAAAACCCAGACCCACCACGGGTACAGAGGTCCAAGCCAGTCGTCACGAGATACAAATGCCCTGTAATCCCCGGACACGGTCCAATTTTCCCAAAACGCCCAGTTCGACCAGCGGGTATAGCAACAAAACGCCATCCTTCTACCATCCACAATCCACACCATCATGCAACATCTTACCTCTCTCGCACCCATAAAGAAAGAGAGGGAGAGATAGAGAGAGAACATAGAATCCCGGAATAAATCATATCAAGAATCAAAACACTTCTCATCCGTCATGTAAGCACGCTTGACGCTGCCAAACAGCCTACGACTGCTGGGGTGTATGGATGGGCGTGTTCTCTTCCGTGCTGGCAATCGCTTTTTCCTCGACCGAATCCATCAGGACCGGCGTAGGAGCTATCCTCCTCTTTTTGCTTCCCTTGCTCTCCTCTACTTCTGGGACTGCATCGAGTTCCCTCTTCCTCGACGTCGCGCCAACGTCTTCCCGTTCAGACTCGCTCTCCCTTCGCAGACTTGCGCTGGCTCCTGGAACTCCGCTTACCGAGCTGCTTGCGCTGTGTGTGCCATGACCCTGAGCTGGAGTAAGTGGGGGTGTCCACATAGGCATGGCCCCTACAGGCCCCGAATTTGCCGCTGCTATCCCCGGAACCGAGGCCATCGATGGCGTGGGCGCGTTCATGTTGGTCGAGTCTCCTGTTCCAGGGGCAAACGACGATGCTGTAGCAATACTCGAGACCGAGTTGCTTCTAGTGGGGCTACCAGGCCTTGCCGGAACAAACGAGCTCGGTGAGGCCGGAAATCCTGCCGAAGGTTGCCTTGGGGGAGCGGCGGCAGCAGCAGCAGCAGCCACTGCAGCAGAGCCCGAGGAAGCAGTCGGGGTCTGGATGGGCGTCGAGTGGTTTGATGATTGCGAATTGGCAGTGTTGATGGACGGCGTCGAGTGGTGATGTCGCGCTTGACTTGCCAGAGGGCCCGTGTATTTCTCTCCCAGCTCGCCGTTGGCAAATGTCAAGCACGAGCAGAAACCATCTGATGAGCTCATGATAAGAGTGTTTCCATCATTTGACCTGTACCTTGTTAGCAATCTATAGTAATATCACGCCAAGCGCTACATACCACGTGAGATCTGTAAACGTAGCAAAGTGCAGATTGCTGACTATGCACAAAGGCTTCTGCTGTTGTGTATCGTAGACGTGAATTGCGTCCTGGGTTGCTACGGCGTAAACCATTCGATAAGGCAAAGCAAACGCCGAAACGGGGCCTGGTGGCGGATTGGATGACGAAGTGGGTTCACTCTCGGCTGGCATAGGCGACGCAGATGTCAGACTCGGCGACGGCGATGCTGCACTGGCCAGCGGAGGCGGTTCCATGGAGGCATGCGAGGTGGGGGCTTTGGAAGGCAAAGCAGGCTCGGGCAGTGCGCACAGCTCGTCGTCGTCAACCGAAGAGGTATCGATGGTGATCTGCTGCGTCTGAGGAACAGCTTGGCGTAGAGTATAATATACTGGCGAGCAGCGCACCGCTACAGACGGCTTCTTGTGGCCTGGCAGGTAAGCAACCGGGGGTTTGTTCAGGCCGGCCCGAGTATAAATATACACGGTATTGATGATTTCCTCGGTAGGTCGAATCTCGCTGATAGCCGGATGGACCGTCTTGTATTGGCCAGAGGGCGTAAATAGCAGGCTTCCGTCTGAAGCAAAAGACAAGCGGCGGAAGAAAGAAGTAAGAGTCTCATTAGCATAGAGAGCGGCGTTCCGAACGCCAATGGTGCCGATGCTGCTGGCACTGGGGGAATTAGGCATGACAGCAGGCAGAGGCATCGAGGGCGCCGGCGAGGCAGAACGACGCATTGATGGTGACGAACCAAACGAAGACCTGCGGCTGTGCGACGTCGGGGGAGGGTTCATGGGAAGTGCCAACGACTGGGGAGTGCCAGGCGCAGAAGGCCCTGGAGAGGCAGCGGCAAAGGTTGAATCGTGCGAAACAAAAGACGCCCGACCGCCAAAATCGGGCGGAGCTGGACTGTTGGAGGAGACGCGACGGGCAGGAAGATCCATCTTGGTCACTTTGCTATGCTGCGAGAGCGAAAACTGGCCGTCCTTTGTTTTGAGGTTGTAGATGTGCACCGATCGATCCGAGGACTGAGTAGCAACATACTCGTTGAGTGGATCCCAGGCTACACCTTGCACGTAGTGGTGATGTTCGGCGATTTGGCGCACGCATGCTCCTGCTGATGTTTAGCATCGACTAGTGGGTTGGGCCTAGGGTGCATTGGGGGCTGGCGGGTACCTGTTTGGGCGTTGTAGATTCTGGCAATGTTGTCCATACTGCCAGTAATGAAGAAGACGCCGTCCGGAGACCAGGCCAGGTCGTAGATTTCCGAGCCCATGCTAGATCCGCACGAACGCTTCACCCGCCAATTTTCCTTGCTATCGTCGGCCTCTTCTCCATAGCTGGTCTGAGCCGATTGATTCTCCGAGGGAATCCAGAGGAGGATGTTGCCATCGTCGCCGGCCGAGGCCAGTATTTCGCCTGCTACCTGGTCAGCTTGTGGAAATGGGGGATGGAGCTGCAGCAGCAGATCAGGCAGGGCGCACTCACCTCGAGGCGACCATCGTACGACATTGACGGCCTGTGAGTGCTTCTTGAGGGAAGCGAGATAGGTGATTTTGCGCTCCTCTGCGTTGGAGTCGACTTGCCAGAGCTAGAGGAGTAAGATGGATTGTTAGCAAGGGCGGCAACGAGGAAGCATGTGCAGCAAGCAAGCAAGCAAGCAAACATACCCGAACATTGTTATCACCACCGGCTGTAGCCAATCGGCCTTTGCCATGAGGCTCGAAATGTGCCGAGTAGATGGGCTGATTATCGTTGTGCCAGGAGACCAGCAGCGGAGCGGCCTTCATGGTGGTGGGCGGTGCGGCAGCTCGCCAGCGGAGTCCAAGGTGTGCGGCGGCGCGGTGGACTGGGGCGGGCAGATATGAGACGAAACGACGGGATGATGGTTGTTGGAAGCGGGTAGGGGTGGTGTGGTTGTTGGGTGTGATGTGATGTGATGTATATATACGGGTGTCGTTGGCGGAGGTAGGCCAGTATGTAACGAAGGGTGGTAGTAGCTAAGTAGTGGGCCAAGTAGTAGTAGGTAGCTGAGTATGCCGGAAGGTTGGGGATTCAACAAGGGCGAATCAAGTGTGTCGGGGCGGACAATTGAGCGAGCAAGGTTTGCTTGTTTTTGCGTGTATATGGGTCTGGATGGGAGGAGGGAGGGGAATTGGAGAGAGAGAGAAGGTGAATGAAGGGAGTTGGAGTAGGATGGATGAGTGAGAAAGAAGTGCAAGCAACCGAGTGGATGATGGTTGGCTGGTTGGTTGCACCTGCGACTGCTGCTCTGCTGCTGCTGCTGCACCCGCACCTGCACTCGGTTGCTTGGTGACATGACCCGCACCGCGCTAGACCTGCAACGGGCAAAGTCACCAACCACGGGCTTAAGTAAGCCTGGGTCGCGTTCCCAACGCGCCGTCCAGGCCAAGCTAAACCCAGTCGGGCCCTTAATGGGAAACGCGAAACCTTGGCGCGAATCATCCTATCCGGATCCATGGACCGACGGACGCACGGCAAGCCTCTCTCTCTCTCTCTCTCGCACTCCCAATCCAACAGCGTTTGGGAATAACAAAGGGCACAAAGCCATCACAACGGCCAGCTCACACAGGCCACCTCTCTCTTTCTCTCACTTGATCCCCGCTGCCTCCAAAAACTCTTGCCTCTGCCTTGCGCCCTGCTCGCTGTTCGTTCCCACCTCTACAGCCTTGACCACCTCGGCCATGCTCTCCACCTCGCGTATTCCGCCGCCGTGCTCAAACCCCCACAACCCTTCATTCTCGTACCTGACCTGGAACGCTTGCCAATTCTCCGCCTTGAGTCTGCCAATGTGCTCGTCCACCGCCGACTGAGGCCCCGAGAAGATCAAGATGCCTGGATAACCGGGCTTGGTGATGCCAGAGAGCTGCCCAGCCGAGAGCGCGAGCTTGCGTTTGCTGAGCGCCAGCAGGTGGTGCAGCCATACAATAACCGTCTTGCTTGCTTGTCCCGCTCGAGTCTGTGCAGCCGTGCATGCACCAGTCTTCAATGCTTCGTCATGCTCGCCACTCGTCTCTGCTACCACGCCCTGGAAGCATGCAATGATAGCATCCAGCCTCTCTTCGCCCTCCTCCAGCTCTTGCCTTTGCACAGCTTCCTTTGTCTGATCCCGCACATCCTGCTTGCCTGCGTCTCGCGCAGAGATGATATCTGGCATCCCACTGTCAGGATATGTCTCTGGCAGCCGCACCTGTAGGGCAGCCCACTTGTCGCTGTACTTGAGCTCTCGCCTCTTGCTATCCCATTCCACCTGCTCTGGATACATGGCCTGCAGGAGGTCTAGTTCCAACCCAAGTCGCGAACTCTCTTGACCTGACATGCTTCTTCTTCTTCTCTTGCTTCTAGGCGTGTATGAACAAAACGTGACAACAACTGTATGTGCAGTCCAACTACTGTAGAAATCAGTAGCTGCTAAATACACTAGCTCCTGTTTGTACAAGTTCATACTTAATAAGCTGACTATTACTAAGCCTGAATAAGTCGGTATGTATCAGAAAAACACAAAATCTAGCACTATACGAAGTACTACGCTGGGTACATGAGTGACTGAGTGAGACATTGATTGGCGGAACTTTGGCTCGGTCGCCTTCACATTACCTTGGGCCCATCGCATCGTGAACAGTGCAAACAAACCGGATTATCTGATTATACTACATATGTACTAAGCCCTCCTACCCCTGATATTTACATTCTCAGCCCTGCTAATAAATTACTTTACGTTCCCACAGCGGTGCTTCAGTGGCGCTGTCCTCAGTCCACTCTACCTTTCCCTTCCCATTCAAAATCGCACCCTCATCTGTAGCGTTGACGCCATACTCTCCGAGATCAGACTGCAACTCCTCCACCTCCTTTCGGCTGATGCCAAGAGAGTCTCTAGGGAGCCAGATGACAGGCGGCTCCTCCGTGAGAGCCGGATGCAAGTACGCCTGGCGGGCCTCTTGCTCCGTGTATGTGGGGACTGGATGCCGGAAGCGACTGACCAGAGAGGCGGACAAGCTGGCAGCCGACTGCGCCTGCGGCATGAAAATGCGCTTTAGCAAGGACTGATTCTCGGTGTGACTGTCTTCACCAATGTCGTTCCTCGCAGCGTGGGTATTGCGCGTCGCGGACCAGTCTCTATACCGAGCGGACGTGAGCCCGTCTTGTTTGAACGACTCTTGGCCGTTCATCTTGGAGTATCCATTTCCGTTTCTCTGGGCCTCCACATATCTAGGGTGCATGCCGTTCTGCTCTGTGTTCAAGCCCTTTTCGGCTTTGTCGTCGTGGGCAGTATGTTCGGATTCTCGTAGGAGGTTCAGCGGTAGTGTCTCGACAAGAGGTCTCAGTTTCTTCTTGAGAGAGATGTGGAATACCACCGTGGCAATGATCAATACAATCTGCAGGACCACGGGACCAACTGACGACACCGAGTTGCCGATACCGATTCCGAACAGGCCGAGAGTGCACAGCTCCGCGAGGTACACGCCGACCATCAGTTGTCCAAGCGCGCGAGCGTAACATGCGCCTTTTGTGTCAATTTGTGTGGCGAAGACGTAGATCATGTTGTACCGGTATGCCACATAGATGAGACCCATTCCTACTGTAGCAAAGCCCAGTACGAGCGGCGAAATGATGGCATAGCTGATTGCAATGACACCCAAGTTGGTCCACTTTGGGTATTCGGAGCCCCAAGAAGGCGACGTAAGCTGAACGTATCGTTGGTACTTCTTGCGTGGTGATTTCGCAAATTTGCTGAGGATAAAGACACCGACTAGACCGCCAATATTGAAGAGATACTTGGCCGCGTTGGCCACGCCATAGAGTACAAAGTACGAGATGTAGAAGTTGCTGGCTTTGGGCAGGTTCTTGGCAAGAAGCGGTACTGCTAAAGTAGGGTTGCTGACGATTTGAGAGGCAACTGCAGTAGCTCCAGACGTAAAAGTTGTAATAAGGAAAACTTGGATTACTTGGAAGGCGAAGTACCATGATTGCGTTTGCAGCTCGATCTCGGAAAGCGAGATGGCTCCAGCGAGCTTTGCAAAGACTGCGACAAAATCAGCACCCCTCCTTTCAAACGATGGGGCATGACTTACATCGGCAAATAATTGGCACCAAAGCCATCAGAGCTGCCAGAAGAATGGTAGGTAGAAGTCCAGTCACTACGCCAAGAATGACTTTGGGGATATCGTCAATCCAAGCCAAGAAAGGCACATTGTTGGTAAGGTAATTGACGTTGCTTATAATGCCGACCAAAGCGACCGGGATACTCCAAAACAGTATGATGGCAGAGATTGCTGCAGTTGCAAGTCCGCGGCGTAGTGACCTATCCCACGAATTCATTTTCAGGTTCTTCCAGATGACTTCATCTGGGAGAATGCCCATCTGACGAGCAACAAAGGAGCCGGGCTTCTCGTCGACAGTAAGGGCATATGCATTTTGTGCGTCCACCATGGTGTCAAACTCTACGAAGAGAGCACTGGCAAGCTTCTCTTTTCCCTGCAGGTGAGACTTTTGGCCGGCTTGCACCTTATTCAACATGTTGGCGAGATCTTTGCGGCAATAGTCAATGGTATCGACCTTTTCACCGATCAAAGGTTTCAGGCGATGAGTTGGTCTCATATCCTGGTCAATGAGTTGCTCTCCAGACGTGCGCCTGGAACGCCTGCCGCTGCCATCTCCTTCTTTTTCTCTCTTCTTCTGCTGCGTCTTGTTTACCTTCTGAATGAGTTCGATCTCTCCATTCTCCAGTTTCAGCGCGGTATCGTTCATGTCGTCTACATCGTCTTCCAGATCGTTCATATCCGAGACCAGCCACATTTGGGAGATGCCATGGAATAACTCGCGAAGTCTGGTATGGGAGAGATACTGCTCCGGGACGTTCGTAAAGAGGACGGTTCTCTGAGAAATTCGGCTCGTATTCCAGGTAGATAGGAGATAGGCTTGACGGATTTTGATCACGTAGGATGTCTCTCGCCATATCAGGAAGAGTACGAAGCCTGCCAAGTCAGTACAAGATCAAAAAGGAGAGGGGCGAACAGACCAAAAAATACCCAGCCAATGAGCGCATGAGCAAAGTAACGAGTAGGGTTGTTGACATTGCTGAAAGACAAAATGTCTAAACCAGACTCTCCGCCTCCGCCAGTCGCATTGACGGGGAAGAGAACGGGCCAAGTGATTATGCAACCTCCAAATGACATGAAAACCAACATCTTGAAAAATCGCACGTAAAGATATCCATCGAGAGAGTGGTGATTGAGGATGTATTCGTCGCTGATTCGCCGGAAGTTTCCTGTCCATCCCAAGAATGAATCATTGGCTGGCGGCGTTTTCTCGCTGACTCGGAATTAGCCTCTCAACGATAAGACTTTTGGTGAACAATACTTTTCGTCGAGGAGCTCGTGGTAGGTCCGAGGAGCGTAAAGGCGCCTGTGCTTTGCTCGCAGAAATAGGAACAATCCAACCAGAACGGCTGCGAGGACAAAACATGGGACAAGGGTCGATAAAAGCGCTGAAAGGGAGGAGCTGCCACTGCTACGATGGCTCCCCGATCCTGAAGCTGCCCGCAAGGCGAGCGACATGCCTGTTTACATTGTCAGCAATCATTGTTAGTCAGAATAGACTACTCACCCCTTTCGTGCAGTTGTTTGTACATATTGGATGCTGGGAAGGATACCTAGGAGAAGGGGTTTAGACGCGCAAGAGCACGGTGGGAGGAATGGCAAACACCCAAGTACTTCATCTTGATCGTTTGGAGACTACCAATAGTCATTGTGTCATTTCATGTGCTTTTTCGATGGGGCGCGTCGATCTTCTGGGGAAATGACGTGCTAGTAGGCAATGGTGGTAACGCTTAAACTCACTACCTGCACTATGCAAGTGAGCTAGTTAAAATCTATTGCAGCCCGGTGAAGTTCTTAGCAACAGCAAAATCTCACTGCTAAGTCGAGGCCACGCTTATGTGTAAAACCACTTTGCACAAACATCAGTCGCAGTTGCAGTCGCAGTAGGACTGGTAGTTTAAAAACTCGTACCTGTTCTAAAAAAAAAGGAAGGGGGGAAGGGGAGAGGACGATGGACGATGGACAGAGGAAGATAGACAAAGAAAGAAGGAAGAAGAATAAATTGAAATATAGTAATTGTCCTACACCTCTAAAGGAGGCTGGTTACAGACAAAAAGAGAAGATAAAAGCACTAAGTTCTGACTAGATTAGTGTGAAACGAAAGGGAAAAATAAAGAGGTAACGAACAAATTCATTGACCACAGTAGCACGTTCGAAGCTGAAGTCTTTGGGCCTCGGACGCATAAATTGCAAAGGCGGCATCATAAGTCTAAAATTCATCTTTCCGGGATGCTATCAGATCCCTGTAAACTGGATTCGTCCTTTCAATACTCCAATCACAACCGCACTAGCTAGCTATAGATCCCGAACTCCTATTGCTAAATCGTCTACACAAATTCTCGATTCTAAGCGACCTTCTTTGGCTTTGCTACGACAATGCTGTCGTCGCATTCCTCAGTATACTTCCAGATTTTCACAATTTCTAGCCCTGCCTTTTCTAACAATGCATGCCACTGAGTCTCCGATCTCTCCATGGCTGCAAGGGCCGCCAGCATCGTCATGTCCAGCTGTGTCGCCCGCCAAGGCGAGTCCTTCTCTGGGAGAACCATGTCGTCTAGGAGGATCACGGAATCCTCTGACATGGCAGTGATTTGATTCTTCAGGATCATGACCACCTGCTCATCTGCCCAATCATGCACAATGTTTCGCAGGTAATACGCGCGAGCGCCTGGATCGTGTGAGCTCGGCATATTACGCATTGCGATTAATGCACATACCTCTGACCGGCTGAGGGGTGAAGAAGTCATAGATCTGGGACTCAATGTCATGACTTGGCTGCACCGCACCAATGACTTGTGCCGTGTCCTGAATAATGATCCGTCCTAGGAGGTCTGGGAAGCGCTGGCGTAGTGCAATGCTCTGGTGTCCCAGAGCACTTCCAACGTCGACAAATAGAATTGTATCTTTATCGCTTCCCTTGCCAACAATCTGATCGAAGGGAAAGACGTCGAACCACATTGGGAGACCAGCGCGGCTCAAGTGCACCCACTGCATGAACAATTCAAAGTGTTCAGCATTACTCTGCAGCCATGCAAAGGGGTGTAACTTTGTCTCATAACCCTCTTGCCAGGGTGAATCTGATGGATTGGTAGGATTGTCGTAATTATGGCTCTTAAGATAGCGGGGTACCGCTTCAAACGGCTTCTGCAAGACAGTAGTACTGTTTTGACTATCAGCGGTGTCCTTGGAGTAGTAGAAAAAGCTTACAAGTACTCGACTGCTACGCCATCTGGCCCAGCGAGCGCTTTAGTCACATTGTTGGCAACGTACGCATCGTCGCCAGGTTGAGACAGCATCCGGAATGACTGGTAGTAACGAAGAAAACGCTCTTTTGGTTCATTCTTTAGTTTCATAGCTACAGAAAAACCGTGTTTAGGCGACTTACTCAGAAGGAGAGGGTCAAAATTAGTCTTTTCCGCAATTTGCGCGAGACTCAATGGACCCTCGCTTTCCGCCAAAACAGACCACATCTTAGTATCATAGCCAACCCTAGCCATGTAAAGTTGCAAGGCCTACATGTGTTAGCCAACAACCTTCAATCTTGGCTTTGGATGCAAACCTACAGAGTTGCCAATACGATGCACAGTATCGCCATGGATTTCAACCGCGATGCTCAAATTCTTTGACGCCTCTCGCAACTTAATGCGAGTTGTCAATGTTCTAGGGAGGAGAGTTAGTGAAGTGCTCAATTTGAGCTATAAGAGTTTTAACCTCTTCTGCTTGTGACATTGTAAAAGCGAAATATGTAAGATAAAGTAGGCAAAAATAAGAGAGAAGACAAAGATGTTTTAAAGCAGATATAAATGTGCCTAACACAACTAGAAGTAAAATGCAGAAAATATATAAGTAAGCTTACTATATAGTACTTTATAATTAGCACTAGTACTTAATTAAAATTAGCTTTAAAATATTTTAATTTAAATTAGTGCTAATATACTATGCTATAAATTTTTTTTAACTTATAAGCTATTAATAAGTTTAATTACTTACTTACTTTAAATACTTTTTAAAAGCTATTTTTTATAAGTTTATAGTAATTAGTAAGCTAAGTAAGCTAATAACTTTTATTACTATATTTTTTTTATTTATTTTTAAGTTAAACTTTAAGTAATTTTATATACAGTAAAAGGTTTATAGTAATAAAATATACTAAAATAATAAGTAATAACTAAAAAGACTATTATTACTATATTATATAAATAAACAGTAAAAACTATTTTATTTTATTTATTTAAGCTTGCTTATTAAGTAATTCTTAGTACTTAGTAATAAATATTATAATTTTTTAATAATAAATTAAAACTTTAACTCTTTAATAGCAGAGATAAGTAATTTTAAAAAAGTAAATTTTTAATTAAAGCTAGATTTAAACTAACAGCATTTTTAAAAAATTAAGAAAATATATTTTTAAATATAGCTAAGTGCTTACCTACTACACTATTTTACTTTATTTATATAAAAAAAAATATAACTAGTAGCTTTTTTTTTAGTAAGTAATTTTAAAATATATTAATTACTAATAATACTAGCCTTTATAAAAGATATTTATAAAAGTAAAGTAATAGTTTAATTTATATAGTTTATAATTAGCTTTTACTTTTAATTTATTACTTTACTACTTTTAATATTTTACTTAGTATTTTCTTTATTTAACTTTTAGTTTTTTTTAGTTTATAAATATTTACTATTTTTTATTTTTTATTACTTTTTATTTATTTAATATTTTACTTAGTTTTTACTTACTTTTTAGTCTTACTTAAGCTCTTAATATTTAGTACTTTAGTAATTAATATTTTTTATTAAAATAAATAATTTTTAAAATCTTCTGCGCTTACTTTAGCTTTTTTTTTTTTTTTTTTTTTTTTTTTTTTTTTACTTTTTTACTAAAAAAGCTTGTTTTCAATAAAAATTATAAATTTTTTTATTAATTTTTTTTTACAGCATTTAAGTATATAATATTTATTTATTTTTAGCTTTACTTGTAAATATATAAAATTTTATTTCTAATTAAGTTTAAAGTAAGTTTTATTTAGTTTTACTAACTAACTGCTAAACTTTAAGTAATATTATTAAAAAATTATTTATTATATTATAGTTTATTATATTTAAAAAATAAAGTTATTTACTGTTAATTTTTTTACTATTTAATATTTTTAGCACTAAATATAACAAAATGCTATAAAATTTAAGTTTAATAGTTAGTATTTTAATAAATTTAATTTAAGTTTTAATAAATTTAATTTAAGTTTTAATAAATTTAATTTAAGTTCTAATAGTTAATAGTTCTGTAATAAATTAGCTAAAGAAATTAAGTAAAAAAAGTTTTACGTTTTTTATATATAAAGATGTAGTAGAGTCTTAACTTATTTAAGTACTTTTTACTGTTTTTAATACTTTATTTATATATTGCATTTTTTTTTTTACTAATATATATACATATACTTAGTATTTTACTTAGTAAGTAATTTTAAATTATATTACTCTTATAGATGCTTTTTTAAAAGTAAAGTAATAGTTTAAAATTTACATAGTTTATAATTAGCTTTTATCTTTTATTTATTGCTTTATATAACCTTTTATAGCTATTTCTTATTCATTTATTACTTTTTTTTTAATATTTTTTTTTTACTTAACTTTTGTTCCTTTTTAGTTTATTAATATTCCTTTAGTATTTAGCTTTATATTACTATATCTAGTACTTTTTTTTAGTGCGCAACTCTACTTTTAATTATTTTTTTAATTTTTTTAAGTTAAAGTTAAAGTAATTCTACACACAGCAATAGTTTATAATACAAAATTTACTAAAATAATAAGTAATTACTAAAAAGATAATAGTATTTTTATATTATTATATATCTAGTTTAGATTTTGTTTTATTTTATAGTTAAAAAATTAGAGAGCGTTTTTTAAAGAAAGAAATAAACTAAAAACTAGTTTTTAGCGCTATGTTAAGATTACAACACAGACACCTTAGGTGTTAGAAATAAGCTTCTTATAATACTAAGGTAAATTACCCTTACTTACTAAAAGTGTTTTAGAAATTACAGAGCTACGCTGCATTAGCTATTATATAATAAGAGATTACATAATATAATTAGTAATTAGCTTAATTAGTAGTGCTAATTAGACTAATTAAAGTAATTAACTATTTTAACTATATGTATATAATTAGTAGGCAAGAAGCCTTTATAGCTTTTTATATTTACTCTAAGTTATAACCTACTTCTTAAAAATATAATCTAGTTGTTACTTTATACTTTTACTTTTATTACTTTAGTATTACCTGCTAGTTATTTATAAAACTTAACTAGAGATCTTTAAAACTTTAATATTATAAATACTTTTAAGATATCTAGCTTTAGTACTACTAGCTAGTCTACCCTTACTTCTAATATAGATAATAATACTTCTGTTAGTGTTAAAGCTAGATAACTTAACTTCTACTATAGAGAACGCGTTAAGCTAAAAGAATAAATCTTATAACTTAAACTACTTTTTAAGTTTAATAAGAAAATTAAAGATACTAGTAAAGCTACTTACGCAGCTACCTTTATGCAAAGTAATACTTATAAATAAATTGCGCTCTAGCTTACTAAATATCTAAACAATAATAATAGTAACAACAACAACAATAATAAGGACAATAAAAATACTACTCTATTTAAGAACTAGAAAACGTTTAAAACTAAACTTTATTAAGTCTTTAGAGTATTAAGTAAGAAAAACAAGGCAGTACATAAAATTTAATATATTTAATAGCTTAAATCTGCTACTAACTATACTGCGCAATTTTAGCACTACGCAGTTTAAACTAACTAAAATAACAACGCACTTATAGCACTCTACTGCTAAAGACTTAAACTTAAAGTTAAAAAAGAACTTATAAAATTTAGAGTTATACTTAACTTAATAGAAAGACTTTATAAAAAAACTATTTATATTAATAATAACTTATTTAAGCTTGCTAAAGAAATAAAAGAGATCTATAGTTATAAGTCTACTTATAGAAAAATATAGAAAGCTATTTACTATTTTTTCTAAAGAAGAGGCTGCAGCGTCTCTGTTTAACTTAAAGTAAAGTATACTAAAAAAATAAATTAAACACGCAACGTTAATGCAACGCTTTTATTTAAGGCTAAAAATAATAATAAAAGAAAAAAGTATAATAAGAAGAGCAAAAACTCTAAAGAAATTACCTACTATAGATATAGTAAAACTAGCTATATAGCTAGAAACTGTTAATTAATAAATAAGATTACATAATTTGTTAATGTAACAACTAAGTCTTTATACTTTAGAAAGAATAGAGGTAAATTAAAATAGAAAATCTTAGAACTTATGCTAGGTAAAGAATAACTTATAGTAAATAACTTAAATTTAGAAAGTAGTCTTAAGTATTACAAAAATGCACTACTACTTAAAAAATATTAAGTAAAATAGAACGCCTAATAAGCTGCTGCAAGAAGCGGAAATAATTAATAAAAAAAGTAATAACTATGTTTAATATAGCAGTTTTAAGTAAAAATTTTTATATTAAAGACTTACGCACTACTAAAAGCAAAACAGTTATATATTATAAAAGATTTACAAAGATTTAAATTAGACTTAAAGGAGAAATACTTATCTCTTAAGAATTTTAATAGCCTAAAAGGATCTATTAAATATAATAATAACAAACTTGCTAAATAAATTAGAGAACTAAATCTGCTAAACAAAATAGCAGATAATAATTAAAAAAAGAACTAACTTAAAAAAGAAGTCTTAGACTTATAAAGAGATAACTATATACAACATGTTTTAGAATATTAGTAAAATTATTAAAAGTATAAAAAAGATAGCAAGAAAACTAAAAAACCTAAACTACTATTTATGCGTTAACTAATGTACAACGTTAACTTATAAAACTAAAATTATAAATAGCTACACTTTAGCGCTTGCATGTATAACCTTTGCTAGATATATAAGTTAAATAAAAATGCTTTTTACTATCTAAAAAATAATCTGTATAAGATTTATAGATATAATTAAATAAAGTACTACAATAACTTTTATCTTATTTACTTATTTAATAAAAAACTTAGTTCTAACTTTCTAGGCAAGATACTAAAGTAAATAGTAAATATATAGATTGCAATAAACTAATAATGTATTAAAAATAATATATAGTAAACTTACTTATATAATAATTGCAAATAGCACTATAATATAAAATGCGCTAATAGATTTAAACTAGTTTTTTTTTTTTTAAAAAAACACGCCTAGTACTAGAAATATATATAGAACTATATATTAAATAAACTTAGAAAAATTAGTTAAGCTATTAGTTAAGCTTAACAGACACTAGTTTAGAGCACTACTTAATACTAGCTCTTTAGTTAATTTTATATTAAGCTACGTAGTTAAGAAAGCAGAACTTTCTACTTAAAAAAAACACAACTAGTATAGCATTTAAGCAGTTACTAGAAAGCGCTTACCTAATAAAACTTAAGTTAATAAAGAAACTAACTTAATGTTTATAGAAATTAGTAGACACTAAAAAGAGATTATTTTAAACATTTTAAAGATAGCTACTTTTAACGTTGTATTAAGACACCTCTAGTTATAAAAGCATAATTTAGTAATAAATTAGTTTAAAAAAACACTTTTATTTATAAACTATAAATATATATATAGTTTAAAGCCTACGTACTGCGCGCTATAAGTAATAAATAAAAAAAGTGTTAACGTAACAACGCTATTGCTTAAAATATGCTTAAAGAAAGTAGTTAACTTTTTAAACACTAG